CGTCCTCACGAATACCCTCGTCCTCACGAATACCCTCGTCCTCACTTCCCGGCCCTTCGACCTCCTGTCCTCTCCCACGATCATATCCGGAATGATCCTTACAGCTATTCAGGCACGTCTTCAAGAGAAGGATAAACACAAAGAGTACAGAGGTAAATAGGAAGAGGAGGACACAATATACCCAGGGTTATTATCAGACATCCAAACACGACGGGAAGCTCCGAGTCCTTTTCCCTCCTCCAGTATCACTGAGGATTGCGCAATTTTTCCATCACTGTCAGCCTGCTTTGGACCATTTTCGACAGATAAGACGTCCAAATATCAGCCTAAAGTAGCCTGTTCCGGACCTGAAAGGCTCCTTGGTTGAAGTCCCTGTCTCCTCTGCTCTCAAGAGACGGGTCTATAACAAAGTCAAGGCGTCTCGCCCGGTAGCACTAGGCATTGAGCCGCTCTGGTATTTTGATCGCTGTAAGTTGCATCGGTAACCAACCTATATGCCTTGCCCCTCTAACACTCAAGCACAATAGAGGGGCATGACTGTTTGATGCGTTTACTTGTAGCACTGTTCCCTCTGCGGACGGCTCCACCGTGATCCGTGCCGCAACTGCGCGCGCACGACAAGGCTGGCTTGGCAGGGGTAGCGAACATGTTGCAAATCAGGCTATGGAACATCCGAGTGTGGGGAGTCAAACCACAACGCTGGTGATGTCCTCCACCGTATCTCGTACGGGCTACTTTGCTGGTGTCTAAGGGATTGTGGAAATCGACAATGCTTAATTGAACTTCACTGTTGTCTGTCCCCGGGCTTCCTAGAGGAATACTTTGGTAGAAAGTTACAATTTCCATCGTCCTTCAAACTGCGCATGCTCTTCTTTTCATGCTGCTTGTTCTGGTTCTGGCTCCATCCTTGACTCAAGCTCCTCCTTTGCCTCCGCCAAAAATTTCAATCTCTGATTGATCAGCTCGTTTGGCCACCCTTGTTCTGCCACATCGTCCCCCCGTGAATCCAGAACGTTTTTGTACCGCTGGATCATCTTGTACTCCTTCTCGGCCTCGTAGACGTACATCAAGTACTTGTTGGGCTTGTGCTGTCTATCCGAGTCTCGCAACTTGCTCCATTTTGTCGAACAATAGGCCGCACGCAGCTCCGTATACTCGGACGGTTGCTTGTTGTCGTATATTGACGGAGCGCCAGGCCAAAGGTCGTGGATGTGGGAAAGGAAAGCCTCATATGTGAAGCGGTTAAAACGAAGCTGATCTGATTAGCAAAGACCCGTTGCGAAAGCACTTGGAAGTCCTCACGGTCTTGTGGAGCTCGAACAGATCGTTCGTCTCCCTTTCGAAATTCTCCAACTCTTTCCGGTTATCGATGCCCTTTTTCATACTGACAATGGTTGTGTAGATATGTTTCGTGCCGAGCACGACAAACGGGCACATTTCTTTCCACAACCGGAGCTCCATCTTCTTCGAAGTCCCCGTCTTCTTCTTTCTGTGGCCTTCTTCGGGCTTGTAATTGTAGCCTTCACTCCAGGCCTGACCACTGGCCAAAATCTCTTTTTGCTTATCCTCGATCTGATTGAAACGATCGAGTTTTTCATTGATGAATGCGGCAGTCTCCAGGATCGCAGGTGACTGGAGGCATTCTGGGATTGGAGGCAGAGCTCGAGGGTAGAAGGGATATGGCTGTGGTTCCATTCTGGACGGGTCGGGATCGGAAGACATCTTGGGGCACTTTGAAAAGGACAGTTGAATAACAGGAAAGCGAACGGTCTACCAAACGATGACACCTAGGTTGCCCTAGGGCCACGTGAAACCGACGAAGAAGACAAGAAAAGCAGAGGAAGAGTGACGATGGAGCGGTGGAAGCTGAAATACTCACTCCGATTTGTGTGTTGCCAAGGCTAATGGCTACATAGTACGGTGGCCTCCAGCACCGTTCCGATCTACCTCATTTCAAGTTTCATTGTTCAAGATGTCTTCCTCAATTGCAATGACGCCTGCGATTCACACCGTCATCGAGTCAATCGCTGTGATCATGCTCGGACGGCCTCCCAGAGACAACCAAGAAGCTATCGAAGTTGCCAGCAGCCGTTGGCAAAGAGCCAATTTGATGTGCACCCATGTGCCAGCAAGACTTGATGCAGATTGTCCACCCCATTCCCAGTGACTGTGTTTATATTGATGTTGTTTGATAGAGCTGGAGGACTTCCTTGCTGCCACTCCGTCCATGCCCAATGGGCAACTGGTCGTCCCCAAGGCGACCCAGCAACAACAACGGCACCAGCAATGGTGGCCCCCCCCTGCTGCAGCAAGGGCAGCAGCAAGGGCAGCAGCAGCAGCAGTAATGGCGACGGCGGAAGCCATTGCTGAAGAAGAAGCGGAGGAAATCAAGGAAGGCGACGACAACGACGAAGATGACGTTCCTGCCGCTGCCGCCACCAGTCCTCTTTTTCTCGTCGAATGTCTACACCCGCCAGAGACTTCGACTTCAATGACACCGCGTCAAATTTGGGCGGGGAGGACAGGCATCAATGGGTTGGTCGACCACGCCAAGATCCCAACGGTAAGCTTGTCCTCTCTGTTTCTCCTCCCATACTAACATGGTTGCAGAGCGGCCAAGAAAACAACATGGCGAGTCAATGCGCCAATTCAACGCCCGACGGGTTGAATATGCGGCCCAACACCCGGAAGACCGGTGGGCCCAAAACGAGGGGCGCCTGGCCCAGAGAAACCAGGAGAAAAGAGACAAGAAGGGGGAGGAGAGGAAGGAGACAAGGCCAAGAAGAAGGCCAAGAAGGAGGAAGAGAGAGCCTGGAGGGCTGAAAAAAATCAGGCCAGAATGAACAACTCGTCTTCATAGACAATCCGGCTGTGTCAGCTCTCCGTGTTACAATAGAACACAACCAGGCAAATTTTTCTTCAAAGTATGCTCTGCCCAAGTTCCCAAATTCCATGCCGTTGTTCAAGCGAATCCCAGATACGTGTCGAAGCAGGCTAGTGCCCGTCTCGCCGTGTCATTTCGGACCAACCACGCTGAGCCCACGCGGTTGTCAGCTCTGGTCAAACAGCAGCTTGCGCAGGCTGGCGCCCCCACCAAGCCCCCACCAAGCCCCCAGTTTGTCTCCAGCCACTCGAATTGTCCGCTGAGCGGTCTAGCAAGACCACGGACTCCTCGCCTGAAGGTCTCCAATGCTCTATTACTTGAGACTTACCACGTCTGCAGTCCTCAGAGAACCCTACCGATAACGCATCTTCCATCGTTCTGGTCGCGGTCCTCCCCTCAACCACATCCAGTAACGAGAAAGGCTGATTTTACGGAGGCGGCACGCCAGCTGAACAGCCATTCAAAAACTAAACGCATAAGGCCAGCCTCCACTGAGAAGAACGACTATCAGACGCGCAACTCGCGAATAGAACTCCTCCTCTGCTCACATCGATTGGCCCTCACATTATATCCCTGACTTCCCAAGCGACAAACCCGAGATGGGGTTTTGGAATCAGGGAATCCGCTCCCAGCGAAGCAATTCCCCCTCTCCCTCGCGCCGCTCCTACTACGCCTCCCGACCGTCGTACTCGCGCAGCGCCTCCTCCTTCTTCTCCGGCTTTGGCGTTGGCGGCGGCTCCTCATCGCGAGGGTATGGGCATTCCTCCCGCGCCCGACCCCGTTCGGGGTTTGTCAACCGCATACGGCGCTTTCTGCGCGAGATCTACCACTGGATGCGCCGCCACCCGATCCGGACCTTCGTGCTGGTCATCTTACCCTTGATCACGGGCGGCGCCCTCAGCAAACTCTTGGGGACGGTGGGCATTCGACTCCCCGCGGGACTGCAGAGGATGATGGGCGGAAGGGATATCAGCCAGACAACAGAGAGATTCTACGCCCGCGGAGGCGCGAGGGATTTCGGGGGTGGTAGTGCCTTGCCCGGCATGGGGGGCGGGATTGGGACCAGTATTGGTGCTCTAGCAGGTAAGATCCATATTTACTTCTTTGCGGCCGTCTCGAGGAACGGAATGATACTGATGAAGACCACCTGCAGGGATAGCGAAGATGTTCATCTAAATGATCCGGCCGAACTGGAAGCGATCTACAAGTCTTTTCTCCCGTCTGCTTTGAATGAGCGAGCAATGTTGCAACGTTTGAATGGCTGGCAGAGGGAGCCATCCAAAAGCACGTTAATGTCTTGAACAAGAAACGGATACGAAGAATGCATGAAAGAAGGACGACATATGACACAATATTCATCATTAAAAGCAGGAAGCCATGACATGAACCTGAGTCAACGATTCTTCCTCGTCGGTACCAGTGTGCTCGATGGTAGCAGAAACTATTAACACATGCAAACTCTGCGAAGACTGCCGTCTCCGATGCCTATGCCCCTTATCCTATCTTCCCTTTTTACTTTTCCCAGCCGTGCCTTTCCCATTACTCCGAACCCGTTGCGATGACGTCCCCACGACAGCGCTTCTTGTTTGAATGGCATATTCACCACCTGGCCTTTCCCTGACATCAACCACTTCCTCTTCTGGCACATAGTCGCTACCGTCATCGTCGTCTTGGTTGTCCGTATCAGACGGGGCCAGATAGTTGTAGACCTCCGGTCGCTCGTCCGGAAGGAACAGTTCGTCTTGTAAACGGCGATACTGTCCGACTTGTGGGACACCCGGCGGGCCGGACACAACGCGACGCTGCGGTGAGGCAAAGCGTGGATCGGCAGGATCGAACCGTGGCGCCCGCCCCACGCTCGTCTGATAAGGCAACTGATCCAGGGGAACGTTGACCAGACTGGAAGTTGAGCGAGCGCGGGGTTCCCAGTCAGGTTCGGACGGGTCAGGCCGGGGCAGGCGAGGGGAATTCGAGCCGTGCCTGTTGTAGAGAACGTCTGGATTGGACGAATAGCGATGCGAATAATAAGGATGTTGCTGATAAGGGGGCATGGCCTGCATTTGTTGTTGCCGCAGAGACTGATTGGAGCTCGTGCGAGAGCCTTGCCGTAGCGGTTCGGGCTGACGGGGACCTGTCACATAGTACCCTTGCGGATACGCCAACCTTCGATCGTAGTCCAGATCTGCCGGAGGCAATGCGTAGGCGGCCACGGCGTTGTCGGCACTCTCGCGCTGAGAATTGCTGGATGCAGAACTTCTCCCACGATTGCGGCTGTCTGCCGTCTTGCCTTTTGTGGGAGAGCCGCCAGAAGACTTGCCATTGCTCCTGCCCGACACCTTGCGGACCTCGACCGGCTTGCGCTTGACAACTGGGCCTTCTTTTTTGCTTTTTGGAGCGATCTGTGGTGCTGCTGCAGGGGTCTGGGGAGGAGTCTGGCTCCGGTCGAGCTCTAAGCGTTTTAAAGCATCAATTTCAGCTCGACTCAACTTGACGTTGGGCTTACCCAGAGCCCGGGCGCGCGCGATCCTCTCCAGAGCCCTCTGCACGAGCATGTCTTCTTTCTCCCTATAAGCCATCTGCATGTCTGGTCTTCGCACGAGCCCCGGATAAGAGTCATAATCGTCCTCGTCATCCGACGGAGTCAAATCATTGCCGAAAGAATCGCCCGAACGCCGCCGGCGGACCACTCCCCCGCCTAAATCTATGCCAGTAAAGTGAAGCTCATCTGAACGAAATCTTGATGGACCATAACCCTGATCGGGCTCGACACCGTGCGGCGAGTGATCGTCGTCGGTGTCAAGTTCCTCCACACGAACATCGTAGTCCCACGAGCGTTGTTGCTGTTGAAATTCCCAAAGTCTGTCCTTGTCCCGCCCCGCTCGTCCCCTTGGTGGTCTTCCCCCAGGGGGCATATCGTATGGAGTTCGCGGCCGACCACCTAGACCGCCTCCTCGGAAAAAGCATTCTCGATTGGTCTATCCATGAGTGAGGCATGACCCAGGATGGTCACACCGGTAGCTCCAATCAGCCATAAGAAAGTTGTAATAGGAGAAGAAATGAAAGCAACGGGGACAGCGATACAGGCCAGGGCGGTGTAGAGCTGGGAAGTTGTCGCTTTAAGGGTGCCAATCTCGAGATCACCTCCGCCCAGCTTGCCAATGGCCCACATGCCGCCGACAACTAGGATGATGTCGAAAAGGAGCCACAGGTTGGTAAGCAGGCTGTAAATGCTGAGCATGACAAACACCACAGCATAGTTGCTGGAGAAATAGCTGAGGTTGTAGTTGACTCTAGCTTGCACCTCCCCAAAATTGTTTGGCTTTGACAATCTCTTCAAGTCAAGAAACTCGGAAATGGGTCGGATGTTTGCAAAGCGCGACGCAATCGACTGCGACCGGACGCTGTTGAAACGATCGCTGAAGTTGAGGCGGGAAGTCAGGGCATCTATGGGGATGCTGATTCTAGCCATCTTGAGCTGCGAGTGAGGGCGTGTCGACTGAGAATAGATGAATGATTACCTTGTAAAAGTGTCAGTAAGGAAACGCGAATTGCCGGTCACACAGCGTCCAGCGTTGCTGACGTCCGGCTGTTGTAGCACTTACAAGAATATCCGAAGCGTGGGATCCAGGAACGTGTTTGGGAGCTGAAGTGCAAATGAGCGTGATGAATGAGAGTCGGGTGAAGAATAAGGAGGAAGAAAGGGATGCAGTGTCCAGGCAGAGAGTTTCCCTTGTTGCCTGTGGCCCCTTTGCGGAGATTTGGGATGGAATTCGACGGGTGAGTGAGTGGTTGGCGAAGATGGTAACTAGAGATTTTCGACGGGGAGGGCGCGGGAGATGGGCAAGGGGAAGAGGGGGCAAAAAGGGTAGGGCACAAAGGGGGGAGAGACCCGAGAAGGGGGGGGCCTCGGAGGGCGCAGGCAGGCTCCCTAGAGGCGCAGTCAGCACAACCCATCAAAAGCCACACCCACCACCCAGCTTTGAACACTGGCTGACCTGAAAGCTGACAGGGGCAATACCAGGGACTGCGTACCTAGCAGCTCAGCAACAACTTCTCATCTGCTTCCACTCCGGCTGTCTTCCTCGTCCAAGTCCTCGACCTGCCTCCCGCAGGCTCAAGGTCTCGTCACTGCCATCGCTTCTCACTCTGGCAGGCGAGGCGGTAGTAAGCGAGAAGGAAAAAGCGAGAAAAGAGGAGGCCACGTTCCGATATATACACTTTGGCAAACTCTACCTGGGCTGCGAGTCAAGCTACTGCACGTTCGCTGCGGCATCCTCCTCGGAACCTTCGTCAATTGGGCCCACGTATTTGGGCACCATTCCCGTCACAATCGAATTCCTTGCCTCACTTCCATCATTTCCCACTGACTGTGTGTGCCACCAGTGACTGTTGTCGTGGGGGAGAAGTGTGGGTGAAGATGATGCGACGAATCTTTTTCCTCCTGTTCTTGGTTGCCGTGTGTGTCGCGTGGTCGGCGGAAGACTACGAGCTGTTCAAGCTGCATGATGAGTTGGAAACACATGAAGGGCCTGGAGTCACTTTTTACGATGTCCTCGGCGTCTCACCTCATGCTACGGTCGACCAGATCAGCGCTGCCCTCAAGAAGAAATCCCGCACGCTGCATCCTGACAAAGTCAAGCACTCCTTTATAGCCTCACGGTCGACAGCGAGCCCGAAGAAGGGCAAGAAGAAGCCTGGGGTACACATTTCAAAAGGACCGTCGCAGCGGGAAATCTCCCGCGTTGTGAAAGATGCGCAGGAACGCTATAGCCGGCTCACTTTGATTGGGACAATTCTGAGAGGGCCCGGGAGGGAGAGATATGATTTCTTCGAAGGGCATGGCTGGCCATCCTGGCGCGGTACAGGATATTACTACCAAAGATATCGCCCTGGCCTGGGTACTGTTTTGCTGGGACTGTTTTTGATTGGCGGTGGAGCCGTCCACTACTTTGTCCTGACCATGAACTACAAAAGGCACCGAGATTTTATGGAGAGGTACATCAGATACGCAAAGAAACAAGCCTGGGGCGACGAGTCTGGCATCAGAGGCATTCCAGGTCTCGGTGATCCAGTGGATGTCGCTCCCGCGGTCGAGGAAGCTGAGCCGATGGCAAATCTGAACCGCCGGCAGCGGCGAGAGATGGAGCGACAAAATAAAAAGGAGAAGACGAGCAAACCTGCCCCCGCGCCCGCTCCCAAGGTGGTACCTTCCTCAACGCCGGACAGACGACGCGTGACTGCAGAGAATGGCAAGGTCCTGGTCGTTGACTCGGAAGGTAACGTGTACCTGGAAGAGGAGGATGAAGACGGAAACACTCAAGAATATCTCCTGGACCTGGATGAGATCCCCAAGCCGACAGTATGGGACACGGCTGTTCTGCGCCTCCCCGTCTGGCTCTACCGCAAAGCCGCCAGGCCTCTCATGAAGAACGCGCAGCCGGTTCCCGAAGACAAAAGGACTGCGCCAGAGAGCGAGGCACGCGAAGCACCGCTTGAACCCACAGAAAAAGTCATTGACTCGGATAACACCACACCGCTGGATATGAGCTCGAGTCAAATATCGGATTCTGGGTTTGAGATTGTCGACACAACGGGCCTCGAGAATTCCAACGGGACCAACGTCAAAAAACGTGGCAAGAAGGCGAGGAAGTGACATGTCTCTTGGGTGCACGCGGACATGAATAACGAGTTAGCGATGGTGCAGGGCTGATCCGGATAATAGACGAACATGAAATCTGTTAGCATCAAATATCATGTGCCGAGACAAACTGCGTTTGTAAGGTGTCTGCATTCCCTCTCCCAGTGTTGTGTTCGTCAAAAACACTAGTTTTCTCAACATTCCTAGCTGTAACTCACCAAGGTACATATAGACCGTCACAATCGACCACAGAGAGAGCAAGCATGGCTTCCCGTTCGCTCAGACATACTCAAGCCCTCTACCGGTCAGAGGCCGATTGGGAACACTAGGTGGTTGATTGTTTTTTAGATTTCAAATACTATATGTACCTGTAAACTCCTGTTCCGTCACTTTCCTTCCATGAGTACCAACCTGGCTACCTCGGCCCCGAGTATTCTTCGTCTGCTTATGACAAGTTCGGTAAGCATTTGCGAGCGTCAGGACTTGTATGACGCAGAGAAATCTCGTGGCACGAATCAAAGCCCTAGCGTGCTTTACGAGGGGATTCGCAGCCTTGTGTGCGACTTTGTATACCAATATTCTTCTCCTTTGCGCTTGACTTCGGTAGAATATAAGAATGAGGGAGAGGATGGCACGCACGAATTTTTCGACTATACGAAGGATTCCAAATCATCCAGAGACACAGTGGTCTTCACACCAACGCCAATTGCACACCTACAACATGATCCGCACAGTGCCATATCGGGCTTTCGCATAGGATTTTGTCGCCTCCCAGGGGTGTTGGTGTGTGTTAGCCGACGACAAGCGTTGCTTTTCGGCTGAGGACGGATAAGAGACCCGTTCAAAAATCCAACCCCCGCACAGGAATGCACAATTTAGGGCTATTCAGCGTTTCCCAATAATACGTCAGAGTATAGGCCGGAGCGTGGTCAAAGACACAGTCCGAACCGAGAACAACACGCCGTGGATTAGGAATGTTGATGGAGGATTCATAATCCCGACCGTCGGTGTATACTAATATCCGAGCAGTCGGGAGACCAGCACGCCTTCGAACGAAATCTCCCATGCTGAGCACCGGGGAAATAGCGCCAGGGTCCAAACACGACAGGGCTGCAACCTCGTACTTGAGTCGTACTCGTAGATAAAAACGCTCGAGGGCGCAAGGGCAGTTCAAATAAGGGTAAGTCGGAAGACGGATCGACATGCCAGGTGGCAAAAGAACCCTGATAGGGCCTTGTTCGGAGGGAGACGAACAGCCCAACCCCGGACCGGGCAGGCTTCGGGAGCGCCAAGGCCGCCCCTGACCTCGGAAGCATTGTTCGATCAATGCTCCTTGACAAGGCTCTCCTGCTTGATATAAGCCACATCGTTGCAAGTCCCACCAGGAGTCGCCTTCGATATCACCATCGCCCTGTCGGCGTGATCCGGATCCGCCCTTCCTGGGTTTCATGCATCCCCTTTTCGCCACCATGATCGCTCGTGCTTCAATGCGAGGTCAAGGTCGAGTGAGTTGCCCGAGATTCATGGGCCAACGTCAGCCCACACTTCGTGGACGTCCAGCGTCTATACTCGGACTTCCCTGCGCTATCTCGAATCCTCTAGAGGGTACGTGCGGTGGGTACTTGGTTGCCCGGAATTTTTACTTCTGCAAGATCCAGACGGGAGGGTCACCCGACAATGAGGAAGTTGTTCTGGCCAGCCTCCATATGACCGTCTATACCAAGTCCTGGATCCCACCCCATCTATGGACCCTTACCGAATCATCTCACAATGCTTACCTTAGCGCCGATGGAGCCTGGTCACTTGAGGCCCCATCGATCGCTTCTTTTTTTTCTCTTTCCTCGTTCCAGAATCTGTATAAAAATGGCACAGGAGGCGAACCCACCACCCGCGGTTTCCTACCTCTCTCGACCCATCTTCAATTGTACACGGTTGCCCTTTTCGCCTTTGCTGGAGCAACCACGGTATCTTCGCGTACACTTCCACTTTCCTAACATACGGCCGACGCCCGTTCCAAAAATTGGAGACTGGAGTGCGAGATATCCTGTGACTGACCTGACGTACCATCTACCCGTCCAAGTCTTGTTCCCAGCATTGCGAGGTAGGATATCATGACCCGATGACTAGACATTCTTTTTCTTTCATTCTTTTAAATTTTGGTTCTTCTCTCCTACAGAACCATCTCTTCCTATCCTTTCCTAAATGTCATCAAGTGGTGATCCTCCGCAGGAAGACACTTCTCGCGGCCGCGAGAGCAGAGATTCCAGCTCGCAGCGATCCTCCAATATCATCGAGTTTGTCGATAGCCAGAACCCAAATGTCAGAAGTGCCATTCAGCGGCACACCGCATATCACTCTGCCGCACAGCGTCGAGAGGCACGCTCGCGACTTCTCCGGCGATCCAGCCAGACTCGCTACTTTGAATGGACCAGACGTCCCAGGGGAGAGGCAGATGTTGCAACCTCTTCAGCCAGCAGTGCCAGTTCAGTGTCAATTTCGCCGGCACCGTCAACTATCGGAAGACCGGAAGTGCCCGGTCGTACCATCAGTGACGAACAAGAAACTGTGTCGTCGACAAGTGAGGCGGCCGCAGATTCCGCATCCGAAATGCTACAACCCGCATCTCAGATAGCCATCTCTACTGATGACTCTGTTCTGGAATTTTGTGAGTGCCTCTTGAAATCTCTGCACAGTCCGGAGCCAGCAAGGCTGGGCAGTGCATGTCTGGCTTGTCCGACACTAACTTCTTGTTCCACAGTCAGAGCCACATTCTGCGACCATTATCAATCAAGCGACGTGCTGGAATCAGCACTGGTATTTATGCTTGAGAACGAAGCTTCTCGACATCTGCTCATCGCCTACGCCTACGCAATGCGGAGATCGCGTGCAGTTGCCGAGGAAAATTCTCAAGACCAGGTGGAAGCGGAAAGAAATCTCAGTCGAGGTACTAACATTCTGTGGAATCGGCTCCAGATGCCCGGCCATGCCAGTTCCGACGCCAACATCCAGGCTGTCCTTTTGCTCGTGGCGTACACAGCTGACTTCGGGAACGCCAACGAGGTGCGTCTCCATGCAGACGCACTGAGGACGATGATCGAACAGCGTGGCGGCGTCGACGCATTCACCCACAATCCTGCATTGCATCATCAAATATGGGTGATAGAAACATCGCGACGGTTCCATTTGACCTTGGATTGCGAGTCGACCTGCCCGGATCCACCTCGCTTTCCTGACGGTCTTCGACTACGACGAAGAAGTGATGAAAGTTGAAGGAGTTCTAGAATGGGATTGTCTGTCAATATGGCCAAATACGAGGTATACACGATGTGGAACCCGGTGCAGTGGATCATTCAAGCGAAGTTTCCAAGAGTTTCCAGAATTTTGTTCTAGAACGATACCCCGATATGACGACTGACGATGCACGATGTACATAGGACTGTAAACTTTAGGTAAGACAGGCGAACGTACGTATCCAACAAGTTTCACAAACTTGGTCCCTGCAGCTTCTATCGCTGCTTCCCTTTCCGAGATGGGTCCATGCACAGGTCTAGAACTGCAGTGGTTCGGTTATTCGGAAGGAGTTAAGAGACACAGGTGTGCCAGGACTGAGTGCATTGAGAAGCGTATGGGTCTGCTTGCCACACCGTACCGCTGGTGGTCAGGTCTGAGATAAGACAGACCCTCCATCGGACAATTACACACTGCCTCGCGAGCTAGGTATATGAATGACAAATGCAAAAGAGACTGCCAGCCAGTGGCAAGAAAACGAGCACGTTCCACGCTCTGGTACAAAAGAATATTGATATTGAAGCGCCAGAGAGGAAAATTCCATTACGGTGGAGGGCAGGGGCGGACTATGCAGCGACTACGGCGGTGCAATCATTCCCTTGCTGCATCCAACCCGCCGCTGCCAACAACTTGAACCTGGAAATTCGTCAATTTTGCGTCTTCCCCACGACTGATCTCATTGACCATTTCACAGCTTGCGTCCTGCTACTGGTACCTATTCCGTCCACCATCCTGCGGCCACCTCTCTCCACAACCGGCACTCACAAAGCCAGCTTGTCCTTTCAAATCACACCGTCGGCGACCACGTAACTTTTCCACTGCGATTGGTCTGCGCCCCTGGTGTCGGTCGGCTTCGTCCCTTCTCTGCCTAATCCCCGCCCTGTTTAGGCCCGTCAAGCTCGACGTCGGCGCACCTCGCTCCCTCTCCTCTTACCGTGCGTTTAGCTTGCGACAACCATCAGTTAGGCTCTCTTGTGTATCTTCACCTATCCTACTGCCACTGTTGTAGTTGAGATATCCAGCCAAAATGTCGGGCGAGGCGTGGTTATACCTGCTCGCCGTTCTAATAAATGCCGTCAACCTCTTCTTGCAAGTCTTCTTCACCATCATGTACAGCGATCTCGAATGGTAAGCAACACTATTGAACGCCGACTTCTACAAGACATACCCCGCTAACCAGGCGGATTACTGCTCAGTGACTATATCAACCCGATTGACCTCTGCAACCGTCTCAACACCTACATTGTTCCCGAAGCAGCTGTTCATGCCTTCTTGACATTCCTCTTCCTCATTAACGGATACTGGTTGGCGCTACTGTTGAATCTACCGCTCCTGGCATTCAATGCAAAAAAGTGGGTGTCCATACCGACCCTCTCAGCATGCACTGCGGGCAGGGACTGATAAGATTGTGGTAGGATCATCGAGAACCAGCATCTACTTGACGCCACCGAAATCTTCCGAAAACTGAACGTTCATAAAAAGGTACGTTCACTCTCCAAACCATATCAGACATTTCCATACTGATGCAGAGTCCTTGACAATAGGAATCATTTATCAAACTCGGCTTCCACTTGATCATGTTTTTCTTCTATCTTTACAGCATGATTGTGGCTTTGATCAGGGATGAGTCCAACTGACTACGCGGCGAAATGTCACATGCGATGAAGCACGGCAGTTACTCCTGATGATGATCGTCTGCTGCGATGCAATCGGATTGCAACAGCCACAAACGGGTGCTTTGGGTAGTGGAGAAGAGGATGATCAAGTAGGAGGTCGCAACGGTCGACAACGAGCACAGGGCCAGTGGTGATATCCGTCGCACAAGGCTCACCGGTCTGGGTTGTTGACATTAGTCAAGCGCTAAGTGAGGGACCTACTAGTGGCTCAGTTAACACAGAAGAGGTGGTGCAAGCAGCGATGGCAGTCAGGGCGGCGAAGATCCTCACATGGTCAAGATTTTGAAGGACGCAATTTCCCAAAACTATGTGGTTGGTTTATCTGTCTGCTGCTCGACTTGTACGGCCGAGACATGAGATATGACGAGAAAGAAGAGTTCTGATATGTTTCAGCCAGTGGAGAAATTGTGCTAGAGCTATTTTCCACCGGCATTGCAAGCATGGTGCGACAACGTGCACCAGTCCTATTTTGCAGAAATGACAGAAAGACCATCTTTTCGTCCTGACTGTCCCGATTGGTCTTACTGCGTGCTGCAAGCCATGATAGTCTCACACTCCGGTGCACGTCTTAAACCGGCAGAAGTTCCAAACAGTCCAGTCAAGGCCTTAGAGAAGCATTCAGCCCATTTTCCTCGGCTCAGCACGCTGCTGTCGCGACACATGCATTGTATGCAGGTGGCCACCGGAGCTGTCGAGAAAGGCAGGTGTCCCGAGACATGTGCGTCTTGGCCGACGCCATTTTCCTGGTTCCGGAGTTTTTCCCGTGCCTAGGTAGAGACGACCTGACAACAAGATCGCTTTTGCTTCACTCTGATTCTACGGTTCGAAAAGGTCTTCGGTCAAGATGTCGGCCCTTTTAGGAGCAGCATATGATTCGAGTGACGATGAGAATACTCCTGTGGAGCGTCCTCCTCAGAGACAGTCCGCAGTGAACGCGGCGCCAGACGTATCAACAGAGGTTTGGTCTTCATCCGCAGACCAACGTGGTAGTCGATCTAACGCTGCGCAGGATGCGTCGCAAATGCAAGTCATGTTGGCGAACCCTTCGAGCAACGCACTCACCTATAATGTCACTTACGATAATCTCGCCCGTCCTGCCCAAGGACCATCAAATCCCTTCAAGTCTACGGCTGGCAATGTCCTGAAGCGCAAGAATGTGCTCACCGGAAATGCAGAGGAGACGTCCATGTCGGAAGCCGCCTTCAAGACGCAGCACAGGACATACCAGAGTCTTGGCTACACCAAGGATCCCTCGATCAACGGAGCCTTTGTGGGCAATCAGTCCGCGGTTGCAAAATATGGTGGCAAAGATGTCGTCCAGATGCGCTACTCCAAGGAAGAAAGTGCCGCGATCCGAGCCAAGAGGCAGAAAAAGGGAGACAGCAGGATAGTCGACGGCGAAGGCGCGTACCTTGGTCCCTGGGCCAAATATCAGAGCGACGATGTGTCGTACGAGCAAGCCGAAGCCGCGGCGGATCAAGAACTTGCGTCTGATGAGGAATGGGTGGAGGAGGGCATTGTTCCCACGCCATTGCCCGCGCCACCGAAGGAAGCTACCGGCTACGCGGACGACTTGAATGGTGCCGAGACGACCGAGTTCCACGGAGCTTCAGAATTCGATTACCAAGGACGGACATACATGCACATACCTCAGGATCTGGACATCGACCTGCGCAAAGAACCGGGCTCGATACAGAATTACGTGCCCAAGAAGCTTATCCACGTCTACAAGTACCACACGAAACCTATCACTTCGCTGCGATTCATTCCCAGATCCTCGCACCTGCTGTTGTCCGCCTCTGCAGACGCGAAACTCGCACTGTGGGATGCTCATCATGACCGGACGCTCCTCCGCACGTTTTCAGGCCACAATAAGGCAATTACAGACACCGATTTCCATCCCACAGGACGGTCATTCTTGTCGGCGTCGTATGACCGGCAGATGAAACTTTGGGATACCGAGACCGGAAAATGCATATCTCGGTTCACCACAGGCAAAACGCCACATACATTGCGTTTCCACCCAGAAGGTAACGAGTTCATCGCCGGCATGTCCGACAAGAAGATTGTGCAATTCGACACCCGCTCAGGCGAACTGACGCAGGAATACGACCACCATCTCGGCCCCATCAACACCCTCACATTTGTCGACGAGGGACGAAGGTTCATCTCCACTTCCGACGACAAATCCCTTCGTGCTTGGGAGTACGGCATTCCAGTACCCATCAAGTTCATTGCGGATCCCTCCATGTACGCACTGGTCCGCGCCGCACCGCACCCGTCTGGGAAATACGTCGCGTTCCAGTCTGCGGACAACCAGATCGTGGTGTACGCCGCGGGCGACAAGTTCCGCCAGAACCGCAAGAAGGGGTTCAGAGGGATGAACACCAGCGGCTATGCGATCGATGTGGCCATATCTCCGGACGGCGGAATCATTTCAAGCGGTGATTCGGGCGGGTTTGTGTGTTTCTGGGACTGGAAGACGGGAAAGATGTGGCACAAGATCCAAGCCGGAGGGGAAGGGCTAGGCGCAGTCACATGCGTGGCCTGGCATCAGCAGGAGAGTAGCAAAGTCGCGACCGGCGGACTGGACGGAATGATCAGATACTGGGATTGAAAGACCCGGGCAGTCCAGGCGAGCAAATACCTCACCCGGTTAATCGAGACGCCAATCAGGCAGGGCATAGCTCGGATATCATATCCTTCACTGGGCGGTGTGGATGAAGCGGTCCTTGAAGATGTCTGCCATACAAAAGACTGGCCACACTTCCCATTTTGCGTCACGAGGACGCCCGGGTCATTCCACGGAATACCAATTCTTGAGCCTTCGAGAGCCATCGCTAAAAGCCATGCTCAGAGGTCCTCCCTCGAGTCACGCCTGCTGCGGCGCATCCACCACGTACAGTCGGGCTTCTAGTTCGCCTGCCGATTTGATGGGCAGCACTCACGAGGTCGGGACTGGCTTCTTGCGAGGACTGGCAAACAGGACAATACAGTACGAATGACTTGTCGGGCCGCGCTTCATGTCTGCAGGGCGTACGCGAAGAGACACAGTGCCGAAATGGCGTCCTCGAGGAAGAGAGCCAGCAGGAAAGAGCGGGTGGTCTCCGCGGAAAGCGGAAACCCTAGAAGGAGAATCGAGACGGGTGCCAGATACGTAGTCGAACAAATGACTTTATGCAGACGGTCTTACAATGACCTGATGTTTTTGCCGCTCCGTATATTCATACAAGCCAGTCGCACACCGACAAATGCTCTCCTTATCTCCTCAAAGCATCCAATACACTCGATCCCCCCGACGTCGCATACGGCGATCTGCTGCCAGTCGACCAATAGTCACTCCATTCACTGCCGGTCTCGTACAAGGCGTGCTGACTTTCCACCTTTTGCCAATCGATGCGATCCCACCATGCCCCCAGATACCACTTTTTCCCCAGCAGTCCGTAGTCTCTCAGCCACTGGTGTTCCCACACGTTGACGCACAAGATGGGTTGCATGTCCAAAGCACCCGCGTAGAGGCTTGCGCGTGAAGAGCTGAAATCGCCAAACGAGCCCGCCGTCGAGTTCCCCGTGGAGATATTCCGCTCTTCCAGGCTCGGCAAACCCAGCCCACCGCGACCGGAGAGTTGATCGGAGAGGGTGCGGCCGTCAAAGGTCGCCATGTCCTTGTCGTCTCGTCGCGGAGCCGCGTCGGGATAGGGAGAGCCGGCATTGTAGGTGGCCAGGATGCGCATGTCGCCCACGTTCTTCCCCTTCATGAGCCACACGAATCCGTTCCCGAACATGGCGTCGGCGGTCTCGAGCATCTCTTCTCTGAGATTCTCCACGCTGCCGAAGCTGGCCTCAATGCTCCTCATGGTGTTGAGCCCCGGTTTGTGAATTGCCGGGTCTTCGTTTTCCGTGAGGTATTCCCAAAAGAACCGCGTGAACTCGACCATGGCGGCGAGGTTGTAGAGGTGCGCCCGGTCCGCGCGGTGGGCGCATTTGGCGTGCAGATCGTAGGTCGAGAGGGACTCATCCGCAGTGCCCAATACGAGCTCGTTGAGGCGGTCGCAGAGGTGCTGGGTGTATTTCACGTAGGTTTCTTGGTAGGTTTCTGCACTGAGGAAGCTGGGGACGCCGTGGCGGGAGAAGAACTCTTGTTTGCTCTGGTTGGCCCATACGGGGAGGGTGTGTTTTCTGCGGACCTGTCGTTTGAGGAACCACGAAGGCTGCGACAACGGCGAGGACGGGTTCGTCAGTTCGAAGGCACATTGAAAGTTTGCTTTTGGGGGGATTTCATCACATCTGTACTCACTGTGGCATTTGCTTGCTTGACAAAGGCTCGCAGTAGTGACTGCGGCCTTGCTGGAGGTCTTGTGATCATCACTGGGGAGAATGGAGCGACGCAGTCTCTGTGCCCGAGAAGATGGAAATGGATTGACAGGCCAACAGACCCATTGCTCCAAATTTCTCGAAGACGAACAGAACGCAGTTGCCGAAAAGGGACTAGTGGATCTGTCAAGGCTCTAACCAATCACAGAGCTCTATCTTGTTGCTGAGCCTCATTCTTGAAACTCGTTCTGCCACCTCCATCTTTCCCACGCAACCTCGCACCGCGTTTTGACCTTGGTTCTCAAGCCTCTACAGCCTATCGTTTCAGCTTCTGCGGGTTTTTTCCACGCACCATGGCGCCCTACCTTGCAGCATCAGGTTGCGTGTCATTTGGCAAAGCGGCAAGCCACTGGCTGTCGGCGGAGCATTTCTCGATCTCACCACATCGACTCTGCATATTCATAGCTACCATGAGCACCATGGCTACCCAAGGCACCAAGGTGCACGGCTGTCTTCTGGCACGCAGCAAGACACGCGACCAAGTCCTGGTGGCGGTGGACTGGATCACCTCTTTTGTTCTATAATGAGTCTTTCCCTTTGTCAGTTGGGTCAATGGTGAGTACCTCTTTTCTCTTTGTCAAACGTTGGCCGATGACTGCTTTGAGAGCCTTTATTTCCTTCCTCTTCGTTTGCAAGACCTATTCTTGGATCCAACAGAGTGACAATACTGTCCTGGTGACCTTTTGTCTTTATACCCTGTAACCGTTTGGTCAAGATTCCTCTCTATCTGTTTACTGCTTAATCTTGCCTTTTCTACGGCGAACCCTGTATATCACTTTTCAGCCATGAAATATCATACGCGCGCTTGTACACTACGCACCTTCTTGGTGACATCGGCTTTCTTCTGCACCTCGTCTGCTTTTCAAATCGTGCCTACTCCAGCGCTTTTCCGGAGAGACGACTCATGTTCGGCGGTCGACCCCAAGCTACCCAACAGTTTCTCATGTGCTTCAGGGAACAACTGCATTTCTCTTGACAACTCGTCGTCGGCACTCTGTTGCCCGGAGTCCAGTTCATGCGACAACATTCAGACAATATCCTGCGACATATCGTCTCAAAATGCCACTGCGAATCCGACGGCAGGAATCTTCACAACGAGGCTTGGGGACAAGTTGCCACAGTGCGGAGATAGCTGCTGTCCGTTCGGATATTCCTGCATGCAACAGTCTTCGGGGCCTTCCATTTGCAGCATTATCCAGAGCACGAGCATAGTAGGAAAAACGGACGGGTCTTCTGGTAATTTACCCAGTTCTTCCTCGACAAGCTCTTCGGCCACAAAATCGGCGACTTCGAGCCCCTCAACGACCAAGTCGACATCGACTTCAAGCCCAAGCAGTGGTAGTGTATCAGCAGCCCAGGTCGAACCTCAATGCAACAAATTTCCCATCGGGGTTTTCCTTGCCGGGTTCTTTCCTGGCATGTTTGTCGGCGCCTTCCTGATGCTGGCGTGGGTCATCTGCAGTGGACGACATCGTAAACCAAATTCCCGGGACTCTTCTGGCTCGTCAATCTACAAACCAACCATCTCAGACCCCATTCCATTAGATGCCTCTGGCGGAAGGACGGATTTCCTCCGCAAAACCACCGATCGAGCAAAGTCCATGTTTTCTGCAAAGAGCAATCGGAACAGCCAACAATCCGCTCCTAGTCACTGGAAGATGCCTACACCACCGGTACCCAACAATATCCCCGTCGTCCCAGCAGGCATACCTGTCACGCCAGAGCGGAGGCTCGCCCATGAACCCAGCATGGAAAGCATCAAAGTTTACACTCCACCAGCTGGGTCAGTCCAACACCCCAATCCCGCGGCGATTGCTCCACTGAGAGGCATGGCAGCGCAACGATTCCCGCTGACGACCAAAAACAACATGGGCAGTCCGTTCCAATCCCCTCCAAACAACGGCAGCAACGGCCCTAACACAGCGAATAGGATGAGCAGTACTTTGAGGAATGAGCGGGGTGTCAGCGTCTTCTCTGGCGAGTCCGAGCTCTCAGCCGGTGAGGATGGGCCTACACTGACGCCAGCACGATACAATGGTGGTTTCAACCCTGCACAACGCATGCGGTCCGAGAGCAGAGACGAAATCAGCAGACCAAACACCACTTTTACCGAGATGTTGCATGAAGCCGGATTCCCTGATCCGATGCAACCCCCAGACCAACGTACACCGGCTGTGCCGAAGATACCAGAGGGCTACGCAGGGAGGAGTTATCGGGTGTGAATAATCATTTGACGAGTCTCATTCGTTTGTCAAGAGTGTCTGGACAAGAGGAATTGATGGAGCCAGCAAGCGGTTGGATGATGGACTTTTTTCCCTATGAATAAATGACAGCTCATGGAATGTGGATTGAAAATAGTGTCAGCTAGCACAACACTCTCGCTGCTCTGACTTAATGGGTCGGAGGTTAATATGATTAATTCGCGACGCAATAATCGTGCTGGATACGGTGCTTCGTAATGTGGACATAAGGACCTGGATTTTCACCTTGAAGCGACGCTGTATCCTCCTTCCACCTAGACTGGAGGTAATCAGACTTGCAGAAAGAGCGATACCAGAGGCAAGAAGGTGCATGTATTTGGTTGCATCGCCCCAGCTTTCCACCTCAGCCTTGCTACTGCCCACTACTGCCAGCCTCGTTTTCTCCGCACGCCAACTTGGAAGACCAACGAAATATTTCGAAAACCGCACCGAACCACAACCACCATCACCACAAAACCTAGCGCCTCAAATCCTCCCGGTCTCTTTGGTCCCAGTGTTATCTGCAGACATGGCCGAACGCACACCCTCCCCAACACCCTCCGAACGGGCCCGCAAGGACGCCGAAGACCGGCAGCGCGAGGAAGAGGAGCAGGCGAAACTGCCGTACAAATGGACGCAGACGCTCGAAGAGGCCGAGGTCAGCGTGCCCATAGCGGGGAACCTCAAGGCGAGGGATTTGGTCGTCGAACTGAAGAAAAGCCATATCAAGGTCGCGGTCAAGGGGCAGGAGCCCATCATTGATGTATGCTGTTTTCGCTTCCCCCCTTCTGCTTCTGCAGTTTGCTCTTTTTAAAAAAAAAAGGCCGCTACATAACGCACGCGGGCGTTTCTGCTACTTGTTTGGGGAAACTAACATGTCAAACTGCGGCAGGGCGACTTCCCCCACCCGATACAAACGGACGACTCGACGTGGGTCCTGTCCACCAAGACGGACGGGGGCAAGGAGATCCTTATTACCCTCGCCAAAGCCCGCGGCTCCTACTGGTGGGCGCACATTGTCACCTCAGCACCGAAAATCGACACCACAAAGATCGTGCCGGAGAACTCCAAACTGAGCGAACTCGACGGTGAGACGAGGGGGATGGTCGAAAAGTAGGTCAACGCCGTATATCCCTGCTCTGTTTTATCCGGAAGACCAGATTCACTAACGCAACCGTGGCTCGCCCAAACTAGGATGATGTATGATCAGAACCAGAAAGCCATGGGCAAACCAACGAGCGACGACCAGAAGAAGGAGGACCTCCTGAAGAAGTTCATGAAGGACCATCCGGAAATGGACTTTTCGAATGCCAAGATCGGATGAGATGCGAGAAGGGGCGAGAAAAAGTGAATGGAACAGAACAGGCCGATGGAGCGGACCTTGGGATGCCCCTGTGGACAGTTGCCCCAGGATCCTGTTCCCCGTGTACGAATTGAATGACGGAGCATAAAATTCACGATTCACGAGGGGGAAAAAATAACGGGAGGGAAGGTACAGCATCGTCAGGAGTTTAGAGAGTTGGAGTGTCAATGGCGTCAGCAGCATTCTTCGGACCAGAGGACTTTGAATCAATCAAGCTTGTAACCGTCAAGAACATGCCATGCAGCCCCAGCTCCAGAAGACGTCGTCGCAGCGAGGGAGTGTTGCTCGTCATGGTTTCTTGTCTCAACCGCCCGCCCGACTGTGCCCGTGAATTACAGCTCATCCCGCTTCTTGCTTGTCCCTCCAGCCTGTCTCAACCGCCACATCTGGATTCCATGTCTGGGCACCTCCGCCTGCAACGTCCCCCCGCCTTGGACGGTCCCAGCCGGCGTGCCAATCAAAAGGGGATTACTCTGATTCAGGCCTGTTGCCCAAGTTGTCTCGCTGGCATTATAATATCCCGTCGCGTTTCCCACCGCCAGTGTGCCGTTCAGGACCTGGGCCGCCACCTCGGTGCTCATGACCGTCTGATTGCCCCAGACGTCGAACAGATCCCAACTCTGTTGAGCATTTGTGTTTGTGCGGAGGCCGCCAAAGACATCGACGAGGCTGTAGGACATTGTGCGGGAGTTGTTGCCCGCGTTGAGAAAGGCGACCACCTGATCGCCATTGCTGAGGCTTCCCTGCCACACTTGAACCTCTCCGAATCCCCAAGCGTCCTTATCGTTCACCTGTTGTCTGACCGTCCTGGAAACGGCACTGACACTGGGATCCTGCGATATGGCCAGCACTGCGGGGTTGACGAGGATCGCATAATCGTCTGGAGAAAGCTGGTCGAGTTTATTCCCCATGATCAACGGAGACTTGATGGCGGCCCACATGCTAAAGTGGACTTTATATTCGTCATATGACATGCCGCCGTTTCCTACCTCGAGCATATCGAGGTCGTTGTAGTACCCCGCTTGGTTTTTGCTGCGAATAGAGCTGGCCTTGCCGAGGATGTTCATGACCGAACAGCCATAGCCAGGGAGTTGGCAGTAGTATTCGTCGGGGCCACAGGGGCACGATGTCGTAGGCATGGAAAAGCTGTCCTGGATGTCGCCGGAGATGCGGGCACTATTGGCTATGGTGGACGCCCACTCCCTATCATAAAGGAATGTGTCGTGGTGAGTCTGGGATCCCGAAAATCAGCTCCTTCACGGTGAAGGACTTACCAAGGTTTGTCGTCTCCCCAGTTACAAAGCGAATACACAAAATTCCGGCCTGTACTGTTCAGAGCGTTCGACATGGCGGCATATCGATCTTGGCTCAGCTTTGGCGTGCCCGAAAGACCTTCGTTGTAGCAATTGTCGTATTTCAGATAATCTGCACCCATACTTGCCCACCATGTCGCGTCTTGAGTCTCATATCCTAGGCTTCCGGGGTATCCTCCGCAGGCTGTCGAGTTGAAGGGGAATCTGGTTAGTGTCGGAATAAATCTGAAGGAGTATGGGGGACAGACTGTATTTGCCTGCACTACTGTATACGCCAAAGTACAGGCCATATCCGTGGAGTTGATTTGCTATGCTCTGGAGGCCGGAAGGGAATTTGGCCGCATTTCCGATCAAGGTCCCGTTGGCACTGCGATTGAGCTCCGTCATGGCATCGTCGAAGATGACGACGCGGTAGCCAAGATCACGGAAACCGAGGGAAACCAGCCGCTCGGCATTGGTGAGGATCGTGGATTCGTTGTATGCAAGGCCATAGGCATTGTATGTGTCCTGTTATGACCCAGTCACCTCGTGCGTTCACGTGAAGACAGCCGGCGATCAGGGGGTTGGGTGGGATGAGATGGCAAGGCTGTGTGCCGCTGGTGCCGACGGGCATCTTACCCAGCCCATTTGAGGCGTTTGAGCAAGGCCGTTGTAGCTGAGGCTTGCCGCCTTGACAGTCTCAAGCAGCAGCGCAAGAAACAGCCAGGCGTAAATTCTGGTCAGCGATCCAACATTGGAAGTCATTTTGGTTCCCGAAGTGATAGCAAGTCATGGAAAGCGCGAACGCGATATGATGGAAGCAGTCGAAAGTAGGGAAGGCGGGACCGGGAGGTGTCCCTATAACGATTCATAGTATTCTGCATGTGCACCGGTGGATATGTTACATTTGCCAACTCGAACTGTCGGCTATTGAACTCGCAGAGTCTCATTGCATGTTGGATCAACAGAGGCTTTCCCCGCATTGTTTGTCCAGGAGTCCGTGGTTGAAAGGCTAAAAGAGGCGATCCCATTACTCATGACGCCACAGCGCATCTCTGGCTGTGCCTTGCAGATCCATTTCCAGCAAGTAAGCGGAGGTTTGTTCGCTCGTTCGCTCTGCGTTGATGCGGACGTATTCTGGACTCGGGACAATATATGCCGGTCAAGAGATCTGCAAATCCATCTCTCAGTCGGGGTCAAGAATATGCCTGGCCCAACTCAGGACGACGCCTTGTTGTGGAAAAGACAGCGTCCACGTCGCTGGTCTCAGGTTGGTCTCTTGAACCCCATCATGGCCAAATTGATATCAGGCGGATGCGGCCTTTGTCGAGGTTTTGATGGGTCCATCCCAAGAGTGTCTCCATCGCTGCCGACGTCACCCTCCTCGTAGATACTGGTGGGTTCATCGGTGCTGAAAAAGCCGTCCCATAGTCCCTTTTTGCACACGAGAGCCCCAACCAAAACAAGGGGAAGTTGCCAGACGCTGGCCCAGAACAGTCCTCTGGCGCTTCCTCCGGCTCCTTGCTGTTTCCAGAAGCGGATCGCCTCTCGACTCATCCAGACATTGCATGCCGTGCTGATGACGAGGAAGCCTTTGTCGACATATCCCGTAAAATAGAGAAGCCCGCATATAGGGAACATAGCCAAAGAGTACCGCAGAGCAACACGTGCGTTTCGAGCAGGATTCATCCAGGCCAACATTTTGTGGCCGGCATTTCGATAGTCTTCTCGAATGGTGTGCGACAGGGACATGAAATGAGGAAACTGCCAGGCAAATAATAGAGCTGCCAGGGCCCAGCCTCCTATCGAGTTCTCGGAAAAGAGCAGATCCTGCCATGAGTGGTGCTCGGAGGTGGCAGCCTCGCCTGCAGCTGCGCACCAGCCCATCAAAGGGGGTATTCCGCCCACAATCGCGCCGACCCACGTGTTTGCCGCCGAGATTCGCTTCATTGGCGTGTAGACCCCAGCGTAAAGAAAGATATTAAGAGCCGACAGTCCCGCCACCGTTGGGTTGGTCCCCAGGCCGAGGAGAAGCAGGCCAGACGCACCGCAGACCAAGGCAAACAAGGCGGCAGCCCGCGGAGAGACCAGCTTTCTTACAAGAGGCCGATTTCGCGTTCGGGACATGAGAGCGTCATATTTTGGCTCAAAAAGCATATTGAGGGTGTTGGCACAGGCGCATGACAAGAAGGTGCCTGATGTGAGGAATAGTAACGTCAGAGTTGATGTGGAAAGCGATGAAGTTACCGACGAGGACGTAGAGGATAGGATTTCCGGAAGCGGATATAGACTGTAAGCCGAAGTGGTCGAGAGGAGGATCAGGAAAGATAGTCGCGGTTTGGTCAACGAGAGGAACGTGGCCAGCTTCCGTCGGAAGACAGCTGATTTAGGCATCGCGGTCGCAGCAGTCGTCAACTGGGACGAAGCGTCCAAAGGAAGGGATTCCTCTGATGTGTCCGGGTTGCTCTTTCGTCTCTTCCGTCTTCTGTGTGGCAACACATCTGCCTCTGATTCACCACTTTCAACAGCTTTGCTGACTTCCAGCCCATTGTCGGGGCCCTGGCTCCCTTGATTCAGGGGCTCCTCTTTGAAGGATAACGCCTTTTCTAGTTCTCCTTGTGCTCGCGTCCGTGTGACTTCGCCAGGCACATCATTTTCCCTTCGTCCTGTTGGTTCCGCAACTGTGCGGACCGCAGCTAGCATCCCACTCTTAATCCATCCTCTCTCAATTGAGGTGTTGGCTGAGAAATAGTCGTTCACAAAGCTCTGCGAATGAGGGATTGTGCTTCTAGGGACCTTTTCGATGGGAAATATGCCACTGTGGAGCTTCCTATTTGCGTGCAGGCCAGATCTCAAAGTGCTGTGCGGCCGCGACGATTGGCGAAGACATTGTGTGAAACACGCCGAGCAGACACGAGAGCCAGATCCGGACAATCGGCCTGCTGCCGGAGCAGCAGCCATAACGGCGGTGATCTAAGCTGGCGGAAATCGTAGAGTGGTCATTGAACAACACGGTGGTGTGAAGAGTGAAGATCGAACGAGATGCAACTTGGGCTTGAGTTTCGGAGGAGCTGCGGCGTCTCGACTTGGAGTGCGGAGTTCAAGTTTGAATCTGTCCCTCTATCAACTGGCCACTTGAATCAACAACATTACTACAACGTCCAAACTCGACGTTATGGCTGAGCTCACGACAGACCAGGTCAGATCTCTGGATCAAACACGTCAAAGACTTCTGGCTCTCCACAAGTCATTGGTTGCTTTGGGATCAGAGCTCGTGACCCAAAATCCCCTTCCTTCCTGGTAGGGACACTTCCTTGACACGACGCAGCCGCATACAACTGACCACGTCGGACAGGCCTGCTCTTCAACTACATGCAAACCTTGTCTCTAACAACCTGCAAACCATTGTCTCTCAGCTAGCTGAGCACCGGGACACTTACCAATCCACCGTTGCCTTTCCCACACCCAAATTCCCTGGTACCCAACGAGCCTTCATTCTCGAGACCCTCCTTCGAACAAAGCTAGAACCCAACGTAGAAGACTGGGTCGAGGAAGGCGAGAACATCAATGCACAAAAGCACAAGGCCACTTTTCGGGGGTTGTCGGACGATGACCGCAACGCTCTTTGGCAGTGGGCGCCTGGGGCAGCAAATGGTGCCGCTCGGAAGCAGAAATGGGGTGCAGACTTTACTCTAGAGGAGAAGCAGAAAGGCGTAGAGAACGTGGCCACAGGCCTACGAAGGCACCTAGTCGAACCTCCTGATGACGAGGGGGAGGAAGGGCCTGAAGAGGAGGAAGACGAGTACGAGATCAGCGACGAGGAGGATGAAGGCGAGGATATGGACAAAATGGACATTGAGAAACAACCTCCAAAGACTGAGGCCAGCTCAGCTTCTACAGAAACGAGATCCGCCTTGCCAACCGCTGGCCAGATGGATCTGGGAGCTCTCCACAAATTCATGACCACTGGACGTTGACCGCCTCTCAGAAACGACGAGACTATTCCAGGTACTCTACAATTCAGGACACAAGGTTCGTCCAACTGGGAAACCCGACTTTGCGTCCCACCCCAGGCTCTCCCTGCCCGTCCGCAGTTATGGTCGAATCGTGCATCCAAAGGAAATTCACCCACTCACTGTCATCCATTCCGAGAAGCATCTCTCTGTGTACTCGCCATTCCACCGTCACATTGACGCTCAACAAGGACGATTTGAGGGCCTGCTCAAACTGACTTCTCTCGGTTGCAGTGACTTGCGTTGCAACAGAGACGCTGGACTCAATGACAATGGTCAATGTCCGAAGAGATTTGAGGAAAGCCAGGCCTTCGGTTACCCATGTGGCTGCACACACGAACACCGTTGAAGGACGATCTTGAGGAAAAGGAGCAACTGTCAGAATGTGCAGCAACCCCACCATCGAGTCCGCCTGTGCCAACAGCAAATCTCGTGTGGTGATATGGACGGTCAATTTTGTCAAGCTGCTGTCGCCGGACGGATTCTCTGAGTATTCTCCGGATTTTTGACCGACTTCTCCTTTCTCATCCCAGCTGATTTCGACGTCTGCGCCGCCACCTCTTTCCCCCAAACCGCTGTCACCTCCTGTCTCCGTGACGCCGGCCAGTGACCTGAGAATTGACCTCAAGGACCATGCTTCCGTCACACTCGCAAGCAAGTGCACTTCCAGCTTTCGGATTGCTCGTCGCTGGACTGGCATCAGAGCGTCTAAGAATCGCTTTGTCGCCGAGGTATTTGATCCCATGGTTGCTGGGCAGTTGACACGATTGACTTGCAGAGGCATCATGCGTGTTTCCCGGTAAAGTTGACGGCAGAGGAGAAGAGGCTGCACAACATTGTTGCTTGCGGCGTCGGTACTCGACCCGGGACCAGAGAGCTTGTATTGGTCTCCCACCATACCGAGAAGTCTCGATGGAGAGCATACTTGTCGGGGTGGGAAGATCTCAGACGACGGGACCATGAAGACGTATTGGAAAACCCTTTGCCTGAGCTCGTACGGGAGACTGAGTAGCGGCGATAATGACAACGCTGTGGCTGCCATGGGAGCAGTGTTGTCCTCCTTCGTTTGACATTGCTGCTCACGATGTGCTTGCTCTTCCCCTCTGCGAGCTGGCGGCTGTTCTTGAAAATCCGCAGGGACAGAAGCATCGTCTGAATCAGGAAACATCTCGTTGGGCTGGAGGCTTTGGTCAATGCCACCCTTTGTTGCCCTTCGATGTCTTCTGAGTTGTTGTGCTTTAAGGCCGAAGAGATGGAAAGACAATTGGACTATGAGTGCGAGCTAAAGACGGGATTCACAGCGAGATAGAATGGACGACTGTGTCGCAGCTTGTTGCCTGTGATTTGGCAGCAAACGCAAATACCCGACAAGCACGTCGCGAGATATTACCACGGAGGAGTGAGTAAGAGTGGCAAGACTCGGCACACCGCATCCTTTATTTACCCTGACGGCAGCACAATCCGATCTCGGTTACAAGGAGTGCATCGGCTGCAATGTGTTTGTGGGCCGAATCATCGAGAGACTTGTACCATAAATTCACCTCGGTGACAGTGCGGCTTCCTCCACGATTGTATGGCATACACTCAGCGCCGTATCCTACGGTATGGGGATTACATATGCGGCAGTGGAGGACAAACTGGAGCACCTAGTCATGAACAAGCGAAAGCCTAGACAGTACACAGTTTGGCTGATCTTGACGGAGACGGGCGGAGGTGGATGTGTATAGCTTGTAAAGGCAGGTGGAGAGGGAGTGAGATGTGGCTAGGAACGAGGCTGTGTGGATGAGGGCATTTAGGGTTGTCTATCCTGTACGAGGTACAGTATATGGAGTATAATATTATTTGTATTGTAATCCATTAGTTGCCTACGATGCTGATTTGCCGCCCCTATTTAGATTCAACCTGGTGCGAGCCAGCAGCAGCCCACGAGCCTCACATCAGCTTACTTGTTACGGTAGCAGTCCCGGCAGTAATTAGGTATATCATTTGACATCTGAAAGATGAGCCTTTTCCACGGGGCCACATGTGTTTTACATAAACAAGCCAAAGGGCGTGATGATGTCCTCCCTTCCATATGAATATGGAATGAGTACTGGAATTGGACAAGGAAACAATATGCGAGGTGACTCGGTGACTCGGACATGCCCCCGCCCTTCTCCCTTTCCCCTTCCTTGACAAAGTCGCGGGAGTAACAACTATAATATCCTGGTATGGATATGTACCACGACAGGGCTATGGCATATGCGTTGGGCTCTTTCTCTAGGTACGTATGTACCTTAGCATTCACCCTCGCACTTTTGGGGTCAAATGCGCGGAAAACCCTCCCTCTTCATATTCCGTAATCCTGGCACGATTGCACCCGGTGGCGCATCTTTCCGTACCACCTCTCCTAGACGCGGAGAAAGGTACTGTATCTGGGGAAAAACAAGAGACTGTGAAATATGGCAAGATACAACGGGAGAACGATATACTGGGGGTGACGATATTTTTTGTCTCTTTCTTTTCTATCCATTACAAAACGTCCCTGCAGATGAGGAGACGACATTCGGCGCTTACAATGGCGCTATATAAACTGCAGTATACTGTCTCGCTTTGCTCAACAGACAGGATCACAGCATCGCCTTGGGCATCTGCTTGATGGCCTGCCTAACGCCGAGATCGGCGAGGACCTCCTCTGCGCCGCCCAGGATGGCGTCGAACTTGTACGTGCGGTGGAACTGCTCGACAAACCTGCCCATGCCCGTCTGCGTGATGCCTCTCCCACCAAAGATGTTGACGGCGTCGTCGGCGACGTCGTGCGCGCACCGCGTCGCGTAGCTCTTCAACAACCCGATCGGTCCGCCCAGTAGCTTGGATTGTTGGGAGTAGTCCATCTGGTTCATCTGGTAGGTGATGGTCTCGAGCCAGGACTGGCACGCTTCGGTCAAGGAAATCATCTTGGCCAGCTTTTGCCGGATCACGGGCTGGGAGACGAGCGGTTTCCCAAAGACGATCCGCTGGTTCGTCCACTTCAGACACTCTTCCGTGATGGTGCGCATCCACCGGATCACCGAGCAGGCCATGGCCCAGCGCTCGTGGTTGAAGTTGCTCATAATCACAATAAAGCCGTTGTCCTCTTTGCCTAGAAGATGGTTCACCGGCACTTTGACGTTGTCGAATTGGATGAATGTGGTGGCCGCCGCCGTCGAGTAGGATGTCTTGATGCGTTTGGTCTCGACGTTGTCGTCGCGTGGTACCAGAATCACACTGAATCCCTTTTCGGTTTTACATCCCGTAACAAAGTAGTCGGAGAACATGCCGTTGGTGATCCATTTCTGCAACCACGTTAGCCGACTCAAGCCCATATGGAGTGTGTTTCTGCAGTTTTACCTTTGTCCCGTTGATTCTGGTACAGCAACTGTCAGTATGGGGACGTTGCGCAACACGCACGCACGAGCGGGAAACTCACATGTAATATTTGCCGTCTTCGGTCTTGGTGGCAGTCGTCCTGATCCCTGCAACATCACTGCCCGCAAACGCCTCGGTGATGGCAAGACACATGAACTTCTTCCCGCTCAAACACTCCTCTGTCACTTTATCCTTCAACGCAGAGTCATTTGCCCACTGCCTCACGGCTGTCAGTGAGATCATCATGCCTGCCATGTTTCCGTCCTGGAAGCCTCTTGCCATGCCGCGAGAGAGCTCCTGGGCGACGATCAAGTCGTGGAAATAGTCAAAATCCTCGCCCTTCACGCCACCAAGCAGTTTGCGGCCGTGAAGGTGTTTGCCGGGCCCCAGCCGCATCGCGAGCAGGCCATTCGAGGCCATCTTGTCGACCAGTTCTTGAGAGATGTAGGTGCCGTCGAGTTCCTTTTCTTGAGCTTCCGGGTAGATGTCTCGGTCCACGAACTCTCGCAGGGCCTTTTGGAGGGCGCGGTGAGAATTGTTGTAGTAAGGGGACTTGAATTGGGGAGTCAGCCACACCGGCTCCGCGTAGGGCACTTTCGACAGGTCGCCTGGCTTTGGGTCTATGACTTCGGGTTTCTCGCCTTCAATCGTGCCGATGCAGAGATTCGCATATTTCTGAAGCACTTCATGACGGTGGAGATTGTAGAAAGCGGTTGTGGCGTCCTGGCCGGCGACCTGTTGAAGAACGACGTTGCCGCCGGGATGAGCGTCTGCAGGCGGTCCTCAGTCCAGATACACGAATGAGACGTTTGGGACATGATCGGCTCTAAAGGGATGGGTGATGCTCCCAAAGAGAGTAACAACCTACCAAGAAAGTCTGAGAGGTCGTAGACCTTGTGATCAATCTGAAAGTATGTAATGTTAGTGCTTGAGGAACTCGTTGACGAGCAGATGAAGCTGCCAGTGAAATATTGTTTCTTTCACAATAGAGGTGCCCTTGATTGGAAAGGGAACTTACGATGCACCAGACGTCGTCCTCTGTGTTATGCTCTGCAACCTCTGCACGGGTGTGCACCTTGCTGGGTATTGTCTGAGATGCCTTTTGAGCCATTGTTGTAGAAGATATATTTTGTGGAAGGAAGGCACGGAAGGAGCGCGATGAGAGACGGATCCTGGGAATTCAACGATCAAGATATCCTTCCACAGAGAATGGGTTTCTTCAACAGCGAAAGCGGCGAGCAGCTCGTGGATTGGCACATGTACATATTCGGGTCTAGAACAATTTGTCGTGGTTCATCGCAGCCGAGGTTCAATTGAGCTTCGAGCAGCCAATCGCTGATCTGGGTGACCAACGAATTGCCCGGCCGCTGATTAGCCCGCAATACCCGGCTGAACGAGGCTGAACGAGGCTGAAAGAAGCTGCAAGGCTGGGACCGAGCGTTGAACAGACTACGGCCAACATTCGGCTTTAACAAGGGCAAATCACACAGCTCAAGTACGAATCACTTGCATCCGGTCAACACCGGTTGCTCAAGTGACTTATATCGACGAACAGAGTCGCGCCCTGTCTTGTTGGATGTAGGCGACGAGGCACAGACCTGAGTGAAGACTAGACGACAAGGTTGTAGGAACAAAGACAACTGCGGTCTCGAAGGCGTCACGCGAGTCTAGCGTGATGCAACGGTGAACCTATTATGAAGCCCACAACTCACTACTCTAGGTCCGGGTGATGTTCAGCCTCGTATTGATCACGTCAACAAGCTCCACCGTGGCTTGTATGTAGGGCGTAATAGTGTTCCTCACAAGAGTCCTTTGCTCAAATGCATATGCCAACCCGATGAGTAATTCCTCACTGAAATGAGGCCCCATGAAACTGATTCCGAAAGGGAGGTTTGGTGCGGTGGCGTTCAGGTTACCAAACCCATTTGGAGTGACTGGTGTATCAGGAGGGAAGGCTCCAAGAGGGACCGTTACGACGGGCGATCCGATCAGAGCAGGGAAATTGGGAGAAAACTCCGTGGGCAACACCAGGGCATCCAGGGAGTAGTTGGCAAGCGCGCCGGTAATTCCAAGTGGGCCCGCCAAATAAGTATTCATGGTGTAGTTCGACCAGAAATCCGGAGAAGTGTTATTGAAACCAAGTTCCAACGCGCCGTCCCAGACCAACGTGTCGCGCTCCGGCCAATCTTCCAGAGGAAACGAATGGGTAAAATTGCGAACGTCTGCCACAGAGTGGACATTGTTGGGATTGTACGAGAGCTCCGAGAGGTAGTTCGCAAGATCGCTTATGAAATCGGCTTCAAGAACGATATTGGAGAAGTTGCCTTCATTGAGGGCATCGTAGCCAGTGAAGTTGGTGTTGTCGATGATAGTCGCTCCTGCCGAGCGAAGAACGTCCAGCGCGGCGTTGAAGACAGGCACGATCGGCGCAGCTGTAGCGTCACTACAAATGGACATCAGCACTGGACTGGGAGAAATCGGACGACAAGGACTTTATCCAAGTCACTTCTTCAAGAAAAGGATGCTTACAAGGACAGATCGATGAGATTTCGCGGTACGCCGATCCTCTTTCCCTGCAAGGCCGAAAAGTCGCATGCCGCTACATAGTCGGGAATGGTGTCGAAGGGAATTGCAGATGTGTAGTTATCGTAAGGTGACTTTCCTGCTATCGCCGACAGAACGTATGCCGCATCTTTAACTGTCCGAGCCATGGGCCCGACGGTGTCCTGATGTTCAGAGATCTGAAGCAGATCAGTCAGTGCCTCTGCAACGTGGATTGACGTTGATGCGTCGAAAGACCAACGACAAGACGCATGTTTCTCTTGCGGGCAACTCACAGGAACAACCAGGTCACGAGACGTCAATCCGACAGTAGGCTTTATGCCGACGAGGTTGTTGACGTCCGACGGACTCAGGATACTGCCATCCGTCTCAGTGCCCAAGGCAGCCAAGGCCAATCCCAAAGAAGACGAAACACCGCTGCCAGAACTGCTGCCACTTGGATCTTGACCAGGAAAATAAGCCCCGATGGTCTGCCCTGCAATCGCCGACCAGCCGTTACTCGTATTGAAGGAACGGTAATTCGCCCATTGGCTCAAGTTGGTCTTCCCCAGAATCACAGCTCCCGCCTTCCTAAGATTGGCGGCGATTGTGCTGTCTCGAGGAACCTTGGCGCCAGCGAGCGCGTAAGAGCCGGCTGTGTTGTCCATTGCATCAGCGGTGGCAATATTGTTTTTGATCAGAATCGGTATGCCATGGAGTGGGCCGTGAACAGTGCCTTGCGCTCGTAAAGAGTCTAGTTCGGCTGCGATGGAAAGAGCATCGGGATTGAGCTGGGTCACCATATGCAAAGTTGAGTTCAATTGCGTGATGCGCGCAATGTATGCCGTGACAAGGTCGACACTTGTGAACAAGCCCGATTCCAGCCCGCGGATGAGGTCTTCTGTGGTAGCTTCAATCAAAGGTGGGAAGGCAGTGCCATTGATTGCCGTGCGTTGATTCCAACATGATTGAGCGGCCACCAGAGTAGTCAATGACTGCGTCACAAGCAGGACACTCAGAAGTTGGCGGACTGATCCAAAGGCCATGTTGAGGAGCAACGCGCAATGAAGGAGCGTACTAGGTGGAGGTCAACATGATGTCCTTTGGCTTCATTTAAGGCAAAGTCGGCTCACAGGGCCGGCAGGACAGGTCACGACATAAGATAGCTTGATAGAAGTGCATCTCGTACATCCGCGTAGATCGCCGGCCATTTCGTCGATAAGCCAGGACCAGCGCAAAATGGTCGCTCTGTAATTGGCTGCTGTCTTTCCTTGACGTTTATAGATGCAGTCGGGGTAAGGCCACCCCACAAAAATGCATACGACCGACTTATCGAGCTGCCAAATTAGGCAGCTCAATAGTCGCTGGATATTCAACAGAACTTCCCTGAAATGCACCAAGCCAAACAGGAAGGCCGTCATAATTCGGAATGAAAGTGTGCGGCCGTGATGGAGATATCGGCCACGCGCTGTTTTTGGCTTTGATCGGCTCGAAGGGAAATCCGCGTCCTTTGGAGGGCGCATTATTTGGCCTTTTCACCTGCGCCTACACTTTTGCTGCTCGCCGCTTCGAGAGGAATTGTTTGGCTTCCCTCAAGAGGCCCACAATCAGCGGAACTCCGACAGGACCCAACAGTGGAAGGAGTACGGCGATCTTGTGCTCGTCAGGAAAGTAAACCTGGCCGACCATGGATTTGTCGAAAAAGGCCTTTTCGCTGTCTTTGAACGCCGTTTTTGCATGAGTGAGGGCCAGCTCAAATCTACCTTCGAGCGAGAAGTCGCAACACGCTTTGAGGTTAGCTATCGAGTCGTCCACTAATTGAGCGACGTGTCTCGGGATCGGAATGTTGCTGAGGTGTTGAGCCAGTCGAGCTAATGATCCCAGACTTGAGGCAGCATGGAGGTACAGAGAGAGAGCTGACAGGCGTTTGTAGGCGTCGAGTCGTAGCTGAAGTGGTCGAGATTGAGCCGAATCATCCGGATGTAAGACACCTAGCAGCGACAGTAATTGCGAAGCAAACGTCTCGAACGGTAGACGTAACAGCTCTTGAGTGACATGAGCAGGTATCACGTTTCCGTGCACAGGGTGCGGGCGCAGAGGTGGATTGAGAATCCGTATTCCACCCCACTGAGGAATCAGCCATGAATTTTCATCGACGCCTTCGATATTCAACGGTATCTGATCCTTGGCCGGAACATAGAGGATGAAATTGAGCGTAGGTCCATCCCCAATCGACGGCGCCAAAGGCCACTCTGCGGAATTCACAAAGGCGGTCAGATCATTCTTTTGGAGAAAAGAGCCGTTATGTCCTTCTCGATAAATGGGCTGTATAGCGGGAGGCAGGGTCGAATAGAGTTGCACCTGGGTCGTGATCTCGAAGTCAGCAATGGATGAGAGTGCTTGGACAAGAGGCTCGATGTGATCCCGGAGTGCTTCGTCAATCTCCCAACTTGCAGGAGCACCGCTGGCTGTGAGGAGAGAGAAGGTGAGGTGGAATTGCGGAGACGATTTGTATGCTCGATTGATCTGCTTTTCGACTTTGGCGACGACATCGAGGGGTTGAGTTTTCAGAAATGCCTGTGCGTTGTGGCTGTGGGTGGACAGAGAGACTGTCTGAAGCGCAGCAGCAATTTGTTCTTCTCTGAAAAGTGCATGGAGGGTTTCTGCAAGAGGTTTGGCAACATTTGCTCCAGCACCAGGAGGTATACGGGCACGGGCGGTCGCAGTAACAGTATTCAGAGCGAAAGCGAAGCCATCTTGCGTAGGCTCAAGCAAAACTCGCAATGCGGGTGCTCCGTGGTTCAGGGACGCAGGATCCTCGCCACAGCTCGCGCCCCTTTTTTCTTTCTTCCCGCCAGCTCCTAGCCCATCTGGCCCCAGATCAACCAGGTGAAGTCTTTGGTGGAGGGTTGGGTATTCGTTCAGGTCATCCAAGGCTTGTTGGGTAGCCTGTACCAGTTTCTGGACGTCTGAGCAAGGGAGATCCGCTGCAGAGAGCCAGAGATGCAACGGAGTCGCTGTGGGTGTATTCTAGAGACTGCTATTAGCATTGGGATGACTGCACAGAGATGCGCGGCTCACGAGTCCCTCTGCCCAGTTAAGCATGTCCTGCAATGGCAGGCTCGCACGATAGATCGAGGTGGTTTGCCACCATACTGGAAGTCCCAGAAAGATGATGACAGCCCAAAAGGACAGTACAATCTGGGTTCGCAGGCTCACGGCTTCGGGCTTTTCGGGGGGAGGCTGTTTCGACGAAGGCACAGCGTCGGGAGGAGCGGTAGAACCTTGCTCCATTGTGGCAGGTCCAGGTGCTTGAGGTGCAGATTGGCTATTGAATTCTGTTGGATTTCCCTTGCGACACGTCCATCACGGCCGAGAAACGAATGCTGGCCTTGCGAAATGTAGTGGTTGTTGCGGGCTTGCAAGGACAATAATCAATGGAAATCACATTTGCAACGTGTTTGTATGATTCAGACGCTAGCCTGGCGACGATTCTCCTGACTCAGTGCTTTGAACAAAGCCCAGTCCATGAACACAACTTTTCTATTTCTTGTCATTCAATCACTCATTTCAGGGGCCAGCGCTCAGTCATACAGGATGCATTCGTTATAACACGGCATCCAGTTTCTTAATTGACTGCCCTTGGAAATACTCGGGCTGAAATGGCCGCTCGCCGCAAAGCTCCTGCTCTGCTCAACCCTCAAGCTCGGTTGAGCCCGCCGTCGACATCATCATTAAATGTACGACCAATACAACAACAGTCAAGAACACTCTTCGACTCCCTTCTGTCTTCAACGTTGGGAAACTGTGCGCTTCGGTCTATGAGCCATACCAAAGTTTTGCCGTACTCCGCTGCAACAGTTTTCAAAGCCGTCGCTGACGTGGCGGGCTACCCGACCTTTTTGCCCTTCACAATTTCATCCAAGGTCACATCAAGGGATGCTTCAGGCTATCCGACCCGAGCTAGCCTGAAAGTCGGGTACGCGACACTCGGTATTGAGGAAGACTGGGAGAGCATAGTTCGGTGCGATCCGGCTCGAGGGATCATCGAGGCGAGAAGCAGCGAGGAGCACAGTAACGGTCTTTTTGAAACCCTGAGTACCAAGTGGCTCATTGCGCCTTCAAAAAAAGGGGCCAAAGACAGCACTGCCGTCAAGCTGAACGTCGACGTCAAATTCCGCAATCCTCTCTACGATCAAATGTTTGCCCAGGTGGAAAGTAAGGTCGCAAGTACAATGGTGTCTGCTTTTGAAAAGAGGGTCGAAGAGCTCCATCAGAAGCAGGAAAAGCGGCCGCGGTGAGGGAGCGGAAGGCAGCAAGGAGACAGAGATCAATTGCAACAGACATGCATCTGAGACCACAAATCCCTCAGAAGGCAATCACTTCCTGAGGTAATCTGCCAATGCACCGATTCAATGGAGTTCGCGGCCCTGGGATCGTCTGGGCCAAGATACGACTGAGAACGTGTCAGACTTGTCCACGCAGTGCTAAATGCTCCAGGTTTGTTGAGCTGCGACTTCAAGATTGAGCGGGGACACCGGCGAAAGTGATAGCACGCATGGCGCGACGCAGATCGTTTGGAAGCGATGATGCATCAATTCTTTCTTCACACTCACTCATCTCCGAATCTGGTATATAGATCATACATTGTGGGCGGGCAAGGCTTTTTGCTAGCCTGGTAGGGATTTCGAAGCAGGCTTATAGATAGAGAGGATACATCTCCAGTGATGAGCGCTCTCTCTGCTTGGAACTAGTGTAGATAGTCCTGGCGGCTGTATGTATTATTGAACGCATTTCTTCGGGACTGCAAAGTGGCAACGTCACAGGATCGTCACAGAGTCATAACGGACAGCCGAGGGGACGAATCTCGTGGGCGGCTCGAGAAGGAGACTGAGAAGCAACGCGGCATCGACTTGGTGCCTCATAGCTGCTAAATGGTCTCGGGAGCTGCTGCAAGATGAGGACTAATAGTAGACGAGGGTTCTTCTTCAGGGGCTCGTTGGCACGGCGGAGCTTGTCGGAAATATCAATGACACAAGAGCAAGAAGAGAGTACCGAGATGCACCGTGGTCTGTGATACATGACGACGAGCAACAAGTCACAGCCAAAGCTCGACGGCGAGAGGCTGACACCTGGCTAGAGGTGTGACAACGAGTGGGACACTGGGAACTGCGCCAAGGGCTGGAGAGGCACTGAGGGCAGCTTCTGCAGCTTCTGCAGCTTCGCTTTAGTTCTCACTACTTGCTACTAGGCCGCCTCATGTCCCACCACTCACACGCAGCCATCACACTCTCATCACATCCCCTCCATCCCAACCTACCACCGCCTGCCAATCACTCGCCCTGCTCCCGATCTCGTCCTCTGCTGCTGACTGGAAGATCAGCTTCTGTTAACCGCCGAGTGTTATGCACGCTACGCAGCCACGGCAAGCCATGGAAACAACCCTACCAGCACACCAGCTCTCACACCTTCAGAGGGGCCCTCCCCCCCTTCAGCTTCCCTTCCCTTCTCTGGCGGGCCTTAAATTTGGGATATTAACATAGAAGCCGCAGCGCAATCTCTGTTGGGATTCGCAATCCAACAGCGCTGCCCTCTTGTTTCATATGTCGCTGCGCTCACCGTCAGTGTCATGGCCTACTGGCATGACCGCCTTGCGACCGGTTGCCGCAGCGCGCCTCCATCCTCCATGTTCAAGACCATAGTTGGCCTGCTGCTGCTGACCGCATCCCTTCTCCCACGCGTCACCTCTGCCCTCCAGTCCGTTGCTGGGTCGCCTTGCGAATCCGTCTGTGCCAATGCGGGCTCCCTCGAACAAGACGTCCTCTGCCTCGATGCAGATTACCAGTCCCTGCCCTCGGGTCGAGCGTTCCAGAACTGCGTGGCATGTCAGTTGAACAGCACGGCGGTAGACACGGCGAAAAATGAGACGGATGTAGAATGGGCATTGCGTATGACAATCTACCTCTTACAAATGTGCTAGAAATAATGCTGAGATGTGGCTTTTGCCAGTGGCCCTTCGTTACACACTCGCGGGGTGCATGTTTGCCATCCCCGAAGATCACGTCTCGATCAGCAGTCCATGTCAAGTCAGCTGTGCGTCCCTGAACGCCTCGATCGGATACCAGGTTACCAACAACACCTCCAAGGCTCAACCGGGCAACGCATTTTGTACCGCCGACCCCTTTGACGACTACACCATCAACAAGTGTGCCCTATGTTATAGCTATATCCCGCAGCAATTGTACCAGGCAAACTGTAAGGCCCGCCCGAGTTTTTGAGAGGCTAGTCTTTCGTTGTTCTCTTGCTCATATCCTTGACCAAATTAGTCCTGCAAGCCCTGCACATCGCCTGCCGCCAACCGCCCGTACCGGGCAAACCATTCTTCCCGGACGCCCAGTCCATCTTCAACGAGACACTGATCGCGGGCCCAGCGGCGCCATCAGGCAATACCGGCGGGCATGGCGGATTGCACGGGTGGAAACTGGCGCTGGCCATTGTTTTGCCAGTTGTTGGCGGCATCATCCTCTTGGTGGGTGCGTGCTGGGGCTGTTTCGCATTCACGCGCAAACGACGCCAGCGCATGGCCCAGACGGGCCGGATGAGCCGCGTGCACGACGCCCACGCCGACAGCATGTACTACTCGCCCATGTCTGCTAAAGCTGAGGCCTGGAAGGCCGAGGATCTCCCGTGGGGCGTGTCCGAGCCGCCGCGAGAAATGCACGCCATCAGCCAGACCATGTTACACGCCAAGCACAGCCCCGGCGTCGCGCAGGGCCGGTGGAGTCATCAGACCGGAGGAACCGGCGGCGGCCCGGGCTCGGAGCAGAACACGCCCTTGAGAAGCAGTTTCCAGCGCGAAGATGTCGGTCCCGGTCCCGAGCAGGTTCGGGATCCGAATCTCCATGATCAGTTCTTTGGCATTGACGAGGAGGCCGACGACTTGCCCGGACCCAGTGGTGGACACGAATATTATCCTGAACATCATGAGCAGAGTGGCGGTGGTGGACACGAGTTTCATCCTCAGCAGATTCATCAGCAGCATGGCCTCGGACAGCTCCGTATGCCTGATGATGAACGGGGGAACTTTATTTGATGGCAGTTCTCTGGACGAAGCAGGGGAGGCGAGATGGGAAATTTACGATGACATGACCCCGAATGTGACAACCCCAGTCGTGGAATGAAACCCGTCCAAAAACCGGTCGGACAATATTAGAGCTATGGGGAAGACTGTCATGGACTCTTTCTTTTTCTTTTTCACCTTGGCCCCACTTCTGCAGGCTTCCCTGCGGTGGAATGTATCATATATCTCCTATACGAGACCTGTGCGAGGCTTGCACGGTTTCTCCCCGAAGACACAAGTTTCGAATAGTAGGATAACCATGTCCGCCGTTTTCCTGCGGGAATCACACACAATCAAAGACTGCGTTTCCGTGGATTGACTCGTTCTATGGGAGGAGAAAAAGCTGGCAGACACGGGGCTCTAGGCCGTCCAGCCGGATCGACATTGCACAGCCTCGTGGCTGGTGCGGATTCCCCTGGTCGGAGATCGTGGACGGAACCGGACTTCTCTGCTTCTTCGTCTCTCAGATTGCGATCTTGGCTGCTGTCCATTCTCTTGTTGTTCATGCGCTCCCGCGTCGGTCCTCAGAAGTTGCGCATCTTGGGTTTCCTTGTTGGTCCGCGATGACATTCGCAGTCGCGTCCTTGGTTCGGGGCGGAATGTTCGAGGCGAGCTCCCGCGTCAATCCTCAGGTACCTCGTACGTCGCTCAACCCCCTATTTGCCTGCAGCCTTGTCTCGTGTGGCTTGTCAGCCTTACCAGTGATTGAATTGTCTTCGATTGTAAATTCTTTCAAGGTGCTGCTGGCATGCTGTTCAGAGCTTTCTCAGTCATGTTTCGCCTTTTGGGAGATGGTGAGGACGGCTTAGAGTAGAAATGCGAGTCGCCAGAAGCGATGGGTCCCCGGGTCAGGCTGCTTCAGCCGCTAGGGACGGTTTGTATACCCCCAAACCTCTATTGCCACAAAGGTACTATAGTCGAATTTGTATCCTTCTGCCTTGTTCCTGGTAGGTTTTTTGGCGGCCGCTGGCATTCATTCAAGTTTTCATCCCTGCAATGCGTCTAGATTCCAGCACGGTGGTTCTCGCCTCGTAAATCCCACGTGTCCAGGAAGGATATAAGGATTAGAGAAGGGGGCTAGCAGCCCATGCAACTCAGTGAAGGAAAAGGATCTGTTCGTATTCCTAGAATGAGTCAGCCTTTCACTGAAGGAGGATATCATAATCTTTGCACATCAGGATATTTCGCTTTGTAAATCATGGTCGCAGGTGGAGCGACGTCTTAGGCATGGCAACAGTCTTGTCGACAGAGAACCTCAGCACCAAACTCTTTGATTTGGGACAAGTTCGTTGCGTTGGAGATTTTGGGGACGAGAAAATGCTGACCAACTTTTCAACATTCGAAGACGGGAACCCCAGCTGCGATCAGTGGGCTACGGAAGCATTTCTCTGAGCATTCTTGTTCGATTCGGCTGCACAACTCCATGAAAGGTGAGGTCTTCTGGGCAACATCAGCGTGCAAGTTCCAGCATACAGGTGACGGTGTTTGTCTGGCCCTCGGGTCTCCAGGATGTTGAATGGTCTTACCAGTCGCACTGAAAGCTATTCCACCGTTTCGTCGGCACCCGTGACTTGTGGAAGAAGCAAGGCGGATCAGAATTCAGCCTGCGTGATTCATGGCACCGAAAGGCAGCCGTGGGGGGTTCTGCGCCCTCTCCAGGTCGTGAGCGTCCTCTGCCGGAGCATTTGCTAAAGAACCTGGAGAGCCAGGGTCTGTCTAGGGAATGAACATCCTCCTCTTGTTGGGTATTGTGATGGCTCCATATGTTACGGGCGCATCAACAACAGTCGAGGTAATGTCACCATAGCAGGCAGAAAGAGAGGTGATCGACAAGAGTTAAGACCAGGGTGCAGGAAATGTGCACTCCGAACCACGGAAGGCTGAGCGAGGATCGACAGTCGTCTTAGACAAGGTTTCAGATCATCGTCGCCGCCGTGGCAGATGTCTGGGGAGAACAGTCAGAGAAACCTCAGTCGATGAAGAAAGAGGAGGATATGTCCAGGCTATCGGTGGAAAAAAAATTCACTTTAGGGAGTTAGCCATCTTGGATGAATTCAAGGTCCAGGGCGCCACAAAGCGAATGGCGTGCCTCATCTCGCCTCACTTTTTCTGGATCACGAATATCACAAACACCCGCTGGATACATTCGCGGCAAAATTTGGCCCAGGCGTTCCAGGAAACAGCCGCAGGAGATCACCTTGAATTTGCACAGAGCGGTCTGGGGTGTGAAGGGGTCCGCGAACATTTGCTGGAGTCGACAAGAGGCGGTCTGTTTGCCCGCAAATCGCGTCGTTCGGCTCGGTAACAGTCAACGAAAGAATTGCAATTGTCACAGCCAGAGCCTGAGAGTTTTGGCCTCTGCTAAGCCTGGCCATTGGGGGAAAGGCACGTCCACTTGACTCGCCTGATGTTTAGGTAAAAGACGGCGGCCTTTCCTACCCATTGGTGAAGCTCCAGTCAACCGCGCCAATGCCAGTCCTCTTGTTTCCAGATCTCACCAAATGACAAAGCTGCGTCAAGTTTTTCTCCCAAATCCTACCCTGGAGGATCGGTGTCCGCTCTTTGTCGAGGCCTAGAATCCAAACCGTTTGAAGTTGCGGTTCAGTATTTCAGAGGAAGGGGGGGCATTCCATGTTTCACCTATCAACAAGCCTATACTCGGCTTGGAAGGACCACTGCACCGAATTGGTCGGTTCACTGCGTCGGTTCGGCGAGGAAGCCCGAAAGTCAAAGCCACTAGACGATACATCAGCGAGGAATAGTCGGGCAAAAAGGGGGTCGTTGTGATGAACTCTATCTGATCTGGGCAGGAGGCCACGCACGAGATGCTCTGCTAACACACTCCCCAGACATTCAGGGCCAAGGGCCTGTTCACAGGCAGCAAACCCGCTCACCGATGTGATCGTCACATGAATGTCCCGTGCGAAGCTCTCAGACGTGCAGAACGTTCTCTGCATCACGCCCCAAACCCAGGCTGCGCCATATTCGGCACGAAGCACTCGTTCTAGCCGTTCTCCATGAAGATCGTCCGGTTGCTGCCCAAACCCATGTCTTGCAGGCAACTTCCCTGTCGCTCGAGTCCTTGACGGAAGGTCCATGCTGGGCAGCAACGGGCAAGCGGTGGCGATGTCCACGTCGATGCCCAACGTGTCTGGAAGGTACTAGGGACTTACGAAAGAGCTGCCCAGAGAACAGGAGCAGTCAGAGCTGAGACTCGATGCCCGGTATAAGCAAGACATAGCACTGCAAGGTCAAAGCATAGCAATATAGGCAGCCATGGGTCGAATGTCCTCGGGTTGGAAACGAGTACAGATCTTGGGAGATGATGGAGTTTGCAAAGTGTGGCTCTTGCAGGAAACCGCCTGTCATAGAGGCTTATAGAGATTGGCAAGCAGTAAAGAGCCTTTAGGCTCGCAGGCAATCAATCACCTTGAGCGATGGCTGATGCATATCCGAGCGCCTTGTACGTACTACTTGTGCCAGGGTTCAATGTCGCGTACCTCGACGCCTTCTTCTCCCTAACTACCTAGGTACCCGACAAGACCCAAAGAGGCTGGAAGGCATGCATGGTCAGCTGGGGCACGGGGCACCCGTTCAGGCCGCGCGCAAAGAAAGATGCAGCAATGGCTGATAAGTAGACATTCCGGTTGGATATGTCGGTGGCACGCTGCTTGAACCGGACCTTCTTCGCAACATCCCTCCCTGTATGGTCATTTGCCTGCTCTCTGGATGGCAGCCACGCAGCGTTGCATGTCCTCTGCGCCCTTCTCGTGCCCAACGTCGGGTACTTGCTGGGCCGTGGCTCGTATGGGACTTGTGCAGGCGCTTGGGTTGCAAGACGGACCATGCAGCTTCGATGGCGGTCAACAAATGACTACAGCCGATATGGCTGCCTTTCAAGACGTAGAATCCCCAGACATCCTTCACAACGGCTTTGGCAACCCAACCCTCGGCCACGGGGAGCAAATCCCTGACTTCTGCCTGCTCCTTGCGCAATTCCACGGTTTCTCTACAGCGCATTCCCCCTTGTCCGCGAATAACCTTGCCCATGTGATCCCCTCCCGTCAAATTCTTTCAAACCTGGGACAATGGAAAGAGGACAACACTGTTCCGACCCATGATCCATTTTTATTGACGCATCAAACTTGTATTTTTCGTCACACAACGTCATGAGAAGGATACCATATCCCACTCCCACGCAGCCTTTTCCTGCGTCTGGTCCCACGCATTGCGGTCCAGTTGGTGCCTCAAGGATGACTGGGCAACCTATTCCTCAAGGCTCGACTGTGAGGCTCGGAAAAGTGCCTAGCGGAAAATAGTGGCTGGGGGCATCGTGGATAAAGTGTCTGTCATTTGCGGCACTCTGACAAGCCGGTGGTCAGCAAATAGTTCCTTCAAGATCGTTCAGAGAAAGCACTGAAAGCCGAAATCTGACATACCGGGAAACACCCAGAGAATCCTTCACTTCGCCCCCGGAAGCCATGTGGATCGGGGGCCTGGCGGCAATTCACAATTGCATTTGTCCTTGGCTGGAACTTTTGTACATTCCGATCCGCGGCCCATTCCATAAGCAATAGGCAATGGAGTACCGTTCTGGGTCGTCCCGGCCGAGAATCGCGGCAGAGGCAGATGCTCGCAGGTGAGATCTGTCATTCTGGGGACAAGAGAGAACTGATTGTAGTGAATTGTGAGGACTCGTCCATTTCCCGAGCCTATCCGAGCACTTGGAGCTTGTTCTCGTGGGACAATCGACTTTTGAGTAAATGTTATTGCTTAAGCTGCGTTTCCGTCTCAGCAGGTGCGACATACAATTGGTCTTAGCTATGGCCTTGAAGCTCCCTTCCCATTACTGGACTGGATGCCACTCATGAAATGGTGAGGAAAAGGCCGAGAACAGATCATGAACCTGCACGATCTCGCTGATTCTCAGGATGGGTATTTGTGCGTGGAGAAAATCCAATGACCTCCGAGTAGAATAAATATCTGGCATGTGCATCATTGAAGGAGGAAACAGGTCCCCCCTTCTTCGCAAATGGGAAAGAACAAGCAAATATGACAGCCGGGGACTCTTCACTGAAATCCCAACCCTCTGAGTCTGGCTCTTCTTTCGAGGATTACGCTCTCGGTTTGCCTATAGAGAGCGTCGAGCTGTTCCATAGACAATGAATCCATCAAGATCTTCGCGACCTGGGTCGCTGCGCTGACTAGTTGCAGCATGTACCGGTCGTCCTTTGGCGTTCTGGGCTGCTGGTCTCGGTTGTTTTGCTTGACGGCAATCGAGTTCTCTAACGTCGTGACGAACTGTTTGATTTGGTTGTCGTAAAGCACGCGGGCTGGGATCCTTCGCTTGGTAGCAAGCCTCTTCAACAGATATGCCCACTCGGTCCACTCGCGGTCGCCGGGCGTGCGAACCCTCGGCTTATCCCTTTCTAGCGGAATGGGAAATTGATATTTGGCGACAAAGTGAAAGGCACATCGGGACAGGATGTCGTTCACCCGTGATGTGATTTCGTCCTGTTCCTCGACGTCGAGGTGGACCGGCAGCGAGGGCAATGCCTGCGACCGTGCGTGCTCCTGTTGCGGCACAGGCAGCGGAAGCAGTTGAGAAGGCCCGTCGAACTCGTCCTGGTTGAAAGGGCGTCTCCGCGTGTGGTAGCGGGTCGCGGTCCTGCCCATCTCGGAAGCCCGTCGACTCTGCGTTTCCAAGTCATATTCTGCATAGCCCTGACTTGTGGGAGACCCCGTCTGAAGAATGAAACTATCCTGGCTTTGTCTTCGGAGCGCAATGTTCTGCTCATCGGGATTCGACCTTGGAGGCAGTCCGTGCTGCGGATACGAGCCGGGATCAGCGGCGAACGTTGATGACTGTGATACGAAAGAGAGCGGTCGGAAAGGATCACCCACAGCGGTCGCCGTAGGTATACGGGTTGCGCTATGTATCTCCGGGGGAAGCCTTGGCCGCAGCCTCTCCGATCGTTCTGGAGATACACGGCCGCCAGATTCCCCCGCAAAAGGGTCGTAGGTGGACGACGGCCATTGTGCGAACCTGCCGGGGGATCGCGTGTCAATAGCAGGAGGATTGAGGTGACAGGAGTGCACATACCTCGGGAAAGAAAACGGAGAGGAAGTGTCGGCCAGCGATCTCGAGGTAGCCGTATCTTGCTGCTGCCTAGAAAACAGAAACTCGTCCTTCTCCGACATGCCCGCGGTGTGGTCTGTTAAATCAAGAGCAAACTGAACCCCCGGGGCGACTCCCGACGAGTAGGTAGACTGTAGATTGCTGATCGGAGATGTCAAGGCCAACATGATCAGAGCGGCCAGAATGGTGTGCAAGCGGGAAGGAGGCAAGAGAACAAATAGGGACCGGAAAGAAGTCAGTGTGCCCTGCCTCCAACTACAATAGGAGGGTGTCGAATGATCTTTGGCCAGGGGGCTTCGTATAAGGCACTCTCGTCAGGTACTGGAGCATAGTTTTCTGATGCCGACCTGGGTACGCGAAAAGGAACAACGAAACAAGAGACCCAACGATGAGGATATTGAACTCGTCAATGACGGCACGTGGAGAGACAGAGGAATAAGGCAAATCAGTTTCGGCCCATTGAACTAATGCTTGAAGTTCTCTGATTCCCACTGCTTCCCGCAACCCCCGGGAGCCTCTACTTTCTTACCTACGAAAAGGCCCACATGGACAGGGGGCTGAAACAAAAGTGCCTTTGACCCTGATGCGGCGGGTTGTTCCCGACAGCCATGGACGAGGCGTTGAGGCGCTCCCGTCCATTGCGCACCAGTTTAGCAGATTGACAAGGTCTGCCTTGGCAGTTCGACGGTGAGCGCCACTGATTCGTGCTTGCGACCAGAAAGTTGGAACCCGCGTAATGAAGGTTTGGGACCTGGGTTCAGTGGGTTGTTCTGGAAGCCGATTAATCTCTTCTTGGGAACAACGGCGTGACCGGCCAGCAGTCGCATCCCTAGCTTATTTTGGCAGTGCACAAGCATAAGGTTTTTGTTGATGCCCGAGACGCGTTCAATGGACAGTTCGCGCCTCCAGAGTTCAAGCCGAGGTGCATCACCTTCCAGTCACTGGGCCCATGATCGACGCATGTTGATTGAGTAGACGCTGGACGCTGTCGTGCAGGTAGTCGGCGGACCACGTTGCCCAGTTCGTGGCAGGGACGATGAACTGTCGAGTTTCACACAGGCCCTAACCTGGAGAATAAGGGTTCCTCGGTTTGCAAGAACGCCTCGAGTCGCCGTTTCGAGTATAAGCTGTGGATCATCCCTAGGATTCGGGTGGGTGGAGCATGACGGGTGATGAGCGCGAGGCGTTGGGCTAGCGAGTCGCATGGGTAGCCAACGGCACCCAAGTCCCTTTCACAGGGTATCCGGAAATCAATGTGTCGCAAGATCTTGTGTAAACTGGCGCTTTGCTTTCGTGGAGAGATACAGACTGCAGTCCATGACCATCAGAGCACCGTCGTACCGTATGGGTGAAGGAAAATGTGAGACCACAGACCGGCAATAGGGGAGCGGGATTCTCCAGTCAGAAAGCGGTTTGGCCATTACAACATATGCACCTTGGGGTCATGCAAGAAGAGTGAAGGTGCCGAGAGCGAGGGTCTCGCTGATCGTAGTCGTAGACGAAGAGTGCAAGACAAGACTGGAGAAGACCCATTACATTATTGCTGCCCAAGCTCAATAGCTTGTACTGGTGCCGATCACGGAGACGGAGATGATCTGCACTGGCCTCGGTGAGGCGGCAGAATTTTCTCGAAGTAGGGCTGCGATGCCCCGAGCGAACCAAACAGACGACGGGCTTCTATTGTGAGGCCCGGCCCCTGCTGCAAAAGGCTGTCCCTTGTCCCGGACCAGGGGAGAAACTTGGCCTGTGCAGGGAGGAGGGGGCAACAGATCAGGTTACGAGGTACTGAGGTGAGCACACTACCCTTTGGAACCGTGACGGATTCAGCAATAGTCGACGAGACGACCAAGAAGGGCACAATGACCGGTAGTTGCTTGTTGGATAAGGGTAAGAGCCAGTTTCGGTGGTGGTAGCAAGGAACCCCGATTGTCAGGATTCCAGTTTCCCGACGCTCCTACGGCGGAAAGGGATTCATTTCTCGGAGAAGGGTCAAGGGTCGGGACCGAATAACGAAGCTCAGCGCCACGGGCTTTGTGGGCCGAAGAACAAGTCCAGGATCGTGGCTTCCGTGGAAGCGGGAAGACAGTGGAGGTAGCGGGATGCACAACTCCAGGGAACAAGGTACTGCGCGAGCCAACGTGAAATGGAGCATGAGTAATTAGAGTTCGAAGCGATGTTGGAGAGAGATGGGTCAGGAAGCCTTGATCAGGCAATAAAGACGAAAAGGAAGCCAGCGGAAAGTGGATAAAAGAGGGTGGTTAGAAAGGGGGAAGCTTTGGGGGGGAGGGGAGATATGGAGGAGAAGACGACGAAGAAGAGGGAGAAGGGGATGGAGCCTCGCTATACTGCCCAGGTACCCAGCGAGTAGGTACCTAGCAACCTGGCACCCATACTATAGGTACCTTAGGTAGGTACCCACGGGTGCCCAGCGCTCGCCAGGTACTTAGGTACCCCAGGACCCCTTGTCGGCAAACGTCATTGGCCCGGTGGACCGCCAAGGCCTCGGCGACGTCATCTCCCTTAGTAGCTTACCTAGTGCCACCAAACATGAGACGGCGAACTGGCAAGGCTACCAACATGGCACACCACAGCACTCCATCGCACTCCATAGCACCTCCATAGTACCACCACAGCACCACCACCCTCATTTCCTTCTTTCGACCTCCACCAGCCACAGACCTACCCAGTATGGAGGCCACAGCACTGGAAATCTCCAGCATGAGTTCCAGCTTCAGCAGCAATTTCTCTGCCCAGCTCAGGGTATCCTCATGGTGAGAGTGTTACGGATGCTCGCTTCCTCCTGTCATGATGGGGGAAAATACTACCCTACCTAGTCGGCAGCAAGCTTTCAACGGCCAGGTACCCGATATACCCCCCTTGTGCATCATTTTGGCCCCATCACTAATGCTTGCTGGTGCTGCATACTGCCAGGATCCCCAAGCAGCCTCGGCAGGTACCCGGCGGCTTTCCAGGCCTAGATCCCAACTCGGGTCAGCACTGCTGGCCAAAGAATGCAACTTTCAGGCAACTCGAGTCTCAAAGGAACCTTCTCCCTCCTGCCGATACCAGGTTCCTACATAGCCTCTGGCACACTACCATCACACTACGGACGAACTCTGCCCAACGCCATCAAAAATCGCGCACCCTCAAGGCACCGATTCCCGATTACATAGTGCTGACTTAATCTCATCAAACTGCTATGGCAAAGCCTTTGTCTACTGCAAGACCGGGTCCCGGCACCTTTGGCAGAGTAGCTTCTACGGAAGCATTCCACATTCACCTACGCAGTGGGTTTCTCGTACGTACTGCGTATCATCATTTGGCACGCAACGGGGGCCACCGTCTGATTCACTGGCGGCGTCTCGTCTGCTGTTTGGCATAGTGCTGATCCGCATTGACATCAGTTAGCACCTACAAAAAGCATCTACCGGATCCGCAGCCACAACAAGGGGGAAACTGCAGCACTCACCTCACAGCTGATCCTGATTCCTTCTTCAAGGCCTACTCGAGGCTGATAGCCGAGGATCTTCCTGGCCTTATCACCACTGGCATACCGCATCGCGCAGGCGTCCATTACGCTTCCACGCGAGAGGGTCGTTGGAGTGCCCGAGACTCGCGTAAATACATCCGCGACCAGCCCTAGGACCCATCCAAGCCCTTCTGGAATGTGAATTTCCCAGGCTGGCGGGAAATGCCCAAACTCTTTCCAAACAGCAAGGCTGAAATCGCGAAAAGAGACGGGTTCGTTGTTTTGGATGAAGAACGTCTCACCCGCCGCGCTTTCCGTTCTTGATCGGCCATTCCTACCACGCTTTGATTCCGCGGATTGGAAATCCAACAGGTTTTCGACGGCAAGAACGTGCGCGTCAGCCACATTGCCGACGTAAGTCGTGTCCCAAAGATTCTTGCCATCCCCAATCACCCAGCGTGTCTCTCCCTTTGCAATGCAGGCGTGTATTGGTGGTATCAGCTGGTTGTCTCCTTGTCCAAAAAGCACCGATGGCCTCAGTACGCATGTGGACATTGACTGGTCGTTTGCTGCAATCACAATCTGCTCGGCTTCGGCTTTACTCTCACCGTAGATGGACGACTTGCGTGAGACGGGCCATCTTTCATCAATGTTGGCATAGGACTGGCTCATGTCGTCTATCACGGCGCAGCAACTACTCGTATACACAAATGCCTTGCATCGGCTTTTTCTGGCCGCTTCGATCAGGTGCCGCGTCCCACCCACGTTGACAGCTTTGACGAAGCCTTCAAGGCGCCGTGCATACCTGCCAGAAAACACTGAATGAGCCATTGTGCATCATTACAAGGTGAGGAAAGTCGAGATTGATAAGAGGTACGATAAACACATCAGCCCTTGGAGAAGGAAGCGAGACTGTGCGCCTGGAGACGGCGACTGTGGTGTCCAAATAGCACCGCTTGCACAGTGCTCGAAACGCACCTACCTCTCGCTCAACGATGGCACAATACCTGCTGAGTGGATGACGGCATCTGCATTGATCATGGCAAGTGCGTCCATGACACTGGTCTGATCTGTGATGTCGGCATGCACATAGTCATACTTGCATCCCCTGAGTAAGTCCAGCTCATCATCTCGTGCTTGATGGTTTCTTTGCCGTGGATCTTCAGCCCGGTCGAGAATCCAAACGTGCCATTCAGGATGGAATTCCTGCAAGGATCGGACAATGGCTGAGCCCAAAAATCCAAGACCACCTGTCACTATGATTTTGATGGGGTTGGGGGAGTGTTGTGAGGTCTTTTGGACGGAGCCAATGGATCCTGAATCTCCTTCCGCAAGCTTGGCCATTTCCCTCGCTCGCCTCTCCCAGCAAATTCAGAGAATCTCAAAGGTGAGAAAAAATAGGGGATTAGCAGTCCAAGAACGCCGTGAAGCTTGGGGACAAGAAACGATTGTCATTGCATCCAACTTCGGCTGTCGAGCAGTTCAGCGGCAGTGCATTAATCATCACCCACATTGAAGGAGGGCTGCAAAGCGAATGAGAGCGAGGAGAAGTCGCTCGTGCAATCACACCACACGGGAGCTCCTTTGTCTTGCTCCGCATCATCTTGTCTTTGGTCTGACTTCCGTCTCATCCGCCCCAAGGACCAAGCGAGAGCCCGTCTGACAGCAGCAATTTCCGTGCCGGTCCCACAGTTAAGGCTATATTCATCTACCCCTGAAGCTCCACCAGCGGAACACGGACATTTTGCCCCATTGGTCTTCATGCATGGATCACGGAGTCTATCGAAAAGGGCTATCTCGCTTATGACCTTCCAATGCTTCTAAAGCTTCCATTTCCCACGCCATGGTCAGCATGGACGCCATCAAACGCCATCAAGCCGGGGTCGTGATCAGCCTGCCTTCAAGGACTCAATCTGATCATTCGACTCCATCTGGATTCCACTACTTCCAACTTTCCAAGAGGGCGCAAGTGGGTCAGATGTCATAAGCCCGTCTAATAGTGCAAGGACGGTGAGGCGAGGCGAAGCGACAACGTCCCAACGGCGCGGAACCCTTGCAATCCTGCCGTCGTCACTATTTATATCCCGGACTACCTTTCTCACAGTGACCTCAATCAAAATCCATGCTCGTCAACGGCACACGGCAGCGCCTACGAGGTACTGCTATCATCGTACCTTGCTCCGCCCGTTGCATTGGCCTCGCCTCTCCTCCTTCCATTTCCCCGGCAAGCGATGGTCAGGTATCTATGTATTCCTATGTACTCGGTATACATCCCGTATCACGGACTTGCCTTACCTGCGCAGTGCGGTTCCAAACAATCAAGATCAGCATGGTATACAAAGGACCGACCTTTGAGAAATCTGCAACCCTGCAACTTCGCTTCCGAAGCGATGCGAAATGCGATGCAAGACAATGCAATGCAAAATGCGAGTGGCAATTCTACCTCTCTCGCCAACGGTCGGTCATACTACCAGTAGGCAAACCCAAGATGGATCAAGGAACTCGTCCATTCCCCCTGACTCCGGAGAAGACACCCAGCCCATCCTCCCCTAAAATTTTCGACATATTCGCTCACCGTATCGGAGACAAAACAGAGACGGGAAAAAAAGGGAAAGGGGAAACACAACGACGAGAAATGTTTTGATTGAGGCCTCTTTTTTGTCCCGTTTTCACTCGAATGCCCAGAGTGAGCCCTCATTCTCAAACATCTTGCCAGTGACTCGCTTCGCCTGGCCTGGCCTACTGCGTACTCTGTAGTATTTCGGCCTTTTTTTTCCCCCTTCGATCCCTGTCTTTTATCCCACGCAATCAATCGCTGCCCATGCCCTCCAAGCAGATGAGTAAATAATAGCCAGGTGATAGCAAAGTTGTAAGAGGTATTCGTACACAAAATCTCGGAAGCATTCTCCATTGGTCCCTCTGCAGCCCAGTCGATGGCACATCCACGACTTTCCCGGAGAAAAGAAAAAAATCACTCGTCATCGTCCTCGTCATCCACATATCTAGGACCACCCGCTGCGGGCGTAGGCGCATCAAACGCACCACTGGCGTACGGCGTCGGGGCACTCGCCGCGGGAGTGGGCGCGTCAAATGCGGACAGGGCCAACCGATTGTTCTTCAGGGGTTCGCGATTCGCGCTCTTTGCAAAACTCGGCGGTGGTGCCGGCGTCGGTGCATCCTGCGGCACCGTCGTTGCTGCTGCTCCTGAAGCACCCGGAGTCGGGGCGCTGAGACCGTACGGAGTGTATGCTTCGTCGATGTCGTAGCGGCCAGTGCCGGATGCGGACGGCGTGGGTGCTGAGATGATCCCCGGTGTGGGCGCGTCGTAGGGCCGCGCGCTGCTGGCGCTGGCACCGGGCGTGGGAGCCGACGCGGCGGCGGCAGAGGAACTGCCTGGTCCACCCCAGGCGGGAGTCCGTGATGAGGAGGCCGGGTTATATGCTGGAGTACGTGATCCGGTTGCAAAGCCGTCAAAGCCCGCGTTGCCCGACGAGCTGAATCCGTGGTCGCCACCGTAGGGGGTCTTTGCGCCGGAGCTCCACGCCGGCGTGCGCGAGCCGATATTGGTGTTGGTCGAGTAGTTGCCTGCGCCGCCGTAGGAAGTCATGCCACCAGCGCCGCCATAAGAGGTCTGGGAGCCTGAAGGTCCCTTCCACGATGGGGTGCGGCCGGAATCGAGACCAGCACTCCCTCCAGGGCCGCTCCAGGCAGGCGTCCTCGATGAGGTGCCCCACGCTGGAGTTCGGCCACCGTCCATGACGCCCATGGGAGTTCTTCCTCCAAAGCCTGCATCGGGAACTCGGGAGCCAGGGACACCGGGTCCTGCCCTTATCGCTGATGGGCCACCACGCTGCCTGATCCAATCTTCATATCTGGTTCGATTCTGCGTGTTGGTACTTTGGACTGTTAGCATAGCTGCAGTGGGAAAAAGGGGTAGTCAGCTGAACTTACTCGATGATCGACAGGTCGAACTTGCCGACATTGATGACCTTGTTCTTCGTCTGGAGTTCAAGTCTTGCCTCGCCAGCTGTAGTGTCTTTGACAATAGCACGGTGACCTTTGTACGTTCCCTTGTTGATATGCACAAGTTTTCCTTGGAGAGGATCTCGTCCAGGCCGCTGCGGAGGGGGCATGGCCATGTCAGGGCGCTTCATCTGGAGGGCGGGATTCATCTTGGTCAGATCGGTAGTTGGAGCTGTGATCCGCCCACCCTTTGCGGCCGTGGTAATAACATTGGTACACCGGTTGACCCAGATGCCCGCATTCTCGATACCAAGCTTGTTGTGGCAAAAGACATATCCCCGGTGAATGTGAAGAATCGTCCCGGATTTTCCTTCTCCACCAGATTCGCGCACCACGTCGCCTATGCGGATCTCCGAACCGTTCTTATCCGTGGCAACAGCATTCTTCCGTGCTTCAATCTTCTGGATCTGGGAAGGTATCTTTGTTATGACCGAGCCATTTTGATCGAGGATCCGAACCGAATCTCGATCAGCCCGGATCACGCACCCAACCGTGGTAGGATCAATCTGCACCAGTTCCTGCACGTCGAACTTACTGCTTCCTGCGCCACCACTGCCCGAGTCAGCGGCTTCTCTGAGATCCTTGCTGAAGACGGTGATTTCGTCATTGCTGTTGTTGGTGAGGACTGTGACTTTGTCGTCCTTGATCCGCAACACCATCCCCACTTCGTCGCGGTACTTGCTGCCTCCAATGATCTTGACGTTGTCGCCCTCCTTGAAGCGTTTCCGCAGACCCTTGACCGGCACTTCGACAAGCTGGCCGGTCAGTTCGCCCTCTGACACCATGATGGAGACAATATTGCCATGGACGGCTTCCGTCTTGCCAACAATGCCTCTTTGTTCGCCCTCATAGACCTCGACCTCATCGCCAGGCATGTAGTTGCCTTCAGCAGTCGTATTCCGCAGACTGTGGGCTAGGGTTTCGAGATCGAGCAATTCGGAGCCGTCGGCAGCGGTTTTGGTGAGCTTGGTGATCTCCTCGAGTTTGGGGTTCACATTTTCGGTAATCAGATGCTGCAACTTGAAATCTTTGATCAGAAAGCCGTTCTCGTAGGTGTCGCCCTTGTAGGTGAAGCTCTTCCCCGTCAGCCCTCTGTTCTGGCTCACAAATCGCTCATGCCTCTTCTTCGCTTCGAGCTCGTTGAACAGCCTCTGTGGCGGTCGATTTTGAAAGGTATTGATCGGTCCAAAAGTATTTGGTCGTTTGCGCTTCGCATCGGCTGGAGCTGCTCGACCTTGTTCCTCATCCAAGCCGTAGGAAAGCCTAGGTACCAGTCGGAGTGTGACTTCGAGACCATTGGTTTCGACATCCTCAATCATGGCCAAATCGCCCATGTAGAGGCCTCGCTTGATGCGCACGTACCCACCGACTTCCAGCTCCTTGTCCTTTCTGGTTCTCAACAAGTCGGGCATTTCCTTGATGGGGACGAGATTCATCTTCGATCGCGGATAGACATCCGGGACATTGGTAAGGGCATCTTCCACATCGCTCTTCTTCAGGGCCTCGACAAAGATATACCCAGCCATGGGACCATCGCCTCGTTCGAAAACCGAGATTATCCTCAGCTGGTTCCTACCCTTACTCTCGAGCCATTTCTTCATGATCCTGGTGACTATTTCTCTTTCCTTGCCAGCTTTGCATCGGACCCCCCAGATACTCGTGGAATTGACGTCGGGCATGAGCAGGTTCTGCGGCACGAAGGAGCCCTGGCTCAAGGCCGTGGTCGTCCTCCGACCGTACCGCTCTTTGTAAGCTGCGGCCTGCTTCTCCAAATCCATCGACGCCTCGATCTGTCGTTGACGATCTAGTTCTCTGTGTCTCGCGTCATCATGGTCCGCTTCGGGGGGAAGGTCGTCATCCGGGTGAGTTTGTTCGATGAAGTCGGGCCCAAGATCGTCCTCCTCGGCTTCGAGTTCATCGTCATCCTCGTCAACTTCGGCTTCTTCTTCGAAGAACTGATTCAGGCCTCGCCTCCGGCGCTTTCGGGGTCGACTGGTGATGGCATCTTCATCCTCTTCGTCCTCTTCTTCATCTTCCTCGTCGTCGTCTTCTCCGTTCAGGTCTTCCCCCTCGCCTTCATCATTTTCACCGTTGTCCGCCTGTTCATCTTGCTCATCTTCTTCGTCGTCCTCATCGAGTGAGGGTCGTCCATCCTTCCGGGCAGGAGAGGCCGACTTGTTACCGTTCGTCGCAGGCGCAAGGCGGTCGTCGTCCTCGTCCTCGTCTTCGTTGCCGGATCTTTTCGCGGTGCTCTGAGGCTTCGAGTCTTGATCGCCTTCATCCTCCTGGTCTGACCCTGCCTCGAACCCGGGATTGAAGTCATTGTCCGATTCTTCATCGTCTCCACCAAAGTCCTGGTTCAGCCACGATTGTCCAGAGGCCATCTTGCTCGGTAGGCGTCAGGAACAACCCAGCTAAGGGCGCTTGCGGAGATACAGAGGACTCGAGAGCTGGTCGTGTTAGCGACCTTTCAGGAGAAGATGACGGAGTTTTGGGGTTGGGAAAGAGGCAAGGTGATGGTGACAATGAGCCCAAAAAGAATCCCTGGTCAACAACGCAGGCGGCTTGATCCTTGGCGGGAATTTGATATCACGTGACTATATTCCACCTTGTCACTTTATTGGTCAGGTTCAAGGTCAGCCTCCTTCCAGCAAGAAGGGCAGCGACGTTGAGAACCACGCAAATGAGTAAGATATGATCGTTCAGTGATGAGCCTGAAGCACGAAATTCACGAGGTGCCAAGTCGGAACGCATCACTGATCAAGCGAGTGAATGGGAAATGAAGAAATCGAGAGCGAACCACTGTGCCTTCAAGCACTTCATCTAGTTACTACTCATCTTTGTATGAATATCGGGTTTCAACTTACACAATCTTATCTCGTGCTCTTAGACTTATATGTAAATGCTATGCCCGTGCACTCTTGTAAACTTTTCAAAATGGGTTTGCTCCATATCGCAAGCTCCCACTTACACGTGGTCAAATCCCAATACCACCTCTTCCTCACTCGATTCACCTTCCCTCCTCTTACAACTTCAATCCCAAATTGACATGTACTGCCTTCGTTTGGCTATATGCCGCCAGTCCAGCTTCGCCCAATTCTCGTCCGATGCCGCTCTGCTTGACGCCGCCAAAGGGCACTCTAAAGTCCGAATCGTTCGACGAGTTAATCCAGACCATACCAGCCTCAATCCTGGCGGCTACACGGTGCGCGCGCTCAATGTTGCTCGTAAACAAGGCGCTGCCCAGACCGTAAGTCGTATCGTTGGCCATGCGCACGGCCTCGTCCTCCGTCTTGAACGATGCAATCACCACAAAGGGGCCGAAGATCTCTTCACGGTAGATCTTCATGTCGTCCTTGACGCCTGTGAAGATGGTGGGTTCAATGAAAAAGCCCTTTCCGCCACCAACGTTCTTGTGCGGCACACCGCCAGCTGCCAGAGTCGCGCCTTCCGACTTTCCACTCTCGATGTATCCGAGGACTTTCTCATATTGAGCCTTGGTAACTTGCGGGCCTTGGAACGTGTCGTCGGCAAATGGATCGCCGACTTTCGAAGTGGACTTGACCACCTCCTTGAATTGTTCGACGAATTTGTCGTAGATGCCCTCCTGGACAAGTACGCGCGAGGTGGCAGTACAGATCTGACCCATATTTGACATGATTCCAATGTGGGCCCATTTGGCGGCCTGCTCGAGATCGGCGTCGTCAAAGACGAGAAGGGGCGACTTGCCGCCAGTTTCCAAGGTAATGTTCTTCATGTTAACGCTGGCCGTCTTCATGATCTGTTTGCCGGTGACCGTGCTGCCGGTGAAGGCAATTTTGTCCACGTCTAGATGGGAGGCGAGAGCGTGGCCTGCTTCCCTACCAAAGCCGTTCACGATGTTAATGACACCGGGAGGAAATATGCCCGGAACGAGACTTGCGAGGTAGAGAATCGAGAGAGGAGTCTGCTCTGCAGGCTTCAGAACCACAGTGTTGCCGCATGCGAGAGCTGGACCCAGTTTCCACGCTGCCATGGCCAGGGGGTAGTTCCAGGGAATGATCTGGCCGCAGACGCCAATGGGCTGCTTGAGGGTATAGGCAAACTTTTGAGGATTGGTGGGGATTGTCTCGCCATGAATCTTGTCTGCCCACCCAGCATAGTATCGAATGGTGCCCACGACCTCGCCCAAGTCCTCATTCAATGCGACACTGTATGGCTTGCCGTTGTCCCATGTTTCCAGCGTTGCAAGTGTCTCCTTGTGTTCTTCGAGGACGTCTGCAAACTTGTACATCAGAGCGCCACGGTCCGTCGCGGGGAGGTCGCGCCACGAAGGGTCATTGAAGGCTGCTCGGGCGGCTTTGACGGCCTTGTCAATGTCGTCCGCAGACGCTGCCTCGACGGAGCAAATCTCCTTTTCGTCCCTGAGCAGAGTGAAGCGATCAGTACTGGTCAATCCCCCCAATGCCAATGGCCCAATGGGCCTGGAGAGACTACTCACGAAGGGTTGATGCTCGTGATCTTCTCGCGAGAGCTCGACTTGACGAATTCGTTGTTGATGAAAAGACCCGTGGGCAAGGTGATTTTCCGCCCATTGGGCGCCGTCAGCTCAACTTTCAAATCAGCCATCTTGGACAATGTCTGGCGGGCGGTAGAAAACAGTCGCAACTCGATATGCCTGTTCTGAGCACAGTTCCGGGACAGAGAGCGAAGAGAAAAGGACCTCGAAGTCAGAAGCAGGAACGTCAATGAGGAATTGTACATGTAAAATGGGCAGGTCGAGGGAGAAAAAGAATTCCCAAAGCAAGATTTTGTTATATCTAATCGAATAAAGGACAGACCCGCGTCAACGCCCGTTGCCAGACGGACGGGCCAATGCCAGCACCCACTCACCAAAGCTGTAGAAGCTGTGTCGTTCGTGGGAGCCACCGAGGAGCTTTTTTTTTCGGGACTTGATTGCCTGTTTGGAGCTGTCCAACCCCACGGCGATCAGCGTGTGGTATTGTAGTAGTAACGACAAAGCAACCCTTGGAACTCTCCAGCAAGTCGCTGAGCTCCGATAAGGAGGAACAAGAAGAGGGGAAGGCGCCAGCAAGGGAGGGGCAACTGCGATAAGGGCTCTTCCGGATGCGCCTGCCCTTCTTGGGCATCTGCACATCTTACCTAGGCGGCGGCGTGCTAGGCACCTTGCTCCCTCCTCCCACCTCCCACCTCCCTCCTCCCGCCTGCACATGGCTGCCGCCCCTTGATCAGGAAATTCAGCCTTGCTCACCGGGCCTTGTTTACCGAGGTTGCCTGGCCATCGTCAGGGATCAAGGGGTGGGAGACTGTGGAGGAGGCTGCTGGGCTTGTGGAAACACCCTCATGCAAGCTGCAGGAGCGGAAGTGAACCAGAGCGCTGGGATTTAGTACGCAGCGCCCCAGCTTGTTAACTTCTGTTCAAACCCACGTGGACGGCTGCGCCCGAGACGGAACAAAGAACTTCTTTGAACTCACTTGCGAGACCTCACCTTCTCGTTCTGGGAGGGAATCTTTCAAAGCTGGCAAGAACAGAAACGCGGGCGGAACAAGGTTTAAAGAGATTGAAGCAGGATTTGGCAGATACAGTCGCCCCTTGTGGGAGGACAACCTGTGGCCTTCGAATGACCTGCAGGCATCTCTAAATGTCCAAAGGACTTCAATCCTGGCCGACTTATTGACAGCCAGCCACGGGACCTGACGCCGAACAAGCGCCCGAAGCCCGACGGCAGCGAATGCAGCTTGCTCGTTTGGGAAACATCCCTGCCCTCAATGCAAGACACGCGCAATTCGATACGAGGGTCGAGCCAGTGGCCGCTGCCATTCTAGCACACGTCGATTGTGCGGTATCGATATTCGAGATTTCCATCAGCTAGCCCTACCGCTCTTCGTGTTTGGTCTCCTGCGTCATCCCTCCACTCTTGCCCAAGGCTGTCATCACCTAGAAACACCCCGCCAGCTTCCATCTGCTCAGAAATGTTGAGGCTCGGGCGTCTTCGTCAACATTGCTCAATTCTCAAATCTGTGCATCTCTTTTGTTACACTCCTGGCGACTGTTTTGACTGGCTGACGTCGAAACCCGTTGGTCGGTCGCTTCTTTCCTTCACACTTCTCCAGCACTGTCGACAGTCTCCGAGTCACTGCTCTTCTGGGGCGCCTGTTGCAACAGGATGTCAATTTCGATAGCACCTGTAGTTTCTGCACCGGAAGCTCCTTCGGAAAGTCCATTGAGCCCGTCGCCGTCGCTGGTGGCCGCAGTCTCCTCGCCTTCGCCGTCAACTTCCGATTCGTAGCCGCCCATGATATCTCCATGTCCCAGAGAAGCCGACTCCCCAGCCAGATCGAGAATGAACCTCCATTCCTCAGGCGAGACCGCCGAGACACTGAGCCGACTCTGCCTGAACGTTTGCATGTTTTCCAAAGCTCCACCGGGCTTCGCGAAGGACTTCAGCTCCTTGAGCGTGATGAGGTTATCAAACTTCTTGACAAATTCGACGTGGACCAATTCCCACTTGGGCTTTGCGCGGTCGGACTTTGGGTCAAAGTAAGGATGGCCGGGGTCAAAGGCAGATTCATCAACGGTATGTTCGCCGACGATCCGCATGACACCTGCAATGCCGGGGACAGCGCAGTTAGAATGATAGAAGAATGCCAAGTCGCCCTTACGCATTGCCCGCATGTTGTTCCGGGCCACTGGGTTGCGTACACCTGTCCATTTGTTAGAAGAAGTCCGTGCCACAAAACAAACACCAATACTAACCATCCCAACCTTCGGGCTCCGTCTTAGCAGCTAGATCGTCGATCGAGAATTTGACGTCGTGCCCCTTCTCGATTCGAGATTCCGGTTCAGCCTTCATCAACCAGTATTGTATGTCATGATCAAGCGTCACGAGGTCGCCAGACTTGTTCCCCTCACCGTTGACCGCTGTGAGTGTTTGTCCGTGCGGAAGAGTTGCGTCTACAGACTCTGACTCTGACGACGCATTTTTCGCCTTGGGTGCGACTTTTGGCTTTCTGCCGCGCTTGGGGACTGTCGGTGGTGGAACAGAGATTCTCGCAGAGGACTTGCGCGACGCTGCACGATGTCTCTGCGCGGAGAGAGTGGCGGTGGCGGACTTGGACGCAGTCGAGGCTGTTCAATCAGGTCAACACGGCACATTTTGGGGTCTGAGGCCCATGACCACTACACGGAGCTGGACTGACTTGTAGCTTTCTTCACACTTGATTTCGCCGGCTTGGACTTGACCTCTTGTGTGGGTGCCGGGGATGCAGCAGCAGCCTCAGCCTTGGATGGTCTTCCACGCTTCTTCTTCACCACGGGCTCATCACTTTTTATGCCACCACCACCGCCGCCGCCAGCCGAGGCCGCAGTAGCATTCTGCAGAGTGCCAGATGAGTTGCGGCGCCTGGTGAAATTGTACTTGGGTTCACTAACAGAGGTCCTCTTGGGCCGGCCCGCGGGCGAGACCGTGCTGGGTTGAGGTTGGTCAGGAATGTCAGAGGTGCCGCCGATGCGGACTTTCTTGGCTCGAGTGCTAGACGAGTTTGACGAGGCTTTGCGCTTTTTCGCGGGCATGATGTCAGATTTCAGTGAAAGGAACCTAGGAAGGGAATGTAATGGGGAACTGGGAAGAGAAGGTCCCGTGTGTAGAAACTTAGCCGAAGCAATATGAACAAAGTAGGTAGGATGGGGGGTTCCGGTCTGCAGAGAGAAGAAACAGACTGAAGTCAAAACTAAACAAGATATTGAAATGAATAATGAATTGTCGGAATTGGAGAAAAACGCAGTGGCATAACGCGTCGTTGTCGCGTTACTAGCACAATTTCACGCCAAGCCCAGCCCAGCCTTGCCCCCCGCGATCAGGCTGTTCGCCATTGTGCATTGTTCCATGATTGTCAATTGAGGCCGTACTGAGAGAATTTGCCATGGTGGAAGTCCTGTCTGCCAGTGTCCATGAGCACAACGTCGTTCAAAGGTCACCAAGGTGGCTATCTAGCTAGCTGCTCCTCGCCTCTTTCATTGTCCCTCGATCCTTCCCTCGTCAGTGTGACCAAAGCCGCAAGAAGTTGAATTCACATCCCAGTCAAATCGAGCACAGGGACTCCCACCAAATTGCCAATGATCTATCAAAAGGCCTTTCTTTGCTTTTGCCGGACTGCATCTGTCGTATTAGTCACACCTTAACCTGCCTTTCCATTTCTGACATCGTCGTCCGGCAGGCACTACAAGATTCTATGCTTAGAAACACTCCTTTCCCGATCGACGAGTCGGACGCCCAGTTCAGCGGACTCCGGAGTTACTTTCGTTGTTGCACAAATAGGACTTAGTACTCACATTTTATAACCAACGACGTTCTTGTCAGAAGTCAGACATTTCTGGCGCCCAGTAAAAACGTCGCAATGAGCAAAGAAGGTGCATTTCCGGGTGAGAAATGGTCAACCTGCAGCGACCTTTTTCATTCGTTAGATGGATGGCATATGCTCGTAAATCTGGAGGTGCCTTCAAATCGAGCGTGCTGCAGGAGAGAGATGGTTGCTGGATGATGGAGCCGGGCTACTGCACAGAGACGTATGGCTCTTCTCACCAATAGTCGAGTGCCTAATGCACGGCGAGTGTGAAGGCATTTGGCACAAGAACAAGCAGCCAAGAGGCCGACCTGGTGCCACATCCACGGGGACGAGGTCACAGGAACCTGGAATGTTGCCCTGTCCCGGCCTTCTTGGTTTAGCTGCAAAAAGAATTGTCCGAGGAGATGCGATGGTGACAGCTTAACGTCCTTTGCGCACCCAGGCCATCCTGCACCTGCACGCCACGTGTTGACGCGGGAATCGAGGAGCAGCCCTTGCAGATGATCTGTGTCGTGGCTCTGGTGGTTTGCACACACCCCCTCGAGGGCCACCCGCACAGGTAGGTTCAAACTAAAAGCCGACAACTGACCTTGGTATAGCCCAGTTGAGGAACTGTGTTTTGTCGAAGCGAGCTTACCTAGAGCGGGTTTCAGAAGCACGCAATCAGCAAACAACGGCGCTACCTGGTAAACTGCAAGACGAATGACCAACTTGTCAACAGGATGTGCTTGGAGAAAAAGCTTCTGCAGAGCCAACAGCCAAAAGCCTTCGGGCGGGACTCACCTGCAGCTCAACTGCGTGCATCACGCAAATCACCACCTCCTTATGCTTGCTTAAGGGCAAATCGTGCCGGGTTTGCATTACCAGCAACAACCGTGAAAGGTTAACGGGCGAAGTCCTCGGCGATCATCGTTGTGGGGGAGACAAGCATCATGTCTCTCTCGGCTCCGAAAACGTCCCAGGTCAGGTTGCATCATCAGGAAGAAACTCCGTCACTTTGCTCTGCCTTCTGCCCAGTGCCGAGTGCTGTTGGCGGGCGGCCAAGTCACATCAACACATCCATCACCATCGCTTACAGACTAGCCATGGCCAGCTGGCGCAAGGTTGGTTCCAGGAATGGACAGGAAAGAGGATCCTTTGCGGCGGTGGAGAAGTTCCCTCCCGCCCACGTGTGAACGACTCGGGGAACCGCCTTTGGCCCCTGATCCTTGCTGGCGCCTATGCAATGCAGGATGCGGGATGCAATGCACTATGCTGCAATGCAAGCTCTAAGTAGCGTCCCTTATTTGCATCGTTTGGGCCGCTGTGCAGGCAGGACGTTGGCGTGGATCTGTCGTCTTATCTGCTTGTGCATGCTCCGCTTTCCCTAGTTTTCCCAGTTTCTTCTGAGTACTAGGTATTGTCCCTGTGCCATTTGTTGCCGGGGATTTTCTCTAGTCACCTTCTACTTATATCCTTGACAGCCGGTTTGACAACTCCGCCAGCCAGTCGATGCTTCGTGTGCCCTTGGATCAAAATCGGGAGGGGATGGCCTTGTCGCCCAACATGTGAAGCAGCCAATTGCGCCCGATCCGTGACTCGTAGCCGAATGGTTCTCAAGCCAGCCTGGGGACCTTTCCTGGTTATTGCCATGTTGTCTGGGAAATTTGCTCATAACCGCGCAACCAGCACTAACTCGCCCAAGAGTTTGTCGTTCGAATCGCAATTTCTCCGACCATCCATTGATTCCTGAAAGGCAGTCTTGTGACGAGGCAAAATTCTGCGTGATGCAAGACTATTTGCTCGGGTAATCCGATCTTTCGTGCATTGATCTCCGAGTGACGAGCTAGCCTCGTGGTCGTGGGGGCCCACGGCTCCAGCCAGCCATCGCTGGAAACCGTCGAAATCACAAGGAAGGTGGACAGGAAAATCGCGGCTAATCGGGACGTGGTCTTTTTCTTTTTCCCAAGAGAATAGCGTCGGGTCAGAGCTGATCGTCTTCGCCTGATAGCGGCTGTTGTTGTGCAGGTGCCATGTACGAGGTACTCGTAGGGGTATGTTTGCTCGAGGGATCGAAGCTCTAGCCACGCTGGGGTTGGGGGTGAGGCGGCGGGCGCGACGGAAACCTGGCGACTCGACTGGTCATCCGGGACTCTGTACTCGGTATGTTGGATCGAGTTCCTGTCAGCAACGCTTTCGATGGATGTGGCTGGACCTCTCACTGCGGCGTCTGATGTTAGTGGTAGTGGTCCAGGCTTCCGAGATGCCGCATTGACCCATACTTGAGTTCAAGGTGAGTGTTTCGCAGACACGAGAGAGCCAGCGCTCGGCCAAAAGGCCCTCAGGCCACGCTGCAGTGATGAGAATTTACAAGAATCGTCAACGTCCTGGCCAATTGACTTGTACAGGACTGGTGTTTTCCGGTCGCTGTCCAATACTGCATCAGAACCGCCCTCCTCACGTCGCGATTGGCCATCAAAGCTCCTTCGCATTGCACTTCGGACCTGGGAATCATACCTAGGTATCTAGCCCGTTATTTAGCGGCAGCCTCCGGCTTGCCAGGCAGCAAACTTGCACCTTGAGCAACCTCTTCACGTCCGTCGAGGACCAGTCATGACCATGTCATGCCGTCGACTTGCAACTCGGGTCCCTGGTTGGGACCAAAGCGGCAGCAGATGCGGGTAGTGGCAGAAGTTGCACCCAGGCTTGGAGGTTGCTGGTCAGCATTTACGTTGCCGTGGCCCAGGTATGGCGGTCTCGAGACGTGTGCTGTGAAGCTTCTGACATACAATGTCTTTGGTTCTGCGACCGTAGAAAATTGGCCACGAGCTGCCTAATGCGCTGTGGCTTTGTAAATATAATACCTAAAAATGTGTGTGAAGCGTGGGGTCGTCTCTCGTGGATAAATATACAAAAGTACAGTCACCAACGATATATCGATATCGATATCGTGGTTGAAGTCTGCCACATAGAGCCTTCTCTTCCCGGTGATATCTGGTTTCCCTCTCTGCAGTGTCTGGGACTGCTAGTTTCCCTTGTCTCTGCCATATTGTCCCCAACGCCGCGGAGAAAGTATTAATTCGACAAAAGGATGTAGGTGGGGGTATCTCGCAGGTACAACACCACGACAAAGAAGCAAAGATAACACAATTAGTCAAGGAAATCACGTCAAGAGTGTTGCGGTCTTCCAATTTGTGCAATAAGAAACGGGCAAGCCAATAAGCCCTTGTGACGGCAAAGCGCAATCCCATTCTGATCTCGGTCATTCGTAATCATGTCCCACCACGGCGGTGAAGGGATGTCGCATCTGAGGTTGCCCTCATTGTCGTCTCTCTAGGAATAGTCATTTCGAAGGGAAAAGAAAAGGTCTCGGTCTCGGTCTCGGTCTCGGTCTCGACGATTTCCGGTGGCAGGGCAGGCTCTCCTTCCTTTCACCTGCCAGAATTCCAACTCCTGTCAAACGGATCTCGGCGAAAAGGATCGTAGGATTGTGATCGGGTGACAGGAGGAGGCGGCGGTGGCCCTGGTGGCAATGTCCTGGAGGCTGCGAACATGCTCGGTACAGGAGGGGGGGGAAGCGGCGGAGGAGGCTGCGATGGAAACCCTGTCCCGTAGCCCGGCGCAGGTGGTGAATGCGTATGCCGCCCTGTAAAACTCGGCTGGTAATCACCAGTTCGACGGCGCTGAGTCGAAGGACCAGGGTCGTTGCGTTCACGCGAAGACTCGTCGGACACGGTGGGAGTTTCCAGGAGACCACCGGGTGCGTGTGAGGCTCCGGAGGCTGCAGCTGCCAGTCTCCGCTGCTGAGGCGATTCTGGTCGTGGAAGCAACTGCGCACCCGATACGTACCTCATGGCCAGGTCACGAAAATAGTTCCTCTCTGACAAATAGTGGTCGCGTTCTTCGATCAGATCCCGCAGCTCCTGCTGCAATCCAGCAATTGTCTGCGAGGCTTCCTTCTCCTTCTCCTTCCTGCGTGCACGAAAGCGTGCTGATGCCCCCGCGTTGCGCTTTCTCTTTTCGTCCGCAACCTTGGACGCTTGTTGCAGGTCCAACTCCACAGGGATGTTCAGCGGGCCCTGATCAGTGTCAAGAGTCATCTGATATGAAGCAGGACCTTGCTGGTAGCCCTCGTGCGGTCCATGATGTCCCGGTGTCTCATGAATGTACAGACCTCCACCCCCAGCTGAGATCGCCCTGAATGGAGCAGGTGGCTGAGCAGGCGGCGGCGGCCTAGGGATTCCGTAACGATACCTTGGCGAAGGATGGTCGGTACTGCTGTATGGAGGCTGCACTGTCGGCCGCTCAGCCTGGGAGGTTATTGCGGGCTCCACTCCACGGGAAATAGGGCTTTCCTGGACGTGTGCTGAGCGAGGTTGTCCTGGTTCGGGTGGCAGTATGCTGCTCAGGTGTGCACCGGTCGCGAGCGCCAAAGGAGGCAGAGGCGGAATCTCCGATGTCTGATATTGACCTGGCTCGGCTGTGTAAAGACGGCTGCCGGTGCCTGGTGGGGGTTGTAATGGCTGGATCGTGGAATGAAAAGCTGGATTCCTTCTCGCGCCCAGACTTGCTGCCCGTAATCCCGGCGACTTCGGGGTGAGAACACGCCTGCCCGCGCGTCCAGGGGCCGGCTCAAATTCTCGTGGAGGGGATCTCGGATCTGTGCGTTTTCGACTGCGTGGAGACTCGGCCGGCGCCGGTAGAAGACTCTGGCTGAGGTTCATGGCGGGTTGGGCGGTGGGTCGAACATCAGGAGAGGCAGTGTCTTCGGGCTCTACTGGAGGATTCAGAATGCTGTGCACGCCAAAAGCCCTGGAGGGAGTCTGGACGCTGGACTCTGCCGAATGTCGACGAGAAGATATCCCCAAACCCACGTCCGTCACAATCCGCCCCGAAGCGATGCCACTGTAGCCGCCATATGGCTCCGTCCGAACAACACTCGCCGTGCTTGGTCTCGAGGATTCTGCGCTTCCACCAGACGGTAGAGGCTGAAGGATGCGTCCTCCGGCAGTGGTGGGCGTGGAGATTGACGGATGGTCTGCCGGCGGGGGGGATGGTGACATGTACTTTTTATGAGCCTCCTCGTGCGGCTGGTCCCCTTGTCGCGACCATGGATGTCCCTCCTGCGGCACTCCTCCGCCTTCCCTCCTCCACCTATCCTCAGGTCCTGTGGTCGATGTCGGACTCGTTTGGCAAGACTGGTAGTTCCACGGTTGCTGAAAGTATCCAGAGTTGGGAGGGGACCTGGGGTATTGTTGGAAGGGGGAGATGGTGACGCCGAGGGTAGCCAGATTGAAAGCCTTGTAGTTATCTGGTATGCTGGGCAAGGTCAGGTCAGAGGAAGACTAGCTGGTAAGCTCGCGCGAGGCCAGACTTACAAGAGTACTTCTAGAAAAGTCACGGCCACTCTGGGAGGGTCAGAGCAAGGTTACAACACACGCAAGGGCTAGAAAGCCGGACAGAAGATTGCGCATCCCACGATCACCAGCATTTGCGCAACCCACTCCCCCATGCACTTGCGAGGGTCGTCCGATAATTCGTCTCTTGGTTCAATAGATGCGGCAAATGAGAGTCGTCAAATTGCAACCCTGGCCCTGAGAGGTCCGTTCGCAAAAAGAGAGAACCGGCACAAATGAAGCCAGGCAGCCTCAGGAGCATTAGATAGGCAAAGGGCAAAGGAGAACAAATAGTCTCGACAGGCTAGCCTGAGGTCAGCTCGTAATATTTCCTCGTCGGAGTGGGCAGAGTAAGCAGAGGCACTTGGGAGGGAGTGGCCCGCCGCAATTCCTGGGACGGGGAAGCGGGTAGCATTATTTGTTGGTGTTGGAAAAGCGAGATGCTTCCAGGCTTTCTAGCGTTGAGGCCCGTCTGCCTCGTCACGATCTGAGCGTCGCTCTCCCTCCCCTCTCCAAAGGCAGGGACGTTTGGGCCCAACGCCGACGAGAGACTTGGGTACCCATCGGTGGGCAGGGAGGAGGCAAGTGGGTCGGCGCCGTCCGGCGGGTTTCAACCATGCGAGAAGCCGATGGGATGGAGCGAGGGCCACAGGGTGCTTGAGCATTTCAGACTTCAGATTTGACCGTCCCTAGGGATGCCGGGATGCAAGGAAACTAGCTCATCGCTCGAGCATGCCCTGTCAAGCGCGTGATGGCCCCGGCAGGCGGGATGATGGCATCGACGGCATCGCTGGGCAGCAACTTGTGATAGCGCGCCCTCTGGGTGGGCCACGCCGGTGATGTGGCGCTGCGGAACGTCTGGGGGTTGGTACATGTAGTAACCGTCAACGCAGCGTGGGGCTGGCGGGCTGATTAGACTTCTGGAGGCTGTTGTCTGTCATGAACTAACGCTCTGCCTCGCTCCCTGGCAACCCCTGTCGAAGGGGGAAGAGTGCCAGGGGCATAACCGGGGATCCACAGACTCTCACGAATCCTGCCGGCATCTCTGATGGGTTGACCTCAGGGAGCGAAATCCCCATGACTTGGAAAGGGTGGGTGTAGTCACATCCGGACTGGTCAATTGACAATGGCTGGGCCGAGCTCTCTTGCTTTTTTCCCACTCAGTGCTGGCATCAAGCGGGCGGTGGGTGGGTAGACGTTATTGACAATGCGACCAGGGGTTGATCAGCAAAGGAAAGACTCGAGTCCCATGCAATGTCAGGCATTGCGAGAGCCACCAGAGAGGCGCATTAGCCACCTTCTCCTAGCCCGCCTCATTCGCCTTGTCCCCGACGTCGGCTTGCATCCCCCGTTGCAGCTTGGCCTCCAGTTGATGAGAAAGTTCGTAGCGTCAAACCCAGAAACTCGCGGCGAGGGGCGCCAGGAAAATGCTAGGGCAGGGCGATTAGGGCCCTCTGCCGTCAATGGCTGCAATTGGGTCGCGGCTCTTCTGCCACATCGCCTGGGATCAGGCCTCAAGAGCTCTGTCCTTGCCCAATGCGAGCGATCCTTCTGCTTTAGGACCGTGAGAACCCCAATCTGTCGGCTGCTTTGGGTCAATTGGAATAAGGCCGACCAGGACACCAGGAGAGTGTCAATATCAAAAGGTCACAGTCTGGGACAATTCCAGTTTACTCGTAATTCGACAACATCCCGGGGGACAGATCAGCCTCGACAAAGTGAAGCGTCCCACTCGCCTAGAGGCTTGTGATCCCGGACTGCTTGGGGTGTCCAATGGCCAAGCGGCCGTTTCCATGAAGCTCGTCAAAGGAAATAAAAAACGATAAAGCCCATCCTCTCAATGGTGGTCAGTTTCCGGAGCCGTCCCTGGTATTAGTCCGTCTTTATTGGGCCTACCAGCAGATGAAGACGGGTGACGTGACCGGCGAGGGTTAGCTTTCTTGTAAGCCCAGGAAAAAACTTCCTCGTCAGTGGCGGAGGGGAATGAGTACATAGGGAGTTCTAACTTCTAATTCCACTACGGAGTCCTGGTTCCAAAGACCTCAAGTTAGCCTGGACCGGGAAAGGGGCCGCTTAGGACGATCACGTCGATCAGAGCTTCCCAGGGTTGACAGAAATAGTGCCTCGTACAAGGGCGTCCATCCCCTTGATATCTCGCATATCAACGTACCTGCTTCCCGGCGAAATAATGGATCACAGGTTGGACCGCCGAAACGAAATCGTTCACCGCTCCAAGATTTCAATTTGCGCGCCGAATGGTCCTTTTGTGGATCGTTTTACCCACGGAAGGGGTCCTTGCTCTCCCCCGTTAGGCGTATTCGCTAGATTACCGAAATAGCGGCAGGAAGTTCTGGTAAGCACAGGTCGAGAGAAATATCGGCCCTCTCCTCAAGGACAAGGACAATAAGGAAAAGCGTCGAGTGGTTGACCAGGCTGACATTATCACTTCTGGTGCTGGTGATATTGGCACGGTGGTTGCTCGCCGTGTCTAGTGGATGTTGTACACACACGGTGAAACGTCCCGAATGGTTGCACAGGCCTTCCATTCTTACCGTCGACAGAGACTATGTCATTGTGTCCATTTTGGGAGCCGTACATAACACAGTCGGTTCCAACGGCCACTTTTTCCTCGTAAGGTTCAACCGGCTGCTAAAGGAAGACGAGCTATACCCAGAACTCGGAGGCTTTCCGTATTGTTTAGGAGAGACCGTTGTGTTCGATCCTGGAGGCTGCTCCACACGCAATGAAAGGACGACGTGCAGATCGTGACCAGAAATGTTCAGGCGGACGCTAGATCGCTTCTTTTGTACCTTTGTGAGCGAATCTATTGATGTTAGACTCGAACACTAGCTGTCGTCCGCGCTAGCTGTCATCGTCGACGCTTGCGAAGGAGCTGTGTCAAGGCCATGACAAACGCCTTCCACATCCTGCAGGCAGCCCCCAAGGGTCGGCTCATGAGGGGGGACACCAAAAGTTCCGTATGGCTGTCCTGGAGTTGAGCGGTTGCAGCTGCAGCGGTCGCTAACGCCTCTACGGCAAGGTCGCAGTCTTGTCTCCGCCCACATGGGCAGCTGCAGGTAAATCTCGACTTGGTGTCTGGCAGATAAAGACAACATTTTGAGTTGCAGCGAAAAGTTAGAAAATCGTACGTGCCAGGCTCTTGGGACAGGACTTTTGCTCCGCCTACCAGACAGGCAAAGGATCGGCGACACTGGTATGTACAGAGTAGAGGCCTGGGAGAGTACATGATTGTGGCTGAACCTAGCCTTGTGCCCTTCCACCCGTTTTAGTCATGCACAGCTCTCGGTCGATCAGGCTCAGAGGAGGCTACTCAAATGTGTTGTCTACGACACGTATGTGTTCTTCGAGTGGTCAGTCGCGGGTCCTCGCTCGCTACCCCGTACATTGCGGTTGATTGTTGGGTCGAATCTGCGGAGTAGTCGTCCGGACAGTTGCGGCTCGGTTGACGTACTGGTAGAAACGTTGTTCTTGTAGTTGGCAGCCGAGGAAAACCTACCTAGGTAACAAAGAGGGAATGAACTCTCGAAAGCCGCTTTCATCGGCTATGCACAGAGCTGCAGCTGCGATTTCTGGCGTGATGCAGACCAGGCCTAATCCATCCACCACCACCACACCATGCATGCAGGGAAATGTGGGAAACACCCACCTCCTTCGTGGCTGACCAGCTGGACGTATCAGATTCAAGGTAGGTAGGAGTGAACCTGCTCCCCCCTCCCTGGGCTTTTCTTATCGTGGTGTCTCGGGCGCAGGATGAGACACGTTTTCGGGAGGGAGATGCCTTCCTCAAGACCGGAAAAGCAAATACGATGAGGCATTGTCGATCAGACAAGCCTGCAACGACATTGGCCGTCTTGCACAGGCAAGGGATCCATCCGCCATGTGAACAGAGCCTGTCTTTCGCTCGGAAAGGCAGTCCTCGACCAGCAGTCCCAACTTGCAAAGGCGGTATTTGCTTTTTTCAGAACCTTTCTGTTTGTCGTCATCTTTTGTGGGTGGAATTCCCTCATCCTGAACACGTCTAGAAATCTCGTGCTGCTGGAGCCACCAAGAGAGCTCGTGCTGGGGATACCAATTCCCCCACAGGAAGTCAAAGGTCCACACAGGAGCTTGTGTCTTGTTGTTTGCCCAAAGGGACCACCAGGACTTGGTCACTTGATGCGATGCAAACCAGCTCTTCCTGACCGCCTCTGGGAGGACGAACGTTTCTTTTGCAACGGCGAGGAGGGGTAATCCGTTCAGTAGGGCCAGTCTGCAAGTTTGGTAAGTGTCCAGAGAGGGTCGACCACAGCCATGGGCCACGTGGAAAAGTCATCCCGCGCGCCCGTCAGGCTAACGAAGAACCACAAGGGCCACCCAAGGGCTGACATTTCCTTCTCTGGACTTGAGGCGTCAACCCCCTGCAGCCGCTCCCTATGGGCCCCTGTAGCCTCTTGCTGGTCGGATTCGTGATGACGCCTGCCGAGCAAAGCCACCACCGGTACCGCTTCGCACTGGGTTCGTCACGCCTTCATCTCCTGTTCTGCTTCGGGATAGTGACCCCTGAGATATTAACACAACCAAGTGGCCGAGCTTGGAAGCGAGGTGAGCCCCCTCTTCCTGTACGAATATCGTCCCCAGACAAGCACTGGCAACAACTTCTGTTTCGGCCAAAAGCGCAAATTGGAGGGTCCGTGTTGGAGGGTCAGAGCTCGAGGTCACAACCAGCAACGCCAAGTCACTCAGTGCCTTCCTCACTGTCACGTCTGTCGGCCGGGAGAAAACGAGAGGGTAAGACAGTCACTGGGGACGTGGTTGAACTAATTTCTCCTGAGCTGAAGGTCCGGAAGTGGCAGTGTCAATGACAAGATGAGCACCTCAATTGAGGCACACAAGCTTCAACGTGCCCGCCAAAGGCAATCGTTGCTTCGAGATTAGACTCAGCCAGTCTTCCACCAACAGCGTTTGTGGCGTATGACGAACGAGGTCGACTCTACTACTCGGTAAAGCTTTCTGACCGTTAGAGTTGCAGGCTAATCACGTCAATCGACGGCAAATAGGACGAAGTTCGCTGCGGTGGCCGGGTGGAGGGGTGGTGGTGGACGCAATTTGCGCAACAGTTTTAGGGCAGCAAGGCCACAATCCGAGCGACTTCTGGGGGCTGGCGTACAAGCAGACGAGCATGGATGGGCTACAGGTACGGAGTAGCGGTACAAGCACAACCGGCACTCAGATTGGAATAATCAAACTTTGATTGTAGCAGCACCGGCCAGGTACCTAGGTGACTAGGTAGTGTATTGGACTTGACACACCCTGAGAAACGGCAAGCAGTGTGGCATAACCATCCGCAAGGAGTTTACAAGGAGTTACGTACAGAAGCTACATAGCCCTCGTCATTTCGGCAGCCCTTGTATCCCAAAAAAACATCCTCGTCTATGTTGTTAGGCGAAGCTATTTATGATCAGCGACCAGGCAGCCTTGTCGTGGCCCTGTCAGCCCTGCGACCTGACGATCCTTGTCGGAATTTGATGAGAGCAGAAAAGGGAGATTCGCGTGATGCACATCGCTTAGGTACAGCCCTGTCTCCAGAACCTGCTGCCCGTCGTCATCATCATCATGGCTCACTACCTCCTTCAACCGAGCAATCCCTTCCCTTCAGTGATCCAACGTTTAATTTCGCACCTCGTCCCAAGCTGCGCATTGTTTCTAGAAAAACCGCAAAGCCGGGGATTGCCCCTGCGAAAAGGCGGTGCTAGTTCAAGCGAGCCTTGTACTTGGGCATGCCCTCGATGCTGACGTCAACCCTGAACAAATTTCCAGCAAATTTGGCCGAATCTGGGTGCTTGTCAGGCTCCTGCTCCGCGGCACTAGTGATGAACAATTCGGTGCCCGCAAAGGTAGGGCAGGTGATATTGCGTGTCGGGAGGTGGATGACGCCCGTGACGGCCCCTTGAGGCGATATTCGTATGACCTTGGAACCCCCGTAGCAGGCGTGCCAGATGTTGCCCTCGACGTCCATGGCGTGGCCATCCGGGTGCACGCCCTCCTCGTCCAGGTGGAAGAAGACTCTCTTGTTGGAAATGTCCCCCGTTTTTGGGTCGTAGTCAAAGGCATACACGTTCTGAGGCGGCGAGTCGGTCAGGAACATGGTGTTGTCATTGGCGTTCCAGGTGATGCCGTTGGGGATGGTCATCTTCTCGTGCATTGTGTGCAGCGTACCGTCGTGGTCGAGGCGGAACAAGCAGCCCTCTTCGGTCAACTCGGCGATCGTGGGGTCAACGAATGCCTCGACCCAGAAACGACCTTGAGTGTCGACTGCGCCGTCATTCGAGCGCATCCTAAGGCGCCAAAAGTGAGTGACAGAACCTCCCCCAACCATCTTGCCTGAGGGTAACTCTTACCTTCTCGCCTTGTCCTCAGCATCTGGTCCTTTCCAGTAGTTGGCGACATATTCATGCTCGCCGCTTTTCAGGTGAAACTTGGTGACGCCGTCCTTTGCGCCGGCCAAGATGACTTCGGAAGGATCCACGCCCTCAATATTTGCCGTGACACCAATTGGCTGCTTGGTATCGATGACCTTGACCGACTCGGGTCCCTTTGCCAGGTCGATGATGAAAAGCTTTTTATTGTTGATGTCCTAGATGTCAAGGTCAGAGAGCCTCGAGACAATGGGGATGGTCTTTTGCTCACGAACCATATACCGCAGTTCATGTCGTTCTTTGGTATAATACGGCCCTTCGCCCAGGCTACATTTCGAGGGATAGTATGCCTGAACCTCAGTAAAATTTTCGAGGAGACACAGGCAATCAATCACTGGAGTCAACTAACCTCCTTTACAGTCCACTCTTGTATACCCATTGTAGTGCAGCTGATTGATCTTGATGTGTCCCAGTAGTCGTGAACCTAAATGATTTGCTTGCAGGTGGTACTCAAAAGCGACGAAGGTTACTTTCTAATTCTTGATAAGACGGCATGTGTGACAGCTTTACATCATCATGATATAGGATGGAGCGTCTTTTCTCTTGCCAAGACCCTCAGTTCAACGGCCCGTACAAGTCGATTTCACAGCATGCAAGGGCTGAGCTACGTTACATGGCCATTGGCTTTGGCGCACGCCAGCTGGTCTCAACAACAGTAGAACTGGAGTATCTGCCGTCAAGCACCCTCTCATACTGCGTAAATCTACTGGGCCGTGCCGAAGATGACCCGGAGCTCTGCCGGAATACCTCGTATATAGCCTGTTTACAAGATTGGTGGCTCCCGGCAGACCGCTTGATTCACGGTCCGAGAATCTGAACCCTCAGCTTGCTATTGATATCTTCATCCTGTCCACTCCAAAGTGCCCGAACCCTGGACCCTAAGTGGCGATCGATCTATCTCGATGTCCATTCTGCTGCACCAAAGAATTTTGCCCAGTTGACCTGTCCTATACATCCTCTGTGTCCTTGATTCCCTATTCTGTAAGATGGGCAGCTCCAGTGCACAAAGATTACTTATCCTCTGCAGTTGGCTGACCATTGAGGGAGTTCATCTGGCTTGGAAAGCGCAGACCCAACAGCAGCCTCGCCTCCGCCGAGACAACATAGACTTGTGCTGTCGCTTAGCCGGAAGATGTTGAGTGAAGCAGTGTGCCGAGCTCAGAAGATCGTATCGTCCTACTGCGCGGTTTCCAGAGAACCCTCATGCTCGCGCAGCAGGAATGATAAAGGCTTTGATTGCCAGTGTAGCATTTCCGTCGTGTGACCGTAACAGCTCGGTAGCCTTGGTCTTTGAAAGATCCAGCTCTTCGACCTGTACCGTATATCAGCACCTCTTGCACAGTCCACAGATACACCCATATTGATACGCACCAAAAGACTCACGTCCTCGGCCGCGATCTTGACCTTCTTTTTCACTTCAACCTCCTTCTTCGCCTGAGTCTTGGTGGTGTCGTCCTTCTTCTTGCCGACGCCACTGGCGATCTCCAGTCTCGACATTGCTTTTCCCAGCGCCTCTTGGTCCGCCGCGGAGGGTTGTTTCGAGCCGCCCTCCCCATTTTCGGTGGACATCTCGTTGGCATTCAGAGAATTGAGCGCCGCAGCGGCCTTGCGGTCCTCGGCATTGTTGGGGAGGTTCTGGGACGTTTCGTCGTCTGCGGCGTCCGCAGCGGCGGTTGAGGCCGATGGGATTGGTTCCGCCATCTTATTCTCAGGGATCCGATGTTTGGAGAGACGGAGGAAATGGTCTTGTGCGGTGCAATATGCCGTGTTGAAACTCAAGTCCCGCATTCAGCAGTTAAATAGTCCACCGTTGCATGTCGCTAGCCGAAAGTGGAATAGCGTTGTATCATTACCAACATGCAAGATCTGGAGGACCTCGAACTTCCTTTTCACCCACATTCGGTCACAGGAAATAGGGCCAATCTTGATCTTGAATAAAGATGTTTCTTCATTTGCGTTGCTGAGCATCTAGGGAGTCTACGAGTATCCTGGCCTACGACCACTGTCCCCATTTTCTACCAGCGGTGACTCATCCCTAGTATATCTTTTGCATTGCTGATTCCCTCGGACGCCGTCTTCTAAACGTGCTTGCAAATTTCAGTGATTGTGCTCAATAGCATAGTGCTCTTTGAGGCCTGTCATACCTGTATAGGGACAAATATTCGTTCCGAGGAGTCAGCCTAAGGACATCGACAAAAAACCTATTAGAGCCTCTCCACGATGGAGACAAACGGCACTCCCAAATCCGCCACAACAGGACCTTGGACGCCGTCCAGCTGGAAGACCAGACCCATCGTGCAGTCGGTCCAGTACAGCGACCTCAAGGCTTTCGATGCCTCGATCCACAAACTCAACACACTGCCGCCCTTGGTCACGCCGCAAGAGATTGTGAAATTGAAGAACGAACTCGGCGAGGTCGCGAGGGGCAATGCCTTTTTGCTCCAGGGAGGCGACTGTGCCGAGTTGTTCGACTACTGCACGCAAGAGATGATCGAGGCCAAGGTCAAACTGCTCCTGCAGATGTCGCTGGTCCTGATCTACGGCGCCAAGAAGAAGGTCGTCCGCGTGGCCCGCATGGCCGGCCAGTATGCGAAACCGCGCTCGTCCCCCACGGAGATGGTCAACGGGGTCTCGATGCCCAGCTTTCGGGGGGACATCCTGAACAGCTACGAGGCGGACCCGGTCCTGCGGGAACCCGACCCCAAGAGACTGGTGGACGCGTACTTCCACTCGGCCGCGACGCAGAACTACCTCCGCGCGGCCCTGGCGAGCGGCCTCGCCGACCTCCACGCGCCCCTCGACTGGAGTTTAGGCCACGTCCGCGATCCCACCGTGCGGGACAAGTACCAGGTCATCGTGGAGCGCATCACCGACACGCTGGACATGATGCGCACGATCGGGCTGGACACGGGCGGCGGGTTGGAGACGGTCGACCTGTTCACCTCGCACGAGGGGTTGCTGCTGGAATACGAACAGTCGCTGACTCGGAAATTCAAACACCCATCAAACTACCACCAACCCGCCCAACATCGCCCTTCCTCACCTGTCACCAACCGCCAAACCATCCAATCCAAGACCCGCAAAACGTCCTTGCCAACCCAGCTCCCACCTCCCCTGCCACCCACAAAGGGCTACTACGACACCTCAGCCCACATGCTCTGGATCGGCGACCGCACACGGCAACTCACACACTCGCACGTCGAGTTTTTCAGAGGCATCGCCAATCCGATCGGCGTCAAAGTCGGTCCCAGCATGCCCGCATCAGACCTGGTGCCGTTACTGGATATCCTCAACCCGGAGCACGAGGTCGGCAAAATCGTCCTGATCACCCGCTACGGCTGCGACAAGATCGCCACCCACCTCCCAGCGCACATCCGCGCGGTGCAACAATCCCCCCATCAGGGCACCGTGGTATGGCAATGCGACCCGATGCACGGCAACGGGCGCAACGCCACAGTCCCCGACTCCTCCTCCTCCTCTTCTAACACAACCACAATAAAAACGCGCCGCTTCTCCGACATCCTCTCCGAACTCCACCAAGCCCTGCAAATCCACCGCGCCGAGCACTCGTACCTGGGCGGCGTGCACCTCGAGCTGACAGGCGAGGCCGTCACCGAGTGTCTGGGCGGCAGCGAGGGTCTGACCGAGGAGCACCTCAGCCTCAACTACGCGACCTTTTGTGACCCGAGACTCAACGAGAAGCAGGCCCTCGAATTGGCGTTTCTGGTTGCCGGGTTCTATAGGGAGTAAGGATGGGGATGATGCATGTGTGGTGCATACATACATGCAAAAGCGCATCGTTGACGATATTCCCTTGACCCAACAAGGATAATAAGTATAAGTCGGTTCAAAAGGGGGAGAAAAGAAGGACGGAACAAATGACTGGATCAAATCAAACCAGATAGAATCAATGAATGATCAAAGCTGCTTTGCTTTGCTTCTTCATATGCATGTTCATGTTCATGTTCATTCTCAAGCTCAGACTCAATCTCAATCTCAATTTGACTCCCCATCCCTTCCCATCCACAGTCCCATTCGGCCAATTAACCACTATGATCCAGCCCAACCCGTAATGCTTGGTGACCGTAACGCCAAACTCGCCAGACTCCTCTCCAACCCTAAGACACGACCATTTGCAAGACAACACTCAGCTTCTATACTTCAAAACTTGCTTTCCGCCAACGAATAACCACATCAAACAGTTCCTCGCTTACTCCTTTCTCAATGGACTCCCGAAACGAGGTTGAAATCCCATCCCGGCGACACCCACACCCAGAGTCTTCCTCCTAGCATCCAGCAACCCTTTGCCCGATTTGCCCTGCATCTTGACCTGGAACTTCTTCCCACCATTTGCTTGTGGTTTCTCTGCAGCAGAGCTGCTGGCATCATCGTCATCACGGTCGAAGATGCTCTTGTTGATCTGCTTGGGCGGAGCGCTCATTTGCACCAGCTCTCGTCCTTTGGCAATGAGGTAAGGAGTCAACGGCGTGGCAGCCGTGCGAGGGTCGTAGTCCACATCCAAGGAAACAGACTTTGGCGTCGACACGTCTGTGGTTATCTTTCTGGACTCGACTGAAGCAGGCGTCTCACTGTCCTGCTGGGCCATCAGAACACCCACATTGGCTGTATCACCACCTCCCCAGACTGTTGCTGCGGTTGGAGAGTTATACGTCGAACTAATTTCCGATTCGTCTCCGGCGTCGACGCCGCTTCCGAGATGGTCGACGCGCCCAAGTACTTCATTGCCTCTAACGGGCGTGTTAATCAACTCCGTCTTCATCTCACCAGTCAAACCCGCATACTCGGCGGAGAGGCTTCGTCGTTGGTGCTCCCTGCTTGCAGACAGAAGGCCATTTTCGTTGACGAGCATTCTAGGCTCCATGGACTTGCGTCTCCTGGATCCACCGCGAGGCATGATGCTTGCATCAACAGCGTATGCAGACTCATCAAGCCACTTGACTTCCCGCATGCAGTCGAGGACCCAGCCGACCCCAACGCAAAGAACTTGGCCTTTGGCTGAGCGGACCTTCTCCAAAGTGCGTTTTCCACCATCCTTGTAGACGACGTGTGTGATGCCAACGTTCGCAATTGGCCCATCCGAGTCAGAGGGGCCATAAACAATGCTAGCTCTGGGATTCCACCTCCACTCTTTGACCACTCGGGCCCCCATAGATGTAAGCAGGTCGATGTAGAAGGCCGAAGCGTCCATCCCTTCGCTCGTGTGGATATCGGTATGGACAATTGCTCCATGGAGAACCCCGGTTCCGACAGGTTTCAAGGGATTTCGGCCTGTCTGTGGAGTTTTGGCCGCAAACTTTGGCTTCTGTGAAGTGCCAGGCGTTTTGGCTTTGGTGACAGTTGTAGGCGTCTTGGACGCGGGAGTAGCTCCCTTTGAGGGCGTGAATTTTGGAGTGGCAGAGACCCGGCTAGTACTGGACTTTGTGCTCATAGCGTAGCGAGGTGTTGTGGCCGCTTTTGATTGCGCGCTGGCAGGAACAATGCTGCTTCTCTTCGATGTGGCAGCTGGTGTTTTGAACAACGCAGAACCAATACTCAGGACACTCTCATCCTGATCAGCAATTTCCGCCTCCTCAACATCGTCGGACATCAGCTCTTCCTCCGGCAAGTCGAACCCATCAAGCGTGCTATCGCCAAAGTCCTCGGCGGTGAAACTCATTTGACCAGGTGTCGTCAAACCCGTGGCGAGTGAATTTGCTGGACTCGGTGCCGCGCTACGAATGCGCCGCTGAGGCGACATGACCGACGCCACATTCGCCTTCGGAGTTGCAAGGAGGTCCATATCAAATGAGCGAGCTTCAAAGCCGGAACCTAAGCTACGTCTTTTGACAGCTTGAACGTCCGAAGAAGAAAGCGACCTTGGTCTTTTTCTTTGCACCTTAAGCGGCGACGGAGCGGGAGGCACAGCTCCTTCAGGACGAAGCGGGACCTTCGACACCACAGTATGAACATATCTCGGGAGACCTGGATCTGGGCGGACCGGAGTCACGCTGAAATCCATTTCCTGAACGGCACATTCGGCTTTGGCTGAAGTACGGTCGTTCTTGAAAGGCGACGTCTCGATGCTGGCTGCAGTGACTTCAAACAACTGGTCCTCTGCATCCAATGAGGCGTTGATGGCGCCTTCGTCTTCTTCTGCATGCTCAGGAATGCTGTGTTCATCGTCGTCGTGAAATTCTTCGGGTTCATCTATCAACTTGGCGTGGCATTCAGCGTTCTCCTCAGTAGGCATATCTTCCATCTCGACGGTATCAGACTCCTCTGCCGCAGAGTGCTCAACAGGAGCCGTGTTTTCGTCACCGTATGATCCGGAGGAAGTTGAGACCGATAGCACAGATTGCTCTTCGTTGACTGTCTCAAGTATAACAGTGGGGACGGTCACGTTGGCCTCCTGCTCGTCGAGAGCAGCTTCTTCGCCATGCCCTTCTTGAGCTGCAAGGTCTTCAGCTTCATGTGCCAGAGCCTCGAAATCGACCATGGCGGTATCGGACGCATTAGTGAAATTGACCAGGTCAGTCGTCAACTCTGTGCTCGTCTTGCCCATACTTTCCCCTGATGTGGCCTCAGCTTCACTGTCGACCTCAACTTCCATTTGATCAGGATTCTGATGCTCCGAAATATCTTGCGAAATCAAGTTGTGAAGATCCTCCTCTTCCGCCGCAGCAGCACTAGCTTCTACCTGGTCTTCAAAGTCTTGTGCAGCCATCCCATCGGCGAAGAAGTCTGGTTTCGTAGGGCTCTCAGTCATTGAAGGGGCCAGAGAAAACCTGCTGGCTGTTGACTTTCGTTTCGAAAATTCACGGCCTGGAGTATTTGGCCTGCTCAGCTCGACTGAGCCAGAAATGTGCATCTGAGCAACAGGCGAAAACAGCCCCCGTGACTTGGAAGCGACAGTGGGCTTCTTCTCGGGACTGGCAGCATGCCAGCCTTGGACTTGCGCCGCCAGAGGAGTGAAGCCCAAGTTTTTCGATGCGCTCTCCGGGACGATTCCAGCCGAGACACGAGACCGAATTTCGGCACTGCTCATGCTAGGCCGGAAAATGTGTCTGAAAACTCGGTTGTCTGGTGTATGATCTGCAGCGAGCTCATCTTCAGACTCATCGTCGATTTGTCGAAGGCGGTTGAAGATAGCGTCTGACATTCTGGGTTTCTTGACAGAAGTCTCGGCAGCTTGTGGGATATCTCCAGTGGCTTCAGCCTGTACATCGTGGGGCTCAACAATGCCCGTTGCCTCCTCTTCATCTGAGGTGTCGCCAGCTTCAAGTTCTGGATCCACAATGGTCTCGTCCGCGTCAGCTGCGCGAACTGGAGCTGTGTTGTCGGCGCCATCAACTTCCATACACTCTTCATGGTTGTTTTCCTCCGCATGTGGATGTAAATCACCTTCAATAGGCGCATCATCCAGAACCATCTCCTCTGCTGGAGCCTCAACAAGCGGGTTCAGCTTATCAACCTTCAGAGGACTTCTAACATTCAGCACGGACTGATCGAAATCCACCTCACCGTCGAGTTCCTGGACTAACTCGTCTTCACTCATTCTGTACACCCTGGCCGACCGCTGAGGTGAAACAGATGATCTGAAATGCGAGGACGCTGCCACTTCTTCGCTCTCTTCATCTTGCAACTCTGCCTCGCCATGGGCAGGTGATTCCGATGAGTCTTGCATGACAGTCTTCCTGACCGAGTGTGATAGCTGAGCGGGCGTCCTGTCTTTAGAAGCCGAGAAGAGGCGTCTAGCAGGTGAGGACAACAGTGAGGCCTTGAGTGGAGTGGTTCGCGACTTTACGGCCGATGGGGGAAAGACGATTCTATCGGACAAGCCTCTCTTTGGGGATTGGTGGAGAATGGATTGTGTGTTGGAAGGATCCAGAACCAAAGAGCCGCTAATATGGGTGTCTGGCACACTGGCTCGGAAGATTGTAACGCCCTCTGGAGCTCGTCGAGGAGACTCCTTCAGCGAGTCCTTGACTGGAGAAGCCGGCCGTCGTGGCGGACTCAGCATGCTCATAGCCCCGGACGCATCATCTTTCAGTGGTGATACCAGGTGGAGCGCGGGTGAGAAGTCGAGTCTCTTGACGGGCGATAACAGTCGAGTCGCTGAAGCCCCGGGTCCGCGCTTGGGTGAGAGGCTGAGATCTCGGACTGGAGTCTTAGCTCCGGCGAGTTCATCTTCCTCATCATCGTCACTATCGACGGGCAGTGCTTTTGCGACCTGTGTAATCTTCTTGGGGGTTAATGCTCGAGGGTGGATCTTGCCGGTGATCTCAACCTCTGCTTGAGGTTTGGACTCTAGTGGTTTGACTGCAGGCGTTCCTCGAGTGGCTTTTGTCGCTCTACCAGTGGCAGGCTTCCGAATCGGTTTAGCACGCATGCCGGTGGCTGCCGTCTCGGTTTTCTTAGATCCAGCTGACTGTGGCTTTGTGCTCTTGGCCTTAGCCATGGTTCTGGGGAGTTTGTTCTCTTTCTCATCCTCGTCTTCAGGAAGAGCCTCGAAAGTCACCTTCTTCTTCTTCGAAGGGACCACAACACTGACCGCAGGCTCTGCAACAACAGATGAGTTTGTGGATCCGGCCCTCGCTCGAGTCTGCCTAGTGGTGACAGGCGCAGGCTTGGTCTCTTCCACTGATGGTGCAGCAATCTTCTCCTTCTTCGGCCTTCCGCGCGACTTGGTTGCTGTGGACGTGGACTCTTGAGGAGCTTCTTCTTCTGGCTCCAGATCATTCTGCGCAGATCGTCCTCGTCCTCGCTTTTTGGGTTCGGGGTTTGTACTCTCCAAGTTTGCACCCTTGCTCTTTTTCCCAGACTCAGTTTCTTTCTTGCTTCGTAGCGTAGCAGGCTTTGTCTCCTCCCGGGTGGCCTTTTCCTTCTTTGCCTTTACAGATGGCTTCTTTTCCGGCTTGACTTCTTCCGCAGGCGGCGGTGCGGCAGGCTCAGTGTGAGGCTCATTCTGAATAATCGGCGTTACCTTTACTCGACGTCTGGGTGCTGCTGCGAGACCGGCAGTCGTGGCCGGGACTGAGGGGTTTGCCGTGGTCCGCGTGGACGTCCTCGATGGTTTGACTGGTGGCTTGGTAACTGTGACCTCTATCACCTGTTCTTCTTCTTCTTCATCGTGATCACTGTCATCCTCTTTTGCAGCCGCCACCGCTTTAACAGACCTCGTGTTTGTTCGTCCGCCCTTTGTCGCTTTACTCGCTGTTGTCGATGCCGACTTCTTGGTAACCCGGGACTTTGCCTCGAGAGCCTGTGCCCGACTTGTGGTCGGAACGGCAGAGGCTTTGGCGGTTCGGCGCTTGGATGTTTCTTCGGTGTTTGTGGTAGCAGCGGTGTCGACGGCGTCAGCTGCTCGGGCGCGGGTGATGCGGCGAGGTTTCGCTGGACTCACGGCTTTCCTCGGCGCCATGGTAGGCGGCACTCCCGGGTTGCAAATACCGGAGAAATCACGCCTTGTTGGAGGGAGGCAGACGTGGTGTTGAGCAGTTTGGGAAAGCACGAATCCACGCGCAAAGCTGTCGTTAGTAAGTAGTGAAATAGAGGATGGACGAGTGCGGGGGAGACAAGGGAAAGTCAATGCAACAAGCGTTTGTTTACATTCGAGATGTTGACGTGGCCGAATCCGGATTAGTGCAGGGCATCTCACAAAACAAGCACTTTTATTGGCTGTCGAGCCTGGGACGAGGCTGATCTGAAAAAGATCATTCACCTCGTCTGCTCCAAGTTCTTTGGGCTCTGAGGCATGTTTTTTCATGGATTACATTCTCATTAGTGGTCGTGTCTATAACGGTTCATACCTAATCAACCCAACTTTTACCCCATTCAATGCACACCATTTTTACGTACATGAGTATGGACATCGCCTATTATACCCAAACACTGCGCTTAGCAGCTCAACGAGTACAGCGGCGTGGTCGGAGGAGGCGAACCGGCGCCCACGACACCGAAACTTGGACTGGCTCCAGTGTCCTGGAGGATGTACCACCAAGTGTTGATGCCTTCACCAAAGGCAGTGCACCCGACCTCGTCATAGTAAGTCTGCGCATTCTGGACCGAAGCAACAGCTTCATTGCTGTTCGCACCTGACACGGGCCACCCGGTCTCGGTGATCCAGACAGGCTTGCCCTGGGCGGCAGCAGTGGTGTCGTCATAGTCACCCCAGAAGGTAGCGTTGGCGTTGTCGATGCTGTTGGCTTTGGTGGTCTCGTACCATGGATATGCGTCGACACCAAGAAAGTCGCAGGCTCCAATCAGATCATTCTGGCTAGAATTGGTCCAGACGTTATACGTGTCGACGTGGCCGACAGGCTTGCCTGCCGCCGAGGTGCCGGCGATGGCGGATCGAACTTGGTTGATATAGTTGATAATTGTGGCTGGACCCACTCCCGCGCCGGAGTTGTTCTCGATGCCGATGGGGGTGATGCGATAGATATCTTCGCTGCCCACACTGATGCCGGCAATCAAGTCAGTAAAGGCGGTGCCATACTGAGTGATGGCGGCATTGAGCGCAGCGAGCTCGTTGGCGAAATCAGCATCGCCAGCCGAAGCCCACAAGCCGAGCAGGAGTGATGTGCCGGTGTCGATGGCTGCGGGGATGGCAGAGATGGGAGTGTTGGTGGTTCCGTCTTGGATCATGGTGTACAGACGAGCAGAGGTGAAGCCTAGAGCCTTGGCCGAATTGAATTGGCCTTCGAAGCTGGACTGGTCGTTGCCAGTGGAACCATAATTGAAGCCTTTATAGGCAGCAAGGGTGGAGGGAAGGGCAGCCACAAGGGCGAGGATCTGCGAGGTACGCATGTTGTAGATATATATGCAATGTATTCTATTTTCCTGTAACGAGTGTGAAAAGTAGATGGATTAAAACGAAGTTGTTATATGGTCGCAAAAATCAGCAAACAGGGCAGGAGCACGGCAGGCCACGAATAAATGCAAAAATCGCAAAGGGACGAGGATGGTTGGGGCAAAGCTTGAACAGTCGGGGAAGGTTCTACCGTACCACATCCTGACTTCAAGTGGCGGCGAGATCGAGGCGCAGGGCGCAGGGGAAGCAGATGATCAGTGGTGGTCGTCGTGGAGGTGGAGCAGTGGTGAGCGAAAAAGCGGCCATTCGATGGAATTGTACGAGCAGGCAGGGCAAAAGAGGGTTATGCTTGTTCCTCGCTTGCGAAGGGCCACGCAGAGACTGACGGGCGACTGGCACGGATGGGAAGGGGAAGCAAAAGGAAGAAGCCGTTGCCGACGATGGTGGGCAGGCAGGGTACCTACCTACCTACTAGGTACCTAGGTAGGTAGAGAAAATTCTGATGGGAATTGGTGGATCGGGGCAATGGTGACGTCTACGTCTACGAGGATACTACCGCTACTGCTACTGTAGGTACTCCGAGCACGAGGTATTCGCTATACCAGCTGTACCTGCATCATCACACCTAGGTAGGTTCCAAAGCGGGCCTGTCTAAAGAAAACCTTGACCTGTGGAGTCCTGTGGTGCCATTGACTCTCGCGCCTGAAACTCGTCCACTCAGAGAGTCGCCTGCCTGAGCCGGTGCTTCCACAGACTTGTGTCGTGAGTCGTGCCGGGTCAGCTCGCGTCACCAGCCCAAGCAGAGGCATCATAGGCATCATACCCACCTAGGTAGGTAAGGCATCAGAGAAATCCGACTCTACTTCTAACCACAACTGGATGAATTGGGTCTTGTCCTTAACCACAGCTACATACTCCCCAGTACAAGTACATGCATGTCCACCAAGCACAGCCCCCGAGCCCCCTCACAGCTTCATGCCCAGCGCCTTGTGCACCTTCAGGCTCTGTCGCATACTCAGATCCAGCATGATTTCCTCACTGCCTCCCGGAATCTTGTAGGCTAGGGTGTCACGGTACAGCCGCTCAATCTTCCCTCCCTGGCCGCCTCGCGAGTAAGCCAGACCACCAAACACCTGCGCCGCCTCCTTGGTGCAGAACTCGAACGTCGTAGTCGCTTGAGCCTTGAGCCCCGCGATGGCACCTCCCAGCCTGAGCATAGCCTCTGTCTCGCCCATCCGCTGGCATTGGTACACCAGGTTCTCCAGCCAGTTGTAGCTGGCCTCGATCTGGCGCGCCATGTGGGCGAGCTTCATGCGGATCACCGGGTGGTTGATAAGTTTTTGCCCAAACGTCTTCCTCTTGGACGCATACTTGACACACTCTTCGAAACAGACGCGGGAGAAGCGCAGGCATTGGATGATGATGCCGATTCTTTCGTGGTTGAAGTTGGTCATGATCACTGTTGTGGGAGTCCATCAGTGGCTGATACCTTCAGCAGCGGGACGTCCTTTTCTTACCTTGGAAACCTTTATTGACCTTGCCCAGGACATTCTCCACAGGCACCTTGACGTCCTCGAATGTAATGTAGGTCGTTCCACTGCTCCAGACTCCTTGACAGTCCATGCGTCGGGTGCTGACTCCTTCGGTGCGCTCGATCAACAAGAGACTGATGCCGCCCATTCCCGGGCCACCGGTTCTCACGGCAGTCGTGAAATAGTCGCACCAGATACCGTTGGTGATCCACTTCTTCTCGCCGTTGACAATAAAATGCTTGCCGTCTTCAGACAGCTTGGCCTCGCAAGTTAGGTTGGCAACGTCGGACCCCGCGTCGGGTTCGGTGATGGCCAGACATATTCTCTTGTCCCCAGCGAGGATCCCCGGCAAGATGCGGTTGATGAGCTCCTTCTTACCGTACTTGATCAGCGGGGGGCATCCGATCCCAAAGCCCCCGATCAGATTCCACACCAACCCGCCGGATCCGCTCCGCGACAGCTCGTCCGTCAGAAGCATTTCGTGAAATAGGTCCCACTTCTCCGGAGGGACGCTCTTGACGTGGTTTTTGACCAGATGCGTCGGGTATTTGACCCCCAAAAGACCAGCCAGATAGCCTCGTTCACCCATCTGTTTGTAGATCTCATCGGGCACTTTCTTGCCCTCGTCCCACTCGGTCACGTAAGGCTCGATCTCGTTGTCAACCCATTCTCGGACTTCGGCACGGAGGGCAGCGTGAGTCTCGTTGTAGTAGGGCGAGTGGTACTGCACCGTCAGTCAAACGTCATCCGTGGGTGTGCGAAGCTTTCCACCTACCCCTTGATACCAGCTTGGATCGCCGAAGGGAATAAGAGACCCAAAGGGATCCAGCGCCTCGGCTTCTTCTGCAGCAGCCGGGCCCGGTGCGGGAGCGACAGTGCCAGACTCTGCTTGTGGTTGCACCTTCTTCTCCGACACCTTTTCCGCCGGAGGTGTGGCCGGAGGCGTGGGTGGCGCCTCGACCTTCTTTGTGTCTAACGACCCGACCTGCAACTTGCCCTTGTATTTCTTGAGGATCCCCTCATTGTGGTATTTCCAGAATTGCTTCGAGGCATCTTTACCGGCCACGCGCTGCAGGACTGTCCCCGTTGCATTAGTTGATGCGCATCCGGAAAGTTGGCCGGAGACTCACTCTTCTTCCCACCTGTTCAGCCTTGGGTTAGTATGGGCTTTCAATGCGGAAGGTCACGGGATGGATATCGACTGACCTGGATGCTCGTCTTGAAACTTGGTCAAGTCATAGACGTCCTCGTCGACGATAATGTAGAGGTTGTCTGCCTTGTTGTGCGAGGCAACATCGGCGGCCGAGAATCGTTTGGACATTGTCCTGCTTGACCTGGACAGTTCAGAGAGGAAGACAGAGTGATTTCGTATGCGAGTCACAGCGGGCGGTAATACAAGCACAAAGACTCGTGGGAGAAAGTGCAACGGAGCAATGGAGAGGAGACCAGGGAGCGTAAGAAGTCCAAGGAGAGGAATGCGGTCAGTTGTAAAAGGGAGCGACGTCAGGTTGACATTGTTTTCACATGCCCCGGCATTCTAGGCAAAAAGTCAAGATCAGGAACCACACACGCCGCCCGCCGCCCGCATCATGACCGCCTCCTCCAGTTACCTCCACAGAAAAAGGATCGAGTTACGAGGTGCTGGAAACCGGAGGCTCCGATGATTGTTTGGGTCCAGTTACCTGTTGCTTGATTCGTTGTTTGGCATGTCAGATGATGTTCCTGGCGGATCGATGACAATTTCTTGGGTGCCGAGGCATTGTACAGCCTCTATGCAGTTTCATCACATGCCACCACTGGGTGCCACCAGGTATTCAAGGACAACCTGCATCAGCACGTGCTATCATTGCCATGTTCATCTAGCTTCCAGGTTCCTACACGCTATTCACCCCCTGTACCTCCAGTATTTGCCCGCTCCCTCAATCGCCGCCCTTCCATCAGCCCTCGTAACCCCCGTTTCTGAAGCCCAATCACTGAGCTCAGATCGCCGGTCCATATTTCTTGTGACTCTCTATCTCCATGCCCATTTTGCTCGGCGTTTTCGTCTTGTCCCGAAGTCTCGGTGTCCGTCCGGGACATATCAGTCGACGTCGACGCCGAAGTGGCCGTTGATGCTGAATCCATCGAACTCGACTTGCCATGCCCTCGCTTCTTGCTAGGTTCTTCGTAGTTTGTCGCCAGTTTGAGCCCCGCTGTCTTGTTGGCGAGGGTCAAGGTCGGGTCTCCAATGGTGGTGGCTTCACTCTCTCGTCGACCCATATTAACGAGGTTGCTGCCGGCAGCACCACGAAGGCCTCGACCGCCTCCCGCAGCCATAGCCGCTGCGTTGAAGACCGCGGCAGAGTTGCGCCCATCCAACACCTCATGCAAACGTTCGACTGTCGCTTCAAGCAGTCCATCAACCTGGTACGGTCTGGCCATCTGCAACAAAGAACAGAGCGTGTGCGGTGTGCACAACGTTGAGCCAATCGGCGGCAGAGACGACGTGTAGAGGAAATGCAGTAACAGGTGGATTGTGGGAGCCATGTGAGGCAGGTACAAGGATCTCGGTCGACATGAAGGCGGTATGTTCACCGTGTTTGGCAACTCCACCAGCGTTCTGGTCGTCGACCGGCTGAGTGATCTTTGCGGATCCAGAATACCGTCATTTCCTGCTGCAGAGACCGCCAGGCCGTTTGCCACAGCCGGGGTGATCGTCAGAGAAGAGTTGCGGCTGGCCTGCGACCGCATACTTGGCCTCAATGTGGCCCCGTCCGACATGCTGACATTCTCGTGAGTAGACACAGATTCCGCCAGCAGCTGATTGAAGAAGGGACCCCAGCGTCGGGACAGAATGTACGAGTTGCACGGAATCTTTTCTCCGCCCAATGCCACAATCTCCATATCAGATAGCTCTGCCAGGCTCAAAGCTGCCTGGCCAAGTTGCTCGGCGGTGCTGTTGTACGGTCTTCCGCCTGCTGCTTGACCCAACAGACTCGATTGCATCGACGGGGGAATGGTCGGAGCAGATACCGAAACATAGCCCGACGTGGGGGCCACTTTTCTGGGGTTGTCATAAAGGCCAAATGCTTCCAGCTCCACCATGCAAACGTGACTGAAATTGATCCGTCGATGGTTGTAGTCGTCCACCAGGCTTCGCTTCCGGTTCCCCAGAATGACAAACGTATTCCTTCGGTTCCACAGCACCCCTCGATTCCAACTTCCTTGCGAGAAAATCGAGCCGTTCGTGTCAATCCGCGCCCAGGTAAGAGTCTTGAGATTCAACGCCCATAACGCATACTCATGTTTCGACGAAGTCAGGTATGTCCCACTAACCACAAAATGACTATCGATGATGCCGCCGTTGGGAAATCGCAGCCCAGGAGGGGACACGGACCCGGTCACCGGCTTCTCCATCAATGACCCGTCAGGTAATCGAACTTGCAGCTCCAGCTTGACATCCAGGAAATTGTAGTTGGAGTATATCAGCATCGACGTCCCGGGTAGCGAACTGGCTCTCTGGACCTGTGGATCATTCAGCGGAACCCCTCGGCCAATCAACTCTGCCGACAGTCCTGTCATGGGCGCAACCATGCTCTTATAAGCTCCACATTTGCGGTCCCAGGGTGTCGTTGCCGTCCATCTCAGACTGCGCAGGTTGAAGACGCTAAATTGCTCGATATAACTGTTACTGCTGTCTTGACCACCTGCGACAATCATTTCTGCACCTCCTGTCCCGTCCAATTGTACTCCCAGCGTGCCAGAATGAGGATCGGCAGATGGTGGATTGTGCTGGATGGCGGATAGTGGGGCGTTGGCGGATGTGAACACAGCGTTGGATGGCAGGATGGCCGCACAATGCGCGTACCGCCCTTGGGGATTTTCAGGAGCTGAGATCAACGTCCATTTTCGCGTGGGCACATCGAAGATATGGATATCGGACATAACCACGACCTCGGGTTGGCCTTCTGGCTTGCCCGGTTGAGGAGTAGGCGCAGGTCTGCTGTGTGGTGCAGGCGACATGCCGCCGTAGCAGACCAGCTTCGAGTCCCCCAGGGCGCAGACGCTGTGAAAGTATCGAGGGGGCGGAATATCTCCCTGCGCATCAACCCTGATCCAATGGCGGCGGATGAGATCCAGCTCATAGAGGTCCGCAGACAACTGTGGTTTCGCCCGAGAATGTACTCTTCCCCCGAAAACATACAGTTTGTCCCCAAGTATTGTTGTCGTTGCGCCAACCAATCCCGGCGGCTCTTCACCTGTCGTCCTGTGCACATTGCAAACCAAGCCCGACAAATTCGTCGGAGCAGAGGCATGCTGAGGAACTGAAGAAGAAATGCCGATATTTCCACCCACTTGGTCCATTGATTGGTTCACACCATTTGGTGCTTCGCTGCTTGCCTCCGAAGCCACGAGGCTCACTTGGCTGTTGTTCATTTCCGCCCGCCTGATCGTGGAGACTGGATCTCTTTCCTTCTCGCAATCTCGTAATTCTTCCGTGCCAAACGGGGCAGCCTCATCCGAATGTCTTGAGCCCCGTTGACAGTTGTTCGATGTTGGTGTTGCTGGTGATGAATGAGTGGTCCGCAATGTCCGTATATCAGATTGTGACGTGGCAGAGTACGGTTCTCTAGTAAACGACGGCTGTGCAAACTCGGGGATTATTATCGGTACATATCGTGGCAGTCGTGTGGTACTGGAAGACTTTGTCGTCGAGTCCGGCACATAATCAAGGACTGGTAACTTCGTCAATCGGTATCTTGGGACCTCGCTTGGTGTCTGTCGTGAGGTTGTAGAGGTAGCAACGCTTTCTGTTGTCACAGACGCCAAAGACGGACTCTGCCAGAGAGTGAAAACGCTGGAAACCACGGATTTAGAGCGGCTGTCTGTGACTGACAGAGGTATGGGTGGCCAATGATGGTCCTCGGGTGATGGCGGGTCAAGATGTGAAGTGAGGAACCGCGATTCTCCCGGCTGTGGAATAGAACTTTGCTTCCCAGAACTTTTGCGTCGAAACCTAGTCATGATTGTCAGCTCCAGTTTTCAAGAGGCCGGAGAGTAAGACTGGGCAAGGACAAGCACCACGACAATCTGACAAACGAGCAGACAAATTGAACAGGGTGGAAAGAGCAACATTGATGATAGAGCATGACGGGGAAGTTCCCCCTTTTTGGATCTTGTAGGCCATTGAGAGAAAGGGTACAAGCACGGGCGTTCGTTTGTCCCGGCCGGCAATGTTGAGGGCAAGGCAGGCGGGATCGAAATCGGGCAGCAGAGGTGGCGCAAAGATCTCAACGACACAGAGGGAGAAAAAGATAGACCACTGACCGAGAGGACAAAGAACCTGTCTCGGGATGTCGCTTTTTTCGTGAAGGGTCGTTTTCTCTCCCGTGTCACTCTAGCGGATGTCAGCGAAAAGGGGCGGGGGCGGTGGAAATCTATCAACAGAAGGCCCGACCGGGATCAATTGAAGAGATGAAGAACAGGCTCGCAAACGTCATGCAAGATTGAATGAAAGAAGGAAGAAAATGTCCAGATCTGTACAAATGGGGTCTCTGGGGAGGACTGCAGGAGAATTACGAGGACATGGGGGAATTTTGTGTAGCGGAAGGAGAGTTGTTCCATGTCAGGTCTAGATGGGATTTTTAGGCACCCCTGGCACCCACTGGCACTGTCACTGGCGGCGCTCACTGGCATCGGGAGAAAAGAGATGGGGATGGACGGTGCAGGGGCTTGAGGGCCTGCCAGTAGCAGTTAGTTAAAGGGAGCTGCCGCCATGCCAAGTCGGCTACTAGCAGCCTTAAAAGGCCCGAGACAGCCAATCGCCCACCAATTGTACCGCTCCGGGGCCTCTCCAGAGTCCAGCAATCTAGGTGCCTATCTCAGCGACCGGGTTCAGGGGCTGAAGGGCCGAGGGGGGCAAGTACGGGGTACTGCTTGGTCGTTGCTTGACGTGAAATCAGTGGTACCTTGATAAGAGCAATAGACAGCACGCGCCAGAGTCAATTTCAAATCACTTGTCTGCACTCTGTTCGCGCATCCCACATGTCATAAAACGGGCTTTCATTTGGAGGTACGACTGTGCGGAGTTGAGTTCCGTTTCCTCTTCACAGGTCTTTCTTGACGCCGCTACATATTTCTGTGGTATAGATTTTGCTTCTCCCAAAAGCCCCACGCCATCTTGCTTCCACCACTTACGCAGCGCTGGTCTTGTCCTTAGGCAGAGGTGTAGTTCGGAGGTATGGCTTGATGATTTTCATATCGGGGAAGATTTCCTTGGCCTGGTCGGTCTTGACGCTAGGGTGGACAATCACGTCGTCGCCCGGCACCCAGTTGATCGGGGTGGTGACCTTGTGCTTGTCGCCGGTCTGCAGCGAGTCGACGATTCGCAGAACTTCGGCGGTGTTGCGACCGGTCGACGCAGGGTAGGACAGAATGGTGCGGATGACCTTCTTGGGGTCAATGACGAAGACGGATCGGATGGTGAAGGCAATGCCCTTTTCATCCACGTTTGTCGCATCCTGGTGATCAATCATGTCGTAGAGAAGCGCGATCTGTCTGTTCTTGTCGCCAATAATGGGGAAGCTCAGATTGCTGCCGCTGATCTCGTTGATGTCCTTGATCCACTCTCCATGGCTGTCAATGGTGTTGGCCGAAAGCCCAATCAATTTGACGCCTCTTCTTGTGAACTCTGGCTCCAATTTTGCAAAGGCGCCCAACTCGGTCGTGCAGACAGGGGTGAAGTCTTCCGGGTGCGAGAAGAGAACGACCCACTTGTCGCCGATGAACTCGTGGAAGTCAATAGGGCCCTGCGTGGTCTGGGCCTGGAAGTTGGGGGCAATTGAGCCCAGGCGAAGACTAGAAGGCAACGGCCGTTAGCAATGCTCATCCCCGAGTCCAGACAGGTCTGGTAGATGGAAGGAGACGACGTACGGCTCAGCGCGGTCGTTAGATCCCATTTTTCTCTGAGGGTGTTTGTGTGTGGTTTTGTAGATTGGTACAAACGGTGGAGGGCAGGTGGTGAGGACAAGACTGCGATTGCGCAAGAATGCGATGGAGGGGTAGGCGAGCAGTTATATACTAGTCAATCCAAAAAGTCGATTCGAGAACTCTGGGCTCAAGCGGCGACGACAAATCCTTTTTTTCCCCTGCTCTTCTCGGACAAGCTTGTGGCCTGTTCGTGGGACAAATCCCTGCGCCAGCTAGTGGCATGATTGCTTGCCCCTCGTACTCCCATGATGCGGGTGGGATCCATAATGGCATCAGCACTTAGCAGCGAGACAAAACACATAACCCAACGAAGGGCGGGAGCATGTCAGCGGTAGAGGGGAGGTGTCCACTCATCCGCTCACGGTATCGATTTGCGTTGAAGCCCGACAATCACAAAGAGACCTGAGCACGCAATCGGCAGGACGCTTGTCTCATTTGACACTCAGTGGCTCGGCATCTTCAGCCTTGCACATGCCCCTCCATCCACGTGCGAGGCCAGGCTTTTGTGCCCCTCATTGGCTCCCTTCGAAGTATTGCTTGTTGGATGAAGATTGCACCCTCTATTCCAAGTCCTCGGGGTCTGTAGGCGGCCTGACAAGGCAGCACGCCCCTGGCTAAATGTTGTCAGCATACTTTTTAGTTTCTGTAGAAGAAGACAACGAGGGATTGGTCGACGTCATTCCGACAAATTGCCGAGTTTCCGCCCAAACTTCACAATATCTCACGAGTACCCAGTTCCCGAATTGACAAAAGTCCAGACCAGGCATATATACTGGCCATACATTCATCGAGAATCAGTTTCTTTTCCGCTGTCAGCAGTATACACCGACACCCGAGACGATGGAGCCTCCTTCGGCGCCAGCACCGAGTACCGAGCCACCGTCAGCCGACCAGCTCCCGGCAGAAGCGATTGCCCTAGCGGGAAGGTTCTTCGATGCTGCGCGGTCAGGTCAGATGGATATATTCGAGCAAGCCTTGCCACGGGGTCTACCTGCGAATCTGACCAATGACAAGGGCGACACATTGGTATGTGCCCAGAAAGGGTGTATGAAGAGTCCAGCGTCGAGACTTTTTTCAATTACCAACTTCCCCAGACCGTCAGAGATGCCTTGGGGGCAAAATGACTAACCCACTCAGCTGATGCTTGCCTCTTACCATGGCCACGCCCCTCTGGCCTCGCTGCTGGTGCAGCATGGTGCAGATCCCAATCGCTTGAATGATCGAGGGCAGTCTATCTTGGCAGGAGTGGTTTTCAAGAACGAGGCTGAAGTGATCGACATCCTTTTGGAAGCCGGAGCCGACCCGGAGATAGGACAGCCGAGCGCTCTGGAGGCGACAAGAGTATGAATGTCGACTTCTTGTCACCACCAGCGAATTCTACGCTAACGGTGAAAAAGGTCTTCAGACAAGAAGCATACGAACAAAAGTTCAAAGAGCAGGTTGAGAAACTGAAAGCCGCCGGAGCCAGAGCAATGGACGGCAGTTCGTGATGTATTCACGCCTGGTCTCTCTCTTCAACTTCTATCCCAATGTCATAATCCAACAGAAACATCGCAAGTCATGCGTTCATATTCCAAAGAAAAAAGGCTTTTGTTTGTCCCAAGATGCCTCCAACACCATGCTAAATTCCAGACACTGATATCCATTTCGCGTGAACGTCTATTGGTATGCATGACCAGGTTCGTTGCTCATTCTTGATTGTTGCAGCACCTTCTGGGAGGGGATTCGGACGGAGCTGGGAGCAGGCGGAGGCTTGGGATAGCAGCCAACACACCAATCATATTTCCGCTTCTGGATCAGGTGCATCTGATGGCACCATTCGGCCACTGGGGCGGCTGGCTGCAAGGACGTAGCCGAGGAGGTTCGAGATGAAGGTGCCGATGAAGGCGGGGATGTTTTAGGTCGTTCAGCAGCTCTCTCGGGAGCCCGTTCATAGTCGGAATTGTATCGGCTGGGTGCTCTGGCGTGGGACATGGCGTACTGGGTGAAGCCGGCCTGGCTGGAGGTGAACGAGGCACTTGGTCAAGAGTTCTTGAGGAAATGTTTGAATCCAAATATGTTTGCTGGAGGGACGTAAGGCTAGAATCGGTGGAACGGATGACGTGTGGTCTGAGGTGGGATGTGCTGAATAAGTGCACTTTGGGGGAAGAATGCATAAAACCGGAGTGCCGATGACCAACAGAACGAGCTTGTGCAGGGCCCTTACGGATGTATCAAGGTGGAAAGAGTGGAATGATGGCCGAGGGTCAAGATAGGACGGGGAAGGATGAGTGGATGAGACGAAGTCCACCGTAGGCAGTGACAGTACAAATCAGGTACAAATCAGGCACAAATCAGACAGAATGTAGAAAGAAGATCAGCAATGGGGGAGACGATAGCACAAGTCTGAGATATACGTGGGACGCAGGACGGGGGGTCACATAATGTACCGAGTAGATTGTGCCATCTTCTCGTCTGTGGATAACGATGCTTCCATGATCACGCAGGGTGACATGAATAGCTCAAGAGAAAAGCTGTCCAACAAATGATGGAACCCAACAATTCGAGCACATGTGCTGTTTGAGGACGAGACAAGCGAGGAAGAAGGGAGCCACTCGGTGGCTGTTGTAGATGGATCTCAGCTCAGAAAAGAGGTCAGAGGACCAGCCGCCGACCATCTGTCCAGCACGAAAGGACCCCGAAAGAGCGACAACGGGTTCGGGGAATCGGGTGAAGAAGAAATGGAAAAAGTAAAACGTCGGAAAGGGAAAAAGGGTGCATTTGTTTGTGGATAAGGAGAGAAGCATAAGGTACCGTAGGCAAAGGAAAAGCAGTTGTGGTTTTGCATGTGAGACTGAGACTGAGACTGAGACACCAGAGCCACCCACCGTGCCACCCACTGCCATTGATCCAAGAGCCAAAGCCACCAGCGCCGATGTCACGTTCCCGATTCCGGCCGGCGACTGCGATTGCCTGCGACCCAGTTGGGTGCCAGTAGCCTCCCTCGCCATCAGTAGTAGCAATACACTGCCTCCTGCGCTCCAGCTGGTTACGCCTCCCCTATTTTTGGCCTACCTGGTTACTGGTAAATAGTGTCTTCGTCAACCTTCTTTACCGCCTTTAGCTCCTTCTACCTAGGCTTAATGGTCAGGCTAGTGCCACAAAAGCATACCTACAACGGTCCCGAAGTCCAATCTACCCACACACCCCTCGATCGCCACCGCTGCCACATCCCTCCTTGGCTGAAAGATGCGCCATCCATGATTCCGAGATGATCATCCCGCACACAGATCTCGAATCTGATGCCTTCTCCTCTTTTCCTCGTTGTCCTCACACCATCAAGCTCTCCTCGGGATCTCAGCGATTGGCTGCACCCCGCAAAAGATGGTCCTCGGGCTGCTCAGGTCCGCATGCGGGGGAAGCAGGAAGGACGTGGCTTTGTTGACAAGTCAGATAGGTAGGTCTGTGAGGTGTCTGAGAGATACCAGCTTTGCTATTCTGTCCTGTCGGTGTATTCAATCGTATCCTTCTTTACCTACTGAAACTGCTGCGCGCGACCCTCTTGAGCTACCATGTCTGTGACAAACGGTGTCAACGGCCATGCCAATGGCTCCTCGAACGCCCTCTGCTCTGTTGATGAATTGGTGTCTCGCAAATATGACTTTGTCGTGGTTGGAGGAGGTACCGCTGGCCTGGCGGTCGCTGCTCGCTTGACCGAGGATCCAAACATCTCCGTGGCGGTTCTGGAGGCCGGAGAGAATCGAATGGATGACAAGAGCGTCTCGACCCCTTCGCTCTATCCCACCATGGTGAGTAGAACGACGCTCGATCCCGCCCGAGGTTCCTGACCTCTTTGCAGATCGGCAGGAAAGAGTACGACTGGTGCATGACCAGCACACGGCAACCCAATGCAGGCAACAAGATCTACTCGATGCCCCGCGGGAAAGTACTTGGCGGCAGCTCTGCGATCAATTATCTCATGTACGTCAGAGGGTCAAAGAATGATTACGACGGATGGGAGTCAATGGGCAACCCTGGCTGGGGCTGGGAAGGTATGCTACCATACTTCAAGAAACACCAAACATTGGACAACACGCCCAGGCACAGCGATCCACAATTCATGCCTATTGCGGGAGGAGACAAGTATCATGGATCCAGTGGGCCCATCCATACCAGTTTCAACGACTGGTATATGCCACTGGAGGTGGAATTCGCCGAGGCCGCATATGAAGTCACTGGGACAAAGAAGACGATTCACGACGGGTGGAGCGGCGACCATCTGGGGTTCTATTCGAGCCTGGGAGCTGTCAACAGGACCGACGATCCTGGCAACCGATCCTACGCCGCCACTGGATACCTTCGCCCGAATCTAGGACGACCTAATCTAAAAGTCTTGACTCAAGCGCAGGCCACCAAGGTCATCTTAGACGGAGATACTGCCAAGGGCGTTGAGTTCGTGCACAAGGGCCAGAAATACAACGTCCACGCAACGCGCGAGGTCATCTTGTCTGCTGGAGTGATCCAAAGCCCTCAGCTGCTCGAGCTTTCTGGGATCGGCGACCCTGAGGTCCTTAGGGCTGCTGGTGTGGAGTGTGTCGTTGAGAATAAGGGAGTAGGTGCCAACTTCCAGGACCATGTCCTCGGCGGACTCCTGTACGATCTGAAACCCGGTATTGATTCCATGGATGCATTACACGGGGAAGAGTTCATGAAGATGCAGCAGGATGTCTACCAGAACAGCCAGAAAGGGCTCTATGCTAGTCCAGGCATGATGATGGGGTTCGTGTCGTATGCGTCCGTGGTGACTCCCGACGAGCTCGAGGCCACCATTAAGGAAATCAAGGAGAAGTCTCATGCGAAGACGGATTTTGAGAAGGCCCAAGAGAAGGTAATTATTCTCTGCAAACGTCTTCACCCAAAAGCAGAACAAGCCCTTAGTACCTCTCATGATGACTCTGGACTGATGTGACTCCATCTTGTGCGCTAGGTAATCGTCGACCAGCTCCGCGACCCAACCTTTGCCAATCTACAAACATTCTGCATCCCATGCCGCCTTGACGTGGCCAAGGGCTCAGACCAGACCCAGTTCTTCGGCAAACCCCCCAACGGCAAACAACAGCTCTCCTTGCTTATGTGCCTCGAACACCCTCTATCACGAGGGACAGTCCACATCAAATCGTCAGACCCTTTGGCACCCCCTGAGATCGACCCGGGATATTTCCGGAACGAGGTCGATGCCAAGATCCTCGCCGCGGGCATGAAATGGATGGACAAAGTGGCCAAACACCCCTTGCTGGCGAAGTCCCTGGCCGAGAGAGAACTGCCGCCCGAGAACGAGAGTCTAGACACCGAGGAAAAGAGGATCGAGTATGTGAAAAATCACATCAGCACACAGTATCATTTGATCGGGACTTGTGCGCTGGGCGAGGTTGTGGACCAGGACTTGAAGGTCAAGGGGGTCAAGAATCTGAGGGTGGTGGATGCCTCGATCTTCCCCGGCCATGTGTCTGGGTAAGTCTTTTTCCATCTGTCGGAATGTGCATCGGGTATACTGATTTTCTTCGTCATAGGAATATTATGGCTACCACTTATGCTGTGGCCGAGAAAGGCGCAGATCTGATCAAGAAAGATATCTAGGCGGCGCAAGACATACCTTACATGCTAGGGACCCAAAATGAAAGACTCTTGAAGACCACAGTAAAGAAAGATAGGTGCCTGCCTGCCCTTCACACACCAAATTTCGAAAGCTGTTTGGCTCCTACTCTAGTTTCCGGAGGGTTAGCGACGTTCCTAACTGCAAGGTGCTTCTGCATCACTCTCCCCATTTGACTAGTATGTGTATGTATGTTATCTAGATGTACATGCCTATCTGCCAAGTTGGATGGTTCTAAACGGCGCGCGTGTGAACGCTCAGGAGGAGAGTGGTTGGGTACTACTAACACAAGCCCCAGGAAAGAAACCATACCATATCATCATATATGACGCCGAACCCCCTTTTCTTTGGCCAACACAATGCCTGCACCCATCGTCGTCGTGGACGCTGAGAATACCCCCCACGGCAAATCGCCAACTAACTAGTACTCGTGACATGATCTGAATGTAAGGGCATGACTTGTGCGCAAAAAAAGCAGGGATGGGACAATGCATCAGATGCAACTCTTAGCACTCGTAGCAGTCGACGAATGGCATCTGTTAAGTCTCGGACGGCAGGATGGTCTGCGGCTGTCATCGACCCGTCGGAATCTCCAACACCATGTGTTGCTTGCTGCGCATTGATATGCTTTTCTTGCCCCAGTGTCTCCGCTTGAACGGGCCAGGAAAGCCTCAACTCAGGCCAGTTCCACATGATCCACACGGAGATGGGCCAACGTCCCTGCGATACATGCTTGGACAGCTCGGCGACAACAGCTTGCTTCCCTCGTTAAAAGAAAGCCCTGTGTCCAGCTCATGCGATCCGGTCCAGTCCATTCCTTTCATTTCTTGTTCCTCTCGGCCTGGGCCTTCAAGAACTCGGACTGGAGCTCCTTCTGCAGCTGCATGGGGGCTCGCTCGTAATGGCTAAACTCCATGCTGAACTCGCCTTTACCCTGCGTCGCCGCCCGGAGGTTGCCGCTGAACCCGAACATGCCGTTGAGGCTGGTGTCGGCCCAGACCGTGAAGTCATCCACGCCGACTTCCGTGTCGTTGATCACCGCATTGCGCTTCTGGAGCAGTCCGACCACGTTGCCCTGGAACTCGGTGGGCGCCGTCACGACCGTCTTCATCATGGGCTCCAGCACCACGGGGTCGGCGTCCATGAATGCCTTTCGGAAGGCCTGCTGTGTCGCGTTTTTGAATGCCATTTCGCTCGAATCGGTCATGTGTGTTGCACCGTCGTTGATGACCATGGTTGCGCCGAGGACTTTATGCCCGACCAAGGGGCCCTTTTCACACGACAAGTGGAATCCCTTTTCACAAGCGAACAAGAATTTCTCCGAAATGGCACCGCCAATAATGTGTTCCTCAAAGTGATTGCCCTCGAGGTTACCCTTGGGTTCCATGTAGCCCGCAACACGCGCGTAATCACCTGCTCCGCCGGTTTGTTTCTTGAGGAGATGGTTGAATTCGACACGCTTGGTGATGGTCTCTCGGTAAGCAACACGAGGTGGGCCTGTTTCGCAGTCGACCTTGTATTCTCGGCGCATACGCTCGACGTAGACCTCGAGATGGAGCTCGCCCATGCCAGAGATAATTGTCTGCTCGCTTTCGGTGTCGAAATGGACCCTGAAGGTAGGATCCTCGCGCTGGAACCGCGCAATGGCTTTGGAGAAGTTGGGCAAATCTTTGTTGTTCTTCGGCTTGATGCTGAGGGAGATGACGGGTTCGGGCACGAACATGCTGGTCATCGTGTAACCCAACTGTCCGTCCGTAAAGGTGTCTCCAGATGCACAATCAACTCCAAACACCGCGCAGATCTCTCCGGCACCGACTTCGTTCACTTCTTCCATCTCATTCGAGTGCATACGAACAATACGGGGGATCTTGACTCTCTTGTCAGTCCGAGCATTGAACACGTTCAAACCCTTTCGCAATTTGCCTTGATACACGCGGATGTAGGTGAGTTGCCCAAAATTTGATTCTTCCAACTTGAACGCTAGACCGACAAATGGCAGCGAGTTGTAAGGAACAAGCTTAACGGGAGCCTCCTTCTGTCTTCGATCAAGAGCGGTGTTCGACACTTCGGATGGGTTGGGAAGATAGTCGCAGACACCATCGAGCATCGGTTGAATGAACTTGTCGGCGAGAGCAGATCCCATAAAGACTGGCGTGAACTTGAGCGAGATGGTAGCCCTCCGGACAGCGGCCTTCAGCTGCTCAACCGTGGGCTCCTGCTCGTCCAAGAACAAGTTGGCAATCTCGTCATCGACATCGGCAAGTGTTTCGATCAGCTTTGCCCTTCTCTCCTTTGCGAGCTGTTGAACCTCGGCCGGAATTTCGTCCTTGGTGACAATGATCTCACCACGTTCACCCTCCGCGTAGTACGTCTTCATGGTGATCAGGTCGACCACGCCGCGGAACTCGTCTTCGGCCCCTATCGGTACCTGAACAGCCGCTGCGGCAATTTTGAGCTTCTTGTTGATCTGGTCGACTGCCTTCCACGGGTTTGCACCCATCCTGTCCATTTTGTTGATGAAGGTGATCCTGGGGACATTGTATCTCCGCATCTGTCGGTCGACGGTGATGGTCTGACTTTGGACACCGGAAACAGCACATAAGATCATGACAGCGCCATCAAGTACCCGCAGGGCACGCTCCACCTCAATGGTAAAGTCAATGTGTCCAGGCGTGTCAATCAAGTTGATATGATATTTCTCCTCCTTGCCATCTTCTTTTTTTACCCAGTCACAGAAAGTGGCGGCGGACTGAATGGTGATACCCTTTTCTCTTTCAAGTTCCATCGAGTCCATCTTCGCGCCGACTGCGTCTTTACCGCGGACTTCATGGATGGACTTTATCCGTCCCGTGTAGAAAAGGACTCGTTCTGTCGCCGTCGTTTTGCCCGAATCAATATGTGCCTGCTGACGTCAACTGATTGGACTGCAAGTGATTGAGCGCATGACTGACCGCAATACCAATATTTCGGACTCTTGACAGTCTGTGCGCCTCCTCCGGCGACAAATTGTGGATGATGGTTTCTTGAGAGAGGGCCTCGGGGTCATCCTGGGCTTCTTCGAGCCTGTCACGCATCAGACGAAAGGTCATTGGGAGGTGATAGAAGTCCTTACATTGCAGCTGCAGCTCCGGCATTGCCTCGCCGTTGCTGCCACCGTCGGTCCAGCGGCCATTGTTTCGACTGCGACCTCAGGCTCGCGGACAAGGTCGGGAGAACTGCAGTGGAAGCGCATCGTCGGCAGACCCAGTGTCGCGCCAGACCCGGGTTGTACGAGCGCGTCAAATTGCCGAGAAGCCTCGAAGAGCCTCCGATAGCACGCGAGGCACTCATCTTGACAGAACCCAGAGGCCACGGAGCTGGAACGCAGATCCTCGAAACCTCAATGCTCGATCGTTTGATGGGGAACTTTTTTCTCGAGCTCAACCCTGCGTCGCCAAGCCAGACCCCGGTCAACAGCTCGGCCAATCAGATGGGTAGCTGCACCTGACGAGGCTCTCCCGCAGCCTCTTCCTATGACTTGACTCTGCCACTTCTTCTTCGTTGCCTTCCAGCTGGTTCACTACAGCGAAACCGGACATTCTCAACGTCAGAAGGAGCCCCGAGTGAAGTATGCCAGCTCGTGACACTAACCATGACAGAGCACACCAACCTTGCTCTGCCTGACTGTTGCCTACATTCCCCCGCATGAGACGGACTGTTTGCAAGGCACTGTAGAAGGACCTGAAGACTATTGATACTCATTGGGTCTTGTGCAGCCGACATCGCTCTTCTTTTCCCACCATCAAAAGATCATATTTGCCCCTTCATCAAGCGCGTTTGAATGATTCCTTCTCCATCGGCGATGAATCCACTAACATACGCATGCCGTTGATTCATTGGCCAATGTCGCTGGCAGCCTGATGACTCGATATCCCCGACTGCTCGGCGAGCTCGGCTGTATCGCTGGTGATCGCCTTTTTGACCGCGTTACACACGTCTATATAAACACAGTCTGTCGACTCCAGAGCAGAGGGAAGACCAAAGTCTAGTCTAGTAACAGAGTCATTCCGAGCTCAATCCACGAGCTGCTCTCTTTTCAACATGTCCTCATCCACCACTCTCTACCAACGTGCCCAGGAAATCGACTCGATCGCAACATCCTCTCTGCTCTCCCAAGCCAACACCAGCCTCTCCCAGGCTCTTTCCCATGCCCTTGAAAACTCCGCAGCCAACGGGGTTCCCCCCATAACTGTCTCGCCCCTGCAAGGCCAATACCTGGCGATCCAAGCGCAGCTGATCAACGCAAAGAACATCCTCGAAGTCGGCTTGTTGGGAGGATACTCGACGCTCTGGTTCTTGAGTGCCGGTGCCCATGTCACTTCTTTGGAGATTCACCCTCATCACCGTGACGTGGCGCTGCAGAACCTCAAGCATGCGGGCTACGAGGAGGGAAAGGACTTTGAAATCATCCTCGCACCCGCCCTGGATAGCCTCCCACGCCTTCTCAAAGAACAACAAGGCGGCAAAAGAGGAAAATTCGACTTGATCTTCATCGACGCGGACTGGTCCCAGCAATACGACTATTTCCAACACGCCGTGCAACTCGCGCGTCCGAATGGGTGCATTTACATCGACAACGTGGTCCGCAATATCCTCGAGGGATCTGATAGCGAAGCGTTTCAATCTGGACGGAAGGAGACTTTGCCAGTCAAGGTAGGCAAGGACGACAGAGTAAGGGCCACGCTGGTGAGTGTGGTCAGCAGTCACAAGGGAGATGAACGTGAGACGTTCGATGGGTTTCTCTTGGCCGTTGTTAAGGGATAAGAAACAAAGAGCCTGGGGTTGTTATCAGACGTGGTTCATTCTGCCAAACATGAGAATTGGTAGACATGGAAACGCACTTGCCTCAGTCGTTATGCTCCATATTTGAACAGCCTTTTCGAGTTCGTCTTCTGGTCCATTCGTCTTCGCGTCCTTATATACAGCGCATTGCTCACAGGACTCACTCTCTCCTCATTACACCTCCTTGATAAAGCCCACCTCGACACCGGCACAGGCACATTCAAAGCCTGGACTTTCGTTCGCGTATTACCCCGTAGCCACAAAACTTCTTCCACCAACCCAACCATAGCAGCTTGATTCTTGTAAAGGTCTGTCACTGGTGAGTGTTGCTGTGCAGCTGCAGAGACAAGTAGGCTGCCCTTTACCTGTTTCTTCTTGAGGTTTCGGTCCTGGATTTTAGTCGGCTCTATATCTTCATTTCTCAAACACCTTCCCGAATTCGAAGCACAAATGCTTCCAACCCCCGCAACCTCTCTGCTTCTCAATGTGTAGAAGTGTGATGCCACAGGCTGGATTGCACTGTCAGATTGGATGCGAGGGCGCGCCATTTGGTCATGGCTGCATCATGTTCCGCAGTGACTTGTCAGTTTCGCCAAATCCCTGTCAGAGCCACAAAAGTCGGCAGGTGCTGAGTAAAGAAAGAGGAATCGAGGAGAGAACGAGACCGCCATGTGGGCTCCCGACATGAAATAAGACCTGTGAGAGGAGCAGGATGCCCGCGTGGTAGCCCCATTTCCGTTGGCATTCCGGCAGAGCTGGGGACAGTGCATGGCTATTTGACAGGGTACAGTGCATGGATCTGCATCGCCACGATGCCGTTATCCCACATACCCCACCGCTTAGACGAGACCAAGCGCATGGCGTCCTCGCAAGCGGCCAAATGGCCCAGCCTGGTCTGGGATTGAGAGGGAAGAAATATGAGAAAAGAATGTGTCAGAAGCATGGAAGAGCAGAGAACAAAGTCCTGGGCACAAAAGGAAGCTCTCTCGGTCCATAAGCAGTGCTCAATACAGCCTGTTGAGAGCTTCTTCTGTCACTCCTCGACGGAAAGAAGGTGCATGACCGCGTTGACTTGTCCACTGGAGAAGATATGGGGCAGGAGCTAGGAGCTGCATTGCATTTTCGATGCGTCAACAACAACCGAGCGAGGAGGATCCCGGGGAATGCATGGTAGATAAAAATCCCTCATGCCAGGGAAAGAGACGATGCGATGAGGTTCGAGATACTAGGAGCCGGGCGCGGTGAGCCGATGAAGTGGAGGGATCAGGGTAGACAATGGTCGCACGCTTGAGCTGCTCTAGCGCCGGCAAATGGGCCATGGACCAGTCGAAGATCGTCTCACCAGGTCGCTGCTGTTCCGTTTATCCGGCAGCTGTACTTTTGACCTGTCTCTTCCTTCAGGACCTGTTCATTCTGTTACCTTCCACGACAATTCCATCACGAGCCTGGACCAAATGGTGTTGCAGTCGAGAAGGAGCGTGGCTTGAAAGTGCTGGACGTCAGAATCGTGCTCTTTGATCATTTGTGCGCGGGCTTGTCGAAATTGAAATATATGGCGGATTCGAGCCAGGTCCCTGAAGCTTGCCCACTGCAAACACTTGAGTCCAGCAGGAAGGATAAATATATGGTTCCTGACCACAGCCACGCTTTGGTTTTCCCTTCGTCATTCTATCCTCTTCTTGCCTTCTTCCATAAACCCCATATTTGCCGTGCTAATATTTCTCAGTCTTCTATCCTTGCCACTTGCCGCCGCGATGAGCGGCCCAACAATTTTGTCCTTGTGAGCTCGCGACAACGCCTCCGAATACCCCTCAGTCGCGAATGATGGGGTGTTGAGTTTCGGCCAATTGACATACAACAATCCATGTGCATAGATGAACTGGAACGCCCACCCCGCCACAACCAAACACAGAATAACAAAAATACGCAGGGGCCAGATTGCTGCGTCCGGCGGTCGCCGAGTGACAAGTGACACAAACACAATAAACAACGACGCGGCCAACATATATGGCACGGCTTGAATGATGAGCGGTCTCCGGTCTGTAAACATCAAAGAAGATCCGACGCCATAGGTGGACGGCAGATAGGAGCCCAAGAAGAGGTCGAAGCCGTCCTGTCGCGGGCCATCCAGAAAATTGTTGCGGATATACCGCGTGGCAGAGTTGTTGAAATCCTGTACCGCCCCAGCTTTTGTGCGTTTTCCAGTGCGCGTGTAGTCCGTCTTCAGTGCGCCGGTTCCCGAGTACGAGTTCGAGACCACATCTGCGTTGTCGGCCCAGATGTTGCGGAACAGGAACTCGAATGCTGTGTCGTCTTGTGCCCTCTCACCAGGTTTCAGGATACCGACATCTTGAAATTGTTGAGTCAAGGCCCATCTACCCAACATACTCTGGACCACGTTTGTCCGATCTAGGCAGTCCATGCAATTGGTGCGGACCACTGCGGTCTGCCGGGATCTAACTTCGAGAGCTCCAGATGGGTCACCGGGCATTTCGACGCCCCGGAAATACTGCCCTTTCCTCAAACCATCGATCAGCTCATCTAGCAGGAGCTCGGCACGATGCCATTTGTACCCTTTGGTTTCACTGTGGAAATCAAAGTAAATATAGTGCAGCTTGTCCATTCTCTGGTGGCCGCTCTGGGGTTCAATGTCTCGGAACTTCTCGTCCGTCCGTGGGTCGGCTTCGACGGACTCTTCTGGCGAGTTGACGAGGATTCGAACCATCTGTTCATAAGCCTTCTTCACCCGTTCCTCCCGGCCGCGCTGATTGACCAGGTTGACCAGGTAATTTTCGCCGTAGATTCTGATCTGCTCGTCAAAGTGCTTCCGTGCGGCATCGACCGCTGATTCCACACCCCTGATTTGCAGCTTGGGTGTGTAGCGAAGATCGTTGATCTCAGCCCAGAAGACAGGGACACTACCTGATGAACATGTTAATGCCGGTGTCAGTTGAGAAGAACACGTTTTGCTTACCGCGGGTCTGAAGATATGACATGACCTGGGTCTCTGTGGACTGGCTTGCGGCGGTTCCATTCTGTATACCTTGCCCGCCAGCGTAGCCCGTCGGACCTGACGCATCATTCAGCAAAGCAATCTGCTCCGTCTCGTTGAAGTTGGCCACGTGCCCTTCATCATCAATGCCCCGGGAGAAGTATCTTGTCCCACCACGAAATCTAGACCTCCTGGTGATGAGAGCAAAAGTGAACGAAGTGTTCTTGACCTTGGCCGGAGTGATACGCAACATGCCAGTAATGACCGGAAGAATATATGGATCCGCGCCAGGTTGTTGCTGTCCCCGCAGCCCTCCTAGCCTGAAGTCGATCAGGTCTGTCTGGACGAATCTGTTCCAAAAGAAGCGATCGTCTGCTCTCTTCCACATGGGCTGCGAGAGATCTGACTCGGACTGGCGCTGGAAGCTGGAGGTTATGTCAATCGAGTAGGAGAAATACATGGGGCTCGAGGTAAGCAATGCCTTGAGGTAGGAGAGGTAGGTATCTTCGTCGGGGTCGCGGACGGGCCTTTCTCGTAGGGGGAGAAACTCTGTAGCAACGACTTTGTAGATCATGTGGCCACGTAGTCTGCCCATCGGCTGTGCTTTGGTGATGACAATGATGTACTTGTCCAGCTTCAGTTTGATGATGCCCAATATTCCAGCAATGCTCGACACTCGTTTTGCTCCCAGGAGAGATCCATCGTTCAGTCGAATATCCCCTGAAGGTCTCTCCACCACCAGAGTCGGTGCAGAGGAGTTGGAGGGCGAGGTGAAAGCGTAATGGCTGGTGGAAGCGTGGACGTTGATGTCCCGGAAGGGCAACAAATTGGCCATTGCGAAAAGAGCTCGAGCTCGAGAGTGGTGGCAGAGAGGCCTTTGTCGAGGTCTTTACTACCGTACCATGATTTGGGTGTAGGAGAAGCGTTGGAAGATAAAGAAGTCGTGGAAGAGGGAGCGGGAGAGGCTGCGTAACTGCTGGCCGTTGTTTGTGGCGGTGATTTGCTGCCTTCGTCATCTCCTTGGCCCCCGGTCTCTCAGATCTTCCCCAACTCACTCCAGACAATAACACCACCGCCCAAACAATCATCAAACGTACCAAATTCTTCTTGAATCGTTACTCTGAGTCCAAGGCCGATCTCCAGAGACCCATTCAACACCTCAACGCTAGTCAGATACCAATCGCAGCCCGATCATGGCCGCTCGAGCTCCCGCAGGCCGACCAGGCGCAGGCGGCAGGTTCGCCCAATTCAAGCTCGTCCTTCTCGGTATGTTGAGGACAACTCTCTCCTCCTAAGCCACTAATTAATGCCGTCTAGGTGAATCGGCAGTAGGAAAGGTACTTTGCCAACCAACTCCGGCGTCTCCCTTGCGACCCATGCCGTTCTAACAGATCTTCCTTTCCCCAGAGCTCGTTAGTCCTCCGTTTTGTCAAGGATCAATTCGACGACTACCGCGAGTCCACCATCGGCGCCGCATTCCTCACTCAAACGATATCATTAGACGAGAACACAACCGTCAAGTTCGAGATATGGGATACCGCGGGTCAAGAGCGATACAAATCTCTCGCCCCCATGTACTACAGGAATGCGAACTGCGCCGTGGTTGTTTACGATATCACCCAGGCTGTACATGCCCCTGCCACTCTAAAACTGGTTGAACAACAACTAATAGTGCTTGCCAGTCATCCCTCGATAAGGCCAAGTCATGGGTCAAGGAACTCCAGAGACAGGCCAATGAAAACATCATCATTGCCCTTGCTGGTAACAAACTCGACATCGTTGAAGAGTACCCCGACAAGCGGGCCATTCCGACGGCCGACGCAGAAGCATATGCGAAAGAAGCCGGCTTGCTCTTTTTTGAAACATCGGCAAAGACGTCCACAAACGTCAAGGAGTTATTCACCGCCATTGCAAAGAAACTGCCCTTGGATCAGGCGGGGCCCAGGAATTTGAGAGCGACTCCCAGACCCGGTGTGGACTTGAGACCGGAATCGACTGGGACGCAAGGCGCCGGGAATTGCCAGTGTTGATTCCCTACGCAGTCCCAACCCAGTAGCCGCTCTCTGAGATTGTTCATGTCCGTCTTCCCAAGGGTTTTGATCTAGCAGGCGCAAGATGGGAAGGTATTGTGTGGGGGCTAGGGCGCGGAATGCTGGATAGGGGATCTGGACTTCGCAAATGCTAGCCTCGTCGATGTCAACCATCTAACAACACACTCGACACTGGGAATCTCTCGATGGCGGAATTCGACCGGGACAATACCGAGGCTCTCGAGAAAGGCGTCCCGGGAGAAGTTCTCCCTGAATCGACACCGCCCGTCGACATTCATCATTGTGATATACTTTGCCAGGCAGTGCCACAGGCGTTTCTGAGAACAGTTATCCGTGCCCAGGGTTGTGTGGCGTTTGTTTTTATCGAGCACAATCCTCTAATGCCTAGAGATACAATTGTTTCGAGATTTTCTGAGCCGACGTCTTCATCCTGATCCATTACTCTGCGTCTCACCCTTGGTGCCATTTATAGCCTTCTCGTCTATTACACAGATCCGCCGCTCCTGTTCCCAGCTTTGTCCCCAACCAACCCTGCCATCTCCAACAATGCCCTTGCCCCATCCTTATCCCCTCCAAAGTTGACTCCTCTGCGTCGTGCGGCCTCGGCCTCCTCCCACGCGAGACGCTTTTTCTGCTTGATCATCTCATCATCTTCTTCTGCATTACTGGCGGTGAGCGAGCCGGTGCGGGCGAGGGGGAAGGAGATACCCCAGACTTCGAGCGTGTCGAGGTCGAATTCCGCCCTTTTCGGTTGCGTGGTTTCCCGTTGATGTTTCTGTGCCGTCTCCAGGCCCGGGTCGGTCATGAAGGCACCGACCCCGGCATCCCCGTCGTGCTGAAATGTGCACGTCGACATGTCGCTATCGATCAGCACGCTCACCGGCCCCAAAATTGGTGGGGCAGGTGGACCTGTACGAGACTGCTGCGGCGGGATCACGCAGCCCAGCGCGATGCCTGTTTTCGAGTTGAAGTACGAGAAGGGAATCGTGCGGTTATACTGGTTTGCGAGGAACACGCAGTGGCGGGGGAGGAGTTGGAAGAGGCAAGATGCTTTGGAAGGTCCGTCGGGTGAGGAGGAGGGAGGCGTTGGCTTCTCGCGCCACGGTTCGGGAAGGTATGCGCCGATGATGATTGGGTTGTTTGTATCGGGAAGCGTGCCGGAGATGAGGACTAATGTCGAAGATTGCCACGAGTGGACTTGGCGAGAGAAAGAGGACAAGGAGGTGCCGTGGGATGAAGTCGAGTACAGTTGGTTGAAGCGGGCATTGGAGGCGAAGATGTTCTTGAGGGAAGAAGAGCTTGAGGAGGAAGCAGAAGTGGAGATCTGCAGGGACATGGACATTTGAGCGAGGAGGGTGTCGGTAAAGATGGTGCTGAAGGTGGTGTCTTCGGGTGATTTATAGATGGGTGATGCTATGGCATCGACTGTCTCAACGGCTGGTAAAGGGCCACGTTGCTTGTTGAGGTTGAAGTTCTTACTGAACAGGAAATGCTCGAACAGGGCATTAAGAGGCTCGAACAGATCAGGCAAGGTCGTTGTGACGGTCTTGACGAAGTTGGGATACCTGATTCCCCCGCTGTGAGGTTCTGGGTCAAAGGCTGCCACGATGGCATCCGCCGAGGTGTTCAGAGCGTGGAGACGCTCCGCATCCAGACGTTCGCCGTAGATTGCCAGCGTGGTCAAAGGTGTGACGCCAGCGACGAGCAGCAAGAGGGCGATGAGTTTCTTGAGGTTTTCTGCAGGGATCAATGCATGGTTAATCTTGCGATTCGTCTTTTGGTCGTGCTTGAAGACTTCGATGGCGTCAAGCGAATCAAGCGCCGCAAGAGCAAGGTCGTCGTCGTCTTCGTCCTCATCATCATTCACCGGCTCGTCAATGGCAAACCCAGCGACATGAGAGCTGACACCCTGCTCGACTTCGCGCTCCTTCAACATGTCGTCCGGGAGCTGCTCCTTCACAATGTCCTCCATATTCGGCCTCTCCTTCGGCGAGGCTACACTGTGACGCCGATCGAAGACCGCCAGACTTCTGAACAACAGTTTGATCTTGTCCTGATCGCCTCGCTTCAACACCTTCTTGTACCTACCCGTCATGATGGTGATGACCTTCAACATGGCCTCTCTGGTCAATATACATGGGGCTAGACTCGGGAATGGGAACGCCCCAAGGTATGTACACATGTGATACAAGACCGGTCCCGCCTTGAGTGGCTCTGGGAGGGCAAGGAAGCCGCATAACGTGTCTTCCTTCCAGTATTCGACATCTTCCTGGTGATCTGCCAAGGTCTTGAAGTTGTCTTTGTAGTGGGCTATCTCTAGATGGGTGTAGCATTTAGAGGCAAAGCGGAGGGCCAATTCATGGCTCAGTTGCTCTGGATGAGTGAGTCGACATCTGACAGACCCAAGGAAGGCTGCGTCACTGATTGAAATGGTTCACTCACCGACTGGGATCTCTCTCGGCGGCTGTGAGGATTGGGATTGACCCATCTTTACTTCGTTTAGTCTCAAACTACATCGGTATGGACGGAAGCGATATAAGATTCTAATAGAGTCATTGCTGAATCCCGACAATATGTCCTCAGATAAGTGGTGGTCAGACCACACACACCCAAGGCATGACTTTCTTGGGACTTTCTTGGAACTGCTTCTTCATCAGGCAACCACAATGCTCCACCATACACAACTTACGGGGCTTCAGGACTGACTTCGGCGCAAACCTTGAATGCTTCTGGCGTCGGAAAAAAATTCTTGGGCACTGCGAAAGAAGCGTGGCGCTCATGACGCCTGCTCTAGAATGAGGAGATGGATTCTCAAATGTCCTACTCATCTCCGACTCATAGTCCGCAGCTCTGCAACAAAGTCTACCGCCATGGCGCGGACGTACGCTGTATGTGTCACGAGCGGCTCGACTTTGGGGACAGGACTGACCACTCTACAGGATGCAGTAACCTCGCTGAACACTCTTCAGTCCAACTTTGCAATTGTCGATGCCGTCCGCAAGTCTGGAGGCAGGTTGAATGAACTGTCCATCCCTGAGATGGTCGAATGGTGCCGCAAGATTGGATACCAAGTACGCGACAACCAAGCCCGCCAGAAGCAGTCATGCTACCTACCCAACTAACCCTCGCCTGCCTAGCCTACGGATTTGAATGCGTTAAAGGTGATACACATAGCTGGAACCAAGGGCAAAGGGTCGACTGCAGCCTTCACCTCGTCCATCCTCACTCAGTTCGTTGGAGAAAAAGAGGCGAAATCCTTGTCAAAAGTTGGCTTGTACACATCTCCACATCTTCGATTTGTTCGAGAACGCATCCAGATCAATGGAGAACCTCTGTCGGAGGGACAATTCGCCCAGTATTTCTTCGAGGTCTGGGATAGGCTGGAGAATGTCGCGAATGAAGCAGGACAAGACCCCCGGGCTCCCGGATCGAAACCCGTCTATTTCAGATTCCTCACCTTGATGGCCTTCCACACCTATATGAGGGAAAAGGTTGACGTTGCTGTGATTGAGTGTGGCATCGGTGGTGCTTATGACAGTACAAACATCTTGGAATCTCCAGCCGTCACTTGTATCACAAGCCTCGGCATAGACCATGTCGGCATGCTCGGTTCCACAATTGGCGAGATTGCCTGGCACAAGTCTGGCATCATGAAGAGCGGCGTCAAGTGTTTCACCCCGAGCACTCAGCCTGCGGAAGCGAAGGCCGTGATGGAGCGAGTCGCAAACGAGAAGGGCAGCGTGCTCCAGTATGTGGACGTCGATCCAGCTATCGCCAGCGGTGACATCAAGCTCGGACTCCAAGCAGACTTTCAGAAGATGAATGCTAGTCTTGCTGTCGCTTTGGCGAAGACGTGGTTGAACCAGCAGGGTTACGCAGACGACCTCGACTACAAGCAAAAGTTTGCGCGTGGGTTGGAAACTGTCCGGTGGCCTGGCAGATGTGAGACACGGTTAGAGCCAGGAATAAAATGGTGCATTGATGGTGGCCACACCCTCGAAAGCATTGAGCTGGCAGGGAAGTGGTTCGCTTCTCAACTCATGACCAACAAGGACTCTCCAGGACCCCTTCACCCCCAGCCTCGTTTCTTGATCTTCAATCAACAGACACGCGACGCCGCTTCGCTCGCGACAGCATTATTCAACACGTTGTCGACGGCACTTGATGAACCCCACCCGTTCACCCATGCTATTTTCTGCACCAACACGACATTCAAGGACACGGGATTCAAGCCCGATCTCATTTCAGTCAATACCAATGCATCAGACGTTGAGTCAATGAAAGTGCAGAATAACCTCGCAGAGACATGGAGAGGCATTGATTCGTTGTGTCGGGTCGAAGTGGTGAGAACGATTGAAGAAGCAGTCAGTCTCGTCCGCAACTTTGCGAATGACCACCACCAGCAGGTCGCCGGAACAGACAATGAGGAAGTGGCGGCGTTGGTCACGGGTAGCCTACACCTCGTTGGAGGATTCTTGGAGGTTTTGGAGAGTACGATATCCGAATAAAAGGGATGGATTGAAGCTCATCAACTGATGCGATGATCTAACGAGTTTAATAGAAAAAGTGCAAGAACGGCCTCATCGCGAGTAAACTTGCGGGATAGAAATGATACCCATGTATGTTTATAAACAAGAAATCTCACAATCACGAAACTGGAAACAAATTTTAGATGTAGGTAAAAACATCGCTTTCGTCGTCAAAACGCCGAATAATCAAGCAAGAATCCAAGATGCGCTATTTTCTATACATTGCTCACAGGGCGTGATACTTTCCAAAAGGTCGTCAGAACTCATCTTTTTCTCATCCCTCACTGTGAACTCTTCAGAAGCCCGTTTCAATGCCTCCAATTTCTCCCCACGGTCGGACTGACAGGACTGATTGTGCTGAACAGACTCCTCCTGTGCTCCTCGTCCTGGGGCATGGACTCGCCTGGGCGCGTGGGACTGGGCAGGGTTCCGATCCCGCTGCTCGCGCTCTCGTTGCCGTGCTGATACTGGGACCAGCGTGACGGGTCATTGTCAGCAGGCAATTCGTGGGCGACGCCGCCGCCGCCGCCGACGCCGCTCTGCCGGCGCGACCCCGGTTCTTCCTGCTCCTCGATGATGGGCTGCACGGAACTGCTCTCGCTGCTGCGCTCCCTGTCGAAGGGGAATCGCGTCGCGTTGGTGTTGCGCGACCGGGTGTTGTTGTTGCCGCGCCAGTTGTTCTGGGTGGCTGGGAACGGCCACGCGAGCGTCTCGTTGGTGCCCGTCGACGAGTAGTTTGACGAGCTTGAGTTCTCGGCGCTGGGGCTGGATATCTCGGACGCGGCGCCTAAGCGCGATCGACGGAGCCGAGATGCTGCAGCCCCAGCGCCGGCACCGGCGGCGGCGGCGGCAGCAGCGTTGCCGTTGTTGTTGCCGTTTGTGGGGCCTGTGCCATTGCCATTGCCATTGACGCTGTTGCTCAACGGAGACGGGCGGTAAACCTCCTCGGAGGAAGCCGACTGTGAGTGCGTGTGGCCGAAATTGGCGTTGTACGCGTAGTCGACGATGCCCGAGTGCCGCGGATGGCCGAGATTGTTGTACGGCGTGGCCAGTTCGTAAGGTGGTTTTGGACGTTCGGTATTGTTGGCCATCTCGTGACGCTCCGGTTGCAGGGGCGGGGTCGGTTCCTCAGACAGCGAAGTGTACCCAACCTGCTGCACCTCTGGCGGCGAGCTTTGCGAGGATTGATGGTGTGGTGAGGGCCGTTTCGGACTCCCCCCGGCGCATGAAGCCCCGTTCAGCCATCGCGTGATCCGGCTGTTGCTGGAGTGCGAGGATTTCTCTGAAGAGCCGCTGTTGATGATCCGACGGCGCCGGATCAGGAGGAAAAGAAGGATGAGGAGGAGGATGAACATGACGGCGGCGGCGACACTGATGCCGATGATGGCGCCTTTGCTGACTCCCGAGTGTCCACCGTCCGACGAGCCCGTCGAGGAGCCGTTGACCGGGTACGGGTAGTAGTGCGTGATCTGTCTCGAGTACGATTTCGCAAAGATTCCAGCTAGCGCGCCGTCTGACCAGGCTGCCGTTTTCGTTGAGCCTCCCTGACCGTTGCCGCCGATGGCTTTGGTGACGGCGGCGGGCACCTGATAGTCTGACCAGGTCGAGGGATCGTAGGTGTTCTGGAACTCGAGATTGTTGAGGTTGAAGATCTGGATGATGCCTCCCTCTACACACTCGGCCTGGTTCTGATGCACTCCTCCAATGACAAACATTTGGTCAGGATAGGGAGTGACACAACGATGGCCCGAGCGGCCGTGAGCCTGGTTCCCGCTGTACGCCTTGATCCACTGGAAGGACGGGATCGACAGAATCCAGACGTCGTCCGAAGGCTCATCGTCTGCGTTCAATCCGTCGTAGCCACCGTAGATGTAGACGTTGAATGACGACGAATCCTTGGCTGTTGCGACGACGGAGCAGAACTCTGTGAGCTGGCCCGGGGCTTGCCCGGTGGTGTTTTGCAGATACCATGTGCTCGAAGCGATGTCGTAGACCGGCAGGGTCGTCATGAACCCAGGACTCTGCGCTTCACTCTGAGAAGTCTGTGAGCCGTTCAAGCCGGTCGCCCAGATCTCCTCGGGCGCCGTGACGCCGCCAATCGCGACCAGGACGCCGTTGTCGGAGACGGGGATCCATACCAGTTCGGCGTTGGCGCGCGGCTGGATGTTGTCCGGGAGCGTTGTGTTGGTCCATTTCTCGCTACGCATGACCGACATATCAACCTCGATCAACGTGTTTGCTGTCACATTGGCAGACGAGTCCTCGTAGTATATTGGGCCCCAGGTCGGCGACCGCATGCCGCTGAAGTAGAACCCCAGGTTTTCACTGGGCGCAGACACCCCCGCGCCATTTGTGATGTATCTCGTGACGCCGTCCGGCAGACTCCCTTGGTAGAAGCCAGGGCTCCAGCTGGTTCTGTCCGGGCCATACTGGTAGGCTTCATATCCCAGGACGGTTTCGGCGCTTTGGGGGGACACAGAATCTGTGAGACGAGGGAGACCACTATCATCAGGGAAATGTAAGTAGCCTTCTTAGAGACACACGGCATCGAGAAGTCCGAAAACAGGACCTACCCGTAGAGATACAACTCCCCATCATTAGTGAACATGGTGCCATCGACATAGTTTGGCGCAATGTTGTTTCCTGCGCCACCTGCCTTGGACATCCGATCAAACAAGCCCGACACATTCGTTTTGGTGGTGTCAAACGGCGTCGAGAAGTTCAAGACGAACATGTCCCCTTCGACGTTGCCATCACTGCTCACGACAGGCGCCGTTCCATCTGCAAAAGCCGTCTGCCACCACAGCAGACCACCGTCAAGGTAGAGAGCATCACGGATGACGCCAGCCCTTAACCGAGCCCAGTTGCATATCGTATAGTTCTCCTGGACGGATATGCCATGCACAACCCTAAGCAGCAAACCCCCAAGCACAATGGAAGTTGGAAACAATTTCATAGCGAGTTAGTTATATTGCACAGGTTCGGGGTGTCATCTCTGTTCATCAGATCACTGAAGCTGAACTCGAGTCCCCCACCAACAAAAGCATTGAACAATTTACCTTGGGGTAGAATTCCAGAGCGTATATTTTCGCCGGAGAGGAGAAACCGTGCGCTTTGAGACATGCCTCGTATTGATACTTACCGATCATCATCAGGAGCCAAATTTGCCACCTGGAGGACTATCACTACATCAGATCGTTGAAGCAGCGTTTGCCCTAGACTCTCTCGCAGTTTTTCAGGGTCTTTATCGCCATCATGGCCTGAGTCCGGAATGGCGCTTGTAGCCAGGGACCATGCGTCATAGTAATGAGTCCGGCTTGTCTTGATGCTGAGTCTCAGTGGAACTGCGCCTCTGATATCAGAGAGAACAAATGGAAGTGCAGACCCTGGCACGGGCCAAGAGAGACAAGTGGAGGACATCAGGGACAATCGTACCTGGAACCGGGCATGGGTAGCGTTCCTGTGTAGGTTTTCCCTGGTCTCTGAACTCCGAAGAGCACAAAATCCTGCCATGATAGGCACCTAGGCGAGCATAGGGACGAGCTGTGAGTCGTCAATGGCACCTTGGACAGAGACATATGTCGAGGCTAGATCAACCCGTGCCGTGCGCTTATGCTGTTGCCAAACCAGCAAACCGGTTTTGAAGACACATCAGGCCCAAAAGGGTGTAGCGGAACCGGCGGGGTCGGCGGGGTCAGCGACTCAGCGGGAACCTGGGCAAGGCTTGGTTGGAGTCCGTTGGAAGGTGGGAAGGTTGGACGAGGCTCCACCCGCCGCCGGCGGAAACTGTCTCCAGCTTTCAACGTCTCTTCCCACCACTTCCCATCACTTCCCATCCTCCATGATCGCCCATCCATCGCCCATCCCACTTTCACCCCGACTAGACAACATATGGCAAGGTCTCCGAACGCGAGCTTCCTTCGAAAATGGCTGATGCGTCCACTGATTGGCATACCTCCATCTGCTTCTGGCAAGGCAATGCCCCATGCAAAGCCAGGAACGTCACCGACCTGCATGACCCGGACTTCCTCCAACGCCCAATGGCATATGTCAGGAAAAGCCCGATGCCATGTGGCGTGTCTGGTTCAGCCATCCCATTAACTTGGGAGCTGATGCCAGGGCATTATCACTTGTCCCCCAAGAGCTTTCCAATGATGACGGCAAGTCTTTCTCCAAGCGAACAAAATCCTCCTTGGAGCATTCTACTTGACCGCTGAGTGTGGCAGCTCTTGAAGCTTTCATTACTCCCCAACCCTACCTTTCGTTCGCTTTAAGCTCGTCCCTTTCGTTCATTCATCAATCATTCGCTTTTACAGCTTCGAGCTCTGGTTGGTCGAGTCATGAGTGCACTGTAAGGAGGAGAGGAAGCAGTCGTCTGAGGCTTTGAGAAGAAACACGATCAAACATGCATGCATCACTCGGCCGCCTGGCCAGTCTGTCGTTCGCATTCCGTTTTGCTTTTGCTCAGTCGACGACGCTCACCGTCGAAACTGTGCCGGCTCCTCCACCGCCGCCAGTTATACCGGTCGGAAGTATCCTTACCACCACGACGTTAGAGGAGACCGTGTTATACACATGTCCGCCGGCGCCGACGATTTTCATTAATGTGACTGAGACTGAATATGTGCCGCTCACTTCCACCACCACGGCTTCTTACTTCGAGACCGATACAACCACTCTCCCAATCACCATATTCCAGACCATCATCTCAACCACCATCTTGACCACGGTTGGTGCTCTTTCTCTCGGGGAGTGGCTGGAGGCGCTTACGTTCGCAGACCGAGATAGTGACGGAAACATCAACGACCGTCTCGATTACCCCTACCACGGCGACGTTGATTGAGACGTCAACAACACTCTCGATCAGCCCTACCACTGACACACTGACCGAGACATCCACCACCGTCTCCATCAGCCCTACCACTGACACTGCGACGCTGACAGAAACATCAACCACTGTCTCGTCGACGACTAATACAGAGACAGCAACCGAAATCATCTCGGTGTACGAGGTAACCTCTCAGGCGACGAGCATTACACTATGTCCCACCCGAATTGCCAACCCAACCTTCACCGCGCTTGGTCCATATCCCACCGACTGGACGTAAGTTTGCCTTGCGGACTTCCAAGTCTAGCACCGTTGCCGTCCTCGCATTGAGCTTGGTCTTATAATTGTCTTACTGCCCTTTGTTGAACTTCGGCTAACAAGACTCTTATTCATCAGATGGGGATGTCCTCCTGGTTGGCTGTGCAAACCTCTTCAGCAGAATTGCAATTTCGAGGCTGGCATACCCGACCGAAACTTTTACTGCAGCCCGAATGAGTGCATTCCTGCCAATGCGTTGCCGACCCCGCTACCCACCTGGGACGCGGATATCTATGGCAATGTCACTCCGGTGACCGATCCCGCGCTGCACATCGACGCCATCCAGAATTACTTCAACATGGACCCGATCGACTTCGGGCTGACGTATGAGATCTTTGTCGTGAACGAGGTCTTCACCCTGACCACGACCATCTTCGAACCCCCGAGTCCCACCGTCGCCGCAAGGCAGGCCCAAACCAGCATCCCGGGCGCCTGTTATCCGTGGTGCAACAACTGTCTGCTGGAAGCCCAGGCCAACGGCAAGACGTCGGCACTCTGTGTCCCCGGCTCGGCCTTTGACGTATCTCTGGTGCAATGCGAGCAGTGCATCGACTACCACAAGTCCGACGACAGCGGCAGTTTCGTGGAGATTGCGCCCCAGTTCCAACAATTCCTCGACTACTGCAACCAGTTCTCGACCGTGGTCGTCACCACCTCTGTCGTGGCGACCACAACCAACGCCGCAGGGTCGGTATACAGTACAGTGTCTGGTACGTTGTCGACCACCGTGGTCCCCACGAGTGCACCACCTCCGTCATCGGTCGCCAGCCAGCCGACGTCGGTCGTGACGGTAGTTGCCTCGACCGCGACCTTGACGCCATCGTCATCGCCACCACCACCACCGCCATCGACGACCGTTTCCAGCTCGTCAGTCCCCGTGACGACCTTGTCGTCGTCATCCCAACCATACACCACGACCGCAACGGTCGTGACCACCTCTTATTCCCACGTCACCGTCTCCGGCCCGGCGTGGTCCCAAGTCACCATCATCCTGCCCGTGAGCCACAACAGCACCACCACCGTGTACGGAAGCCAGTTGACGAGCGGCGGCGCGACCCTTGTCCTGCCCACCTCGCCCCACACAACCAGCTACACCACGACCATGACGGTGACTCCCGGCGCCGAGCAGATTTCCGGCGCATCCGTCGTCGCCGCGAGCACATCCTCCTCGGGCCACGCAACCTCACACACCTCCTCGACCACCGCGTCGCCGTCGACCTTCACCGGCGCGGCCGCCGCAATCAGACTCCGCGCATCGACAGATGCCCACCACCAGCAGCAATCAACGGCGCTCGGGTTGATCATTTGCTTGGCATTCATGCTGGTGTTGCTGTAAAGAGTTTCGGGCTCAAATATTTTCTTTCTCTCCGCCCAACCCCCACACCAGCGCGAGAAAAAGAAAGAGCTTCTCGCTCTAGATGGTTTTGCATTTTCCGCGGTTTTTTTTTTTTTTTGCTGGTTTCTGAACATCCGAGAAAATGAGATTTCATGCACACACGTACACGACCTATAGAAGTCCCCACCCCCTGAGAGAGAATGTAAGGGCCCGGGGGGAAGAAAATCCTTTAATTAATTGGCCTTATGGCACCACCCACTATTGGCGATGGTGATGGCGATGGCGGCGGCGGCGGTGGTGGTGTTGGCGATGATGAGGGCGGCAAGGGTGATACATTGTGGGGAAGACCGCTCTGATCTCCCAGGGTTGGTTGCGATTCCAGCCCACCGAAGAACATGGCCAGTATTGTTGTATGGAAGGTTACGCATGAGCTTTAATGATGATGTTGGATGTCGGATGTCGGATGTCGGATGATGGACGGAAATGTAGGCCCCAAGGAGGAAATAGTAAATAGGGAACAAGTCACTCAGTACTAGTATTCAGCTATCACATAGCTACTAATAGCTAGATGAGGCTCCAGAATTATTACTGTATACCACGCCTTTTCCTTTTTTTGGGGGCAGATTGATGGTGAGAAAACCTAGTTCATTCGACGTAAACCCGACGAAAAATTGCTACATGGAACAAAAAACCAATACAAAACACAGATTTGACAATCCCGACTTTTTCAAACTGCCTGCGGCTCAGCCCCGATGCCGTTCTGCCTGGCATCCTCGTTCATCTTCTGCTGCTCCTTCTCCGGCACGAGCGGCAGGTTCGTGTAGATGGTCCTCTTATTCGCCAGGCCCTCGGCGGTCAGACTCTGGCCGTCAGCCCCGGCGACGGCGACGTTCTTGTGCACGTGGCCGTTGATGACGATGGCGTGCAGTTTCGACGTGTCCTGGAAGACCTCAATGTCCTCGAGCGGGTCGCCGTCCACGAGGACCACGTCCGCGTAGTACCCCGGCTGGACCTTGCCCAGCTCTTCCGGGTGGCCCATAATCTCGCCGCCCAGCGCGGTCGCGGCAATCAGGCTTTCCTTCGGCGTGTACCCGAACAGGTTGACGAAATGGGCGAGATCGCGCGCGTACGTGCCGTGCGGAGCCCACGCGAAGCCGTAGTCGCCGCCGGGGAGGACGCGGACGCCGCGGCGGTGCAGCTCGCGCATGGCTTTGCAGGCCTTGTCGACTTCCTCCACGAGTCCTTTCTTCTTGGCCATCTCGGGCGTCATGCCGTACGGCACGGCGTCGCCGGAGCAGGTGTTGTAGGGGAAGTTGATGGCTGGAGCGACAAAGACGCGGTCTTTGAGAGCTTCGAGCATGTCCAGCCCTTCTTCATCTGCGAATGAGGCGTGGTATACCACGTCCACGCCGGTCTGACAGCAGAGTTTCACGGAGGCGGCCGAGCGTGCGTGAGCGCAGACTCTCTTCCCCCGGTTGTGGGCTTCTTCCACGGCGGCTCGAGTCTCCTTTAGGGTGAAATATGTCTCCGTAGCACCCATGGTAGGATGGACGTAGTCTCCGGTCATGCTCAGCTTGATGTTATCAGCTCCGAGTTCGATAAAATGCCGAACCGTCTTCCGCATCGCATCCTCTCCGTCAGCATAGTGGCTTATGCTCGGGATGATTGCTCCGCCAGTGGTCGTGATCTCCTGGCAGTTTGCCAGTGTTCGGGGTCCGGGAATCATGCCGGATTTGATTGCTTGCTTGATGACGATGTCCAGACGCTCTTGTGCCGACGCCGCGCCGAAACACATGGTGTAGCCACAGTCGATGTAGGTCTTTGCGGACTCGGCCGTGTGCAGGACGTGCTCTTCCAGACCGAGACTCGTCAGTCCGTCCAGTGTCGGCGAGTTGTTCCAGCTCAGATGCGTATGTGAGTCGCAGAGACCTGACATGAGCGTCTTGGTGCCCTTGCCGTCGATGACGAGTGTGTCGTCGTCGGGAGTAAAGTTGATCTGGCCGACCTCCTTGATACGTTCGCCCTCGATCAGCACGTCCCCCTGATACATATCTGCCCCCGTGGAATCGAAGATGTTGACATTCTTGAACAGGATCTTGCCCTTGTCTCCAACTTTGTGGTTGTCGATGGTGATGTCTGCTGGAGTGGGCTTGTATGGGGGCAAATCTGTGAGGAGACTGCCAACGCCGTTCGCCTGAGGATTACCGATTGAACCCATCTGAAACGCGGATTGTTTACTGCTCTTGTCAAAAACTTGTATTTATTGATGCAGAAGCACTCGACAAAGGGACTGTGCTGTGCTTGTACAGTCAGTAGAAGCGCTTTTTGGTTTCAAGCAACATACACCTCAAATGAGGGATCTTCCAGTGATTTGTATTGCATGTGGAAACGCTCCTTGCGTATTGCCATGCAGCACTCGGATCGACATGCGGAGACCCCGCTCGATACGTTCACATCCCATCGCGGGATGATGCCGTCGAGAAAGACTGAAGAGTATGCTGTGTTAGGTTGTTGAATAGTCGTGACGATCATTCGGAGTCGTGGACACGGTGAGATGCCGGCACCTTGACAGACGGATTTGCACCCAGAGTCGAGAAGATATCAAGGTGGAATCTTGGCGACAAGGCTCTTTTATATCCTTTCGAGAGTGATCTATATTGTCTTTCATAGTACAACGACGCTGCTGACACTGACGAAGCCCGAACCTTGGTATTAGCTAGAGCCAATCCAGCCGAGTTGACACACCCGTTCTTCGCCATGACGGAAACCACCATGTCTTTCGGCTTCATTGGACTCGGGAACATGGGCTCCATGATGAGCCACAACCTGGCATCATACGCCCAGTCCAAAGGCCTCCCGAAAGTGCAGATATGGAATCGGACTCGCAGCAAGAGCGAGGCTGTCGCAGCCAACAGCTACTGTGAGGCTGTCGATTCCATTCCAGGCTTGGTTCAGAAATGCAACATCATCCATACCTGCCTTGCCAATGACGACGTCGCCCTCTCAGTATATCGCGAGATCCTTCAGGCACGGAAGCCCGGATTGATACTGGTCGACCACTCAACTCTGTTCCCCACCACCTCGACGACTCTGGATCAAGAAGCCCGAGACGCTGGTGCTTCATTCATGTCTTGCCCAGTGTTTGGACCACCCGCTGCCGCGAAGAGCGCGGGGCTATTGATTGTTCTTTCCGGCAAGGAAGAAGCGAGGCAGACGGTGAAGTCGTACATTGTCCCTACTCTGGGCAAGGGCGTGATAGACTGCGGCGAAGAAACCTCAAAGGGCGCGCTCCTGAAAATTCTGGGGAACAACTGTATCCTGGGCACGATTGAATTGTTGTCCGAGAGCTTCACCTTGGCCGAAAAGACCGGCTTCGACACTGACATCTTCTACGAATTCATCCGTAAGTGATCTCCTTTCTGCCCATTTTGGGTGGGAAATGCCGGCTGACTTGTTTATCCCAGAGCAATGGTTTCCTGCAGCAGCCTGGGTCAACTATGGTAAGAAGATCCGGGATGGCACATTCAGCGGCAAGACAGGCTTTACCTTGCCTGGAGGAATGAAGGATGCAGCATATATCCGCCGTCTTGGAGCCGAGACATCAACACCGACCCCAATCATTGACCAAGCCTGGAACCATTTGACCACCGCCAAAGCAATTGGAGGAGAATCATTGGATTGGAGTGCCTGTGCCGCGGGGATGCGGGTCACGGCAGGTCTAAAGCCGTTCAAGGGCGAGGATTTCTCTCTACAAGGGGACCATGCCAATGGAGTCAATGGGAAATAAGACGAAGAGTCGTCTGGGTGGTACAGAAATATTCTATAGTCGGCTTTAGGGACTGTATCCAAAACCTCTATGAGAATGTGCTCTTGATGATCTCGATCGACTTTTGCGTAGCTTCCAGCATGTGCCAGTGCCCTACACTTTCGAGGACGGTCTGCTTCGCATTCGACCCGAGATTCTTGGTAGTCGTCTCACCGGCTGCAACGGTGGAAACTTTGTCTTCCTTGCCTGACACAACCACAACTGGCGCCTTGATGCGGTCCCAAGAAGCAGCCTGACTCTTGGCCAATGCCTCACAAGCTAGAGCATAACCTTTAGGATCCTGTCTCGTTAACATTTCCCGGGCCAGTGCCACTTCGCCTCTCTTTGACTGGTACGACTCGGCAGCGAAAGCGTTCCCAACCACAGTATCGGCAATTCCGACCATCCCGTTTTCCCGAACAGCTTTGGCACGACCTGCTAATGCTTGTTGGCCAGCCTCCGGAGGTGGACTGACTGGGCCGAACAAGACCAGACTTTTCACTTGATCAGGGACCTTGGCTGCGAGGTGTAAAGCAATCAAGCCACCTAATGAATGGCCAACGACGTTGACGTCCTTTAGTTTCAACTCCTCCATAACAGCTGAGGAAGATGCGTTAGACCCGATGCCATGACGCCTGCGTGAACGAGCTCTCCTGCTTACCGAGACAATCTCCCACATAAGAGTCGATACTCGTCGTCTCTGGCGTAGAACTTCGGCCATGGCCAGACCAATCAAAGCGCACAATGTTATAGTCTTGGAGATCGGGGATAAAAGGCTGGAAGGCGTTCGTCGTGCCGCCTAGACCATGAATGAACAAGATTGCAGGCCCATTGGAATTTCCTTCAGTCTCATAGAACAACTTGCTGTCGTTGGAGGAGACGTAGCCGTGGGCGGACAGTTTGGAAGCCATTGTGATGATAGTTTCTTGTTCGACGAGAGGAAAGCAGGGAAATTGTATGATTGCATATACCGTCTGGCTTTATGTATCAAACGATTTTGAATGCTTGGATGGGCGCATAGATGGATACCTGGTAGTTCGAGTGGGCGGATGGATGCCGCACTTGGCCGCATTAGATCATGCCTGCTTGCTCCACCGCGAAGATCCCTCGCTTCTCCGCGATTGTCCGCCGAACATGTTCTGCAAACACCAGGAACGAATAAACGAATACCGCAGAGCAGCTTCGGCTTCCCTCTGCGTCAAAATGACGATACCTCCCCCACAGCCTCGTGCTTACAAGCATTCCTTTCTGGGCGCTAGTCAAAGTTGTCAAACAAGGCACCGACGTATGCGCTGTACGTCTTGATCGCTTCAAAGCCTATCGTTTCAGCGTTTTGGCCTTTGATGCGTATCTCTGGTGCTCGCATTTGTTTGCGGGTCGTGGGCCTGCTTGCTACCGCCGAGGTTGCAACTTTCTTCACATGTTCGATGAGGACAGGTGCTCCTTCAGCCTCCAGCGGAATATCTTGCGTCTCAGCCACTTCGAAGACTGCCGACAACTGAAACTTCGACACGTCTTCAAAGGTCGAAAACTGTTCGAGTTCGGGCTGCACTTGCTTTTTGGTCGGTATGTATCCACCTGTTTCCCAGAGATCACGTCCAAGGTAATCGACTCCCACAGAAGTCCAGCCCAGCAGAGTGAGGCCGCAGAGTAGGTTCTCTCTTTGCAGTTGGTGGAAGAGGCGAAACGCACTCTCACAAGAAGCCCGTGAGCGGCTCTCGTCTAACTGAAAGGCTATGGCGATGTTTGCCAGCTCCGGGTCCCGACCATGCTTCCAGATGTGTATGTTGCCTGCGTTGTCTTGCTGAGGTCCGCAATTAGCATGGCATTGAGGCCATGGAGCCTCGTAACTCACCACAAAATCCAATCTGGCAGCCGCAGCAAAGAGTCTCAATGCCTTTCTCAACGCCGTATTGAGGCCCTTCGCGTATTCAGGATTGTCGTACGCGTTGCGCAGTCTCTCAAGCGTCAGTTCGAGGTCTGACATTTTTCGTAGACGTTCTCGTGATCCTTCTCATTAGACGGCGTAACTAGGACTGGCAGACAACCGTCATATTTAGCCGTAGCTCGAACGTGTCGACGCTGAGCCGTGAGGAAAGGCGGGCAACATGTGACAGGCTCTCTTGCGGACTCAACTGGCCTGGGCTCTGCTCCTACGGCTTCACACCATCCACGATCCGGAGAGATGCCGGGCCTGATCGACTGTGACGAACCCCATATCAAGGGACCAACCCCGCATTTCCCCGCCTGGCTGACGACAAGCAACGTCACGAGGCTGAAACCCCTAATCTCCATCGAGGCACGACTAGATCAGCCCGGTCGCCAGCCCCGACTCGGAGTGCCTCGGTGCTATTTGATCCAGGGACAGGCACCGGAGCCAGGTCCGTGTATGGCCATGTCTCCGCAATACTCAGTCGTCTTGATCAACCCATATCACCACAGACAGATCTGTTTCGCAATGATTCCGGCATCACCACTGTGAGAATGGTGGAGCCCAAGTCGGACACGGCAAGTCTGCGGTCCAAGAAGAAGCAGCGAGCCCAGCAGACTCGGAGATACGGATTCGCCTGCTCCAACTGCAGAAGGAAGAAGGCACGATGCAATGGAGCCACGCCGGCATGCGACAAGTGTATTGCATCCCGGGAGACGTGCGAATATGACCGGTGAGTCCTGTGCTGCACGCAGAAGCGATCATTGTTGACTTGGTATTCTCGATAAGAGGACCTTCGGTAGCATATGCAGCCTCCCTTGAGAAACGGCTCAAAGCATTCGAGGAGAGGTTTGAAAAGCTTCGTCAAAGTAGCACTGTTGACGAACGCAATGCTCTGATCCAGGAGCCCTTTGAGGATGTCAAACCAGAGCGGACGCGAGCCCCTTCGGCTCTCATGGCGGTGCCTGAAGGGCAACAAAATGAGGTCCACGAGCCTGAAACGCTGTCCTCTCCATCTCCTGCGGCACAGAATGAGCCGCCCGACGAGACCTCCATAGGTGCCGACGGCCGCATCTGTTTTTATGGCAAGACCAGCCATTACCACGTCGATCTGGAGGATGATGGAACCGGGGTAGAACTGCTGCCGGAAAGCGACGAGCAGCAGGCACTGAACATGGGCGTGTCAACAGCTTCAACAATCTATACTACGCCCGAACTCAATCTTTTCGTCGACAGCCCTGCAATGCCGCAACTACTGTCCGAGATATCTAGCGAGTCGCTGAATCATTTGCTGGATGCGTACTGGTGTTGGTCACATCACCTACATCTGGTGCTGAACAAGCGGTTGTTTTTACGTGCGTAGCAAGTCGGTCCCTGCAGGTAAGAAGCTATGGCTGACGAGAAGCAGGCGACTTACACACCTCGGGTCCTTCAGTGACTCCTTTCCTTGTGAGCGCGGTTCTCGCTCAAGCAGCCCGGTATTCCACCAGGCCCGAATCATCCCACCTTGGGGATCATTTTGCCGCTCGAGCTTTGCACTTGCTTCCAAGTGATATTGACAAAGGCAGCTCTATTCCTACCGTCCAAGGCTTGCTCATACTTTCAGCCCGAGAATGTGCCTGTGGAAGAATCTCCCAGGGCTGGCTCTACTCTGGTATGGCGTTTCGGATGATGCGCGATCTCGGTATCCACATTGAACCCAGGAAGATGGGATATCTCTCTCGCCAATTCTCGGAAGAAGATCTTGCTCTCCGGCAGCAAGTGTTCTGGAGCTGTTTCACTTGGGACAAGACCATGAGTCTTTGTCTGGGCAGAGCGCCTATCATCCATGACACGATCGATGTCCCGTCCAGAGACAGCTTACTCGACGGTGCTGAGACGGACGAAGAGCAATGGGTTCCGGTCCTCGGCAATCAGACAGAGTCGACGGCGAGCTTCATCGAGCAGAAGTCTCTTGGAAGTGCTCGCTTCGCTGCATATTGCAGGTTGTGCACAATCATCGATGGTGTGCTGGACGGTCTTTACTGCCGGCCTCACCAGTCCAAGCAAGACCATCTCCTTGCGTTTCTCGATACCACTATCGGAAGGCTCCAACAGTGGTCGACCAGTCTTCCTCCTGGTCTCTTCATCTCCCCGGATAGCAGAGTCTTTCTCTGCCCACCAATCCACATTTTACTCCTCAATCTGACATATCATGCCACGATGATCCTCTTATGTCGGCCGTACCGGAACATCTCCCCTCAAGCAAAGGAATTGTGCACCAAAGCGGCACAAATGATCGATACGCTCTTCACACTACATGTTCGGCAGTTTGGGTTTCGGTTCATCACATACCTCCAAACATATACCATGTTTGTGGCATGCACCATAAATGTCTTGGACTTGAAGGAGAATGAGTCGAACAGTCGAGATCTAGCGACTGGGGCAGAAGCCAGAGAGGAATGCCTCGCTCTGGCACAGGAAGCAAGTGTAAGATTGAACTTTGGTTTAGAGGTCTTGCGACAGGCAGGTGCCACGCCCTCAGCAGCAAGGTGTGCGGCGGTCATTGTACAGCTGCTCCGACAATGGTCAAATAAGGAGGCGAACTCGAAGATGTGCAATCAGCGACAACGCCAGCGTTCTGAGCAGCAGCCTTCGCCACCTTTCAGACGACAATCGAGTATGTGCCGAGCAGAAGCACGGCATCCCAGCCGGAGCCTTCAACATAATGCACACTTTCGCACAGATCTGCTGTCCATGCAAACCCAAAGCAACGGTAATGAGAGCATGCTATTTCCTGCAGTTGAGTCAACTCCCGCATATGCTCAAGCACATGGGCAGGCGGTCGACAAGCAGCCGTCCCCAGATATTTCCGACACGATGAATCTTGGGTTCGGCAGCAGCAGTGGTCTTCAACCACTTCAGCCAGACGGCAGTGCTTACAGCAATTCTCACGTGCCAAACTTTGCAAACTCGGGCATCGAGACTCCGATGCGCTGGCTGCCAGACAATATCCACGATGACGGTAGCTGGATGTTGATGATGGATTTTGGGGACAACATCAGCCTGTGAGCTAATGAATCGCTATGGTTGAAGGCTGGTATGGGATGCTCGGTACATGTTACTTTCCTTTCCGCCGCATAGTCAGGCGAAGAGTACGCAGCTGTTGTAATGTGTAGAGAGCCAACCACTATTAAAGGAACACGAAGGCAAACTGAGGTGAGAGACACTTCTGAAAAGGGCTAGCGCAGAACCAGGAAGCTACGGCGGACCATATAAACCCAAGAGCAGTTCTTGTGACTGCGTCTTGAACCAAATCCTTCAATCGTCCTTGATAGAAGACCGCAAGCTCATTGCCTTGTTCAGACACATCTACCGTACAAGTCATTCTTCAAGATGCTCGCTCACCTCTCTGCACGCCTGCATCTCCTTCGACCTCTTCTCCACAACCCCCGATTCCTTGGCCTATCCACGCTCAATGCCGCATCGAGAACATATTTCACTTCCATCTTCCGAAGCTCGCTATCTCCTTTGCGCGTCTCACCGCTGCACCCAGCTCCCGGTGCACAGGTTCAGACTCGGGGCATGAAGACCCGTTCCTCGGTGAAGAGGCTATGTGATGGTTGCAAGGTACATAATCCCCGTCCAGACCCTTGGACTCGTTATGCCACATTCTCGAGGGCCGGACCTAGCCACATCCCCTCTCTGTCCTGCATACGTGAAGGCTTTGTTACATTGCGGGTTTTGCTAACATCTGTGCGTTCTTTCTTTCGCAGGCTGTCCGTCGCAAGAATCGCGTCTTCATCATCTGCGACAAGAATCCCAAGCACAAGCAACGACAGGGCAAATGAACATCATCCGATATACCTACAACTCTGTTGCAGATTGTCTCATTCGGCCACCCAGGACATGAGTCACTTCAGACACTCGAGCCATCTTCATTCTCTCCGAAGCCGAGCGGACAGAACAGGTCCACTCCGTGCAGGATCTGTGGCCGCCGCAAATGGAAAAAACGAGAGGAGATGAGGTCCAACGGACACCTAGAGACCACTACGATCCCCCCTCAAGCCCAAGCCATGCTCCCAATCGCACCTCAATAGTCCAGCGAAAGCAAGTTCTACCCAGGGCAATGAATTGCATGAACCGGCAACAGCTCGTCATCGTGCGATGGCAGGGCATCACCTGTACGATAGAAAGCCAAACACCACAAGGGGACGGCGGTCGAAAGAACTCGATTGAGCAGCAAGACCATATCACTTGGGAACTCAGCGACGCCGTAAGAGGCTACCAATCGGACGGGCGGAATTCGAATCATCTTTGGGGAAAGAGCCGGACTGGAAAATGAGATGGGAGGGGCATGAGAATATATCGCTGGAATATGCAGTATAGCTTAACAGCCAATACAGTTAGCCTCGACTAAATCATCTCTTTGTTCAAGGAGCGGCCAAGCATGCATTCTAGCTTTTCTCGCTCAATAAAGGTCATCCTTCGTGTGTCGATTAATAGACCGACGGTTCCTTTCCTATCACTGTACCCCTCGACCCTCCCTCCATCACAAAAGCACAATACCAATCCCGCCACGTTTGCTCTCATCGGGCATATTCTTGGCGTTGATACCGCCGTTGATGGGTTTGGTGCGCCAGTTGTACAAGTAATGATGCAGCTGACCGTCGCCCGCGCCGAATTTCAGCTGCTCCAAAAACATTGGGTTGTCGTGGAGCGTGAGGGCGTTGAAGACATCGAATTTGGCCTGCTCAGCGTCAGCATGACCTGGGATCAGGGGGAAAGAAGACTGGGTGCAAAACAACAGGGAGGGAGGGAGAGAGAGAAATACGCAATACGCACCTTCTTGGCCTCGATCAAGAGGTCCTGACCTAGCTGTAACAGTCTCTCCTTTAGCCCTTTCTCCTTGGGATTGAACGCGTGTTCGGTTGCGTAATAGTAGAGATATGCAGCTCGAATTTTTTCATGTTTCTTGCTCATCTCGCCGATCACGCTGCTTTCAAGGCAGTAGAAGCTGCCGAAATCCGTGATCTTGCCATCACTGTCCTCAACCACGAACGACCACACGACCTGGTTCTCGTGCTTCTCCCGGTTGAGGAACCAATGTACAATCTCGGCTCGAGAGAATACTTGTGCGAGGTCGAATCGTTCGAGGTACCGCGACAGCAGATCATGGACCGCGTCCACGTCTTTCTCTTCCATTTTCCGCCACCCTGTTGTGCTGGTGTTGGGAGGTAGTTGGTTGCGAGCAATCATCTTGGCTTGTGTCATGTTAGGGGGCAGGGGAGAAAAGCCGACTTCGTACAGCTTCAGCCAGTCAAGACTTCGGTGGAAGTACCGACAGCTGCCGACAGGTGTGGGTAAGACGACGCCACCGGTGTATATCGCCTGGTAGATGCCCTCCAGATGACAGCGGCGCGTGACTTCCTTGATGAGCACAGGGGCCAGTCGTCTCGATCTCAGCTTCTTGTGGACGCACATGAAGTTGATCTCCACCACATCGAGGACGTTTTGCCGTATCCTCAACTTGATGGGAATGCCAAAGATGGTCGCGACCAGAAGTCGGCTGGGGCCCTTAGCCCGGACGCCAACGTGCCAACTCTTCTTCCAGTCAGGCGACTTCAGAGCCCAGTCCAGAAAGACGGCGGAATAATTGAAGCGAAACATGGCATGATCATCCTCGACATAGTGTAATGAGAGAAGCTTGTAGACCTCCTTAATCTCCTCGTCGTTGGTCAAGTCGAGTTCCACCCATTCATAGCCTTCAGGCAGAGGTGCGGCCGTCTTGGACACCAGTTCTGGAATGACCTCTTTGATCGGCCCATCTGGCTTCTCCTCCTCTGCGTTTTCGTCGAAGCGCGGCACCGGCTGAGTCGCCCAGAATTTGTACGAGGCCATGTCCTTTTGGTTTTTCCCGGACAATGAAAGCCCGCTCAGTAATTGTGATACGTCCATCTTCTTGAGCAACTCGTTTGCCTTCTCGGGAGAGAGGCCCGATAGCTCGCCTTTAAGGGAAGGGTTCATGTCAAGGAGAGTCTTCAATGACTCGCTATTCAGATTGGCGGCGGGCTTGGAGGGGTCTGTAGGTTCTTCAGGGTTGGACTTCTTGCCGGTGAGGGCAGAGACGAGTTTGGCCTTCTTGGACTTCTTCTTTTTCTTTTTCGCCTTCCCAGAGGAGCTGCCCGTCGCATCTTGGGTGCCTTCTGTGGCTTCGTCCTGGTGCTGTTCTTGTTCTTCACCCTCGGACTCTGACTCCAGTTGGTCTTCGAGCGGAGCGCCCACTGGGTGAGATTCGGCCATTGTGTAGCGGTGGTTTCACAATAGGACCGTTGATGAGAGGCTAGATCGAGGTGTGGCAAGGTTTAAAGAGTATGCGAACGAAAAGAGCAAGGACGGTCTACAACTGCAACTGCAACTGCAAGGCACACGAACATCACACATGACGAACTCCGCAGTCGCCAACTTTCACAGTTGCCCGCACGCAGCTTGGCGCTTGGTGGGGGGGTTTCTCAGCCTTGCGGTTATTCTTCCACAAGGCTACCTAGATAGCATGCCCAGACACAGCGAGCAGATTCACAACGGAGTAAGCGAAGAACAGGAGTAGTACACGACAACCCTGTTGGCGTCTACGAGACCGGACGGGTACTTCAGGACGGGAACAGCCCAAGGTCTCTGGAAGACATGGCAAGCACCCTCACCAGCAATAGCGTCTATGTAGATGGAGACTCTTGTTTCAGATCCGGAGAGTGCTCCTCAGGAGAAGCACTGCATCTAATTTATATGGATTGAGCATAAGGTATTACATGGCGAATGGCTATCGGTATGGGCACTCCGTCACTGCACAAGCATTGAGAACTGCCTGTGAGTGTCCCTTACCTACCTACTTAGGTACCTAGGTACCTAGCTCGCTACCTAGGTAGGTACTCGTAGATGGGCTACCTGGGCACTACCTACCTGGTAGTACCTATCCTAATAGGGCCCCCCTCTTGGACCCGCCCCGCGCTGCTCGCCTGAGTTTGCCCACTGCTGGGCCTCACCACTGCACCAGCCTTTAGCTTAGGCTGCCATGCACGCCATGTTTGGCCACCGCACATCGGCCTCGTAGGTCGTAACCCCTCAAAAGTCCCGCCTCTCCGCCCGCAGGCTCAAGTACGAGATACTAGTCCTTTCCCCCCAATAATAATGGCCTCTTCCCCAGATTCTCGAATCTCAATATCCCAGCGCTCGGATCTCCCACCCTCCTCCCATCTCCCACCTCGAATCCGCAAAACACCACATTCCCAACAACCTAGCAAGAGTCGTTTACCAGCGGACGATATCAAACTCACACTTCAGTCATTGTCCGTCCATGGAGCTTAATCTGCCAGCAGACGACGTACGACTTGCCGAGGGTGGCTGGGGGTTTAACACCGTTGATCAGTTGCAGTTGATGGAGCCATTCTCCCTGTTGGATGAATCGCACATGCAGCGACTCCTGCGAGTACAGAGGACCCGGGCGACGCCGGAGGAATATCTACGGGATCCACGAGAACCATCGCCGACGATACCTAGAGCAAGAATCAACCGACTGCCCCCGCAACAAGAACAACAACAGCAGCATCAGCAGCCGCAAGAATACATGGTGAATCCCACCCCTTCTCGACCCGACCCTTACGAACCCTTTATCATCCCGGACTCGATCCTCCTACACAGTCCCATCTCCCCCCAGACGCAGAGCAAGTTCCTGCAACTGCCACCGGAGCTCCTCACACACATCCTCGGCCTTGTCAAAATCCCCTACTTCCAACTCTCGCTCGCCCTGACCTGCAAGACCATGGCGCGGGTCGCCGCCCAAAAGAACGTCCTCTCCCCCTGGCGCGGCTACCGCGACAAGGACGGGCTCTTCCGCCTCCTCGAGCGCAAGAACAACTTCATCCCCGAGCACTTATCTCTGTGTCGCGCCTGTTTTCGGTTCCTGCCCAACAGTGGCGGCGAATATTGGGACAGGCAGATGGCCGATCGCATCTTCGACCTCGCCACCGTCAACTGGTACGACCTGCTGGCGTGGTTTCACAAGTCGTCGCGGTTCGGCCACCAGTGCCCCTGGTGCGTGGTGTTGGGGTACTCGACGTACATGAGCGAGAGCACGTATCTTGTAAAGAGGGCGAAAACCATGCTCTCTATCCGTGAACGCATGTGTCCGGACTTGAACAGGAGGATGGATCAACCTTGAATTCCGGGCGCATGAAAACCAACTTGTTCATACACGAAAGATGATCATATAACGCCAAATGAAGCCCCAAAGTAAACAGCATCTACATTACCTCTCCCAGAATGGGCACGAAACACCTGCAGGGTTATGTACTGGAACGCCTTGAGATTGGACCCAGGTAGTGGGAAAAAAGGATCTAACCACCTGAAATGTATCGACACAATAAGACGGTATCAACCAAAAACCTTCTCACATCAGTGATGATGCGAGACCACCGTCACCGGTAAAGGTCAAGTCGAAAGAGATGTCAGAGGATTTCTCTATATACTACCTAGGTATATATGTTATATTTATGCGTATAACGACCGTTCTCCAGTAGCACCCTTGTGGAAGAGGACCTCACAACGAAAAGCAAGACGGCGTGGGACGAAAGGGAGGCCCAAACCGTAGGGCCAGAGAGATCCGCGAGGAAGGATGTGCACGCAGAACAGTGCACAATTTATTACCGTATATAAGGCAGAATCCAAAAAGAATAGCTCGTCCCGATTTTGGGACAGCCCTCAAACGTCCTGACGTGGCATTCGTATACTCATTTTGTCGTGAATCTCGTGGCGCATATTGCGCAAGGCTTCCTGCTCCGCCTGTCGTGGCAGGCACCGGTACTGTACGTCCTGAGCTCAAAGGGACGCAAAGCGTATCAGAAACCACTTAGTCCTCAAGGTCGTCTTCGACTGTTCTCTTCCTGGATCCTTTCTTGGCCGACTTTGATCGTGACTCCGACGCGGAATCCTGCGATTTCGCCTTGGCCTTGGCCTTGGACCTCGACTTCGACTTCGAATTCGAGGAGCGCTTGGATGGGGCTTCGTCTCCGGCTAAACCTCCGTCGTCATCGTCGTCGACATCCCCATTTGTAGACCGATTCGGTATGGAGATCGGATTTTCGTTCGTGCCAGGTTGGCCTACCGCATCTTCAATGCCTTGAATCTCGCCGAGTCCAGCAAGAACTTCGACCTCATCCTCGTTTTCCATTTGATCGTCGTCCTCATCGGCCTCGTCCTCTCGTCTCTTCCTCCGTTTCTCCGCTTCCCCCCTGAGCCTCTTATACGCATTCCTCATCCGTCCTGACTCCTTGCCCGTGCGATTCCTGGGTGCCATGGCCTCCGCCTGCGCTTGCGCTTGTCCAATATCCTCGCCACCAACAGCGAGGGCCTTGCCGCGGGCTCCGGCTCCTGGGTTTCCATTGATGCCTCTTCCGCCCACACCGACCGCTCCTGAGAAAAATCGTGTGATGTTGCTCTGTGTACCCTCCACTTCACGCCGGTTCATATCCCGAATCACCGGGACCAGAACCTCGTCGGTCCTCTCCTGCGTCCACCCGATGGTCGCCATCAAGAAGCTTCGTAATTTGTCCAAATCCGGCACGCCCCATTGAAATGGCTCTGGGTTTGAGTCCACCTCCGGGTCCAGGTATGCTTCGTCAACCCTCAAGTCAGGAAACCCTGTGGGTAAGAACAGGCGTTTCTGTACTGTTTTCCGGAATTTCCTTCGGAAAGGGGTGGTCAATTGGTTTTCCAGATCCTGTGGCCTCCCAAGTTGGACTTTCTCGCACCAAGCCTTGAATTCCTCTAGATCCCCGAAGTCGGTCAGAATTTCCAGTGCAGTGACAGGTCCAACCCCAGGGATTCCCTCGGTGTAGTCGCTGCCCAACAAATGCGCGAACCTGATTAATCTCCTCCTATCCAACAAAAATTCCTTTTCAAGGTCTGAAGAGAGATAGCACTCGACGTATTTTGCCGCATTGAACATGTTCTTGTATATCCTGGTCCCTCCAAAGAGGAAGATATCCGAATCGTCTGTGACGATACCATCTACTAGGCCCAGGCGGACGAGTTCAGCACACTGCGCCTCGGCTTCCATGGGCGCGGTGATGTACGGCAGGCCGAACAGTCTCAACAGCGCTTGACATTCTTGAATCATTGTCTGCGTGACTTCGTCGGCGTCTCGGCGGTCGCGTTGCTGTTGGGACCGCAAGGCTTTGAGTTCGGCATCGAAGTCACGCATGGCTTCCTCAGTCGACGGGCCTTTGGCATTGTTGAGGGCGGACGTGAAACGGGTGTGTTCTTCGGCCTCTTCCGCTAGTTGACGCATTAGTTCTTCTTCCGAGGCGGAGAGGTAATCGAATTCCTCCTCTTCGATCGGCCCTGCGTCTGGAACTGCCGCGGTGCTTGATTCCGCGACAGGTTGGTCGCTCAATTCTGGAAGTCGCTCAGCGTTAGGATAATCGAGAAAAGCATCGGTCGATTGTTGACCTTGATTTGGCGCGACAGCGGGCTCCATTTCCACGTCTTCGAATTCTTCGCCTTCGTCTTCATCTTGTGCCGCAGTCCTTGTATCGCGTCGGGGTCGTGGAGACTCTTCTTCGACGGTACCGAGCGATCCCGGACTTGCTGGTGGTACAGGCTGCTCATTGTCCGACTCACTCCATTCTACTTCCTCAAAATCGCTTTCGGCGGCAGCGACAGTCCCAGGAGCAGCAGCCTCAGGTTTATACTGAGGGACATCAGATGGTTGAGGCGGTTGAGCTTGTATCTCTTCGGCAATCTCGCCCATCGTCGGTGGTGGTTCTTCCTCGTTTAGGTTCTCAGCTGCGATTTGTCGCGCAATCTCGTATCGTTTTTCGCGCTCTTCGTCTCTTCTCTTTTTTTCTGGGTCTTCGAGTTCTTGAACCTCGGGAAGCTCAGGCTGGCTAGGAGGGACAAGCTCATCGACAGCTTCTTGAGATGGTTGAGTTAACAATTGCACTCCCTCTTCAATATGTTCCTCTTCAAGATCAATTGGACGTTGAGTCCTGCCTTCCTCATCCTCGGCCTCGAGGTCAATCACCTCCTTGGTATCATGCCGCCGTAAGGCATCCCATCGATCGGCTTCTTTTTCTTCGTGCACGGTGTGTGAATCATCGACAGCTCCAGCCTGGGATTTCATATCCTTAATGTTCGGGGTAGCATTAAACCATTCCGGCAACGGCTGAGGAGGCCTCTCCTTACGAAAAGCATCTTCTCCAAGATCCCGATCAAAACCACCTGATAGATCTTCTTCAATCTTCTTGGATTTCTTCTTCCCCAATAGTGATTGACCGAGATTGAGGGACTCGAAGGGCAATGGGCCATCAAATTTTGGCGTGGCAGTGGTTGCCACCTTTGACGACATCGGGCTCCTGTCTCCGACACTTGTTTTTGGTTTTGGTTTGGTTCGCCTTGACTCTGCCAGAGCGGCTTGTAAGTCGAAGCCGTCTTCTTCCGCAGACTCCTCCCCGGTTGCGTCTGGAGCTGCTTCTGCCACCCATCCACCGCCCTGTCCGTCGTCGTCGGTCGGCTGCTCCAAAGACATTGCTAAGGCGCGTTGCAGATCCTCGTCGTTCTCCTCTGGCTCAGGGTACAGTGGTAGTACATCCTCGAACAAATCATCCTCGTCTTCAGCCCCTGTTTTGTCCTCTGGAACAAATAGCGGGTCCTCGTGCGTGACCACGGTAGTGTTCTGCACCGCAGGCGGGACAGGTCGTGCAGGCCTCGGAGCAGCTTCTGTAGCATTCGATGCGGTCTTCCTTGCTTCATATACCGCTTTCCTCTTTCTCGCAATCTCTTCTGCCACGTCTTCATATGACATATCATAATCCACGCCAGCCTTCCTTTTCCGCGCCCATGTCTTTGGAAGCCGATTCAAGCCTTCAATTGCGACGTCTTCAAACTCTTCTTGATCCGAGTCCGCGGTGAATTCCACTTCAGACTTCCCCTCATCTTCCAGATCGATTGCGTTCTCCTTCTCGGCACCCTGTCTGTTCGACACCACGCCTAAAGCCCATCCGCCTTCTACTCCTTCATTCTTCACCAAAATGTACTCTTTCCCCTTCTCACCAGCAATCCTGCCACCACCCTCTCTCAGGAAGTCTCCTTCCACCATACCATTCAAGTGCATGAGTCGTTGCGTCAACTCGTTTCTCTCCTTGACCCTCTCAATCTGGAACTTCGAAAAAGCCATACGGTCGGGAAACATCCCATCGAGCTGTTCCTTGGAGTAGCCCATCCTCAACCTTGACCTCAACCTAGCGGCATTTAGGATGTTATACCTATCCCCAGCCGGCAGTGACAAAAAGAAGGGACTTTCAAAGTCGATCTTGCTGAAATCGTAGAGGTTGATATCCTCGCCTGAGTGAAATTGTCGCGCATACTCTTCCAACTCGGCTTGAGACATGATCCTCGGGTCGTTGGGCGCACCCATCTCCTCAATGCTCACGTCCAGGTCGGGCAAATGGTACTGGTCTTTCTTCCTGAATTTTTCGCCTCTACCGGCCGTGCGTTCTTGTTTCGTCATGCCCAGCTCTTCAACGTACACCAGCTCTTGATCCTCAGGTAAGTCTTCTTCGGGTGTCCTCTCCCGTTCCGCTCTTCGCCTCTTTTCTTCTTCCTCGGCCGCCCTCGCAACCTGCACGGCGAGCAACTTTCCCGCCGTCCTCGCCGCATCTTCCCGTCTGCCTTCTCGTCTTCTCTTCCTCTTTCGGATCGTCTCTCGCTTCAGAACCGGCGCCCCGCCATCAAACACGAACACGGGCTTGATCCCAAAGTAGAGCAGTTTACATATGCGCCGGAAGAAGCCGACAACGTGGCTGTTACGTAGAGCATTGCCCTCTTTGTCTCGGACTGCTTTGAGGAATTGGTAGATCCAGATGGAGGCGTCGACTGCGAGGCGTTTGCGGTTGAGCGAGGCGAGTTGGGTTGGACGGGCAGTGGGGGCAACCACAGTCCACAGCCCGGTGACACCCATGATGAGTCGCCGAGGTCAAGGAGAAGAGCCTGGTGAAAGTGTACGTCTGCGACTCCGATCTTAGCGCTCAGCCATTTGGACGAGTTTGAAGGGGACGTCTATCGGGGACCATTGCTGCAATTTCGTGGCAGCAGCTGCGATGCAAAATCCGCTACGGCGCAGAAAAAATGACGATGTCCTTGATACCCTCCGCTGCGGTGCCTCAGTCACGCGACAATGACGCGAACTCACATGCCTGGCCCCTCACCCAAGGTACAATTGAATTCAAGGCAAAACGCAGCGTCCTGGACTTACTCGGTGTAGGACGCTCCTGATAACGAGAGTTGTCCATCCTTACACACATTCATATTTTGCTACATTCTGCCGCTTATCAGGATCCATTCTACCAAATTCCCACCCTTTGCAGCAGAAAGGCCGCTTCTGAGCGACACATGTTTGACGCCGTGCTAGGCCCATAAGGGGCTTTGAAATCAGCCCTTGAAGATAGTGATCGAGAAAAGCCCCATCACAAAAGAAACACGAGTAATCGAAATGCAGATAACAATTTAGTTGCCTTCTTCTTTAGCATTCTCACTCGAGCCTGAAGGACCAACAAGCGTGGGAGCGATCCTCCGTCTCTTCGACTTGCTCTCCTCCTTTTCGCTTTCGCTTGTTGCCCCGTCTCTCTTGCCCAAGACAGAACCACTAATCGAGCTTGTTGCAGAATGTTGGCCGCCGTGAATACTCGCAGGAGTCTGGGGCGGCGTCGTCATGGGCGGAATAGCTATTGGAGGTCCGGAATTGGAGGCGGTCACCAGGGGTACATGCCCAAGGGTAGGTGTAGCATTATTTGGAAGAGCTGAAGTTTGAATCGACGTCATTGTAGCTATCGATGACTGCGAATTGGATCTCGTTGGACTTCCTGGACGAAGAATAAACGGTGCCGGTGAAGGATGCGATGGTGGTACAGGAACAGGAGATGCTTTTGTCAGTGAAGGGGACGCTGTAGCGGTAGGTGTCGGAACAGGTGTTGAATTTGCAGAAGAAGTAGGTAAAGGTATCGATGTTGTAACAACTGGATGGCTGTAGGTTGGATGGGGTCCTGTGTAGACCTGCCCCAACTCACCCGGTGCGAAAGCCAAAGTCGAGCAAAAGCCGTCCGTAGAGGACATCAGCAGTGTAAGGCCATCGTTTGACCTGCGTCTACTTGTCAGCAGTATTCTCGGGACGGGAGGGTTTCGAACCTTACCAGGTCAGATCTGAGAATGTGGCATAGTGAAGATTGCTCACAACACAAATAGGCGTGGTTTGCTGAGTGTCGTAGACAAACACTGCATCCTGCGTCGCTACAGCATAAATCATTCGATAGGGTAGGGAGAAGGCAGGAGTCGGTGCAGGGCTTGCAGGTTCTCCGTCGACCGAGGGTTTGGGTGAAGGAGCAGACATTGAATCCGGACCTGGAGTCGTGGCCGACAAGGGCGGAGGCTCCATAACCGTTGATGGAACCTGTGGGACAATAGGATCGGGTAGGAGCGGTATCTCCTCGCTCGCCGATGAGGTGTCGATCGTTATGTGGTTTGTCGGTTTCGTGGCGGAGCGCAAGGTATAGAGAATAGGGGAGCATTTGACCGCAACGGAAGGCTTCTTGTGCCCTGGAAGGTGCGCCACTGGAGGCTTGTTGAAGCCAGCTCTGGTGTAGATGTACACCGTGTTTGTCACGTCATCTGTGGTCTTCATTGGATCAGACGCCGTTGGAAAACTGGTTTTATAGTGTCCGGCAGGTGTAAACAACAGGCTGCCGTCCGGTGAGAACGTAAGACGACGAAAGAAAGAGGTCATGGTTTCGTTGTGGTACAAGTTCGTGTTCCTGACGGCCAGACCCATGGCCGCATTGAGACTCGGAGACGAAATCTCTGGTCTGACAGCTGGCAGCGGTAATGAGGGTGCCGGTGAAGCAGATCGTCGGAATGATGGTGACGAGCCAAAAGAAGACCGCCGGCTTGAGGTTAGGAGGGGAGGATCCATTGGTAGAGGTGTGGTCAGAGGGGTTCCGGGATTTGAGGGGGCAGGGGACGCAATGGCAAGGTTGTTGGCACTTGAGTTGGAGGCACGGTGTGTTAACTCTGCTGGTGCTGGGCTGTTGGACGATATCCGTCGACCGGGGAGATCCATCTTGTTGAACTTCCCGTGGGCAGAAAGTGTGGGCGTGCCATCTTTGAGCTTGAGAGCATAGATGTGGACCGACCGGTCCGAGGACTGAGTTGCAACAAACTCATTCAGAGGGTCCCAAGCTACCCCTTGTACGAAATGATTGTGTTCTGCTATTTGGCGGATCATATTCCCTAGGGCCAAATTAGCTGTGCCATGTTCGAGAGGTGGCCATCTCAAAATACCGGTATGTGCATTAAAGATCCTCGCCGTGTTATCGACTCCGCCTGTGATGAAATATTGACCATCTGGAGACCAGGCCAGATCATAGATTTCTGCTCCGGTGGACGTCCTACACATGTGTTTGATCCTCCACGTTTCCTTGTCATCGGCATGTTCATCGGTCAAGGTGGTCATGGAAGATTCGGAGGGTACCCAAAGAAGGACGTTGCCGTCATCGCCGGCCGAAGCCAGCATTTCGCCTGCCTTCCCGTCAGCAAACAGTATCCAGACCGGCGCTGAAAGAACAAACCCTTGGGGCAAAATCGGACGACATTGACGGGTTGAGTGTGTCTGGTGAGGGTTGACAGATATGTGACTTTTCTCTCCTCGCCTTGAGCTTCAATGCTCCACAACTATTTCTCCCACATCAGCAACCTGAACCGACGCAACAAGTGGAGAGGGAGGTTTTCGTACCCGGACATTGTTATCACTATTCCCATTAGCAAATGCGCAGGATACGGGGGGCATTGAGAGAACTCACTTTCCAGCCGTAGCTAGCCTCCCTTTCCCATGGGGATCGAAGTGGACCGAATAGATAGGCTGGCTCTCATGGTGCCATTGAATGAGAAGCGGTCCGGCTTTCATGACGGCATTGGAGAGTGGCCTCAAAGGCCACTTTATGGAGGATCAAAATGGCAGATTGAGGTTGTGGAAGTCTGAGTCGTAGAACATGCACCGGGGTCCTTTTACCGCTGCTGTACAAGTAAGATGCGGGTGGGAGGACGGCAGGCGGCAGAGGAGCTTTCGTTTGCGTTCTTTGAAGCGGAGATCGACAACGGGCGCACGGCAGAGGAAGGTTGCTGAGTCAAAGCATGCAGTGAGGCGGGAGAGAGACCTCTTGTCCCATTACTGAGTATCGGAACAGAGGTTGAAACAAGGGCTATTGGTAGTCTGAGCAGCAACAGGCGCAGTTCAACTACTCCTAGGAAACTAGTCGTACAGTCAAAAGACGGGCCGCATGCCTCGTCGTGGAGGGTTGCCAATGTGCTCCGCAGCCAGATTGGAATTGGGCGGCTTCGAAGGTGGAGAAAAAGGACCAGCTCTGGGAGCCCTGATCTTCTAACGCTACTGGTACTTCACAGCTGCTGTTGGCTGGCTGTTGGCTTGCTGTCTGCTGCCACTCCTTGATGCTGCTGCTGCTCCTTCCTCCCACACAAAACCTGGCCCTGGAAAGTTTGACGCGCTCGTGTCTCTTTCAACCACGTCCTGAGCAATGGCGCGTCTGACCACCTGAACCCGGCCAGGCGACCTTGGGGCCAACCCTGAGGTGAGGGCCATCCTTTTCAACGTGAAACAATTCAATTCCGGTGGGATTGGTGAGATTCTATTGCGTCCCCCATAGCATTAGGTCATCACACGACATAGACTTCTTGCTCCTAGAGCTCCAAATACCAGCTACTTGTCTTTCCCAGGGCCAACGCCCTCTCCAGTTGATTCGGCCCATCAGGCCGCAGTAATACATTCCCAGCAAGACTTCAAATCTCTGCTCCTTGAGTTCGACTCGACGTGGGTCGATCGAAATCCAAATTGCTGTGCGAAAACCGATTCGCTTTTCCGAAGACGTAGCTTCCTGGAGCCAGCCTGTATCTCTCTGTGCGTTGGAATAACCCGGTTGCGCCAACCGACGCCTATTGGACTAGAACAAATCGAAATGGCAAGAGGCCGGGACAGCAAGGTCTTGGAGATCTTGCACCCAACCATGATCCGGCCATAACACTCGGGTCCATGACCCGTTGCACGTGGGAAAACGAATGACATGACTGACGTTGCCGGAAATATAGGTCGTAACAAACGCGAGAATGACTGGAACTGCCTTCTCTCTCATGGTTTCGTGGTCTCCTAAAAGCTCTGAGCGGACACTTGTGCCGGCTGCAAGATTCATTAGCTTCGCTTTTAGTAGGTGAACAAAGATTGGCAGACGTACCGGACTGTTGAGCATATTCTGGCGAGCGTTTCTGCCCTTCTTGATATGACTCTTTAGAGCACTCGAATCCAACGGCTTCAGCAACTCAAAACTACAGAGCAAATTGCTGGACACCGACATGACAGCCCCCCAATTGTCGAATTCTCCGCAGTACTTTGAGAACGGGTTAGCGATAGTTTCTCCAAAGAATTGATGTACTTACGTTGGGTGCAGAGAAGACTGTGACAAGCAAGCGGTCGTTGAAGAACTCATATCCATCTTCGACAACCATATGAGCTCGGCAGACCAGGTCGAAATCGTGGCGCGCCAGGAAATCGACGATCACCTTTTTACCAAAGCAATAACTGACACCTCGTTCGTTCGACTCCCAGTCTTGATCCATGTCCGCGGGATCACTCCACAACAGATCATTCAGCAGTCCATAATCAGGAACGTCTGTGGGTCGCGCAATCTGTCGGATATCGTCCATGTGGGACAAAGATGGGGACAACCCGCCATGGACACAGAAGATCTTATCCGCCACAATTGCGGCAATGGGCAGGCAATTAAACGTGTCAATGAATGTTTTCCAGATCTTGATGTTGCACCTTCGTTTGCATTCGTCATAAAAACCATAAACTCGAGTGACGTTAGCACACTCGTGGTTCCCACGAAGGATGAAGAAGTTTTCCGGATATTTCAGCTTGTAGCAAAACAGGAGCAGAATCGTCTCGAGCGACTGTTTCCCCCGGTCGACGTAGTCGCCCAGGAAAAGGTAGTTCGCATTGGGAGGGAACCCGCACATTTCGAAAAGTCGGATCAAATCATTGTACTGGCCGTGGATGTCCCCCACGATTTTGACCGGTGCTGTGAGCTCCAGCAGTGCTGGTTGAGATAGCAGCACTTCTCGTACGGCGGTGCAGATTGCCGTAATTTCGGCGTTCTTGAGGCACACAGCCTTCGTCACCTTGGTAGTGTAACCAGCATCCAGGAGACGAGAAATCATGTCGTCCAAATCCATGTCATTCACGTCACTCATGCCCATACCACCTCCTGGAGAAGCACCTGGCAACTCTGCCAGTTTGGCCCGCAATGAGGCCTTGGTCTCCGGAGCTCGCGGGTTGATCTGATTTTCCCGCTTGACCAAGATGGAATCACCCGCCTTTTGTGTAGATGAGTGGACGTGAGCCTGATGGGGAGCTTCCTCAGACACTGCACCCACCTCTCCAGTCCTCTGAGCACGATCCACCGATCTGTGACCTTTACCCACGGACTTGGACTGGGTTGGTGATGGTGGCCTTGCGGGTGTACTAGCACCTGGCGATGGAGCTTCGTCGTCGTCGTTAGGCGATATGGGAGACTCCACCAAAGGGTTATTTGTGATCTTCTCTCTGGGCGCTCGAGAAGATCCCGAGCGGCCACTGGCAATCGAACTGGCGTCAGCCTTGTCATTATTTAAGCCCTCAGACCCCGCAAGGGTTGAGCCCGAGGCCCTGGGGCTGTCATTGGCCTTGTCATCTCCCGAGCTCTTTATTTTGCTTCGAATGGACGACCGAATGGACCTAGAGGAACTCTCCTTGGTATCGGACTTGGATATGGAAGGATACTGCTGCAGAGTCTCCGGAAGATTGGACGAGGAGCCGCTCTTTAGTGGGGTTCTGGTTCCATCGCTGCTCTTTGACTGTTGTTGGCCCATTGAATTCTCGGCCTAGCAAAGATATAACAGGTCGCAGAAAAGAGGTTCGGGAGGGAAACGAGCGGGTCAAGGAGGTTTGAGGAGTGAGATAAGCAGCCGCTTTGAGGAATGCGTTTTGGCGACTTTTCTCAAGGGCGCTCTGGAAGGAGCACACTGGAAGTATGCTCAGATAAAATCCACCTTCAGATATTGGGGCGCGATGTGGCTGGTTCGGCGGGTTTCGTGCGATGGAATTGGAGAGATAGGTGACGAGCAGTGACCGTGCATGCAGGTATGCCTTGAGGGATGGCTTTCCTTCGTCTCGCCTGCAGCAGAAAGAATGCCGGAGGTCAGCAAAATCGCTCAGCAGCAGGTTGAAGGACAAGCAAGCTAGACAAGAGGGTTCCTTTGTAAGGATGGAAATGTCGCATGGAGCCTGGGTGGTGAAACACGTTGCGTCACCGTGCGGAAGGGCTGGATGGGAACTGACCTGCTGGAAAAACAGCGGTTGCGGACGGACTAGACGACAGAATCACAGCAAGTAGCACATAGATTGTAAAACCTGAAAGACGGTGGAGGTGGGAAGGTGAGGACAGCAATCTAGGATTGATAAATAAAATGGGTGTTAGAATTCGTGGAGGGAGCAGCATGAAGGCCCGAAAGTGCAGGCAGGGCACCGCAAGGGTTTCGTACACGGTTTAGTTTCGCGGCGCCAGGCGGCTGTCTCCTCTGGTTGGCCACCTCTTCGGCCATATCGGCTTCGTGGCCCAGAACATTCGAACTCTTGAGCCTTAGTGATCGCTGCCTAAACCCCTAACTCCTGGGCACCACGCCCAACTTGAGTCGCAGGGGGGCTAGATGAGGTCACTCCCCGGAGCACCCACGGTGCCTAGGGGCTTATTAAATGTTGGGGTGCTACAAATCACCGTGATGGTCTCGGGGCCGAGTGCTTCAAAGTACATCAAGGTGATATAGTAAGCTCAGGCCATCCAGCGCAGAGAGAGCACCTAGGCGCAGATCAACACTAGAGTTTGGTCCTTTTTGTTCCTAGAACTGATTCGCCTTGATCGCGGCATCCATTGTGTCGAGTTTCTTCGTCCCCTCCTACCTTGAGCACAGCATCTATTGTGTCGAATTGCTTGTCCTCTCTCGCATTGAGCGCCGCGTGAACCGGTTAACTCTGCGGTAAGTGACAGGAGGGCAAATGTGTAGTCTACTTCTCACTTGTCTCTACCATCTTTGCGTTTGGGACGGCCAACGGGGCTGCGTCCCCAGTAATGAAACGCTGTAAGGTGCTTTCCCATGGCTCGAACCAGGAAGCTTGCCAGCAGGTAGCCAGTAGTTTCAGAGGTGATTCATCCTGCCTCCAACACGCATGTAGTTTGCTCGAAGTCTTGCACAGTTCGTGTGACGACCTCAGGAAATGAGCCCTCCACAGATCAGCTCTGAATTCCCACCCCTTCATGTTCGCGTCCGAATCGACAAGGACTGGCTGCTCGGCCATTCCCTCTTCTCTTCGACTTCCATCTTTGCAATCTGCTTGCCTGGAATGACAATGAGGCCCACGAATCGCGACGTCATGTCCACCCTGCTCGCCTGCCCGGTAGCCTTCAATTTCTCAACAGCCGCCTGTTCGGCCGTTTTGGATGGCATTCTGTACTCGAATGAATTTGAAAGGATGACATTGCTTTCATTGTCGGTGCATCGAAAAACTCCCGAAAACAGTCGCCCGTCCAGGACAGTGATGTTGAAAGTCTTTCCCAGTAAGGATTCCAGAAACTGTGTAGCCTCGGCCTCTTCCATATCGGAGAGAAGCAAAACTGATTAAAAGGGACCCCAAAGACCGCCCTTTAGTAGCGTGATGTAAGATGTACCATCCTCGCGGACGAACTGGGGCCAGAGGTAAACATTTCTGAGAAGGTACCTAGGTAGGTAGTGAGACAGATCGTGTCTGTGGGAACTCGGAAGGAAGATGCTCAGCCTTGCAGTCAGGCTTGGCAACGAGGCTGGACAGCCAAGAGACGCCTCTCAACTGTCTCTCAGTTTAGAATCAGCTTCATGGACTTGAACAACAACGCTTTTGACGAGCTCATGTAGTAGTGACCATATGACCTAAATGAGCAGACGCCATGCTCTTCTTCACCCTAGGTTGAATGATGAAAGGACCGTGTATCCGCCAACTGAAGCGTCGTTTCTTTTCGTCTCCTAACCTAAGCGTCGCTACTCGGTCTTCGCTACACGCTTTCCAACGTCTCTCCGGTTTGATCTGCTCTGTTCAATATTGTCCTACTCTCTTATTCGTCTTCCTTTTCGGCGCATATTGACCTTGCATGATCCTTGAAACTCTCAAAGAACATAGACCCTCTCCCATCACGCGAAAGTATGGGTGCAAGGTCGAAAGCTAATCGACATGCCGTGTCAAGAGCGTCTACAGACGATTCCGTCACTACGATGGCCACGGATTCGTCGTTTTACGAATCTTGCTCATCCGGGACTTGGGATACTGAGGCCAATTCGGATTCCGGAGAGGACAATCGACGCGTCGATGATAACGACTTCCCTAATACAGCACAGAGGCTTAATCCCCGGTTGAAACTGACGTTCAACAACCGAGGAAAAGAGACCCAACAAAGACCTAGGCTTCTATTCCGGGCTTTCGAGCCTGAACACGGATTACGAGCTCGCTGCTTTCAAGGTCTATCTCCGTTGGCACCTCTTCCGGCGCCATCCACGTACGACCATAACAAATTCAAAGACTCAGCTTACCGACATCTAATTCAAGACAAAACATTTTCGTCCCCGTTCTTGTCATTCACTGAAAATCCACACAGGGCACTAGGAGCCCACCTAGCTAAAAGTCCAGAACGCCGCTCATTAGCAATTCTTGACCACAACATACTCGAAGAGGAGTATAGGAAAGCATACGGAACAGATACTGGGATTTGGCTTGTACCTGAATTGGTCAAAGAATATGATTTTAACGACTTGAGGAAGGTTGACCACGATCCGAGTCTACATAATGTTGTGAAAAGACAAAGGCCATACACGGGGATTGGCGAGGTATGTATTCCAACATTGTAACATCAACTATTAACCAAATACAGTTCCTTATCTGGGGCTCCGTGCTTTGTGATCCCGTCGCTGTGCTAAGCTACGAGGAAGCACTTCAGGTATTCGAAGTGCTCGACAAACTGAAAAAGTCCAAGGCAGTTGTGAGCTACTCCTCTGGTGTGATTGTCGGCCAAGTATAAACCAGGTCCAACCTTACTACTGGTTTAAACTAACCACTACAGTGTCTAAAAGGTATCCCACAGATGTACAAAGCGGTCGTGGCACGGAAACTTGTTCGTGCCTTCGAGATTAAAGGGTATGGAAAAGCTCGCGACAACATTCACCTTGAAGAATTTATGGAAGGAGTTGAAACCGTCTCACCAGATCCTAGCGATTACGGTCCCATTTCCAACGAACTTGACTTATCTCAAGTACGTACAGAAACAGTCAAGATTCTTGGGTCGACTCGAAACACGAAGATGAAACAAAGTACGGTTGAGGCACCAGAGATAACTTCATTTGACGGAGTAGAGATTTCTCAATCTCAACAACACATCTCGCAAGTGGTCGACTCTGGACATGATGTTTTCAGAAGAGAGTTAGAGATATGGGCGGCGGTCCCGACGCCAACTCCACCACCTCACAATATGGAGCAGGCGCCCATACCTCGACAGAACCCAACAGTTTGTCAGCCAGAGAAGGCCTCATCCTCAGCAAATGTGATCGACTTGACGTTGGAGGATATCCACCAAAGCCATACATCAGAAAAGGTCGCACTATCTAAAGATACCAACAAAGTCAATAGGAACAAACTTTCCCAGAGATACGCAGTCACGAGAACGAGAAGAACGACCTTGAACTCCTCTATCAAAAACGTCGACAGGCAGAAATTCGGCTCTCACAGAATCAATTCTCCTTCCCTGTCCGAGGACGATGATGAAGTTCAAGTTATCGCAGAACGGAAATATTATACTCGACGCCGGCTGATCCGCAGAACGACGAGGACGGAGAAAAGCAAAACAGTTATCACGATTCGGAGCCGGAGTGTGAGCGAGGGTATCGTCTTCAATCAGCGACGATGAGGCGCAAAACTCAGCTCACCAAGCAACGTGAGCATGTTACGGTTATTGCCAAATCTCGCCCATCAGCCAAAGTGTGCTCAGTGAACCATCTCTTCTCTAGCAGTGAACAGACAGACATTTCCTGGACTCGGCGGGAAGGGCGTGGGCGTAGGCATCAGAAATAAGGACAGGTCTGGGAGGAAGGACAAGATCGACATCTTGGTCGACATTCTTGGGCTGCTCGAGAATTCGCTGTTGACTTGAGGCTGTGAAGATGTGAGTGGAAAGTCTAGCTAAAGAAACACACCTTGAACAGCCTGCTCAGAAAGAGGATCAAACACTTGTTTAGGCAGGCCATATGTGCGTAACCGATACGTAAGCCATACCTAGTCAAGGAACCATTGTTGTTGACATCAAATGAATTTGCTGTGTTGGAATGTTTGCTCAGTGAAGTGCCTTGAGTGCTCAGCCCTAGCCTGCGCCTGTGCCTGCGCCTGCGCCCTGACTTTTCAGCTGTTCGCTTCAGCGCGGTCGATCGCATGCCGAGCCCTGAGCCTGTAAAGCCTGCTAACCCGTCTCGGCTTGGCTCCTTTGGCAACAGGAACTTAGCAAAGACGATGCTCTGCAGGTTGGAAGTGCAGGCACTGCAGTCGACCAAGTCAACCTCAAATCTCCCAATACACGGCTTTTAAATCTCTCCTTGCTCGCTGGACAGCAATCATCGGCTTCAACCCTCCATTTGCCAAGTGTTTTAAGGCCTCTGCCGTTCTCAAACGCCGCAATTCCCAAACTGCGGTTTCTGGCAAACCGGCCCCCTTCCGACCGCTTGCCCACTGACGCGTAGAAAACTTGCAATCTACATCACGGCCGACATATCCCTGCGCTTGATGGTCTACAAACTCTCATAATCCTCACCATCAACCGAGGAGGGCGGATGCGAAGATGATCGCGCGGTTGGCGTTTTAATCAAGGAGATGTCGCGCCCACAGGGCTCTCACTCTCACTCCAAGTTCGCTGATTTCTTCCCGACCGCTCCCAGCGTCCAGCAACGGAAATCTTCCAAACTGCTTGATCTCGACCGATCCCGGCTGCGCCGTCCTGACGATCGCGCAGAAGATGCCAACGCGAAAGAGAATTCTGCTCGACACTCGCTGAACTCATCATCTACCACATACCACCCACGTTTACCCGCTAAACAGGACAACTTGGCCAAGACTCCTGCCGTCACTGTGATTCCGGAAGAGAGTGACCAGTACGCGGGCGACCTTCTCAATGGTGTCGGCTCAGCAAGTTCGTCTAGTACCGCTTCATCGGTCTTTAGTGCTCCCGTCGCAGGCGCCGCCATGCCAGGCGCAAGTCATGTCAATTTCACCACTCTTACCCCTCTCACAAACTCCGACTCTCCTCCAAATGGTAAAATCATGAGCCCGACCGCTGATTCTGGCTCTCACTCTATGATGGCTAGCAGCAATAATGTGTCCACCCTCCATCAAGGTTCGATGACACCCCTTCACACGCCGCCGACCCATCGAAGATCCGCGCGCGATGCCAACGCCGAAGTCAAAGGGACCAGGTGCACCTATGATCCCGAACTTGACAAGAATCTGAACTCAAAGGACAAACGCAAGCTGAAAGCGCAGTTTGAGGATTTCGGAGGGAAGCCCCAAGACAACTTCCAACCTCCCGATCCGCGATTGGCCATTCCGCACTACACAAAGGGCGTCGTGGGAAAAGGAAAAGCAAAATTCCGTCCTGCACCTTACAATCTCAAGTCATGGGTGCCTGATGTTGCGACTGCGGTTGCGCCGCCACCTCCGACCACCGTTGTCGTGACCGGTTTCGACCCCATGACCCCACTGTCACAGATCAGCGCATTGTTTTCCAGCTTTGGCGAGATCGAGGACTTGGACAATAAAACTGATCCGGTCACTGGCCGGTTCCTCGGTATCTGCAGCATCGCCTACCAAGACTGCGCTTCCTTTCAAGGCGGGGGACCGATCTCCGCAGTCCTCGCGGCCAAAACAGCATACCTTGAGGGCAAGCGCGGTCAAAGGATAGGCCTGAAGACTGTGCAGGTGGCCATTGACCGAGATGGATCGGTCACGGACAAGTTGATGGAAAAGGCGATCGCGCTGCATCGGAAAGAGAGTGGGTTCACAAACCAGTCACGCATACAACCATCCCCATCTCCCTCAACACCCACCGCAGTCCAGTCGCCTGGATTTGCAAAGTCTACCGGTCCGCCGCCGACCGCTCCAAAGGGTCCGTCCGGCAAGCCCCCTTCACGGCCGCAGTCTACATTCCAAGCTCCATTCGGACTCCCAGTCAAGCCCGAAAGACCAACCAAGCCCGTCGCCACCACCGCCTCCTCCCTTGTCGAGACCACGCCAATCGCTGAGACATTGAAAGTACCTTATATCTTCATTGCACATTGTTACGTACCAGTTATGAGCACTACGATCCCGCATTTAAAGAAGAGGTTAAGGATGTACGATTGGCGGGAAGTCCGCTGCGACGAGACAGGATACTTTATCACGTTCGAGCAGTCGAGGAACGGGCAGATGGAGGCCAAGAAGGTGTTTCACGGCTGCCATATGCAGCCGCTGTTTACCTATGTGATGAACTTGGAATTACACCTCAATGGGAATCACAAGGCAGTCAGCGCAGCAGACACTATACCTACGTCGACGGGGCCTGTCGATTTTGTTTATTCGAGGCAAGCTTATAGGCTGAGGAAAGAGCACGATCTCGACCTGGAGGAAGAAAAGCGGCAGCGTGCGAGAGATTTGGATCCTTCCAGGGCGGTTGTGCAGCTTGTCATACAGGAGCTTCGGGATAAGCTGCTGGAAGACGTCAAATCTCGTATTGCTGCGCCCGTCCTCTACGACTATCTTGATCCGAGCAGACATGCAGAAAGGCGACGGATTCTGGGTGTGAGTGATCCCGAAGGGACTCGGAGACATGGGTATGCCGATGAAGGCTCTCAGACGCCAGACTCGCGCCTAGGCACTGGGCGACGCCCGCTTGGGAGCAAAAACCTCAATATCCTTTCCCTGCCGAAAATTGGCAAGAGGCCTGGCACAGATAGGGGCATGGTTGGTTTCCGCGATGAGAGGAGGAAAGCCCCAACAACGAGACACAATGTCAGGCCATTGTTCCACCAACTGGCCCAGTTCCATACCGACGACGATTCCGACGACGAGCGACGAACATCGGTCACTCGTGATACTGAAGATCCGGAGAGCCGTCCACCTAGCCGGATGAGTATGACCTCTATCTCCGATGACGACGATGAACTTCTGCGCAAGGTAACGAAACGCCGCCTGCATGCTCGAGAGGAATCCGAGATGGGGGACAGTGTGGTCAAGGATGAGTTCGACGCGAGCAAGCAAACTGCGGAAGATCTCATCATCGCTAAACTTGAAAGGAACATTTACGAGATGTCTCCGTCATCGCGGAAACGAAAGAGGTTGGTGAAAGAATTAGAGGCTCGTAAACGTCAAAAAGCAGATGACGAATTGTTTGGCATCGGTCAAAATGACTTCGATCGCGAGGGTTCGGAGGATATCAAAGTCGAAACTCCTATTGAAGCGACGCCTGACGTTGACTCGGACGCTGCCAAGGTCAAGAAGCCGAAGCCCAAGAAGAAAACCAAGAAACAGATTCGGGAGGAGCAAGAAGCACTCCGACGGGCGCAAGCAGAAGCCGAGGCAGCTGAAGTGGTGGACAACGTTCTGGAATACGCAGAGGAAGAAGAGGCTCTTGCTGAAGCGGCTGAATGGAGACCAGAAGTGGAATGGGGTGTCTCAGCGGTGGAGCCTTTGCCAACCGTCGATGACGACGAGGATATCATCCCTGATCTGCGAGGATGGCAAGCAAGTCTGTTTGACGAAGAAGACCTTGAATACTTGTCATCGGCAGTGAAGTTGAAAAAAGCCATGGACATTGGCGATCCGATGGCATGGGCCTGGAAACAAGAGCGCATTCGAAATCTCAAACCCGGAACCCAGCCGGGAGCTCTTAGGACGGAACCTCCCATCGACGGATATTATGTGCCCAACCCCTCTGGCTCGGCAAGGACGGAACCTGTACGAAGAATCCTCGAATCCGAGAAGTCAAAGTATCTGCCTCATCGCATAAAGGTGCAGAAGGCGAGGGAAAAGAGAGAGGCCGAGGCTAAGAAGGATCCTAGCAAGCAAGTCGTGGAACTGCCCAAAGCTTCGTCCCGCGGCAAGCGTGCCGACGACCGACGCACCGTCAAAGACTTGGATAGACAACGGGAGATGCTACAGGGTATGGGCGAGGACGCCGATGTTCTGCGGTTCAATCAACTTCAGAAACGGAAGAAACCCGTCAAATTCGCCAGATCTGCCATTCATAACTGGGGTTTGTATTCTCTGGAACGGATACAAGCGAGCGAGATGATCATCGAGTATGTGGGAGAGAAGATTCGACAAGAAATCGCCGACTTGAGAGAGATCAAGTATACCGAGAGCGGCATTGGCAGCAGCTACCTCTTCCGAATCGACGAAGGGACAGTCGTGGATGCGACCAAAAAGGGTGGTATCGCAAGATTTATCAACCACAGTTGTTCGCCGAACTGTACTGCCAAGATCATCAGGGTGGGCGGCACGAAACGGATCGTCATCTATGCTCTGAGAGATATCGAGAAAGGTAAATAATGCCCGTGTTCGAATTGGATGTGCGAAAGCTGACATTTTGTTTCCAGATGAAGAACTGACGTACGACTATAAATTCGAGCGTGAGCTCGGCAGCGACGACCGTATCCCGTGTCTCTGTGGCTCGGCGGTCTGCAAAGGTTTCCTTAACTAATACTCCAGCATCTCCAATGGCAAAGGGGTCTTCAATTGCGTGGCGGATCTGGCGGGCACATCCTTCGTTCGATGTTATAAGAGCATTTGAAAATATGGAAGAGCATTTGGGTCCGGCGTTCTCTTCCATACGGCATGATGAAGGGACGGATATCTGACAAAAGTCACGGCACAGCATGGGTCAATGGAAAGGCTGGGCCGCGTTTCTATCTTTGCATTGAGACAATCAGCGAGGGCGGTGCGATATTGTGGGGAGTGGCTGTGAGGAGTTCGTCAGGATCATCGTAATCCTATTTCAACAAGGCAGGGGAATGAGGGGTCGCAGGGGAGTGGCGGACAGAAACGAAACCGTTGAACTCGAACTTGAGTGAGGAGGGCATTACAGAAAGGGACGACGCTGTGAATGAATCGAGTTGAGAGATTTCTCTCCGTTTTTTTGTGTACTTATGTCATGTCAACCTCCTGCTCGACAAGCGCAGCAACCGCACGCTGCGCACAGCGCCAAGGGTCTGGTCACTCTGGTACGCGATGAAGATGGACGTCTAGGTAATCGGTACATAGGGTAGTGGCTAATGTGCTTTGCCTCCATAGACGGCATATTCAGAAAACTGGCTGCTCTCCGTTCCTTTCAACCGTTTCTTCCCACGAGAGAGATTGGCATCTGCTTGTGAGTGGTCCCCATTTCGCCTTGGAATCCGACAGGCCTTGCATAGCGCAATCATGTCCTTCTCGGACGGCTGTTTCAGGCTTGTTGGTGATAGAGGTTGCTTCTTCGCTCCCGCAATCACCAGACATGGCTTGACAGTTCGAATTTTCCACCCTTGGCCCCCGACCCCAGCATGCGGTGCTTGGGAGTTGTCTTGATCAGTTAATGACCTCTTCTGCTTCTGAGCAATACAGAAATCACTTCCATGCTCTTCCCTTGCGTCTCTTTCTGAGCAAGCCTGCAGTGGTCCCCTACCTAGGTAGGTTGCAACCTCGCATTTCTAGTTGCTCAAGCAGTCAACCATACGTATCCCGGCAATTGAGGGTGGAGGCTGCTCTCTGGAGGGTGGAAGGTATGACAGATGCCGCCGGGGTTTCTGTCTTTTGGACAAACGCAATTCGTCTCGTATGTCTGTCTGTTTGTCTCGTCACACTAGATGCGCGGGCAGCAGGAAATTGCCGACGCCTTCTTTGATGGGGTATTCAAAGCCGCAGTTCCCACAGACCAGTTTCCCCTCCGACACTCCGGTCTCGAGGAGGAGGGTGTGTAGTTTCTTCAGAACGTCCTCGTCCATCTCTCTCCTCGCCTCCTTTTGAGCAGAACCCCCTTGTTGTTCCTGGTCTGGCTTGTCATCTACACCTTCGACGTCCATCTCGTGGTCAGCTTCCACGTCTACGTCGTCAAATTCCGCAGGATTCTTCTCGGGCACCATCGCCTGCAATCCCAGCTCGGTCGCTGTGACGGTCAACGCCTCCCAGTTCACGCGCGGCAGGATATTCTGTATGAACAGCGGGTTGAACTCGATTTCGGTGCGTTCCAGCACGGCGTCCTTGAAGTGCAGGGGGAACGAGGCGGAGGAGGATTTGCACGCCTTGACGGCGCAGGTCAGGAAGTTCGTGGTGAGGAGTTTCATTTTTTGGTGCGGGCTCGGTGGATTGGGACCGAGAGAGGGAGAGGAAAAGTAGAGTAGGACTTGGTGATGTAGAAAAAAGTCTCCATTGCGCCAAGCCAAGGCCTCGTTGGGACAGAGATCTCAGATCCTAGTATTATATGTTCTCGGCAACAATGTCGCTATGGGTAGAGAATTCTCAAGGCTCACTTTCAGCATCTTGGTACAAGTTGGACCAGTGTTGCTGTCTGTACGCTTGTTCTACACTATTCTACGCGTTGTGGCCGCTCTGATCGTTCACCTCTTGAATTGTCCCACTCCATCTATCTGACAATTCACTCGAGAAATTCTAGCATCGTTGTATTCACTCGAGGGAAACAAGCATTGTACATTCCTCTTGTCACTATATATGTGATCCAGGGCGGAGAGGAGAAAAAAATATGTCCGGCACGCAGGTGACTTCGCATCCACCAACGGGAATCCGAAAACTCCCATCTCGAACGAAAAGCCTTATAAAGTGCCTCTATGGAGAAAACTCGGTCTAGTACGCCAATATGACCTACCACTCCATTGATGGATGAAGGAATTGGCGGTTGATTATGCGTTCATTTTGTAATTTCATGAAGTGTGAAGAGAAAAAGAGAAGGAGGGTCGGTAAAACCGTGGGCAAGTTCTGGTTTTTGATATCTGGGGTGCCGGAGCCGGAGAATCTCGTTTGCCGGAGCCAGTCCCCTTTGAGCCTGGCGCAGTATCTGGCCTTGGCATCGACGCGAGCTGGAGTTTTTTTCGTCTTCGCTCCTTGCGATCTTTTGCAAGCGATGAAGTCTCCGTCTTCAAAGAATGCTGTTGCCGTCTCGCAGCAGCTCAATGAGCCCAGTTGGCGGCCTGGTGTCTGATTCCCTCTTCTGCTGCGCAAGGCACATTCTCTCCCAGTTTCATGATGAGAATCTCTCCCTCGTGGCCTTTGTGTCTGGCAGAACCATACCCAGCCTCAAAATATAGCACTGGAAAGCAACCACACTCGGAAGCATCTTGACCTCTTCTCTCCCATGATCAAGACGTGGATCCAGGGGACACTCCAAAATCCCCAATCATCGCAAGTGGAAGACCAAAATCTGGGCTTTTAGCAGGGCCCTGTCTACTCCACCCTGCTTCTTCTGGTCTTGGTGAGGAGGCAGGACTATTTTCATGACAGACAATCTTGCAATAATCTTGTGTGCTGTATGGCTGACCCAATGCGTTTCTCGATGGCTTTCTTAGAAGCTGAGATTTCTCTCTGGGAGTGATGCAACAAACAAGCCTCCTTGAACGTCGCTAACCACTCAGTCAAGCCGTGCAAGGACAGTGAGGACGCACGATGGGTTATCATCCGCGAGTACTTTTTGAAGTTCTTGGACGAGGCTGGCTGGAAAGCAATGGTCTCACATGCAAGCGCCACCCAACAAGGAAGGCACACGCCCTTGCTACAAACCATGATGACTTCGCCTGATGCAGATATTGTCTTTTCTAACGACACTCCTCCAATACACATTTCAATCCGGTCAATCCGTTTGGCAGCATTTGACATCTCATCTCGCTCCTTTCTCCCCCGTCTCTACTTCCTCGCTTTCCTCCATTTTGTTCGATACCCCTCTCACAGTTTACTCACTTTCCTCTGACCTACTCTTCAATCCATTCTCACATCACATCTAACTCCTCCAGTCTCCCTCCATTCAAACCACATCTCTTCCCTTTCTGGCCTCTTATCCTTGAGAGTTCTCTCTTCCTAGCCGACTCTTCTTTGGCAGTTGTATCAGGCTTGACTTCCGCTCCTACCTCCTCGCTTCTTATTCATTTCTCTAAGCTTTGACATCTGTACAATATCAGCTTCTTGACTGTGTTTTGGCTTTGTTCCTATCTGACTCCTGTCCTTTCCTTGCGTTCCTTATCTCTTTCTACCGTTGGGACGGCCTCTCCTTCCGAAACGGTCTTTTTCATTTTGACCAGCTTCAAGCCCACACACTGACGCTGGGTTCGGATTCCCTGGCTCTCGTCTATACGGTTGTTCCTTACTTGACTCTTCAGTGACTCTATATGCTTCTTTCTTCAAAGAACCGACATCTTGATCATGCAGAGGAAGCAAGATTGGACAAGGTATAATCAATACCTCCGAAAGCCCTACTTCTACTGGGACAAGGACGGCCTGGACTTGTGCTGCTGCATCAACGAGCCTCTAGGTCACTCACTTTACAGCCGACCGGAATTAGAAAGACCGATGAAGACATTGAAGGAGCTTACTGCCGACGGACCAAGACATCCCTTCAGATTGGTAATCTATAAAGGAGTCTCAGTGGGGGACGACTGGATGTGGAAACTCTCTCACCATCGCGTGAATATGGGAGATGTGTCTGCTTGCACTCAAGGAATCACACGATATCTCTTTCGGTTCTGGCATGACGAGAGCGCGGGCGGAAATACAGAGGGTTGTTTCAAGAGTGAACGTGAAAAGCAAGGTATGTGTGCCGACCTGGAGCTCATGGGCGAACAAGACATCCAGGAGAGTCTGATCCGACATTTAAGAAACACAAAAGGACACTTCCAAAGTCCCTGGGTCTCTCTCGCGACATCTCCGCTTTGGGTCTTCTCGCAGGCTCTCGCCGTTATGGAGCAAGGATGCCAGAATCTGAGACTTGCCATCATCGACACGTGGAGCCTCCGTGAGGGTACTTATCTTTTCCACAGCGAAGCATTGCTCAGGGCCTACAATGTCGTTAAAAGCCTGCCTTTCCTCAACATGGGCGAGCCAGAGGTGTTGGTATGGAAAGAAATCCGCGCTCCGATGACGGTTGTGCGTCTAGACGAATTTTTGCCCAGTGTGTTGGAGAGGGGATACCTCAAGCCAGGCTACCTAAAACTGCAACCCTTCCATTACAAGCAGTTAAACTCGGGATTCACAAAGAAGCATAGCGCTAAGAGGAAGACAGCGGGCCCGGAGACAGACAACAACAAACACGGCGGCAAGAGGAAGAGAGCGGGTGCCGAGACAGACGACAAGAAACAAAGGAGCCGCCCACGAAGACCATACGAGATCAGAAAGAAGATATGTCCAAACCAGACCACCTCTGAGGCGTTTCTGGATATAAGGCTCGAACAGCAAGCTCCATGGAGGTTTCCGAGGAGACACTGCGCTGGCAGAATGTCCCAAGGGGAGCAGCCCGGCCGGAAAACTGGGTGTTTCCGTGTCCCGATGGCAGCATATCAGCTCGACGAATACGTGGAGTTCCTGAAGAGAGAAGTCCCGGCAGTAGAATTTCAATTCCCAATGCTGATTGCTCTACTCTCGACTCGCACCAGGGAGCTGGAATACGACTCTATCCTCGACGCAATCCAAGAATCGGGCAGTAAGTGGACATCCTCCTCATCCCCCTCATCATCTTCTTCAATCCAAAATGTCCTGTCAAGCTAATGGTGTGATCCAGGCGATGTTCCAATGTTCCAGGCTCATAAACAGTGCATTGTCTCGGATAGTAGTGCTTCGCAAAGCCTGCCCGAGTTGGCCTCCTTTGAGAGACTATTCCGAGACGCAAGTGTCAGGCTGGGGATCCCGGTCGTCAAGAGTCCTGGCGTGCGGAATTTCTGGCCCTTAGAATCTCCGCACACCGAGATTCCACCAATTGATAAGGAGTTCAGTGAGTTGGCCCTGGACGTCGTCCAAGGTCGGGAGAAGCAACATATGAGACTCAAAGAAGAGGAAGTCGGACGAGAAGAAGCCCGACAAAAGGAAGCTGAAAAGGACAATATCATGCGGTGCAGGAGGCAGGAGGCAGAGGAGAGGCGCAAGACCCTAGAGTCTGGGCTGCTGTCACAAGGGCTCGAAGGGCGAGTCAATTGCTTGCACAAACACTCGATCTGGAACGATCCTGGTATTGCAGGCCTTTTTTCTGCCCCAGCACGAAAGCAGACACCTGTCACCACCCCACCCATCGACCATAAGGATCCCCGTCGCGACGAGACCACAATCTTGCCTAGTATAACGACTATCGACGCTAATGCCGGCGAAGACACGTGTATACTGACGACAATCATGGAGGAAGACTCGCACATCAAGCTCGCATGAACGAGCAGTAATCCCACAAAACTTCTGTGCTAACAAACAATCTGTTTTAATTTTGGTCTGGACGAGCGGCGCCAATCAGCCCAGTCTTCAGGTCACCCATGTGCTTTTGTGACAATAAATGTGCTGGGAAATAGGAATTCAACGGGGTGCTGATGGAGAAACTGAGCTGGAATTGGACTGGGGCTCTACCATTCATTGCTCTGACCTGGCCCATGAACCGGGTTGCGACAAGGCTGATGTATGATGGGTGGACTGGACTAGGCGGTCAACGGTGGTGCCGTTGCTGTTGCTGTTGAATCTTCCTTTTTCTTTCCAGAAAAGTACAAAGGATCGGTTCTAATTTCTTTGAGCGGGCGGTGGGGGGTTTGGTTGGGCTCTTTGATGCTTTGGGTATTTGACGAGGAGGGATCCCGTTCAGATTTTGGGGGGGCCTTCCGATGGAGGATTCACAACGACAATTGAGACTGAATTTCGGGTGACCAACAGTCAGGGAAAATGGTTGGAGCTAGAATCAATGGATTTTTCTTGCTCTCTCTATGCTTCTCTCTCATACTTGTGCCGTGGGCTTCTCTATCCTTACCATCCCTCCTTCACCCTTTCTTTTCTTTCTTTCTTTCTTTCTTTCTCTATCCTCCTCCCTTCCTTTTCCAGCCTTACTCCTCCGATGTTACAACATCTCTACGGCCGCAAGGGGTGGTCAATGCGGAAAGAGGGCCTCGTCTCGCTACCTACGAAAAGGGCACCGCCTGTGATTGCCACTCTTGTCTCCCCTCATCTAAGCAACATAGCCAGGCTACCTCGATATCATACCTAGCTAACGTCTGTCTATCGTATGAATACAAAATAGTCAGGGGTGGGCCATTGTTTAACCTTAAGCAATGGGTATTATTTTACGTCAAACATCCCCCCCGCTCTGAGTAGGGCGGTGGGAGGATCCGAAATGGGTTCCTGCAAGAAATGAGTGGGTGGAAATGGAATGCAATTGTCAATCGGCCAATTTACAGTCAGCAAGCTGCTATCCCTCGTGGGTATGTACCTCATACAAGTATGGTGAATAGCAAAAAGATCGGCGGCGCTAATGGATGGGCTGGATGATACCTCACTATTAGGCAACCGACCGCACCTTTGACCGACTTAAGCCCCGAGCAGTATGTACTTCCCGCCTTGTTATGTACGTACCGAATGCAGCCCCCTTGCGTCGGGATCAGGGTTGTAGGAGGCACCCGCTAGGCCATGATATTCTCGCTTGGTGGTTCCGCTCTTATCTTCATGCTCGTTGCTTGACTCTGGGGGCCAAAGTCGTGCCCATGAGGCTGCCACACACGGCGGAAAACCGGTCTCGCTGGCACAGATTCCATTTCGGAGAATGAGCACCTCCGCAGCACCTTGCAGCTGATGGCTTTGCCTAAGCCGGTTTCGTTAAAAAGAGAAGAAAGTTAAACTTGGGATCAACCACAAACACCCTGGCCACGGAGCAAGCCTGGTGTTACGAGCTCGCAGCGCCTCATGCAGCTTGCCCGGAAAGCTGGGGCTTTTGACACCCCGTATTGGGTCCCAGAGACTTGGAAGCGAATGAGCATCCCCGTCCCCGAGAGCGGAAGAGGCCATCCCCGGCCACTCCCAGAACTGCATAGAGTTTGGCAGGATTCTGCACGCTGGTGACTGGGATGTTTGCTCTGCCCACTCGGCTCTCCCTGCTTCCCAACTGCCCTATCTGCACAAGAGAGAAAAGACCCCTGGTCCATTTCAATGGCAATTTCGGTGTGACTTGAGCGTCCCGTCGTTGGCGTATCGGCTGCAACGCTCTGCAGGGTCCGAACACTTCGTCAGGGCGTTCTAGGCCACGAACCCAAGATCCAAACAAAGGCAGAGCTCCTTGTATCGTGCCACGGTTCCGCCAGGCCCCGCGCCGTCCGTTCGCCCTCTGTTGATTGTCGCTATCGCACTTGACGGCTGAGACGGATGATCTGTCCGCAAGCACACTTGCCCCGAGTTGACACGCATGTTGTTACGCCATCATGCATCTCCTCTCACCGGTGCCAGAGTGGGGAAAGCAAGTTGCGGAAACGAGCAAGGAACTTTCTCGCTCATCAAGGGTAGCCCCAATTTTGTCTCCTTGCAGAATGAGACAGCGCATTCGTTAGCAAAGACCTCTAGTAACAACCCATGCCGTTGCGCTGGCTGCAGCTGCACCTGTATCCCACGGAGTCTCCCGGTCTCCAGGCTGGATTTTGAGCCCGAGCTGCGAACTGTGTCCAGCTGAGGGGTCAAAACTCGTGTAAATCTGTTGCAGCGGTCCTCGAGACTCCTACCGATCGACCTGGAATACTCTGCCTTAGCCCCAGAGCCTAAGTGCCGAAATCTATCGGAGAGCAGAATGCTAGCAGGGTTCAAAGGTTGCAGAAGCACCTTTTCCCATACTTTCGCTACTTCGACTTGCGTGCTGTCGAAGTTCCATTGTGCCAGTGCCCTGCAAATCTCGTTCTCTCGTAATCCAGGTCGGCCACTTCTGTCCATCACCGTGAAGCATAAAAAGTCTTCTCCAAGTCTTCTCCTTGCATAGCTTTGGGATCGGATTCTCTTCAACTTTCATCTTTCTTGACTCGGCTGCGCGGGCTTTTTGAGGTCCCACAGCACTTTTTGATAGCATTGCCGCATTCAACAACGGACCCACCTTTGTCATGGCGTCAGACTCTGTACCTAGCAACAGTGAGTGTGTCTTTGTCGACTCTTACCTCCGGCAAGACCGTGGTTCGGATTGCAGACTTGGGCTCTTCCACCGTATCCTGATGCGGCTGCTAACATCCACCGGGCCCGACAGACAGGTCAGCTGGCCTCAAGGATCAGATGCAGCAATATCTCGCCACACCAATCTGGGAAGAGCCGTATAGACCGAGGACGGGAGCTCGCCATAGGCTCGGGAATCTCATTAGCAGGATGGACAGCGACCTTGCCAAGTTTGCCAGTGGTTCACCTGCTGTCGCTACGAGTAGAGGTGGCTTTGAGGAGTTGCACGCCGTCTCTCGAAGGCATGTCTTCCCCCCGTCATGAGCTTCACCCAGACACTGGCAATTGCTGATAAGGAAAACTTGTTCCTACAGCAATGACTGGCTCCCAGAGATGTGAGGTCAGTATCTGGGCCGGTCTTTCCAATCATCTCGATACCCCCGCTAAGGAAAGAAAAGATTCGGAGAGGGAATGTTGCGGGCAGCCTGGGAGGAAATGCCGAATACTCGTAGTAGGGATGCCTGCGCCGCACCGAGTTTCGCTGCCCGACATCGGCTGTCGAGGCTTTGTTGCAGATGTCCTTACAGGTGTTGGGCTCCTGTAACGAATGAGTTGGAATATCTGACACGGTACGCCAATGGTCTTTCACTCTGTGTGGCGAATGTTGATAGAGCGGGATACTCTCTCTCTTGTACTCCAGACAGGATGGGTTGTCATTCCATTATCTGAAGAGTTCGTCGTAACAATGCAATTCATGAGTTGGCTGGCTAGTGATATCCCACGCAGTATTCTCGCGGCCCTTCCTGTCTCCACGACTTTTGCGTTGTGCTTGGAGAATCAATCAAGGACGCGAGACAGATAATGAAACACCTACCTACATACCTCGCAGAACAGCTGTGGGCTATGTGCTCAGCTGCAGAGACGGAGCAAACGGTCGTTTCTGTTTTTCACGCTGAAGAATCTGAACCACCCTCTGATCGCGGCTGCGATTCGTCTGTTACCGAGCCTAACTCATTGGATGCCCCTAATTATCAGGTTGATAGTATCAGGCTGAAGGTAAAGTCCTGACTCGAAGGGGTCGACAAAAGCTCTAAGCCCTAGTAGAAGAACCAAATTCTCATGGAAGCATGGACGTGGAACGGTCTCGTGGCGTCAAGCAAAGGACAAAAGTGAGGCCACTTCATGCTTACCAATTTGGCGATGGGCTTCATCTGGGATGCACAGATTCGTCATAAAAGTGCGGTGGAGAGTCTGCATGATCCCTCTCTGAAATATGAGCTCTTACATGACTTCAATTTGAAGGGTTATGCGCTCAAACAGCAACCAGCGCAAAGTGAGCACGAGACTTGGCAGCGGCTGAGATATAGCTGGTTGTCCACCGTCCGCCGCCAGCAACGGTGTGCGCATCTAACGATGCTGACAGAAGACCCCTTGGATGTGTAAATGTAGACGCCGGCCACTCCTCGTCGGTGTTGGAGAAGAAAGAAGATTGTGCCAAGGATTGGAGCGAGGGATCGATTGAGATCTAGGCTAGAAGTGGTGTGACTTGTTAGCGATGTCGGCAGCAGAAGCGGCACATCAGACAGAACTCGGCCACGCCACGTGAATACGACAGCCCCTTGAAGAAATCCGGGGCAATGGATGTGGCAAACTGTGGTGAAAGTAGGAGTTGGACTCGATATGGAAGCCTTAGTGCAATCGCAGAATCCCGAGGCGATGGCAGTGAGACGGAGTCAGGCTGATGTTCGAAGATAGATCGGGTGGGTTGGGAGAAGGTTGGGGGACGAAGTCTTCTAGAAAATGGCGGCAGATGTTGGAGGGGCGGTGAGATGGTAGGAAATGCTCCGCGTGGACTCGTCTGAAAGGCAGCAACAAGGCCGTCGAGGCGGAAGTGGACGGAAGGGGCAGAAGCGTGGCGTCGATGGATGCCGCTGCTTGGCCTGACGAACAACAGAGGGAAGAGGCCGATATCTCGTGATCCGTGACAAATCTGGTGTTGTGACGGGAAGGAATACGGTTTTGCGGGAGGTAAGGGGCGAGGTCCAAGAAGTTTGGTGAACTGTGGACGAATCGAGATCTTGATGGACTGCTGTGTGGCTTGTAAAGGCTGATACCCGTAGACTGTTGGTTGGTGGACGTTGGAGTCACGGTGATGTAAGGGGCGTCGGGCACCAAGCAAACCGGCAAGCGAGTGTAGTAGAAACACACGACTAGACAGCGACAAGCTTCACGGGCGAGAGTGTGCGCAAGAGTACTCGGTAGAGGCGACAAGAACGACGAGGACAAGAATAATGCAGTCAGCAAGGGAAAAGCTGGAGCCGTGGAGCCGAGCCGAGTATGAGAAGAGCTGGGGGAATCAGGTGGTCAGGGTGAAAGGTGAAGTGAAGCGAAGTGAAGTGAAGGTGAAAGCAGCAGTAACATCAAGACCTGCAGTTACCTGCAGTATCTTGCTCCTTGCCATCTACAAATAGGCCGCAGTTTGTGAAGATTTAACCAAGATTAAAAGTACTAAGTAATTACCTAGGTAGGTATTGTTGTTATTGACCGCCGTTTCCAGTTGGGAAGGTGCGTAGGGGTGCCTGTTGCGTTCATTTCTGGCTGGCTGGCTGGCTGGCTGGCTGGTTCCACGGCTAATTCCTGGCACCACAGGCCAAGGAGCAAGGGAGAGGAGGATGAAGAAGGAGCTCTCCCTTCAACGTCGACTTGCAGTCCCCATCTGTAGCCCATCTGTAGCCCATCATCATCCACCTGCTTCTTGCATCTCCTTGCCCTCTGCGCGTAGTGGGTGCGTAGTGGGTGCGTAGTGCATTTGTCACGTCTCCACTTCTTCCGCCGCTGGTAGATCTTCGCTCTTTCTCTGAGCCACTAGGTACTTACCGCGTTCTCGGTATTGTAATTTGCATCTCTCTTTCCACTGTCTGTCTTTCAGAGCCGTTTCTAGCTCTATTGCTGCGATTGCCAGTCTAGAACCTTCAATCGTCCATGCGTCCATGACGCCAAAGCCAAGCGCCCTGTTTCCTTGTCTTCTCTCCGTGGCGTGACTCCTGGCTCATTCGCCGGTTCTGTCGTGCCTTTCGCCCTGGAGATCCAGTCAGAGTCGCATCTTTCCTTCCTCCGCTCGCCCGCAACAGGCCGTCTCCACCTTCCGAGCCCCAAAGGGCCTTTTGCGGTTTGTAGTCATTCGCCCGTCCTCAATAACAGGCTAAACGGCAATAAATGCAACTTCTCGCTTCTCCGGCCCATTCACATCGTTTCCAGAAACAGTGCATCATACCCCCCGTCATCGTCCTGGTCCTAGCTCTAGCTCTTTCTCTTTCGCCGCCCTTGTCGCTCTCTCGCCCTTACGAGGGACAGCTATGAGCCCATGACTACTCACTCGTTCCTCCGGACAGATCTTGTCCCCAGTGATGAACTCAATCCATGCCTCCAAGTCGCAGGTGATCATTTCTCAACCTTGTCATCTTGTCCACCCTCCCAGTCCACCAGCCCACCCCCTTCCCAACAGCTGTCTGTCCACTCCCCCGCCGCGATCCAGTGCTTTAGTCTTGTTTCAACCGTTCCAAGTCTGTGCAAAACGTCGGTCCACCAGAAATGTAATGCCGTGAACAGACAAGAAAAAAACCTTCCTCCCCGCCGACTCCGACTCTGGTACCCTCCATTCCCCAGAACACCCTAGCTTTGCTTGCCCCAGAGCGTCCTCGGACACGCGCGTGATCCCAGAGCAATACATAAACACTCGTAGATCCCCTTTCCATCACACCCCTTCTCTCCCTCTCCATCCCCCTTGCCCGCGTGCCAGCCTAGACCGTTGCAAAAGTTATACTCATTCGAGTAGCTAGCTATTCACTTCACCGTGCTCTCACCTTGCGACCTACTCCTACCTGTCCCAAGCTCCATTCACCATGGCCACCAACACAGATCATAACGCTGTCAACTCGGCAGTCAACGGCGACACCTCTTCCCATGCCCAGGACTTCGAAAAGGCCACTCGAGGAATGAGCCACGAGGAGAAGACGGCGGCTCAAAATGCTGCTCGCTTCGGATATGGCCCTTTGGCTCATATGCGCACAAACTTGGATGCCACTCTCCCTGGTGAGTTTCCACTACCCGCCTGATCGCGTCTTCTCAGAAGGTCCTGGACTGACTGATTTCTTCTGTTGCGTGATGATTTACAGCTTTCGGTGGTGAATTCCAACCCGGTCTCTACAGAGGCGTTGAGAAACGCAAGTTCGCCAACCCAGCTCCCTTGGGCTTGTGCGCTTTCGCCTTGACCACCTTCGTCCTCAGCTTGATCAACTTGGGGACCCGAAATGTCAAAGTCCCTGCCATCGTCATCTCTCTCGCCTTTGGTTATGGTGGTCTCGTGCAGCTTCTGGCTGGCATGTGGTAAGTTTTGCTTGCTGCTTGGGGCTCGGTTGATTGCCGCTGACCTGAATCCACAGGGAAATGGCAGTCGGCAACACTTTCGGTGCCACCGCTTTGTCCTCCTTTGGCGGCTTCTGGATCTCCTTTGCCATTATCCTCACCCCCGGCGGCTTCCAGATCGAATCTACCATCGAAACCCAGCAGAACACCAAGGCCCTGTTTGATTGTTTGGGCTTTTATTTGATGGTAAGTGCTGTTCAATGGCATTTGCATCTCCGGCGCAGTTCTGACTAGGAAACTACAGGGCTGGTTCATCTTCACATTTCTCCTCCTCATCTGCACCCTCAAGTCCACCTTGGCCTTCTTCCTCTTGTTCTTCACCCTGGACTTGGCCTTCTTGATGCTGGGCTGCTCGTACCTGGTCCTCGAGAACGGCGCACCTCACACTGGCCTGACCCGTGCAGGTGGTGCTTTTGGCATCCTTGCCGCATTTTTGGCCTGGTACAATGCCCTTGCAGGTATCGCAGACACCTCGAACAGCTTCTTCATCGTCCCCGTCATCCACTTCCCCTGGTCGGAGAAGGGTAGGGCGGCTCGCAACGACGACAAGGATAGCTCCGTCTAAGCGACCTGCACGATGCGGGTCAAAACATGCTCGCCGTCGATATTTTGCGCACCCTACACATGTGGAGGGCATGCGCCGAGAGTGGTTGAAGAAATATTTCTATTACAGGAATATGAATGAGCCCGAGAGGCATGAATCATCATACTGGGGAGGTGCGGTGTTGTATGGAACTGGAATCGGCAAAGCAATACTACGTCTCTTTGGATACCCCAATCTGCGTTGCTTGGTTCTGGCCAGTTCTGTTCCAAAAACTTATCCATCGTTTGCTAATATACTATAATGCTATGCTTCCTACCTTCAGCCATTGTCCTTTTTCCTGCTTCACTTTCATCTTCGTCGACACAGCTACCCGCAAGCCAGAGGAGTGTCGGGAACTCGGCAGGCCAGCTCGTGACGAGCAATTCTTGCTCATGGCGGAGCTTCCCAAATGGCCGATATCAAAAGGATGTTCGATGGCGGACGTCATGATGGAAGAAGGATCGTCGGATCGCAGGGCTTACTGAGGGAGTTGATTGATTGTCGTCATGCCCAAGCCTTTTACGTTTCGCCAGTGGCCCCAATCAGCTCCACGCTAAGTGATTGGCGCGCTGGGATCGAAGATCGCTTTCCTGGCTGTTCTAGCGTCCTAGCGCCGGGAAGCTGTGGAATGCTGATCTCTACAAGTCACCAAGCACCCAAAGGGCTTGAGTTTGACACCGGCGACAGTATCACGGCTCATCAAAGCCTTGGCAGGTGTATAGATGTACAGATGTACGGACTAGAGAAGCGAGAGAGAGAGCCTCTGATTGCCATGGCGCGGTGGAAGCTGGGGGAAGAGGGGCTGATCGTTCGTTCCCCCTCTTGTCGCTAAACCGCTCTTCCTGCAACTCTGGTGTTCTTTCTGCACACAGGTGTCTTTTCCAAAAGAATCGCCCCCCTTGATTTTAGCACCAGTACCTACCGTTTGGCGACGACGTCAAGTGACCTACCGACCTTGCCTGCTTATTCTAGCCACCGACGGGGCTTTTCCTTTTCGATTCGGTCAGCGAAAGGGGGATCCATCCATCCCCCAGACTCGTATCAAACTAGCCCCGTCTGTTGACCTCAGACAAACAAACCCCCACCCGCGCCTTCCGTTATCCATCCCTGTTACGCACCAGAGAACAAAGTGACCCCCGAATCGGTGCCTCGATTGGCTTTTTCTTTTCTTTCCTTTTCCCTTTTTCAACAGGTGCGCGGGGGGCAACTTTTCTGCAAACGTAGGTAGTAGGTAGTGCTCTGTGACCTAGGTACATACTACACCGGTTTACTCGAACGGAGAATAAGTAATCTACCTTAAAATCTCCTGTACAGTACTATACCTAGATAGATGGGGACGCACCTCTCCCCTCCCCTCCCCTAACCGACCTGCCTATACAGGAAAACTCAGAGAACTGCCTGGCTCTAACGAGCAGCCCTACCAAAGTCAAAAAGCACAATAGCCAGACAAAAGATATCGAAAGTAGTTACCGGTATTTCTCCCGGAATTCGATTCGACCTCCACGGGGCATTCCCAATCGCTCACCCCCTTATCGCTCTTGATCCCCGTGGGTACTTTGTACGGTAGGTAGGTATGTAGGTAGACTTCTGACTAGGTAGGTATCTACCTAGGTACGTCCAACAAGCTCGAAAAAGGCGTCATCGTTATGCAAAACTCCTCCGCCCCCCGGCCACCATTCTTCCCCCCCACAAAACAAACCCCGAGAGTATCTACCTGCGTATGCTAGCCTCATATTACGTCACTGACGATGCTGACACCTCTATCTAGTAGGGCTGGGGTTGTGAATGAGGCAATGACGTTGATATATTGCTATTAACTGATTGACTCATGGGATTAATGAATTAATGATTGGGGAATGACTCCGAACAGCGACTTGGACGTTTCTGCGATGCTTCCCTTTTCTGGAGCTGGTGGCGCCGAGCAAGGATGGCCCTGGTCTCGGACTTGGTTCCCGTCATCCGCTTGGTAGGGGAGGACGCTGTATCAGCATCTTCGACCCAGTAAGGCATCCTCCGTCGCACTCCACGCTTTATCTATGTAGCTGTTTTATGCCCTCTTTTAAGGCCTCCAGCATCGTGCATATGCAACGAGAGCTAGAAACAACTACATCGTCCGAATACCTAGTACTTCAGCGCGATCCCCAAATTTGAAATGAATAGTGCAGCATTGAAGCATGCAGCACGCTTCATTCAGCCTTTCTCCCTCCGCTTGCGCGTCCCCTCCCTCCCTGAAATATCAGAGCCGAATCATAAGATATATCTCGGCTCCCCGGACGAGAATCTGTACCAGAACCCCGTGCTGACTGTCTGGACCAGCTATTTGCCTGAATAATGTGCCTCTCTTCGAGCGGGGTAAGCCATCTTCTCGAACAGATTGCTGACACGAGCACCTTTACGCTCTACGCGTGGCGAGCGTGTCAGAACTTTGCGGAAAGATGCGGTACGACTTCGCCTCTACCCATTTCGAGACTGTTCCCCTTTTCGGCATAAACCGCTCTTGGTTGTGTTGGTGTGTTGTCCGACTTGGGATCAAAATGACCAGTAGCCCGCCTCAGAGGACGGCAAAAGCACTCACGTAGCTGACGCTGCTGTCCCTCACAGTCTCGGCATCACTGCTGCGTTCGTACCGCATGAACCTGAATCGTCTGTGATGGTCCGGTTCACCACCTTTTTCCCGCTCCAGTCGCTCCACCTCTTCAAGGCCAGCCATGAATACACCGATGGGGTGTCGCCCACACACGGTGTTCCCGGTTTCCTTGAGCACACGAAGGAATTCTGAATGTTGTCCCGTGGCGATGGCACACATACAAGCTCTGTCAGCGTGTGCGATGCTCTCAAATATTTGTGGTCCACCTTTTGGAACCTGAGTCCTGGAGCCGAGATGTTGACCCAGCCCCAGTGTGGGCATCTTGTGAACGTCTTCGTTGACCGACTCCTTCGCCGTGGTAAATTCCCCTCGTGCCCCATTGGGGAGCGTCAGCGGCGACAAGGCCGGGCTGGGTGCGTCAGGGAGGTAATAGGTGTAACCAAATCGACTCCCCCAATGGCAGAAGTCCGAGGAGATGACGAATGCATTGCTTTCATCCGAGATGTACGGAGCCAACATCTTCCCCAATGCAGCCTCCGTTGCAGGGTTCGTACCGCCGACCATGATGGGCACTAGAGGAGGGTATGACGACTCGGGCTTGTCAGGGTATAACTTTTGGAGGAGTCGGTGGATGTATGGTAGTTGCATTTCGGCGCTGTGCTCGGCTTCGTCCACGGGCTGAGACATGGTGGTGAACTTGACAGTGCGACCTTGGACGACCGTGGAGAGGGTGGATAGTTCTTGGATAGTCTCATGATCGAGGGGTAGAGGCGTGGTGGAGAGGGGAGTCTCGTAGGCGTCCACAACAGGGAGCGCAGCCGTGCTCAAGTGGTGGTGATGAGACGGGTGGAGGATGAAGATACGCTTTGCCTTGGAGAGGTCGAGGCATTTGTAGGCCCATGCTGCACAAGGACCAGAGTAGGCATAGCCTGCGTGAGGAGATATAACTACTCTGGCTCCAGACAATGGCAGACTGTCGACGCCAGGAAGAATGCCTGTCTCGGGCACCTGAGATAGCCACTGGTCGAGTTGGGTTGCCAGTTGTCGCCCATTGCCAGAGTACCACGAGCCGGCATGAGTGGCTTCTCTCACGGTCATGTTGAGAAGAGAAGAACAAGAACAAGACGGTCGCAAAAATAGGTGCAAAACTCTTTTAGATCGTTTGAGAGGATGTGGTTGGCGAGTCGGTCGATGATGATCTCTACTAGGTACCTAGGATGAAGCCAAAGTGATTCGGCGGGGTGATCCTTACCTCGTACTCTGAACGTGTGCGGGGGGCGCCTTTCCAGCTTCCTTCTGCACTGGCATCATTGAGATTGAGAACACTTCGCTCTTTGGAACTGTTCCATTCAATCCCATCACCTCGCAACATCTATTTCTTAGAGAGTGTATGTATTGATTTATTGTACTCTGCATCATTGGAGAGAGCCACCACCTCCACGAACCCTGGTCATCACCTGGTCATCACCTCCATTGGCTACCTGAAGCTCCCAGCCTCCCATCTCACGCGCGTGAGACGCGTAAAGTGTGTCCTCCCCACGCGTCATTCTTCAGACGAAACTTCGCCTCCTCCCACACGACCATCCACCATCGGCCATCTCCCAGCGGATTTCGATAAGAGTACCCGGTACTTTGATCAAGCATGAGCACCAAACGAAAAGCCTCCGTCTTTGAGGAGGACATGTTCTACCTCCAACCGAACACACCCCCGGTGACATCCTCCCCTCTCTCGTCAACCAGCAGCAGCAGCACGATCTCATCTGAGAACAACAACAACACTGCCTACGACTGCCTCAGAGTCAAGGCCGTTCCCTACCTGAACAGCCGGACGCGCAAGAGATACCGCGACGACAAACCCAACGAGGAGGTCATTCATGAAAACACCCTGAGGAAACTATACGATGCACAACGGCTGCATCTCGACGAGGCAATGCCCATGTCGGACGTGATCTCACTCGATCAAGACGGCCTGCCTATGTACAACGAAGCCGACGACACCGAGATGATGACCGACGACGTCCTCCCCCCAGAAGCAGAGATACCGCAGACCGCCCAACCGAACCAAACAACGATAGACGCTTTTTTCGGCGGGCGAGGAGGCGGTCTACAACAATCTCGAGCAAACGCAGTCCACCTATCACCGCCGCCGTACAACCCCTTCCTGTCGACATCCGGCGACGCTTCCAATCGACCGCCACTACAGATTCAGAGGACTTGTTTCGACTACTGGAATAATCCGAATCTGCGGTCCGTGAATGACTCCGCTGCTGCTAGGTAATGATTCGACATTGTTTGGGATGACAAAGGGCCGGCAGGCGCCTTGCAGCAGCGTGAGCAATACATGTGCATGTTGTGGAAACGAAGACATGGCAAGATCTGTAAGGACAGCACGATGTGTGGTATATATCCGCGGAAAAAACTCGAGCTGGATGAGGATGTGCTTGCCGATACTGGCTTCGGGACTTGATTGCGGCCCAGGATTGACTATCTGCAGCTGCACCAATGTTCTTGTTACTTCGCACGCAAGATTCTGGCCTCGGGGATGTTGGTATGCCTTTGAGGGGGTAGGGCGAGGTGTACGAGATAAAATGTCCGAGTCGCCATGGACCCAGACCAGGAGTCAAAATGCCTGAGCCTCATACAAGGTTGCTCTTTTGGCATATCGAATATATAGAAGAACCATAGAGTTGGTTGCTGAATTGCAGCTTGTATGCTGCTCTGTGGTCCGGCAGGCATTATCGCCATCGATTGTCTGGATCTGACCTTGTACATACGTAAGCGATACGCTGCAACTGGTATGAGCAAACGACCACTGGATCTATGATCTCCATTCCGCATTGATTCATTGCATTTTGACTATCATCATGCTATCATCATGTACATTAAAGAACCCCGGAAACCAGGCGACAACAGATGCAGATGGACGGATTAGCCGTAGGTACATAACGTCCAAGCCAAGCGATATGATGTGATATTGGTGTCGGATGCCCATGGAACATGGCGCCGCCGAACGTGACATCTCCGTAACATCAACGGAGCGAAAGGATAGAACTGAGCCGATCACCTTATCATAGACCATTGCATCACCGGTGCAACCAGAAATCCAAGCCCAATGTCAAGCTGGGGCAGTAAAGAGGAATGCCTTGATGCATCATGCCATATATCGTGTGTCCTTTGTGCGCCCATACCTCTGTCCCTGTTCTCCAATGCAAGCATGAACCCTGCGAAAACCATGCGTCGTATCATCATGAGTGCTGTTCATGTGTCCGCTGAGGCCAGATTGTGTACGTCTGCTTCCTTGTTCCTGGCCCCGAACTTCAATTTTGGTCGTCATTTTCTTTTGAGTAGCCAGTTGGCACCGTCGCGCCGAACCAATTCGACCGCCGACTGTGTCGCCCCAGTTTCGTCAACTGTGAATTTTCGGGTGGAACCTTGTTGCTCTGTCCTCGAAGATCTCCTCCAACCCGACATAGTCAATTCCTCTGCTGCCTGACCTGTATCGCCACGTGCCATCCCCAACAATCAACATTCAGGTCTCCCAATCCTCCTTGACTACTCTCGCACGAAGTTTCCGCCGAGTAGTCAATAGTTTGAGTCACGGGCTGGCTTCAGACCCCGTTTCTTCGCCTCGATGACTCTGCCCACTCAATTTTCAGGAGACCGCGTGTCAGATGGCTCCCCGTTGACCACTCGAAGAGGTACGCTTCGAGCCGGCTCATCCTCCGCACTTCGGCTGGCGCGATATTGTTCCACCCAGTATTCGTCAAGCATGGTGCTTAACCGATTGGCATGCGTACGGGCCATTGTCTCCGACTCCAGCTGGATCTTCTGGTACGCTTCTCTCGCCTTATCCCTAGCCAACTTGGTCTTCTCGCACCTCCTGATTAGAGGCGTGAGATCCCCAGGTTCGCCCCGAACTTGAGCTTCAAGTAGTGCCCGATTCGCGCCGAGATCGTCTTGATTTGCTCGGTTGCATTCCGTAAGGGCCACCCGAGTTCGATGTCGCATTTCGTCCGTCATGCGCAATTGCTCGTCTCGGAGTTGGAGGACCGCGTTTCTGGTCTCTGGATTCAGGGTGTCTGGCACCGCAAACGAGGCTCGCACTGATCTGTAGCTTGGGTAATACATCGAGTTTCCGAACCGCCGCATTCTTGCACGTTCCGGCTTTGCGCTGACATTGAGCTCAATCTTTGCATCCCCTTTCAGCGATTCTGGTGCGTTGAACTCAACGCCCTCGTCCCACGACTTGTCAGTGACCGGTGGAACAACATTGTTCAACATGCGTCTCGCATCAATGGTTCTACGACACTTCATACATGCTTTGCTCTTGGAGTATGTCACAGAGTTGACCCAAGCTGACAGACAGGTAGCGTGCATTGGGGTATCACAACAGGTAATGACGGCCATGAAGTTATCCTGCTCGAATTCGAGCTGGCATGCTGGACATTCCTTTTTGTGTTCTTCCAAGGCTTCGATACTCTCCGTGGTGGCGCGAGTGAGGATCAACATGGTAGGCGGCTTCTGCGGGTTAGCGGCGGCGGAGCTGGGCGGTTCTCGTCTGGGAGACACCGCCGTACTTGCGGGTACCGGTGGGGGAAAGGGAGAAGACTGACTCCAGTCAACTGAATAACCGAAGGCGGCTGCTGTCACACTCCTAGAAGGCTCTACCAGGAAGCCTTGCGATTCTCCCAGTCGCTCGTCCGACTCTCTGTGGTCGTGGAAGATATTCTCCGGCAGAGGTCGAACAAGGTCGACGCCTGATTCCTGTCGAAGACCAGGTGGACACGGATAGCTGGTCAGATTGACGGGTCGTGGAGGTTGGCCTGTGGGGGGATAGTTCTGGTAGGTGAAGGGAGAGTCGATGCCACGCAGATCTTGAGCAAAGCCGGAGCCTGATGCAAGGTACTCGAGAGCTGCATCTTCCTCCATGAAAATGCCGCGGTACATGAAAGGGGGCATCCCATGGAACCTGGTGCCGAAGGAATCTCCTGAGGCTGGGACTGATGTCGGCGCCGAGTTGTTAGGGGACTGTGAAGGATCCGCCATGTGTCTATGAGGGGTGCTCCTGAATTCGACCCTGCGACGCTTGTACTTATGGTCATCAGAAGAGGAATTTTCTCTCTCAGAACGAGCTTGAGATCCGGAAGGGCTGTAGTCGTCGTAGTGCGGTGGAGACGACATCTGAGGGTGATAGTACTCCATGCAAGAGAGTAAAACCTTGAACGCAGTAGTCAAGCAACTGTGTCCAGGGAAGCGGAAGTTAAGATCCAGTAAGGACTGAAGCCCAACGGATGGTCGTCAATAGTCTCCGTGGCTAAGAGGGGCTGAAGGCCGGTTCAAGTTTGGTTGACCACGGATTGTGCAGCGAAAATCAGTCGGAGCCTGAGGCTGCTATGGAGACATGGAGGAATACCGCAGATCCAAGGCAAAAGAGGCCGTAGAGTACGCCTTGGGGCTACCTAACGATGGGCAATGAGAAGTTTAGGAGACTGGGAGGTTGGAAGAAGAATGCAATGAGTGAAAGTGGTGGGAGGAGTGTGGTGAAAGTAAGGTTGTAACGGAATCTGGATGGTCATGCGAGGGGGAGAGGACAGAATCCCCTTAGTGCCCGGTTTTGACCAGTAGCGAGAGGCACGTCTGCCCTGCCGCAGTTGGATGATGATTCTGGAATCGGGGAGGGGCAGGGTGTATCGAGTACTAGTCGTTGAAAGGTTGTGCAGCGGCTGGTGAGAACGGTGAGAACGGTGAGAGGGTGGAAGAGTCAGCTTAAAAGCAAGGCAGGTTTCAGCTTTGGCCGAGGCGTCTATCTTGGTATTGTGGTCTGTGCTTCGGTATTACCATCAGTGACAAGCCGACTGTGGAGGGAAAAGCGAGATGCTGGTCAACGTTACAGTCGAATACGAGGGTTTTGAGAGTGATTGGTTGCTGTGTCGTAGCATCGGAGTCTGGATGTCGAAGAAGAGGGGATAGAGGAGTGAGAGGAGCAAGATGATGGTGAGGAGGAAGAGGAAGAGGAGTGGCAGTGGCAGTGGCAGTGGCAGTGGCAGTAGGAGCAGCAGGAACAGAAGCAGTAGCAGTAGCAGTAGCAGCTGGAGTTTCCCAGTTACTACTGAGTTACTTCAAGATTCCTACTTGTTTCGGGCTGTCAGCTTCAAACCTGGCCACCACCACCACTGGGCACCTGACAAGTATGCAGGCAGTCGGCACTCTCAACCTTGTCACCCACAGCGCGCGCTGGTGTGTGTTTTCAGCCGTGCTTCCGAGCAGATCCAGCCCCTCAGATGACGGGACAAGAGGCACAGGGTCCTCTGCTTGGACCCAACGGAAATACGGGAACGACTGACAAAGAGAGTGGAAGCACGAAAGTGAAAGGACAACGGAGAGGGGAAGGGCGATGCTTTGGCGGCTACGAGAAGAAAGCGAAGCGAGTTCGTTTATTCACCTGGACAGTCACCACTGTATCATTCAAGTTCATTACATTCTGCAATTTTGCCCAATGCCAGGCATAAATGGGACTCAAATGGCAAATCTGCCCGGGTCTCGCAAAGGCCGCCTATCGCCTTGCGACACTCGGTGCTCATGCTGTACAAACTCTAACCGGCACATCAGAAAAGGTGATTCCGGACAAAGACAATTGGGGCACTGGGACCTGGAGGTCGCCTCGCTGACAGTAGCATGTCCGCCTCGTTGGAAAGGCGCTGCTCGAACGAACGGCGGGGTGGGGTTGAGGGCCGGTGGATGGAGGACGCACAGATTTAGCACTTGACACACAGCGGCGGCAAAGATGGAATCCATGATGGAATCAATAAAGGCAAACAGAGGCACCCAAGAGGTTCGACTGAATAATAACAATGGATGATTGAATGATTAAATGATTAAATGAATGAATGACAGCTACTGATACTATGTCGTCGGGCCATCGCCCTCGCTCCGTCCACAAATAGCCCGTCATTTGATCCGACGCACGCTCGCCCCCCAATCCTCCCTGAGGACATGACTAGTGAGGCTCAACTAATACCGAGTACAATCTTTCCCTTCCCTGACTGTCTGCGCACTGGTCTCCAAACATTCTACAACAACATGGACTGCTCCTGCATATCCTAACAACGAACCACCCCTGGCACCATGAAGCCGCTGTTACCTGTCCACCTCTTCTCCGCAACGATTTCCTTCGGTCGCTTCATAGAATGGGTTGGCTCGCCGCTGGATGTTGGACTTTTTTAGCAGGATACGCTCTTTACAGGATTTTTGTCAAACAGGATGTGCAAGAAGTCTTAGAATCACCCGCAAAAGCACGCCGCGAATCTGTTATGCCAGCGCTGGTCAAAAACCCGGAAGAGCCCCAGCCAGCTTCGGACACCCTTGACGAAGAAAAGCCGGATCTTCAACGAACCCTCGATATCTCGCCTCTTCGCTTGGAAATCTCTCAACCAGGAGATTATGAACCACCTGAGAAGATGGCGGACGAGACAATACCCAAGACCGAAAGCATGCCCCCTCCTCCGACACTTTCCAGGCCGGCCAGGCTTTCAAGCCCGCCTCGTGTGAATCCGCCGAACGTCGATAAGTTACCACCGCCACCTCGACCAGGCAATGGATTTATTCGACCTCCTCCCTCCGCAGCAGCGTCCCTGCGTGTCCCTCCCATCAAGCCTCTCCCGAATGCTTCACTCGCACCGACTTCGTCCATCATGCCGCCTGGCAAGCAAGTTTCGCGGAAAGTGATCCTTGAACCAGGTCACTCTCCCCTCGATTGGGCGGCACTCACATCCAACCCCACTAGCCAGCTTCGAGGCAAGGACGCGCCGGGAGAGCGCTTGATTCGAGTCACGGCCGCCCAACTCAAGCGGCAGAACGGAAGAAAAGGACGAGATGCCTGGACGGTATACCAAGGCAAGGTGTACAACATCACACCATACATTCCCTTCCACCCTGGTGGGGCGGGCGAGATCATGAGGGGCGCAGGCAAGGATTCTGTCAAGTTGTTCATGGAGGTCCATCCTTGGGTGAACTGGGACGCTATGCTAAGTGAGTGTCTGGTTGGCATACTTGTCGGCGATGACGAGGAAACAGGTGGCAATGGGGGTGGGCTGGACGATATGGATTGATTTACCTGTTTTCGAGTATGTGTGTTTACGGCGCGGCTCTGGACTTGTCCCTGGAAGCATGGACTGGAGCATTACAGGAAAGTTCTTCAGGACACGATCCGTGACATAGACTGGATACAGCGAGGCGTCACCCTTACAAGACCCTGGTTTTGCGAATACCCCAGCAGAGTCGAAGGAGGCATGCTTGATAGATATGGCCTGCTTTTTGATACCCCAACACCGACCAATTTTATCGAAGCAATGATGGCAATACCATCAGGTGGCCTCATTGACTATGATCCTCCATTTTCCCATCTATCAAGTTACCAGTCGATGCAAGAGAAGCCGGTCCACCTGAAAAGAGGACAAGGGCATCGTAATGTCCCCCGTCAACAATAGGGTTTGCCAATAGATCACAACTCGTCCTTCTTGACGCCCTTGATGCCCATCAACTCGGTCTCAAAGACCAACACGCTGTTCCCCGGGATCGGCCCAACACTTCTCGCACCATACCCCAGCTCGGGCGGAATCGTCAGCTTCCTCTTCTCGCCGATGCACATGTCCAACAACCCTTCGTCCCATCTAACAAAACGCAGTTACGCAGATCCAGTTAGTCCACGACCTCTTTATTTTCCCATTCCTGCCCATTGACACAAAATAACACTAGCAAGCCAAATGGTATAGAGGGGGGGGGGGAAGAAAGGAAAAAAGAGGAGGCACCACTACTCACCCCTTGATGACCCTCCCCGCGCCCAGCTCAAAGTTCAACGGTGTGCCTCGTGAGTACGAAGAGTCAAACTCCTTGCCCGTGTCCTGCAACGTGCCCCGGTAGTGGACGTCGATCTTGTCGCCCTTTTGGGTCTTGCGTGTGCATTCAATATCGGGCGTCTGGTACTCGATCTCGAGGCCCGTGGAAGATACGAGGTGGGCCAGCGCCAGCGCCGCGGCGAGGAGCGAGGAGAGGAGTTTCATGTTGTTGGGTCGGCGTTCGACTGTGAGCTAAGTTGCAGTGGAGGCAGGTCTCTCGTAGGTTAGGTAGTCGCTGTTGCGTGTTGCTGTAAAGGTACGATGTGCAAGCCAAATATGTAATAGTTCAATTGGAGAATGAGTGTAGATGAAGTTGGTTGATTCGTTTGGTGGCGGGGAGGCAGCGCTGCGGAGAAAGAAATGTTCCGTATCGCTTTCTCTTGAAATGACTTTGAACATCGCAGGAACAAAACAAGATGATTGGAAGCTTCCATTTCACTCAGCTATGGAGGAACCAAGTGTCTGGATCATTGCCCTTATAGCTCTGACGAGAACGAGATCCCTCTCCGTGGTCTCTGAACCCATGTGAAATATTCTACGCTGACTTCATCATGGACGTTTTTGTTACTTTCGTCTCCTCAACAACCTGCTACTGCTAGCCTTTGTTGTTCAATGCCCTGCTGTTTGCTTCAAAGCCGGCTGTTGCCTTCAATATCGACAGAATCCAGTGGCTTCGTGCTAACAACATGCTGCTGTCTGTAAGCAAACCATGTCCATCTTTTGTCAGTACCTTCCACCCGTCATCGCCTCTCTTAGCATCGACAATATACATTTCAGGCACCGCCCAAAAGCATTGATTTTGCAGAATCCAAGAACCGCTCACTGTCTGGATCTGGAACTGGAACTATTGGTGCCACTGGCGGTTCCATTCATAGTGGTCTAGCTGGTCCGCTTCGTAGGCATGTTCTCCTTGTCCGACTCTCGACGCACATGCTGGTACTTTCGGCGCTTCTGAATCAATTGCTCGTCATTAGGCGGGTCGGCGTCGTTATCATCACGATCGTCCTATCCTTGTCAATGTCTGTGACCAGAAGAGCCTTGGTTGAATCACTCACTAGCTTGCGTTTGGCTCGTTGGCTGTCGTTGCGACTAACGGTCGAATTGCTCTTGTAGCCTTCGATTGCCTTCTCTCCAAGAGGTTCTTCTGACGAACTGTCGTTGCTGGAACGACGACGCTTTGAGCTTCGGAGCAGGGCTTCTTCATCGTCCGAGTCAATGACCATTGGGTGATACCGCGCTTTGCCATGGAATATCCGCGTGCCACCAGTGGCATCAACGTCCACCTGACTATGTTAGGTACGATGACATGTATGGGGTGGTTGTGCTTCATCTTCACTCACAAACATTCCGTTTCCATTGTTGTCATTGTTAACGAGAGTCGACGAAGCGTTGCTGGATCCGGAACTCGACAGTCTGCGACCAGCGGCTGCCACCGAGTCGTCGTCGGAAGCGTTGCGCTTTCTCTTGCGGGGAGCCCTGATTGCTGGCAGCGCCGCTCTGCCTAGAGCCTTTCTTGCGGCCTTGAGAGCTTGCAGTCGAGCTTGACGATCATCTTCCTCTTGCTTCTTGCAAGCGAAGAACTCTTTGTTTTCCGCCTCGACTTGCGCAAATCTGTCCTCTCGAGCCTTCCGCAGTGCCGTCTTCTGGCGCGCTTCCTCGATTCTCTCCTTTGTAGCACGCCGGCTCTTGTCAACGGCCGAAGGCGCTCCTGGGTGGTTCTTGTTGTCGACCTCGTCCAGCGGGCCGAAGAACTTGACACCACTCATGTCGATGGAGGGCGTGAAGCTTTGTGGGAGGGTCTTGCCGTTGTAGGACGCCATTGTGTTGGCCTTCACGAATGCTTCGGTCTTTGCATGCGTGAAAGGCTTGGCTGATAGGGGAAACAGACTCTGATTCCGGCTTGAAAAGGGAAAGTGGTTCTTGTCCATGTTGGCTGGAGCAAGAAGGTATTTATATGTACGCAGGGAGAACTTGGGAAGAAGGGGGCGCTGAAGGTGCGAGGGACTGGAGGGTGGGCTGGACATGATAAGTGTCTGAAGAAGTTGATGGGCGAATGTGTTTGATGCTTGTGTAGCAGGTTTGCACTTGAGTTTGATGAAAGCTTTGGTGAGATGGGAAGGGAAAACGGAAGAGGTTCGAGGGAAGGGGAAGATAAATAGGACAAGGGAAAGGGGAAACCCGAAAGGTCGTTTACATTCACGGAAGATTAGGGCACTGGATTTGCAGTGAATTCATGGGGGTGGTTATTGTACTGCCTACCTAGGTAGTAATCACTTGTCACTTTTTCCCATTGAAGACGGCCCTTGAGGTGATAGGGCAGCGAGGTGGCAGGGGCAAGGCAAGGCAGTTGTGTGAAGACAGTGAATACACATACACAATGGCTGGCTGTCACCCGGTTTATTCACTTCACTCGGAGAAGCTTTGTATAGAAACTTGTAGTCACTTAGTTGTGTACCGCACCATACAGCCTTGTTCTCTCCAATTTAGAACGTGTTCTATCCCGTCCTATCGCTGTCCTCCTCCTAGCTGCCGAATTGGCCCTGACGACGGACGACAATGAGACATCCCACAGGAGGAATGCTCGAGTTGACCATCTCATTTTCGTGATGCATGATCTGAAACGGCAATTGACCACAGAGCATGGTTGTTGGTTGGGCTATAACCGTTGACGGTCTTCTCCCACCACGCGAACGTTAAAGAACGCCGATTTGTTATTGACAAGTAGGCAAACAATTTATGTCCAAGCGTGTTGTTTCTGTCTTGGCGTGTCTCTTTTGCTGACTATCGTTGAAGACGTGGTTGTTTTGTGTCCTTCCTGGTTGGACGTTCTGGTTGTTGAGGTTGGATGACAGTGAGGTCGAGGAGGGTGGCAGTGAAAATGAGTTTTGGTGACAGTGAGGTCGAGGTCGTCTTTTGGGTGGTGAGGTTGGGATGGTGTAAGTATTTCCTGGTGATTGTAGTGTTCGTGTGTTATGACCTCCAGGTTTGCTTCCTTGGAGAGTTTGTTGTCGAAGTCTCATGCTGTAGGTATTGGTGGCAGACAGCCTTGGCTGTTGTTGCTGCGGTTGCTGCGGTTGCTGCTGGTCCTTCTCAATTTCCTTCAGTTCTCACTGTCCGACTCGAACAGCGCGTCGATCTCCTTTTGTCTCTGCCTCTCTGCCTTCTCTGCCTGTCCTTGCTCAATCAGCTCCAGCAATGCCTTTGAGGGAGTTCTGTCGATTGATATTGGCGCGATGAGAAACTTTGGGACCGCCATGATTCTGGTGATGGTTCTTGGCTTGTGTCCACGAGCAGATGGGACGGTGAAGATGTCCTTGTGGGGCCGCATGCTTGCGGACGGCTTGACAATGTCGTAGTGTTTCTCGTTGCTGGTGTCGAGAACGTTGAGCTTGGTGTGTGCCAGGATGTCAAGTGGGCCTCGCTTTTGAGGCTTGTGGAAGAGGGACGCTTTTTCACGTCGACGTGGTAGCTGTTGCTTGACCACTTTGTTTGGTGTCGGGGCTGCCACCTGTTTTGGGGCGGCTTGCCTAGGTTTGTCTTGGGCGTGAGCCCGATCCAGCTTCTTTGGCTGGCTGGCAGAAGTTTTGAAGAAACAAGTGTTGGTGGCCATGGTGGTTAATGAGGATACAGATGTTGTGTATCTGGGGTGTTCAGGTGTTTGTTGTTGATTGCTGGTGCCAGAGCAGTGGACGTCAAGACCACTGTGTTGCTTCTGTTGTAGTTGCTGTTGATGTTGAGTGTGAATGGTATCGAGTTTGTCGAGTCAAGTGGCAGAGTGTTCTGATGAGGGAGGACAGGAGCACAAGAGGGGAGAGGGGGGGATATATATATATTTCCCATAGCAGAACCAGACAGAAGCGAACCAATTTGACTCAATGTAGAGTCTGGTACTGCAAAGAAGATCATCTGGATCCAAATCATAACATCCTCTGCGTCCAATACAATCCTTCGGCTCTGTTTCAGAGGCTCGATCATTCTGTCAAAGAACCAGGAAGAACAATCCAATGTGTCTCACGGTAAATATTGGTACTGAAAGAACAATATCTGGATCAGATCACAATGTCCTCTGCGTCCAATAGAGTCCTTCATTTCTGTTCCAGAGCCACAGTCATCTTGCCATTAGTCTCGATTTGCTGGAAGAAGATCAAGTCTACTCAGACACTTGTTTGGTTCAGCAACTCACTGGGTTTACACCAGGAGCACTCGCAGCGAGAATCAATTCATAAAATACGAGGGAGTAGACCTCACTTACCTTGGACCCACTGACTTACCAATGGACGGCACGACGATTGGTTCTTTGGGTCTGAGAAACCGAGTTTGAAGACCACCGGCCGATCGTGGCTGTACCAGAGGTCAAAAATACGAAACAGCATCACCCGTACCAGATCAGTTCTCACGGGCTCATGGTGGGTATGAACATTCATGCTTTGCGCCGTCTGGATGAGATGGATGGCATCAACGATGCCGCTCACTAGGCAGGGGAGGCCAGCGAGGTTACTCGGGTCAGCGACCTGCAGTAGTGGCAGATGCTCTCGAGAAGTTGATCGAAGGCAGTTTGTACTCGGATCAACAACCAGCAGTGGTAGCAGATGTTCTCGAGACGTTGATCGAAGATAGCCTGCCTCGTGGCAGATCTCAAAAGGGATGTTCAAGGTGGCTAGGGTGGTGGGGAGGTGGGTACCACGATGGGGACCTTGAACTTGAAAAAAGGGTCTTTGTGAAGCTGAACCAACGTCTTCGCACACGCGGAGTAGACCTCCGAGTGAACTTTGCTTCTACTTTTCTCTGGTTCGCGACGCGTCGAAGGAATCACGCAGCTAGGGATGTCCTCAAGGTCGATGAGAATCAAGGTCGGCCAGAAGAAGATTCTGCTGAGCCTCAGGCAGACTGTTGGTGTTGGAAATGGAACGCTAAAATGTGTTCTGTGCACGTTCTTTTCCGGGGCTGGGTTGGTCCACTATCGCGAACCAGCAAAATCAAATGATAGGAGGTGTGGATGGCCCCGTGAGGATCCTTGAAAGTGACATCCATGTCTTGATCACTATGAGAGTGAGGATCAACCTGTTTGCAGCTCTTTGCCCTGGAATTGCTGGCGTTCAGCAGTGAGAGAGCGCAGTTGACGTCGAGAGGGTCGACAGGGTCACCTGATCTCGCGATTGCCAAGATTTACGCGCTTTGGGCCTCGACGCGTCTATCTCCGTCCAGCGCAGCCCTCAATGTTCACCGCAACCTCCATGCGAGATGCAGCTCCTCGTAGGGCTCAATGCCGCTCAGAGAGCTGCAGTGACCTCGCCCGCATCAGTGCTCCAAGTGCTGGCTCCTCCAGGGTCCGGCAAAACAAAGACATTGACCTGTCGAGTCGCCTACCTCCTTGCACATTATGGCCATAACCCGCAAAATGTCATCTGTTGCACCTTCACCATCAAAGCCGCCAGGGAGATGCGGGAAAGGCTGAGAGGCCTGGTCGGTTGTGAACTCGAATCGAAATTGGTCCTCGGAACCATCCACTCCATCTGCCGACGTTACCTAGTCGCGTACGGCCATCTTATTGGAATACCCAAGGGATTTGGAATTGCAGACAGTTCAGACAGCAATAGCATAATCAAGCGAATCGTCAAGCGCCTCCACCTGACAATAGAACCCAAAAATGCGAGGGCCAGGATTTCCAGTCATAAGGCCAAAGGGAAAACGTTGGAAGACCTGCCCAAGAAACCGCCCAAAGAAATCAAGGATCAAGAATTCATAACCATTTTCCACGAGTATGAAGAAGCATTGGCAACTTCCAAACTACTGGACTATGATGACCTGCTCTTACGATGTGTTGATCTTCTGCGGGCATATCCAGCTTGCGTGTCCAACATCGAAGCGTTGTTGATTGATGAGTTTCAAGATACCAACATCGTACAATTCGAATTGATGAAACTACTGGCGTCGGCAAACAGAAAAATCACCATTGTTGGCGATCCGGATCAAAGCATTTACGGATTTAGGTCTGCAGAGATTGAGAATCTACGACGAATGAAGCTTTTCTACCCCGAGACAGAGGTCATCAATCTCGAGGAAAACTATCGCTCTGCTTCGGCCGTGCTCAAACTTGCCCAGGATGTCATTGAGCAAGACACCGACCGCCCTCAGAAGAAGATGAAGGCGACCCACTGTCATGGGAGTCAACCGGTGCTTCGACGTCTGCCCAATCCAAATGAAGAGGCCTTGTGGATTGCTAGCGAGATCAAGAGGACGATGACGATGACTGGAGGTCTACTTCTGCACTCTGACTTTGTCATTCTCCTGCGGTCGGCTTATCTCTCGTTACTGATCGAACGAGCGTTGGCAAACTCTGGCATCCCTTATCGCATGGTCGGTGGTCAACGTTTCTTTGACCGCGTCGAAATCCGGATCATCATCGACTACCTCCGTACCATCAGCCATCCTGACAATAATCAAGCCTTTGTTGCCATTATAAATACACCGCCACGCAAGATCGGGGACACTTCAGTCGCCGAAATGATCAAACTTGGCGAAGAACATAAGCTCTCACTGTGGGCTGTGGTGCAGAAAATCCTCGCCGGAGATCTAAAGCCTGAAAAGAGGCTTTCAAAGCCTGCAGAACAGGAGCTAGGCCGTCTGGTGAATCTGATTAGGACCGGCAGACAAAAGATGAATACCGTTGATCCTGCGGCGACGGTTCCCACAAAATTGATTGATTTTGTTGTCGAATCTTTGGATTTTGAGAATTATTTGAAGAGAAAATACAAGGATGATCATGAGGATCGGCTTGAGAACGTCAAGGAACTCATCACCCATGCCTCTGAGGTTCTGCTTCAGAACTCCAGTGAAGAACCTCTAGCAACGGTAGAGGGTGTGGAACAGCAACTCTCCAGTGGAGGCCAGGAAGTTCTTGCTCAGTTTCTGGCAAATATTGTCCTCTCGACCGATGTCGAGAATGCCGAGGAAGGAAAGGATAAACCTCGCGTCACCATCTCAACTATTCATTCAGCCAAAGGTCTTGAGTGGCCTGTCGTGTTTATTCCAGCTGTTTATGAAGGTTCAATTCCTCATTCTCGGGCTGACAACACTGATGAAGAACGGCGCCTGCTCTATGTCGCCATGACACGAGCTCAGGCTCTTCTGACAATGACATTTCCTGTGCTTCAATCCCGGGATCAAGCTGAGTCTGTTCTTTCGCAGTTCCTCCCACCCAAAGTCCACCATCATCTAGCCCAAGTTGGTCCACTGTTTCATGATCGAGCAATTCAGGATATAGCAAGCATCCTTCGACGGCCTATGCCATCCCAGGAAGATCTAGCAAAGAACTTGGAAGGCATCAAAGGCGAAGAGAGTGCTGCTGATGACGTTTGGCCTGCTGATGGCAGCCGCCGACCTACGCCGATGCTTCATGACGCCACGCAGAGCACTACAGAATTCGGCAGGCCCTTGGCAGAGGTTCTTGCTGCTCAAAAACAACAATATCGGACTTATACGACCCTTGCAAAGCCAAACGACATGTCAGGCACTGCTGGCCCAGGGTCGGTTACCACCATGACCAACGTCGAGGCTTTCTCCACGTCAAATATGTCGCTGGGCTTCACCACTGCTAGCCACCAGCTCAAAACCAGCGCCTCTGACCTTAGGAGATCCGCTTCTGATATTTTGCCACCTCAGAAGAAGCCCAAACTTTCAAAGTCACTTTCAGGACAGGGTAATATCGGGAGTTTCTTTTCGAAGCCAACCACCCAAGCATCTCAACTGCCGGGGAGGTCAACGTTAGGACCGCCTGTCGCTGGGTCACCTAAGCACAGATCTTCGGAGAGTGAAGGAGAGCTTCCTCCTCAAAGCCGCGAAGATCAGAGTAGTGCCAGGCGTGGCATTCCCGAAGAGTTTTCATCGCACGAATTGAACTTCCGCAACGGCATGGTTCAAGGACGTCCTGCACCTCTGAAAGAAACGAGCACGAATCCCAAAAGGCGGTATGTTGGCTTTTACAGTTCATCACCTCCCCCCTGTCCCCCGCAGGAGACGGAATCGCTGCCTTCAGGGGATGCCGCAGTTGCAAATCAGAATTTGAAGGATGCAGGAGGTCCAAAGTCAATGATCTCTGGTGGTCTTTCCACCCCGATTATGAATTACGTCCTCACCAAGCCTGCCAATACGTCGCACAAGACCACTATGTCTTCTATGGGAAACGGCAGGCATCCTTCGTCAGGGTTTGCTTCAGGAGTTGTTAGGAAGACACTTGGAGTCAGACGTACTATGAATGGGTGGGAGAACAGGAAGAACCGATGATTTGATGTCTGCAGTCGGCTATTGAGTCAATGCTGGGTTCTTGTTCGTCGGGTTCATTGATTGCTTGCATGACATCCAACGACATCACGAAGTTATGACTAGGTGGATCAATTGGGTTGAGGAGTCGAGGACTTTGAATGACGGGATGTTCTTGTTCGCCGGTCGATTGGTCAGTACGTCGGTGTGCGTTGAATCCAGATACGTGTTCGCCAAACATGGACACTCACCGCAATAATGAAGTGAAACTGTAATATTATACTACCGCAACCGGTGTACATATATGCAATGAATATGGAAAGACGCTGAAGGGGTTCGACAATGGTGAGAAATTTCAAGCGGTGCGAGTACGATTCCTCCACGGCCGCTTTCTTCAGGAGTCCATAAGGGGGGCATAGGTAGTCGACAGCCACCTCCCTACCTCCTTTTCAGCCACTTGTATACGAAAGTCCCTCATCAATCCTACCCTTATTAATATCATGTCCGCCACCTGGCTCCCTCCTCCTTTAGGGGTGGAATGAGTTCGAAGCAGCGACTCGGAGTAATATATTCTAGTGCAGCAAGTGTGACGAGACAAAGACAAGGCGAGACTAATCTGTAATAATTATGAAATGGGGTTCTAAGAATTAGAACTAGAAACTAGAAACCCGACAAAGTCCTCCAACAATGATACCCATTGATTTATCCTCAAGGGGGTGGGGGGAGCATCAAAATACTTTCGTTCACTCATGAAACTAATATCTGCCTGGCTGGGAATTTTGCGTTGGTCTCTCTCTCTCTCTGTTAGAATGTCATAATATGTAAATTGAGAAGAAGAAGGGTCGGAAAAAGCAAGGAAGCAAGCAAGCACGGCCCCGGATGAAGTGACTCCCAGTCAGAGATAGATAGGTGTGAACCGTGAGCAAAGGAGGGAGGAAAGGGAATGGAAGAGAGGCATTGGTTGGCTGGATGGTCTGGTGCAAGAGTTGTAAGCTTCCCTCCAACAATCAAGTAATGACTAGTACCATGGACACAGAACATGATGTGGCCTTCTCTAAGGTATCTTGTTTTTTTCCCCTCTCGTCCCGTCTTTCTCTGGAAAACACACAACTGACCCGAATCATTTTGGGGGGCCCTATATTAAGGAAAAAAAGAGATCGCAACATCGGTCGTTTTACATAGCGAACATGCCGAGCGCGGCAGCCCCAGCGGCAAGCACGGCCAAAAGGCCATTCAGCGACGTGGTGCGGCTGGCGGCGCCCTTGTAGGGTGCAACCCACGAGTTGGTGCTCGTGGCTGCGGCGCCGCCCCAGGTGCCGTTGCTGGGGACGATGCTGGCGGCAGCGACCGGCGTGACTGGTGATGTGCTCGCAGCCGCGACGGTCCAGGCTGGCAACGAGGGTGCGACGGGAGCAACAGTCAGCGTGGTCGCGAGGGTCACGCTCGGGGTTGCCCAGGCGCCGCTGGGGGTGCCGGTCGAGGCTGCCGCGACAGGAGACACGGGCTTGCCGGAGCCGGACTGGCCACCGGCGGCCCAGGTTCCGCTTGGTTTCGGAGCCGTCGATGTCGCTGCGGCGGGCGCTGCGCAGGGCACGCTGGCCACGATGGGCGTGCTGAATGGCCAGCCGGCCGACGGTGTGAATGTCTTGGTCGTCATGCAGGCGGTCGGAACGGGCGTCTCGGTGCAGCCACAGTGCGTGGTCGTGATGGTGGTGGTCTTGGTGGTGTAGCCTGTCGAGCATGGCTCCGTCCACGTTTCTGTCGTTGCAAAAAAAGGTTAGTCAACTTTTCTTGTCTTTTTACACTCTCTCTGAAGGATATCAAACCGAAGCCGGGGGGTTTTAGACTTACTGGTAATTGTGACGGTCACGACTGAATCCGAACCACTCCAATCACCCCAGGTTGTTGCCGGATCGGTGGGTTTGGTTGCCGACGTAGTCCAATCTTGCCAAAGGAAGCTTGAGGTTTTCGATGAGCTGGGCGTGCTGGAACTGACAGAGCTTGTTTTGCCGTCAGTCCAGTCTCCCCATGTTCCAGTGAATGGATCGGTCGTTGTCGTTGCCGTCCAGTCGTCCCACGTCTTGAGGCTGCTGCTACTGCTGGTATTGTAGAAAGGTCCCACGGTCAGAGATCTCGACGTGGTGCTGCTGGGCGTTGTGTGTGGTACATATGGTGTGGTGGTCGGAACAACGGGGCTAGTGGTGGTCTGCGGCGGTCTCGTCGAAGTGGCGAGCGTAGTTGTGGTCGTAGTTGTCGAGGTGGTCGTGACTGGTTGGGATTGATAGATCTTGACGGAGTTGACATCCCAATACGCATCCTTGAACTGGCCTGGGTTGTTACCGACCCAGATGGAGCACTGGCTTTCGCCGGTGCTGGCTGCACACCCACCGCTGGACCAGGTTGCGTCGCCGAAATCGCCGCAGAAAGTAGTGTCGAAAACGATCCTGTTGTCGGCAAAGTTGGAATCGATGTCGCAGCCTGGACCATCGAAGATGGAAGCTGGCAGCCCCCATCCAGACGGGTCGGGGCTTCCAGACGAGATGTCCGAAGGGATGGAGCTTCGCGGGAAGAACCAGATCTTGATAGCCTCCGAAGTCCACTCCATTGCGTACACACCACCCTTGATAGAGTTGAAGCCGGATCCGTAGCTGTCAGAGTCGGGGTCGAAAGCGCCACAGCCTTGCGCATTAGCGCCAGTATTGACGTCGTACGTGCAATTGTCACCGTTCGTAGTACCAGTCATTTCCGAGGGACTTTGGGAAACGATGCAGGTGCCGGCGACATGGGTCGATGTGAGGTCGGTAGCTTGGTTGTTCGCACCCTCGATGATGTCGATTTCACCGTCTGAAAATCATTCAAAAGTCAGCATCTGCGGTCCTTAAGACATCCAGAGGACATTCCGTCTATTCGTCGATTGTCACAAGACAAAGTTTAAGAGAAGGCATTAGAGAGACTCACTGTATGGCCATGTGCCCGAGCCAAGAGTCCAGAAAGCCGGCCAGACACCACAACCGGTGCCATCGTTTGTTGTCGGCATGTGTTTGAGGTCGGCAAGGAAGAGCCCGTGTGTCCATGACTTGATGCTTTCAATCCTGACACTGGGCCGCCCAACATTGTTGATATTATAGTAGTCTGCACTGCCGTTGTATGTGTTCTTGTAGTCGACTCTCATCTGCGTCGAACCGCCGTTGAAAGTGATCAAGCCATCAGCCTCAGCAGTAGCCTCATCGACGTAACTGTCCGATGTCAATATGCGATATCGCGAAGCGATCCCAATGTACGTACGTGACGAAGCCATGTGTTGGATCGGCATCCTTGGCACATGTCAGTGATAAGACCCACCAGCAAAGAGCCGCCATGTACTCACAGCGAAGAAGTTGAATCCGTCGAAGAAATCTTTTCCAGAATATTCAGTGTCCAGAGCATAGTAAGTATCAGCCGAAGCAGAAGAAGAAAGCAACAACAAAGCAGAAACGAGTGTGGTGCTCGACCTCAGAAAGAGTGATGAGGAAGGCATATTGTAAATGAGTGGCACGCGAACGTGAGACAAAGAGTGACTGGCGATGCAAAGCACACAACAAAGGAGAAAGGAAGGAGAAGAATGCAGAAGTCAAGACAAGTTTCCTATAGATATTCGGAAGTGCATCGCCATGGCGGGTGTCCTGACTCCGTACTCCGTACTATGCGAGGTCCCACCGATAGTGCTTTTGATGCGCCATTGCCACAAAGCGCCTCAGAGACTCAGAGCCTAGAGGTGGCACGTTTTGTGCAAATTGACCTCATCGAATCGGTTAGGGAGATGAGGTGCTCAAGGAGACAGCAACACTCGGTAAAGCCGACCAATACGGCATAGAGCGAGGAGGCATACCTCGTACCTGTGGAGAAGAGTCAGGCTGCGCCGACCACATCGAGGGACAGCACATGCAATCCGCCTGGTGCGTTGAAGTTTCTGCCCCATTGAAAATCAAAGGGTGCGGAGACGCAAGAGCCGTTGATCGTTCGGGTATGGGAGAATATGGGAGCAGCTCCGCAGGCAGAACTCGTCGTCGAAACCGATCGTGAGTCGGATCGTCAATTGGCAGCAAGCGAGGTCTTCGCTCGACATGGTGAAATTTGCCTGGGTCACTTTGATGGAAGGTAGAAAGGAATAGCTCGAACGGGGCTGAAAAGGAGGCGCAAATAGCCTCAGCCTGGTGGAGCTCGATTTGATGCTTGGCGTCAATCCAGCCAATGAAGATACTTCAGCCGTTCCACCTGGGAATTCGGAACGTCCCAAAATGGAAGCACAGACTCACTTCCCCCTGAACCACGCAATTTGCTGGCCTACCTAGGTATGTAACCATTGGTTGCTTTTTGTCCGTCCGCCGTCCGCCGTGGCTGAGTCGTTTACAAATCGACATGGCCTTCTTTTTGACGACATTCTCCAGTGCTCCAGACCACGATCAAGAGCCCGCACCACGTGCCCATGGAGTTCGGCGCGAATGCTGCCGTTTCTATCTAGGGAAGATCGGGCGCGCGGTTCCTCGGACCACCCGCCTCTTTTCCACCAGCAAACAGAGGTCCCCCTTAAAGTGCACTATGCTTGCTCTTTGCCAGGGGACAGGGTACGCCACACTTGAAGCGAGAACGACTGAGCGATTTCGCCGCACAACCACAAACGAAAACTCATGACTCCATATACGGGCGATCCTAGATGGGTGAGTGAAGGTCATCTTGAACCTGCGCTCTAATTGAGCAGCACATGAACGCGTACGAGTACTTGAAAAATTGACTGCACTCAAAGTCGCGCTAAGGAGCTCCGCAGTGCTCCATGGCAAATAAACCTACGTCTCAATTAAACATATTTTTCAGCTTCGCCTCAGGTGAACTTGTTAAATTTCTGCCCTTCTGCTGCTGCCTAGCATCTCCGTGCATCGCACTCCATTTGGTCGAAGTTTTGCCCGAAATTGTGACTCGTTGTGCCCTCCCAAAGGCTTTCTTGAAAAGCATGAGCAATGCATTCCAACTGGAGAGAAGCCCATATCGGGAGCTGTGGCTAGGCCAGATAGCCTGATTCTGCAGAGGCCCACCATGGATGACCTGGCCGCGTCCACAAACAAGAGACGCTTGTCGGAATGCTTGCAGCGGATCCTTAAGCGGGCTTCCTGAGACTTGCTCCATCATCTGAACCATCTGTTCGGTCGTCACGAATTGTTTGATATTGCCCACGACAGCCAAATGAGGATTGCGCCAGCTCTCAATTCGTGCCATTTGAGGTACAACAGCATCAAGGTCCGACGGAGAATCGGTCCTGATGTCGTCAAACTGGACTATGCCGTGCTGCGTCATTTAGGAATGCCTCTTTGAAGCGGTGAGGATATCTGACTGAGTGTCGTGAACGTCATTGAGCTCCGTCTGCGAAGTAACAATGGTCCAACCGCTGGCACATTGCGTACTTGCAGCACGGGGTTCCATGGCATGCCGTGCGATTTGCTGACTTGATTCCAGATCAGGATTCGTACCTCGCGTGATTATTTAGATCCGTCCAGCGCTGCTATGATCTATTCCAGTCCAGCATATCATCAATCCAAGGCTCAAAGCGTACAGTCAAGGCCGCATTTGCTAGGAAATTCCAACCGTGGCTGAGAGCTCCCTCTTAATTGTAGGTAATAATCGGTGGCCATCCATAGTGACCAACGCATCACCACATACTCTGCCAGGTTGTGCGTCTGGTCGGGATGAGTGCCTTGGGCGACATGCCAGCATATTTTCGCGGATATCTCGTAGGAGTTCTTCCTTGGTATGCTCTCGCACGGCTCTCTGGCACTTTTCTTCATCCTTCTTTGCCTTCCTACTTCTAGATGGATTGAAAAACATATGAGGCTGCCACATTCCGCGTCCAGACAGGTAGAAGCTGCCGAGGGAGCATAGCTCTGACTCAGACCAAGTGCATACTAGGAGCTCATCATCTCTACTCATCAATGAGACAGAGGTAGACGTACGAGTGCAGAGCAAGGTCATTGATAGGAGCAGCGATTCATGTGAACGAACCGAGGCGATATGTTCGGCAAGTGGTGCCGCGTTTTGGGGGGATCCCTGTAAGCACAGGTGGACGGAAGAATTTGGCTCCGGGAGGGTGTATCAGCCTATCACGACTCTGTCGCTCCCACGCTGGATAGCCAAGTTGGTCCACGAATGGAGGGAGCCATATCAAGGGCCATTACTTTCATACCCTCAGTCTCTCAATCTCTCATCCTCCACCAAACCCTTGCCTTTCTGCAGCTCTTGGACTCTGCTGACCCGGTATCAGCAATATATCTTATGATATAGACGTGGTGATGGAAGCGATTTCTGGACCGTCTGTAGCACATTGTTGCCATGACCAAAAGATGAAGTGCTACGCAGAAGCTTTTTCCTGTGCTTTTCCTAATCCCCCTTTTTACGCGAAGGGTGCCCGAGAGATCCGTCATCAGTTGCCCACACTTGGGGTCAGGATATGGGCTTCTTTATCTATATTTTCCGGGATACGTCGGCTAATACTTATTTTGCGGGGGAGATCAGCTTACCAGGATTAGGTGTTGCAGTGATGTGGAGGACTTTGTGACTCCAACGGTCACGCATCTCCATGAATGTCCCTCGCCATAAGACAGAACTGCCCACCAGTCAAGTCGGAATCTAACCGTTGCTGACTGCTGTGGTCCCGCTGGAAAGAAGTACTAATACACGACGGCCTCCTCCTTGAAGTCGGGTCTGAATACAAGACAACCAAAATGGCAGTCCTCCGAGTTGGTATTGTTGGTGCCGGTATAGGTGGTCTGGCAGCCGCCATTGCTATTGCTCGCAGTGGGTGTAGCGTGACAATCCTCGAACAGGGTGCGGAAATAGGCGAGATAGGAGCCGGGATCCAACTCCATCCCAACGTGTCTCGTCAAATTATTCGCTGGGGAGTGGACAAGATCATCGAAAATGACCTCGTCGCACCAGAAGCACTCAACACTTGGGACTGTGGCAGCGAACTACGCCTGGTCGCACGCACGGATCCCAAACAGGTCGCTAGACAGGCTGGGTTTCCATGGTGGGTTGTGCGTCGCGACCACCTCTATAACGGACTTGCCCAGTCAGCCTCCGAGCATGGAGTCAAACTGATCATCCAAGCGAGAGTCGAACAAATTGATGACACATCAACCCCTGTCAGGGTTGTCACATCTTCTGGGCAGAAGTACGAGTTCGATCTCTTGGTCGGCGCAGATGGCCTCAAGTCTACCGTCAGGCAATATCTCTACCCAGGCGTCATGCCATATGCGCCGAACAAGCTATGTGCCTATCGAGGCGTTCTACCGTTTTCCTTGATCTACAAGGAGATTCCCGAGGCCAGCCTGTTCCTCGGCAACAGATTGGACACTTGGGTCGGAGCCAAAGGGTAGGGCGCCTCTCTTCGAGCCTGAAGCTGACAGACATGCTTACGGAACGAACAGCTATGTTCTGACCTATCCTACGAGCGGAGGGAAAGAGCTCAACGTCGTGACCGCGGCTGAGTCAAAAGACTACGTGACTAAAATGGAAGACATCGATGTCGAAGAGTTCTACGGGTAGGTATACAACGCTCCAGCCAGACGTTGCTGACCGTGTCCATGATAGGTTCTATGCCGACTTCCACCCATTCGTCCGAAAACTGCTCCATCTCGTCAAGTACACCAAGCGCTGGCCTTTGCTGCAAACTCCCCGACTGCCATCTTGGTCCAACAAAGCCAAGAACATCGTCATGATAGGCGATGCAGTCCATGCCATGCAGAATCACATGGCCCAAGGTGCGGGAACAGCCATCGAAGACGGAGCATTCCTGGGCCAGGTCATCAGCGAAGTGGTTCGTGGGGTGATCAGTGTCCCCGAAGCCGTAACTCTGTTTGAACAAAGACGGATGCCCAAGGCATGGATCAAACAACAACTCAGCTTCCACTCGGGATTAATGTATACCGTGGCGCAACCAGAAGAGCGTGAAAAGCGCAACCAAGCGGGCAGGTTTGAAGTTGCCCGGTGGGAGCACAACCCAGCCCGACAGGAGCCGAGCCATATCGAGTATCGAAGTTGGCCAGTAGCCCGTTGCGTTGAGACGGCCAAGTCAATCTGGTATTATGATCCCGAAGGAGATGCGGACAATGCAGTGCTGGAATACCTGATGAGCAGGGGCAAAGTGGACGATTTCACCCAGCTGAGCGAGAATCTGGGCCGCAAATGGAGTTCGATCGTGTCTGGTAATGGAGTCGACGGCAGCTGGGTCGAGCCCCAAGTCGACTACCAGCACATGAAGAATTCTCTGTATAGGGGTAACGGGGCTGCGAAGGATGGGATCCGGGAGTATGGTTTACATGAACAGGACTATGATCGGTTTGGAAAGGGCTTGTAGCTACAGTTCCTAGTATCAGGTACCCTAGGTAGGTAGGTAGCAAGACGATACACACGGCATTAGCAGCAACTAGGTACCTAGGTAGTGTACTAAAGCGCTAGCCCTATGGTCCTAATGAGTTGCTAGTGACGGACACCAGGGACGTCATTGATTTGATCCGATAAGGATAAGGAAATCATGAGGAAACAAGCAAAGGCGGGGTTGATGAGGTGCAGCTTGGCGGTCATAGTCACGATGCCCAGTTGCGCCTAGTGACCCCCCGACTGCCAACTGCCAGTTAAAGGGGAGCCAGATTGCCCCGCTTCTGCCTGGGCCCTGGACTGCCAGTGCTTAAACCACCCACACGCACCTCTCTCCCTCAACTACCAGTGTCCCGCTGGCATGTGAGCTTAATACTCCCGCCCCTGCAAGGAAGCTTCTAAGCTCCTCCCACTGATTGGCACAGCTGCAACCCAGCAGCCTGAGCCTGACCGCATCTCTAAAACTTGGCCAGGTTGAGTGTCCAAGAAACATTTTTAGCGGCTTCGCGGGGTCGTCTTCGAGGCTGTGATGGATGGATGTTGTCACGCTCAAGTCTGTTTCCCTCTTTTCCCACGGCCAGAAACCCCAAACCAGAGGCTGCCCGGGCTGTCTTTTCCTGCAGGCAACACAAATACCTTGCGGACTTTTTGATCCTTGGACGCTTTTCCTCCTCCAATTGCGCTCGTCCCAAACCCGTCGTCCGCCCCGTTCCGCTGAAGCAGTGAGAAAAGACACGCACACGCGCCTGCAGCCGGGGAACCAATCTTGAGAGGGGATGTCATCCACCGTCACGTTTTCAATGCCAGGCATACCAGCATCCCCCCAATAGCTCGGGCCTGCTTTTCTTCTTGCTTGCTTTCCCTGTTCATTACACAATGGTGTTGGACCGATCACGGCTCAGGCAGATGCTTTCATGTTCAGTTCTGCCCAGCCTTATCCCGCTGGTTCTGTGAACTCAAAAGAATAGCAACAATCGGCCACGGGTCACAAGATTTTCACCATTCGTCCAACCTGTTATATCACGTTTCGCCTCCTGCCTGACGCTGGCGAGCAACATCTCTTCCTCTATCGCAAATTCTTGCCATGTGAGGGTTCAACAGAGACGCAATGCCTCGGTCTCGCAAATCCGAACAAACCCATATATTCTGGGACAGTTTTCCAGCCGACCGCCGTTCCTTATTCCGAGTTCCCCCAGAGGTATCTGCCTTCCCAAAGTCTTTCTTCGTTTTGGGGATCGTACATAGCTGCAAAACTGACCACGTTCTGTAGCTCGACTTGACGCCTGGCATAGAAAGCAACAAGCAAAAAGATAGTATCGAAGATGGGAAGCACGCCGACGTTACGGTCACGAACGTCCCCTCTGAATGCACCTCTCGAAGACGGACGAACATAACCAGTCTCCCACCCGAGATCATTCTCGAAATTGTTAGCCGCCTCCATCCCGTCGACCGCGTCTGTCTCGGCCTGACATGCAAATCCTTACTTTCCTCCACCCTTCCTACCCTACAAATCACACTTTCAGACTGGCTCAGCTTCCACGATCGGCGGTACAGCTTTATCCTACCTCTGAATCCTAACCTCCTCGTCCGACTCGCACACGGCTGGATCCCCAAGGACAAGTTCCGCTACTGTTACCACTGCTCCAAGATCCTTCCGCGGTCCCCCGAATACTTTTTGGAAAGACTGCGCAGGAAGAAAAGCCCAAGGTTCCGCCTCGGACTGGGCACAACCGAGAAACACTGGAAGTCACTAAGCAAGAAGGGGAAATACGCATATCTGGTCGAGAACTGGTGCCATTCACCCGAGGAGGATAGCAGCGGCTTCTTCTGTGGCCACTGCTACTACCGGGAAAGAGACCGCATCAACTGGCCTGTATATTGTCCCATATGTCTGGAGATGGAGCTGACATGGACACCTCCGAGGAAGCCTTGGTTCAGGAAAGCCTTGTGCCGGAGTTTGAGGGCTCTCGGCACCCCGTTTGAACTGGCTGCCTACTGGGTCCTCGTGTGTTGTCTTTACACGATAAGGTTTTGCTACGATCAGGCAATGCGGTGCTGGAGAGCGCTGACATGAATTTCGTTGCTCTTACCTGGTGCACGGTCGTCCATCTCTATGCGAATGGGTCGCGGATGGGTCTGGGGGGTTAGGCCCCAAGCCAGGGCTCGGAACATGCAAAAGTGGTGGTGACAGACGGCCCCAACTCTGTCGTTCAGGATCCTGTACAATATGAGAAACGGCACGGACGGTATTGACGAAGCAGTGTGGCTGCTTTGGTTTTCGCAGGCTGGCGCAAAGTAGCGGTTAACAAAGCTAACCGGCAGCGTGGAGAGGAGTTTGCAGGGCGCGGGTAGAGGACCGCCAGAACACAACAAGTGCCTTATGCTGGATTTGTTTCAACAAAGCGGTGGATTGACGACATGTGTTCCAGACGATCTAGAACACGAGAGCTAGCCAGGCCGGTGCTGCAATGCGAAAGGGTGGGTTTAACACATGGAGCGAGAATAATAGAATACTTTGTGTCGCTTCTACGAGCTGAGCTCATGTCGGAGACATGTTCCCTGCTTGGTACCCCGTAAAAGAGGTCCGGTTTGTGCTACGTATATTCTTTGCAAAATCCAGCGGAATTGGCAGCGAGCGATGCAAAGTGCTTCGAAGCTTCGAAGCTCGCGCGTCCATTTGAGCACAAGTAATATTAAGTGCTTCGGGCGGACTTTGGGGGGAAATTGTAGATTACACAAAACTATGAAGAAAGGCACGATGATAGGTACACACACGCACGCACAGAGACACACACACACACACACACACACACACACACACACACACACACACACACACACACACACACACACACGCGCGCGCGCGCGCGCACACGAAGACACAGAGAGACAGAGCTCATAGCCGCTCCCCGTCGCGGATCACTCTCATTGAAGGGTATCATCTTTGCCATCATCATCGCCTTCGCCTCCGTCGTCGCCATCAGTAGAAAGAACAACAACATGACCATGTGAAACGATGAAACGACAGCGACAACGACAACATAAGTCCGGCATTCCTCTTGTCCCCCGCGTCTCAGTCACACAAGACATGCTCGGACTTGAAAATCTTGCCTGGGCCCTTCATTCATCGCGTCTCATGAGGCGCGACGCTGTCTGGGTCAGCAGGGTGATCATGTTGCGCTGTCACGGCGTCATAGGCTCGCGCGTGGCTTCCTTCCGCGGGGTCAATCGAGTCTCTGCTCAAGGTATCCGAGCTATGTCCACTATTCCTTGTAGGTGGTCCCTCCGGTCGGCTCTCGATGGGCGCCAGCTTCTCGCCGTGATACCCGCTATGCGAAGCAGCAGCCGCAGCGGCGTCTGGAGCGACGGCTGAGCTACGGCGTCGCGTTGCCGCGGTAGAGGCTCCTGTGGTCGCTCCGGAGATGGACTGGCGGTTGCGGTTGGCCATGATATCGAACGGGTCAGAGGAGAGCTGGAAGAGGGATTGCTTCCGCTCGCGGACTTCGTATTGTTCGGCCGGGGTCATATGAGCGTCAAGGGGGGCGACGTTGGCGATCTCGGCGGCTGAAGGGGAAGGGGAATGGTTAACAAGATATTGATCAGGAGGAGCGAGCAGTCAGAGTTTGGGAACTTCTTCATACCTGAGACTCGTCGGCGACCATAGTATGGGTCATCTTGAGGTTCCAATCCACTCTTTTTACTGGTGCTAAACTTCCTGACATCGACGCCTGTGGCGCTATACTTGCGTTCGCGGTTCCAGTATTCCTCTTCGGGGCTCAAGCCAGTGAAGCCTACGTTGGCGATCTCGGCCTCTGTTTACGTTGTTAGCTCATTCCTGGCGTAGTTCGGGAAACCGTGGAGTGACAGACTGCTGACTGGCTTTCGCCCGTAGTAGGGATCATTCAGAGGCTCGAGACCGCCTTTGAGACTGTTGCTGAAACGCCGCACATCTGCTCCATGTGCAAAGAATTTCTTTTCGCGGTTCCAATATTCTTCTTCAGGGGTCAACCCGGACAGGCCAACGTCCTTGACCAGCTCATCTGCGCGGGTGACCATTGTTAGTATGTAGCCAGGGGTTTTAAGAAGCTTTCGAGTAGCCTTACCAGGAACAGGCTTGCGGTTATAATAGGGATCTGCTGCACGAGTCATGATCAGTCAGGAGAAGCCTGCTGTCTGCTGGTTCAGTTGGAAGATGCTGGGAGAGAGACGTGAAAGTAGAAAGAGTGGATAGGCAGGACTGGGGGATCGCGCATGCCTATTCTATACATATGCCCAGGATCAAGGGAAGCCAAGGGAAGCCAAAGCAAGAGCTGGGGATCACAAGGCGGGGCCCCAAGGCATCAGGCCATGACAGACTCAAGAAACTTCGTAAGAGGCGCGTTGTTCTTGCGCTCAACCCCAAAACGACTCGGATTTCGTATATCAGCGCATCATCGTGGTTGGTGGTTGGCGAAAGATTGCTGGTGACCTCGACCTTCTGGTGGTCATGCACGCTGATGTCGTTCCCGCCACTCTGGGAGAGACCCCGCCCTGGAGCAAGGGTGCTATGCGAGGAGAACATGGGGAAGTACCTAGCGACGGGCCTGTAAGGCTCCAGATAGGCCGGGAAATCGGCTTGCTAGAAACACAGAAGTGTAGCCACCATCCCGCAAAGAGCTTCGTCCGTGCATGGGGTTGACGTAGCTGGTGGAAATACTCCGCGAGAGCTCGACTTCTTTCTGCCCCATTGAGCTTGACCTGCTAAGGCACTAGCTGGGCGAGATCTCGACTTCATCGCTCGTGGTGGTGGTGTGGTGGGTGTGTGGTTCCTCCCATTGCCTTGTGTGAAATCGAGACCACGGCGCATGATCTCGCTCGTGCATTCGCAGATATATTCGGCCATTTGCCTGCGTGTGTCTCAGCATATCACCGCCTCAGCTGGGGTAGTTTCAGTTGATGCGGGAGAGAAAGTATGCGAAGGAGAAAAGGGCCGATTATTGTGAAAAGGTGCTGAGCCCTTGCAAAGGTTGGGCGCCCCGAGCGAGAGCCACCCACGTCAGCTGCTGTTCGCTTCTCTTAGTTGCAGGAAACAGACGAAGAAACGGGAGGATAAACGCGTAAGGCATACAAAGGCAGACTGTTCTGTCTTGCTCTGTTCGATAAGTTGAGGTGCGATGAATCTCGGTCTGGTGCTCGTCCCTGGTGGGTGCCTGGTGTTAGGGAATCATTGTAAGTTCGGCGTCTCGAAGACTGAGGAGTGAGCTGCACTTGGAACACCCAGCTATGGATGCAACTGGGAATCATTCATACCTAGGTAGGGAAGAGGACGTCGTCTTGATGAGCATGTCCCCTCATCCCGCCATTGAATCTGGCGTCCACTGCGGCGCAGATTGTCAAAATCAATGAAGCTGCCGGAACCGTGTTGAATGCTTTCAGTTCTGCTTTCAGTGGTGAGTGAAGACTGTCGCTTTCTCAAACACCGTGAACCTCCTTCCTCGCTCTATCCACGCTACCTCTTCCTTTACCACCGCAATCATGGTGCCCTGCAAATTCTTCGCCAGAGGCAACTGTGCTCGAGGTTCAGAATGCCGCTTCGACCACCCTCAACCTCTGCCTCATCCTCACGCGCCTGACACTGCTGCCTCTCTCAGCGCCGACGCCCTAAAAGCCCCAGTCACTTCGTCCCCTAAACCAGTATGCAGATTCTACAAGCGGGGAGCGTGTCGTAACGGTCCTGACTGCCCCTTCCCTCATCCTGCGCCCTTGCACAATTCCCCCAATGAGGCGACTGCTGGAGTTGTAAGTCATTGACTTTGCACCTCGATGATTAGGGAGCGACTTGCTAATCTAGTCCCGCAGCAGGCGCAGCTCTGCCTTTGGCGGGCGACTTGTCTCATGCAGAGCGGCTTTTGAAAAACGCTCGCGTCCGCTTCGGTGAAGGCACCAAGGTCCTCGATGTCAAGTTTCCATCAGACGACCCTGGATCACATGGAAACTCCCCTCCTACCAAAGTACAGGTCTCGACAGTCCTGTGCTCATGGTATAATCCTTCAAAAGTTGTGTGGCTTCACTATCGCAGCAGTCTTTGGGCGACCAGGGCCAGCAAGAGATTCGACAGAAGGCTTCATGGTCGTCAGATTACAACCAAGATACAACTTCCATCCAAGCATCATGGGCGGCCGAAGTCGATATGGTCGGTCCAATTAAATAATGTCTCTGGAGAAACTACGAAGGATGACCTACGGGAGCATCTCAAAGGCGTTGAACCAGATGACATCGTGTTTGGGGCGCCAACATCACAAAAATCTCCACAGGAAGCCGTCGACTTGGTCAAATCGCACATAACACACTCTGGACGCAAGCTGCGAGCATTCAACCTAGATTCGAACTTGACTGGCTCTCGCATGAAGGCTTTTGCGTGTTTTGATTCTCCATCTGATGCCCGAGCTGTGGTCGCCCTCGCACAAACCCATGTCTCAGGCCTGGGCTCAAAGTTATTTGTGGAAATGGTTGCCGCCGTCACAGTTCCGGTCTTACGCGAACTTCACTGCGTCCTCAAAGATAGATTCGAGGAGCTCCAATCCAACAACAAGGATGATGTCAGGATCTCTGCATACGACCACCGGGAGGTCAAGCTTGTCATGATGAGAATCTACGGGCCAAGACCACAATCTGTCGCCCATGTCAAAACGAAACTCGGAGAATTGCTAACTGGCACGGTTGTGCTCGACGACTCTGGCTCGGCTTTGTGGCATGACTTCTTTACCAAAGAAGAAGGCCTGTCATCTCTCAAATCTGTCTGTCAAGCCGGTAAAGTCTTTGTTTATAGGGATTTGCGCAAACAACAGCTCCAGCTGTACGGCTTGGAGACTTTATTCGAAGATACCCGTCGCGCAATCATCCACTTTCTCAGCTCCCACTCCTCAATACATCTGCTAGCCCTAGACGGGGAGCTCTTCGCAACGGCACTGTCTGGGGGCTTCCGCCGGTTAGTAAGGAAATTCGGCAAGAAGAGTGCAAAGCTGGACATACTGCAAAACCCGCCAGTCATAGTGATTCAAGGTAGTCTTCGAGATTGGGAACTCGCCAAGTCCATCATTCTCGAACGCCCTCCTCCCGAAGCGGATTCCCAGCTGGCCAACGATAGCCAGGAATGTCCGTGCTGCTTCTCGACTGCTGACGATCCTGTCAAGCTCGACTGTGGACATACGTATTGCTGTGGGTGCTTTGAAGGTCTATGCGAAGAAGTGAAGCATAATAGGGTTCCGATCATGTGTTTCGGAGATTGCAACAACTGTGGTCATATTGTCTCTTTGAAAGAGCTGAAGAAAATTCTCGATTTCCACAAATTCGAAGCCATCTTGGAGACATCCTTTGAGTCCTACATACGATCCCAACCGGACAAGATGCAATATTGCCCGACTCCGGATTGTCCGACCATCTATAAAGTCTCTGATGAAGCCGGCGCGTTTACATGTGTTAATTGCTTGACTTCAATCTGCGTCAAATGTCGAAGATTAAGCCACGATGGACTCAGTTGTACACAAGCCCATGACGAGAACACGGCATCTCGTGAATACGAGAGGTACAAAAAGCAAAACAACGTCAAAGACTGCCCGAAATGTGGGGCGGCGATCTTCAAGGATGGCGGCTGCGACCATATGATCTGTGGGGGGTGTGGTATACACATTTGTTGGGTGTGCCTGGAGACGTTTACGGGCGAACCGGAGTGCTACTCTCATTTGCTCAGGGTACATGGTACGTATGGCAACTTGGTTCCAGAAGAGGTGCAGAGGGCCGAGTTTGGACAAGTGGGCTGGTGAAAAGAGCAGCGCGCGCCAGGCAATGTCGACGAGTTGCACAGCCCTGGTGGCCTCTCACTGAGTACCTAGCTCGCTAGGTAGTGACATCAACACCGCGCCTCGGATGCTAGGACTCTGAAAACGACAAGCCTACACGTAGGAGAAAGACACGCTAGGCGTCACATGTGCTAAGTAAGTAAGGAGGTACTGTGCCGAGTCAGCCAAACAGACGAGAATGAGACTGGAACCGTTACAGTACCACGCGATGAGAAGCAAAACGAAGGCGAAGTTCCAAAGAGCATGACAAGCAGACGGTATGTGTATGTAGCTGTCTACTACTAGAGTGACGATAGGGACACGCTCCAAATGTTCGAAGACCGTTCTACTTGCAGGTAGCAAGGTCGGAAGAGCTCACTCATCAATGGACAGGACAGTGATGGAACAGGAACCGCCAAATGCAGCATTAAGTATGGGGGAAAACTACCTAGTATGGGGGTATCTTCTCATCCCTTTCCTTTCCGACTCTTGCCATTCTTTCTTCACGTAAAAGATTCAAGGACGTCGACGAGTCAATCTTTTCCTCCTCCATAAGGTACACAATAAGTTCACAGCGAGAGTCACCGCGAGGCCTTTTCCTTCTTTTTGTTGCCTTGAGTTGGTTCCTTTCGCCCCAGCTCCCATATCCATTTCAATCAATGCTCCATGAGCTCCGGCTCCAGCACTTAAAGCGTGTTGATAATCCAATCTCGCACAATATTGATAATTTTGGGTTTCCGCCGCCCATCCCATCGACAGACAGACCCGAAAACGTTCTTCTTCTGAGACGTCCGCTCAAAGAGAGGACCACATCCCACGTCGACTCTCCTGTCTCCCCATGTGGGTCACTGGTATTAAAGAGTGATTTCAATGTTATTTCTTTTCCCCTATTTTTGCTAGGGAATATCGATGCTCGGAAACATGACAAGAACGCTTGCAATGCACAAAAACTAATCTCACAAGTCTGACGGTAGTAGAAACACTTCGGTGTGTGCTTAACAGAATAGTATGACGCGGTTGAAGCGAAAAGCTGGGAGGATCATTCTATCTTCTTGGGCGTGGTTGGCTCCTCAAATCAATCAACATTCAGTATGATTCACCGCTCCATTGCTGAGTCGAGGTCGGATAGTGTGAGGTAAATTGCTGGCCCACGGTGGTGGGAGTCGGGGTGGGTGGTGCACATTGGTTGGGGGCGTTGAAGGTCTTCTGTGTCACGCCAAACATTTCCCCATCAGGAGTGATGGGAGGTGTGTAGAGACCGTGTTGGACCAAGGAGGGGAACTGAGGCTTTTGAGGTGTGGCGTAAGTCTGGAAGTATTCAGGGCCTGCGGGCTTGGTGATGGCTGAAGGCGGGCTGAGATCATATGTCGGAGTCAATGGAGCTCGGGAGGCCGACAAGGCAGCCTTCTGAGTAAGGAAGTTGGTCAAAACTCGAGAAACCCCAGCGTAGCGCACCGAGGCATACTTCCGGGCCAAAATGCCCGAAGGCTCGTGCACTTTTTGTAATAATTCCATGACAGTGTTGCTGCAGTATTGATTACCAAACTCATTGGGACGAGCTTGAGGTCGACCGAGGATGTGGCGGGCCAGAACAAGAGCCGAAAGGGCAAGAGTGTGCGATTGCTTAGACACAAAGTCTCGGTGATAGAGGGCGATCTCCAGGATGTAGAGTGTCAAGCTTTCTGTTTCGGGGTCGTAGACGTTGTCCTTGACGGCCAACCGCATGAATGCGTCGACTGTGGGATGTCCAATAGCCCAACCAAGAGTTGACAAAACATGCCACTCCATTTGCAAGAACATGTCCTCATCATAGAGCGAACAGCACATGGACTTTAACTCTTTGATTGTTGGAACCTTCTCTTTCTTGTCTCCGTACTTGGCCGCAATAAGCAAAGCAGCGCAGCCGACGAGCTGATAGTGACGCTTGTAGACGACGCGTTTCGAGCAGTAGCGATCGAGGAGGTTGATTGTAAGGAAGAGAGTCTCGGGTAGCAGCTGAAACGCCGTATGGGCCTCCACCAAGAAGTCGAGGAGGTAAGGTCTCATGTACCACTGAATCTCGGTTTGGATGTCAATTGCGTCGACGTCGGGCATGGTCTCGGCCTTCACAAGATTGTCAGTCCAGACTCGCGTGCCCAATTTCCAAAGTCACTCACGTCCACCTTAAGCATATGCTCAAGCATGTCTTGTTGGTATTCGTCTGCGTCTCTTCTTGACATCTCTGAAGCCATCAGATGCTGACGGTGTCTGGCAATTTCCTTAGCGTGGTCAGGGTTCTTGGTGACTGGGCGGCGAGGCTCATCGAAGACTTCGACGATACCACTTTCGTAGCCGCTGTCGTTGGACCCGAAGGATGAGACTCTGTTGTTGAAAGCCATGATTGCAAAATTGGTGAGACAGAAGATGAATTATCAGGTGGAAGTGAGGGAGAAGAGAGTGAGATATTGGGATTGCTGGAGGGGTGAATTAACGACGGGATAAAAGTGAGTGACAGTCGTGTAATTGGCAAAAACGTTGAAAGGAGTGAAATGATCGGACGCAATCAAATGTTGCGCGAGGCTGGAGGTGGACAGGAACCAAGGGAGTTAAGAAGTGTCTCTTCTAGACTTAGGAAACTGGAGCGTGCATGGCGTGGTTAGCTCGCTGGTGATAGGCAGGGTGAGGTGGTAGGACTTACCGAAAGGGAGAAAGGGCACGGCGATTTAGGTATCCTTGTTACTAGGGATCAGCACGAATGCTCTGCATCTGGCCAAGGATCGGTATGCCAAGTAGATTGACTGCTCGTGCGTAGGTTCAGCGAAGGTCGAATGAACGACTCCGCCGGGGCGTGATTGGGGCCTTGGACTGGAATGCGGACTAGAGAGGCCACGAGAGAAGACCGGATTTTGCACTGGGAAATCTAAAATGAAGTCAGTCCTCTGAATGAAGGGATAGAAAAAGAGCTCTGACCTTGAAATCTGGAAAGCAGGTTGGCTATTCTAGACTGCGGGGACCTCGTTTTGCTAGGGAGATGCAAATCTGCTTTGAATATCTCGTCAGTGAACATTTCCCAGACCGCGTTGAAAATGTGGGGACATGGCGGGAAAAGGGTTGACAAGGCGATGGTTCCAGCCGGCGGGAGATGATTGTATGCGGGCTAGAGAATCAATCCATTTCCAAAGGTATAGATGGTCGTTGGCAACGCCAGAGTCGAATTCCTCTTCCCTGCAAGTCCGTTTGGACCATCTGTCTCCCTTAGACGGCAGGAGGATCGTCGAGCATCAAAGGCGTCAAACCCCCTTCTCAGCATCTGGTCAGGTAGGCGAGAAGCAGCTCGTATCCCTTCCCGCATGGAATTGCCCAGCACGTTGCGAGATTGTTAAGGCCCTCCTCTTTTCTTCCACTTGCGTAGGAGCTTCGCTTAACCCATGTTGAGCTGTTCTCCTTAATATCAGGTTGGGTGGGGTCCAAGGAAGTACAATCGAGAAGGGACCGGAAAGGAACCACAGGGAACCAGAGAATAAGATGGATGTATGGTGGAACCGTCAATTGTGTCCGACGACTAAGTTGCGAGGAGAGACTGCATGCATCCAGACCAGGTTCCGTTGGAGGCGTATTGTTTGACTGGTGTATACTCAGGCTGACCCTCTAGACACTGCATCTCACTCTTCCCAATGCCAAAAGAAAGCCACTGCAACAAGCTCCTTACCTCTTGAATGAGATCGAGGATCTTTCTGTGCCCGAGGACCCAAGACAGAACGCTATCCAGAACGTTCTGCGTAAACGAGTGCAGGTTGGTCAAGACCAATGCAGGGTGGGTTAGTGCAGCTCGAACACGGCTCAGGAGGAACAGGTCAGGAGGAGAGTCGAGGACATGAGAGATACTCAGCCGAGTCGTGATGTATCCGAAGGTCCAACGACGAGAGGAGGAGAGGGAAAGGAGAGGATAAAAGAGGACGAGGTCAAGGCCTCATGGGAATGAGGATTTTGAGAGAAAGGACGGGTGGTGGTGGACGAGGAGAAAAAGGAACAGGAGGCCCGTCTGAAGTTCTTGGACTCTTGAGATGAGGAAGAGAGAGTGGAGCAAGTGAGTGTACGAGATGGTTGGCCCTGACAGCAGCGATTGGGCGCGATTGGGCGCAGGCGCAGCCCCAGACACGACTTGCAGGGGTTGACGGCAGGACAGCCAGGGAATCAGGGACGGCGGCGAGGTGGGCAAAGTTGAGGTTGCGGCTTGTGCGGGTTGGCGGATTGCGCGACAGCCAGCCAGAGAAGCAAGAGCTCCAGTTATGCGGGTTCTAGCTAGTAGGGCTCTCCAGAAACGGCGACCATCCCCAGCCGCAAACCAGGGCGTACGGTACAAAAAGGTATGTTACTATCCTGATGGTCAAGCTGTATCATGAAATATCAGAGACATGGCCCGCGGGCTGCCTGTGACCGCCGTTGTGGCAGCTGTTCATTTGTTCCGCCTCTACCTGGGTATCGATGGCCAGTGGTCCCCCGAACTCTGTCCTGGTCTCCGGCATGCTTGTTTCCAGGCTGACCCAGCCAGAGGCCTAGCAGCCCAGTGCACGGGGAGAGATAGGCATTGGCTTTAACCATAGCAACCGGAAACATCTTCTATTAGGCACCCGCAGTGTCTCCCCTATTATTATTGTCCTCCTGGTGCTTGGGGGTGCACCTAACTACTCGCTCACCAGAGATCCAAGGAGAGGTACACACCACCTTTCATCTGAGGTTCGTGAGACTCACCACCTGTCACTTCACCACAACCATCTCCCAATACTGACACAAACAAATTTCCTTTTACTTCCAAACATACCTCCTGTCTGGCTTCCCGACGGGCTGCACAGAACTCTTCCTATGTATGAGTACTCCATCCAAGCAGATCCCAATCTGACACTACCCGTAACGAGCTGAACACCCTTCTCTCATCGTGTTTTGCGTTACCCGTACGAGTACGAGCATTCTGTAAGTAATACTTTTGGCGGTGTTTGCCCATCCTTTACCCATTTCTGTCCTGTGTATGTAAAACCATACAGCACATCCGCTCTGGTCGCGCGGCTGGCGGTTTGAGCAGAGCGCGTCAAGGCGCGTCCATTGGCCCATGTCGCTGTCAGGTCCTTGTTTTTGAACCTGGCTAATGCAAGCCTGACGGAGTCCCCAGTCTTGACTCTTGACCAGCTTCTCGGGGCCAAACCTGACCGGCAAGCTGTGAGCGAATTGTCACTGCGAGACCCCAAGACAGTTATCCGGCACGCGGGAATTGCTGCTCGCGATCTTCGTGATTGACGTGAGATATTCTGCACGGCCTGTGTACTCGTACCCGGAGTTCGTCCTCTCAGTGTCATCGCTAGGAAAGAACTTCCATGATGGTCATAACTCAAAAACACCACTGTTCCGTGGTCTCGCCGATATCAAACGACCTGAAGCAGGTATTGAGCACGACTTGATGCTGCACAACTTCTGGTGCCGTCTCTGCTGGCTTGCCTCACGGATTCCAAAGTGACCCCAGAATTGTGCTACTGTGGGAGGCAGGGATATGTCCAACTAGCTTTGATTTGTCCCTGTTGTGCCCTGAGATCTAGAGATCTACTCGTACTCCGTACTCGGCTCCCTATCTCAGGCACTGTGAGTGGCCCAACACCCACCCGGAAGAATTCCAGCCACCCCCAATGGTTCCAAACCTTCGATATATGTGCAGCAACTTTACAGGACAGCTGGAATACCGAATACTGGCGCTGTCGTCAGCTGTCCCGCGAAGTGATAATCTTAGAGGCGGGCTCTCATCTCACGCAAGCGAGCCGATCTGATAAAGCTGCTCCCCTTTACAGGGCCCTTGTCATTGTATCTCTGCCTTCTCACGAGCAGATCTGCAAGCACAGACTGGCCGTCCACCCTTGGTTGCGGAGTCGCGTGCAGATTTATTCGAGCGGTTACAGATCCGTGTAACTCAATACCCATGGGCCTCCTTGACCGTTTGCTCTTGGTGATACACTGCAACTCTACTTTACCCACATATTGACATCAGCAGGAGACCTCCTTCTCGGTTTTAGACCGAAGCATCCCCTCAGCACCTTGTCTGCCTGACCATGGTCAGGTCTGTGCATACCGAGGCACGAAGCTTAGTCTGAGACGATAATGATGGGACCAGACTCCACGCACGGCAACCCATGTATGAGAAAAGAAAAAAAGGTTCGAAGGCACGCGTGTGCCGGAGATGACGCTGAGACAGCCGAGCGCTGCAAAGCTCGAGATCGATCAGCACTTGCAGGCTGTCAATAGGCTGTAACATGGAGTCGATATAATTTCAGATCTGTTGAAACTCGTCTTCAATCTCCCTGAACATATACTCCCCATTTGATGTTGTATGCAAAACACTCTTCTCCTTTGGTTGTGGCGATGGTAACCGTATTTTTGTCTGCGCTTAACATCAGACGCAATTTGGCCCCCGTGCCCCCCTCGTCCAGCCAAAAATCTCCTTCGAATCCGATTATTGAAACTCGACCCCCCCCCCCCCCCCACAAATTAATAATGAGCCGAGTACGACTAGACGGACAGATTCTTTGACACGCGACTTTCTTCAGATTGCAGGCAAAGATTGGGCTGCTGAGGCTGAATCGCTTGCATACTATGACGCTCCCATGAAGCGCCGATGCGCCTTCACCCCGTCCGATGCTCTCACCACCCTTAGATCTGGTCGGAGTCCTTCGGGATTGGAGGGATTCCAGTGGCAGAGATTAACCACCAGCTCAATTCTCTGGAGATACTACTGTCGGCGACATGTTTGAGCTTCCTCGGTCCAGCATTGCACCGGACTACTCCCTGTGGCTCTTTTCCGTCGGGGAGAGTCATATCAGGTTGACTAACCGAGCATCATAGACTCAACAAAACTCACTACCAGAAGTTGTCGAGCAGACGAGGACGAACCAACATGCCTGTGATGCCGCATTTTGTGGGTATTGCCACCAATGCTGTGCTGCGCTGACAAAGGGTTTCGAGACCTCGACCGGGTCTACCTATCTTCAACGTTCCGTCTTACCGCTTCCCCTGGCAGAGAGAGACTGCCGGCGTCCTTGACTGAGCCTGAACCGTCCAAAGCAACCACTAACAAACGGACTGACTGAGTCATCATGGCGAGTTTCTCTGCTTGCAGCCAAGCAACATCCGCCGAGAAGATCTGAACACATACTCGTAACGGGCAATGGTGGCCTACCCTGACCGCCAGCTCCTCGTATATCGATCGCCTAGACCACCATCGACCGTTGCGGGAAACGTGTGCTGGTGCGCTATTGGCGTTGACAGCTCGTCTACGGAATCACGACAACACCAGCTGCGCAGCTATGAAGGGAGTTGTTCGGAACTGCTGGCTACAGGATGTTCTTTTTTCGCTTTTGCATCTAAGCTTTTTCCTTTCCTTCAATCTCAACCTAGAATTGACGCCTCGAGAAGACGTTACAAAGATCCCCAAAGCTGCAGACCCCCGGCGCACCCATTAATCAGACCTGACCAGTCAGAAGTCCCAATTGACCCTTGTGTGCTGTCGCATTCTTGGCCAGTCTTATAGCCGGTCTTGGACAATCGTTTGCGGACTCTGTGTTGTACGCGAGAAGACCAGAATTGCACCAGGCCAGGGGAATTTGAGACGACCAGCGCAAGGCTGAACGACAATTCAAGTTCCAATGGAACACCAATAACAGGCACTCCGTCACTCGAGCTGAGATATGTCGGCATGTCACTTTGTCCCGCTTTCAAAATACGATGTCAGTTTTTGCTCTGATTTCTACAGACCCTTTCGATAAGGCGACGTTTGCTCGTGATATGGATGCTCAGTTTACTGACGTTAGTACCCTTGCCAGTGGAGTCTACACCCGGCGCTCGTGGCCATCGCACTCCCATGGAATCCTACGGCATACTGTTTGATCGCGAGCTTCTGCGCGGTCTCGCTGTGGATGACGGTCGAATTGACTCTGCAGGTGATGTTCACGTTCCGGCGCCACAAAGGTCTCTACTTCTGGTCGCTCCTTGTCTGCACGTGGGGGGTGGCGTTGCATGTCGTGGGCGTCATCCTCAAGCTCTTCAACGAGAGCAACTGGATCGTCTCGAGCATCATCTTCAAGATTGGCTGGGTCGGGAACGTCACCGGCTTCTCGCTCGTGCTCTACTCGCGGCTGAATCTCGTGGTCCACGACAGGCGTATTCGGCGCGCCGTCCTCGCCATGATCATCACCGATGCCTTTTTGCTGCACACGCCCATCATCATCTTCGACTTTGGCATCTCCTCCCCTCATCCTAACATCTGGTACATGCCAATGAAGGTCATGGAGCGCATCCAGGTAGTGTGGTTCAGCGTCCAGGAAACCGTCATCTCGCTCATGTATATCTGGTGCACGCGCGACTTCCTCAAGGATATCTACTCGCACCAGACCCACCGCGTCATGCAGCTGCTCATCTGTGCCCAGATCATCGCCATCATCTTCGACGTCGTGCTTATTACCGTGGACTGCAACAACATGTTCACCCTCAAGGTCGTCATCCACCCGTTCTGCTACGCCGTCAAGCTCAAGATCGAGTTTATCGTCTTGAACCAGCTCCTCGCCTTGATCAAGCACGGTATCGCGCCCAGCAGCTTCCCAGCCCCCGATGAAGAGTCTCCGGACGCCAGTGGGCCGACGCCGCCGAGATCCGGCGCGAGGGTGGATTTCAAGCACGGCTCCTTCGTGAGCACTGATATCACTGCCACCGACGCGCGAGATAGTGCAGCAGCAGACGCCGCTTCGCGGAAGGAGTCGGTGCTCCTGCCCTCTGGCGGGCTCGGGAGAGACATGGAATACTACAGGCGAAGGCATAGGACGGGCACCGCCGATAACGAGAATGGTGATTCCGGCGTCGCAGGAGATACTCCCAACAACAACAACAGGACCGACTCGACAACACCCCAACCACCAGCGAATCCTGACCCGGACGCGATCGAACCAGTTCCACTCCCAGGCTCACCCCACACACCCTCTCCGCCGTCCCCTCCGCCTCCTAACACAACGACAGCGGGCACTTCTACACCCCGAGCCCCGGGATCATCGTCAAGACGGTCCTTCGAACCGCAGCTGCCCGCGAGATCCTTTTCGGACCCGACGCCTCTGGGTCCCGCGCAGAGGGAACAAGACTCGGAGGCCATTGTGGCCCAGATCGAGAGGCATTATCTGGGCAACTGGAATGGGCATTCTACCCGATAATTCGTAAAAAATTAATGAACCATCTTCCTTTTTTAATACGATATCCATACGTGTCCACGAAAGAAAACGAGCTTTGTCACGCACGCACGCCGGAGGTCGGGGGGACTGGAGTCGGAGGGATCTCACTGTGTTTTTTTTTTCCACATATAATATATATATAGCATGAGGGAGGGCACAAATAATACCATTTGCACCCCTCCACATATATACCTAGGTACCTAGGTACTCTTCCCATAAACGCTAGTGCGCCATGAAGCTAACCCCCCCGGACTGAACACGCCCGGGAGTCGCATCGGTTGTCTCAAATTATATTACCGAGCACTGATTTCAGCAGCAGGACACTCTTGGGCCCCATTGCCTGCCTCTGACAAAGGGGCTCTAGATGCAAACATGCAGCTAAGATATGGGATTCTTGTCGCACCCTATCGGAAAACAATGCCACTTTGCTAAACAACCTGCATCGCTGGCAGGGACCAACTTCCAAGGTTTTTGTTTCCATCGCCCTTCCGCGAATCGGGCGCTCTGATTGGTGGAAGGACTCACATACCAACCTGGACTTTTAATACCTGGCGAAGGCTGCATTTGCCGTAGGAGTAATTAGTGACATCTTATACTCCTCGTACAGCCAAGCATAGGAATACAGTACATATGGCATTTGCATCTGAAAACCAGACGATAAATATCCCCATCTCTTAATCTGGGGGTTATCAATTGGGGAGGAGAGATACCTATGGTGGTTGACCCGGGCGACTAAATGCAGGTACATAGATGGTCAAGCAACCTCATCTCATGATCTGTAGGAATACTCGGGTAGTTCGTGGACGGACCAAGAGAGTCAAGGCCCACGAAGGCTCAATCACGTTGAAGTGGAAGTCTCGACATCTGCACTCAAAGGGTGAGCGAATTCTTCGGACTACCTGCAGTTGGAGCGCTGCTACATTCGTGTATTGACTGCAGAAGGAATGGAGGTTGTAGAATTCAAAAAATCCATGTTTCTGGGCATAGATAGAATAAAGAATCTGTGATCGTGCCGGAAAGTCGCGGGGCAAAAGTCTTGCAAGCAACCCGCCGGGCGGGTTCATATGGGTGACTGATGACCACCCAACCCAACATGCACAGTTACCCACTCATCCTCTTCTTCTCCCGCTGCTGCTGCTCGGCCTCCCTGTCGCGTTTGCCTTGCCGGGACTCAGCCCGGTCGCCTCCTCCGTAGCAAGTGCGGCACTCCCTTTTTGTCCCACGCCCTGCAGCCCACTGGCACCTTTCCCTTTCTTATCCAACTCCTTGGCGTGGCCCGCGGTCGTGGGGCTGTTCCAATAGTACACCACCTGCGCGGCCAGAACGGCATTCAACGCAAACCCGGCAATGAACCCGTACAGGATCAACTTATCGTCGACCTCTTGGATCGTGGTGTAGATCCGACTGAGGCTGCCGAACAGGTAGTTGAAGACGGCGAACGCGGACAACTGTCCCGTCCCACCTTGGGTGTAGATTGTGAGGATTTGGGGCAGCTTGCTGGCGATGCTCAGGGCGCCGGCGCCGGCTTGCAGACTGGTCATTTGCGCGTCCGAGACGAGCGTGTCTGAGACCACCAGCGCGTACACGGCGCTGCCAAAGGCCGCGAGAAAGGCGCCCGCCTGCGCGCTCTTCTTGGAATACACCAGGATCAACACGCTAATCACCACGTCTTGAATGGCGATCAGCGCCGTCTCGCCGTACGTGCTGAAGGGGAACCCATTGCGCATGTTATAAGCCAGGGTAATCACAAAACTGGCCGTTTCCAGCAGGTAGCTCGTGAACGACAGTCCCTCCGAGGACTGGGACCTGACGAGTTTGATGATCTGCGGCACCTTCACCACGGACGCCGCCGTGATGATGACGATCCCCAGAGCCTTTGAGATGGCCAGCGACACGCATTCGGGATGCGAGGCAAAGTCGAGGTCGAGGAGGAGGGCGCTGTGGCAGCGTTCGCCGAGGAGGGTGACGGCGAGGTCATTGAGAGGGCCGGGGAGGTTGTGCGTGATCGGAATCAGATAGGGTTTTAATGGGTTGAGGACGAGATCCTGGACTTGGTCCATTGCGATTGACTCGATGCGCACTTGGCAAAAAGGGTTTGTTGAAGACTTGAGAGACTGGTGATGGTTGCTGCGCCCGAAGGAATAACGGGATCTGTTTTGTTTGATGCCAGGGTGGCCCGACATTCCCCAGTGATGGTCCATGGAGACTACCCCACGTGACTACCTAGGGGCTTCAGCCTCGGCTACTGGCCAAAATATGCCTTGCATACGAGACTCTTAGGTAGCTGCCCTGAACGCTGAGGATTGGAGCCGAGTGAGTGAAGAATGCGTGACTTGATTTACATGATAAAAACCTTGCCAATCATTTTACATGGTCAATCCATCAATACATAGACATTTTTACAACTGGTCAAGATATCCGCCCTACGCTTTGCGTGATGTTTTGGCAGATGACCCACGAGGCACCTTGTCGTCGACGGCAACCAGATGATAGGTGGCCAGCTGATGTCGACTTATCGGTGAAGGCGCGCCAGCGAACTTGTCTTCACCGTCTGCGTACTTTGGAAACGCAATCACATCTCGTACACTCGCACTGTTCGTCAACATGGCCATCAAGCGGTCAAATCCTAGGGCAAACCCGGCGTGCGGCGGACAGCCCGCACGCAACGCCCTCAGTAGATGTCCGAAATCTTTGACGCGTGCCGGCTTCAGCTTCAGCACCTCTTCGAGGATAAATTCTTGCATGAATTCACGGTGGATACGACAGGAGCCGCCGCCGACTTCAACTCCATTGATGACCAGGTCGTAGTGGTCGCCAATAATGGACAATGGATCCTCCTTGAACGTGGATACCTTCAAATCCTGACCTTGTTTAGGAGCCGTAAAGGGATGATGCGTCGAGCAGATGCCTGCGGACCCGCCCTGTCCTGGTTCAGACTCTTCTGTGGGTGAGAACAAGGGGAAATCTGTTATCCATAAGGCAGAAAATCCCGAAGGCGCAGCAATTAGACCCTCTGATATGGCGTGCTGGTAGATATCCCGACGCAGGTCCCCTAGCACGGTAGACCCACCAGTAAATGGCTTATCCTCACGGCTATAAAGAATGAGGATGTCGCCCGGTTCGGGATCGAATTCTTCTTCCACTTTGGCCGCACCTTCATGGTCAAAGCTCGCCAGACCATGCAGCGGCTTTAAAGGATCGAAGACCGCCACACCGGGGATTCGGTTCTTGTCCTTCGTATACCTCGCTTTCGCTTTCGATGATGCTTCTAAGAAAGCTGTCACGAACTTCTGGCTGTCGGCCGGTTCGCATCCTTGCATGCTAATTTTCATCATCTCCATAATGGTATCGTCCTGTCGCGAGGTCACCATGCTCTTCACATTGGGGGAAAGCCAGTCATCCACTCGGCGAATCTCAGACCCAAGCCGCGTGTCAGGCTTGTCCGAACCATATCGAGACATTGCAATATTGTATGTCAACTGAGGAAAAGCCAGGTTGCGATATACTGGATCCGCCGATGCGGCCTCCAAAGACATCGCTGGCGCCGATGGTTGCAAAGGAGCGATGCCAGGCACATTAGGCCAAACTGCATGGATGAGTAGCCCTTCTACGACGGCCATAACATCAGCACTAGTAGTGAATGCCATTTCGAGATCAAGCTACAGCAAGGTTAGCATCGTCTGCAGGTAACGAAGGTCTAAGCTTCAATTACCTGAGTGAATTCCGGCTGTCTGTCGGCTCGCAGATCCTCGTCTCGAAAGCATTTGGCGAACTGGAAATACCTCGAGATTCCCGAAGCCATAAGGACCTGTTTATATTGCTGTGGACTTTGTGGCAATGCGTATGCAAACCCCTTCTTTCTCGTGGGCACAATGAATTCTCGAGCACCTTCCGGGGTTGATTTGAATAACAATGGCGTCTCGATCTCGTCGAAATCATTGCGCAGCATATGTTCTCTTATCTTTCCTGCAAGTTGTGAGCGTAATCGGATCCTGCGGCGAAGGTCCGAGTCCGTTCTGAATTGAAGATATCGTAACTCTGGTGGAAGCACTGTGTCGCGTTTGGCGGTAAGGTCGGGTGGAACTCCATTGAGAAGCTTGCAGGACTCTGCTCTGATTTCGACATGAGATATGAGGTTGATGTCCCCGACATATGGGTCCAGTGTTGGAATGGTATTATCTAGCCGTTTCGTATCGCAAACTCCTGATGCAGCTTGCGTGTGGTCTTTTTTGGGCGGTATCAGTCGCCGCACAACCCTTCCGGAGATGCGAATGGGTGTGTGAGGACGAGCAGATCTAAAAATACTCTGCTCTTCTTCAAAGGGACCTTCATAGCCTGATCTTCTATCCGCGCTGAGCTCCTCAGCACCCAAGCGATTTTCCACCGATGTACTTTCTGCAACCTTCGCAGTTGAATCGTGATGGGGAAAGATGACTTGCACGGCAAGCTCTAACCGTGGGTCGACGAGCTGGATAAAGTCGAAGCCCCTGCCCGGTCTGTGCGAAGTAATGTAGCCATAAAGCTGCACTCGGGTCCGTTCACCATCGTCGGGATCAGGCGCAGTTGACAAAGAATCGACGTCGGTCTGGCGCAGTCTTTCCCAGGCAGTGCTCGCTGTACTGGACGAAGAGATCCCTGTGAAAGTTAAGCGCTGTCCAAGTCCCTGGAGATGATGCTGCCTTACTAGAATAGTCAAATCGCCTGATATCGGGGTTGGCGACCTGCGACAATTTATCTGGTCGCCGTTCCCTGCGGATTGCGGACGTAGAATATGTGAGTCTTGGAGAAAGACAAGCTCTGGTGGTCGAGGGCGGCGTGGAAGAGAAACCTGTCTGCGTAACTCGGGTGCGAATATACCTGGAGATTTCGATATAGCTGCGTCGTAGATTAGCTGGCCGCGGAAGTGATCTTTGAAGCTCCATGGGCTCTTGCTGCAGCATCGAAAGACGATTGACGCGAGCACATCCAAGAGAATTGACTCGAGTCGGAGGTTTGCACGCGCCAACCTCCGAAGGCCGCCTCGCCGCCTGCGCACAAATTTCTCCAAATCGCACTCTCGCTCTCTTTTCTCCTTCTTTTCCTTCTTCATCCTTCCAAGTTTTGAACAAGTGAGTTAATGGTCTCTGCACCTTTGGCGAGTATGTGTGCTAACTGCTGCTCAGATGATGAAAGCCTAGCGTGTACTATACGATCTGTCCTTGCCGCGGACAGCAGCAAGCCCTCTCTTCGGAGCTTAAGCGGCATGCTGTTCGATGTGGTGCGAAGACAATGAGATCAGCGTTCGGCACACCCATCTTGTTACATTTTACGGACGCAATGAAGGCATCTCTGACTCTCAATCTTGGAAAGGATATACTTTCTGTACTAACGGAGTACATGGTGTTCTTTTATAAGATTCATTTTACCTTGTGTCATTCTTGCATCAGCTACTTGACTTAGTCGATAGTGTCGGCACCGACTCGAAACTGTCTTCCATGAATGACCTCCACGCCGCAAGGGCAGATTTCACCTCTTCCGTCGATCCTCCAAAGGCGACCCTCACATATCCGCGAACCGCTCGACTGTCCCCGAAACATTTGCCTGCAGGACAGAGGAGGATGCCCGACTCCTCGAATAGCTTGGAACAAAACTGCTCACTGTCGATGGGCTTCCCCATCTTGTGAAACTTGAGCATTGCTGTTGTTCCAGCCCGTGGTTTGACCCAGGAACACGACCAATTGTGCTCTTCGACAAACCCCTGCAGCAGGTCTAGGTTTGTTTGGCATAACTTGATGTTTCTGGCTAATAGTGCGTGAATGCACCTGTCACTCAGGGCCTCTGCAGCGATCACCTCATCTATTGTTGACGCGGTTGCGGATTGGAGATGCCTAACTTTCCTGCAGCCTTCGAGAATGGTCCTGTCCTTTGTGGCAATCCATCCGGCTCTCGTCCCAGCCAAACCATATGCTTTACTTACTGCACCTGTCACAACGACTTTCTTGTAGCCCAGGTTGATTGTGGAGGGTGGAAAATCATCATCTGACGGCAATATGGAATGGAACAGAGGTCTGTAGGTCTCATCCGCCAGAATAGTTATTCCCTTTTCTTCTGCCACTTCAATGAGGGCCTCGAGCATGGGTCTGGACACTATAGCGCCTGTCGGGTCACAGGGGCTTTGGATCGCGATCACTTTTGTATTGTCCCTGATCAATGTCTTCAGCTCCTCGATATCAAGCTCCCACTTTTTCGCTGGGTCTGCATTCCACCAAGTGACGTCGGCGCCCAGTGCTGGTGGTATCTTGTAAAGCAGCTCATCAACCGGGTGTTGGCAAATGACATGATCCCCAGGGGCCAGCAGCGCAGAGAAGAGTGTGTAGTCTGCAGCGGCACTTCCATTGGTGATTATAATGTCATGTTCGGTCACTCCTGCCGAGCGCGCAGAGTACAGGGCTGCCAGATTTCTCCGCAATTCAACATTGCCCAAGCCAGTATCGTTCCCTTTGAGCTTTAGTTCACTCAGTGACAAGGCCTTTTCGGAGTCCGGTCTGTCCTCTGAAATGTCAAGAAGCTCAGCCAGGGACATATTGGAAGCGGCCGAAGACGAAAGGTCGTGTTTGGCTGACGAGAGATACTTTTCGTTCCACTGGAGAATCGTCAGTCAGGAAGTCCACGTGTTGAGGCCCGGTGAATACCAACCTCGATCACTTCAAGCTGTTGGATCCTGGCCATATTATCTCCTGGAACGCTTCAAAAGGTCTCGTCAGTAGAAATGAATAGATTGGAACCTCGCAGAGACAGGTCTTGGGACAGTTACCTGCTGGACTGATTTTCTTTCCAACTGCGGTGGTGCGGAGTTGCAGCCACTGTTTCCCCACCTCGACAAGACTGATGGCAGTTGGGTGGCAGTGATGGGTGCTACTGGTGCCTGAGGTGACAGATTTGGGGCGCCATCTGCGCTGTGGCTGGTGCGACAACCCACCCTCGCGCTCCGACTTCGTATCTCGTAACGTGCTTGGACCCCAGACCGGAGGCTACTCCCTGTAGGAACTAGGCTGCCACGAGCAACTGCCGGGAGCTGTAACGATTGGGTGCAAGCGGAGAGTGCACCCTCTAAGGCTCTAACTGGATGCAGCCCGGCGCATGAAACTGCGGGCGAAGGCCGATCTCAGTTAATTATCACCAGGTGTCCGCGTCTGGGTGCCGTCCCCGCCCGTACAGGAACCTGCCGCCGGTGGTATTATCGTACCTCGTGCTGCGTTGTTGCAACTTGTGTTGTGCTCCAGCATTCATCGCCTCCCACTCCAATTGCAATGGTGTGATATCTTTCTACTTCTGTTCCTCACTCTTTGTCGCATGCTCCTCCTATCGTTCTTCCATCCACAATCACGAATCATAGCCTTCCTCTCCACCTTTTCTCCTCTCTGGACCTTTCTGCCCGGTTGACTGGCAAGCTTCCGTCTACAGGCGCCAGCCACACCATCTCTCACCTCCGCATCTGCAAAGCGGACGATATCGCCCGGTCTATTCTCAATGAACCTCCATGGCGTTGCTGCAGCACTTTTACTCGTCGCCCCGACATTGCTCGCGAGCGCCTATCTCAATGACACTTCGCGGGCATTGATGCAAGATCCCTTCCTCGATCTGGTCGACGGGTGCCCACCATGCCCTAGATGCTTCGATTGCCACTACGACGAGTTCAAGTGCCTACAATTTGCGAGCTGCGGCAATGTCAACGGGAAATGCGTCTGTCCTCCGGGCTTCGGAGGTGACGACTGCGCGGAGCCACTGTGTGGTTCCTTGGCCGACGGCAAGAATCGATCACCAAGAAGAGGCGATAAGTGTGACTGCAAAGATGGATGGGAAGGCATCAACTGCAACGTGTGCAAATCCAACGACGCATGCAATGCGCTGATGCCTGGGGCCCAGGGTGGCGTCTGCTATCAAAAGGGTGCTTTGGTGTTCGAAAACTACCAGATATGCAATGTCACCAACAAGGCTATCCTGGACCAGATCGATCCTCGGATACCAGAGGTTACCTTCTCCTGTAACGCCGAAGATGCTACCTGCAACTTCCAATTTTGGGTCGACCAAAAGGAATCGTTTTACTGTGCGCTCGATAACTGCACTTCAACATATCAGGATACGAACGTCCGCAATACCACGAAATATCAATGCCAAAATATAAAATGCTCTTGCATACCCGACCGGTTCTTGTGTGGTGAGGATGGCTCTGTCAACATTGACGAGTTCCTGACCGAAGAGATCAAGGGCCCAGCTTCGTTTTACTCGCAGCACACCTATGGCGGTAGCTCCAAGGACGGTAGTAGGTTCGAGGAACCGGCCATGAACAACCTGATATCTATGATATTTGGCGACGAATACATATCGCTTCAATGCCGGGCAGGTGAATGCCTGTATGAGACGGATGTGCCTGGGTATGAGAGACCCATTAAAGAGATCAACACGCCTTTGATAGCTGGAATCATAGCTGGGTGCGCCCTCTTGGTCGTTGCCATTACACTCATCTCGTGGTACCTGTCGAGAAGGGCGGCGCTCAAGCGATGGGGTGCCATTCGACTGAGCGAAAACGGTGAAAACGACGCCTCGATGTCAATGATCAACCACACGCCGATGGCTTTGCAATTTGAAAACGTCTCTTATGGTCTGAAGGGAAAAGAGATCCTCTCTGGTATTTCTGGCATTGCCCACCCAGGCCAAATCACGGCCATCATGGGTGCGTCCGGCGCAGGCAAATCTACATTTCTCGACATTCTCGCGCGCAAGAACAAGCGTGGAACAGTCTTGGGCCATATGTATGTCAACGGTGAGAAGATTCTCGATGGAGAGTACCGAAACGTAGTGGGCTACGTCGACCAAGAGGACACTCTTCTGCCAACTCTGACCGTTCACGAGACCATTCTCACCAGCGCTCTCCTGAGACTGCCCGCTGATATGGGCATTTCTGTCAAGGAGCAACGAGTCATTGAGGTCATGCAGCAACTCGGAATCTACCACATCAAAGACCAAGTCATTGGCTCAGAGGAAGGAAATGGTCGTGGCATCTCCGGCGGCGAAAAGCGACGGGTAGGTATCGCTTGCGAGCTCGTGACTAGCCCAAGCATTCTCTTTCTCGATGAGCCAACCAGTGGGCTCGACGCCTTCAACGCTTTTAATGTAGTTGAATGTCTGGTCACCCTGGCCAAGACATACAACCGGACCGTCATCTTCACTATTCATCAACCTCGCTCGAACATTGTCGCACTATTTGACCAGCTCATCCTCCTTGCCAAAGGGCAAACTGTCTATTCTGGTCCCTTTTCGAGTTGTCAATCATACTTTGACCACATTGGCTATTCCTGTCCGCCAGGTTTCAATATTGCAGACTATCTCGTGGACCTGACAATGCACGCCAGTCTTCCACATTCGCCCATATTTGAGGATGTGCCGAAAGATCTGCTCGACCGAGACGGTCCGGGGACGGAGTCAAGCAGTACGCGCGCCGTCAAATCCATTGCAAGTGTTTCCAACGTGAGCGTGGAGAGCCCACGTGAAGCCCCGGCGCGGGGAAAACCCAAGAGGAGAATTTCCCTGAAGCAAAAGCAGGACCGACAACTGTTCACTCGGAAGAAGACCGCTGGGAGCGAAACTCCGCCCACGCCAAAGACCGATGACGAGGATACAGTGATGGGGAGAGCGACTGGCAGCATGCGGAGCTGGTTACAAATGTCGAAGAGAGATGGGTCAAACCCTGCACCCCTTCTGGAGGACCCTGACGACATACCACCAGACGCCAACACTGATCTGGACATTCTGGTGACGAGTTTTAAGAACTCTGATGTGGCTCAGACAATTCACGATGAAATCACAGCTTCAATCCAAGCCGCGTCTGCGGCAAACGGCCACGGTGGCGGAGAAGCTGTAACTGAACCCGTTACAGGCTCGATTAAAGGCTTCCGACGTGTCAGCCTCCCACGCCAGTTTTTGATCCTGTCCAGACGGACCTGGCGAAACCTGTATCGCAACCCGATTCTCATGTTGACTCACTATGCTGTTGCTATTCTGTTGGCGGTATTGTCAGGGTGGCTCTTTTATGGCGTTACTGACGACATTGGCGGATTCCAAAATCGACTTGGCCTCTTCTTCTTCCTATTGGCACTGTTCGGTTTCAGCGCGCTGACCAGTTTGAGTGTCTTCAGCGCAGAGCGGCTGATCTTTGTCCGAGAACGTGCCAACGGATACTACTCTCCGATTACTTACTATGCTGCGAAGCTCATATTCGACATTGTACCGCTCCGGCTTATCCCACCTATCATCATGGGCATCATCATTTATCCAATGTCGGGCTTGCTCCCAAAATGGGGTGTCTTCTTTACCTTCATACTAATATTGGTTCTGTTCAACTTGGCCGCTGCAGCTATCTGTCTGACGATTGGTATCATCTTTAAAGATCCCGCTGTTGCCAATTTGATTGGTAGCTTGGTCATGTTGTTCAGCTTATTGTTTGCTGGCTTACTCCTCAATCTCAACCACGATACTGTCCAAGCAGCAGCCCAGTGGTTACAAATGGTAAGCGTCGCCAATCCTTCTCTTAGAAACTCGTGCTGACCATCAACAAAGTTGTCCATCTTCCACTACGGATACGAGGCCCTCATCGTGAACGAGGTAGCCAAACTGCGTCTCAAAGATCAACGATATGGCCTTGACATCGAGGTACCAGGAGCCAGCATTCTCAGCGCCTTTGGCTTCGACAATCTGGCATTGTGGAACGATGTCATTGGCCTGGGCGTCTTTGCAGGAGCATTCATCATCATCGCATATGGTGCTATGCATTTCCTACTCGTCGAAAAGAGGTAACAGTAGTATTGAGGGGTCATCTTACGACTTTCCCGTTGTGTGGTTGGTATGGAATCTTGCATCTCCCGGCGTCCCAGGTAACATTATGTGGATGAGTTGGCGGGGTGAGGGTCACAGGGGCTGTAAACAACCGATATACATATATACATTAATATGACAAAAACCTGAAGGCCTTCCACGAGCCCTGCATGATATCAGCCTGTCTGTCCGGGTCTTTTACTGGGTTGTGGTCGAAAATATGATTCCCCTGGGGTTACGAGGGCCGGCCAATCTCGGAACCGTGCATCTCGAAAACAAGGGTATGAGACCGACAAACGGGTGCCCGATCTCGGAGACGGTCATTATGCGGGGAGACTGACCAAGTCCCCGTCCACCTACCTGATCACCTTCCGCTCCTGACGATTTAAGAAACACTTCTCCTCAGAGCACGACGTGAACAAGTGCTGGTGTTGAAGCTTGGACACTGACCGCGTTTTTCATCAATCTCCAGGAGAACAATGACTGTACTATTTCGCCCCTGTTCTCGCTGCATCGCTCAAGCAGCCACAAGCTATGGTGCTCGACTCGGAACCACAACATCGCGGAGCTTCTCTTCGTCTTCTACGAGACTGAGCTCGCCACCGACCGACCCGAAGGCGATAGCGGATGCCTTTCTGTCCAAGTTCTCCAAGGGCCAGACGTTCGTGCGCCGTCAGCTGCTGGACGCAAATCAGATCCGCCTCTTCTCATTGACTTTGAATCGACCATATCTATGGCCTACTAGCAGCTCCGTTTCGTCGTCGACCAAGACGCTCGAGGAGGCAGAGCCTGTCCAGGGCACGCCAATACCACCGGCCTATCATCTATGCTACTTTACACCAGCTCAATTACCTGGCATACTGGGACTCGATGGCACGGACGCGAGTTTCAACCCCGACGCACCTTTCACAAGACGCATGTGGGCGGGCGGATCGTGTCATTGGCCCGGCGCCGATCCCAACTCAATCAGACAGGCACTCTTGGTGGTCGGCGACACCGTCACCGAGGTCACTAGGGTATTGAGCTGCGAGCCCAAAGTTATTGGCAAGACTGGGGAGAGTATGCTGGTCGTCGGCGTGGAGAAGGAATTCCGGAATGGGAAAGATGAGCTGTGTGTCCTGGACCGGAGGAACTGGGTCTTTCGGGTCGCTCTCGACCCTTCCAAGACTGCTCCACTGGTTCCCAAGCCGAAGGAATTGTCGCCGGCGGAACTTGACAAGAGCGTCGAGGGGAAACTATGGCGGGAATACAGCCGCGACGAAGCAACACTGTTCCGATTCTCGGCGTTGACGTTCAACGCGCACAGGATCCACTACGACAAGCCCTGGGCGACGGAGGTCGAGGGCCACAGGAATGTGGTGGTCCATGGTCCGATGAATCTGATTGCCATGTTGGACCTATGGCGAGATGAGGCCAGTGTCTTTCGAGGGGTGGGCGAGGGGTCAATGCAGGACGATGAAGTTGTATACTATCCGCAGATGATTGAGTACCGGGCCACGAGCCCCGTATATGGCAGGGAGCCCTACCGGGTGATGATGAATCAGGAGGCGGTGGACAAGAAAGAGGCGGAGACAAAGGTGGTGAGTAACGACGGGACGGTGTGCATGAAGGGGACTGTGACGGATTGGTCGTTAAGCAAGTAGTAGTAATCAAGGGTGCGCCGCCAAAAGCAAGTTGAGCAGTCGGTGTGGGAGAGGACCGTAGACGGGCTCTTTCTTACGAAGGTGGCTGTTGGCCTGTGTCGCTCACCAACCCGAAATGGGAGCGGAGTTTCGAGATGTGACTTTGGGATGAGATAAGGATGTGCCATATTAGGTAGGCACGAAGGATTTTGTTGGGGCAAGTGGCTGAACATTGGACATTGAGATCGAGGCCAAGGCAGAGATCATCGCGGATACGGTGTCTTTGACCTGCCTACCTTGGTATTCGGTGTGTGTTGTCTCGTCGAGGAGTTGTGGATCAGGAGGTGAGGAAAGGCGAAGATCCAGATGGCAACACTTACTCCAGGTGCGGATGAGCGAGTGTGGAGGGAAAAGAGCCTAAAGAGCCTAAACCCACATATGCGAACTCGTCTCCGGGTGCCCCTAATGGGTGCCTAAGGGGCATTAGCACGAGGAAACCTGGGGCCTCTGTCGCCCTTTAGGCCCGGACTGGGCGCCAATGATTCGTATTGACCCCCGCGGAAGTCGCCATCCGCTATACCCTAGGCGGAGCTAGCGGCCATCTGGTAAAGCGCCTCTTGCCCCTCCGCACTTTCTTCTCTCCTCCTCCTTCTCCGGCTGCTCTTCCAGCCGCATCCATCTCATCTTTTCCAGTTTCGTTCCTCCACGACTCCTCCCTTGCAGCTTCCTTTACGTACATCTGTCGACGGCCATCGTTGTGCCTACAGAAGATCGGATATCAAGATGACCCTCGCCCACCAAGTCTCCTGGACAGCCGCATAATCCCACAAAACCCTACTGGACTCCTTTGCGCCCGTCTTCTGGGAACCTCTCGCAATGACTTAGTGCTGTCACTTTTTCACTGGCACCGGCATGATTCCACAAACTCCTTCGTTGACCGTCCCTCCAGATAGCTCTGCCCAGCAGCTGCTGCGCCTGGGGAAGCCCTTCGTCGAGTTTCCCCGCTTCAGCATCCTCGCTCTTCAGGAAGAGAAAGACCCAGACGGGAACCCTCTACCTTTCTCCGAGTGGCTTACCAAACGCCTCCAGCTAGGCCAGCCTTTTGTCATTGCTGAATTCGACAAACTCGATACCTGGCCGGCCTCGGGTCCTCACACTGGGCACCAGCCAGGTTTCGGCATCGAGAGGCTGATCGAGCTGAGCACCAAAAAGAACATCCCCATCCGAAATTGCAGCACCGGTCGGGATCTGTCTTTCACCCTCAAGAAATTTGCCGACAGCGCGAGGCAATCTTTCCCCGAATTCCAGAACCTCTATGCCAGGGACTTGCAATGTCCCCAAGAATGGCTCGAACAATGTCGCAGGATCTTGCCCACAGAGGTCCAATGGGGTGGGCGGTTGGACCTTTTCCAGTGGCTACCACAGTGTGCGAGGAGTGAAGTCATGATGGCCTACGTTGGCAGCGAAGGGAGCAGTTCAGGATTCCACCGATGCTTTTCAAGCACAGTCGCGTTAAACTTGCTCGTCGAGTCGGACGATCGTCCGGTGGTGTGCATCGGCACGGACTTCGACTCGCAGAAGAAATATGACGCCTTCTTGTCCGCCCGTGGCGCTTCACCTCATCTAGACTGGCTAAATCTGGGATCGGAGGAGCTTCTGAAAGCGGACTTCCCCCTATATGCCTATGATCAACGAGTTGGCGATCTCGTTGTGTTCCCTCCTGCCACAGCCCACCAGGTGTGGAATCCTGCAACGCTTTCGGCCAAGGTTGTCTGGAATATCCTTCATCCTCTATCACTTGAGGTAGGGTTTGAATACGTCCAAGCCCCCTTCAATCGCCTCTGCCATCCCGATGTTGCTCGAACCAGCCTCTCATTGGCATACGCTATGTTATCTCTGCTTCCGGACAACCAGACCATGAGGAGTTCCCCACTACCACTGCCTCCAGATCTCCCTCTACTCTCACGCTTGTTTCGGCAAATGGTTCATGACGAGTCCATTGAATCTCATCCTGTCACGCCAGTCACTCTGGTGCCTATACAGCAAGGGACAATTGCAACCTGCAACTTTTGCAGTACGGCCATCTGGAATCGCCACGTGCGATGCACCCAATGCGCTGATTTCGATCTCTGTCTGCTCTGTTATCTCAGTGGCCGTTCTTGCGAACATTCCCAATCATATGCATGGGCAGAGCTGGTGCCAGCAGAGCAATGTACAAGGGTTCTTAACCGAGCCCGAGAGATTCTAGGATTCCAACCAGAAGAACCGCGCACGCTCGACAAGCGCAAGACCCTGGGGACGGCGGTCAATGATCTGATGCGGGCCAAAACATCAACAACAAGCAGACTCTGCCACCTCTGCCGGATCGACCATCATGAATGGAAAGGGCGTCGTTGCGACAAGTGCACCGCCTTTTTCTGTTATCGAGGCTTATTCCGACATTTTGATGAGTATCCCTCGGAAGTTATACGACACAAGGGAATGTGGACTTGTCCCAAATGCACAGAAACCTGCAACTGTCGATGCTGCCATTTCGCAACAGCGTACGTCAAAAGTGAAAAGCCTGCCAGCAAAAGAAGAGTGAAAGCCGCCGACCCTCGTGGTAAGGTGATGGGCTTCGCAGACAATGTGTTTGATCAAAAGCGTGGAAATCGACGAGATTCCAGCCACAATGGCTCGGGGGTTGGACCTTTGCCTGGTGTGGCACAAATTACGGGCAAGAAGCGGGCAATATCTTCCTCGGCAGATCCCGGCCCAGCGACCCCGCTGAGGAAAATGGAGTTGCCAACACCCGAGCCGGACTTCTCTGGGACCAGGCTGGCATTGTCAAGGGAAAGTTCTGAGTTCTTGATGGACGGCCCTTTTGGAAGCGTCAATGGGACGCTGCCTACGCTGTTGCCGAGTATGAAGACATTCCCCGATGGCCCCGACTTCATGGTCAGTCCTACCGACGAGAGGCATTCGCGAGTGAGTAGCTCGCCGGGAATAGTGTCCCTGGCCTCGGCGGCAATCAGCTCGAGCCGCATAACTTCCAACATTCAGAACAATACCCTTCCACCTATGCTTGGGCATCCTCCTGCTACCAATGGCTTGTACCTCCCGCAGCACCACTCCAACGGCAGTTTCAGCACCCCGCCATCTTCTGTCCCGACAGCGTCTCCTACAAAGCTTACTGCGAGCTCGAATGAGACAAAAGCTCCGACCGCCGCACTGGACGCGTCCATTAGAGAATTGGAAACGCAACTGGTCAAACTCAAAAGGTACGAGGAAGAGTTCATTGCTTTGAACCTGGACGACAGTCGCAAGATGCTGGCAAGCCAGGTGGCCGAATTGGAAAGCCAGATCAAGGCAAAGAAGCGGGAGAAGAGTCTCATTCTTATTGAGAGATTGAAGAAGGAAGGATTTGGTGGGCTGGCGGCCGTGGTGGGCAAAGAGGTTGGGTTGGGTGTTGATGCGTGAGGGCATAGCGCACGATGAGCATGGTGTCACCTGTCTCGAAGACAGGTCTATATTTGTTTCAACAACTCCTCACCTTGACCTTATTCGACGATGAACCTGAAATGGTAATATTGGGTTGGCAGATTTTGAAAGGGAAAATTGGTGCTTTCACATGTCGGTACTGGTCGTTCTGGTTTCTAGCGTACCTACATTTGAGCGGGATGATGAACTCTTTTATATATACCCCAAGGAATGGATCATGTTGATAGGATGACGAGACATAGCAATGGAATGTTTCATATATGCACTGATTAGGTCGACGAAGAAATACTATAGCGATAGGAAGCGTGAGATGGAACTGTCAGACCAAGACCCGTGTCTTCCTTCCCGCCGCGTGTCTTGACTCTTGGGTGTTGGACAAAGAAGAGGCTGATTCCAGTATATTATATCTTCTGCCACAGCAGAAGCCCAGGGGAGTAAGCTTGAGGTTCGGTGAAGATACCGCTAGGTAGGTAGGTATGTATGCATGTCTGCCTCCGTTGAACTTGTTGCTGGGGGATGAGGGAGGGGAAAGTTCCGGCACATGCAGCAAGACGACACGATACGATACACAATATCCACTATCGCCGTTTATATTAGAGTTTCCCGCTCCATCTTCCTATATACCTACCTAGGTAGGCGAGAGGCAGCTACGAAAAGCGACCGCTACGGGCTACAATACGCCCCTCGGTTATTGCCAGGACACTCAGTGAATCCTCAGGGAGTGCTTAATGACACTCCGCGAATGGCCCAGTCAAACCTCAGGTTGGAGCGGCATTCGCTGAGTGATAGTCCGCGAGGCTGCGTACGTATCTACAAGGAGGTCCGGGAAATCCCAGTAGGCTGACAAGACAGACCTCTGGAATGAGATCATTTCCAATACGGTATAGTGCTCATGGATCACGCTTTACGATTCAAGTCGACACATCTGGCTGCGAAAGACAAGCGCATTTCTGGAGGAACGCGACAAGACCGTAAACGAACTCTCAGGTCAGTCAGCTGACTCGTATAAATCACCTACAGGTGGTAAATGCGGTTTCATTTTCCGTCAACCCTTTTACAGAGCTCTATTCGATGATCATGCAAATCCTTGCAAGACCTTTCCTCTTCTTGAGTGGTCTCTCCGCATCAATGACCTCCTGCAAGCCCGTCTTCATGTCCACCTCCATCGGATCCCAGCTCCACCTATCCCGCCAGAACACGATGCGATGCCCGACGTACATGACAACGAAGATGGGGATTCCTATGTAGGCGGTCAAGAATGAAGAGGCCGACCATTTGCTGGGGAAGAAGACGGTAAAGCCGTTGATAAGGCAGAGGATGGTGAATGCGACCATCGCGATCCAGGCGCCATAGGGTTGAATCCAGTTGCGGTAGATGGGTTGGATTCCTTGCGCCTTGCAGGCCTTTCGGAAGCGTATATAGATGATCATACAGCAAACCCATGAAATCATGCCCCTAGTAGTGTAGTTAGTAATTGCTACCGTATTATTTTACACATAATATATGCGCAATCAGTTCAGGGAGCTTACCATGTGTTCGTTAGGTTCACGAACCAGTTAAACACCGTAGAACCAGAGGAAGCGACGTTGAGGTATGCAAGACCACAAAATAGGGAGGAACAGCCCACCGCCATGTAGGGAACGCCCCAGCGATTGCATGCCTTGAAGATTCGGGGAGCGGAACCTTGGACGGCAAGCGAATAAAGCGCGCGAGAAGAGATGTAGAGGAAGGAGTTGCCAGACGACCAGGCCGAGATAAGGATCACGGCGTTGACGATGGATGGGAGAGTGTGGATTCCGGCATTGGCGACGGCGACGACGAAAGGTGAAGATTTTGCACCAGCTCCGCCGTTGGTCAGGCGTGGATCGTTGCTGGGGCAGGTCACGCCGATCGCCAGGACGCTGAGAACGTAGAAGATAACCAGGCGGTAAAAGTAGCGCTTGGAGGCAAGAGGTAGGTTCCGCCGTGGTGATTCCATTTCTCCACCCGTCACCACCAGGAGTTCCGGAGCAAAGGTGAAAGGGAAGACGGACAGGACGACAGTTTCCCAGAAGGAGATAAAGCGACCTGTGTTGCCTCCGACGATATAAGGATGTGCTGCGCCCGGATCGTTCCAGTACCTGAATCCTAGACGATCATGGGTAGGTCCGCCGCCCCAAAAGAGGATGAAGCTGAGGATGAGGAGGCCAGTCATCAAGATGACCTTTGTCCCGGCGAACCAGAACTCCGTCTCGCCATAGAATCTGACCGGGAGGAAGTTCAGACCGATGATGACAACCAGCATAATTGTCATCCAGACGGCGATATTGACGTTGTTGGGCCAGTAGTCGATGACGAGACCGGCTGCGGTGATTTCGTAGGGGACAAGAATGCCCAGGGCATACCAGTAGAGATAACCCAAAGCAAAGCCCATAGAGCGAGAAACATATCGGTACCCATAGTAAGACATGGTCCCGCCGTGGACGGGCAGGTAGGCGGCTACCTCGGTGATGGCAGTCACGACGCAATATACCAGGAAGGTCATGAGCACGTAGGCTGCCAATATGAAGGCGGGACCACCGAGAGCAAGCGTCTGACCGGAACCAACGAAGAGACTATTGGGAGAATGGGTCAGCCCGTGCCCCGTCTAGAGGGAAACGTTTAGGTAAGGTGACAGGCTCTGGTGATAACGACTCTTTGCGAGAACGATTGCTAAGAACTATCAAGAATCCAACATACCCAGTACCAATAGTTCCGCCTAGGGCGATCATTTGAGCATGTCTGCTCTTCAGACCACGGTGAGTGGTCTCATATCGTTCATCAAGCAGGTCTGCCGCGATGATGGACTCGGCGACAGACGACTTCCGTCCTGTTATAGAGGCTTTGCGGCCTTTCTCATCGACGGCACCTCGGCTCGTGACCGGTTCAATGCCCTTTTCAGGGTCGTACTCGACGTTGCCCGCCATGTCGACGTCAAGGGACTCTCCCACCCTTAGCTGTACCTTCCGGTTGGCAAAGGTTCAAGGAAGGCCTTGTAACAAGGCGATGGCCACTAGTTGTAGGAACAAGCCAGAAGAGATGGGGGGAGAAAGAACGAGAAGGCACATGGCCGGGGAACGGGGTCTGGACGACCCTCTTTATATACATTTAAGTCGACAGGATCATCTGAGGTGGTAGTGGAAGCATTGGCATCATGGTAGCGTTCCAGGGATGAGGCTTCGAGCTGACTGCCTGAGGTGGCAGGGTGGGTAAGGATCGAGACCAAATCCTTGCCTGTCAGTGGTTGTTGATAACGAAGCATGGAAGTGGGAAGTCGAAGGCGAGGTGTCAGACTCTTTTCTGGCGTCTTGGCCGCCACCCGCCATCCACGCCCCGTTCCCGCTGCACATCTACTGCGCTGAGCTCACTCTTGCTAGCCTCAGCTAAATTGATCCAGGCGGGATATAATGTCCTGTCACGGCTCTGAAGTGCGTCGGCGCCCTTATGATAAGGCTTAAGCGCAGATGGAATGCATTCCCGACTGCCCAGCCTCTCCAGAGATCCGATCGAGAACGGCTCATACGATCCCTCTTAGGCAATCTTTGCTCCCTAGGTAGGTACCTTCAAAACAGCTTGTGTACGGCCGTCTTGGCCTGCGCGGAAAGTTAAGATAGCACTACATCGCACGGGATGTGCCCCGTGTTTGCCATCGAGGCCACCCTTTGAATGTTGGTCGGGGTCATGGAACCCGAGAATCCACCGTCCCAGACGCTGCAGATTCCAGAAACGCCAAAACCGTTCTTCTCGAAGCGAGATCCGAGTCGACCAAGAGATTGCTGATGCTGCACTGGCACCGGGTGCTTTCCACGTTTTCTGCAGAACCCGGAACGCCACGTGCCCAAGACCACGCTGCTGGTAGCAGATTTCTGCTGCAATGGCTGTGCTGAGACAAATTTGGACGAGTCACTATCGAAGCCGTTCGTCCTTGGAGCACCGTCGGCAGATGCGTGTGAGCAGCCTAGACAGACTGGCTGGTCGGCGAAGGAGCGATCCTGGAATCGCTATCTCAGGCACAGTCCCGGTGGCCATAGAGGAATTAGCTCGTATCTATGCCGCCCCACGGTTTCCGAACTCAAAGTTCGTGCCCATACTGAAAGGAGAAATTGTCAGCATTTGTCTGGCTTCTTCACGCGCGTTGAGACCGCATCACCTCCTCATTCCGTGTTGAGATCTGCAGCCTTGCAGATCGTGGGACGCCCCTAACCCCCGGGGGCGGATATGGACATGTGCGTCGTTGTTCTCGACCTTTGAAGAGACTCGAAGCATTCGAGATAACAGATTGTGGCTTGCATTGAGCGCTCAAATCCTTTCTTTCAGACCCAACGCCGCTTTTTTTGGATTCTCCACACTAGGTCTGCATCGTCCTTCAGCTGGACCAGACTAGTAAGTGTCGAACTTGTGACAAGTATCATATACTAAGAAAGACTGAGGTCATGTCACTGCAATGCAAAAGAAAACTACAGCCTTAAGCTCGTCCCGAAGGCCAGCTGGGCCAATGACAACCATTTCGCTGCCTTCACGCGTTGGCAGAGTTGTCTCTGCACCGGACATACCCGCTAGCTCTGGAGCTTGTTGGCGCATCAAACAGCTAATTCCTGCCCAAATGTTCATCTGCTGCTTCATAGATGAGTGTGGTTTCATTAATTCTGGCTGCAAGGTCAAGCTTGTTCCTCACTAAAAGGGTCGGTACAGAACAATAGCGATGTTGACGGACGGTGAGTGATCCAAAGTTCACGGGTACGAGCCCAGATTATTGAGGCTGAAGTGCAGGGCTCCCTATCCTCGGAATCCCCGTTGGAATTTGGATTGTGCTTGCTGTAACACTGTTCGCTGTCTCCAGTTCCTTCTCACATACTGCGAAGCTGAGGAATGTCCCTGGTCCATGGCTGTATGCAGCAACAAGATTCAGGTTGGCCTTCGATGCCTGGCAGGCACAATCTATTCACACCGTGAACGAGCTCCACAAAAAGTACGGCCCTGTCGTACGGATCGGACCTAACGAGATCTCATTCAATAGTCTTTCTGCGCTGCGGACGATATATGGTGCTGGAAGTGGCTTCGAGCGGACTGCTTTTTATCAAATGTTTGACGTTTATGGTCGGCCGAACCTCTTCACTTTCGCTTCTGGCAAGCTCCATCGCGAGCGCAAGAAGCTGATTAGCCACATTTATGCAAACCAGACCGTGCTTGGGTTTGATGCGGCGCAGCTGGTCAAGAGAAAAGTTGAGGGTTTTCTATCGCTTCTGGAACGAGAGCCTGCTCTTGGGAGGGAGATCTTTACAAGCTTGCACTATTTCTCCTTCGATGCCATTTCCGAATTCGTGTATGGCCCGGATCATGGAGGAACGGCTGCTTTGCCAGGATCTAAACAGTCTCGAGAACTCATTCAAGACATCCTCAACCCAGCTCGTAGGAGACTGGCATGGTTTGCCATCTACTTCCCTACCTACACAAAGTGGATCACGACTCGCACAGGTCTTCTGGAGAGGGTGCTGACTTCGATGGGGCTGATGCCCATGCGGAAGCCTTTCACATATTCTGGAATCCGTCAGCATGCATTGAAGGCATTCTACAGTTTCAAAAATGCGCCGGCTGCTGTGCAGGCCAAAGCTGGCGAAAGCACAGTCATTGGCCGCCTCTTCAAAGTGCGAGAAGAGGCCGGTCTGACCGACCTGGACATAGCGTCCGAATGCGCCGACCACCTACTAGCCGGCATTGATACGACTTCAGATTCCCTCATGTTCATGATCTGGGCACTTTCGCTCCCTCAGCATAAGAAATACCAAGACAAGCTCAGGGAGGAACTGTCGCACATCTCCGTGGACAGCCAGGGGCTTCCAGAGCCCAAGGACTTGACCCAGCTTCCCTACCTCAACGCGGTCGTGCGGGAGTCTCTCCGCCTATACGCACCGCTGCCTGCGTTTGAACCGCGTTCTTCGCCAGTCGACACAGTCATCGACGGCTACAAGATCCCTGCAGGCACCATCGTAGGCATGTCACCGTACTGTCTGCATAGAGATGAAAGCGTCTATCCTTCTCCACTGGCCTTCAGACCGGAAAGATGGCTCACAGATTCCGGCACTCTGATCCCTGAGTCGGACCTCAGGAATCGATATTTCTGGGCCTTCTCCAGTGGTGCACGTATGTGTATCGGAATGCATTTAGCCAACGCAGAAATGCTTACTCTACTGGCTGCCTTGTACCGGAAGTACACGACGTCTGCAGAACATGCCGACACGTCGCCTGGTATCACCAGCCGGTTTGAAATTTTCTCCGATGAGACCATGCCCAAGATGGTGGAACATGAGTGTCTGATTGACTTTGTGGAGCTGGAGGCCAGATGATTGAGCGAAAACAAAAAGCAAGGGACCCAAATGTTCCATCGACCGTAAACACAGCCGCAGACTTCCACGTGTGAGCAAGTACAAGAGTGTTTACCCCAGCCAAAGACATCGGGAAAACGCTAAGACGCGTATCAGGCGGGATTCCAATGCACATGCACGATGCCGTGTTTCTGCAAATCCATGAGGCCAGGGGGCAGTAACTCAAGTTCGTCCCTGAACGCACGTCACACGAGCGCGAAAAATCTGCTAATAGCACGACGCTGGCATGCTCAGCTCGTACATGGCAGATTGAAAGGGTCTGGCAGACAGGGTTCACAAGATTCTACCGCACCGTGCTGTGATCAAGGCGTCTGGTGACTCGACTTTAAATACGCTCTCGGAATGCTCAATTCCCTTACAGGAACACCTGTTTGCGCATCACCTAAAGGTCTTCGCTGTCAGCCTAAAATTTTTTCCCTATATACTTGATCGCAAGGATGTGCGTTACCGAGATCTGGAGTTATCGCGAATGCGGATGTTTCTACAATCACAAGATCCTGTGCCGGACTTACCGAAGAGAGCAGACACTGTGCTTTGCGCAAAACATACAATATCCTGTGGACAAATGGCTGAACGAGATGGCAGTGGCCCCAGACACCTCTCCCCAGCTGTTTAGACCACGAGCAATCCTCGTTGAGCCGGGAGACTGCCCGAACCACCGCGTGGTCGAGAAATCATTCCTCAATCAGATCTGCGAGGACTGCTTACTAGCAGAACTCGAGGGCCTGCCGTCCAGCCTCGACATCAGTGCCACTGCCCAGGATTTCCCTACCGCCAACTCAGACAACGGAGAAGGACTGATTTGGGACAGCGAGGTGAGGATCGAGATTGAGGATCCCGATTCCGAGTTCTCAGCAAACCCAAGCGTGCCAGAGGCGGCAGTACGAAGCCAAGAAACACCGGATGAGGACTGGAGGATTCTGGAAAGCCACGTCGAGATCATCATCGAGGACGAGCATCACACCATAGTCGCCAAAAGCGCGGCTTCTCCAGAGATGGTAGCACATCAACGAAGCGGTCGATCACAGCCCTCGTTGACGGAGAATTCCCAATCAAACAGCCACCATGGTGACCTTTACCAAACCAATTCTGGAACTTCCGAAAGCAAGAGATACGGGCGTGCCTTTCAAAAAATCAATGTTGCCAGCTTCGAAGATGCGGATACTGATAGTGGAATCGACCTTCAGTGCTTCCATGGCGATCCCCAAGCACTATCTCGGGGAAGGGCTTTGATGTGTTCGAATCCACACAAAGGCGAGGTGCGCGAGGCCGATGCTGATAGCACTCCAGTGCCAGCCAAAGCAAAAATTGGTGCCAAGGGCCTATCCAAGCTCCAAAGCCTCGCGAGTCTCTCGATGTCCTTGCGCGTGGCCCCGAGGTCACTGATGGCCGTCTCAGACCACTGTGGTGACATACGAACGGTTTCAGAATGCTCGTCAAGCTCTATGGGATCTAGCTCAAAGAATCCTTTCCGCTGGAAAGGGTCACCTCGGATAGGAGAAACGAGTGGATCCATGTTTTGTGGGTTCGAGCAACTGTCCAGCAACATCGACGGCAATATTCTCAATCCTGAAGCGCAGGATGCACCGGCCGTTCCGCTGCGGAACTCGAGTTTGAAGAGTTTCGCCCACTATCTTATGGAATGTCCCACTCGGACGAAAGCCATGATGCAGCCACGAGCAGGCAGCTACCTAAGGAGTCTTACCCACAGTCCGACTTTCTCCTGGTTGCGCAAACACGCTGAGTCTAGTGAAGAGACAGATTCAAGTACCCGGGTATCAGGTTCGCGTTCTGAAACCACCTTTGAGTCTGCTTCTTGGGCTAGCAGCCTCAAAACTAATAGTGCGGGAGGTCTGGAGGGTGAGAAAGCATCGATGATACCAAGCATCCCAAAATCGTCTACCATGAATACCATGCGAGCAATCATTGAAGGCTGTATTGATCGAGATGTTGGGCTTGATGACCAAGACGAGGCAGTCCCTCAACAGCCACTGCTACGCAAGTAGGAAGTTGGACATCAAAGCCGGTGGACTGGTGATACTGGGATGTAGGGAATCCATATGTTTGAGGATTCTGCACAACAGCAGTTGCCTCGCTCGGAACCTCCTGAGCGGGAACACGAGGAGTCCTGAGTCGGCCCAACATTGTCTAGCTCGTCAAGGTAAACACCTCAACTCGCCCTCAAGAAGTCATCTCGGGGATCGCGACTAGCCTCTGGTATTAATTAGGGCTTGGAAGAGCATGAGTGACGGAGGAGATGGGAATCACGGTGTGCTTGGGGGAGGAAGAGTGCCTAGAATCAGGGGGCAGAAAAGGCGAGGGTTAAGGTAGCAATGTGTCAGAAATGTCTGATTGATGTGTTCTAGACAGCCTTCGCGTTTCTGAGTCCGGTCCTAATCGCGACGATGATGATAGAAAACCCACTGCGTGCATACATTGAGCGACCACTTTTGGAGTTTAATTTGCACCTTTGCTGGACAAGATGTCGACTGTTGGCGTAGATAGACTGACATGAGTCACAGACGGCACTGGCACGACCAGGCTGTTGTCGTGGGCCATGCGAAGAGACAAAGATGATAAGAGATGAAACAAGCGTGCGCAAGGGGGCAGAATATACGTGGTCAAATGAGATTCCACAGCCATCACTGCGTGATGGACCAGAAACCCAGACAGCGACACAGCGACACAGCCTGAAATGGCACATCACGTGAGACCATCCCACCGCGAATTGGGAAACATTTGGAGTCGGTCGGTGGAGAGCGAGCATCGCAGGCCAAAATTATTGTTTCCTGCATCGTTCACCACCCGACTTACTCTCTATCTCTCCTGGGTCAACAACAATAAGGTGCCGACTGCTGTCTGATTGTCAGGTGCCTTTTTTCCTACCATTACTGTCCCGCAAAGGAGCGACCGTCGACATCTGCGGTCTCTCAATTCCCCCTCGAAGTCGATCCGCAGGAGATCATCCAACGCGCACAGGCGAACATTCCAATCCTCGGTCAACACAAACCATTGTCTCCTGCGGGCAGAACTACTTCTCTTGCATGTCCTAGACCAAAATCTTCGAACATGTCTGTTCTCCCTGCCGAGGTGCAGGGAGCCTTGACCCAGCTCCTGCAAGCCCTCTCGTCCCCCGACAATACTCTCCGCAGTCAAGCGGAAGAGCAACTCAACAATGACTGGACGCCCAACCGCCCCGAGGTGCTGTTGATGGGCTTGGCCGAACAACTGCAAGCCGCGCCAGACTCATCGGTATGTCAAGACTTCAGGAGGGAACTATAGGGTGGAGAGTTGCTAAACTATCTCGCCAGACACGATCGTTCGCTGCCGTGCTCTTTCGCAAACAAGCCTCAAAACAACGCAAAATTCCTCCCAGCAATGATTCCAGGGAACTATTTTGGTCCCTCAGCACCGAAGCCAAGACCGCCATCCGGTCAAAGTTGCTGGAAGGTCTCGCAAGAGAGCAGATCAACCAAGTTAGGAACAAAATCGGAGACGCTATCGCTGAGATCGCCCGACAATATGTGGATGCTGGTAAGGATCAATTGACTGATGCTTTGCAGTTTGTACTCTGGCTGACTTGGGTGGAGGCACAAACGAGACCTGGGTGGAACTGCTGCATGCATTGTTCCAAGCGAGCCAGTCGACTGATGCCGGCATGCGTGAATGTTCGTTCAGGATATTCTCCACAACCCCTGGCATCATCGAGAGAGAACATGAAGGTGCCGTGCAGGAGGTATTCCTCAAGGGTTTCAAGGACAGCAGTGTCGAGGTGAGATTGTGCCATGGTTGAGTGTGGGCAATGCATGTTGACTCGGTCCAGGTCCGACTCTCCGCAATCGAAGCATTTGCCTCGTTCTTCCATTCGGTCACCAAAAAGACACAGCCAAAGTACTACGCTCTGGTCCCCGAAATCCTCAACATTCTGCCACCTCTCAAAGAAGCTGGAGATACCGACAATCTATCCAAGGCATTTGTCTCGCTTATTGAGCTTGCCGAAATATGCCCGAAAATGTTCAAAGGTCTCTTCAACAATCTAGTCAAGTTTAGCATTTCAGTCATCCAAGAGAAAGACCTCGGTGATCAGACACGACAAAACGCTTTGGAGTTGATGGCTACCTTTGCCGAATGGGCGCCGGCCATGTGCAAGAAAGATCCCTCATATGTGAACGATATGGTCACGCAATGTCTCAGCTTGATGACTGACATCGGAATCGAAGATGATGACGCCTCGGAGTGGAACGCGACCGAGGATCTTGATAATGAAGAAAACGACATGAACCATGTTGCGGGTGAGCAGTGCATGGACCGCTTGGCGAACAAGCTGGGAGGCCAAGTCATGCTTCCTGCAACTTTTACGTGGCTTCCTAGAATGATGCACTCGGCCTCGTGGAGAGATCGACACGCCGCTCTGATGGCCATCTCTGCAATCTCCGAGGGTTGTCGAGATCTCATGATCGGCGAACTAGACAAGGTCCTCGAACTGGTCGTGCCGTCCTTGAGAGATCCTCATCCACGAGTCAGATTTGCCGGGTGCAATGCCCTTGGCCAGATGAGCACCGACTTCGCCGGGCCCATGCAAGAGAAGTACCATCAAGTGGTGCTGACAAACATCATCCCCGTCCTCGAAGCACCGGAGCCGCGAGTACAAGCACATGCGGCGGCTGCACTGGTCAACTTCTGTGAAGAGGCAGAAAAGTCCATCTTAGAACCATACTTGGATCAATTACTGGGACATCTCCTGCAGCTCCTGCAATCTCCCAAACGGTACGTTCAGGAACAAGCACTATCAACGATCGCCACCATTGCCGACTCGGCCGAGAGTGCCTTCATTCGCTACTATGACACCTTGATGCCTCTTCTCTTCAACGTCCTGCAAGCCGAGCAATCCAAGGAGTATCGTTTACTTCGCGCCAAGGCCATGGAATGCGCGACGCTCATCGCCCTGGCTGTTGGTAAGGAGAAAATGGGTCAAGACGGCATCACACTCGTTCAAATTCTCGGTAACATCCAACAAAACATCACAGATGATGACGACCCACAATCACAGTATCTACTGCATTGCTGGGGACGCATGTGTAGGGTCCTTGGCTCTGATTTCGTCCCCTACCTTCCTGGAGTCATGCCGCCCTTGTTGGAGCTTGCGGCCGCCAAAGCAGATATTCAGCTAATAGACAGCGAAGATGAAGTGCTGGAAGAGGAGGGCTGGGAGTTGGTGCCCCTGAAGGGAAAAGTGATCGGCATCAAGACATCCACGCTCGAGGATAAGCATACGGCGATTGAACTCATTACCATCTACGCACAAATCTTGGAAGCAGATTTCGAGCCTTACGTGGCTGATATCACTGAACGAATTGCACTGCCTGGGTTGTCGTTCTTCTTTCACGATCCGGTGCGAGTGGCTTCTGCCAAATTAATCCCACAGTTAGTCAACTCGATCAAAAAGCGATACGGCGACCAGTCGCCACAGCTGAACGAGATTTGGACGAAGTGCTCTGAAAAGGAGATCGAAATCCTCAGTGCCGAACCTTCGATCGACACATTAGCAGAAATGTTCCAGTGCTTTTATGAGAGCGTCGAAGTGGTTGGCAAGGGTTGTCTGACACAACAACACATGGAACAATTTGTGCAATCGGTCAAGTCGACGCTGGAAGAATTCCAGAAGCGCGTCCAAGAGCGCGCCGAAGAGAAGGCCGAATCCGCCGCTGCCAACCAAGGCCCGGATGCAGATGAGGAAGATTCATTGTCGGTACAATATGCCATCGAAGACGACCAGACCCTCCTCTCCGACATGAACAAAGCCTTTCATACGATATTCAAGAATATGGGTATTGCATTCCTACCGGCATGGCAGCAGCTCATGCCCTTTTACGACGGGTTTGTCACTAGCCCGGACCCTATGCAGCGGCAGTGGGCGATCTGCATCTTCGACGACGTACTGGAATTCTGTGGGCCACAGTCCTGGCAGTATTCCGATCACATAATCCAGCCCTTGATCAACGGGATGAGGGACGAAAATGCGAACAATCGACAAGCGGCCGCTTATGGAGTGGGTATCGCAGGACAAAAGGGCGGAGAGCAATGGAGTGACTTTGTGGCCGCGAGTATCGACACTCTATTACAAATCACGCGTGTCCCTAACGCAAGGAGTGACGATGATGTCTTTGCCACAGAGAATGCTTGTGCTGCAATTGCAAAGATTTTGCACTACAACGCAGGCAAGGTGGTCAATCCACAATCGGTTGTGGAGCAGTGGCTCGACACGCTGCCCGTGGTCAACGACGAAGAAGCGGCACCCTATGCGTATAGTTTTGTTGCGCAATTGATTGATCAGTGAGTTGAATCATCCTGCCATGACATCAGCTGAAGTGTATCCGGATAACTGACTTCCACTCTGCAGACAAAATCCAGCGGTGTTTGCGAAAGCGGCCCAAGTTTTCCACCACATTGCACTTGCTCTTGAAGCGGAGATGATCCAAGGTGCCACGGCCAAGAAAATCGTCGAGAGTGCAAAGGTGCTCGTTGGCAAGACGGGAATCAATGCTGAGCAAGTCCTACAAGGACTCAGCGAAGACGGGCAAAGAACCGTGAGGAGTTATTTTGCATAATGCCGTCAGTCAGGCCTGCGAGGCCCGGGAGGGGAGAATGGAATTGGAAAGAGGTTGTGCTGATTGTCGTTGTTGTCTGCGTCGGATTTCGACTCGTGCTGCACAGAGGCCAGGAGAGGATATCGGAGGCGACATAGATGAGAAGAGCGGGATGAGCGGGAAGAGGGAGGAAGGGAGGATCGAGAAAAAGATGGACCGAAGAATGAATCACAGGCCTCCCGCTCGCTCGCTCGCTCGCCCTCCTGGCTTATTGATGTTATGTTAGAAGTGGCTGTGATCTCAAAGTCGTGTGGGCATCGCCCAATTCCCCGTCTTGCCCTCTCCTCTCCGCCCCTTTTTTCCACTAGGTTATGCTAGATGTCTCTAATTCCCATTACTATCACGCCAAACCAATCCCAGGGGTTCTTTTTTGTTTTGGATGGGACGGTGACTAGAGCTGAGGAGGAATGCTGCCATATGATTTACCCCCCCGCCCAATCTACATAGATGTCATCAGGTATCTCTTGATAGGGATTCCCGTAATTAAGTCCCTACTGCGCGCTTACTCCGCTAAAAATCAGGTACCTATAGTGAACCGAAAATCGCTTTTTGCTCGGTGTAGGTTCTTCTTTGTCCGGGAAATGCTAAATGTCGATGGGTGATAAACAGACTCCTCTTGGACACCGTGATCGAGTGTGTTAGTCCCGCGCGCAATAGAACGAATGTAGCGATGTACATAATAGAGTTTTTCCTTCTTCTCCCTCCTGATCACTTTGTGGGGGTTATTACTTACAGTATGTGATGTAGTACGAGGTACGGAGAAGGCAGACGCGTTTGGATAAAAACAGATATATACAGCTGGAACTCGAGGAGGTTAGGATAGTATAAAGAGGAAAGGAATGGATAATCTGTAAACCTGTTGAGCCTTGCAGTGTACATACACACGGGGCAGAGAGCCTCAGATGAGCAAAACTATGCATGGACAGGTTAGGTAAATAGGTATATACAAGAAAACTCCATTCACCGCTTTCGATCTCCATCCCATCATCGTCGCGAGACTCGCCTTTCCTGGTCTCGACTTTTGGTCCCCGTGCTTGTATCAACACAGAATCAGATGCCTTCCCCCACTCCTTCCCAGGGTCGTTGGTAAATAAAACCTTTCCTCCCCCTTGTTCCGTTCCTTCCAGAATTTTGGGTATATTTAAAGGAGTCTCGTCCCGTCCAAATCAGGAGCATCGTCATCCGTCGCATCCCAACAGTCATTCTATACCCAATATCACGCTATGCACCATGCTGCCATGCACGGCAACCAACAATTCTCTTTCTACCGCTCCATGACCAGTCCGGACCCGAACCCTGTCGTGCAAATCATAAGCTTTCAGGGCTCATCATGCTTGCGTCCCCGTCTCCAATCACTCCGTTCACTTTTTCAACGCCATTCACTTGCGGCATCTCTCCATTGACGCCCTCCATCATATCCAAAGCCTCCACAGCTGGGGGCAGTCCGTTGTCGTCGTGATTCTTGTCATTGCCCGAGGCCTTTTGGACTTCGGTCGTAGAAGGCTTTGCTTTCAGCACAGGTTTCTGTTTCTTCTCAGGACTGCCATCCCCACCAGGACCTGGCGTTGACGGAGTAGCATTTCCCACGCCATTGACCATCGGACTATCGTCACCCACGCCGTTGGCGACAACCGATTTCCTCTTGCCTTTGTCTCCCGGCGTGGTGCTTCCCACCGCAGCTGCAGCAACTTTCGCAGCGTTCGCAGCGCTTTTGTTAGCTGCAGCCTTTTTCTGGGGACTGGCGTTAGTCTTGAGCGTTCCCTCCCCAATCTTCCCTGAAGCGGGAATTCTCGGCCTTCCGTGGCCGGGCCTTTGCTTCGGCGGCAGTTCCAGATCTTCTGTGAGGGGACGATCGCCGTTATCACGCAAGCGTTTCTTGAACCAATCTCTGATCAGACCAATCTGATCCTCCAGATTATCCGCACTGATCTTGGGCCAGCGCGGTGGTTCGACGAACATCTTCTCCGCCAAATCTGCCGAATTATCTTGTTGATTGCTGAGGCCGAGACGGTTCTGCAGAATATGGAATGGTACCGTCAGACTGGCCATTCCGAACTCCTTGTCAAGACCTAATTCGCGGAAGCCGAAGAAGTCTTCATCGAGGTCGCCAGCAAAGTCTCCACCCACGTACTGCTCTCCACCGTCGGCAAAGGACCCTTGTCCGTGAGCAGTTTCGTCGGTCAAAGCTGGTCGAAGGAGGTCGGCGAGATGTCCTTTCATCCGCTCATGCATCATGGTAAGTTTACTGGCCGCACGATCGACATCTTCTCGGGCGTACACGTCGAGGTCATTGAGTGACATGCCACCGGTGTGGAGAGCGTGGAGAATCGCCTCTTCCGTCGTATACGGCGACTTGTACTCCACTTGCGGTTTCTCGCCCTGAACAACGGCAACTGTGGTCGGCACGGGAATCTTGTAGTCTTCTCTGTAGTTCACCAATGTCGTGCATAGCCGCTGAAAAAAGTCTGCCGCCAGATCTGTCACCGCATCTATCGCCGAAGGTTGGAACTCCTCAAACCCTGCGTGGAAGAAGATTTCCCCTATTGACCTTTGGAAGGCTGCCTTGCAGACCCACGGAGCCATGACAGGCCCATCATCTGACATGACATGGTTGGGGATGTCTGCCTCAACAAAAGGCTCTGGTTGGTACTTCTGGAACTGGTTTTGATAGGTCTGCGACTGGAGTTGCATCTGCTTGACCACGCTGATCTTCGAAACCACCTTCCTCGTGTCTTGCATTTGTCGCATGTTGGCCTCGATCGTTTTTGCCAGCTTGCCTCGTGGCGCGACAAATTGACCCGCAGGGTACAGCCGGAGGAACTCCTCAGCATGTTCGATGACATGTCCTTCAGAGTCTTGTTCCCATTTCAATCGGGGGTCGATGTCGGGTATGGCAGCGAGCGAATCGTAATAGTCAGGTAGCATATTCTCCTCCTCGACTTCCATTCCCTCAGCGAGAGTCTGACCATGGATCTCAACTCTGTTGTCCCGTTCAGATGTCTCTGTCCCGAGCTCTGCAACGTCTTTGCCTGCAGCTTCTTGTTGCATACGTTGCCACCTGCGCATACCGGCTTTACTACGCAGTAACGCCGTCTCCTCGGCATTCAATTTGTCTCCGCGGAAGAGCTTGTGCCGCGCGGCCGCGAGCATTGCACGATCCTTTTTCGTCTTCTGCTTCCACAGTTTATATTCCTCATCTTCATATTCAGGGATCGGCGCTTGTGAAGGCAATTGAGGTAAATCCAAATCCATTGCTTCACTTCCGGCCCCTGCAACACTGCCAGGGCCAGGCGCGCCCACTGGGGTCAGAACTCCTGGTGGGGGCGTCGAGTGACCTTGACTCCCGTCCACCTCAGATTCTGCCCGGATGCCATTTTGGACGGAGCTCAGTGATTGCAACACAGGCTTGGTCTCTGGGATGGGGGTCGTTTCAGGCGGGGCTTTACGGGCTGCTGCGCCCCCTTTCTTTGCACTTTTCTTGGGAGCTTTACGGCCTCGGGACGACATTATCGGCTCATCGTCGCTTTCTTCAGCGCCGTCGTCGAGTTCACCCTGTTGCCGTCTTTCTTCAGCCTCAACTTCGGCACGATCTCTTATAACGATATCTGGAATCAGAGGCACAAGCTTGTCCGTCTCTTTCTGCATGAAGAGAGCGTGCTTTCGGAAGAGATGGTCAGGGTTGCTGTTGAACTTGAGGCAGTTCTTCCAAATCTGATTGAGATCATCGACGAACTCCTTCTTGGACTTGTAAGCAAATTGCTTAAGTTTCTTGGTCATGGTACCGAGATCCATGGGATGCTTGATGACAAGATAGTAGTCGGGAGCATCCTTCTTCTTGACGGGGTTGAGGAAAGGAGTCGAGTGCTCTGTGTGGGCTTTCAACTCAGTCAAGACTTTCTCCGCTGCCTCGTACAGTTCTTCTTGGCCGACCTTGTCCTCGCTGGCCCATTTGCTTCGATTCTTGCGCACCTCGCTCATCAGAGCGCGAAGCTCCGACTCAGTTGCATGGACGAGGTTGCGATGTTCATCCAAGCGCGCAATAAGGTTCTTGAGCGTCAGACTCGATGCGCCAAGATTGGCCTTGCTCAAACTACCTTGCTGCATTGCAGCATTTTGTCGATTAGCATGACCTTCAGCTTCCGCTTCGGCTCGGCGCTCTGCCTCATCGAGGCGTTGCTGATCCAACATGGCGTCTCTGTCATTCTCCAACGTGAAGAACATTGTCCGCGACAAGGTTTTGACAGTCTCAATTTCCTTGCGCTTGGCCTCTTCCAGCTTCTTGCGAGCATCCTCGGCATCCTCCTTCTGTTTGTTTTGTCCCGCCTTGATGACCGCCTTTGCCGAGTCGGAGGGAATGCTTGGGGGCGGGGCGGGCCTTGGGGTCGGCGACGAGGTAGCGTCAGCGACGATATGCACTTTATTTGGGGTTTCCTTGGCGGAAGACGCGTTCGCCGCGTCGGCGTCAGCTTGCTCGTCATCGTCATCGTCGTCATAATCGTCGTAGTCGTCGTCTTCCAACTTGCGCTTTTTGGATATAGGAGCAGGGGGCGGAGCGGACGGCGCAGCGGCGTCGGGCGCGGATTCTTGGGGAGGAGCGGCAGCAAGAGTGCGCCTTTGAGGAATCACGACTTGTCCGACATCGTTGAACAGTGTTGCAAGTTTGCTCTCGGCATCGTGGAAGAGTGCGCGAAACCGGACAACCTGGGGGTCTTCCTCGATACTGGGCTCTGGCTCCGCAGCTTGGCCGGACTGGGAACTACTCCCCAGACTGCGCAATTTGAACGAACTCGGCGTGTGTGGTCTGGAGGGGGCGCGGAGCAGATTATTCAAAGTATCTCTGTGTAGAGAATGTAGGAGAGGCTCATCATCTGGTGGTTTCTGACTGTTTGGGGGCGGCCATGATAGGGACATGGCCGTGCCAACCCCGACTGCGGCGAGGCGAGGGGCGTAACTCCTCCAGTTTGACAAGAAAGCCTCAGCGCCGACGAGGGAATCGTGGGAAGCGGCCAAAATTCGAGGAGACAGTAGATCGGGGTGCGAAGGGGTCCCCGAGCATTGATTGAGAAGGAAATCGGTTGAATGGGCGGTGGTGTTGATAAAAATCTCTGTCGACTGGTGATGCGATTACGCAAAGGCGAGGCTTGAGGTTGAAAGAAGGACGTTACAAACTGCGGTTGGGATTGAGTGAGGCAACACCAGCAGCGGAGGGCTAGTGACCAGGCCTACCTAGTAGGTGCCGAGTGCCTTAGTGATTCCCGCCTGCCGAGCCTAAGCTACTCGAACCCTAGGACCCGTGGACCCTAGGTCACCCGTAGCCTGGCTCGCCTCCAGGTGCCCAGTGGTCAACCACTGCAGCTTCTCCAACTCCCCGGGTGACCTGCTCCTATATTTCCGCTCGCCTCCAGTCGCTAGGCCTCACTCAATTCCCTCCAGACCATCACTCACGGCACTCTACAGCTTGTTTCTGTATTTGTGCTGTCTGTCGCCGTTTGTCATGTCCGAGTTTGCCTAAGCTGGCACTCCGCCAGCCGAGTCCGACAGCCCGCAGCCCCCCGACATCGCACCCTTCGAGGACAACGTACAGGACAACTCTCAATTCCCGTCTGCGAGCCACTTCGACATTAACACTATACCAGCACAATGCGAATCCGGTTTCCCTTTGCAAGTAAGCAAGCAGGACTTCTTCTCGCCTTATTTCTATACTAACACAGCCCGCCGCAGTAACCTTCGTCATCCTCTTGGTCTTCTCTTCCAGCCTAGGCCTCCTTCCACACTCTTCCCTCCCGTCGACACCAGCAGCAGCACAACCCTACATTCCGTCGCAGTCCGACAAAGCACTACACTTCATATGCTTCTTCCTCCTCACCGCGACGTTCTACTTTATCCTTGACACCACTCGGCGACGGGTGATTCATCTGACCTTGGTCGTATGCACATTGCTTTTGGGTGTAGGGAGCGAAGTCGCACAGGGACTCTTACCTAATGACCGCGAGTTTGACGCTTGGGATGTCCTGGCAAATGTCGTGGGGAGTCTTGCAGCATTGGGCTTGGCGAGCGCATATCATCGTCGGGCTGCCGAACGGAGGAGAAAAGCGAAGTACTCTGCACTGACTGGTGACGGCTTGGAAGGTGAAGATCTCGAGCTCGGCGAGGGCGCAAATGGTACTCTACGCACTTCCGATGTAGATGGCGACGGAGGTCAAGAGACGGGGGTCGCGCCGGCACGGACGGTGGAGGAAGAACTGGACAACTGGGATGAGAACGCTCCGGATGATGCCTGGGATGAAGACGACGATACAACCGCAACTAGTGGACCACACACTAAAGTGACACCGTCGACGAGCTCGGTTGGAAGCGAGGAAGCGCCCAAGAAGGTTGCAGTTGACTGACCATTCGGGACTCCAGGAATGTCTAGTATACGGTAGCGGCGGAATAAGACGAAATGTGCCACATGAACCTGCAGCGCATTGAATCGAATCGGACCAAGATATCTACGGAATGTACGACTATTCGCTTCCCATACTCTGTCAAGGGATTGCAATGATTTAGGCCAGGTCAGATATAGTAATGAAGTGAATCGATCGGAAAGCGGCGAACCATTTCGTAAGTCTGTTTCTTGAGAGTGACTGAATGGTATTCTTGCGTGATATGGGTATTTTGTCCTTGCAACAGCACTCTTTGCTATGTTCATTTCTCGTCATAATCATAATGTACCATTTCTATGGAGACGTAGGCTCGTTCTTGCTCTCGTTCCGGGGGGTGTGCTCAAGCTCGCAGTCGGCAGCCATGATACTCTTCCACCCGAGTTCCACATCCAGGCCTCCAAGTACCTCCCTTTCCCTTCCCGTTCGAGCTGTATTTCACATATGTTGTGGCCTAGCGAAAACAGCTGAACCTCCCCAAGCTGATACGGAAGGGATTTCTCCTGACACCGTGACGGTCAACAGTAACTCCACCACCGGCATGGCGGCCGCCCCAGTTTCTGGCTTGTGGTTAGATACAATGTGTGTCGTAGTAGGGAGGCCGCTGGTTTGAGTGACACCCATTCACTCTAGAAACTCGTGGGCAAGAGATTCGTCTTACTTGGTGTAAAGGAAAGGCATAGTCCTTGATCTTTTTCTGGTAGGTTTTGACGGTGGAGATATATTGGGTCAATGAAGTGACTAGGTGTGCTGGTTCGTGAATTACTCCCCAAGAACGGAAGTAGTTCTACTAGTACAATGTTGAAACACAGGAGGACCAAGCGAAGAATAGAAACGGATTTTGAGACTGGATTTACATGTAAAGGCAGGAAGGATGCGTCAAGTGGCTGTGAACTGAGGCAATCGCAGTCATTATATGCCAACAGGTACACCTACACCTCCTTGCTAAGGTTGACGTTGTCTTGGTATGACGCTCTTCAGAAATCGAACGACTTGGCAAAGGGGTCGTTCTGCCAAGGGCACCAACAAGTGCCTACTTGGAGGAAAACCAGGCTTTTGGCGTTCAATGTCGATTTGAGATGAAGTTGAACAGCCACAAGATGCTAAGCTTGAAGATCAAATGACGTATAGCAACATTCAGCCTTGCGGCTCACGTGTGTTTCACGTGACTCGTAAAGAATGCCGCTTTAACACCATCCTTGACAACCTCATCTCGACTTGCTCTGCTCTGTCTTCTCCTTCAAACACACGAACTCCCCGTGGTGGGATGTTCAAAATATCCGTATCCTCAAGCGCCAGGCTAACATGATGAGATCAAGAGATTGTGAGCCTTGAATAGCCAACTATCAGCCTTGAGACCCAGCAATCCCAAACGCGCTTCTCCTGGAACACGCTGAGGCTCTGCAACAAGATATCACACCACCCCAGCCTCCTGTCTCCCGATTTTGGTCAAATGGCTTGTTTTGCCCGCCTCCGCATGCCCTGCTCCATCGCTTGCTTTATAGATGCTCTCACCACCATTCTAGCTCCTCGGTCCACTTCCCCCTTCCTTTCAAATCTCCGTTTCAGATGCATCACTAAACGTGTATCAGATCGACGTCGCTTGGCTAGAGACAAGAGCATATATGTCGCTATCCCCCTTATCACACCACTGTTGCTCTTCATCTTGAGTAACGGCAACCGAAAAATGTTCTTATAGACCTGCTGCACTATCTGCCAATATGGAACGTGAACAAGCCGCGGGCTCGGTCTGTATCTCCTCTTTTCGCATTGTCAACTTTTCCTTTTACTTCGCAGAATTGAAGTCGAAAACCCCGCTGGTTCGGTTCTTGCCCTTCCTTATCGCTTTTTTAACTCTCCAGGTACTCACGCTGAATCCAGCAAATCGCCAAAACATACACTGGCTCGGTTCATAGCCGTCCTCGTCGCCCAGTCAACTTCTAAGGGCACTACGTCCAAATTTCAAAGAATCTCACGGAGAAGCCCACACACATTTAGCGACTCTCAAGCTCAGCTTTGCCAACGTCCTCAAACATGTCGGAACGAACGCGATCAACGCCATTGATGAGGATGCTACTCTCAGGAGAGGTCAGCGGAGAGGAGCCTAGAGATTTGTCTCCTAAAGAGAGGTTCAATAGATGGATGGTCAACGAAGGATCCCGACGACTATTCGTCGGCGTTTTTATCCTCGTGCACTGCATGTTGTACGGCTTTGGCTTTATGAACTATCAGCTGAAGGACAACCTGACCAAAGCCCGTGCCACCTATGGCTACGGCTATCCCATTGCTCGATCTGCAGCCCTCGTCCTACACTTTGATGTCGCCTGCATTCTTCTCCCGGTTTGCCGAACCCTCATATCGCTCGTTCGCCAAACACCCCTGAACGGAATCATTCCTTTCGACAAAAACATTACGTTTCACAAACTCGTGGGCTATTCCATTGTGTTCTTCACGTGGGTTCACACTATTGCTCATCTACACAACGTCGCACAACTCTCCGCGAAGAACAACGGAGGCTTTATCGGCTTCGTCAAGCTGAACTTCCTTACAGGCCCCGGCTGGACCGGCTATATTCTGACCATCTCGGTCATGGCTATGTTTTTCACCGCGCTCGAAAAGCCTCGGCGGGCCAACTACGAGCGCTTCTGGAATACGCATCATCTATTTGTCATCTTCTTTATCTTCTGGTCTATCCACGGAGCTTTCTGTATGATCCCTGCGGATAATAAGCCGTTCTGTTTCGGCAACGGCTCCTTCTACTTGTACTGGATGGTGGGTGGCTTCACTTATCTCGTGGAGCGCATCCTACGTGAGATCCGTGGTTATCAGAAGACGTATATAACCAAGGTGATTGAGCATCCTGCCAACGTGGTTGAGATTCGGATCAAGAAGGAACACACTAAAACACGAGCCGGGCAGTATATCTTCCTTTGCTGTCCGGAGATTTCACTCTGGCAATATCACCCATTTACCCTGACGTCCGCGCCTGGGGAGGACTATCTCTCAGTTCATATCCGTATGGTTGGCAACTTCACCAAAGCCCTCGGAAGAGTCCTCGGATGCGAAGGCCTCAAGACCACCAACGACGATAAGAAAGCCCAACAGTACCCTGAAACTGTGTCCGCAGTGGACGGAAAGAGTGGTATGAAGCCGCTCACCAAACTTCTCCCGCGGCTGTACATCGATGGACCCTTCGGTTCGGCCTCGGAAGACGTCTTCAAGTTTGAGACCGTGCTGCTGATCGGCGCGGGCATCGGCGTGACACCCTTCGCCTCGATCCTCAAATCGATTTGGTACCGCATGAGGGACAACGCCGGATCTTCTACCCCAAGGACGCGGTTGCGCAAGGTCTATTTCTTCTGGATATGCCGAGATTTTGGATCGCTCGAGTGGTTCAAATCTCTGTTGACTGCCATCGAGAGCGAGGATAAGAGCCACGCGATCGAAATTCATGCGGTATGTGTTATCCCTCTCTCACCTTTTCATACCTAATTCCTGCTCGTTTCTCTCCCATCCCGAGACTTCAATTAATGCGATGTGAAACAGTACTTAACCGCCAAAATCACACCCTCCCAAGCATCCAACATCGTCCTGAACTCCGGGGATACGGACGCCATTACGGGCCTCCGCACACCTACCAATTACGGCCGTCCGAATTGGGACATGGTCTTTCGCGCCATCCGCAAAATCCACTGGTCAGCCGGCGAGAGTGAGTGTGGTGTGTTTTTTTGTGGGCCCAAACCGTTAGGAGCAGACTTGCACGTCAAGTGTAACATGTATACTGAGGCTGGGGATCAGGGGTATAGTTTTGTTTGGGGGAAGGAGAATTTTTGAGGGTGGCCAATTTGAGGAATGGAGGATGTGATGTATGTCATGTACTGGATGGCTGCGGTGGCCTCGTGGCGTGGCTTGCTGGTAGACCTTGACGTCTTCCTCGACGACAGTCTGATGGGGCCCGGATATAGCGAACCCATCTATCTACCCACCAAATAAGAGCCTTTTTCGCCGTTTCGGGAGGATACGAGCCAGCCACATATGTCCGTATGCAGGCTGAATTCAAGAGAATGCGTGATCCGCCCTCTGCCGTGGAGAACTCAAATGGCGCCAACCTCCCTCCTCCAACAACGTCTCTGTCACTCGATAATACTACAGTTGTCCTCCAAAAGCACCGGAACTTGCAGGTACCCACGCACGGCAGGGTGCCCCGCTGATGTTATCGGCACGGTGTGCAGTGGTAGACGACGCGCTAAGATAGGGGACTGCGGCCTCTCGTCCGGCGATATCATGCCCCGATCGCGACGAGCAGACAGCGAGCCCAGGCTGTGTTTTCCGCCGCGGCCTGGAGATCGACGAGTTCGGTGGTGGTTAGTCGCCTCTAGAAAGAACGGCGCAGTTGAATGGGGATACAAGGACTCGGTACATAGTAGGCTCGTAATTCATTCATGACTGGATGTGTACGTAGGGAATCTACCTAGGTAGTTTTCGCGAAACACCTGCCGCCCATCCTCCGTTTCTGATTAGCCGCTCGCCGCTTTGCTCACCCTGGGCTCACCGACTGGTTCCTGAGCCATCCCTGAGCGCTCCCTGAGGCCTGCATGAGTCAACAGTTGGCTCGAGAAATCCGGGCCTATGTAGACGACGAGAATGCTGGGGCCTCACGAAGGAGCCACTTATTACAACTGCCGGCAATAGCAGCCGAGAATAAGGCTGTTGTTCACCCAGGCGCTGGCACCCAAGCGGAAAGGTATTGCCGCAAAACTTGTGCCCCGGCTGTGTTCATGACAAAGGAAAGTACCTGTTATTTTTTACATACGGCAGTGCCTAACCCCGCCTCCTTGGGCACCAATGCAGCTCGTCTCCTCTGAACCACTGAATTGATCACTGGTGACATGGGGCCGGGGCGCCACTCACATGCAAGAACCCGCATTGAGCGGACTGTTGGTTCATCCGCAGTAGAACTGCAGAGAGGTGTTTCCCTATGGCGCCCAAAGCATACATATATACTCTTTGCTCCGCTGGCACAAGGGCCAGCACTCTCTACACCTGTCAAGCTTATCCCATACCCATCTCTCGTCGACAGTGGGTGACGTATCTGCCACAACGACCCCGGCTGCCAAATTTCCTATTTACTTTCAGCAATAGCCATGGCGGCGGACGAATACTGCACATGTAGGACCCCCGATCGAAGGATAAATCAAGGCTCTGTCATGTGCATAAGCTGTGCTAAGCTCGCCCCTCTGCCGGACGACGGCATCCCCGACCCGCGGTCGACAATGCAATGGGTACCTGAAACGACACTCAGATCGGTTCTGGAATTATCGTGGCCAAAACAAGACATTTTCGAGCTTGATGTCAATATTGAAGGTTATAATAATATCGCCGAGAGCGTTGTGAACCTGCTCCGCAATATGGGGACGAACACCGGCCCGACTCAGACACCCGGCGGACCCGACGACAATATAACCACCCCTGCGAACATCGACATACCACGTGTGCCTGTGAAGGTGGGTCAGAACTATGAGTACGATCCCTTGGAATTGAGCGAATCTCTAGACCCACGAGAGCACAAGTTCAGATTGCTTCGCATATCCAATAACGCGGAAGGGCCTGTCCACGGGACCCTGGAGTCGTACACCATTGGGCAGGTGCCGGAATATGAAGCTCTGTCCTACACGTGGTCAGCCGGACCTGAGGAGCTCGCAGATGGTAACAGGCATGGTGGGAGACCTCTGTTCCTAGGGGAGAACTTCCGACGGCTTGCCGTGACTAAGAATTGCGAAGCAGCGTTGAAGATACTCCGCCAGAAGAAGAAGGAACTTGTCTGGATAGATGCCATCTGTATCAATCAGGGTGACGGCTCTGAGAAGACATACCAAATTGGTCTTATGCACCATATCTACGCCTCCGCAAAGAAGGTATTGGTCTACCTTGGGCCCTCCTTGAAGGTTAACTTGGAGGATCTGGCGCTTAATCTGCTTAAGAAGGATCCCAAGGAGTTCGATGGCAGGCTAAATGATGAACACTGCGTACAGGCGCTACGACACCTCTTCTCCAAGCCCTACTTCTCGCGCATCTGGGTCGTCCAAGAAGTCGTCCTCGCAAGGACCGCGGTGGTCTTTTGTGGAAATAAGGAGATAGAATGGCATCACATCCAGAGCAAGTGCGACAAGAACACGGGCGACCTGGGGAGTATGGACAAGATCAACATGCCTACCTGGATTCAGAATATCGGCAGGGTGAAAAATATCATAAAGCCGTACGATCTGGGAGACTGGATATTTAGTGGTATGCGTAGCCATGCGTCTGACGCGAGAGACAAGGTCTTTGCATTCTTCGGGATGGCCGAGAACCCCGTAGGATTGGGGCTGTCTGCAAACTATAATCTCTCCGTGGAGCAGGTGTATACTGGCATAGCGGCATATCTGATCGGCGAGGGCCGTGTCTGGGATATTCTGAACCGGGCAGTGTGTGATCGGAAGGATGAAGTCGACGACATACACCTAGACCTTCCATCCTGGGTTCCGGATTTCCGCCATGCGGCGCCAGTGCCCCTTCAGCACTGGCTCGCGGAGATCAATCCTGAGTTTCAACCACGGCTTCAACCACGGCTTGACACGCCCGCTACGCCTGCTACGCCCGCTACGCCTGCTACGCCCGCACGGGTCCTACAGAAGACAGGCTCGTTGGTGATCTCCGGTCACAGGCTACTGAACTTGCCTGGAGCAAAACAACCGTCAGAGGGCCGTCATCTCCTGGAAATTTACCAGGTGAAATACCAGGTGAAAATCCGCTTTTTCTTAGAAGCACCATTTCAGGAAAAGGATCACATATTTTTTCCGCGACTGCAGGATAGCGGGAAAACTCTGTCATTAGGCCACTTGGCGGGAGGCATTGTGTTCCCTCGACCGCCGGACGACTCAACAGTCTTACTTCATGTCCGGGAAACCGATTCTCCCTACGCTTTCACGCTCATTGGAAGGTGTATCTTCCAGATGGACGGCGCCAACCTCCCAGCCCTCTCGTTCCCTGGCAACTCGATTGCGGATGATATGCTCCCTCTCACAGAGCACGACTTCGATATCCTCTGGACGGTGTATCAGTATTTGGTGTCCATTCGGAGCAATATCGCCGTTCTCCGTTCATCCATATTGAGCAAACAACAGAACCCCTGTGATAGCAAGACTGCGTGGAGGGACTATGAGACACTACGCGCCTCTCCCCCTAGGGAATTGCAAATGACAGAACCTAGATATATCACGGCATTCCGAGGGTTCTGGGAAGATGATCAAAGCTACAGGGTAGAAATATGGTCAAATTGGGTAATGGTCAGGCGCCTCGCAGCGTGGGTAGATATATACAAAACCATCGAGGACAAATATCAACGCGAAGTCTATCTCGATCTCTTTGGGAGGTGGAAGAATTCAGCGGCCGGAGCCAGGAGCGCGACACAGCGGCTCCTTGACGAGACGCAAGATCCTCTGGACGAGAAGCGCAAGGATGCCATTCGACAAATTAAGAGCTGGAAAGATTCCACGGTGGAACTGCTGAAGTATATTTGCTATGAGGAATATTTCGTCTACCCCGGCAGGCTCCCCGGCAGGCTCCCCGGCAGGCTCCTCGACGTGAACTTCGAGTCACACCTCTACCCTACACCCGAATACGACAGACGCTATGAACCGATCACAGAGGACTATCCGCCGGAAGACGGTTTCATCATGTACTTGCATGAAATAAACCGCAGGCACGGTTTTCCCGCACGAGTTGGCTACCTTGGTGACATGGAAGATGTAGAACAAATGTTCCGCGGGATGTGGCGCACCCTGGAGTGCGGTGGTGAGAATCTCAAGAAATTCTGTCGCCAGCCGGGAAGGGAGAGCCAGGATTGTGTGCAGGCCCTTCTGGGTGACTGGACACACGTGCAGGACTGGTTGCAGCAGTTCGAAGCACTGGGCAGGATGACGGATCAGGAACGGTCTGCATTGAAGGAGGTCCACGACCTTGAGATGGGCCTATGTAAACTTGGTGAGCTGAGAAGGAGCCTTGGTTTAGGAATGGGGAAGGAGGAGACACTCGTTATTATTTGATTGTTATCATTCCGGCGTGACGCAAATCCTTGACAAGCTGGCAAAGGAGATTCCGCTCCTTGATGAAGATCTATTTCGGCACCCTCTGCGTCCCAAAACGAGCCCCAAAAGATCCGCTCTGCCAGATCAGTACAGTCCATACGTCTTCACAAGGAAAAAACTTAGGCAGCATCATAATAACGGCAGGGAATCTACCAGGTTCCTGATGGCCGGACCCCTAACCGAGAGGCAAGTATAACCGATAGTAAGGGGCCAGATTAAGCCCCCTGCTCAGGGAGCGCTCAGTGATACTCAGCCAAAGGCCCAGTTAAAAGCTCAGGTTAAAGTGGCCTTCGCTCACCCTCTAGGGTTAAATTGTATATGGCAGTTAGGTTTTTCGTTCTCGAGTAACAGAGGTAGTAACGAAGGAAAAGGTTGTGTCCTCTGCCTAGCCGCTCGCCGGCTTTGCTCACCCATCGGCTCGCCTTCTGCGTCCTGAGCTACCCCTTGTGCGGTCTGCGGAGGACACCCTGAGTAAGTGGAGATATTGGAAACCCTTGCGCTTGCTAATATAGTGAGTGATATTTCGTGGCGTGATATAAGAAACAACTGTCCATCAAACTGGCGCCAATTCCTCCCGCTGGCAACAACACCAGCCATGCTTTTTCGAACTTGCAACGATATCCTGAATCGATATCGGTCTCGGCGATTCAGATTGTGGGCTTTACACAGACACATGTTTTCGGAGTGGGCCCTCTTAGTGACAGGCCATCGAGAAGAGGCTAGTGAGCACTGCCACTCTTGGTGAGGCAAGACGGACAATCTCGCTGCTTTGGGCCCAAAGGAAAATCAACAGTCAAGGTTTCATTTCCATTGGCTCCTTTAGACAGGTCGTTCACTACTATTGACAACGCCCGTTCGGTTGAAAATCGATGACACTGCCGCAAATGACTTTGAATCTTTTCCCATGTAAAATATGACTGTCGACCCGATTGGCAAGAACCAATGGCACACTCATAGTGGCCATGCGACTCTTGCTCATGCGACTCCCTCTGAACGGCAAAGACTGTGGCCGAGCAATGGTTGCGAGTACATTTGAAAAGCTGGTGCTTGTCTCTCGCATGCTCCATCATCTTGTCTTTGCGGGGGAACATCGCCGTGCAGTCGCTCTCAAGACATGGAACGACACCCTCAAGGTTGTGTTTTGTCGCCACGTGTCTCCGGAGGTCGCAGGGTTTTCCAAAGGGCGCCTTGTGAGAGCAGCCTGGATGTGTGCAGATCAAAGGCTTCTCATGGATGTGTCTGATGTGAGCCATCAGCGACGAGGCAGGACGGAAAGTTGCCTTTGAGGCACAGCCTGGCCAGGGACATTGCCGGGGCCAAGGTAAGTCGTAATGTACATGGGTGTCTCTCACGTGCCTCCTCCTCTCATAGTAAACAAAGAAGGAAGATGACTCCCAGTCACAGCCTGGCCAAGGACATTTCTCGCGCGACGGTAAGTGCTCGTCGATGTGTTGGTCAACATCTGGCGTGCTTTTTGAGATAGAAGTAGTGGTCGGCTCTACCCATTCGGCCTCCATTTTGGTGTTTGAGGTCGTCTCCTTCGCGCCCCGTTAGCGTCGGTTTAAAAAAAAACTCACGTCAATTGGTGGAATTTGTGGAGTGTGCCACGGCGTGCTAGAAGCAAGGCCGCCGTCAAGTTCAGAAGTCGGAATTGCCTCAATTTCGCTCAGATGGCAGTTACCAGCGGTGTTGTTGAACGTCTGCATGTCTTGTAGGCTGTCAAGGTTCCCGACATCAAAGTCTGACTTCCCAGCTGTTTCGAAGGCCGCCGCATAGTCCAGTGGAGCAAAGGCACTTTGAGCGGAGGACTGCGGGATCGCAAATGGGTCAAGACTGAAGTTGCCGGCGATAGGCCATGTCATGTCGAATAGGTGGTTCTGTTCCGGAGCGACTGGATCATAGAAGCACTGTCCGCCTCGCTGTAAACCAGCCTGGCCATTCTCCAGGAAATTGTAGTAATCGCTAGAGACTGAAGCCATGGTAGTATCGCCCACTAGGCTAGAGCTGGGGAGGCTGAACAGGTCGTGGTTGAACGGCTGTCCTCCTTGTTGCGAATTGGCCTGACCATTCTCCTGGGAGCCGTAGGACGAGTCGACGGTATCTGAAGCCATGGTAGAGTCCCCAGGCAGGCCGGGGCTGGGGAGGCGGAACATGTCGAGAGTGGGCAGCTCATCTTGAAGTAGCAATTGTGTGAACGAGACGTCGTACCTTTGTTCAGAAGACATGATAGTTCAAAGCCGCTGAAAACTCGAATGCTTCGTTTGAATGGAAAGAGTAGACGTTACTGATTGTTCAAGAGGAGGAGGAAGCTGAGCAGGTCGCAAAGAGAGCATGGTGAAGGATAGTGATGCAAAAGGACTGAAGCGCTGATGATGGCGGTGGAGATCAAGGTGTGCGCCCTGCGCCCCGTGCCTAGCGCCTTGTCCCGCCTGGCACCGCGCCCACGCAATACCTACTGTGCGCCCTCGCAGCGTGCCAGTGTCCAAGGCGCCATGCTTGCAGATGCCATGGCTTTGACTGATCTCCACAACGCAACTGCTCCGTCAATCAAAGAAACCCCGAGGCTACCCGAGCCTCAAACAAACCATCTTTCTGAAGGGGCGCCTCCCCAGGGCGGTTGACGACAGCATCCAAGAGATCTATGCCTCCAAGAAACAGACTCTACAGATACGCTCCATTTGGGCCCTGGCAGTTGTTCAATCGAAAGCAGAGATACTTGTAGTATAGATCAAAGACAGACTTGAAATACTGTTACGAACCCTGGAGGCGCTCGACAGGGGCTGGGGGAAAGCATTTGAGATTCAGCCTCAGAGTCAGATTCATTTCCTTTGCTTCGTGATCTCGCTTTCTTGCCCTCTCCCCTGGCTAGCCTGTATGTAGCAGCCTCACACGTAACAACGGCCACATCCTCAACGACTATACCCCTCCTCACCTCGTACGCTCCTCGTGTAGCACGTACGGGGGCGATCGAAACCAATCAGATAGCTCATCAAGCATTATTTCATTCATACACATATACCCAATGCTGGGAGAGCGACAAAGGTACCAACTATATCTTTCTTGCACGCGGAGCTGGCACTCCCTCATCGGTCTGCTCGGCTCAAACTCCTCAGCACACCCCCGAGATCTCTCGGAGGGCTCCCTAATTCCATTCCTAGGGCCTTTCGTTTTCCTTCTTTCTCCCGCTGTGTCAGCTTCTCGGCGCATATGGCTAATGCTCTCCCCGCTACACCGTCTGCTGCGGTGCGGTACTGCGCTATTCTGTGGATGCCGTCCGCAAACGTGTCGACGGTCGGCCCTATCGACTCCAGAACGCCACCTAGGCGCTGTGATATGTGATCCGTGGTCGTCGGGGCGTTGGGAGTTAGTATGTCGAGTGCAGCTGCGTCTGCTTCAGAGAGGAGTGATCTGTCTAATTGCGTTGCCTTTGACGGACTCGTTGGCACGTCAAGTTCACCCAAGCTGGCCACGCTAGGGGGCCGTAGCAACTTCTCGAGTGCCTCCTTTTCGAGTCGCAAACTGCCATCATTGTCAGCCATCGGGTCTGCAATATCTGCTAGCTCACAAGTCTCACCATTTGATTTGCTCCTCTAACTCGGCAATCTTTTCAATATTCTGCGTGTTCTTCGGGTTCGGCCGTTCTGGAAGTGGTTCCTTTGGCACAGGTACTTCTTCGCGACCAAACCAGTCTGATAGATCAGATCTATTGGCCAACTCTTTCAACAATTCTTCTTCGATTACTCGCGCTGTCGAAAAATTAGCACAGCACTGAGTCGTGAAGATTTCACGGTCACAAACCTGCTTGTCTTGCGCTGGCCTCTCCAAATCCTGTGCCCAGTGGTTTCTCATCGAGAGCGCGCTCGGCACACCAGATGAGAAGCTGCTTCATCCGTCTGGGCTCGGGGAGACCCTCGCTTTCAATGTGCTTATAATAGTCTGATACATCCAGTTCTGGATGAGGCAATGCTTGAAAGAGAATTAGCAAAGCATGACTCATTTTGTGCGGACAGTCTCACCACTGGAGTTCCCTGATTCAATGAGTGAGCTGGCCCTTCGCCCGCGCATGCCCAAGCTGCTCCTCCTTTCGCCCTTGCCGGCCTTGCCCTCACGCATGGCTTTGTTCCGTTTGATAACCGGCGTGTCCGCAAACGGCAGCGCGATCTTGGTTGGGGCATGGTCTTGTTGGACTATAGAAGTGGTCTCCTCTTTTGCATTATCTTCCGGTTCCTTGGGCGGTGGTTCGTCCACTTTCTTCTCCGGCGATTGCTTGCGGGGTGATTCAGCGTGATGTTTGCTCTTCGTCGGCTCCTCCCTACGCACACTTTTCTTGACAGGACTTCCAACTTGTTGCTCGTTGTCTTTGGATAAACGTTTTGAGCGACGTCGGGGAGGATCCTCCTTTGGGCTGGGTGTAGGAAATGAAGTTCGATTCCTCCGCTGTGTGGGTTTCCGTCCTATCTCTTCATTCTTCGAAATGTCGGGCCTATCACTTGCCGGCTGGGGCTCGGGCGCGTTATTTCGACTTGATAGAGCATCTCTCTCTTTACCTGTCGGTTTCGCTTGAGATGGCTTCTTTTTGACGCGTTTAAATTGAAACCCATCGTCCTCCTCATCGTAGTCTAAGAGCCAGTGTAAGTGCCTATACTCGCATTTTGCCTTGGTCCTCCAGATAAAGACATACCCATCTTCCTTTTCTTCTCATTGGAAGGTCTGGCTGCTTGCGCTGCCACAGGATCTGAAGTGCCGGCAATTGTCCTCACATTTCGGTCGCTTTGTTCCCGATTTGAATATAGTGTCGCGTCATCTTTCTCTTGAATTCGCGCGCTTAGTCTTCGAGTCGGCCTTTGTACCGATGACATTGGCAAAGTGTGCAGCGGATGACGCGCAATTATCATGGTCATTTGCGCGTTGGTGGTGGACGAGGATAGTCGGATCCCGCGTTTGTTGGTGAAATCGGTCGCATGCGCAGGTGCGGAGTTGAGCCGGTGGTTAAGAGTTGTGGAATCTCATTATAACGATATCCCTAGTAAAGAGTGGTCGAACTGCGGCGCATGCGAGGAGCGAATGGGCGTTGGAAAGGGCGTTGAAATGGGATTCAAGGTGGTGTCCAGCACTGAAGCGGCTTGCATCGCGGGCTTGTTCAATTGTTTACAGTCTGCGCCCAAGCCCGCCAATCACAATTCACATGCCGCTTTTACAACCCAAGTCTCCTGCGCTTCATTGCCAACGCTCGCTCCATCAACAACGATGCTCATTCCGCACTCTTCTTCATGATCATCAACCTCGATTCAGGTGAGCAGCGTGTCTTGTTTCCTTGTCTTCTATCTACCACGTCTACCATTCTCTACGTCGTTGCAGTGACACTCTCGACCACCATGCACGGTCACTTCCCCTCCGAAGAAAATAGCCTCCATCTCTCATTCAGCAATGTCTGTACCGCCAGAAACTTTGCTAGATATAACTTGGCTTTTTCGCTTGGATTGATGGTCTCGGAAAGACATATTGCACCGAGATCCTGACCAGCGGAGACCAATGTTGAAGACACAAGCTGCACCTCCCGACTCCAGTCGTCCCGCGATAGTTGACCCTGCAAGTGGAGCTTGAGGAACTGTGCATGCAGACAGGCTTGGGTAACGGCTGCGGCTGTGTGAGGCCTCTGGCCAGCAGCAGCGTCCCCGAGAAGTATAACTCTACCTCCCCAAAAGAGATTTTCCGGCGCCAGAGAATCCGTGATCACTTGAACGAATGGATCCCTGGTCTTGACCACCGCTTCTGCGAATTGTGGCGGGAGCTCATCCTGCGCCTTTGCCCTCATCTCATCAGCTAAATGCCTGCACATGCCCTTTGGTGGCAGTGTGAATAAGTGTCTGACGCCATTCACATCTGTCATCAACTCTGCTAATTCTTCCTCCGTCTTCCTGATGTACCAACCCCAGTTGAAGTGATTGTGAGAGTCCGGATTGCCGACTTTGTTTGCTGGAACAATATAGGAGAACATTTGTGCGTTTCGATTGAAGCACATCGTGCCAGATAAGTCCATCACTTGCATCGTGGCAACCGAAAGATCCTCAACCGGCACGAGGCCACGGAAAAGCACGTACCCGGCATAGGTTCGCTTCGCATCTGGGAACATGATATCGCGCACTTTGGACGAGGCGCCATCTGCGCCGATGACGAGATCCGCTAGCAATGTCTCCTCCTTTCCAACACCGTTGACAAATTGGACTTCCACTCTGTCGTCGCGTTCAATTACGTTCCATGCGTTGCAGGAATATCGATACTTGGTCGCTGCTACGTCGTCGCAACTCTTCTCCGTGAATGCGAGCATCAACACACGGAACAGTTGACTCCACGTGGTCGCACAATTGCTGACGACGTCTTTGTTGATGACTACTTTGCCTCCCTGGTCGAGAATCTTGAAGGAGTTGAGCGGAATTCCATAAGAACTCATGGATGCATTTGCATATCTCTGGAGGAACTCGGCGACTTCGTCTCCAACGCGAATGCCAGCTCCTTGGTCTTGCAACTGACTTGAGGGTTGACGTTCTAAGACGGTGATGGAACCGACTTCCGGCAGTGTCTTCAGGGCGACGCCAACGCAAAGGCCTGCAAGGGATCCTCCTACCTACGATTACGAAACTAATTAGACACCATCGCTGACTTCAAGGCATAGGAAAGCGGAGGATCCGGCTGTGAGTTTGAAGTACGGAGAATTTGACTTACGATCACCACGTCAAGGCGACGTGGCACTCCGGTGCCCATTTCAAACTGCACGAAGGTATGCTTGATATAGGTTATATCACAAGCGGATATGGATTCCTAAAGCGAGACAAGAGGAGACCATCTCGCCTCTGAAACATTGAGAGCATAAAGATTCGATGAGCCTCCTTGATTGATCGTTGGATGACTTTGCTTTAAGGCAGCAATCGAGATCAGGACATTCGCCGAAATGCCCTGTCTCACCTGTCGTTCTCGATTACAACACAGAGGTCAGGCCTCCGAATTTGAGCGAAATGTGACAAACGACGGCAGGGAACCACGCGATCGCCCCGTGCTAGGGGAGGTACCTCTAGGCGTACACATGAACAGTCAAGATGGAACGCATGGGTCGAAGGTACAGGTGCTACGGCTTCACGCTCACGTCATCCGCCGTCAACTCGTTTTCTTGCAGCCTCGTCTATGGCCTTTTACTTCATTTACTCTAAGATATGTCAGATGCAACATATCCTTGCATTTTTAGCGCGTTTCCAAAACCCAGATATACTCCGCATAGCTGCCCGGGAAGAATTGAAGATTACTGATCGTCATACAGTGTCGTCCATTGTCTCAGCAGCTGATCGATCGCATTTGATTCCCCTTGATCAGCCAACTCCTCTTTGGCTACTGCGTTCTCGGCGGAGGAGCCTGCTGCTTCTTTCAAGGATTCATCCGTTCTCGTCACGGTTGCTTGTGCACTTGGCAAGTCCTGTTCCGCTGGTTCCTCTTTCGCAGCTGCCTCTGGCGGGGGAGGTCTTGTATCTGAATTATGAGTGCTCTCCAAGTTTATGTCTGAACCCACAGGAAGTGTAGATCGACTGGAGGGAGGCTTCAGGATATCATCGAAGGTCGGAGCTCTCGCGAATTTAGGCCCCCCTGACTCGGCTGGTTGGGACGCACCAGCATCACCGTCTCCGGGTTTGTTGTATTCGAGGACGTTGTCTGGATTTTCCGACTCCTCCTCCACCCCGAAGAAAAGACCAGAGTTCTTCACCGTCCTGGAAATTTCCATCAGCTCACGTGGGGCGACGCGAAAACGTTCAAGACTTACTCTTGGATAGAACCCATCGCTGCCGTCGGCGAAGGTAGGGATTCCCAAACAGACGAATACCAGGGTTTTCTGCTAGGTCTTCTTTGTACTCCCACTGAAAGATCTAGGGCTTGAGTGTTTTCCGAAACAGGAAGTGTACTGACAACCTTCCTATGTCGATACGGAGGGTGTTGAACGAAAGTTGTGGTCTCCTCCTCCATGCCAATGCTCTCGATTGCTCCCGCTGCAACACTGGCGTACATGTCTAGGTCGTCCGAATCGAGGTTTGAAGGAGTGGCGTCGTGTTCAGGCCACGCTTGGTCTTTGCGAACAATGGACAAAACCACCCATGGGGTCGGAATTCGTACAGTGTCGCGAGAGTAGACGAAGTCTTTCTCCACTTCGATATCGACGCGCACCCGCGAACCATGAGTCTCTGCGGCACCTGCCTGTTCGAATTGAAGCAATGCGCTTTCGATACGCTTGAGGCAGTTTCTCGTGGTCAACCCGAGCATTCCGGGTTGTTGAGGAGGCAAAACTTCAGAGTTTGGCCTAGCGACAGTTTGACCTGAGGATATGTCTTTGGCCGCCGCAATGGACGGGGCCTCGACGGGAGACGTTTCCCCACCAGCTAAAGGCTGCGCAGTCACTGGATCCGAGTGTTCTGTTTGCGCTTGTCCTCGCAGAACCGTTTCATCCTGGGCTCCGACGGCCTTAAGGAGGTGTTGGTAATTCCTGGTGGCTTCTTCGTTCGCTCGAAACAGATTTTCGAGCAGCGTTCTCTGATAGCTGTCGTTGCCGTTGTCGTCTTTGGACGGGGTCTTCTTTCTAGTGACGAAAAATGTGAGGATCCCAGGTTTTCCTAGTGTTTGTGGGAGTAATAGAGGGTAAAACCTACTCGGCCCTCAAATCCCTGGCGTACATCAAGACATTCAACATCAGCACGAATGTGCTTTTGAGTCGGTCCAAATTGCCGTGCAGGACCTCCATCTTGGGCTGGGGAAAGGGCCACTTGAGCCTGTCCAGGGTGGATGGGGCCAGCTTGCCGCCGTCCCCCTTCAGACCGTCTTTCGACGCACTCTCTATGGCTCTGGCGACCATGGCGTCAATGTCCCTGAAGACGCCCTCGCACTCGGCCACGACGTTATTGGCCTTCTGCACGGCCGCGTCCGAGAACAACCTGGCCTGGTCATCATCCTGTTTGAGGTTCGCACCAAGCTCTTCCAGCACCGCGGCCGTCAGCGACACGTCTCGGGCGAGGTTCTTGACCTCGGCGGGCGTGGCGGCCACGGTCTCCGAGAAGCTGTACAGGGTAATGGACAGCTTGACGCCCGCGCGGGCGACGCCGGTGATCGTGCCAATTAGGCTGACTTCTGCCATTTGGGCGGTTGTGGTTGTTCTTTTGTTCCTCCTTTATGGCGCCGAGGCCCCAAGAATGGCGGAAGAAGTACAAGCAGTCTCTCTCAATAGAGATGCGCGGAAAATATCACTTGGACTGTCCAACAATAGACTTCCATCGCGTGCTATACATTGTCTGAAAGAAGGACGGTGGAGGAGTGGTAAGTCTCCTGACTGTCAACAGAGCTGATTTGGCAACCAGTCTACAATTGTCAATGGTCAAGGCTGACTAAATTGTAACTATTTCGGGATCCGTTTTGCATAAGGAGTCCATTGAGGTAAGGCGCCCTGCAGGAAGGATATATCGTGTAGGAAGACCAGTAGTGAAGAAACACCACGTGGGGTCATCTGACAAGTACTGACGAGGACGGAGAAACACCAGTGTGAACTTCCTTTCGTATTAAGATTGAGACAGCTGCCACTGTAAGGAGTTGCTCTATGTTTCGGCCAAGTAAGTGATACCATGAGACCTTATATCCCTTCCCAGCTTTCTAAGCCCTCTTCCCACTCTTTGTAAGTCAGGAACAGGAGAAATATTTTTTCCTACATATGCAGGAACTTGTATGTCCACATATCTCTCTTTCGAAGCCTCTAGTCCCAGCGTCCCGACTCACTGGTCTTCCCCGTTTTTACTCTCCGCCAAAACCGTTCCGCCACGACTGGTTTTGTACTGTGACTACCGTGCCTCTCGCGAATGACGACTGTGTTCCGCCGTGGCCTGCACGCTGAGGTAGCTGAAGTGTTCTGCATAGCACGTCTCGGACGCAATGTGGCTGTTTTGGCGGTGGAGGTGGAGTCTCAGCAAATGTCGTCTGCAGAAACAACATACGCATGCACACACATTGCATAGATCGCAACAGACAGTAAAGGATATTAAAGGTGCGAGGGAGTGACGGGGCTGGACATACCACATGACTTTATCCCACGGCCCTACGGCGCCTTGGATGCATTCACGGTACTGCTCCCTCAGGTCCTTTTGGCAGTTGAACTGGGGCACGCGGAGGACAGGCACGGCCAGGGCGACGGACAGGAAAATGGACAAGATAGCCACAAGGAGGGGGAGGAAGATGGGCTTCGTCATCATGGTGGGTGTTGGGAAAATCTGCTCGTTTGGCACAAGTAGTAGAGATATCCCAGATACTCGGGGTACAGAGTATAGAACTTCGCAGGGGACCAGCCACAGTACACACAAGGACAGCGTCGAGGGGAATGGGAAAACTTGGAATCTCTTGCTCAATGTGAAGCGAAGAAAAGGTAAGGGAAGGGAAGGATAGGGTAGCCAAGGGCAGGTCTACTGTCGATATACCATCGAGGTCGCTCGGCTACAGACACACTTCGAGCATCACGTACCGAGTACTCGGTCCAGCGACACAGATCGAGACCTCCCCAGCGCAGAACCGTGGCTGACTGAAAAAGAACAACCCCCCCAGCTGTCTATCCTCTTCTAGAACCTGAGCGTCGCACCGACGATCGTACCTAAGTACATATCCGGCACGGCCAAGGCTCCTAGGCTGGACCCTGGGAAGCTCATTCGAGAAGCGTAGGGTCTAACATCCTCTTCCGTAGACAGAATCCAGATACATAAACGAGGTGCATATGTAAGGGACAGACGGAGCAACGCCCATCGGTAAAAGGGTTTCTTTCTAACGCTAACCGAGCATGTTCTCGCCCCTGCGATGGTGGTGAGCTAGTGAGGCTGAGAAAGGTAGAAAAGATTCTAGATTCTAGACTCCAGACTCCGGCCTGGGGTGAAAGCTTATTGCTGCAGGTGGTTCTGGGCCGCGGCCGATCGCTGTGCTCCTGCCTGATTGGGTTGTGCTCAGCTAGCCACTCGAATGAATATGGATGAGATGGATGAGATGGAGATATAGATGGAGATAGCAACATATCTATCTACCTAGGTAGGTAGGTAGGTAGCGATTGAGATGGAAATGGGAATGGATATGGTGATGGTGATGGCGATGGTGAAGAGAGGAGAAATACATGGGGAATAGAACCGGACTACCTGGTATTGTTCGTCGCCGGTGTAGCTGCCCATTCTCTAAGAAAGGGCATCTAAATGTGCGAGCCGAAACTACATATGGAAAAGGAAAATAACACAGCTAGCTACCCAGGTAGCTCTCTTACAGGGCAAATCAAATAGTCCCTCGAAACCAGTAGAAAAATCTATCACTCTTGAGAATTGCAGTCGGAGGAGGAGGAATACTCGGTACAAGTCACTCCTAATCAAGGCCTGCTATTGTTCTTCTCTGCCTCCTCGGCCTGCTTCCTCTTCTTCTTCTCCTCCATGCTCCGCCACCGCTGCTGCCGCCACCCCATGCCCCAAGTGAACTCGACCCAGAGCAGCACAGTCGCAGCGGCCATGAGCATGCCGACGAGGAAGAAACACCACCCCAGACCCAGACTGGTGAGCATGTTGTCCACGACGGCGGCGCCCACGGCGCCCAAAATGCAGCGGACAAGATTCGAAGCGGCGGACGCGGTGGAGACGTTGCCCGGGTAGATGTCCGATAGTAAGGTGCTGATCGAGTTGGAGGCGACGACCAGGCAGAGGCCCAGGATGAATTGTAGGATGAGCGGGACGGCAAGAGAGGCGTGTCGCTCCAGTGCCCATCCGTACGGTAGGATGGCCGCCACCTGCACGGCTTGGGAGAAGAAGACGCCCTGTAGCCGCGCGCGCTCGATGGGGAAGTTGCGCAGGTCGTCGCCCCGCTTGCGGTCTACCGTCACGCCCAGCCGGCGCGCCGTGCGGCGGTAGTTCCAATCCAGAAGGCGGCCGTTGCAGAATGAGCCGATGCTGGCGGCGATGCCTAGAGGTCTGTTTGTTGTGGACACATCTCGATTAGAAACGAAACCCTTTTACATTATGGGATGATATGGGGGGAGAAATGAAGAGAAGAAAAGAAATCGAAGTCACTCACAGGAAGCACAACCCCACCTCTAGCTCGTTGAGTCCGTATAGCCTGGGGAACACGGTCGGCGTACTCGTCATCAGAACCAGGTTGCTGAACATCATGACTCCGGTGTACAAAATGAGACAGAATGCGTCGGGGTTTGTCAGAATGATAAAGGACCCAAGCGGATTGGGGAATCGGATCCTGGTGTCTCGCTGCCGCTCTGCCAGGGCCTGCTGCGTTTTCTCGTAGTCGTGCCTCTCTTCGGCACTCATTCTCTTCAGCCGCCGCCGGTTGGACATATATTGCAGGACGGACTGGCGCCACCATTGGTACGGCACGATGCTTCCATCGTCCACAATCTTGCGGTGTGTTTCGGGCATGAAGATGATGTACGCCACCAGGTATCCGCCGCTGATGATGGTGAGGAACCAGAAGACCGCTCTCCAGCCCAGGAATTGGGTCAACAGCCCACCGATGGTCGGTCCGAGGGCTGGCGCTGTCAAGGCACCGGCCGCCATGGGACCGATGAACTTCCCTCGCTCTGCCGTGGTGACGATATCAGCAACGACGCCGTATCCGAACGCGACTGTGCCACTACTGCCCGCGCTCTGCAGACACCGCAGGACGAGCAAGGCGGCGTAGCTGTCCTGCAGCGCCAGCCCAATGTTCGCAGCCGTGTATATGGTGAAGGCGAGAATATAGCCCAGCCGCCGACCGCTGGCGTCGGAGAAGGTGCCCATGAAGCTGGGCGTGAGGCCCTGGAAAATCATGTACGTGGTGATGGAGACGTTGATCAGACCTGACGACAGATGATATGTCCTTGTCAGGATGGGGAGGACAGGGTAGTAGATCTGACCGGACAAGGGGGAGAAGAAGGTTGCCATGGCGGTCATGGTCACGATGCCCCATTTGGTACGGTTCGAAAATGCTGAATATGGTTTCTGGGCACTGATGCTTGTCGTCGTCAGGGTTAAATTTTGCGCTCCGATGTCTTCTTTGTTCGGTTTCGAGGGTGGAGAGTCAGACGCTCCTTGCCCGGAGACGTTTATAGTGTCGTTAGCATCCTCTCTGTGGGAATGACTGTTTGTTCCCATGTCGTTGTTTCTGCCAGAGGGCGGAATGCCCGCTTCCTCGGTCGCCATGGTGGCCAGGGCCAGACAAGAACCCTCTTTTTCCAACCTCCGAGTTCGTACTGATCGAGTATCGATATCTCAAGTGTTCGTCAAACAGAGGTCAATCCCAGTTGAGGTATGTTGCTAAGCCAACATTAAGGAGCCTCCCTTTGTCTCCTTTATTCTTGTATCTGAGGCTGAGTGTATTCAGCGAAGCAAGCCATGATCATCCACCGCATACGGAAGTATAAGTAGCAGTATCCCCCTGACCAGATGTCGGAATTAGCTTTCGTTATGGTCAATACGACCGGAGCCTGCAGGACGGCTGGCAAGATGAAGCCAATAGTGTTTAAATCGTTTGTTGCGTGATTCGAGGGTCAAATACAATCCATGCGGCCGGTGTCGGGGACGGTCACAAGAAACCGGGCCGGTACAGGGCAGCTATACCTCTTGCGGACAGACCCATACAGGGATACCGAAGCAACAGGATGACATTCCTCGTTCTGGATATAATCGCAACCCTGGAGGCCTGAGGAATATCTCGATGATCTGCCGATCCTTTTTCCTCGTTGCTCCCTCGAAGAGGCGGGTATTGTTTTCCACGAAGATCTCGAAACCTCGAGAGAAGCAACGAACCTGGGTCGACCATTAGAGCACTCCAGCACAGGTTGAAGATCCTCCGGCATGCCAGATCACCCGATCCTCAAGTCGGTGCTGTCACTGATTGAAGACAATGATGCGAAGACCCTTCGTGTGTCCTTCAGCTCGCGGAAGGTGAAGCCGGGCGACAAGATCCCGAAACGAGGTGAGTTGGTTGCGAATCTATTCCTCAATTTACCTTTGCAAGACCGTCGTTTTGTGGTCTCGTTTGCTGATGGGATCTTTCGCAGAAGCTCAAGAGGTCCCAACACTTGGCTGGAATGCGGCCTCAGGACAGAAGTTCCTTGTCGTCTGCCTCGACATCGATGCACCATTCCCCACGTTTGCGCCCTTGAGCCCCGTCCTGCACTGGCTACAGACCGGCCTTGCTGCAGAAGGATCAACCAGCGGCGGCGACCTGACCTCGCCAGATCCAGCCATCGCCCACTGGGCTGCTCCAGGTCCTCCGCCGCTCAGCAGTCCGCATCGATACATCTTCTTGCTCTACGACCAACCGGCGGACTTTGACACGAGAACGTTGGCCAAAGCGGGTGGCTTCGGTATCCGAGAGCGCATGAGATGGGATCTTTCACGGTTCGAACAGCAGGCGAAGCTCGGTCCGGCTGTCGCAGCCACGTATTTCTTGAGCAACTAGGTTGGTGTGGTTGGCGTTGCGACAAGGAATTGAGCAGACATTCTCGGTTTCTTGGGGCCAGGACTTTTACATCAAAGCTTAATGCGAGGTCGGACTGAAGTCACACGTTCTGGCCAGCCTTGTCAAGCACGAGTCATTGGAGCAACAGAAAACAAAACGATCCATCAAGACAACTCAGCGGAAGTTATGGCGGTCAATGGCTAAAATCTTTCTAGGTGTATGTCTGGCAAAATCTATCACTGGGTTCTACGTGTGTTTCGCTTTTCGAAACGTTCCAGCAGTGGATCTATCCTTTTCCTGATCTCCAATTCTTGCCTTTCGAGAAATCCCAACCACCTTGCTCTAACAATGTCTCCTCTGTCATCAGGAAGCCGCTAAGAAACTGCTGGTTGAGAGCCAATGCAAATGCTTGTGCGCCTCTATCTGGTGGCGTAGCACTTGTAGATCGCACTCCTTCCCCATAATTTCCCGAGCTGACCTGCCCAATCTCGCCAGCGATAACAAATGCCGATAGTGGAGCACGGCAGACTCAGGCCGCTGACCGCAATCAAGAATAGCTAATGTAGACCGGTCAAGGCGAGTTGTGCCTCCGCGTCCTCAATAGCACTCTCTCGCCATGTTGAGTCAGGCGGCCATTAATCCCAGAAACGCTGGTAGAGGACCCGCTCGAAAGGCACCGGCGGTATGTTATAACTTCTCCTCTCTCTTTGCGAGCACCCACATCCCTTCGGCCTCGGTCATGACCTTGCCGTCCTTGTCTACTATTTGACCCCGCGATAGCCATTTGCGACCTTCTCTTCCCACAAGCCAACACCTCACGAGCACGTCTCCTGGTGTCGGTACGGGTGCACGGTAAGTGACGTTGAGACTGACGGTGAAAAGCGAATCCCGTGGACCTGAGATGTGCTGGTGGTGCAGCATCACGCATAGTCCCATCATCTCGTCGAGGATGGCGCAGGCCATGCCGCCATGGATAACTGAGGGATGGCCATCGAGCCCGGGGCGACCAAGTCGCAGGAGCATGATGCAGTCGGGGTTCTGAGGTACTTGAGTGACCTCATTGTGGCTTGTTCTCATTTTCAATTGTCCCTTGGGTCTTTCCTCGCAGAAAGGGAAATCCTTCAACTGCAGAGTGACGAGATGAGGGATGGTGGAAGGCGAGCTGACGGTGCGAGAGAAGAAGTAGTCTTCGCCAGACTCCTTGAGAACTCTCGAAAATGTAGGGATGGCGTGATAGAGAGGATTGGACAGGTATTTGTTCGTCCATTCAACAGATTCGAAGTGCCGCCGGGCATCTTCGGGGACGCGGTGGGTGGTGATGAACTGGGACATGAAGTCCATCTGTTCGGTTTGAGGTGCCATGATGACCAGGGTCGTGTTACCTGTTACACATTACCCAATGCGACGGAGCACAACGAAGCAGGGTGGCAGAATGCAGGAAGTAGTGGTGGTGGTATAACATTTTTCGTTTCTCTTTCTCCAAGACCATGGATATGGGACATTGGGGTCCGAGCTCGTGCCTCGGTTTGGTCGGTTGAACCACGGTGACCACCTGCACTGACCACCTCACCCACTGGACTGCGCTCTATCGCCCACAGATAATAAGACGGGTAACAGCGCCTTGATTCGTGAATGGCAGGATTTTGGTGGGCGGATCTTTCGTCGTTGGGGAGTCCGATGCCTAGAACTGTTTGGGCCTGGGCCCCAACTACGAGTGCCTAGGGGTTCCCAAGCCTGCTGCAAGATTGTCCGCAGTGGAGCTGGGGGTGAGGGGCGCCGGCCATGCGCTGCCCTGGTGATTGGCGCGGGCCGTAATGTGTTTTAGAATTGCAGCAGGGTGACGAATGGGCTCGTCCAAGCGTGCCAGGTTCCCGTTTGGTGCCATCTGGGGCCCAGTCGCTTCGGGTTAATAGGTGCCTGTTGGTGTCCCCTCGGGGCCTCTAGGTGCCAGCTAGTCCCCAATCCAGCAAAGTCGGTGACAAGATAGCGGGCATCGTCATGCAACGACATGGACATGATACCGGCGCTTCTTGGAGCTAAAAGAAAAGTGAATGGTGGAAAACGCAGGAGTGTCCATGAACGCGCAATGGGATAAAAAAGCCACAGAATCCTCTCCCAGCCTCTATCTCAAGTTTCCCTTCAGCTCCATAGCAACCGGCAAGCATCTTGCAGAGATTCCACCTCGCCGTTACCAACCTCTCAACACTGATAAAGGTGAGCTCTTACCCCAGGAAAGCAGCTATCGGATCCTTCTTTCCGCCCTCTGTCACAGTGTGTGAATCCTGCCCTCCAGCTCCCACTTCACTACCGAGTAACAGCCCACACCTTCTCAACCGTCTGTCACAGTTCTCTCTCCCTCTCTCTCTCTCTGTCTGTCTGTCTGCCTCTTTTTCCCACATACTCTACTTCATCCATCAAGTCCACCTCTACCAACGTAGTACTTTGAGCATCAATTGACTCTCTGCATTGACAGAAGCGTCCTGCCCGCACTCCTTCAACCGCCGCCATCATGCAGTACCAGATCCTTCTTGCAGCGGCTTTTGCTGCTCTCGCCTCCGCACAGACCATTGTCACCTCAAGTGCAGCCTCGGTCGCAGCCTCAACCACTGAGTCGCAGGTGATGCCTCCTGTGGCCACGGCTTCCTTCAACCCTGCTGATGTTGACTCCTCCACTGCCTGTAAGAGAAAGCTCCGATTCCTGTCTCGAGCCCGCAGACTAATTGAAAACCCCAGTCAACTGGTGCCATGCTCAGCTGAACACTTGCCCCCAGATTTGCGGTGGTTCTGCTTCACAAAACCAGTGTGATCAGGTAGGCTGAAACTCTGCGTTCCCACTTGGCGGTAGGGAGCTAATATTTGTCTACAGAACGCCTTTACCTACATTTGCGTCTGCGCCAACGGCACCGTGCCTGACTGCACTGCCTTCATTGAGACTCTTCCGTTTTACATCTGTCAAGAAACCTACATCCAGTGCATCAACAACAACCCCAATGATGCCCAGGGACAGGCAACATGCGCCTCGAACGAGCAATGCGGCACCCGTAATGCGACCGCCGAAGCCCTTGCGCAGACATCTGCTGCCTCTGCTGCCTCTGCCTCGTCCACCTCTTCTGCTCCTGCGTCGTCGCAATCCGCTTCCGCTTCCGCAGCCAGCTCTGCATCGGCCTCCGGCTCCAGCTCTGCCTCTGCTAGTGCATCCAGTGCTTCTGCCACAGGCGGTGCAGCCACTGGCGTATCTCAGCAGATTGCGACTGGTGCCTTTGCGGCTGTCCTCATGGCCGTTTTCAAGCTGCTGGTTTAAGCGAGATTGCGTCGCCTTGCCTTTTCGAGCTACGAGCTTCGAGCATCAGGTGCCTTCAATTCGTCCCAATGCTTCAATACTTGGACAGAGTTTTGCGTCTCGGGGGCACTGGAAACCAGGAAAAGCATCATGACGACAATAATATCGGTGACACGTTTCAGGTTCATGGTTGATGAGGGGCATGACTTGGTTTTGAATCATGTCAGAATGGTCAAGGGAGAGGAATGACGATATTCGAAGTGAGCAATGATGATTTATGTTTTTTTGAGCGCGTCGGCTTGCTGCCAACAGCACCTTCAATCCTTTAGCGAGCGCGTTTGTGGGCTTCAGTTTGGGCTGGAGTGGGCATAGTAATATTGCACAGAGATCCAAAAGCAGATGGAGTGCTTTTAATTGATGGCCATGTCTCACCGTTTCCCTTCCCCGGATCTGCATTGAAGGATCATCGTAATCGTCTCCATTATTGTTTCCACTTTTCTCAGATGCCAGAGGCGCAGGCGCAGACGAAGAACCTTGCGGAGAAAATCCTGGCGACGAGGCAGCCACCAAGATAAACATGTGGCTGGTAACTGTGGCTGAAGCTTGGAACTTCGGTCGAGGGTGGATTGATTCACATGTGCCCAGTCCTTTCCCCTCACACCACACTCAGCATGAGGATGATGGAGCCTTTTGCACCAATCGAGTTGGGCGTCTCTCCTGATCGTATCCACGAGGCTGTGGATGCTGCTCCGTTTGACCGTGTTTAGCTCTTGGAAGAAGATGATACCACTGCCACCCTCTCACTTCTTGCCCGCAAAGTCAATGAAGCTGAAGTCTACCTTACACTCACCTACCTCTGCCGCTGTACTGACCATCTAGTATCTCCTTATATCGCGACCCATCAAGTATAAACACCTGATCACTCTCGCGACCTCTGACCCCACTGTAGCATCGAAACAGGAAAACCACACGATCAAGCACCATGCGAGCCCTCCGCTACCACGGCGTCAAGGACCTCCGTGTCGACGACGACATCCCCGAGCCCAAATGCGGAGAGAACCAGATCAAGGTCAAGCGTGAGTCTGAGCCGCCTCGGGCAGGACGTTCGACAGTGTCCAGGGCGATTTGTTTTCTGCGTCTTGTGAGTTTTTGAGCGGCCCCAGCTGACAGTCGAGGTGTGGACATTAATTAGCTGCCTTTTGTGGGATTTGCGGGACGGATTGTAAGTGCCCCCGTTGTCGTCCCTTACACTTGTCCCCTGGTCCGTGATACTGTCTATCTCTATCAAGGGAAGCTAGAAAACGCTTCCTCTCACGAGTGGGGAATACATATTGTTTGGAACAGGCAGCAACCACTTGAACTTACGCCTCTCACCAGTACACGAATATTCGTCGCCCACGTTCATCCCCCAACCCAACTCCCCTCATCCCATAACAAAGGAGGTGATGCCCGTCGCCATCGGCCACGAATTCTCCGGGGAGATCGTGGAGATTGGAACTCTCGCCGAGTCTCATCCAAACTTCCAGGGTCAAACCCTCAAAGTCGGGGACAAGGTCGCCGTGCAACCCACCCTCGCCTGTTTCCACTGCGGGCCCTGCAACGATGGCTACATCAACTGCTGCGACTCGGCGGGGTTTGTCGGGTTGAGTGGCGGCGGCGGTGGAATGAGTGATTATGTCTGCGTCGATGCACAGTTTGTCTTCAAGCTGCCGGATCATGTGGGTTTGGACGTGGGTGCGTTGGTGGAGCCGTTGGCCGTGGCATGGCATGCCGTTGACCAGGTACGTTCTTTGGAGATTCTCTCTCCATCTGCGAGGTCTTTGTTTCGTGGTAGTGTGTTTTATTGCTCTGCTGATGTGCGAAAACCTAGTACCCGCTGAAGAAGGGTGACACAGCCCTCGTCATGGGCGCCGGTCCCATCGGACTCGGGGTCATCCAATGCCTCAAGGCCCGCGGCGCCGGCACCATCATCGTCGCCGAAGTCGCCAAGGAGCGCCAGAACTTCGCAAAGGCGTTTGGCGCGACACACCTGATCGATCCTAGGACTGAGGATGTGGTCAAGAAAAGTAAAGAGATCACAGGCGGGCAGGGACCGCATGTTGCGCTGGATGCGGCGGGGGTGCCGGCCAGTTTGAGGGACGCGGCGTTGGCGGTGAGGGCGCGGGGGACGATTGTGAACCTGGCCATTTGGGAGAAGGAGGTAATTACGTTGTCTTCGCCCTATATGCTTGGAGGGTAGTGGTGAAGAGCCAAGGAAGAAGGTGGTAAGAGATACCAAATGCTGACAATTCCGATTCTTAGGTCCCGTTCCAGCCCAACACCCTCGTGTTCGGAGAGAAGAAGTACTTTGCGAGTAAGTTCATATCAACCAACACCTTCTTCAACATCTCAGTTTTTTGTCCCTGGCATATCTACTTGCTTGCACACAAATTCAATTGATTCGCTTCTCACATAGTCCTGGGCTACCTGCAATCCGACTTCGCGGGCGTCATCGCCGCTCTCGACGACCACTCCCTTGAGCCCGAGAAGATGATCACGGGCAAGATCAAGATCGACCGCGTCGCGCAGGATGGGTTCCGTCCCCTGATCGAGGAGAAGGACAAGCATGTCAAGATCTTGGTCGATTGTCGAGCGTGAAAACCGAGAACCGCAGTAGCCGGAACGATCTCGAAGGGTCTTGAACAAAAACCTACCTACCTACCTACCTACCTACCTACCTTGTACTACCTACCTTGTACTACCTACCTAGGTACTACCTACGTGTGTGCCAATTACACAGCCGTACGAAACAGGGAAAACCGATTACATGCTTCACCCATCCCGAAATTGTTGCCACCAGAAAAATAAGAAACCTACGAAAATACCTCTGTCCATAACATCTCCTTCGACATACCTGGGTACCTACCTACCTACCTACCTACCTAGCGCAGTCCGAGGAAAGAGTGTGGGAGAGGGGGGGAAGGCACAGGCATGGAAAAGTTTGAAAAAAAAAAAAACCCCCCAAAACACCTTGCTGTGCCGAACTACCTTAGGTACATTAGGTATCCTTGAAACTCATCAATATACGGCGGGTTATGGCTAGTGAATCATTTGTTTGCGTAGCTGTCGAAGAAGTTGGATTTTCATGTTTCTCATATACCATCCATCCCATTCGCTTTGGATCGAATCTACAGAGTACATCGTCCAACGAACGGCAGAATTCCGCTATCCCAAAGCCAGCGCTGCGCCCTCGGAGGGGGCTGGTGTCCAAAGACCAAAAGGCGCCCCTGAAGCAAGTGAAGAAGAGTTATACAACAAACACCTACCCACGCAAGATGAAAACCATTCATTCCCCTTCATATCCCTCTCCGACGTTCGGATCCCTGGTGACCCTAATCTCCTGCATGGCGTTGTTCCCATCCCCGGTCTCACCCTGTAACACCAACCCCTTCTCATTCGCCAGATGTAACAAGCAAATGAAACAGTATGATGTGCTGATGTCCTTCATCTGGGGCTCCGGGTAGAAGGAGCGGAGGTCTTGGATGAGGTCGGTGAAGTTCAATGTGCCGTCACTGGCGTCACTCGACGGATCTAGATCGGTGGGTTTGGGTGCAGGAGGCTCGGCCTCTGCTTCGGGTTGAGGTTCATGCTGAGGCGGGCTCGGGTCATCGATATCCATCATGTCGACATCGCCGTCACCATCTTCACCCTTTTGTGGCTCAGTTGCTGTTGGGATGGCGGACGGTCGATCAAACACATTTATCAACTTCAACCGGCCCTCCATGCCCTTCCACATATTCTCCTTCAACCTCCTCACGTCGACCTTCTTCGCCGTACGTGCGTAGTTGACGTACTCGGGTCGAATTCTTCTTCCAGCCTGTGTCACAAGTTGGCTTCCGAAACTGCCCGGAAGGAGCTCCGGTTGACTTTGTTGTGGTTGCGAGTCTTGCGGTGACTGTTCAGACCCGGCGAGATCATTGTCCGCTCCAGCTTCGCCGGTGAGGAGGTTTAGATGCTGATCTTGCTGTGACTCGGGTTGAGGCGACAACATTTCCCTCGCATCCATAAAAGCCTGTCCACCATCATCACCGCCTCCGTCACCAAGCCCATCATCGTCGTCATCTTCGTCAATGGGTAATGGGCCATCAAATGGAAGCATCTGGTCGTCGTCCGCGAAGAAGTTTGCATCATAGTCTCCCTTTCTGCCCTCATCATCCAGCTCATCACCAGGACCTTCACCAGAGGCGTTCGTGGTTCCGACACGGTTCCTCGCCCCGAAACCCTCGTCGATAATCCCCATACCGACACCCCCTTCTTTTCTTCTGATCCTGCCCACTCGACACTTTGGCTTGGTCCATAAGCGCATTAACTTTCTGGGGTCCACAACCTCGTCATCTTTGTCCAGCAGATTTCGGCCTTTTGTCCGCCACTGCGATTTGGGCAGAGAAATTTGCGAATTCAGAACGGGCGGCTGTTCAAGTAACTCCCTCAAGGAGTCTGACATGGGGCCCAGAAAATCAATCTCATATGGCTCCTTTTCCTTCTTCTGCCTTGTGGGTGCAGCATTGGTGCCGCTGGCTTCTTGTTGTTGTGCTTTCTGGATCTTCTGCATCCGCCAGTTTTCAAGGGTGAGAAACGCTGTCTTGCCCTTTGCGCGTGAGTTGAATGCTTTGTCGAAATAAGCCATGATAGACTCGTGCTCTGCGTCTTCTTGGTACTTGTGCTGCAGAGACAATGCGTAGCCATCACCTCCATTTTCCAAAAGGTTATCATCCACGTCTTCTGCTCGAGCAACTCGGGCTTGAGCTTCGATGGCGGCATCTTTGGCCCAGGCCTCTCCTCCTTCGCCAAATCCCACATTGTCCGCGACGTCGAAGCCACCGAGCAACCCGTCGCCGTCGTCATAGTCATCGTCGAAACCCATGGCATTGCTTCCATCGAGGAAAATTCCAGTCTGATCGGCCAAATCTAGGGGGAGATTTGTTCCAGGCGCTGGCGTCTGTGATCGTTTCTGCTCTTTCCAGTCTTCGGGTACTTTGAGGAAGGGTAGGTTCAGATCTCCTGATGGGTCGCCCAATGTAAAGGATTTCATCGAAGGGCAAATATCCTGTGACTCCAATATGCCCATGTCCGGGAAGAACTTGGATGCTAGGGAAGCAAGGTCGATTTCTTCGTCTTGCTCATCTGCAACCGGGTCCTCACCGTGAGCGGTTAAATCAGGCTCGTGTTGCTCTTTTCCTGTAGAGCCCATCTCATGTTCTTCTTCTTGTTGATTGTTATCTTTGTCACCTCCCAAAGCAGCATCTCCCGCATCATCGCTGCTATCGAACACGATGCGCCCGTCAGAGTCAATAGACAGATGATTCAGTAGCAAGCCCTTAGCTCCTCCCTCATCAAAATCCGCAGATGCCTTCTTGAAAAGCGGGTCGACCGCAAACTCGAGTTCCAGCTTCTTGCCTTGGAAAGACGCAAAGCCAGGTGCGAGCGTGGCTTCATGACTTCGTGCGGGCTTCTTCTTGGATTTCTTCTTCTCGCCGCCCTCACCATCGTCGCCCTCCTCGTCGTCTTCGCCATCTTCGCCTTCATCCTCTTCGCCATCGCCTTTACTTCTCTTCTTGCTTGCCTCACCGCCATCAGCAAGACCGCTCAACAAGCGGCCAGTCTCCGTTGCGACGCTGTCGACTCTACTCGTGTAGATCTTGACGCAGCCGTCTAGCGTGCAGCTCGCCTTCTGAAAATTGACTCCATCTCCCTCTTTCAACAGGCTCATGTCATGGAAGTAGTCTATCAGCGCAAAATTCCATGAGTTCGCAGCATTAATCTTGTTATCCGTTGCCATTTTCATCCATTCTTCGAAATTGGCAAGGATTGGGACGCGTTTCATGGGCGTGACCCCGTTGTCTTCGGCGACACGGCCAATGCTGTTCCGCGGGAGGTCGCTGTTACTGCGCTGTTGGTTATTGAGTCCTCCTCTTCTTCGCACCTGTGCTCCATGGTCTGAAGTCCTTGGTGTTCGGGGTGAGTCTGACATGTTGCTGTAATTGGACTCTCTTCGTCTCTGGTTGAGTTTGCGCATGGGACTGGCTGCGGCGCGGATTTCGTTCATATGGATTTCTTGGAGGGCCTGTCGAGATTGTAATCGGGCAACCTTTTCGCCTTTGTCATCGTTGAGAGCTAGTCTGTAGAGGCAACACGGTAGGTCAGCATTCGACGCGAACAAACAGTCATCTCGGAGCAGGAAAAGTACTGCGCATCCCTTCGTGGCGCTTCAGGTGAATGTGCCTTTGGGAGGTGCTCATACTTCACTGGAGACGCCTTGCTACTTTCGCGCGCCATTCTCATAACAACAGTCTGCCGGCTCAGGCTCCCGCTCGAATCTCTTGCAACACGCGGCATCGTGTCCAGATGTACCAAATCTGCGATTGATGACCTAGTCTGACTGCGGGAGGCTTGAAGGCGTGGTGTACTCAAGAGCCACAGCTATGCCGTTGATTACCCTCTCTCGTTATGTCAAGGGTGTGTTTTTCGTGTCGCCATCGTCTGATCTGTCGTTGTAGATTCGGCCGAAGCTTGTTGTGAGCGTTAAAACAGTTGGAGTCATTTGTTGACATGTCCCAAAACAGTTTAGTGCAGCCACATCCTTCTGTCACGTGTAGTGGCGGCGAATATGCAACACCTCAGCCGTTGGCATCTCTAGTTGCTGGCCGTGCACACCTGCCAACCGCTTAGTTCTACTCTTACAGTGGTTTCAGTGATACGCAGCGAAAGAAATATTCAGGTTATGTTCAAGTTATGGCGTCTGATTGTCTCATCCGGTATGTTCTAATCTCTCTCTCGTCGCTCATCTGCCCCAACATGTCATTTACCCCAGGACTCTTCCTGCGACAGCGCTTGCGCTCCTGTCCTTCGTTTCAGTCTTTCGCAGCCCTTTACCTTTCTGAATCTCTCCCAGCAAAGCCCCGATGTCACCAGTTCCAGCACGGGCTGGAGCGGGCATCGGCGGAGGCGGCGGCGGACCTCCAGGAGCATCGGAGGTCGGGAAAGGGGGAGGTGGCGGTGGTGCATTGAAAGCAACAGAGTCTGGCATTGGAGGGGGAGGCGGTGGTGCCGTTGGTGCACCAGTTCCGGGGATCGGTGGAGGCGGCGGAGCGGAGCCGGAGTCAAATGCACCTGGAACGGGTGGCGGCTCTTGGACAGGCGTCTGAGGCTTGCTATCCATGGCGGACAGTGGTCTGGGTGGTGCCATTGTGCCAAACAGAATGGAAGCCAAATGCTTTGCTGATCCTCCGCCGGGGTGGTCGGCTTCGTCATCACTGTCTTCATCCTTTTCGGACCCGGCAGCAGACCATTCATCCTCTTCGGGACGACGCCGCGATTGGGCACCGGTAAAGCTGGGAGTCAACGGCTTCGCGGCCTCTTGTTGAGCCATTCGGTGGAAAGGGTTAGTCGAGGGCAGGCTTTCCGCAGGCGGAGGAGGAGCGCTTGGTGGAGGCGAGAACGTCTGAGCTTGCGGAATAGGCGGCGGGGAGAAGACTGGCTTTCCATTCTCTGACGGTTGTGTTTGGGACAGCTTTCGGAAATATGGGTTCCTCGATTCTTCGGCAGCCGGAGGGCTAGACACTGGGGTAGGCTCATAACCACTGCTGGCATAGGGTTCCGGAGCAGCAGTGCTTGGTGGTGGTGAAGCGACTGAGCCAGTCAGCATTTGGCTGGTTGCGGGAGTGCTCTCCTGAGGCGTAGCCTGTTGTGGGCCCTCATCATCATCCTCGGATGACGACTCGTCCCCAAGATGCTCAAGTTGAAGCTGAAGTTGCCGTTCTCTCTCTCTAGCCGCCTCAAGCTCGGCTCTTTGCGCAGCAAGCTTGGCCTCCTTCTCCTTGGCCTCTTTCTCTGCTGCTTTCTTTCGGGCCTTTTCTTCCTGTTTCTTTACCTTACCCGCCTTAACTTGCTCTTCAAGAGCTCGCAAGCGGGCTTGAGCGGCCTCACGTTCCTTCTCAAGCTCCTCTTCTTGCGTCTTGGCTTGGGCCCTAGCTGAATGTTAGTAGAGTCGCTCCAAATGAATGATAGATACTCACTCCAATCGTTCGCGTTCCCGCGCCTCTGCTTCCTGCTCTGCCCTAATCTGTGCAGCCGCTTCTTCTTCTGCCTTTGCCCGGGCTGCTGCCTCAGCAGCCTTCTTCGCAGAAAAATCTGTGCTGTCTTGTCTCTGCTTTCGAGTGGGCGGAGGAGGCGGCTTCTTTTCTGCTTTCGGACTTGGGGGCGTTACTCCCTCGTTGGCGAGTCTCTGCTGTCGTTCTTGCTCACGCCTGGCATCTTCGGCTTCGGCTTTGCGAAGTCGTTCGGCTCTCTCTTGCTTCTCGCGTTCCTGGCGCTGCTGGGGAGTTTCACTAGACTCCCCAGCTGGCTTGATACCAGCAGCAGCCATTCTCTCTTGGATACGTTTCAGAGCCTTCTCCTTTGCAGTCGCAATGCGATCCTGATGAGACTGGCCTGTTGTCACGGAAGAGGTTGACGGGGTCGATGTGGGAGCTGGTCGCGAAGGCAAGTTACCATTTGTGGATTTGGCTTCCTCGTGAGAGTAGTCGCGGGACGATTTTCTGGCTGGGCGGGATTGTCTGCATATGTCAGTTTCGCGTACTTCATCAGCATTCACACGGGTCTTACTCTTCTTTCCGAATCTTTGCGGTCCTGCTGCCCCGTTGCAAGTCGTATATGAGTTCTTTGATCTCATCTTCCACGCCAAGAGCCTCCTCCCACCTCCTACGCTCGTGCTCCTGGGTCGCATTCTCGCCTTGGTCCCGTAACCCATCTTCGAGGCTCGTAACAAAGTCTTTTACACTCTCCTCAACATCTCGAGTCATGGCCTCGTGCCGTTCTTGTTCCGATTTGACCTTGGAAGTCTCTTGCTCCAAGCGACTCTGCGCACCAGCTTCGTCATCTGCAGCAGGGGCAGGGCGCCCAGCAAGCTCAGCAGCTCGAGCTTGCATTCTGGCGCGCGCTCGTGCTTTAATGCGGTCGGCTTCGGTGACCGTCCCATTGGGTCCAGTTCCAACAATGTTGGAGGCACTGTTCGGGTGAGCTTTGGCGTCCTTCAAGCGGAAAAGTTGTAGCTTGGCTTCAGCAATTTCTTTCTCCACCTTTCTTACGTCTGACGCCAACGCTGGCAGGCGATCTTGGTATCGTTGCAACTCTCTTCTCATTACCCTCCTCTCTGCGCCTGTATCGCCGCCAGCGAATCCAGAATTGGGGTGCGTATCGATATCGTCTTGAATTCGTCGGATCTGCCTGAAAAGGTCTTCAGCCTCTCGTCTATCCCTTCGGTCCAAGACATCATCATCATCCGCTTGTCGCTCATCCTGGAAGTCGGTGGCGTCGAGCAAGATCTTCTTCTCCCGAATCTTCTTCCTGATTTGATCGGGCGTCAAGTCATCATAGACACTCTCTCCCATATCCGATGATGGCGCCGGGGAAGGGGTTCTACCTCCGTGTCCAAGGCGTCTTCTGGCACTCGAACGATATCCAACGTCATCGTCATTGTTGCGGAAGACAGTCGCATCCTTGCGGCCAAAGTTGGGTGATGCAGAGCCGCTGCGGAACGAATGATCCTTCAAATAGCTCACACCGGTCTTTTGTGGCTGCAAGAATGCGCCCGACGATTTTCTGGCCTCAGCGTCCTGGGACAGGAGAGTTTTGACGGTATCAATAGAGCTATTAAAATTCTTTGTAGATGGGGGAATGAGCTCGGGGGGTAGTCGCGCTGGGATCGGGTACCCGTTCAGCTTCCGATAGATAAGGTGCATCGCCACAGCGAACTCGTCCATGTTCAGCCGACCCTTGTTGTTAGGATCAGACAATGTCCAAATCGATTCCAGGTCGGATCTCTCCAGACCACTCTGACCCATAATCTCAATTGCTGTCTCTCCTGCAATGAAACCTCTGCCGAGGCCGTCCCAGGCCTTGAATAGCTGATCATAGATCCTTTTCTCGTCCTTGGTGACCGCCCAAGGAATCTTCGCGCTCCCAGACAGGCCTTGCGTTGTGTAGCCACCGGCTTCGCGACCAGATTGGGGCATCAAACGCTGTTGAAGAGCCTCGATGTTTGGTAAACCAGTAGCAGGCGTGTTCACAAAGCCCCACTGGCCAGGAAGGCCAGTCGGCTGCGTTTGCAGAGGGCCTGTCTGTTGCGGTGAAACATTAGAACCAAAGCCACCAGTGGGCATGAGGGACATCGAAGGCCGAGCGCCGCCAAAACCAGCAGGCTGAGCGGGATTCACAAAACCAGTGGGTTGAGCCTGCAGTCCCTGTGGTAGCCCTGGAAAGCCCGTGGGCTGCGACTGGAGCCCGGGCTGAAACCCTGTGGCCTGATTGTAGAAGCCCGTCGGCTGGGAAGTGAGCTGTGACAAAAGCTGCTGGTTTGAGGGCTGCTGCGGGGTTGGCTGCTGAGGAGCTGGGGGAGAAACAGCATTCTGCCTTAGAGGAGCATCAAAGTTCGGCATATTCGACCGCGTCGGCGGCAAAGGCTTCTCATCTGGTACTCCAAACGAGATGATATCGACCATGCTTGACACCTCGTTCTTGATCTTCTCAGGAAGCACACTAGGCAGCTCCTTTCCAGTCAAGCTCAGATTGCACAGATACATGGCGAGAGCGAACTCCGGGAAAAGGAGCTGGCCTGATTTTGTAGTGTCCGAGAGGATCCATATCTGCGATAAGGCACTGCCGGGCAGTTTTGACCTTAGAAGCAGATCTTTGGCCTTCTCTCCACTCAATGCCTGGCCATCCCCCGCGGCAGACTTGAATAACTGCTCAAATTTTGCCTGATCGGTAGCAGTGATGAAAGACAGCCGAATGTTTGGGATCCTGCTGGAGCTCTTACTCTGCCTCCTCCTTGCCGCAGGCGCGGTGCTCGAGCCCTGAGTAAAAGAGGCCGCGATCTGAGCCGAAGTCTGCTGGGGACGGAGAGGAGCAGCGGCCGGTGGCTGCTGCGGAGGAGCTGGAGGAGGTGGAGGAGCAGCTTGGAAGGAGGGCTGTTGCTGGAAAGCTGGCGCCTGGGGAGGAGGCTGTTGAAACTGGGGTTGTTGGGGTTGGTTTTGAGGAGGATAGCCCGTAAACTGAGGTTGCTGCGCAGGAGCTTGAAAACTCTGCTGCTGCTGAAAACCTGGAAAGCCAGTCTGTTGAGCTTGCAACTGACCGGGGAAGCCGGTGGGCTGCGGAACAAAGGGCGATTGCTGTTGCGGAGGAGCTTGATTGAACGAGCCGAACGATTGCTGTGGTCCGAAGCCTCCAGGCGCAGGACCAGGGCGCGCAGAGTTTGTACCGCCCAAAAACGAATTCGAAGACGAATACATGCTTGCAAACAAACGAGACACAATGCAGAAAGCGGATGAGAGACAGAAGAGATGGGAAAATTGGGGATGGGAATTGGGTGAGATGAGCGACAGCCAGAGTTTCAGAAGCACTACTAACCGACCTCGCCGACTCTGGGCTACGGTGGGTTGCTGCACTGACGCTGCACTGACGCGGTCTTTGCCTCTGACGCCTCGAGGCCTCAGGGCCTCAGGCTCTCCAACACTGTCGCTGAGGCTGAGGCTACGCATGTCGCTGCTTTAAACAGAGCTTCGTTGCTGAAGGGAGACTGGGCATGTCGCTGCTTTAAGTAGAGCTTTCTCGCTGCAAACTGCGCAGGGAAGCAAAGAATGTGCAGACAAGCATACTTCACCTTCAGATATTTGCAGCTCGGATCGTTCAGCGAGCCCTCCAAGAGCTTGTCCATGTCGATGTTGTCCAATATGTCCGAGGCTTCGACTTACGCAGTTGAGACAACATCATCATAGCACATGTTGCTGACACAAACAGTCTTAGAGAATCAAAGAACGCATTCATCCCTCCAGGTGTGAGTAACAGAGGGAAAGCAAGCAGACGTCTCAGAGCAGTGTCATTGGACTCTACTAGATACCTACAGACGACGAATCTCGGCCGACTCACATCATTCGCTTTTGCGTCCAGACAGCCACCCTTGACAATCCTCTCCGCTACTTCATCTTTGCTGTCTTCATTTGTTCAATGCCATAATCACTACCTACTCAAGATGCCAAAAGACCGGAACAGAGAGGCACCGCATAGACAGGTTCTCCATAGGCCAAACAAATCGACCGTCATGTTTTGACTTCATACTCCAAAGGTACCTACATGTAGGTAGGGTTGAAAGAACCTCAGCCGTGCGACCCGTTTGATTGCCCACAGCACTTCGATATGTCGCCTTGATTGGTCCGCTCCGCCCGTTTGAAACATTATGCAGTCAAGAAGCACCGTGGTCGTCCACCGGCTGAATGGAAACTGGGGAAGCACGGGGTTCCCCCTAGCGGAGGAACAAGCAACCCCCCAAACCTTGATCCCGGAATCCCCAGACAATCCTTCCCCCCGGATGCGGCACCGATAAGTGATTGTCTCACCGAAGCTTTAAGAGTAGACTTTGTCTATATGGGTCAAGAAGAATCAGCAGTTATGGCATAAACAATATCGACTATCCTTATTCAAGGAGCAGGTCTACCTGGCAATCGTCTTGCTCTGTCCAATGTCAACCTGAATAGGTCGGGTCAAGGATCAAGAAGGCTCCACTACGGTTTGTTGCGACATTCTCTGATCTCCACAAGATCTCAGTCCCGCAGTCAGAAGGACCGGCTTGGCCGAGGTTCTACGAAGCATCAAAATGGGGCATATACCTGGAATGCCGCTAATTCTTTTTACCTAAGCAATTTCATACCAGGCAGACCAAGTTGCGGTGTCTTGAAGCTCTCGATCAATCACTCTATCTTCTTACGATGATCAAGAACACGGCTGCGAAGCGGCGTCGCTATCGGTGCGCCGAAGCATGCAGCACTTGCAAGCGCCGCAAGGAGAAGTGTTCAGGCAACAGACCCTGCGCTCGCTGCATCGAACGTGGTGTTCCTCGGACTTGTCAATCTCAGCCTCGGCAGCCGTCCACCCGTCCCACAGAGTCTTATAACGTCAATCGCGAAGGATCTGTGGCCGTCGAGGCAGCCAGTCGAGGTCGGAATGTGGAAGATGGACCATCACGGGAGTCTCTCTATCCTCTGTGCCTGGTGATGAGCAATGGTTCTACGGCTTCTGTTCTCGAGACATCCCGGCTCATACAAGACACCAAAGGCAAATACATGTTCATTGGGGACTCAGCAGACTTGTCGCTGCTTCAGAACGTATGCAGTCTTGTTGGAACATCCATAGGACCGTGTGCGTTCGTCGACGATCCTTTCCGATACCAGATGGTCGAGTCGGCACCTGAGGGCCTCGCGAAATGGAACCATGCGACTGACCACGAACCTCCTGCCAAACCGAGTTTTGATGAGGCAGCCTATTTGATTCGTCGCTATTCATTGGCTACGAATTGTGTGCTGGACCTCTTCGACGAGAGTGACCTCCTCGACAATCTTTCGAATTGGCTTGATGGCCGGTCGGACTACACGTCTGTACTGAGTGCAATATACTATCTTGTGTGTGCCATAGGGGCCCAGACATGTCCAGAGGACAAAGACACACTGGCTAACGTCTACTTTGATTATGGCCGGTATCTCACAGCCTCATATTTCATGGAGGATCCCAGTATTCCAACTGTACAAGCATACGCCATGATCACCATGTACCTGCTTGGAGCGTCGCGAAGGAATGCTGCCTTCATGTACCTTGGGACAGCCGTTCGTGCCGCTTACGCCCTTGGTTTGCATCGGTCTGACCTTGGTGGGCTTTTCAATCCTGCCGAGATAAAAACACGGGAGAGGGTCTGGAAAGTCATGCGTATCCTCGACCTTTTCATGAGCGCCTCGTTAGGAAGGCCTCCGGCGACCGAAGAAACACGTAACACAGAGCTGGGCGAGAATTACTCCCCATCAGTAGATCTATGCGCCATTTTCGAAAAGATCTTGACCGACATATATGCAAAACGCATGATCTCCACTGAAACTCTCCAGAACATCAGCCAGCATCATCGGCGGTGGACGGTGCGCTTTCAAAGCAGTTTAGATACTGACAGCATCAAGGATGAGGAGTTCCTCGAGGGCCGGTTGCCAAACGTTGGCCTGATACACGTCCATGAGGCATACTACTGGACTATCATACTTCTCACGCGGCCCTTCTTCGTGGAATATATCTCCAGTCGCATTGCACTTAAGTCGCAGAATTGCGGAGATGGAGAAAGGAGTCCTGACCCTCTCAATTCTTCTCACCGAATTCAAGTTCATGCATGTGTCAACTCTGCGATCAGCACAGTGAATGTGCTGAGAAAGTTACTTGAGTTCGAAGGGATACCGAAGCGACTTCCTTTTGTTGTCAATTCGATTTTTGTCGCGGGTCTCGTTCTGGGCTTGTCTTATTTTGGCGATTTGTACAAGATCTATCCCTTAGATGACAGACTTTGTACCGCACTGAAGTTACTCGCCCTCTTTCCGCACGATGCTGTCGCAAAAAGGAACTTGGTGATTCTCCAATCGCTACTAGATGCGTGCAGGACCTATGTGATGAAGGAAGCAAAGGAGAACATGGCAATGCACTCTCAATTGGTGAGTGGGATGTTTGGACAGATTCACAAAGCGGATAACGAGGAAGTTTCCTTTATGACAAATACTCCAGAAGGAGATCAATGCTCTGTCGACAACATCGAAGACCCACGTCGACCAAATGTATTCAACCATACAGAGCCACATGATGCTACGGACCAGGGACTGACCGATGTATTCACCGGTGTCAACAGCGGAAATGTTGGGTTGAATATGCTCGACTGCACGGAAATGAACAATATCAATATAGAGGCGATTGCTGGTCTTCCAACTTTCCAGGACGACATTTCGATGTTGCCTGCTATGTCTCCAAGAACATTATGGTTCGGCTCCTACGAAGACAACGTGCCCCTGTTTTCGATGATCGACGAGCGCGATTTTCTGGGCTAAGAGCGAATATTGAGATCACCTCGATACGTTGTCTGCTCAGACATTTGGTTCTGCGATATTGCTAGTGCTTGCTGGCTTGCAGGCCGGAAAGGAAGCTGAACATATAGGTCACCATCAAAACTTGTGGAAAGACCCCGGGAATGTGTCTCTATTAACTTGATGGTCCCAAGCACGATATTTCAGCACGGTGTCTTCGGCTTGACGACCACTTCCGAAGACCGTCGACCTACTATGCATTTGTGCAAGCCAATAAGAGGAAATGCCGAAAACCGATGGTGCTTCCGATGGAACACCCCCCATGTTCCCGACCCCACAATACACTGCCGACTGCATCTTCCTGCTGGTGTCAAGATTCATCCTGGAGCGAGGGATACACCATTCGTCCACGATAACAACGATATTTGCTACGGAAAACCCCTCAGCTATGCGGAGGGCCGGGGGTGGGCCGAGTCGGGTTAGCCCTGTCAGCTTCGATGCACACTCTCAGCCTTGCAGAGACCTGTCAGTTACAGACCACACGTTTGATCTCACAGGCGGCCCTACATCGATCAATTTCCAATCATGGTACATGATCCGAGCGGTCCCTTCGTACATCCATACTTTTAATGACTCCTATTACTACAAAAGCTTTTGTGAACTAGCTTCATTTCCGGTGAGAGAGAAGAACCAGGTGACGAGATTTCTGGTGATCGCATGTATCTCCAAATGTGATAGCCCTTCGGATGGCTTAGACAGAATTTTGCATTTCGGAAACCATGATACGTTGCCCGGTGTTATGGACTTCATCATTCTAGCAGAACTTACGGAGTCGGTCACCTTTGATTCGACACGGCGGCTTTGTCCAACTTGAGGGTTATCAGCCGTCCAGGAGACCGAGTATAGGTGAGATGTATTGGAATCAAGGATGTCCGTTGGTGTTTCCGCACAGAAGCTCCTTGTCCCTCCGTCGGCAACGCCATTCATTGGGCGGAGAATTGAGCTCACCATCTCCTTTATGGAGAGCATCTGGTACTTAAAGCATGAAGATCTTGATACTGAAGTTCAATATGTCCTTCCAGGAGCCTGTGCTTACATCGGCAACGCGTTTAAGTCTTTCCTCCCAATTCCCCTCGAACACTTCAGTTCCTCGTCCAAAACACTGCCCTCGTCCCTGGAACAACGGGGATGGGTTCTTTACCGCCTCCAATCCAGCTCGATGCGCTCATTGTGGGAGCCGGTTTTGGTGGAGTCTACCAGTTGAAAAGACTACGTGAGGAAGGCTACAAGGTCAAGGTTGTTGACAGCGCTTCGAACTGGGGCGGTGTATGGTACTGGAACCGATACCCGGGCGCCCGTGTGGACTCGACGATTCCTCACTACGAGTTTTCAGACCCTTTGCTCTGGAAGGACTGGCGCTGGAAGCAGCGGTTCCCCGGCAGCGCCGAACTTCGAGACTACTTCGCTTTTGTCGCAAAGAGATGGGATCTAGACAAAGACGCCATATTCAATACCATGGTGACGGCGGCTACCTGGAACGAAGAGACTGCCAAATGGCACGTAACGACTTCGACAGGCCAAACTTTTGTTGCGAAGTACCTACTACTGAACACCGGGTTCTCAGCCAAGAGACATGTCCCCGACTGGCCAGGCATCGACAAATTCCGCGGGACCTTTGTTCACCCTTCGTACTGGACTAAAGAGGAACCCGAGCTCAAGGGTAAGAAGATCGCGGTCATTGGCACCGGATCGACCGGCGTCCAACTTGCGCAGGAATTGAGCCAGGTGGCGTCAGACTTTGTGTTGTTCCAGCGAACACCAAACCTGGCACTGCCGATGAAACAGGTCGAATACACCGGCGACGAACAGACCATCCCACACAAGGAGTATCCGGACCTCTTCGCAGGACGGCCAAGGTGCTTCAGCGGGTTTTCGTTCGACTTCCTGCCACGGGCCACCTTTGACGACACGGCCGAGCAAAGAAGGCAGACGTACGAAGAGCTCTGGGCCAAGGGGGACTTCCACTTCTGGCTCGCGACTTACCACGACATGCTCATCGACGAAAAAGCCAACAAGGAAGCGTACGACTTCTGGAAAGCCAAAGTGCGCGCGCGCATCCACGACGCGGACCTCCACGAGTCCCTCGCGCCGGAGATGCAGCCGCACGCGTTCGGTTGCAAGCGCATCTCGTTGGAGAACGGCTTCTACGAGATCTTCAACCAGCCCAACGTCACACTGGTCGACATGAGCCGCACACCGATCGTCGAGTTCACTACCCGCGGCATCCGCACCGCCGACAACAGGGAATTCGAGTTCGACTACATCGTCTGCGCCACGGGCTTCGACGCCATCACCGGCGGCCTCAAACAAATCGACATCACCGGCACCTCTTCCGCCCGGAAACTCGCCCAGAAGTGGGAAACCGGAACAAGAACGTACCTGGGCCTCTGCGTCTCCGGATTTCCAAACATGTTCTTCACCTACGGACCCCAGGCCCCGACGGCGCTCTGCAACGGTCCCACCTGCGCAGAGGTCCAGGGCGACTGGATCGTCCAGATGGTCAAGGACATGGACGCCGCCGGCTACTCCAGGATCGAGGCCAACCCGGACGTGGAAGAGAAGTGGGCACAGGACGTCTGGGAGATTGCCAACAAGACGCTGCTGCCCAAGACAAAGTCGGTAAGTTGATACCTACCCGGTAGCGTGTGCCGTGATTCTTTCTCAACTTTCTGCGTGCCTGGCTTCTTTTCTTCCGGTTGATTGTTGCATTTGAGCTTTTTTTGCTGACGAGTTCGATTGCTGCTATTAGTGGTATATGGGTGACAATATCCCCGGGAAGCCAAGGGAGCCGCTCATCTATCTTGGCGGCGTGGCAAATTACTACAAGACCATCAATGAGTGTGCCCAGCAAGGTTACAAGGGGTTTACACGCGCATAGCATGGGTAGTGGGAGAGAATGCAGGGCTAGCACCAGTCTCGTGTGGAGGTAGAGGGATTTGTTTTGGCAATTCCATAGTCAGCATATCACATTATTCCGTTGCTTGCTGTTGTTGCTATCCGATGCGCTATGCGATGCAGCCTTGGTAATTTGCAAATTCCACCACAGTTGAGATAGCACGCCTCTTCCGTCCAACGCCCAAGTCCAGCACTCCAGCCCCACCGCTAATGGTACAGGGTATCGCCAATCCATCAATCTCGTATTTGAATCCCGATGTGAGAGCCACGTTGTTTCCTCGAGGGGCCAACCCCGGCCATCTGCTCACTGTCCGTTCTGTGCACCGCCAACCATCTTTCTGAGTTCGTATTCTCTGGTGAAGTTGGTCTTGAGGACGTTCAGGTCATTGACCAAGTCGCGGGAACTGGCCAGCACGGCTTCCTTGGGTGTGATTTCGCCGTCGGTCTGGACTCGAAGTTCGAATTTGGCGAAAAGAGGATGGGGGATCTGAAGGGCTCGCGTCAGAATGCTTGTGAATCCGGACTCTTTTCATAACTCACCCGATAGGCGGCGAAGGTGACGTGACTGTTCTTCAAAAGCTTGTCGCGGAGAAGGTTGGCGAGGGTGTGGTCTTCCTTGTTGAAGGTGAAGATAGTAGTGTTTGGAGTGCCTGGAGAGTGGATATTAGTAGGTTCGTAGAAGAATGCCGTCGCTGCAAGTACTCACGAGTGTCGATCTTCTCCTCAATCTTCTTTTCATCATCTCCAAGAAGGAAAGCCTCAGTGCTGGAGAACACCAGTCAGCGCGTGTTAGCCTACACCTCGAACATGGAAAGCAAGTAAACATGTTAGACTGCAGGCAGCGTTTGTGCATATTCAAGGAGGAAACATGCGAAGGACGCAGTCCAGGTATCGTCTATTCTTGTAACTGCGCACCATTCATGTCTGTTGATCTCCTCGTGATGCGTTTGCTCAACGGAGAAAAACTGATAGGGACGATTCGCTGGGTGGTTTCTCCAAGCCAAGCCATCTATTGGTAAGCCACCAGGACCGGCGCCAGGGTATGTAGTGTGATTCGGGCGTGCTTTGGTGGGCGAAGGCCGGGAAGCCGGAACAGGCACAGAAGGCGGGCCAGGATCTTCCGTATCGGTCATTTCGACGATGTCCTTGGTGGCAGTCTTGGTGTCCGTTAATCCATCACTATGAAGCCGTGTCAAAACAAGTCGAGGTTTACTTGGTCGGAGCAGGTCCAAGTCCAGGTTCCAGATATGATCCAGAGTCCAGAAGCCAGAGTAGGCGCGACCGGGGGGAACTGAAACTTACTCGTCCGGGATGTTGACACTATTCGTGTCAACTCCAGCATTGACTCTCCCCATGCGTTTATTCTTTGGATGGTCGGGCCAAAGCTGGCCTTCGACTGGGATAAGTTGGCCAGCGGCAATTCGTCTAGGTGAGAGAGCATCCCGAGGAGGAGTCTTGTCTCCCGTGGCCGCAGCCTGGTTGGGCGAGGTGTCGGACATGGTTGATGACAATATCTCTGACAGGAGGAGCTTGAAGAACAGTTCTGAGAAATGATGAAGGTCCGAAGAAGGATAAGTTGATGGGGAGGCAGATGGCAAAGGTGAGGTCTGAATCCAAGTAGCCTGAGGCAGAGAGGAGCGCCAAGACCAAGGTTCTTTGAGGCAGGCAGTCTTCCAGGAAACCATCACGGCAGCCAACATGGCATTTGGGGGAAAGTCGTCCAAACATGTTATCCAGTCGTTTGAGCTAAATCAGAGGATTGGGACGGTCGGAAGATGTTTGCTCTTTGGTTCGTTTCTTTGTGTGCGATTAAACCACCTCTTAAACCTCCTTCCTCCTCGGTTCCCAAACGGTGAAGTTCCAACAAAGACAACGAGACAGAGCAAGACCGAGAACATGAGGAAATCTGAGGACATACCGGTCGGGGGCGTTCATGTTGTCAAACCAAGCGAGAAAATACCCAAGAAGGTCCAAAAAAGAGTAGGAAAAACAAGAGATTCTCAGTTAGATGGGCTAAGAAAGGGGCGAAGTGTAATATTGGTCAAAATCAAAAGCGTTTCGGGTGAACGAAGAGGTAAAATGCTGATTATCGGGTCGAAGGATACAGAGCGACAGCAACGAGAAGACGGTGTATGTCGGGAAAGAGTGACTCGCCTTCACTTCTGGCGCCATTCATCTGAAAAGTCGGACTCGATGAATAGGGCTGCAAACTATACAAAATTGCCAAGCACCACGTGACCTGGCAGCAACTGGATTCCGCACTGCCAGTTGCTTGTTCGTTGCTTGGTGTTGGTTTCGCTCCATGCAGGGACAGAGTTCAACCAACGACGTCTCCGCAGCATGAGGCATTGCCGTTCTCGAGACCTATTGGGAATGGCCGCTACCAAGCTTGCTTTCCGGCCGCGTGGAAACTTCCATCTGCTGACTCCAGGCTGAGACTTCATTCGCTATCTCGAGCAATGCTGTTCCCGCCTTTGCGATACGAAAACGCTGGTCAAAGAGCTGCACCCTCAGCAGTCCGCAGAGATTTGATATTTGAGTGCGTCTTCTCCCCCACTTGACAGATCTATATCTACGTCCCTGAAGCTGTGTAAGTTGTTTGGGACCACCTTCTGTGCAGCATTATCGCGACCTGCATCACATCAGGAGCTGGCTGAAGCATGACGTCCAATGCGCTTCACAATGACTATCCATGGACATCCCCCAATCACCCTTTGGTCGTCGCGGCACCGATGATGAAAATCACCATGGGTCGTCTGGCCGTCACTGTGTCGGCAAACGGCGGCATTGGCTTCCTCGCGGGTGGATTCGACCTCTCTTCCCTCCTCCAGAACCTCTCTGAGGCAGCGGAATATGCAAAATCCACAAACTTGCCCCTCCACGAGGGCTTGCTGCCCATTGGCGTGGGTGTCCAGAACTGGGGCAGCGACCTCCAGCTCCTGGTTCAGGCCCTGGAGAAACATCCCGTCGCGGCGGTATGGTTCTTCGCGCCCACCCACCTCAGCGACCTCCTCGACTGGGCCAAAGCCATCCGCCACCTCACCGACGGGCGCACCAAGATTTGGGTCCAGGTCGGCACCGTGGCAGAGGCGATTGAAGTCGCCAAGACGACGAAGCCGGACGTCTTGATTGTGCAGGGCTCGGATTCCGGCGGCCACGGACTCGTGCAGCGGGCGAGTCTGCTCACGCTTTTACCCGAAGTGAGAGACGCGTTTGAGAGTGAAGAGATCGACATTCCCGTTCTGGCAGCCGGCGGGATTATGGATGGAAGAGGTGCCGCGGCGGCGCTGGCACTGGGCGCAGACGGCGTCTGTTTGGGCACTCGGTTTCTCGCGTGCAACGAGGCCGTCATCGCCAAGGGTTACCAGGACGAAGTGTTGCGAGTCACCGACGGCGGGACAAGCACCGTCTCGACCACCATCTACGACACCGTCAGAGGCATCCACGGCTGGCCGCAGACGTATGTTGGCCGCGGTGTGATCAATCGGACTTATCTGGACGCGGTGCACGGCGGCATGGGAGACAAGGAGAACACGCAGCTCTACAAGGAGGCGATGGAGATGGGCGATGCAGGCTGGGGTCCCGAGGGCAGGATGACCACCTACGCAGGCACGGGCATAGGGTTGGTGCGAGAGATCATGTCGGCGGGGGATATTGTGCGAAGCGTCCAGCAGGAGGCCATACAGGTTCTGCAGCGGGCTGCCTCGAAATACGGCAAGACGTGAAGATGATTTTCTTGCTGTGCGACTCGGTACGATCTTGGTGGTGGATCGCAGACTCTTTGTTGGATTGGCTTTTTGCCTTGCTCAAATAGGACCTGTAATTTTCGAGCCATCAACGTCCTATCAGGTATTACACTGTCTGTGAACACAGTATCACCCTCGTTGCGACTTTCCTTTCAATGAAACCCCTCCGAGTCTCACGCGAATAACATGGACCCTCGCAGTGCATCTCGCCCCTTTCCGGGCCCTTTTGCTTCGCGTAATCGCAACAAAATCTTGAGCGTGTGGCTTTTCGGAACGGCTTCATTTCCCACTGTGAAATACAACATTTTCTCATGAAGCAGTCGCAGGGACCGGCCCTTCTCCGCCGGGGATCAACTATCCCCAGAATCAGCCGACCGACGTGGGAACAATAAAAAGCGTGCAGTATGAAGATTGTTCCCGGGAGTCGAAGGAAGCTGCAGAGAAAAGAAATAGAGAGGGGATGAAAGGAAAGATAGCCGATTGCTGGGCGACAATGCATCGGCTGGGAAGCAATATGTAGGTGTACTTGAGTATACACTTACCATGCAGATATTATTCCCGTTGAGCAGAATTTTGGGCAGTCGCGTTTGAGCGCCGGTGTAGTCACTTGTTCGGTTTCACGTCAGCCTTGTCATTACTTGAACAAAATGCTCGAATCAAGCTCAAGCTCAAGCCGGAGACGGATGAAATGTGCGCGGAGGAGGACAAGGATATGCCACTGCCAAAGAGAAGGAGGAGAAGGAAACAGAAGAGACTTACAATTCAATCACGTCCTCAAGTACCATGTCTATATGCAGAGAATAGCAAAGTTGCATGTGTTAGCTGGCGCGCCCTGATATTTGCACGCTCCGTTTGGACATTTCCGCTCTCTTATAGGAGATGGATGCCAGAACGGGGCCCAGCCGGGTCAAATACTTACTGACATAGTCGTCGAACCCGATCAAGGTACCGGCGAATTCTGCAGATCGGGGAATTTCAAGGTTAGTGGAATCTGGATCCGAATGCGAGGACCTCCGGGAGATAAACGGAGGGGGAAACAGAAACCCCAGGTTGAAAACGCCCGGTGGAGTGACCAAGGGCCTGCCCGTCGACAAGACGACGCGCGTAGGTTTTCTAGCCTGCCCGAGACCGATAGGTTTTAAACTTGGGTTCCCAGTACGTACCTTTGTCGCCTTTCATGACAATCCAGATCCTCGATCCGACACACTTGTCGATCAATTCTGCTCACCGGAAGCCTGGTCAGCCCTGACTCTTCCCGATGCTCTGCGATAAAGGCGAGACGTGGTTGCTTGTATGGAATATTCCTACCTAACGGCAGTAATTGCGATGCCATGGCTGGTTGCTTGGCAGTGAACATGGATTTGCGCACGGAGAGGGCAGAAAAACGGGGTGAGCCTTGTATCAAGGCGTAGTCATCGAGACTATCGCTGGCTAGCAAAGTTCTAAGAAAGATGATGAGGTCAGCGAGGGAAATAGGTTGCTGGAATGAAAGACGAAAGGACAAAAGTCGATGTCAAGGCTGGATTGGAGAAGAGCATTGCGCCAAGGCCGGAACGGAAAAAGATGAGGCCGATACAAATAGGCCGCGGAGACGACCAGGCACTCGGCAAAGAATGCTAGCGACGAGGATTAGTGGCTTCTTTACCGAGTACCTCATGTTCTACCACTTCAGTCCCCCATTTAGCTCCATCTGGCAGCAGACCGCAACTCCAACTATCGCCTGTATCACGCTAAACACTTTCTCGGAAGGACTCACTATCGGACTGAAGCCGGGAATGCTTCTCTCAACGGACCTATTCAAAGATACCTCGACAACTTCCCAGGCACCATGCCTGGAAACCCGACTAACCATCGATGCCAGACAGCTCCTTCGCGATACTCTCTTCTATCAACCTGGATTGCTGTCGGCGCTCTCTTGCTTCACTCTTACTGCTGGTTGTCACGGACGTGGCCATTCCGCCCGTCGCCATCTATCTCATCACCGGCCACGCCAGGCAGAGCAATGCCATCGCAAAACCTGGTTCTCGTGATCAAGCTTACCGCCCGCAGCAATCCCCCGCTCCGCATGTTGTACCTTTAGAGACCTTCCTGTATCTCTCAAAATTAAGGACGACGATTCCCCGTCCACAGGCTCCCGATACCACGTCAAGATTGTGAGGAGTCAGCAGAATGGCTGATGAAGCAAGATCAATTTATCTCGTGACCATCATCGTATAGGCGGCCATACAAAATGGCATCCCAATCCGGTAAAATTGGAATTTCAGGCATCTCTAGATCCAGAGATGTAAACATATTCGGATCAGACATGAACTCTTGACCTAATTCGGGGAATATGGAGGTTCCATCCGCTGTTGCTGTCATGCCGGTGGGCAGCGGGATCTTAGGATCGGGGTGAAGCTGCGAAGGAAGCTGCTCAACACTGCTCGCCGGCTGGGTCCCGACCTTTGCACGGGCCACGCCCAGCTGGACTTGTCGCCTCAGCGATAAAGCTTGATGTCGCATCAGATTGAGACGTCTCCAAATCCTGCCGTGCCCATAGTCATCCTGAGTCCCCATCGAATGACTATGGAGACTCATTGCACGAGGGAAGAGTTCGTCGATCAAAGTCCAGGCACGTTCTGTCTGAACCCCACAAGGGTTACCGCAGAGACAGCGCAGAACGTAGGCGAGGGCGTACCACGGCGTATACAGGTTAAAGAACCATTTGAATCTCGAAGCAAGGCCTTCCTTCAACAAAACGTAGGTAATCTCCAGCCCATCGCAGGCCAACTTGAAAGATGACCTGAGCACGTCAGAAGTCGGGTCATCTGGTGCACCTTGTTGCTGTCGCACACTAATCTCCTGTAGCTGCAGCACGAACTCTAGTTTCTTGCGAGCGGCCTCGCGATGTTGATATGCGATGCGCGATAGAGGGGATTTCGCCCCGTCATATTTGGCTGACAAATATTCGCCACGCTGCTTCATCATCTTGCGCTTATCTGTGATACTAAGGAGAGCATCTACAGGATGCTGGTCTCGAGGATCCAGAATTGGGTGGAGTAGTCGGCACGACTCGGTTTGAATGAGAAAGAAAGACATGTCCGTCCAACCATCCGACTCCATTGGCAAGTGTGTCATGTCTGGACAGATTTGATCGTCATTCACATTCAAGGGAAGCCGCAATTTCGGGTTCATGATATCAACTGTGGGTTGAAAACCTTGATCCTCCGGTGCACGAGACTCGAGCACACATAGATGCCACCAGAGACGAAGACGCATTTCGCTTTCAAAGAGGCTTAGTTGGAGGCAGGCACCATCTAGGTGCAAGCCAATTGATTTGGCGAGGCGGATGGCCAGACCATTGAGGACCCATACCCGCCGGCCGACTTCATGGGCCCGTAAACAGGTCTAAAATTTGAAGTGGTCAGTCAGATAGGCCAACCGAGGAGGGACACATGATCGATTCCAAGGCTAGCCTCAGTACTTACGACGTAAATTGCGAGAGCCTGTAGTGAGGTCATTTCAAAGTGAATCAGGAGGTCATTGACTGTGAGAAGTTGGTCCAAGCATGCTTTATAGCGGCTCAAGAGCGTTAGCCCCTCGCAGGGTAGGTGAATGGGTTCATTATTGGTACTATCGTGAACGAGGGCTGTGACGGTGGCATAATAGATGGCAAACGTAAGCGCCACTGTTGAAGGTTGTGCAGATCGGGGGTCCAGAATGGTTGCAACAACAGTAGTCTGGACAGTCGGTACATGCAGAATCTTAAGGACCGGGTCGACCGACTTGACGTATATGTTCCACAATTGAAGGGCTAGCTGGGTATCAGGGTAGAATTTCAGCACATCGGAAAGCTTGTCGAAAGGATCACAAGGATCTGCCTGGGGAGGAAGAGTGTGATGAGCTTTTATACTCTTCTGAAGATGCAGAGGTGCTGTTTCGGAGTCATTCGGTTGAGTCATATGAATGTTTTCTCCCTGACGTAAACATTACATTAGCTTGAGCCTTGGACGCCTCTGTATGAGACGTTCAGAGATGGGAGTAGAACTCGAATGAGCTCTACGCACCAATCCAGACTCACATCCTGTGGTAGCCTTTCGAAATTCGAATTGCTCGCATGCCCGGCAACTCGTTCATCATTCAATAATAGCTCCCATGTCGTCTCGTTGTGGAGTTGTTTTGCAGTTCTGGTTGTATCGACATTCGTCCTAGATTGAGCCTGGATTTGAGTCTGAGGCTTTTCACCGCCACCACCTGCGGATGAACCTATGGTGACCTGACCGCTTTCAGCAGATCCCGATAGTAAAACTTCCAGTCGTTCCAGGCGGTCGGCTATGTTTCGGAGAGTGGGATCTTTCCGTGCCACGTCAGTGTGCTTCGTGGGATACACACAGGGAACACCACCCCTCGTGCAGTTAGTACAAGGCACGCCGCGGTCGCAGCGGACCTTTCGCTGATGACAATTCCGACAGGAACGTGCCCCTGCTCTGTGACTTTGCGGGGACGAGCTCCGAAATGGGTGTGCCGTGTTCTTGTTGTCGGAAGAGGTAGAGGGCCTCTTTTGGACTCTTGCCATGATTTATGCACACACTGTTCATTGTTCACACTTTGGGAAAGGGCCTGCGCAGGAACAAAATTGTCATTGATTCCAGCAGCTGTGCAAAGATGGACTCCTCCATCTCTCCATGTCTCGGTGCCGAGAGGTCCGCAATCTTGTCTGCTTCACCGGCTTTCTCGGTGTGCTGGCTCCGAATTCCCTGGAGCTAGGGATGCTGGCCAATCATCTTTCAGCGGCGACGGAGGAATAGATCTACGGCTGTACATACTATCCAGCAGCCTCATATCCCTGTATCCCGAACAAGACAAAAAGGGGAAGAAAGACCAAAAAGGTGTGAGAGGAAATCCGCTGGTTGTACTACTAGTATAAAGGTTTATCGTTGTCACTCCAACCCGTCAATCAGAATGGTAACAATCCGCACTTCACAGACTAACCTGTGTCTTCTATTCACTTCTCGACAGCAGACAGCCTCTTATTTGACCTCATTACGCATCGGCGATAGTCAACTCCATTCATCATGTCAGATGTGGTTGTCGAGAAAGGTGCCAACGGAAGGAACAGCGGCTCCTCACCTACTTCAGGTTCAACGAATGAGCCAGATGAACCCCACAGGCCCATAAATGCGAAGAGCTGGAGTTTGGGGATGAAAATTTATCATACTGCTATTCCTTGCTTCTTGGCCTTTTTGATGTAAGTCTTGAACAAGCCAAGGGCCACGTTATATACTGCTGACCAAGTCATGATCAACTGAAGCACGTTTTCCGCATCCGTCACAGTTCCTGCCACTTCTGCATTCATGGCCGAGTTCAACATCAATCGTACCGCAGCCCTCCTCCCAGGAACCCTATACATGCTGGGTTTGGCATTCGGCCCCCTCATTATGGCGCCCCTCTCAGAGTTTGTTGGTCGTCGTTGGCTGTACATGGTAACCTCATCGAGCATCATTGCGTTTGCAGGAGGTTGTGGAGCCGCACAAAATTTTGCCACACTTTTAATCTGCCGGTTTCTCTGTGCATTTTTGGGATCAGCTGGAGTTGCTATCGGTGCGGGAACAATCCTCGATGTTTGGGGTACGGAAAAAGCTGGAGCGTTGGCAAGGCTTCTCTTCATCTGCGGTCCTTTCTTGGGGCCGTCACTGGCCCCACTGACAGGAGCATATGTTATGCACGAGTACCACGGTGATTGGAGATGGACTCAGTGGGTGGTAGCCTTGATCGGCTCGCCCATCTGGATTTTAGTCCTCTTCATGAAAGAGACTTCTGACTCTCGGGTCCAACACAGTGCTAAACACTCAGGCCGTTTCCGCCTGGTGCAATTGGCCTTGTCGACACTCAGGGCGGCAGTGCTCCGTTCAATGACCATGCTTACCACGGAGGCTATTGCATTCTCAATAACTCTATACACTGGATATGCATATGCAGTGGTTTTCAGCTTTTTTGCGAGTGCCACTTATGTCTATGAACTAGACTATGGTTTCAACACTCGACAGATTGGCCTGTCTTTCATCAGCGTGGTCGTCGGTTATGGTCTGGCTGCTGTCATGCACATCATAGTTGACAAGACGCTTTATGCTCGAGCTGTGCGGCAAGCATCAGGTGGCCGTCCAGCACCGGAGCACCGACTGTACGCCGCTATGATTGGAAGCATCTTCTTGCCCATTGGACTCTTCTGGTTCGTTTGATATCTTCCTGCCGACCGCTGAAATCAAGATTTCAGTAAGCTAATATTTCCCGCCCTTCTTAACACTGCAGGTACGCATGGGAGACTCACCGAGGCGGCCAATGGGCAGCACTTATGGCAAGTGGTATCCCTTTTGGTCTTGGTGCTTTTATCGTGTTTGTAAGTAGTCCATTCTCCCTCGAGCTCGTCAGAAATCTCTTACTGAGTCACTTTTGCTTCAAAGCTGTCCTCGATAATGTACCTTGTTGAGTCATACGGGGCTGGCGTTGCTGCATCTGGTAAATTCCCTTCTTTTTTTTTGGTTTTGCATTATGTGGTTTAGTACTCATTCTGTAACAGCTCTCGCTGCGAATGGATCTTTTCGATACCTTCTCGGAGCAGTGTTCCCTCTATTTACAATTCAGATGTATGAGAGATTGGGTATCCATTGGGCCGGATCTGTGTTTGCTTTCCTATCTTTGGCGCTCCTTCCCATTCCCTGGATACTCTTCAAATTCGGCGATCGGCTCCGCAAGAACAGCCGTTTCATAGCGTCTGCATGAATGGAGTGGTAGAGGTACATAACCAAACACTGTATTATACTATGGCGCTGTGGACTCAGCATGCCTTGTCGATATTCTCCCAAATTGGTGCCACGAGCTCCCACTCAAGAGTATTGATAAGATCGAGGAACAATGCGCAAGAGAATCCTCACTCGGTAACAGCTTCACTCTCGCCCAAACAGACTATGCTGGCCTTGAGCTGCCGATGACGTGGTCAATGCTGGGAGACTGAGAGATTTCCACCGTCTATAGCTCGACACATGTCGGAAACCATTTGTATCAGTGCAACATTGCTCCTTTTGCCAGAGGCGAAGCAATACTCATCTCCCACCTCTTCTCTCGCGAAGGACAAGCTACTTGAGACTTGCTTATGCTGGTGATTATCACGATATATGTAAACGTAGTAGGTGTCATAACCTTGGATGAACTTGACTCGTGTTCACGTAGCCGTGGACTTTGAGACAACTGATTCTCATCCGAACAAAAGACTTCATGACGTCTCGTACAAAATGATCGCCGAAGACAGACGTGCGGCAATAGCCCTGGATAACCTGGATCTGAGCATCAAGGTTTGTGGGCTCTCAATATGCTTCTTCGGCCAGGGACAGGATAGCTGCTTGGGAGAATCTCGAAAATCTTACTTTCCAGCCTGCACAATATTGTCTCAGTGGCCGAGGTCTCCGTTACGTCCAGGAACAGGAAGCTAGCATGAATGCTGCTGGTGGTAAAAACACGCCGGCGGGCGCTTCGGAGAAGCTGGCCGTCCTACGAAGAGAGTTGCTGATACCATTTATGGAGCCTTGTTGATCAAAACACTAACATCGCTAAAAGATGTACGTACATACAATGTGGAGATTCATATGACATGCGAACAGCAAAATAAATCATCAGCCCGCCGGAGGTCGGCACCAGAAGGTTACCACCTATCAAATAGCCCTGTACAAGTCCATGTGCGTTTTGAGATATTCTTTTCGTCTCATCTTGGGCGGAGACCAGGTCGCCGGAGCCTATTTATTTGAATCTTTCCGTTTTTGGCTTTTCCATTTGTTCGAAGTGCGAAACTTCTCGCCTTTGGAACTGGCGACGAAGTATGGTCTACACTGGGGCCATGCGAGGGTCCGCCAACCTGAACAGGCGGCCTGGTTGGCCCCGGTTCGTGGTACAGCCCCTGTAGCATCTGAGCAGCCGAAGCTCGTTTCCCAGAATCTAGAATGGCCATGTCTTGAGGTCAACCAATTTCCCGTTTTTCGCGGCAGCTAGGACGTCGTTGATCGACTCCTTGGGTGTGCGAGGGCCTTTTCCCTGGTAGCTATCCACGTCAATAACGTAGGCTATAGTGACGAAGAGAGACCAAACGTCTGCTTTTGAAGTTTGGGGACCAAAAGTGTCGTACAGAACCTCAGGGGCTGCATATGGGAGCGTTCCCACCAGAGTCCTGGCATTGCTCGCGAATTTTGACACGCCAAAGTCCGCGATTGTGAAGTGGAAGTTGAATTTTCCCGTCCTGGTGAAAAGGATATTTTCCGGTTTGAGATCACGATGCACGATATTCTGGGTCTCGAGATAGTCGATCCCCTTTAGGACATGATGAAGGAGGAAGTCGGCTGGGTGTGGAAAAATTGGTTGCTCGAAAACCTTTTGATGAACCAAATCTTGGACACTCCCATCTTTCAGGGCCATGAATATGTCGACATGTTCCAAGACCGGCTGAACACCTATATACCCCACAATATGCGGCTATTATGGTCAGTCAGGTGGTATCTAGGGAAAGAAGGGGAGGACTGACATGAGACAGTTTGGCTAGAATTTTGATTTCCCGCTTCACCGAATTCCATTCCATATCATTCTTGCAAGACGCCCGATTGTTCACGGTTTTGACAGCCATAAGCATGCCAGAGTCTGCTGCAATCGCCCTCCAGACTTCCCCGAAGTTACCCGCCCCTAAGCGGTTGAGTCGAGCACACCTGAACCTTGAACTTGACGCAGCCTGTGTGTGAATCCTTGTAAGGTATCTAGAAGATGCCGCAGTTGGCGTATCGTCCACCGTCCGCGCGAGACAAAGATTTTCAATTCGAGTTTTCACAATGTCTTTCCAGTTGTGGGCTTCTTTGTGCCATACCAGCTTGAACAGAAGTACTTGGCATCCAGCACCAGCCATACCCAAGGTGGTGTTCACACCTTTGGCAACAATGACTCGACGGGTTTGGCCTGACAAGAAGGGTATAGCATTCTCGCCGAAGACCTGGGTCGATTGAGTAGTTGATCGGTCGGAGAGGAGCACGGTGCCAAATTCTTCATGGATCTCAAAAGAACACTGGATGCGCGAGATACTTGAACCTTCCAGTGTGATGTCTGTGCCACTGCGCCCAAGTGTCGCCAGGGTATAGTTTGATGGTGAATTGACTTGCAGACCCACATCAATTCCGAAGGTTTCGATGCCATTCTCAGGATCTGTGAAGACGGAGACGAGGTGAATGTTGTGCGGATGTTTCAAGGTGGCTGCAGCCTCAGCATTAAGGGGCACGAGCGAAAAGAGCGCATCAGGATGAGGCTTGGATTGTGGCATTTTGTTTGGAGTGTTATGGAACGTACAGGGAGATGGCTTCTTGAGTAGAGAAATGGATTGAAGTTTGAATGTTTGCTCGCTCTTAATGGGAAGAAAGGCCATGTAATAAGACTTTCGCATCCCAATCTAAAGACATGGGCGACAGATAGCTCCAGGCTCCTATTTGAAGACATGTTTGTCAGATAGCAGCACGATGTTTCATGAGTAGAGGGCTAGGAACACTATTTTGAAGATATCTTTACTAGATAGTAACACGGTGTTTCGTAGGCAGGAGGCCCAAGACCCCATTTTGAAGACATGTTTGGCAGATATTAACACGGTATCTCTTGAGCAAAGGGCTCGAGAAGCGTTCGACTGAGCGAGATACCGTCTAGGCGCTCCAGCCACTCCCTTTAACGCTAGGTGGAATGTCTCACGGAGGTATTTCAAATTGCTACGGACGGCTCTTAAACAGCTCTGCGTACCAATCTCATGAACAAAGAAGCAAGGGGTTCTTGCAGATGGGCCAAGACTTCCATCCGTTGGCCTCATAAAGTCGCTGGAATGACCAAGTGTCTCCCACGTCTTTGTTTCACCCACAACTTTCATGATGAGCTCGGAATCCGCAACTTTCTCGATGAACTCGGGACTCAGAACTTTCATAAAGGACAGGGGACCATCGTCCACAGTGTGTCCTGAAAAGCTCTTCGCAGCCCTTGAGAGACTTCAGAACAGACCTGATGATCTTGCCCGCGATCGAGCCCGACTCAATGACACATTGCCCCCACCACCATGCTCGTCAGGAACGACGACAGCGTTTCCCAGCCTTTGCGGCTCCCCCGCTCCCCCTCCCGGATTCGAGGGGCGGATTGAGCACCGTAAATCAACGCCCTGGGAACAATTCCGCCACCAGGTTGACAAGGAGAGGGCACGGATCATTGAGCAATTCGACCGGAGGTGTAATAGACGAAAAGAGACGTTGCGGTATGATGATAAAGTCGGAGGCTACACCGATAACGCACAAAACAATGTGAAGAATCACTGGATTGAGCAAGGTATCTGGGACAACAAATGGACCATATGGTGGGTGGGCTGGGCATGGATGCATGAAGGAGAGCCTGAACCTGTCAAGGAATACTCACCGGAGCCTGACACTGGTTCGAAGCCTCTTATCATTCCTGATCCTAGTCCGTTCACCCCATCGATAGAGAAGCCGGAAAGGCGTATGAGGATAAAGCCGGTGACTGAAGAACAACGAGCGGCACACATACAGAAAACTGCGGCATCTCGCCCTTACCCACAGTTTCTCTACCAGATCTCCAAAGAGCGCGAGTGGCTTGAAGATGAGCCGTTTAGGGGCCCCATTAATTTGAACCAGGTCGCATACCAAAATATCAAAAGAAGTTGGGTCGAGCAAAACATATGGGATCCCGAATGGACTGATATGCCTGGAGATACTTGGATGCACGAAAGCCTTGCCCAAAATGAACCCGAGAGGTCGAATGACGCAGTAGATGCCTCAGAAGGGGCGACAAGCTCGCATGTTGTTGACAACAATGAGGGGCAGCCTCAACCTCTTTTTCCATCTTTCCTCCATGGCCCGGCGGTAAGCACAACGAATGTGCTTAGAAGAAACGAAGAGGCGCGAATACGGAAATATCCCCAATCTCTCTATTCATCTGTCCTCTTTGGCGTGGCAGCAAGCGCAACGCATGTGCTTCGAGGAAACGAGGACGCTCAAATAGGGGACGACGAAATAGGCACGCATCATGAAGACGGCGGCAGCCTTACAAACATGAACCAAGTATCCTTTCCCCTTCAATTTGGGCGGAGAGGGTGTGTTGAACATCCTGCTCCCGGAACATCACCTCCATCTTGGCTGATTCAAATGCTCAACGACGATGACGACGATGACGACGACGACGACGACGACGACGGTGGCTTATCAGGACTGCACCAGCCGAGCCCAGTTGCAACACCTCCCCGACAGATCAAGGCTAGATTTGGCTTCGCCGCCCAATACAATTCCTTGGAAGCAGACCCCAGCGGCACAACTACCTTTAGCAAAGAGAGATTACCTCAGGGACGCAAGCATATCGGTGGCCGAACTGTCGCGGCCGGCCACACTTGTGTGCGAAAGGGCAGAACTGGTGTGGTGGACCATGCCGAAGTACGTCGCAGTCGTCGGGTCGTAGAACGATGCGGGACGGACAAGAGCACACCCTACGACAAAGATCCACGTGGCTCAATGCCCCGACCTAAGAGAAGCCAGCGGCTCAAGAAAGGTCAGACCAAACGAATGGTGTGATTATTCAAGCAGATCCTCATGTCATAGTATTTCGTTACCTGTCCCATCAGGGATATTGGAATCCACGGAGTGGCTTAGAGATGAGGACTCGTGGACCGACTCATTCCATTCAGTGGGCAACAACCAAAGTGCTAATGCAGATGATGCAACATACCAATTCCCTTGCACTGGCGGCTGTGAATATTAACTTTCCAAGGGAGCGAAGGAGAGGCGTGCTGGGAGGGGGTCGCACGAGTGGAGCCGGAACCGACTAAGGCAACCCTTAGCTACCTACTCGGAACGTAGCGAGTAGGTAGCTAGCGGGTGGTTAGTTTGGTTTCCTTTCGGCCAAAAGAGCACTAGCCGCTGGCTATATACGAAGGCAGTTGGTGTCCTCCTATGCACCGAGTACGCGGACCTGGTGACTGGGCTCCGGGAGCCATGTTGTGTGTATCTATCAAGCAGGAAAAATTTCAAGGAGCGGAACCACCAAGCTGCGCTGATGAGCAGAAATCTAATCCAATACCAGAGCCGCCTCCAGAGTTGTGTCATACAGGAAGCCCCGAGGGCCAAAAGACGAACAGAGCCTTGGAACCGCTGAGTCGTCTCCAAGAAACAAATTTACACAAGCTGTATTTTGGGTATATATGGACTTTGATTTCGCGCCGGGTCCTGGGCCTCACCTCCGTCTCATTACGAGATATTAGCCCATCGACGAATGACAATGACAAAAGACGAGAGCGGGAAGGAAGCCACCTACAACTACCTGGCAGTATCAACCTCAGGCCCGTGAACGCGCACGGCTATGGATGATGCAGGAAACAATGTCCTGAACTACTCATCATGCTTTGGCGGCCGCGCAAACCCTTTATCATGGGGAGCTCGTTCAGAGGATTTTTGCCCGCACTGCGCAGTCGAATGAGATAGGATTACCATACCCACAGATTTCAACAGGATTTCTTCCCGAGATCGACGCCAATTGAAGTGTCCGGCTCGGTGGTGCGGGATGTTTGTAGCCATCATCATCAGCAGGGCTGTTCTACTATGGCCGGCCTGCAAGCCATGCATTGGATGTTGTTCTGTCGCAGGATGGAAGGGCGCCTGGGATTAGCACCCTCACATTGGCACTCTAGATCAAAGGTCGATTTCCTGGATCTTCGAGGATAGAGTATTAATATGAATGTCACAAACTCGGAGCGTTATGTATATGTGCCTACTATGATTATGAACGGGATCCCTGATTGTTTCATCGCCACAAATTTGTCCAACGCCACGCTTTTGTTCCATCCTGTGATAGTGTTTCAGACCCAACCGCCTGGTAGGCCACCTTCCGCTCATCATAACCAATCTCATAACTCGTCATTCATAAAGGTTGCATTATATTTGCTTCTTGACCAGTCCCAAGGGTCTCCGCCTGGAACGCAGAGACCAAGTCGCCAGAAATAGTCACGATGAGCGAAGAACAGCTGCCAAAACTTGTACCGCCGACTTATCTCCCACATTTCCTTGACTTCGGAGGCCAAGTAGTCGTCTCCCTGGGCCGCAGCTCTTACCTTGACGGTTGAGATGCTTTCGGCAATACAAGCGGGATCCTCATCGCCCACGCAATGCCGGATATCAGCACGGGCAGGAGGCAGCGAGGGTTTGGAGATGTATATCTCGCCAGCGTGCATTCGGTAACCCCATTCTTCCAGTGGCAAAAGCGGCACTGGATCATCCACATGTGTCACCCTGCGGTACGTCCACTCGTCTGGTCTGGTGGTATTCAGGTTGAATCGTTTGTCGATGAATTCATTCAGAGCCAGATTTCCGACCCGTGGCTCGCCAAAGGTTGTGACATGAGGTTCCCATCCCCTCGCTTGAAATTCCAGAGACGCCAACGCTGCAACAGCCCCTCCAAGAGAATGGCCCACCAGCACTAGTTCGTAGTCTGGGTGATCCTTCAAGGCCATTTCTACTTGCGGGATGATGATGCAGCGTGTGTTTCGCCAAGACGTCATGAAGCCCGAATGTACGGTGCAGTTCGGACACTCGACCTGAACCACACTCCTTCTCTCCGGCTGCTTCAGTAGTTGTGGAAGGATCGGATCCTTTTCATTTTGCCATTGCTCGGTAGTGCAGAAGGAATCATTATCTCTCTCGGAAGGGAAAGGGGCATATTCGGCTGGGTTTGTCGACAGGTCTGCAATGGTGTTTGCGATGGAGTAGGTTCCTCGGAAGGCGACAATGACTCGCTTTGGGTAGGGAGGATGCGACAGGGCGATGTAGCCAGATGAGTCGGACAGAAGAGGACCGGTATTCCAGGTGGTGACGAGTTCGAAGCCCTCAAAGTCGCTACATCGACTCAGGCATTTGAAGGGCTTCTGTATGCCCGTCGTCCCGACGCAGTAGGATATGTCGACAATGCGAGCGAGTTCTTCCAGGGACTCAAAGGTCTGTTGGGAGATTTCGTTGTCACTTGCCCGCAGATGCGCCGGAAACGCTCCACCAGCTGCTATCCATGAGAATACCCAGAAAAAGGACCACAAGCGAAGCATTGGAAAGTCTGATTATACGGGAGAGGACGGCGAGGTGAGAATGCCTTTCATAGGGACAGCGAAGAGGGCAGGACGAAGTCCTACATCGATGATCAATATCTGGGGAGAAGAGAATCAGTGGCACGAGGGCCGGTCGGGTGAGGGTATTTGGATGCTCGTATTTCGTATTTTGCTCACATGACGTTGACGTCACAGCCTCCTTGTTCCTGGCGGCTCCTGCCGCTATATCCGCCCTCAGGCTCCTTATGCCTAAATAGGTAGTATCCACTTGCCGCCCATGCCACAAGGCTGCCAGTAATCCTATCTGACACACGCATCTCTATCTGAGATTTCCAGTAGATGGAGCACAGGCCCTAAGGTGGGGACTCCACGGTATGGTCCGTTACAGAGCGAAGATACCCACACTGGACCAATGAAATCAACGAGTGGCGGAGGAAAGTAAAAGTGTTCCTCCATTTTGAGCCAAGGATCTTTGTTTATATTGCGCCTCCGGGCGAGTAAGAACATAGTTTTATAGCTGAGTCCCTCCCTCATTACCAGAAGCATCAGTCTCACTCAAGTCTTCCTCGTCGTCTTCGTTTTCGTCGTCAAAGTTTGCAAAGTCATCGGCTGGTTCTTCGCTGCTCTCGTCTCCTTCCTCCTCTTCATCACTGGCCGATGAGTCTTGTTCTACACCTGGCTCAGGTGAACCCTCGCCACTCGCTGCAGATTGGTCAGCCTTCCTTTTGCCGGGCATCTCGCCTAGACGTCCTTCCCTCCCTTCGATCACTTCCGTCGAAGGATCATCATCTGTCCCCTCGGCACCCTCTTTCTTTGGGGGCGGTGTGAACCAGGGGATCTTTCCACGCAGGAAATCATTCAAGACCATCTTGGCAACACCATCCACATCGGGCTCGCCACCTTTCAACAGTCTCCCACCCTTTCTTGCTAAAATACTGAGAAATTCAACCGGATCGTCGTTGTAATCGGAAGCCTTGATGTCGTAGGTCCGTTCGATATGGCGGGTCTTCGTTCGCCTCAGAACCGCCTCAACATATTGTGCAGGATGTTCGACATTCTCCACACGCACCACTCCACGCAGCAGAATGTCTTCTTCGGTGTCGCCTTGACTCGGTGGAACAACTCCAGGACAATCGATCAGATAGATTCTCTTCATTAATGTGATGTATTGCCAAACTTTGGTCTCCCCAGGAATTGGAGCAACTGTACAAACTCGCTTCTTTCGTAGCGTGTTGATGATCGAGGACTTGCCGGTGTTTGGATACCCGATGAAACCCACTGAGATCTGCTTTCTCGACGAATGCAACGTAGAGAATTGCCGCAGCAACGTGATGAGCGAGCCTTTCCCAAAGGAATTCGTCATCGACGCGTGAAAAGCCAGTGTAGGATATTCTTTTGAAAGGAGCCTTGTCCATTGAGCCTAAAATCTTGGGATTAGTATGGATGTGTGAGACATTACTAAGAGACGTGCCACAGACAAAAAGCAAACCTCAACTCAAACGAAACACGCCTTGCGCTCTGATGACAGATATGCTTCCAAGACGGATGCAGTTGTCGAGAACCAGCCGTAAGGATGGCGAGCGCGGCTCGATGTACCAAAGCTGTAACAGGCTACTTTCATTGAAGAAAGGTTGCGGTAACGCGGAAAGCAGCCTTGACTTAGCAATGGAGAGGAGAATACTTCTGTGGGTGTACTTGTGGGGCTTGCGGGAAGTTGAATAGAAGAACAAAAACTTACCGCTATGCTCGTCGGCACCAAATCGCATTTGTTCAATACGAACACCAAGTGCTTGTGCGGTGCCTCCTCGCGAATATATTTTTCCACGCTCCTACATCTTGTGCCCTCGGGGTCTCGAGCATCCAGCACGTGAATAACGACATCGGACGAGTCAATGACCTTGTACAGCTCGTTCCATATCCTCTTGCTTTGGCCTTTTGAGAAGATTGGTTCCCGGGCACTCGTGAGTTCGCCGTCTTCTTGCCCCTGCATCTGTTCCGCAGTCTGTCCGCTCAGCAGTTTGTTCTCCTCCAGTCGATCGAGATAGTTGTCGTGCATCTTTACCGACTCGTCAGCCAAATCTGCCACTGAGCTTGCACTGAGCTTCACGCGCTTCCGCTGGGACTTTGGTCCAAAGGTGTCGGCAAAGGGAGCCGACTCCACTGCAATCTTGGCCTGATGTTGTTTGATTCCGTTCTTGGTGTTCTCGGCATCTCGAATCAAGCTCATAGGTAGTTTGTTCGTCTTCAGAAGGACCTGGTATGGGTCCGCTGCTCGCTCTGCCACAGCTTGTCTGAAGGAGTCGAGTGCATCTTGAGATATAACTCTTGTGTTCCCAAACCACTTCCGATTAGGCTCGACTCGGGCCTTGGGAATTTCGCGGGACTGGTAGGAGGCGGCTTTTGTGATTTTACCTTCGGCATTCCGCTGTGCTTTGCCATCTTTCAGCATATTCAAGGTCTTGAGCTTTTTGGCATTGCTGAGAACCTGTTGTCAGCATAGGTTGTCCAAGTTTCGCCCACTGCATCTGCACGCACCGATAGAAGTTCTCGCCCTTGACCTTGACGTTTGCCATGCCGTCTGTCGACTGCCCCTGCCGCTCACGGCGGGAAGCTTCTTTCTTTCGAGCACCCATCTTCGTCAAAGCGATCCTGAATAAGGTGGGAAGAAGGCAGAGCGCAGGCAGTGTCTAACAAGTCAGACCCAAACACAGAAGCACTCCGCAGTTGGCGAAAAAAGTTGAAATTTGCGGTTAAACTTCGGGGGAGCAACGGCAGCCCTCGCGCCTTGGCACGTCGGGATCTTATTATGGAGATCCTAAAGCACCGCCGCTTTAATGAATATCGCGTCTGCCTCCTCTTCAACCAATCAGAGCATGGGTTGTCAGCGGCTCAATAAGGGTGGCTATGAAAACTATGAAATACGTATTACCTTCCCCTGTGAGACTGTATGTAGCAGGACCTTGTCAGACGAGGCTGAGTGTCGTGTTAAGATCAACGGCGAGTGATCCACGAGGCTGTCGACCCCTGACTGTGCCAATATTGATTACCTAGGTACTGATTGTAAGCAGCAGGGACACTTCCACCGGCGTCTTTCTCCCTACTTCGGTGGTAGGGAAGGGACCTTCATATTTTCTTCTTTACTGGATCGTCAACAGCCATATGTCGGTCAGTAAATGCCGACTGCTCATGGTCAAGTCATACATGATATCCTGCTTAATAGTCGTTCAATTATTCTGCTATATCTCGTAGTGAGGTGAGCTTCATCATCTTATTATCGCCCAACGAATAGTCAAGCTATCCCCATTCTCTTCGCAACCGTCAAAGGCTACGTTGTCGTAGAACGCCTTCTTAGAAAGGCCCACTGTGGTCCCCACAAGCTCGACCCAATGTCGCACTCCCGCTCCGGATATAGCAAACCTTCTGCTTCGCGCATGCCGCGGTAGAGCAACTCTCTGTCACCACGCTGCTCTTGGTCTCGAGTAGGTTGTACAACTCCACCAAAGTCTGATTGGTCAACATGCTTTTTGTGACGCCGTCCCAGAATGTCGCGTTCAAGGGAGCACTGGACGGCCACCTTCCAGAGGAACTATTGTGAGCGGCTGCGATCCCATAGGTAGCTCTAGCATCGTATTCAAATTTCCATTCGGGGGTGGTCCAGCTGTTCGCCTCGCTAACGTTGGCGAAATATGTTTGAATACCTGTGATGGAGAACGTCGACGCATCGACCTGATAGAGTTGATAACCGGCGTTGTTTCCGGTCAGAGGCGTGATTGATGGCCCGATATACGCAACTGTCAACGGCTTAGAGTAGTCGACCATGGTGGTATTCCGATATGTTTTGCCATTTGAGGTATATGTGCTGTTGGGGAGGAAATCATAAAAGATTTGGATTTGGTCCTCGTGGGTGTGGCCAAAGAAGACACCAGCGATCGTTGCGGGGGAAAAGCGCACAACAATGCTATAGAAGAGTGCCGAGGGGTTGAGAACGGCGTTGCTCCCGTCATATCCTGAAGGGACATGTCCAATGATCCACGCACGTTGGCCTCGGGCTTCGCATGCAGCAAGCTCGGATGCCAGCCAAGTCAACACGCCCGAGGTGTCGGGATTCGTAACATTCCAATAGTTGAAGATATTGTCGACGTACCAGAAGTCAGTGTTGATCGAGATGATGCGAAGACCTTGGGCGGTGGTGTGTGCGTATGCACCATAGTGCGTCGAGGCGTAGTCTTGTTCGGTGCTGTTGATCCAGCCGGAGTTGCCCCAGAGGGAGGAGAGGAGCTCGTAGTTCCAACCAAATGCATTGGCGGAAGCAGCCGTTGAGCCTCCAGGGTTGAGACTATTTTGTGCTTTTATAGAGGTTAGCGTTTCGTCAGGAAAGCGAGACAGTGGTTTACTGACTATTCCATGCTTCTGGAATGGAATCGTGATTTCCTAGGGTAGCATAAACTGGAATGTTGCCCAGTTGAGCCTTAAAGGTTTGGTAGGTGACCGTTTCCTCATATTCGGCATATTCGCGAGATATCTGACTATCTCAGCTTCTCACCTTGAACGCTTTTCCTGGGTCTTACCTGGTCATCGTTATCATGCGACAGAATGTCACCAGTGAAGATTGTGAATGAGACATTGCTCAAATCGAAGAACTGATGCATGCTCGTAAATGAACTCAATGCTAGATCGGGAGGCGAATCGCAGTAAAGGTAGCCTTAAAGCAGTCAGCGACAAGTTATTGGCTTCAAGGTTGGGACCAGTACCGAAGCGTGAGGCTGGAACACTGGCATTCGCAGAGGTTGTCGACAGGTCATCGTTGGTGGCATATGGACGACAGCAGAGGTATTGAGAACAATTTGCCTCACTGCCGATATCGTAACGTGGATCCAAATGCCAGTCTGAAGTATGGAGGACATTGATAGATTTACCTGCATGTGGTTAAAACAGAAGATTGCTCTACTAGTACGATCCTTACCTGACGGTGGTGGCGCATTGCTTGCACTGGCTGGCTTGGGTTTGAAGTACAGGCTCTCTTCAATGCCGACTGTCGGAGGCTCTGGACACACGTCCCAGTTGAAGTAGCAGTAGTATGTCATGTCACCAGTTGCAATGCTCATCTTGGAAAAGAGCTGAGCGTAATAGGCTCCCGTAGCGCCTCCTCCAGACGAATAAGGAATAGATGTGTTTTGAACGCTGCCATATTCCGCTGCACACGTATCGGCGTAAATGTAGTCCTGCACTGTTGGGACAGCCTCGCATCTGCAGAGACTTAGCATAGTCGACTCCATTGCACTCCTGTGACGTACATTCTGATCAAGATATTGACAAAATTGTCGACCGGCAATGTGATTGCTGCAAGGTGCATCAACTCGGCACCCGCAACACACTGAGAACAGTTGTTGGAAAAGGTTGTGGTGTTAGCAATGGCATACAGCTCGGTAAAGAACATGTCCTCCAGTGCGGAGCTGCTATTAATCGGCGTGATTGGTGGCGGGACTGGTGAGACAATGTCGTACGAGGGAACAGGCCCAGAGCCATTGTAGTAAAGCACAGGTCCGCTTCCATTGGGGATCAGGTTTGTGTCAGTCGTGTTCAAGGCTTGAGCGGTAGAATTAACGGCCGCATGCACGAAAGACAGGGAGCTCAGGAAGAGCAGGCCGCAGGCACAGGTTAACATCATGATTGCTATCGAGCAGAGAGGAGGTTGCCTTGAAAGATTGGCGGGGATAGAGGTGTTCAGGAAACCTACATGAAGCTTGGATCTTTACCTTTAAGCTGTCTCGACGACGTTCTGGCAAGCTATGTCGAAGACGTAATGATACCCAGGTAGCCTCGCACGGACACGCAGCTATCTCCATTGAAATGTCAAATATGGTCGAGAGCACCAATAATGAGGCCCAAGTCAGGCACGCGAGGGATCAACAGAGTAGTTCACGGTCTTCGACGTCGCAGAGCTCGCAGAAAGCTTAGCGAGCCTCCCGAAGCTTGACTTGATCTTCTTTAGCCTGGACTGTAAAAGGAAGGACGACAGGTCCGATACGGGCTCGACGGGTGTCGGCAAAACAGGCAGTGCGACGTTGCCAACAAGGACCAAGGACCAAGGCACGGCTGGTGACGGCGTGGCACCGGCGAGCGGGTTATCGAGGTACAAATCGAACGAATCAGATAACGGGCTTAGCACGTGATACTTGGGGGTGCTTAGTGTCATGTGACTATCATGTGATCTCGGCAGAGTTTCCGTCAAATTGTCCAAAATTCGGCCCTAAAGGACTCGCAGTACATTATTCAATGCGTGCAACACCAGCCTTTGCAGCATCAGCACCCACTGACTTCGCGACTCCTGCCGTCGGAAGGGCTGTGGTGATCAGACAAGAGCACAATGGATACACTTCCAAGCTCAATCTGTCGAGCTTGCCGACTGCGGCTCCTCAAGCCATCGACTTCCCGAGCCTTCAGCACAACCTCTCCTCGCTCGTACATCCCACCGGAGTCTCCTGCCTTTGTTGATGTCCCACAGCCTCTTCAACCAGTTCGAGATTTTCACCCTCGCGCAAAGGGCATTCTCCCTGTCCCTCGTGAGCTTTTCCCGGCCCGGCGGCCAGACAAACCTGGCCAGCAATACCTCGACAATGTCACACCCGATCCCCGTCCCGAAAATATCCTTCCTCCAGAGCATCTGACCGAGACGGGGAGGTACAAACGACGTATGGCCGAGTTGAGGAAGACTCATCTACGTTCGGCGCTGAAAGAACTGCACATTCGGAAGACGTCTATTGACGCTAGCATCGCCGCTCGCAGCGCTGCCAAACAGCGTGAACGTGCCCGACTCCTGACACAAACCGAACGCGAAGACGTCCGTCTCACCAACGTTACCGTTCCTAGCGCAATGCGTCCGCAAAAGATTCACGAATTGTCGGTCGAAGAGGAGCTCGCCACCTATAACACCCGCAAGGCGGCACATGAAGCTCGCCTGGCAGCAAAACATGAAGATCGTCTCGACAAACTCCACACTCTATATATCAATTCGCGAACATTCATCACAGATAAGGATCAACTCAGTGCGGCGATCGAAAAGGCATTTACCACGACAGGAAGTATCTGGAGGAAAGATGGCAGGCCAGATACTGTGGAAGAGATGATCAAGCGCGGAAGGGACAGGACAGCGGATCAGGGACGAGGTGGCATGATGCTGTTCAGTGATGTCAATGAACGGGCATTGAAAGACCAGGAGAGGATGAAGAAGATTGCAGAGAAATTGAGCGGTGGAAAGCTGTGAGGGGAGTCGATTCAGCGGAATAGAGAGGTTGTGAGCAACCGGGAAAATACCTTTATGTGGCAAGGTCAACAGAGACCGTCCCAGGAAGGATGTGTATAAATATGTGAATTTGAGACAAGAATGTTCTGGGCTCAACTGTATACATGCATCCCTGTGCACAGGATCTAGTCGAGCAACATGCGATCTTTTGTTCAATCGAAGGCGTGGCGCTCCGTGCTCGCTTCCTCAAACAGGCCCCTTTCCAAGAAGCTAAGCATGCACCTTCTTCCAACTTTCTTTTCGAAAGCAGCACGAGGTCTTTTGACTTCTTGAATCCCGATCTTCTCTCCTCGCAGGCTGGCTGGCGTTGTGCTTTCTTCTCTCCGTGTCTCCGAGCGGGGACACGATTTGATGGTCGGGCTCTCGCGTGTCGAATCATTTCTATTGTCCTTTTCATGAGTGGCGTGGTGCGGCGGCGACGGCCCTGTAGAAAGCTCATCTCTGAGCGACACATCTGACATGTGACATGTCGTGCATGTTGGACGCGTTCATTGGGGACATCGCAGCCTGTTTACAGAGACCCTGAATTTTCGGCCCTTATGAAAGCTCCGGACATTGAAGTCGACTGGCGAACTCATGGCAATACTAGGCCGCTGCTTGCAAACAGAAATGGTTGTGGAGGTTAGCAGATTGGCTGGTGTTGCTGCACAAACGCTCAAGTCAATCCACGCACGCCGAGGCCGACGCTACGAGTCTCAAACAACTCGATCAAGCCGGCACCAAGACATTCCTCGAGAATCCAGTCAAAGTTCAGGCCGTAGAGGTCCTTCCACTTCTTGGTCTTGGCCGGCATCACGTCGGAGAATTCTCCCCTAATTTGTTTGGCGGTCGAGACTCTGCTCTCGGAGTCCACCGCGCCGTCCCACCGTTCACGTAGGAGATACAGCGGAGCTTCCTTGTATTTTGCTCTGCCCAAGAGTTGGAGAAGATGCATCCTACCAGAGTGCAACAGCCTCAGATAAGGGCCAATATTTGGTACGGATAATGCCAGCTCCCCTTCTTGAGAGCCTTGTGCATGGTGAAAAGAAGGTTTGGATCGCCTCGCAGCACCGACGCCGCCGAGATTTTCAAAGGCTGCATCTCCGCCAACAGCCCCGGAAGAACCTGAAGCAGCACGCGAAACTTTAGGCATGGAGACTAGAGATGAGCCCGCCAACGAAAGGTTTCGAGAGAATGCCAGTGATGAGGATACAAGAAAGCCAGTCCGACTCAGCGTAGCGACATGAGATGCAGGTAGGTCTTGAGGCGAGATAGACGTGGCTCGCGGATAACGACGAAGCACATGACAGAAGTCTGTACGGACGGCTGGTGCAACATCGCTTCGCTCCAGCAAGGCTTGGAGATCCTGCATGGTGATCAAAACCTCGCTCAAGCCACTGATATCGTTTCCCCGACCGGTGACTTTGATCTTTCGAAGCTTACCGGCGGTTTGCAAGGCAGCAATCTCTCTTTCAGTCTTGGACGACGCGGCAACGAGAGCATGTACGTGAGCCAAAGACACTATGGCCGGCATGTTTCGCTGGAAATTGAGGACCGCAGCGATACGGACACTGTTCATTCCCGCTCGTTCTGGAAGGGCCGCAAACATGGAGGCGCGAGCATATTGCACGGCGGTCAAGACATCTTTGGCTGCGTCGATGGAGACAGTGGAGAGGACTTTGCCGCTAGGAATCAGTCTATCCTCTTCTCCCTCGTCCAGGTCATCGTCGATAGCATCAGCGAGCGACTTTGTTTTGCGCAAAGATGGCTTGATGCGTGGAAGATTCGCGAACGACGCCGAGGAAGAGTGAGAAGGAGCGGGTCTCTTGGCCGGTTTTTTCACCCGCGACGAGTGGGCCGCCGTGACATACAACGGCATGACGACAGAAGGAGAAAGAGAAGGAAGGATGAGGGAGGGAGATGTAGCAGCGCTAAGCCTTCTTTCATTTGGAAAAACAGGTTATGCACATGCCTCCATTTTCGTCTCAACCAAAAGTGCAGAGTTGGGGAGCACAAGGCAGCAGCGTTTGGAGTCACAGAATGTGCAGTGGTTTGTGGTGTGAGGATTTTCAAACAGAGTTTCTGCAGCCCAGCGGAGGAGGGCGAGCGAGACACCCAAGAGACACCCAAGACGGGTGGTTGGAAGAAAGTTTAGCTTGGCTGCCTGGGTTGGGCGTTGCGGATGGGATGCCGAGCCAGTGGAAGGGCCAGGAGGGTGCTGCACTTGGCTGCAACGGGCAATGGGACGCCCTGTTCCGGCGGTGGCACCAGTGGTTTGGGCGGCCTAGGCCCTGGCACCCACCTGGGATGGGCGACGCATGCCCCCCAAAAGACAGGCCCCATAGGTTGCTGACTGGGCCTAGGGGTACCTAATAACCTGGCACCCACCGGGCTAGCTGGTGTGCTGGGTTCCACCACGTGCGTCATGCCGGCCCCTCGAGCTCGTTTCCGGCCCAAACAAGCTCGGACTCGAGTTCCAGCTCTGACCATCAATCAATGCAGTCGCCGACTCCATTCTTGTATTTGCTCGTTTGTCCTTGCTTTAAACCGTAAGATATCTTTTGATTTCTTCCTCCTTCTCGTCCGACCTATCGCGATGATAATGCTGGAACTCATGGGATCCAGTACTCTGCACTTTCTCTCCCGACGAATGGGTCCTGTAACACTGCGCCGTCCGTAATCAATCAATCCACTGCGTGGGAGGATTGCCCGCCCTTGCCCTACCTCAACTTTTTTTTATTCTACTCACCACAACACCACCACTTCCTCGCCTCATATACATTGTCCTTCCATCCCACTGTTCACTCACTCATTTTCTCTCCGTCACCTGTGGGATCCAGAAATCGCTGGAACTTGTACCTGTCTCACGCCACGCTTCGCTGCAATCACTACTACCAACTCTGTCCCACGTACCTTCCGGTCGTTGCATTGTTCCTAATATCTCATTTGACCAACAACGTCGGACTGTTGTTCTGCTGCCACTGGGTTGGTCACCATAACCTTGTATCCCGTCAACAGTCTTCGCCTGTCACGCTGTTAGCTCTCAACATTAAATACACGAGTGACAATGACTATCTTTGTTGCTACTCTTTTTCTACCCTATACCATCAACTTTGACATTCCAGCACCTCCTTCTCGTTCCGAGTCTCCTGAACTCCCCAGGCCGCAGTTGACACTCGCTCAGAACACTCCGAGTGAGACTCAGACCGTGAGCCTCTTCACACCCGGTGCAGGCAGCGGCTCCCATCTCTCCCAGCTCTCTCAAAGTCCTGGACCGATTCCTCCAACTCCAGGCGCAACCACCGACCACGAGAAGATCTTCCGACCCTACACTGAGCGAAAAATAAGCCTGACTCTCCCGAACCTGAAGAAGGAGGCCCCAGTCCCTGTGCGCGCCATCTCTCGACATGATCTTCATTCTCCAGGTTGGGGTAAGACCTTTGCCTGGAACCAACCTCCGTCGCGCGCCAAGTCCCCTCCCCCGAGTTCAATTCTGAAGCATGCAGTGATCAGTGCCAAAGATGTTAAGGAAGTCAAAGAAAAGACAATTGCGGTCGCGAATACCACTGGACACCGACATCATCGTCGCCAGAGAACGAGGACTGTTAGCCACGAACGGCATTTTTCACATGACAGTTACACGGTGGAAAAAGCCATCATCGGCAACGGAGGGCTGTACAATGCGATTGACGCTGCAGTAGATGCTGGCATTTGCGAGGAAAAGACTTGGGTCGGAACCCTTGGCTGCCCAGTTGACGCCTTGGACGAGCACTTGAAGGAGAACATTGCTGAGAAACTGGAAAATGACTATGACTGTTTGACTGTCTATACCAGTGATAGCGATCTCAATGGTCATTACGAGCACTACTGCAAGACCATCCTTTGGCCGGTGGTTCACTATCAGATTCCAGACCATCCAAAGAGCAAGGCGTATGAGGATCACTCGTGGATATTCTACGTCAAGGTCAACGAGGCCTTTGCCGATCGCATCGCAAAGAACTGGAAGAAGGGCGATATTATCTGGATCCACGACTATCATCTGCTACTCCTTCCAGGCTTACTACGTCAGAGGCTCCCGGAAGCTCAGATCGGCTTCTTCCTGCACACGGCATTCCCTTCGTCAGAAATCTTCCGTTGCCTCGCCGTACGCGGGGAACTGCTTCAAGGCATGCTGGGTGCCAACATGATTGGGTTCCAGAACGACGAATATGGCCATCACTTCCTCCAGACCTGCAGTCGCCTTCTCAACGTCGAAGCCACCAAACACGGAGTCATTCTTGAAGACGGTCGATTTGTCCACGTCAATACATACCCTATTGGTATTGACCCCAAAGCGATCGACCTGCAGCGACAAGCAAAAGAAGTCCAAGAGTGGGTGCACACTATCACCGACAAATACCGAGACAAGCGGATCATCGTGGCGAGGGACAAGTTGGACAGCATCCGCGGGGTCCGTCAAAAGATTCTGGCCTACGAGCTGTTCCTGAATAAGTATCCCGAATACAGAGACAAGGTCGTGCTCATCCAGATTGCAACCTCCTCTGCCGAAGACCCCGAGCTAAGTGCTACCGTGGCCGACATTGTCACTCGGGTCAACTCGACCCATTCGAGCCTGGCTCACCAACCTCTGGTGTTCTTGAAGCAAGACATTGATTTCTCTCAATACATGGCCTTGCTCACAGTCGCAGAAGGTTTGATGATCACCAGCTTGCGCGAAGGCATGAACTTGACGAGCCATGAATGGATACTCTGCCAAGATGGCAAAATTTCCCAGAACAAGTACGGCCCCCTAATTCTTAGTGAGTTCACTGGATCTGCGACAGTTTTTGGGCACCATGCCCTTTTGGTCAACCCATGGCATTACAGTTACTGTGCCGACGCCATCAAGCAAGCTCTGGACATGTCCCTTGAAGAGCGCGAGAACCGCTGGAAGGCTCTGTACGATATTGTCGTACATCAGAATGCTATTGACTGGTTCGAGCACTACATGAAGGGTTTGGAACATGCATGGAAAGAACACACTGTCCGCGACTCTACCGCAGTTCCCCGATTGTCCTTGTCTGCTGTCAAGTCCAAGTACCAGAAAGCTCAAAAGCGTTTGATAATCCTCGACTACGAGGGAACTCTGGCTTCATGGGGTTCGCCCACGGACATCATCTTGACCACGCCCAAGAGGTCGGTCGATGTGCTGAACGATCTGATCGAGGACAAAAAGAATATTGTGTACGTCATGAGCTCCAGAATGCCCGAAGAGATGGAACGGCTATTCAGTCCTGTCAGTGGCCTTGGTATGATTGCCGAGAACGGCGCCTTCGTTCTCGAGCCAGGCACAGATGAGTGGCAGGAGTTGACCAACCTCGAACATGTTCGAGAGTGGAAGAAGGGGGTGAAGAGTATTCTTCAATACTATGTGGAGAGAATCGAGGGCAGTCGGGTTGAAGAGCGCCATGCCTCGTTGATCTTTGACTACTCAGAAGCAGACGACAGGCAAGGGGCCTTCAAACAGGCGGGCGAGTGCGCTAATCACATCAATGACGCTTGTCGTGGACAGAATGTCAATGCGATCCCCATTGAAGATGGACTCAATATTTCGGAGATGGATGTCAACAAAGGATCAGCCGCTCAGATGATTGGCGACAATCTGGAAAAGTTGTCTCAGGAGAAGGGCGTGCCGTTCCCCGATTTCCTGATGGTCATTGGCGACTCGCGAGAGGATGAGTATGTTTTCAACTGGGCTCGCCGGTTGGAGAAGGCAGAGAAGATCCGAGATGTTGTAACGGTGACGTTAGGTGCCAGAAGCACCGAAGCATCGGCCACGTTGACCCAAGGCGTTACTGGTAAGTTCTGACCTCTTGAGTGCTCCCCGTGCGGCGGCTAACAGATTCTCTAGGTGTATTGTCGATCCTGGAGAAACTTGCCAAGACTTTGCAGAGAGTGTGAAGTTCTGGTGTTATGGCTAGACTGGATGCTGTTCACGGCTGAGGAGGTTCAATAGAATGACAGTTGAGCAAAGCCTGCAGGAGTTTGCATGACGGTATGACGAGCTTATGATGAATGCATAGAGCGGGTCAGCGACCCCTTTTAGATACCCTGTATTAGAAAGGCCGGGCAATAGAAGATCCATTCGCTAAAGAGATAGAACCAGTTCCAGACGGTGGAAGAATCTGTGATGTTCCTCTTGCGCAGGGGATGTAAGAGGAGAATGTGGCGATGATGCTCTCCTTCCTTCGTGGGGTTTGTCGACAGGCCAAACACAGAAGAATGGGTGACGTTTGTCAGCTATTCAGCCCGGCCTGCAATATGCTGTTGCATAAGTCGATAGATTAGTAAAGACGGGGATAAGTAGTCACTCTACGAGTATACTCTTGCGCAGCCTATTTTTGAAGTCAGCACGTTGTCTCTGTGAGTTGTGGTCTATAATCTGAGGTAGGGTCCTGGATGCCAAAGTCCGGGTTACATACCTAGGTAGTGCACATCCAGCCTTGCGAGGCCACCCCTGAGGCTGTCATAGATAGAAAACGCATTTGTCATCCCCATCAAGGGTCTCGCTCAGGTCGATCGATCACACACTCCTTTTGATATCAGTGTCGGCAGTGTGTGTTCATATATTGCGGCAATATTGCTGCTTTGAGATAAAGATCGATACGGAATATTCAATGCCAGTCAGGCCCAGATTTGGGGGATCGAACTTGACAACGTAGATTTGAAGGTGAGCGTGTAGGGCGTGCGGTGTTTTATTACCCATCATCAAACGTCAAAACCCCGCAAGCGTCACGGCGAAACTGGTCCGTTTGTCCGTCGTCGTTTTCTGGGGTATAGGGGACTTTTATCCGGATGGACGTGTTTGGCTTGCCCACTATCATTCATATCAACTTAGTGCGAGGTAGACTATTTCTGACGCCTGTGTTTGCGTAGAGACAGGGGCTTAGTGACTGAGCGCAATTTGTTTGGTCGCGTTGAATTGGAACTGATTTTGTATAAAATGATCGCCAGGTCCTCTCTGTGAGAGGGGGTCCTGGGCTGTGTCTAACATTACCATCATTATCATTATCAATTCTAAATTTCAGAAACGAGACGAGAATCGCGAGGAATATCCACTGGTCGCAAGTCAAATCTAGGGAAGCACGTCTGACCATTGACACTTGGACAGAGGTTCGGCGTGTGGACTCAGAGAGCGAAATCGATATGCCTCCTGTCCGGTTGGGTTTCATTGGACTGTCCGCTGACGGGTATGTTGTCCCCACGAAGAAGTCGATAAGGACGAGCACACTGACGCTAGAGGGCATCAATATTCCAGACAATGGGCCGCCATATCACATCTCCCACATATTAAGCAGAGATCTGACTTGTTGCGGATCACTGCGCTGCAGAACAGCAGCAAAGCATCGGCGGAGAAGGCCGTAGCAAAGTACCAGCTGGGCGAGGATGTCGCGTGCTATGGTGACGACCCGGAATCACTGGCCCGCCACCCGAACGTCGACATGGTGGTCGTGTCGGTCAAGGTGCCGGAGCATTACCGGCTCATCAAGCCGGCGCTGGATGCCAAGAAGGACCTCTTTGTCGAGTGGCCGCTGGCGGCGAATGTGAAGGAGGCCGAAGAGCTCACCAACCTAGCGGCATCTCAGGGGGTGAGGAATGTCGTGGGTTTACAGGCGCGCAAGAACCCGAGTATCCGCAAGGCCCGCGAGATGGTGGCCAACGGCGAGCTGGGCGAGATTCTGGGAACCACCATGATGGGCTCAGGCATGGTGCTGGGCGCGACCGAGGCCCCCGTGTACGAATACATGCACCGGATCGAGCACGGGGCAAACCTGATGACCATCCCCGCGGGCCACGCCATGGACGCCCTCTGCTACGTGCTCGGGGAGATGTCGTCGCTGCAAGCCAAGTTGGCGACGCGCCGACCGACCATGGACATTGTGGACCGCGCATCGGGCAAGGTCTTGCGCACTGTCAACAAGACGTCGCATGACTGGATGTCGGTGACGGGGACGCTCGCGCGCGGAGGCGGCGTGGCCACCATCGTGTACCAAGGGGGCACCTCGGACACGGGCAAGGATTTCTACTGGGAGATCAACGGCACCAAGGGAAGTCTCGTGCTCGAGGGCCCCAACGGCCATATCCAGATGTTCCATCCGACCATCAAATTCGTCAAAGCGGGTGCGAAAGCGGGACAGCTGAAGGAGATGGACGTGGAGCCGGCCAAGGACTTTGCGTACAATGTCGGAAAGGTCTGGGATGCGTTCATGGGCGGCGAGGATGGCGAATTTGTGACCTTTGAAGACGCATTGCTCAGGCACAGGATGATTGAGGCCATCTACCGCAGCAATGAAAAGGGGACCCGCGAGTCGTATCTCTGATGATGCAAGCTGGAGGGATAAGGAATGGCGGTGTTTTTCGCTGTTGAGGGATTTGGGGAATGGATGGATCCAAGCCCCTCCCTCTGTGCTGGTCTCCCTCTTTAGCGAATCCCAAAGGCCTCTGTTGGGATGGTGACAATGAATTGGCTTCACATGTCATGCAATTTTCCATCCAGCTTCGATGTCTGCTTCTCAGGCTGAGGAGAGGAACCGTAGAGTGAAGTGAAGCTGACTCAACCCCCCCAAGCGGCGGCAGCAGGTGGGCGTATCACTCCCTATTTGGTCACTCACTCCTGTTTCTACCTATGGTATATATCCTTATCCCGGACACTCCGCATACACGTCTTCCTCACCGCGCTGACTACCATAGTCAGGGACATGTTTGGGAGAGTCAGCCCCCACTTTCAGGCGGTGGGATCATTCTCCAATGATGTCCCCGATGGCCCTCGAGTGCCACGTGGTGGGTGTCCATCAGCCCTACAAAACCACAGTCCCGCTGCTCTTTTCCGGACAGGCTCCTGCGTTCTTGCTGCGCCCTGTCAGCGCTTGTGCCATATTTGGGATCCTTGAGGTTTCGTGCTCGTCCTTTATTGGAAAAAGAGGCCAGTCTATCGAAGTCCGCAGTTACATGATGAAAACTGACGCCTTCGGGGGTCTGGGTCTTGGACGCCGCATCACGCAGGTTCTCGCTCTCGCTTTCGACATGTGGTCAGCTTTGGCATCATGGGTGGGTGGATTGGATGGTCGGCCGCGGAAATCTAAGGCCCAAAACCTGGCATACCGGTTTCTCTCTCGACGCCCTACACCCCAGTGTTACATATCAAAAGGTACCCGGATATGTATCGGCCTCAGGCACTGCCACAGCTTGGGAGTAATGTGCTCAAGAAAACCAAGGCAAGAAGCACCTTTATAAGATGTTCCGAGACCTCCCTTGTTTTATCCCCCGTCGCTTCAGTCTGCAATACCAAGTGAGTCTCTCTACACAAAGCCGCCGTCACCAGCACCCTTAGAGCCCGTCTCAGTCGTCGAGATATACCAAAATTTCTCAACCTTTCGGCCATCTATCCCACCTGACCAATCCAGCACTTACCGCACACAATGGCATCAGCTTTCTTTGCCCGTAAATCCGTTCTTTCCATCAACTCGACACCCAATGCGGGGGCCAGCCTCTTCCAGACAACTTCCTCCTCATCTGCATCTTCTTCATCACAGGCTTCCTCGTCCGTCACATCAAAGCACCAGCCCAGCAGCTCCACAAGCAGAAATGCAGCCAGCGAGAGGAGTTCCGGCACGGACTCGCTGTCAAGCTCTATGAGCAACAGTTACGGGTCGTTTATGCGTTCAATGTATACCAGGGGGCTTTAAGCGAGGGTTGATCCGAGAACCCTTTCAGTGGGGATGGTATCTCTTTGAAGTTTTCGAAGCGTGGAAGCGTTTGGGATTTTAGGCACCTTTGTTGTGCTTAGGAATGGCGTCTCGGTGTCCTCGATGGTTCCTCGCCGAGTTCTTGCCCAGGCGGAAACGCCACCACGAGGCTCTCCTCGAGCAGGGTGTTATAATGGGGCCTGCCCGCACCGAAACGCAATGTGGGAGCACGAAAGAAGAATTCTGAATGCTTGCATTCTCGACCAAGAGAGAACAGCTCTCGTCTCTCTGAAGGCACAGAGGTGCCAAGAAGGGAGGCTTGCCGGTCCGCGAGGCAGATGCAGGGTAGGCAGGAACGCGACAAGCGATTAGTCTTAATCGATTGTCAACTCCATGTCTTTTGATGACTTTAGGGTGCTCTTTCAGTGTTGCACCTACTCAATGTCTTTGTAGAGTATAATTTGTCTCACGTCACCACGAACCATGCTTCTCTTATCACTATAATCCAATATGTTGGCGTCCCAGAACAGGCACTTCTGACTTAAACAATAAAGCCATACTTTCAATCCTGACTGCAAGATGTGGTCTGTCCAACCACAGCTTTTGGGAGACAGATTTGTCGTTCCAGCTGACAAACGGGGGTGTCTTGAAGTGCAGGCATCACAGAATGATATCCCTATCAGCAGAATGTGGTGACAGCGTACACATAATGGATCAATCCCAAGTCTTTGTGCTTTTTCAGCCTGTAGCTACGCCAGGAAAAAGCAGTCCTGGTGACGGCCACGCACAGGTCAGCTTCTCTAGTTCAGAACAAGTTGCAGCTCGGGCGCCTACTCACTTCAAACAGACCGTGATCGGCCAAGAACATATCATCCCCAGGCATTTCAAAACTCAGTGGGCTGTCCTCACTCGACGTCCAATCCCAGTAATCCACAGATCCTGATGTCGTCCGCTGAGACTCTCCACTGCTGGTAATGTTTTCGGCTGTGTGGTGCACGGTCCCAGTTGAAAGCCTGTCGATGGTCTCAAAACCCTCTCTTCGCGACTCGTGGGTTCCGCCACACTCGACTCCCGGATGCTGGTGTAGGCTCTTGCTTGGTAGCTTCCTGCAATTGTCAGCGATTCGAGAGTCCTGGAGTTGTTGGACCTCGTCCAATTTTGCAGCGACGCTAACTCGGGAAGCTTGGAGCGAGGCTGAGCATTGCGGGAGTTGGTCGAAAGCCATCGTTGCCAGTTTTCGTACTTGTTTGAGGGCTTCAGAGCTCTTACAGGTCTCGCTAGAGCCCTTCTTCAAGAAATCGGACACCAGGCTCAGGGCTGTAGCGACATGGTGCGGATAAGGGTCGACGCTGAGGAGTGACACCATGTCGTCACGAAGAGGGGCTGAGGTCGAGCCAAAGACGGTTTGAAGGGAAATCTTGCATTGAACCCCGAGCAAGATGATGTTGACAGTCTCCTGGACTGCAGACCATTGCGCGTTGTCTGGATTCGTTACCAAGTCTCTCCTGTCGAAGGTATCCAGGGTGTCGTACAGGATGAGGAGCCCTAAGTGATAGTGAAGAGCGAGAAGATCTTGACCTCGTCAGTCCAGCTTCCACATTCCAGAGCGGCTTGAAGCACTTACACCAATTGAGTTGGGCCTCGAATTCGAGGAAGAGCAAGGCTCGCTTACAAGCTGCAAGCAGTGGAGCGTAAGTCACGTCATATCTGAGCATGCATTGCAAGACAGCTGTTTGTGCTCGGACAACCGCATGCGGCTCATGGCCGTAGTTCAACGCTTCTCGCAATGCGGCCACTGCCTTCCAAAACACTCCTTTGCAACCGCTGGCGGACTGGACTATCCATATGGCGCGTTGGTTAGTCACCTCAAAGCCATTGGCTCTCCAGTCCTCTGTCTTGTCGTGAAACTCCTGTGCCGTCTTCTTTAGGAGTTGCACGGTCCTTTCCTGTTCAAACCCCAGGAGGCTGGCATGAAGTATCGAAGGCAAGCCAGTCGTGAAAGAAGCAGACGTGTCGAATACGAATCCTGCCCAATACGCGATCGTCTCACGCAGTTCATATCCCTCGTCAAGTGTATGGACTGATGTGGCCGCCGTCGGTATCGCTGACCCCGACGGAGAATCGGTGGCGATGGCCGCCGATGAGAAGCGGCTGACGTGCCTCTTGGCTCGCACGCTCTGCAGTTGCCTCATGGCGATGTCGACGCACACTTCGCCTATGTTCCCGTGGGCGAGCTCGTGATCCTCGAGACCAGGGGGCAGTGGCGTCATCCCGAATATATAGAGGGCCAAGATCGAGCGATAGCAACGCTTCTGCAAGATCAACAGGATCTGGGACCGCGCATTGTGCCAGAGCCTGCGGGCCAGGTTGTTCAGCTTTTCGGTCGGGATGCGGGTGCCAGCCACAAGCGGCAGCCACCGGACACTAAACGCGTGGACGGTGGCGTTGAGGGCCTGGTTGACCACCTTGCCTGCCTTGACGCAGCTATCGGCACTCCCCGAAACAGCCTGCCTGGTATCCGGTTGGTCGTCGTTGCGTCGACAAGCGCATTTCCATTCATCCAAACTCACGAAGAGCCTCGAGATGATGGTTCTCGAACCCTACGCGCGTGCCCGTCGACAAATATAAGTTTTTACCTGGTGGAATATTCTCAAAGAAGCCCCTCGTGGATTAACTTACATCTGGAAGCCCCGGATACGGGCAGCAGCCGCTGCCCAGCCATACACCGAGCGCGGTCTCGAAGATTGAGGAGAAGATATGCCACATTGACGAGTCGAGGAGGTCCTCTCGCACATTGAACGCGCGGGCCACCCTCGACGATGCGCTGCTGCTTGTTGAGGGGCATGAGAAGAGTGTTTCTTGATCCGAAGATCTGTTTGTTTTAGTCGAGTCGACCCAAGTCAACCAAAGTTTATGACCGTTACCTCGGTAGGGCTGCGCCGTCATTGCCGCTGAACATTCGTTGCATCTGTCCCCCTTCGGTCTCGATGCTGTCGGCAGAAAACACTGACTCCGACGTGCGACGACGGCGCCTCGCTGTTGCCTTAAGCCACTACATAACACCTCACTCAGCTGCCACGAAAGCCACGCTGGAGAGGACGGGAGGGAAAGTTTGTGCACAAGCACATCAAGCCTCACACACACTCACCTGGAACGTGCAGGGGCGATCTTTGCGGGCGCAGTTGGTGCATCGGCGGTCGCGAAAGAGGCCGTTCAATCCCCCGCCCCCACCGGCGCCGACGACGGTGGCTTCCCGTCTGTGTACTGCGTCGCACCGGATCCTGGATGATCGGCAGCCATCACAGCTGGAGTTCTGCTTCCTCGGCGGACGCGGGGACTCTTTGGTCATTTTCCTTGACTGCTGGACGAGGGACTGCTTCTCACTTGGTAGGAGTCGATCCGCAAGAGAAGGAGGGGTGAACCAACACGGTCTTCCTGGATTAGACTGTACCTCTGTATCGACAGGGACAGCTACAGCAGCAGCGGCGTGTCAGAGAAAGAAGGACATTTGTTGCGATGCGATAGTATTTTGTGCCGGAACCGAAGAGAGCCAGTCTGTGCTGGAGGGCAACGGTAGCGAAAGTGCTCGCTCCCGCGCATCCGGGGCAACCCCTTTTCCGGGCAGCCTTCACCCTTGCCGGGGATCCTCTCGACCCCACTTCATTACGAGGTCACTGTTTGCGTTAGTCTGCTTTGGGCAATATCAGCTCGTCACTTCTCCACGTTACGGGCTCCGGCCTTGGGATGATTGCCAGCTTTTCTCCGGAGTTCCTGGGAGGTTCGTGTCAGATTAGCGACATTTTCCCCCGGTCGTAAGCCGTCACATGAGAAGATTTGCGGGGGAGGGAGGCCAAGAAGGACTGGCGGATGAAACTCATGGACCCCGTTCGGGAAAAATATCGCTTGTGACCGGCATTCCGAGAAGTGCCTTTTGTACACTTTTTCAATGAAGACAAATACTCTCACCACTCGTGGGCTTAGAGATTCGCTTCCGAGGCTCTGCTTCCGCGGCAAGCGGGTTTGGTCACGATGGGTGCCGTTTCGTGTCAGGAACAGACGTGTGCCACATTCAAATGACTTACATGCTTAGCAAACATCTCGCATTCATATGACCATTCACTTTCCCCTTTAACCCAGTTATCTCTTCCTGCCCTAGTTGTGTTGTGTGTGTGTGTGAAAAATGTCGTCCCCGTCCCTCCCCCACCCGCGCCGCATCGTCACCGGCCACGACCCCGCGGGCAAGGCGATCTTCCTCGCCGACTCGCGCATCCCGCTGGAACACACGCCGCTGGGCGCCAGCCTCGGCGTGCTCTGGGAGACCAAGCAGTTCCCCGCGGACAACTCGGGCAGCGAGGACCCAGTGACCACGAGGACGACGGATCTCGCTAACAAGAGCGGGGTGGTGCTCAGGGTGGTGGACATTGAGCCCGGCACGACGGAGGTGAGTTCACGAAAATGTCCCAAAAGCTGGGGTGAGGAACAGGAAGGAGAAGAGACAAGGCGGGGAGGAAAGCGGCGTGAAACGGGCGCGAAGTCTCCCCAACAAAGCGCAAAAAAGTGGGGGAGAAAAAGCTCTGCCCGGCGAATTATGGTCACTGACATAAAATTCATTTTCACATGTCTATAGGCCAAGATGCTCTTCCACAGGACTGAGTCGCTCGACTTTGGCATCTTGTTTGACGGCGAAGTCTCATGGTCAGTCAGATTATTCGCATTCATCCAGCCAGCCGATCACCTTTTTTTGGCAGTTCTCCTCCACATTCCTTTTTCAGTCTCCGAAAGAGCTACCACTAACCAAACTGTTCTTCTATCTAGCTACTTGGACGACGGCGCCAAGGTCGACATGAAGCCCGGCGACATGTGCGTCCAGCGCGGCACGATCCACGGGTGGACAAACACGGGCACCAAGACGGCGAGGCTGTATTTTTGCTTGATTGGTGCGTAAAAATCAACCCCGTCATCTGCCGTTATCGTTGTGTTTGTGTTGCGGGCTTTATTCGTAGCTGATAATCTGACGCAAACTAGCTGCCGACCCGGTCAAGGTGGGAGATAAAGTGCTCGGGGCGCATGGGTATCACAAGGAGGATGTTGCTTCGGGGTGGAAGTAGGGTGGCTATCTGAAGGTTAGTAGAACCAGCTGTAGACGGTAGACCTCGGGGGGGGGGGGGGTCCTTAGCCACTATATGCTCGAGTTCGTACCTTTCAGTGGGTGACAGCAAGGGGTTTCGTGGTACTACAACTGTTGCATTATCTAGCATGAGTCTTGGTGGATAATCATAACAGGGTCCAAGACGGGCCTATAGAGGTTCATACGCTCGAAGTTCCCTGTGTCTTCATGTGTTTGCATCCGCGAACGCACTGCTTAAGCACTCTGGGTTCGAGGAATGGCGTTGATAGTAGTATCTGGGGGGACGGCTAGGGAGATAGTCTTGACAGTTTGAGAGATAAACCTCTGCTGAGTGGGATACATACCTGCATTGCTAGTTGTTCTCTCTTCCCCCTCATTTTTGATGAAAACAAGATTGTTTCCTTCACACCCCCCTCTCAAACCCTCTCACTTCAAACCCTCACTGACCTCCTCCCCGTCCCCATCGAATCATCCACTCGATTTGCCCTGCCCACTCCTCGCCACACTAATATAACCCGGCCTCAACTTACTAAAAGTCCCATCCGCGTCATACTTCTTACTAACCTGCAGCAGCCTCGCCAGATTCTCCTCGCCGTAGCTTGCAAACACGTCCTGATCGCCCGCCGCGTAGTTGAGGTAGACGTACCTGTGGAAATTGTCCTGGGCCTTTGCGGTAGACGTCACGCGCTGTGTGAACGCGCGCGCGAGACCCTCGATCAGCTCGTCGTCCGAAGGTTCCGTCCAGGACCAGAGCAGGGAGATGACTTTTTGTGGCGGGCGGAACAAGTCAGTGGCGCGTTTTCAATACGGAAAAATCTGGACGTGGGATGATGCCTGGGTTTGGTGGCCTTTTCTTTTTGAACTTACCGAACAGAGGGCCGTCGTGCTTGCTGATCCCCAGCGTATGCTCGCTCTCGTCGGCCGGGAGCATGCGCGGAAGCATGGGCTGCAGCAGGATGGCCGGCACAAAGTTCTTGACCGTGTCTTTGTGTGGACGAATGACATCCTTGTAAATCTCCATGACGTCGCTGAGGATTGCCATGTCGCTTTTCACAGCCAGTGCCAATGTTTTGGACCTGTAGACGACGAGGGATTAGGAGATGACCCCCAAAAAGTTAATGCTGCTGCTAGGAGGGGACACCGAACCTGAGCCCATGCGGATTATTCGCATTCAACTCCACCGACAAGTCGGCTATGCTCCGGACTTTCGTCGTTGAAGCAATAGACGGCAGCGCCTTGAACCCGTCAAACACGGACGGATCGTCACTCCCAGGTTTTCCGTGAGACAGCACGGCCGTCGTGATGAACTTGCCCATCGGCGCGACGTAGGCCGTGATGATGAAAGCCTCGGCGTAGACATCGGCGGAAGACGACGCGGGACCCTGGCTTTTGCAGAACTTGTCCAGCAGAGCGATTGCCTGGGCCTCCGAGTCTTCGAGGTATTGCTTGACGCCGCCCCAGATCGGGCCCTGCTCGAAGACCACGAACTCGAACGTCGTCACCACCCCGAAATTCGTCCCGGCGCCGCGCAATGCCCAGAAGAGATCGGGATGAGTGGCGCGCGTGGCGGATACGATCGTTCCGTCGGCAAGGACGATCTGTTGAGTTTTCACCGTTAGTATGTATTGGGTAAAGACAGTGCTTTTAGAATCCTTTACCTCATAGCTTTTGACATTATCGCATGCGAGGCCAAACCGGCTGGCTGCAAAGGAGATACCGCCTAGAAGGACAGGTTAGGATTACCCTTTTGTAGCGCCGGCATCACAATCTTCGGTATTCTCACCTCCAAGAGTCAGCCCGCCCACGCCGACAGTCGAGATGCGTCCTCCGGGCACACTGATGCCCAGAGCATCGAGTTTGCCATAGACGTCGCCCCACTTCGCCCCAGCGCCGATGAAGACGGACTGGCGATCCGGGGCGACCTCGACCTTGTTGATGCGGCTCAAGTCGATCAGGATGCCGCCCTGGATGCTCGATGCGCCGGCATAGACGCCGTGTCCGCCCGCCTTCACGGCGAAGGGAACCTGATGGTCTCGGGCGGTCTGAACCATGGTTGAGACGTCCTTTGCGTTTTCGGGAAACGCTTGCACCGCAGGGACCAGTGCGGCAGACTGGGCGGTGAAGTATTTCAGCTCTCCGGGCTTGGGGGATGTGACTTTGCTCTTGCCCAGTTTGTCCGCGAGAATGCTATACTGTCTGACGTCTTAGCAGTCTTGATATAGGTACTGCATCAAACCCGGGGAGTACTCACAACTTCTGTGGCTGCCATGGTGTCCGTCTTGGGATGGCGATGTGGAACGAAGCAGTGATGGTCAGTCTCGGAAACGCAGCGCGACCGTTTTATGTGTTGGAGTTGTACATCTGCCTGCACCTGAGACTTATCAATCTCTTGTATAGTCAGAACAGTCGGAGTCATTCGCCCGTCTGGAGGATCAGTCGATGCAATTCGGTTCCCGCCTACACTTCTCGGATCCGGGAACCGAAGGGTTACGACCCCATGGGACTCCAGCACCCCGGCCACCCGGCACCCTGGAACCCCGGACTTCTGCCATGCTTCTCGAACGCTGATGCTCGCTTCCCACCTCTCTGATGGAAGCGGAGGTCTTTGTGGGGTATGGGTGTGATTGGGGTTCTCTCGTGACGGTACTCTGTGTCGGGAGTTGCCAGAGTCAGGTACAGACTCAGTGGGTTCGTGGATACATAAAGCGCTGTTTACGTCTCGAAATAGTCTCCATCGCCCTCTTCATCTCGCAAAGACCTCTCCGTTTCTCTCTTTATCTCGCTCTATCTGGCCCTCCCTGTTCTTCACCTCAAGCACAACCTCACAACCATGCCTTGCAAGTTGCAAATCCTCATCCACAAGCAGGACCACATCAGTGAGGAGGAGTTCCATCGCTAGTAAGCTGGCCCCTAAAAAGAGGTATATGACGAGCAGGGACCTCTTTGCTAATGCAGAACATTGCACAAGTTGGTCCGAAGAGCACCCCAAGATCTGGTTGAACACGGAAATTGTCAAGAAGAAGATCATCACTTATTCTCAGGTTCGGGGTTCCACAGAGCACGCATCAACCACCGAGGATTGATGGCTGATTTGTTCGAAAAGTTCCATGTCGACAAAAAGTCCACATCCGTCCTGACCGACTTCGGCGTCGACATTGGCTCCTGGGACGGCATCGTGACCATGGTGGCGGAAAGCATGGACGAACTGCTGAGCGTAAGATTTGCCTCTATCTCTAAAGGCCGTGGGAACGATGTTATATTAACGAACGGCGACATGTCCCCAGGTCTTCGGAGACGAAGAGTATCTTCGAGTCGTGGTGCCGGACGAAAAGAAGTTCCTGAAGCGTGAAACGGCCATTATGATGATTGGCGAGGATCATCCCAAGAAGGTCGATGGGAAGGTCGTGGTGGATATTACAAGGTAGAAAGGCCTAGGAATGGGACGTCGGGTCTCTATGCAGATGGCTTGCCTGTTCACTCGAGTAGCTTAGCCAGGACGACACCAGCCTGTAAATCTCAGCCACGCTCCGGGAGCATTCTTGTCACCACGTTGTGTTGTCCATGCCCCGAGCCTCCTCTTACAATTTGATGTGGTCCTAAAATCTCTTCTCTTGTATAGCGTGATTTCCAATATTCAGACGTCAGGTCGGCAAGAGGTGACGATTGAGATTACCTTCCATTGCATACCAGCAGGCTATCCCAGCATGATGAAGCTAACGGGATGGCACTGTCTTTTCCATACAGCGGGTGAGTGAATGAGTGCCGTACCTCTACCACGGAACTTTGCGACACAGTTCCTCCTCATTTTTTCCTGGAATCACGAATCAGGTGCTGATAGATATCCTCTAATTGAAAAGAAAGTGGGTAGAGGAAGTGTGCGGACACCTTGTTTCTCCATCGGGCGGGGCGGGACATCTCGACTGTCAAGTCAAGCCTATCGGGTCAATTCCTCGGACCATTACCATCCATCGACTGAGGAAGGGATGTTAACTTATCAAGCAAATGCTTTCTTTTGAAACTATTTTTATCGTCGGGGGAATTACTACACGGGTGGGGGGATCCCACTTGTGTCCCGTTTTTTGATCGTCGAAAGGGTGAAGGATGGTGAGTGTGTCCTGGGTGCAGAGCTGTTGGAAAACCATGCGGTGCAGGATTTCCATCAGCGCAGAACATGCTAGTATATAAAGTATCCATTGGATGTCGTCTGGACTGCCTCTGCTCGTTGGTGAGATCACAGGACTCAGTATCTACTATTAGTGTGCACAATTCTGAACGACTCTATTAGACCACCAAACACACCAGTGCCTGGCCTGTCGTTCGTCGTCATGGCCTCTCCTTCAAATCTCGAGTATACCCCTCTCCCGGAGCGAGCTGAGAAAGCAGCTGCGCAGATGTTCGTTCCCCCCGAACAGGTTCAGGATCGAATTGCCGAGTTCGCCCACGTCCAGCCGCCCGTGGAGAACAAGGACGGAGATACGGAAGTGTTCGAAGGCGAGACATTCACGCACCACTTCGTCCTTGGCCCCGGTGATGGCGAGGTGGTTCGATGGCATTATGTCGAGGCCGGCCCTCACGATGGCGAGGTGATTGTGTTCCTGCACGGCATTCCTGACTCGTGGTACCAGTGGCATCTGCAAATGGCGGCGCTGGCCAAAACATTTCGGTGCATCGCCGTCGACCTAAAGGGATACGGACAGTCGGACAAGACCGCAGGCGACTATCGCCACGAGGGGGTCGGCGAGCAGCTCTTCGATATGCTCAAGTTGATAGGGGTGCAGCGATTCAACATCGTCTCTCACGACCGGGGCACAGTCCCCGCAGACTTTATTGTCGCTAACCATCCCGACAATGTACTCCGCTATGCCCGAGGCGAGCAGCATCTCTTTCACTACAATCCGAAGCTCTCCCCTCAAGGGGACCTGTTCATGAACGCCCCTTATAACGGGATTCTAGACGACACATGCCGTCTCGTAGTCACGGCCCACGCCAGTCTCTGTGTCCGGCCCATTGCAACCCATCACGTGGAGCGCCTGATTCAAGAGTTCTCCTACCCGGGCATCTCGAAGGCGATTCCGCGGTACTTCAACTCGTCGACGTTTCGTTCTGAGTGGCTCCAGCGGGCGCAACCGCCTCCTCGCCGCATGGAAATGCCCGGTATTGATACTCCAGGGGTACGAAAGCAAGACGCAGCCGAGAGAGTTTTACGAGGACATCTCTAGAGAACACCTCCCGAATGCGAAGAGCGTGCGCGTTCAATTTATCCCCGGCGGGCATTTCTGGAGTCTCGAAAGCCCTGCAGAGACGACTGCCGCGTTGGACGGGTTTTTCAAGAGTTGAGCTATCGTAAGAGCTGTTGGCAGGATAGTTAGACCGAACGTATTTTTCGGCTAGTAATATTGAATGTGAGGGCCGGAGTTAGAAGATATTGCGCAGTTGCTTGTGCATGAACTGAAAGACATTCTTTATGAAAAGGAGGACAGGGGATTTGACCGGACACAGGGTCGAGCTTTGCCGGTTTTATCACGCTCACAGCATTTCGAATCACAAGGAAACTAGCCCACAAAGGGGCCAGGATATATACCATCGAGGTAATTCAGGAGTTCCCCATCGGTGTTGTTGTAGGTGAAGTCGGCCAGGCCGTACGCACCGGAGTCTGCGTCAGCGCCGCTGCTCATCACTTCGTATAGCGCTCTTCGCACGTTGGATCCAGCCAATGGAGTTGGTGTCGACTCGAGCCATAATGTCGACTCGTTGCTGAGAATAGTCGGATCGGCAAGGATTTGGTTGTGGCTATACCGGAATAGCTCGTGATCACCCAGGTCAGATAACGTCGAAAATGATCGATCGGGCTGCAACAGCATGATGGTATCAGCAAGAGGAGTATTGCACGCGCTCGAGGTGGCTCGATGTTGTTGCCGTTGATTGTGAACCCCCGAGTAGTGGGTGTGGTTTAGGTCCTTGCGCAAAGTAAAATATTCGGGCCATGGGGGGTTTGATCCCCACGCGGCGTCAAGGCCTGACGGGGCCTTATACATGGACCTGCTTTTTGATCCCTGCGGATCGCTGACCTGCAATACGGAGGCGTTGTCACTGCTAGTTCCTGGTTGCCCTCCTATCGATTGGGTGGAATACTTGAGTTGACCGGCAGAGAGTCTCTCTCCTTCAGCCACAGCATGGGGAATGGGAGTGAATTGCTTCAACTGCGTGGCTAGTCCGTCGAGATTTTGCGTGGGCATGCTAGACATGTCCCAGTATTGGGTGAACCGGGTATTAATAACCTTCAAGATCTCGAATTGTGACCGAATCATCCTGCTCTCACTTTCGTTCCCAGTCAATTCCAGTTGCAACAGTTTGACTATCGCGGCTAACCAGGAGGCATGTGCAATACACGGATTCAGGTATTGGTAATGCAACTCCGAGCAGTTGAGCATCACATTCAACATGGCGTCCGAGGCACGGAAACACTGTTGAAGTTCTTGGGCCGACAATCCTGAGGTTGGGACTGGTCCGTCACTAGATCCTGCTGAGAGCGCGTTCCTTCCCGTCATTGTCGTCCCCAGGAGCCTTTGCATATATCCTTCAAAGATGAATGGCCTGAGCGCGAGTAATCTGCCCACTTCAGCGAGGATTGCGACATTGTAGATGGAGCTCTGCCAGTAAATTTGCGAAGCGGTCAAGTTTGAGTCAGATTTCTGTGCCCCAAAGTCCAATATCTGCCCATGGAACTTTAGAGTGGATGGCACGACTAGGAGGTAAAGCTGAATGCAGTTGAGTAATGTCGTACGATTGTTGCGAACACTCGTTGTGGTGTCAGGGTCAACTTCAGATACTGTGGCTTTCCTTCCGCAGGCACGATGGATCGAGTTCGCCTCTACTAACAAGGAAATGAGCACCAGGTACCATGCTCGTGCTGATTCGGTTCCTGTCTCTTGGAGAGACTTGGGTCGCTGAATAAAGTCCTGGTCCAGGTAACTACTTTGCTGGTGCTGGCCTTGAAACCACCTGTCGTCGTCTGCCGGGAGCAAGACTCTATTGGGAGTCCAGTTGGTGACGTGGGGGACTTGCTTGACGACTGTGGCAAAAGTGTCGATCTCATAGAGGGCCCAAAATGCCCGTCGCCGCTCCTCGTCCTTGCACCATCGATCGAGGTCAATATGGCTACTGATTGGGTCCACATCCGAATCCACAGAGTCCAGCCCGAGCTCGAATGCGATCCGGATGCACAGCCCAAGAGACCTCCATGCCCGGCCACGGACGCCCTTCACGATCAGCCAGTGGGTCATGAGGATCATTGCTTGGAGTAAACACAGTGAAGGTGGATCGTCTCCGCATTCTACCAAAGCCTTGTCGATATAGTCGCTGGCCAGGTCACCAAAGTGAGCTGCAGAGAGTCGCTCAGGACGAGGGAGAGCTTTGACGTGCGCGTCGACGTCGCTGCCCTTGCAGCCGAAAACAAAGATGGCTGCAAGGAGCGCTTTCATTTGGAGAGAGGATGAGATCTGGCCTAACTTCACATCAAAAGTCGACTGTCGGAAGAGACCATACGGGGTGAAAGTGCGAAAGAAATTGCCCACCCTGACAAGAGTCAACTCGAGGGTCGAACACAGCTTTTATTTCCCTTACATTCTTTTCATCGATTCTGACGAAACTCCAAGATCGCAGCAGGCAGACTCCAGTATATCTTCCCTGTCCTTCACTATATGCGTAGCACCAATTACCGTTCCCTTGGACTTTGGAGACGAACCTTCATACGAAGGACTGATCAGGTCATAAACATTCATCGAATGCTGCTGTACCGCCTCGTCCGATTGATGGGATCCCCTGGCAGAAGCGGCCCGAGGAGGAGTGACCCCAGAGACCTGGCTCTGTGTGTCATCTTCGGTTAACGCCGTCCGTCTTTGTCTGAGCCGACTTCTGTCAGTGCGGTCGTCACGCATAGGGTGGCCATGGTAGCGTCTTTTACGGATGCTTCCGGGCTTGGGTCCCGGCTTGAGCATCTTTGACGGATAAGAACATTGCAGCAGATAGCACCGGCAACTGGAGCATATTGGAAGGTCTCTGGTACACTTGACTTTGCGATCCCGACAGGAAAAACACGCAAGTTTCGACAGTCCCGTTTGTGGCATATTCCAGGGGTGAGGAGAACCAGCGATGCCCAGGTGTGAGAGACGGAACAGAGTCCAACGATGCCCTGCATGAGCATCAGCACCAGCAGTCAGTCTCTCAAGTCCGAAACCTCCTGAGAAAGGAGGAAAGTTACTCCATAGATTTGAAAACAAGACCCCGGCGTGGCGGGGTTGAGGGAATGTGGGACTGGGCCGAGGCTGAGGCTGAGGCTAGTGAGGCGGAGAGGAAACCCTCTGGTTTTGCCTGAAAACCGCGTCCCGCCCGTACCAAAGAGCTCATCGTTATTTCGTCCTTTCGAAGGGGTTAGGAAAGAGTGAATGGTAACTTTAGCGGCCGATCAGTGGATGCAGGCTGACATACGAATGGAGGAGCAGTTGCGCGACACGGAATTGATTCCATTGAACCGCACTTTCCAACATGGAGTCTTGATTACCTCGTACACCGACTGATTAACCCAAATATCATCTTGATTTGTCGAATAGGGCTGTGGCTAGGAGCTGCATGCTGGGCCTTCTGGAGTAGAGCTGATCCATAAACGGGGCTCGAATCACACCACAGAGTCCGGTACTCCAAGAAGGCGGCGGATCAATCACCATCTTCTCCGGGACCTTATCTGTCGACACATTTGATGAGTGCAAGCTGTTCTCGTGGTGACGAGACAATTACCACTGGCATTGGGCCAAATCTATCAGGAACATCCTGCAAGACGTTCTGATCGATTGTAGTGCCTCATAGTCAGCTACAGTTGGGGTGATAAAAAGCAAAAGGATCTCTTCACCCTTGGTGTGGAAAACTAACCCTTCTTGTTTTCAGGCCATGGGTTTGGAGTTGGGCTCCGAAAAGTGAGTTTTCGCTTCTTTTAATCTCCGTGTGTGTTCGAACAGTACATCTTGTTGTTCGTGGTCGATATACTGCTTAATGATAATGAACTCGTCGTTCGTCTGCGTGGGAAGATTAGCAAATGCGTTGGTCCACTGGTGCTGTTGCATGCTTCAAAATAGAATCGGAAAGCACATAGGCGCGACATACCGAGTCCCACTCCCAGGGTAATCCATATCGATCCAGTGTATCCGGGTGTAGGTACTTTCGGTTTACCTTGAGGTAGGTCGGACGTTGCAGGTTGATATTGAGGGCCGTTCTCTCCTCACGCTTCTTCTTTAGTACTTCGTCGACGTACTCTGGACTATAGCCTAGTTTCGCCCAAGAAAAAAAAAATGACGTTAGCACCTTCAGATCCTCTCTGATACTGATTTGAACAGGACACAGGGATTAGGAGACTCGAAACACCGTATACCGATGTACTCAGCGGCGAATCTTGACCTCTCCAAAGTCCATTTCCGTTTCCAGACCCGAGTATCCCGCCACTTAGCATGAGCCATGACTAAGCCATTCTGAGCTGTGGCGGTGCAATCCTGAGCACGGGCTTTAGCGAGCCCTGAGGTGCGCCTGAGCAGCGTGAGCACAGCCCGTTAGCTGTGCAGGTGCCCATGATATGGCCCTCGGGTTCCTAGTTTTTAGTGTTTCACATGCTCGGAAGGGCCAAGTTCCGTGCTCATCAGCTCGGTTATAGTTGCCGGCGCTCTCGGGGCCGCTTTCCAGACCAAAGCTACTGTCTGGAGGACCCTTCCTTCGACCAGCAACGTAGTCGCTACTTACTGTTCCCTTAGAGTGTGGACGGGCCAAGGCAAAATTCACATGTTTTCTCCGCCGATCTCCGTCCCCTTTAGGGAACGTAAATATTTACCAAGCTTTACGTTGCTAAGGGGCTCCAAAGTTTCCCTCATGACCTTCTTTGGAGTTCACTACATCATCCCCTCATTGTCCGCACTATAGCTTAAAACGTTTAAAGGCCTAAAGGAAGTGACACTATCGTAATGCCTGGTGAATGTGTTGACTATGCACCAACAAGGATTTTTGAATGGCTCAATTATAACTCCTGTACTCCTTCAATCCGAGAACCTTTGACGATCCTCAAGCACTTTTAGTCGCGAACTGTGCATACGGCCACACAAAGAGAGGAATTGTCTAAGAAACGCAAGAGAGCACCAGAGTCTGCAAGTACAATGAGTCAAACTCCGTCGCCGAAAAAGCGTCTTCTTGCTGTTGGATCGGGCGAGTCTCCTCTAGCTCGGGGTGAGTTTGTTCCAGTTTATCTGCTATATAATTGACTGATGTCTAAGACTTCGAAAATGACTCTACGCCGAGACCTCAATATTCTTTCGTCGATTCCCTCATGCACTCTCCATCGAAATCCAGCAGTAGCAGAACTTTTAGCCGAAGTCACAGCCTAACAAAACGGAAAGCAGACTTCAATATTATATGCCTCCGAGTTACGTTTAATGAGAATAAAAGGACGTTCACAGACGAGGATTGGAAACTTCCTGATCTCATAAGGAAGGCCGCAGTAAATATACCTAAGGAGATGCGAGAGGATTTGGAGGGCCATCCTGTTGCCTGACGGAATTTGAATCATGTTAAATGGCAAGAGGATCATCGCCGTTCGCTCTCCGAGATCCGAGACTTCTGGATATCGGCCTCATTGAAGAGGCGGCAACTGTATGTTCAAAAGAGGCTCGATCTGAGGATTCTTGGAGTAATGATGTCGTCCTTGAGATCATCTACTATTTAGCGGGGCGATCGAGGTAGATACGTCGGAGTTAAGGGTTCTTATCGATAGATAGTTACGGTTGAAAGGGTGGGCGAGGATTGGAGTGTTGGCGTCGAGGTTGAGAGCGTTGTTGGATGATAAGCTTAGGAGGAGAATTGATTCGCCTGGCGGAACGGTGAGTGACGATGGGGGGTTGTTTGATATTGTTCGACGGCTGGTGGAGTTAAACGGGCAGGATCGATAGGAGAGGCCGCAGGGACAAAGCAAGCGCGGCTGGCACAGCATCATCTTGCTAAGTCTCTGCAAAAGCAATCCACATTGATAGAACTATCACAATGACATCGGGCCCGACTGCTTCTGTGTTGTTTTTCGCTGGGAAATTCAGATCTATGCGCCACTTCAGCCCATTACGCCCGCAAATACAATCTAGACCGACCCTCTCCTCAGACTAAACGCTTCCAAGCTCGCCCTCCTCGCTGTCGGATCCAACCCTCCTGGCACCAATTTCGACGAGCTCGCAATCTTCGCCGCCAACATCGCAATGGTCCCCCCACTCAACACCTCAAACAAGGTGATCTCGGCCTTCAGCTTCTGCGACACCCAAGTGCGGATCTCGACGGCCATCAAGGAGTCGACGCCGTACGTGTGCAACGGCTTGGCGTAGTCGATGTTCTCGATCGTCGTTTGGAGGCCCCGTGCGAGGGTCTCGCAGAGGGCTCCGCTGATTAATCGAGCGGCTTCGGGGAGGGACGTGCATTGCGCGAGCTTCATTTCGATTTGATCGGCGGATGCGGTGCCCGACGAGTCACCACCAGACACTTTCTCCGTGTCGTATCTTTTGAGGAGGGCAAAGCGGGGGTCGTCGTAGTAGAACGGCTCGTCCAGGCCGGCTTGCTTCAACGTTCCGCCTGAAGGGATTCCGACGATGAGTTGGGCGCCTATTGGAGTTGCGCCGTAGTATCCCGATATTGCGGCTCTCAAGATGGCGCGAAAGTCGTCCTCGTCGAGTTCTGCGGCATCAGACTTACGGATGGTGGTGTAGCCGCCTCGTTCAGCGATCATGCCGATGCCGACCATAAGGCCGAGATCGATTGCAACGGCAGGGAGCCCTTGGCTGAGACGCCAGTGTGCGAGAGCGTCTTCGAATGTGTTGCCGGCCGCGTAGTTGGCTTGGCCGCGATTGCCCACGATGCCCGAGATGGAGCTCAGCATGACGAAGAAGTCCATGTCTTCCGGGAGCAGTTCGTGCAAGAGCATTGAGCCGTGCACCTTTGGTCGGATGCTGGTGCTCCACTGATCGTGGGTCATGTTCTCGTAGATCGAGTCCTGTAGCACCGACGCACTCTGGATGACACCCTTGATAGGAGGTAGCTCAGCAGTACAATCTGCAATAACCTTGGTCATTGCAATCTTGTCCGACACATCGCAGGCGTAGACCTTGGTCACGACACCAGCCTTGCCGAGTTCATCCACCAGGACGATTGCGTTGGGAGACCTTGGTCCAGATCGTGACAACAGCGCAAGATGTTTGGCACCATGCTCGACAAGCAGCCGAGTGATGCTGCGTCCAAGCCCGCCAAGCCCGCCAACGACAACATATGTCGCTTCTGCACTGAGGACCAAAGGGTGTATGACGCTTGGGAAGACAGTGATCAGGTCTCGTGGCTTGAACATCAGCACGACCCTTCCAATGTCACTCCTCTGCTCCTCAAATTCGAAGGCATCAGCCACGCAGTCGGCGGAAAACTGGATCAACGGGTTGATGGGTTGCATGATCGTGTCTGCCATAAGTCCAGCCAGTTTGGCGAGCATTTCTGCCATCACGGCAGGATTTCCTTTGACCAGTTGCTCGATGTTGATGGTTGAGAATGTGCAGCCCATCTCAAATGGTTTGGCGTCGATTGTCGCGAGTTCCAAGCCGGTGGAGCCGGTGACATTGAAGAGGACACCATTTGGCGCGAGACTTCTGCAAAGCTGGCTGAGTTTGTCGCCCAAGCTGGAGGTGATGAGGATCATGTCGAACTTGCGAGGATTGATCTCCAGGGTCAGGAGCTCCAGATCTGAGGCGTTTTCGTCAAGGACGTGAGCCGACTCGACGCCCAGGTTCTCGATCAGACGGCTGTCGTCCGCGCTCTTTGCAGTGGCGAATACTGTGACGTTGGATGAGCTGGCTAGCTGTAACGCTGCCTGACCGACTGCGCTCGCAGCACCCTGAATCAGAACCGACTGCCCTTCTCGCACCGGGTGGATGCCATGTAGACTTCGATACGCTACTGCGAATGGTGTTGGCCATGCCGCTGCTTCTGCGAATGAAGTGCCAGAGGGCAGCCTGTGGCACAAAATCTCTTTCGTCCTGCAGGTTGTACCATATTCGCCCACATAACAGCCAAAGACCGGATCACCTATCATGAGCCGTGAGCAGTCCTTGCCCACGGCTTTGACAATGCCGCCGATATCCTTCATGGACTGCTGACTGGCTTGCTTGCTCTGGTGATTGACCGAGATTGCTTTGATCTCGACTTCAACCTCATCAGCTGACAACAGAACCTCATTGTTCGCCGTGAATGCGAAGGACTTGACCTTGTCACTTTGGCCTTGTACAAGCCGCAGACCGATCTTGCTGTCTTCTAGCCTCATTGTCTCGTATTGTCGTGGGCGGATCTCGTGCGACAACATCTGACTGATCTTACCCTCTGGGACAAGGCGACTTATGCATAGCTGACCGTTGACCAGGTGATACTCGCGTTCTAAGCTGATGTTTGTGGCTACTTTGGTGATTGCAGCAGCTAGCTCAGCTGCGCCGCACGTGTCGTCCTTGATGAGCAGATATCGCATCTGTAGATTCAGATTCTCGCTTTTGATGGACCGCAGATAGCCTAGAGCGACTCCCGTGGTGGGGTTGAGACCGTTCGCGACCCAAACCAAGCTCGAGCTCTGCAGGACAATCTTGCGTAAGACGTCAAAGTCTGTGGCCGAGATGTCCATCAAGATGGATTCTTCGACTTCGAGTAGACACAGCACAACTTTTGACTCGAGGTCTTTCACATTGGGTGGCCAGCTCACAATTTGAGCTGGTAGTCCTGATGCGACGAGTCTACCACATGTGAGCTCGCACAACTCGGTAACTTCAGCACCTGCGTTCGCTGGCTGGAGTACGTAGATGGTCTCGAGCTGGGTCAACTCTGTTTCAGGGACCGGCTTGGTTGTGATGCTCAGTGCTTCATCGAAAGACTCCTCGTCGTCGCCAAATGGTATCTCGATCGTTGATTCCAAGCTTGATACGCTTGGCCTTCGTCGATTTCGCATGGAAGCACCAGATGCTGCGCTCGATCTCCGTCGTCGGCTTGTTGGAGAGGGAGGTGTGGCCGCAAAGGGGTCTCCCCAGACTCTACGAGTACTTGTCAATGGTTGGTTCAAGCCAGGTGTGCTGTGGGACTTACATGTTCGTGCCTTGCTGTCGCCACGATTCCATCACCACCAATTTTCCCTGCTCCCGTAGCAAGCCCATAACGATGTTCAACAAGGATCCTCCCTGCAGATAAGGGGCTTGATCAGGCGTCACAACGATAAGGTCAAAGGAGTCATCATGTAGACCTTGTTCCGCAGCGTCAAGGTCCAGACGTAAGGGCACGAAATTGACCTTGGGTTTCCATTCGTTGTACTGAGACTCCATCAGCTTGACGTCGTCAAGATCTGCGTCCGCTACTGTGAGCCGGGTAAATCTCCCGCCATCTGCAGGTCCTGTTGTAAGCACTGCCAACAGGGAGGATACTAATGTCGAGCTCGATCCACCGACTTGGAGCATTGCAAGCTCTGGATTCTTGTGTGCCAGTAGGTCAACGATCTAGATTTATATCAGCGAAAAACCAAAGAGGTACTGCACGGATCTGCCACTCACCTTACACACACCTGCTTCGAGCGTACCTTGTTGCTCGCAGTCACCGTCAGTGCTTTCTGTAGCCGAGGCAAGCTCTTGCCAGCTCGCCCGTGACCTCACAAACTTGATCAGATCAGGGCGGTTGCAAAGGTCGAGGTCCGGTTTCAGTACGGGAACAGCGCATGGCGCTTTCAGGTCGCCTTTGTCTGACTTCGCGCTGCCACTTGAACGACCTCCAGGTAGCTCCTTACATTGCATACCTCTGATTTGCACACAGGGTGTATCCTTGCCTCCGTCTGACCAGGCAAAGACCTCAGCCACCACCATATCAGGGGCTGCATTTCTGGCACGAGAGAATCCGTGTAGTTGCGTACCTGGATCGTTGATCATCGTTGCTGCCACCGTAATTGAATCGAACGCCACCGGAAGAGCAGCCTTCTCGATTTGGAAGGTATTGTTGCCGCCTAGTGCTGCGAATAGCGAGTGGATTAGCACATCCAATGTCGTGGGATGGATCAGGTGGTCGCTTTGCGTCTGTGCTGGCATTGCAGCTTTTGTATCAGGGATCGAGAGCTCCCAATGACACCTATACTGTGACCCGATAGCGATGCTAGCAAGTGCCTGAAAGCTCGGGCCATAGGACAAACCTATCTGATCCGTCTGAAGATAGAACGCCGCTGGCTCGACATGGTTATTGCAGGTACCCTTGCACAGGGCATACTCGTTGCGTAGTGCTTCGGTGACAAAGTCCTTGTCTTTGCTCCAACGTTCGTCACTGGGTACGCTTTCACGCTGATAGCAGATCCCGACGACACCAGTGGCATTCTCGACTAGGTCTTCGTTCTCCTCGCATGTTTGTACGGAGAAATCGAACCAGCCGTCCATTCGCTTGTGCAGACAGAGCACGCTCTCGAGTCCATATGCTGTGTCCGGTACAACAATAGCCTTGCCTATGCGTACATCCTTCAGCTGAATGCTTTCAACTGTTCTGTCCTTGTCGGCGATCTGTCGAAGAGCTTCGATGGGCATCGCTAAGATTCCTGCGGCTGGATAGACCACAGTACCAGACACTACATGATCTTTCATCCAAGGATTGTCTTTCTGTCGGAGGAAGTTGCGCCACCTCAGATTGGAGTGCTTGTCGAACCCAATAACGGGAGCGCCTAGAAGATCGTGTCTTCCGTGCTCGCGTAGACGATACTCTTTACTTTGTCGCGGTTCGGACCAGTACTTGACAGCTCGATTCCATGGGTAAGATGGGAGGTCTTTGAGAGGCTCATGTGATGACGTGATGCCATTAACGATATGGATTGAGACTGGAACCCCATGCGTAAAAAGACTGCCAGCAGCATCAACAGCGGTGATGCACGCATCCTTGCCTCTCGAGATGACGGACTTGTATGTCACGTTTTTGACTTGAGCTGTCAGTGTAGACAAGATTTGCCGTACCGGTCCTTGCAGGGCTGCATGGGGGCCTAATTCGAGGAGGAATCGAGCTGTGGGCTGAGCAGTCTGAGCTCTCCGTCGCCGCTTGACGTTGGTAAGCATAACGGACACCGCATCCGAGAAGAGAACGGGCGAGACCAGATTTTTGACCCAGTACTCTGGTCCAAGATCCGCATGCTGTATGATATTACCTGTAACACTCGACGCCATGACGACCTGATCAGACGCGGCAGCAGAGTTCTTGGGCTTGATGTGCGAGATCGAATAGAGATATTTGCTTGCAATGAGCTCCATATGGTGAGAGTGGTATGCGTTCTCTACCTTGAGTTTGCGTGCGAACACCGATTCTGCTTTGAGCGTTTCAAGCATCTCATCAATCGCTGGCTCATCTCCTGAGATGGTCATGGACTCGGGAGAATTGACACAAGCGACGACAAGTCTACCTCGTGTGACTTTTGCGACGTATTTTTCTGCTGCGCCTCGAGAACAGCCCACGGCCATCATGGAGCCTCGCAACTTCAAATCGCGGCTCATGTCGGAACAAAACTGTCCTCGGAAGTACGCGATCGTCCATGCGTCCTGTGCAGTGAGGGCTCCGCAGGCGTACGCTGCCCCAATCTCTCCGCTAGAGTGTCCAACAACTCCAACTGGGTTGATGCCCCACGAAGCCAGTAAGTCCACCAGTGCCACCTGCAACACTGAGCACAGTGGCTGGCTGAACTCCGCGAAAGATACTTTGCTGGTGAGCTCGTCCCGTTGCATTTCTTCTATGACAGACCATTTGCAGCCAAGCTTATCCTTCATGAATCGATCCGCAGCAACAGCAGAATCCCGGAAAACAGGATAGCGCAGCAATTCGATCCCCATACGTGCCCACTGAGCACCTTGACCTGTGAAGATGAAGTTGAGCTGTGGCTTTGACGACGCATGTACCGGCATGAATGTTGTTGTCCCAATGTTCTCGTTAACCTCTTCCAAGCTCGAGCCGATGGCGTATGCCTGCCACTCGAACTGCGATCGTCGTCCACCAAGAGTGAAAGCCAGCCTCTCGAGGTATTCACTGGATTCTTTGATTGGCTGATTCTTTTGGCTGGGATGTGTGGCGAGATAAGTTTGGTACACCGTTTGCATTCTTTCCAAAGCAGGTTTGCTTTGTGCGCTGAAAAGGAAGAGCATTTGCTTCCGAGTGTTGCCCAAAGAAGGCAATTTAGTGATGCCTCTGCTCGAGAGATATTCAGCAGCGCTGTCAATGATGACGTGGGCATTGGTCCCGCCATAGCCAAAAGAATTGACGCTCACTCTTTTCTTGCTGCCAGATGGCCAAGGAATAGGTTGAATCGGCACCACCATGTTCCAATCGTCGAACGGGATGCGAGGATTGGGTCGTTCGAAATGAATATTAGGCAGTATGGTGTCGTGCTCAAGCATCAGGATACTTTTGATGACCCCTGCAATGCCAGCGGCACCTTCAGTGTGACCAATGTTTGACTTCACAGATCCAATGTAGAGCTTTCCATCTCTTCGCGAACCCGCCACAGTCTTTGCGACTGCTGCAAGCTCGAGGGGGTCTCCCACCGCTGTCCCAGTGCCATGTGCCTCGAAATATCCGGTTTCGTGCAAGTCGAGGCCTGCAGCTTGATAAGTTGAGCGTATCAAGCTCGCCTGCGCCTCGCTGTTAGGGACTGTAATACCCTTGGTATGCCCGTCCTGATTGACACCAGAGCCTCTTATCACTGCACGAATGCTGTCCCCGTCCCGAACAGCGTCCGAGACTCTTTTCAAGATGAGGGTGGCGATTCCTTCTCCGCGACCATACCCTGTCGTGCCGTCGGCAAATGCTCGAGATAGACCGTCTTTGGATAGCATCCCGAGATTCCCTAAGAATATCGACAGATCTGGACTCAAGATCAAATTTGTGCCCGAAACCACTGCCACTGTGGATTCTCTCGATCGCAGGCCCTGGCACGCAAGATGAAGCCCGACTAAGCTGGAGGAACATGCGGTGTCTAACGTCAAGCTGGGTCCACGTAAGTCGAAGAACCAGGACACCCGGTTAGATAGTAGAGAGAAGCCCGTGCCTGTGACTGCATATGTTGCTGAGGCCTCTGCGTCGCGCATTTGCATCTCATGGAAGTCTCTTGTGAAGCATCCCACGTAGCAGCTTGTGTCGCTACCTTTGAGGCTCTCTGTAGGGAGTCCAGCGTTCTCAAAAGCCTCGTATGTGACTTCTAGGAGCATGCGGGCGGCAGGATCAATCGCTTTGGCCTCGTTGGATGTAATGCCGAAAAATGGTGCATCGAATTCGGCTGGGTCACATTGCAGGAAATGACCGCCTGCAGTCCGCAGAGTGTGCGCTTTTTCCCCTGAAGCATGGTGGAAAGCATCGACATTGAATCGATCACTGGGGACCTTGGAATACCCGGCTGCTCGAAGATTAGCAACATATCAGGCAATAGCATGATAGAGTCCGCAGCACATACATCTACGCTCGTAGAGCAAGTCCCAAAACTTTGAAGGATCGGTTGCACCTCCAGAGAAGCGACAAGAAAGACCGACTACTGCAATATCCTCGGGCATCACAGGTGAGGAGGTATCTGAACAAGAGCCCATACTGAAGGACACAGGATGATAAGGAGAGACAGACAGAGTAATGGAGATATGCCAGGTAATGCAGAAGTCATACGTTGGTCATGGCGTCTGTGGGAACGGCGTCCCATATGCTTTGTTACACATTGTTCACGTATCTCTGCACTGAACTCCTGACTCTTCCTTGACTTATCTGTTTTTAACATGTGAGCTCAAGCTCATGTGAACGGGGAACCATACTTGGAAGCTGATAGGCTTATACGAGTCTCTCATTTGAGTTAGCAGAGCCCGAGTCATTTTTGTCGAGGGCTGACATTTGGTGCTCTGTCCACGACACCCCAGCCGACCCGAATTTGGGTCATAACTTGGTCCGATCAGTGAAATGAGATTCCACTCAACAGGATCATGTCCACGACCCGCGCGCCACATATTTTGCATACTAGCCTAGCGCACTTTGCGGTCAAGCCTGTCGGCCCAGCCGAGTGACCAAATGACAGATACTGTGCCAATAATGAGTGGTAAAGTACGTGAGTGTGTTGGAAGTAGAGTGTTTTGATCTGGAGATAATTTTTTGGGAATGGACGTTGATAGCTCCAGACTCTTTGATTCGTCGGTCAAGCCGTTGCAGCTGGCCTTGTGGAGCTTTTTGCATCAAGTTAAAACGGGCAGGAATTGTCGAGCTTCTCTTCACGTCAAACTTGACCACTGTACGTCAAACTGTGCATCTTCTCACATCATGTTCACATATTGATCATCGAATGTACCCTAAGTGAATGCCACGTGTACGATAGTCGCGGTCTCCTGCAGGCGGTGTAACCATCTAGACTGAGCCCTGGACGTCCAACGAGGCTGCTCATAACGAAGCTGAGCTCGAGCTAGGTAACGCCGTCGGTAAAGTCGAATTCTACCTAGCTCCGTGAACATTCGGTCAAAGATCACGTCAAAAGCTGGCGGCAGTGATGTTGAGAAGTCGAGACTTTCGCGCTAGCACATATGCTCCAGCGTTCAACTTTCCACAGAGCCGCCCATCTTTCCCCTAACACTGCTCGAGTCAGCTGCATCACGAAACATTCTTTGTCGCGATAACATCTTGGGAACATCTTCGTGCCACAGACTGTTCGGTGTTCATAAATCATAACCAAGCCTGAATCACTGAGATCCAATCTTGAGATACATCAAGGTCAAGATGCGATTTCTCTGTCTCCATGGCCGAGGCACGAACTCGGATATCTTTGAGCGTCAGTTGGGTGTGTGTAAACTATTTCTAAACATGTGACGTATATTGATTGGACACGCTGACAATGTATAGCCCCATTAGTCTCACATGTATCGAGCGAACACTCGTTTGATTTCCTCGACGCACAGTTTGAATCCCCAGCAGGTCCTGGAGTTGCTGAATTCTTCGCTCCTCCGTATCTTGCTTGGCACGATCACTACCGGCCGTCTCACGTCGAAAAGGTGCATGAGAACCTTCGAGAAGTGATGGAAGAGGATGGGCCATACGATGGAGTAATCGGCTTCTCACAAGGTGCAGCTCTTGCAGCGAGCCTCTTGTTGTATCATGAGTCACAGAAAGAAGCTGGTGCGTGCGATTCGAGCGGAAATCTTTTCAAGGTGGCCATCTTTTTCAACAGTGTCGTGCTCCTGTCACCCTCGACAGATACCGGTAGCAAAATCGACGAAGAAATAAAGCAGGGGGAAGCGATATATGCAGGCTTGCTTCGTGGACAGCAGACAATCTCCTTACCAGAAGCGTACGCGAGCCCAGATGGCAACGAGGAAGAGAATCCAGACTCCATATTTGGGTTCGAGTCGGACACCTTTCCCCACCGCATACAGATCCCTACTTTGCATGTGATTGGTATACAGGATCAATATGCGGTCCATTCGCGGAAGCTAGTCAAGTTGTGTCGGCCTGATCGAGCACAGAAGATTGAGGTGGACTGTGGTCATGAAGTCCCGCGCAATGTGGCTGTCTTGACAGAACTGGCTGAAGTCTTCGAGCTGGTAGTCAGCATGGCGTCTATGCACGATTAGAGGAATAAATGTACAGCGTATAACCAGGTCAATCAACCTTGCGTAAACGGTTCGTACTGCTATTGCAGGGCATCAATAGTATCTCTGGAAGGCAAGCACTTTAATATCCGCGCTCACGTATTTGAAAACACAGACAGTGTAGTCTACTACAGCATTCAACTACGGTCAAGATCTGGACGTTCAGATACTTCGTCAGTGACTCCTCGACCGCGGTCTGGGTAGGACCAGGGCCGACCGAGCTGGCGCTATGCATAAGCAAGCCAGCTGTCAAAAGCGTGAGCTAACTAGTAGCGGAGTCCCCGAGTTCCCGAACTCCAGGCTTTGGCTGTACGTACAGCATCGCTAGTTCAGCGGAAAGGGAAGTCTTTTCAGCTCACTTCAACGGCTGTAAAGGGGACCCCGCCTTCGGCTGGAGCACTCCATACCAAACGAGTACAATCTTGACAAGTAGCAGAATCTTTAACCGTGACGTGCGAACATTCAGCTATTGATGCCGTCTCGAGTTACCAAATCCGATATGCAAGGTACAGAGGAAGACCGCAGCGTCGCCATGTATTATAATCCCTATGAGATCTGTTCAGATCTGTCCGACATTCGGCAAAACACCTTCTGCTCGACAGACACTAACTCGCAAGTATGGTATCTTGGCTTCTTGACACCGAGCGAACGTTGCCTCAAGTCCTCGAAAAGAGAGCGAAGACGGTCCCGCATGGTTTATTCGCGAAAGTCCCACTGTCGCCTACGTCCTACTCGTCGGGATTCCGAGCTGCCACCAACCTCGAGGTCTCAAATGCGGTTGATGAGGTAGCATGGCTGATAGAGAAGGAATTGGGGAGACCCAAAGACTTTCCAACCATTGCCTATCTCGGTCCCGCTGACCTGCGCTACTCTATCGTGGTTATGGCTGCCATGAAGACTGGGCACAAGGTGAGTCAACGAGTCAACCCCGGAGCTCATTAAGAAAGATACTGTAATCCTAGACTGCAGACTCATGATGGACAGACATTCCTACCGTCTCCTAGAAACAGTATGGCAGCCTTCAACTCCCTGTTGTCCGGCCTCGATTGTCAGATAATAGTCACCGTCTCCCCCGAGCCTCCGATTGTCTCCGCAATTACGGCTGAGCGTGAGATGAAGAAGCTCAATCTACCATCGCTCTTCGATTTGCTCGATAAGGTAAATGTACCGAGATATCCGTATGACAAAACCTTTGAGGAGGCAAGATGGGACCCAATTCTGGTCCTGCATACCTCTGGATCAACAGGTACAGTGTGGCTGAAGAATTTCCCAACAATATCTGACCTCGTCCTAGGCATCCCCAAGCCACTCACCTATACGAACGAATTCGTCTCAAGCATCGCGAAGAACATCTCCCTTATCCCGCCAGAGGGTTTCCGAAGCCTCGATGTGTACGTCCGCACTGGACTTTTTTTCATCTTCTTACCACCATTCCATGTACGTTCCAACCATTTTCGACCTTCCCACTCACTCACCCGCATAGATCGCTGGCATAGCCTTTTCCCTCATCGTTCCAATATTTTGCGATGACGCGATTCCCATCTACCCTTTGTCAGGATCGCCTCCAACTGTCGCAGACCTTCTCGAAGCGAGAAACCATACGCATGCTGATTGGGCGTTCGTCGCGCCAGTTATGGTCGATGAGATTGGCAAGACATCCGCACTTCTCGAGTCCTTTTCTGCCAAATTTACGCATCTCTTCTACAGTGGTGGCGCGGTTCCGAAGATCTCTGGCGATGCTGTCGCCGCTCGAATGGGTCTTTATCAGATCCTCGGCTCAAGTGAATGCGCATCTTTCCCGTTGATCCGCGATGCGGAAGATCAGTCATGCAACCAATGGGACTGTGTGCAAATTCACCCGGCCGTTAATGCACAATTCCAGCATCGATTCGGAAGTTTACATGAGCTGGTACTCGTGAGAAAAGACGACCTACTTGTTCACCAGCCTGTCTTCTGGCATTTTCCTGAACAGCAAGCGTACGAGACAAGGGACTTGTTCGAGCAAGTCTCTCCCAATATCTGGCTCCATCGCAGTCGAATTGACGACATTATCGTATTCTTGAACGGTGAAAAGACGAATCCAATCAGTTTTGAACAGGAAGTCGGACGGCATCCCGAAGTCAGGTCTGCTTTAGTTGCTGGTATGCAGAGATTCGAAGCAACTCTGCTTGTTGAGCTCTTGGACCATGCAAAGTCTTTGGCCGATGGTGAGGCAGCACTTGTCAACCGGATTTGGCCAACAGTCGAGGAAGCCAACAAAGTGACACCTTCACATGCCAGAGTAGCCAAGTCCAAGATCATCATTATCGACCCGCTAATGCCTATGCCCAGAGCTGGCAAGGGTACAGTACAGCGCCAAGCAACATGGAATCTTTATGCACAAAAGCTGGAAGCAGTCTATGATGCGGACGAGAACGGAGGAGCCCAGCCACCGTCAGAAGACATCACTATCATGAACGATGACGAGATCTTGAAAGTCGTCCAAGAGTCCGTAACAGGAACAATGCACCGAGATACTGTCGAGGTTGGAGACGGTTTCTTCGATCTCGGTATGGATTCTCTGATGGTGCTTCGACTGGGCCGAGATCTCAAAGCCCGACTGGGGATTACCGTCGACATGAAAGCAATCTACGGTAATCCGTCTATCGACAAATTGACTGCCCACATACTTGAGCTTGCCCGTAATCCCAACGCTGTGATCGGGGATCAGGCTGGTGGTGCTCAAGAAGTGGCGATGGACGCAATGCTCGAAGGGTATGGAAAGGAAATCAAGTCTCTCAAAATTGTCGACAGCGTCAAGAGGAATGGGTTGCACGCCCATCCACCGGAGCAAGTGGTGCTGCTTACAGGGTCGACAGGGGCCGTCGGCTCCCACATCCTCCGCGAGCTTCTAAAGAACGATTCAGTCCGCCACATATATTGCCTCAACCGCGCCGACGACTCTGAATTACTCCAGACAAAGCGCAATATCAAGCGAGATCTTCCAACAGACTTCCCTCCAAGTCGTGTTACATTCCTCACGGCAAATCTAGCTAGAAAGGACTTTGGGCTAGGGAAAAAGGTGCATCAGTCACTGCTATCTCAAGTCACTCACATCGTCCTCAATGCCTGGCCAGTCAACTTCAACCTTCCACTTTCCGCATTCAAGACAGCCTTGGACGGGGTCCTGAACACCATCGATTTTGCCCAGCAATCGCATGTCTCGCCAAGCATAACGTTCCTCTCCTCAATCAGTTCAATGACGAACTACTCCGGCGGGCAGATCCCTGAGAAGATTGTTCGTGATGTATCTTGCCCAGCGAGCATGGGGTACGGACAGAGCAAGTACATTGCCGAGCGTATGCTTGACTATGCTTCTCAGCAACTGCAGATCAAGACCAAAATCATCCGGGTCGGTCAGATCGCAGGAACAGCCGAGAATCCGAGAGGGTGGAATCGTGACGAGTGGCTGCCGAGTCTAGTGCTCAGCTCGAAGTACCTTGGAGCAGTTCCGGCCTCCTTGGGCCGCAAGACATCGACTTCGCCAGATGGCATGATGGGGACGATCGACTGGATACCGATCGATCAGCTGGCAGGCATCTTGACTGAGCTGACATTGGCTTCTGAGAACGGAGTCTTCCATGCTGTGAATCCTGCGAAAATTTCGTGGGCGAAGCTGCTACCAACGGTCCAAGAGGAGTTGTCTGGCGTCACGGTTTCGTCTTATGAAGATTGGCTACAACTGTTGAAAAGCCGCACGGATTCTGAAGTTGATGCTGATGCAGTCAGGCAAAACCCTGGTTTGAAACTCATCGATTTCTATGAGAGCCTGCTGCAGGACAAGACAAGTGCCAGATTCAGCACAGAACAGAGTGTGCTGATAGGTAAACGACTCAGCCGTCTGGAGGCTATCAACACGAAGTCGATTGCTGGTTGGATCAAGAATTGGCTCGCGGAGTCTTAGATTGAATGGTTAGATGCTTTGTATTGCAGTTGTAGTTGCTGACTCCATTGGATGATCGTTTTCTAGTAGAACTTAGAGCGTCACTATTACTGCTCTCTTCTCTTCAGTGCCGGCAGTGTGCTGAGCGGGCGCTGACATTGCCGTGTGCACTGAAATGTGGATTTATATACAAAACATAAAAACAGCAAGTACTTGGTTAGACTGCTTCAACATCATGATGCCCTAAAATTAAAGGTTCACTTCTGCGCTCAAATGATACTGTACACAAGCTTCTTCCCTCTCACTTTGCCATCCTTCAACATTTCGAGACTAGAATTTGTCAGTCTCAATCACAGTAGAGAATTGACGGCATGAAACACACCCTTGTAGAATGCCATCAAGACCACCTTCCCCTACCTGGAAAGGATGCGGCTTGAACTTTCCTCTTTCGAGGAGGTCCTGAGCCAGCGCCCAAAATTCGACGCCAAATTGCCAGTCGTCAGGACTTGCAGGTGTGGTCACATTCATTTTGGTATACTCTTCCCCAAAGATCGTGTAGGCCATGATTGCGCTCGTCTGCACGCCTTTCCGGGGAAACTGTACCCTTCCAAGCAGTGAAGAATAGTACCCAGGCAAGCGCGAAGACAGTGCTGCAGAGCAGAGCTTCATTGATTCTTCAGAAGACACGCAATCCAGACAGTATTGCAGCGAATCACCTGTCAGCGCTTGAATGTCCTTTACGCAGCTTGTCGAGTTGTAGTCAAAGACGTGGTCTGCTCCTAAGCTTCTCAGTAGCCTGAAGTTCTGTGGGGAGGCAGTCGCGACGACCTCCAGACCTGACCTATAAGAGCTTCAATACAATGTCAACGTACAATGCAGCACATGAACACTTACAATTTAGCAAATTGTATGGCAAGTGTTCCCGTAGCAGAGCTGCCACCATTGATCAGAATGAAGGTCGACTCCTTGGCAGGTTCCTCTGGCCAGGGTATGTCGAAAGTTTGGTACATCGCAAGTCCTACAGTGCTTACGCATGCAAAGGATGTTAGCATTCGGGGCCTGAGTTTGACTTGAACATGCTTACCTATACCAAGCGTGCATGCTTCCTCAAAGCTCATATTGTCTGGGATTTTGGCGAATATGCCGTCTCGCGCCATGGCGTACTCGGCAAAACAGCCATCTTCATGTTTGCCCTACAAAAGAGGTCAGCTCAATCATCGTGCGTTCTGATGAAGGTGACGACTTACAACATTGCCGCCGTGGACCCAACCAGCAATACGATCTCCAACCTCAACCGAAGCTTGCACGTCGGGACCCTTAGAGCCGCAGGTGATTTTAACAAATGCCGCTTCCACGAAAGACAACACGAGGTCCAGGAACTCACGATTTCGAGGACAGTACCCGCATAATCGCAACCTATTGTATGAACGAAATGCTCAAATGATAGGCGCTTCGGTCTCTTACCTAGAGTTGCCCCTTTGTCTGAGATGAATTTGGCATGTTTCCAGTCGGCTTTAGAAGTTAGTCGTGCCTCTTGCATCATCGGAGATACTTACTTGGGTTCAACGCCACCGCATGCACTTTGACCATAACGTGCCCAGCACGAAGCTGTGGTTGGGGGATTTCGCTGACTCTGGCCTCACCAGGTACGTGGACGACGATGGCTTTCATACTCGCTTGGTGGCTTTTGAATAGTGACAGTGAAAGGCTAGAAGAAGCTCGGAATGAGTCTGCGAGTACAGATACCGACTGTAAAGAATGGTCTAGAAAAGGCCAATATCGATTGATCGTCTCTACCAAAGGCCTTTATGAGCCTGCAGTGAATCCCATGCCAAAATGCGATATCTGTTTGACATAGCACATTCACCTCTCGAGAGAGGACTCTCTGGCAAAGAGCGCACTGTCGAAATGCTGACCGCCCACTGGCTCTGTTCGACTTACGTACGTAGGCGTATATGGCAGCGTTTGCCAGCTAAGTACGTAATACTGCACAGCTCAGCTCGCTGTTGCCGAGCCGCATAGCACTACGCTAGTACTCTGCAGTAAGTAGGGTAGATTAGACTTTCGCGCTGTCCCGTGCCAGCAGTTGCTTGCAGCGAAGCTCCCCGTGGAGTGTATTGTCGGTAACTATGTGTAAGCCTTCTATGTCCTTAAAGAGAGATACCTAAGAAGCATAACATAAGCATCTAATAATAGTGGGGCCCAGAAACGGGACTAAGTACGGTTGATAAGAAAGGATGAGGAGGGTAAGCGGCTGCCCAAGTAGACTGAGCAGCTCAGGATGAGGCTGAGCCGAGGCTGAGCCAGGTCACATGATGCCTGAGTAAAGCGGCAGGCCACGGTCCCAAGCGGGTGCCAAGACCAGGCGCTTTGTCGCCCCTGAATACCATGAGGTAAGATGTCATGGAAGCTACAATCCCAGAAAGAAAGCCGACTCCAGGGTCGATGGGCGACAAATTCACTTCTGAACTTACCGGCATTCATGAACTTCTCCTTGACTTTGCGTTCAAACTCCTCAACCTCGGCCTTCTTTTTCTGCTTCTTACTCTCGATACGGGCTTCCTCCTCCATGAGGAACTTCTCTTTCATTTTAGCCGCCTTTATATTCATTTCCTCTTCTTCCCGCTTGGCTTCCAACAGGATCTCCTCTCGCGCTATTTGTTTATTCTTGGGTTGTGTCAATATCAACACCTCACTCTCGCTATCGTCGCCATTCCCACCATCCTCCACGAAGCCTTCGGATGGGCTCATACTATCAACATGGCTCCCGATTCCCCCACTCATTGAACCCGACTTCGACTCCTCTTCAGGTTTGGACGGGCCTGGAGTTATCATCCCATCTGAAGAAGAAGAAGAAGAAGAAGAGTTGCTGTTGACCTCGCCCTCGTGTTCCAATTCTCGTATCAGGGTGCGAATCAGTGAGTCTTCGTTGTTGTCGTCGCCATCGTCTTCTTCCATTCTTGGAAGAGCAAACAATGCTAGCTCCTCCAGGTGTTTCCCAAGGTGTCGCTCAATCGATATGGCAGGTAGACTAGCACCACAGTGCAATGGACAATCGCTCTTGTCACCTGGAGCGGATCCTGACAAGTGTCGAGACCGAAGATGTTGAAACCATTCGCGTCGACTGCAGTATAGTCGATTAGAAGCGGTGCATTCAGGAAACACGCAGACATAAGGCATCAGGTCCCTGAAAACATGCCGAATCCACGAACGTCTGTTGGAGACTGTGATGAAGTAGAAACAGTATGGGCATTCGAAGGGTTTTCCACCACTTGATTCTTTTGGAGGCCGTGGAACTATGATTTTATCACCGCTCTCCCAGAGACTTGTGGCGTACGACGTTTGAGAAAGACCTGAATTTGAGCCTGTCTCCTCAAAATCAATATGGGTTTCCTCAAAGTCAGTGGCAATTGTTTCCGAGAGCCGCGTGGAAAGAGCATCGGGTTCGTCGATGCCTTGTCCGAGCTTCGCGTGATGTCGTTCACGGTATTTCAGCACCGCTCTGCGTCGTGAAATAGCCGCGCCCAGCCGGTCAGCGACAACGCGAGGGGCCTGAGGATACTTGTGGGCGACGTGCTGTTTGTCAAAGGGTTCGAAAGCTGTGGCATCGAGCTTCTTCGTGCCTAGAAGCCTGTCGTGTTGCGTTGGGCGGCGGATGATCATGCTTATCTGGAAGAGGCAATCAACAGTGGTGACAATACCACCATAAATCTGCTGCGCTTCGGTCTCGTCGTCTTCTTGGAGCAAGAACTCTTCGTCTTCTAGATCGATACCATCCAACAATTCGTCGAGGTCTTGGAGATTCTGCCGGAGTCGCTCCAGGAGCTTAACGGTCTGACCTTTGATATGCGATGCATCTCTCAGACGATAGTCAAGGGAAGACTGGCCAGTTTGATGAGCGCCGATATTGCCCGCCCACAGACGTAACCTCCCCAGTTCATCAGTCCACAGGCTCATTGGTACCTCAGTCGAATAAGATGCCAATTCGGTCCGGGATATGAGAGTGTTGAAGAGTTTCAAACAGTCGACAAGTACAGACGATATAGAGTCCGCCATCACCTATCAACCTTAGATGTCGCTCTGATGCAGCCTATGCTTCAGTCTCCGCCTACTGAACCAAAGACGGTACGAGCCTCGCGCCGCCGATCAGAAGCTTCGATGGAAACTTTAGGCACGGAAAGGCCCGTCGCGAGCTTTTCTTTTCATCAAAGACTACTTGCTCCTGCAACATGCTCTGATCCATCTACCTGGAGGATGATGTTGCCAATTGAAGAAGATGACCAGGCAGAGTATCCTTGTCTCACCAGTGTCGTTCAGGCTGGCGCGATCATTTGCATGCAGTCACGAACATGGCCAGGTGGTCTTACCGAGGCGGGGTGAGGCGGGATTCGGCGGGGTAGTTCTCGATCGTCAGCCGCATCTTGTGATATTCCAGACCGTATTTCAGCCGCCCTTGGGCCCCAAACCCTCTTCTCAAATCCAACTGCACGCGAGAGAGGGCCGTATGGTGACTGTCATCGAGACGGCTGGCATCGTGCTCGCTATTCTTCCCTTGGTTGTAAATCAACTTGATGCATACGTCCAAGGCATCCAGACTTTGCAAGGGCTTCGGACTAAGCGCTATCGCCGACGCATCGAGGATTACTCCACGCGGCTCGGGACACAGCATGTAATTCTCCTGAACACGCTTGACCAGTCGTTGGAAGGCGTCGTCGACTACGAAGATGATGTCGCTGAGCTTATTGAAAACCCTCGAGGGCCATTGTGGAGAGATCCTGTGTTCCAGAAGAAGCTGGCCAAAAAGCTCGATCGTAACTACGACGCCTTTATTAGGACGATGACAGAGCTGTCAGCTTCGTTAGAGCACTTGTCGAAAAAACTCGGTCTCGAAGCTGGGACCCCCTTGAAGGTAGGTTTTGGGCACGACGGGCTTTGAATGCTTCCGATCGTTTTGGTTCCCCTATTGAGCGACATACCCATTTGTTAATATCTTTCTTCAGATAACCTGGGACGACGCAACAGTTGTCGAACGGGAGATCAAGAAGCTCAAAGATGTCTTCTCGAAATCCGTGTATGAAGATTTGCTCAAAAATATCGAAAAGGCCAACGCATCGCTTAAGACTCTTGTCGAACAATCGCACCACCTCCAGGAAAGTCGGCGAAAGCATGGAATATCCAAGAAGCCGTTATTGAAGCACAGGGCAGCAAGGAAACACGCCATCAACCTTTACAACGCCGTTGTGCGAGGGAAATACTGGAAATGCCCATGCAGAGATTCTCACTGCGTACATCTTCGCGTAGAGCCGCGGGCCTTGGACACCAACGACGACTTTGAAACAAAGCGAGCCATGCCAAAGCTGCGGATAGCCTTCAGTACAAAGACGCTTACCTCGGAAACTATCCCAGCGTGGCATTGGTATGAAGTCGAGACGATTCCAATGCAGTTGGACACGCCCACCGTGCCGGAAAAGCCTTCGTCAATCCACTCCACCACTCTACAAACGGCCGCTGGAGCAAAAGTCCAGTTTGCGCTTGCCGTGTCGTCCTTGAACAGTGTGCCATGGCCCAAAATCCCTCCATCTCTGCCGATTTCAGACATGTGCTCCACTCTATGCAAAGCGAAAACCGACCAACTCATCAAGGAATACCTTGGTTCCATCTCGGATGAGAACGATCTCTCTTATCGATATTACCTCTACCTCGTGGAAAAACTTGACAACAGTATGGAGACGCAGTCTTTGGAGGAGATGTTAAGTTCTTCCATGAATCCTATGGGGACTCGCATGTCCCGCGCAAGCTATGTGTTTAGCAGACGAGATCGGTTGTTCCTGCCAGCGACTCTTGCCTCAACAGTGCTTCGATTCCATGGAAGCTGGCTCAAACCCGAATGGAGGAGCCGGGATATCCTGTTCCCAAAACCGACAGACAACAGCAAACCCTTGATCGAACAACCTTACCTCTCCGGTCATGAGATAACCACCTCCGCGACCACAGCGCCGATATCAAGGTCCACGACGACGACGCTCATTCGCAATGATGTCCTGTTTCCCCTCGGCCTTGCATTGATTGAGCTCTCTCTTTGCCAGACCATTTCCTCTTTGAGAGCCGCCGAAGACGACGACTGCGTAGAAGCAAACGCCAACCTAAAGACCGCCTCGAGGGTCCTTGACCACGTCTACTCGGAGAGCGGCGGTCGCTATGGCGATGTAGTGGCTAAGTGCCTCTTTTGGTCGGAGACGAGGATCTCCAAAATCGACGAGGAGTTTCAACAGCTGGTCTTCCAGAATATAGTCTCGCCGCTTTTGGAAGATCTTAAGGATTTTGAAGGGAAATCTCGTATTCGTTGAGATTGTTTGATATCCTTCTTAAGAAGCAAAGTCGCGGACGCCCTCTCTCTTCACTTCACTTGATTGGGGGCGCAGTAATTGGGGATAAACTCATTCTATTGTTGGCAGTCATATGCCAATTTACTTATTCCCCTGAGTACTTATTATTCATGCTTCGTGCGAAGAGGTAGATTGGTGATATGGTTTCGCTACTAGTAGCTATCCCAAAGTTTCTTAAGCGTCCTAATTTTTGATTTTACCCCCTTCAAGATCTTCCGTAGATTAAGTGTGTCAGACAGCTGGCAGTGACTTGGTGTCGAAAACTGACAACTACTACCTAGGGTACTTGACTAATAGACCCGGATACCTACTGTCACTGCAGGAACTGATAGCTATTACTACTGAATTAGGCACAGCCTACCTAGCTAATGTTAAGCCGCCGTAGGCTGAATGCTGAATGTGTATCAAGGTGAAGCCGCATGTCAATCGTCCAGCACTAGTTGCTCCCCCCGCTCCAGACCATAGTCGAACTATTCCGTGTATCTCTTCCACAGCGTTTTAGGGTTGGACGCGCTTGAAAATATGGTGGTTTCTCCGCGTCTCCCCTTTTCTCCAACTGTCACCGTCATTCCAGCCGCGGCGGAGAATTGGTGACGTCGGTTGATGTGTGGGCTTTTCGACATTCGGTCAATTTTATTCATTGAATCATTCTCCCCTTCATCTAATACCATAATTTTACAAGAGCAAATACAAGATAGAACTCAGAACGCCAAAGCAATGCCTCCCTCGGGTCTCGCTATTCTTCTCGGCGCCGGCCCCACAACGGGCGCGGGCATCGCCCGGGTCCTCGCCCGCCCGTCGCAAGGAAACCTTGCCGTCGCCCTGCTGTCGCGCAGCGGTGATGTCCAGCTCGCGGAGCGCCTGTCACGCGACTCTGACGGCGGGGTGCTGAAGGCGTTCCAGACCGACACATCGGAACAGAACTTGACCCGGACCTTTGACGAGATCAAGCGGTGGTCGGAGTCTCTTGGAAAGGGGGAATTGAAGTTGAAGTTGGCCATCTGGAGCATCAAACACTCGCACAAGACGCCCTTCGAGGAGGAATCCGCCCAACGCTTCGGAGACAGTCTGCAGACCTACGTCACGGGCGCAATGGTATTCAGCCAGCTCTGTCTTAAGTGGATGCTCGCTCAGTATCCGGCAGATGTGGACAAGAGCTCAGAAAGTGGTGGGGACGAAATGATCAAGAAGGGAACCTTGATCTTTACGGGTACCTTGGGCGCGTTGAGAACGAATCCCGGATACGCCGCGTACGGGGCCGGAAGGGCTGGCGTGAGGATGCTGGCCCAGAGTCTGGCGAGGGAGTATTCTGCCAAGGGCGTCCATGTTGTCCACGCCATTGCAAACGGCGGCATCGTCGATGTCGATGCGGCTGCTGCTCAGGGCGAGGAGGTCGACGCGGATGCGAAGGTCAAACAAGAAAAAGTCCTGCTGGGAGAAAAGATCCGTGCGGAAAGTGTCGGCAGACTGTATCTCGAGTGTATGCGCCAGAGCTGCGACTTGTGGGTTCATGAGTTGGACATGAGGCCCGCGCGGGAAAAGTTTTGAATCCTGCTTTGAAAGCGCGGCATTCATCTAGCTGCTCGAGGTCCCCATGAATGTCATCTCTCCACAACGGACGAGTATAATAGGGCAATCAAGCAGCCTCCCATGGGGCAAATTGCCACGAATCTACCAATCTGGCGTCAAGACATCCGCCGAGCCGGCCTCACCTGATATCCTTCTTGGCAAAAGGTATACCTAGGTTTTCCGCTCCGCCGCTCCTTCCCCAAAGCCTGCAGAGGAACGACATTCATGTGAGCTTCTTCTACGCATACAAACACTTTGCAGCTAGCCTGTGGTTTTATGGTTGCCTATGTGGAAAGTTCTTCTTTCCATTAACCGTGGCAGCATGCCAGGCTCTTCTGATATCTATGTCTATATCTGGTATCATCTGCGGCTTCCCATTGTGGGCCGCACCCCACGAGGCGCGCATCCTGCACATCATATCAACTACTTGCACAGACCTATAGCTTTGCGTCCTTCTTTTCCTTTGGTTTTCGAGTAATGTTGCGACTGGCGTCCACGATCAGACTCGCATGTGTACTGCTTGCCACCAACTGCCCGGCCTCATCCCAAACCTCGATATTCAAATCAAACCGTCCATTGCTGATCGCCTTGGCCATCACTCGCACAAATAACCATTCCACACCTTCCTCTGGCAACAACTTCTTGACGTCCAAGTTCAAGACGAGCGTCGGATACCAAAACTTGGCGCGCGGTTCATTTGATGTCAGGAAATCCTTCAGTTCGGCTTCGCTATGTTGGCCAATCGCGGCCTCCTCGACAAAGGGATTGACGTATGACTCGACAATTTGTGGAAACATGTCGACCACAAACCCAAGAGCGTCGTTGGTCCAGCGACCAGTGGTGTTTTTCTTGGGATTCAGGGAAGGCGTCTTGGGCGCAAACCGAACCCACTGGTCTACTATTGCCCGGGGTCGACCAGACTGGCCGGGCTGTGGTCGCCGATCAGGCTGGACCAGGTATATCTGAATGTTTTGTGCGGCGCGGCGGAACGAGGGAAAAGGATCGTTGGCGCGAAGTGTATAATTTTCATCGCGGCCTTGTCCATCCAACAGCTCGAGGTTTACTGGTAAAGCGGGTGGCCAGGCCCGGTACTCAGTATCAAGACTTAGACCTTCCTCGGTCGCGATGTTGCTCATGGTTATGTAGCCCTGTGCCTCATCCTGCCACTGGTCATTGTGTTCCTGCTTTTGCGACAGAACAAGGTGCAAGTTGCTGATACGTGCACCCAATTTGACATCTTTCACGGTGAAGACTGCTGGACCCACGGAGGTACGCCGCAGGAATTGCAGGTGTAGATTGATAGGGTGTGGTTCGGAGCGGGAACGGTGGGTGAGGGACATATGGGCACGCGCAACCATGAGAAAGGCCGACGTAACATACCCGCCATTGGGGACTAAGAAAGAGATTAGCAACCAGTGCGGAAAGGGAGGTATATCATGCAACCTACCGGTCCCTATACACCATTCATTTTCCAAGGTGACAGCATATTGATGCGAGGAGAGCTGCTTTATAGGAAGGATATCTGCGAAGGTCGGAGGCGCCATGACTGGCCAATGCAGAACGCAAAGCAGAGAAGGGGAAAAACTGTCAGATCAATACCGACAGAGATTACATGGCGCAAAAGAATACAAGAGCGAAATGGTCGAGATGGAGGCTATCAAAGGGGAAAAGTGGGAGAGGGCTTCGGGACAACCTCCCAATGAGCCTCGGCAAGGATGCGCCGAGATCATGTTTGCATTGGTGTCGCTATTGCAACTTGGTACACCGTGCAGTGGTAGCTAGAAGGGGCGCCTAGAAGCCTAGAAGACCTCAAGCCCAGTGGCTACAAGCACCCCAGCGTCCCAAGAGAACTCTTCCCCATCGTGGCTCGTAATAGGCGGGTAAATGTTCATCGCGCCGCTAATCTGTGGCGGTGCAACGCCCATTGTTAGCCTGCGCTATGACGCTCCAGGCGGCATCACTCTTGGTTCTCACTTTTGCGACGACAAGCAAAAGTGGGATTTCTAGTGGAGTGACGAGACAAATCGCCATGGAATCGCTATCTCTGGGGTGATTCAAGTTGCTCTGCCATTTGTCTTTCGACTTTAATATTGCCGTCACCTTCACTTGGTACACATATGTATCCTTTGTAGCATCTCTACATGCATTATCCTCATCATCGTCTTATCCGTGGCTTGCGTCCGCATCCAGCATGAGGCAGCGAAATCTCGACGCCCGCCATGACATCCTCCTATCGTCCCAAGAGACTGCGCCCAGTCCGTTCACGAGGTCGCACCTTCTATCTGACTGCCCTAGTCATTACTCTCTTCGCTTGTTATAGTTTCCTACGAGACTCTAGCCATGGCCATTCTTCTCATGGCCAGCGACTCGATGCCCGCGCCCTGGAATCACGCGACCTCGAGGTACCACATTGACTGCGCTCTCCAGCTACCTTGAATGGAGCTTCTCAACTGACTTCTGATCGATTTTTAGTGTCGACTTGTCCATCATGCCAAAGACAAATGTGCCTTTGTCAAGGAAAACTGTCCCGACGAAGAAGCCGGCCTGCTCTCCTACCTCCAACTGTATTACTGCTCCCTTCCCGACGCCCAACCGGTCGCGTTCCTGCTCCTCGTCCTGTGGGTTAGTCTCCTCTTCAGCACGATTGGCATTGCTGCCTCGGATTTCCTCTGTATCAACCTGAGCACCATTGCGAACATCCTGGGTATGAGCGAGAGTTTGACCGGGGTCACTTTTCTGGCCTTTGGAAACGGCAGTCCCGATGTCTTCTCCACCTTTGCAGCCATGCGCAGTAACAGTGGCAGCTTGGCTGTGGGAGAATTGGTGGGAGCGGCCAGCTTTATCACTGCTGTGGTCGCGGGGAGTATGGCCTTGGTTGCGCCCTTTCAAGTCGCCAAGAAGAGTTTCGTTCGGGACGTGGGATTCTTTGCAGTGTCGGCGAGTTTCAGTCTGGTTTTCCTCGCGGATGGGAGCCTCCGACTCTGGGAATCCATCACCATGATTGCATACTACGTTTTCTATGTCTTTTTTGTGGTGGGTTGGCACTGGTGGCTCTCCCGACGACGGAGAAGAAGGCTTGCTGAGACTGCGGCGAGATTGCATCACCATATTCCGGAGTCACAGGAGCTGGAGGTGCCCGAGATCGAGGAGGACGAAGAAGCACGTCCTGCTTCGGAACGTACTGGTCTCTTGCGCGAGCAGTCAAACGAAACTATCCCGACCTTACGGACACCGGTGACTCCAGCCTGGAAGGTCGAAGACCTCGATGAGGACGACGAAACGCGAGACCGATATCTCGCTGAACTGCAAAGCAGGATGAGAGTCGGTCGACCAGTACGAGGCGAGAGGAGGAACACAATGACTCCGATCCGGCCGAGTCTGATAGGAGCGCTGGAATTTAGGTCTCTCATGACTTCATTGGAGAAGAAAGCCACCAATGCCCAACCTATTGGGCTTCGGAGGTACTCTGACGACGCATCAGCCATCCACTCACCTCTTCCGGTCAGTGCACCGCCTGGCGCTTCTCAGCCGGAGCTGATCAGCACAAATTATACCGATCTGGAGGCTGAGAGTCCGCGGCGTACGCGAGCCGTGTCTGCGAACGATGCCACACATTTGCGCATTGATACGGACTTCCTCAGCGACAGACATTCCGATAGAAGTTCAGATAATGCTCTCACCAGTGGCGATACTACGCCAGATCCTCCCACTGGAAAACACACCAGGCCGAGCGCGCAGATTCTGAGCACACTCAACGAACCGTCATCCCAAAGACCACCTTCACCTAAGCTTGTCGTGTCCACGTCAGGACACAAAGTCCCAGAGACGGGTTCTCTTTCTTCGGAGCCTTCCAGGTCGCCCAATTTCTTGGCACCACCTGCGACGACCTTTCATCGACCGGATTATAATGAGGACCATCACTCTGCCGGTCGAAGTCCTGTGATGTCGCCTCGGTCCGGACCGACATTGCAAGTACCGATTCTGCATACTCCACATCCCGATCATTCCAAGGGAGTCTTGCGTCACGAAGATTTTCCGCCATACGTAGATTCTCCGATGCTCCTGACGCCGCGGTCCTCTCGGCCCCCAAGCATTCACCTGCCAGCACCCAGTATGTCTCCCCAGTCAACTCAACATCTGGGCCTCCTGCCGGACGACGAGGAACCACCGATGCGGAGATTTTCATGGTGGCCCTATCGATACCTTCCTGCCCCTCAGGTCATATGTGCGACATTATTTCCCACCATTTATGGGTGGCGGGAGAAGTCATACATGGACAAACTTTTGGGGTTGATCACTGCACCCAGCGTGTTCCTCCTTGCTATCACACTCCCGGTCGTCGAGCCCAAGGATGACAAGCCGGCGGATCCAGATCCCGACCTCCTGACGCCAGCGGAGGGCACCCGCCGTAGATCAACAAGCTACTTCGGGGCCACACCAGACAGGCCCAGTGTCAATGCCCGGTCCGCATCTCTTGACGGGCCACCACATCCACACGGGACTGGACTCTCCAGACAAACGTCGGAGCACGCCAAAAGTCCTCAACCAAAGGTGGATGAGTTGGGTGGACCCAAGGAATGGAACAGATGGCTGGTGTTTCTCCAAGTATTCACGGCTCCCTTCTTTGTCGTGACCATTGCCTGGGCGAACATGGACGATGATCACACCACGAAGCTATACGTTCGTATGGTATTGGGATCACTGGTGTTCTCGCTCGTATCGCTTCTTATCCTCCTCTCGCTGACCACGCCTAATCGCGAGCCCAAATACCGACCATTACTCTGCTTCCTGGGGTTTACCGTGGCCATAGGATGGATCTCCACCATTGCCAACGAGGTGGTCGGCGTCCTCAAAGCGTTCGGGGTGATCCTGGGCATATCGGATGCTATTTTGGGGTTAACCATCTTTGCTGTGGGCAACTCGTGCGGTGACTTGGTGGCAGATATCACCGTGGCCAAACTGGGATATCCCGTCATGGCACTGTCGGCGTGCTTTGGCGGTCCGATGCTAAACATCTTGCTCGGAATTGGCATTGGAGGGTTGTACATGAGCATCAGCCACGCCACTCACAAGCACGCCAAACATCCTCAAAAACCGATCAAGTACAAACCCTACGAAATCGATGTGAGCACGACATTGATGATATCTGGAATTACGCTGTTGGTGACACTGGTAGGTCTCTTAATTGTGGTGCCGCTGAACGGATGGAGGATGGATCGCAAGATCGGATTTGGACTGATCTTGCTGTGGTCGGTGTCGACCGTAGGCAACGTGATTGTGGAACTGCTTGGGTATGGGGGAGATACGGTATTGTGAGATGTGTGGAGATGACATGGATACCCAGGGACGTTGGATTTCTCAGGGTGTTCAGGAGTTGGCCCAATTAACAACAGCAACATAAGTGGGAGCCTGCCCAAGTACATATATTATATTGTTCCTCCGTGTCCGGCTTGATGCTCAAATGCATCGCCTGTTTTTGCCTGTCGAAAGATCAATTGGCATGTCGATTTCCTACCACTCAGAGAGACTGTTCTTGGTCCTTCGAAGGCTGCACAAGCACGACAAAGCGTACACCTCCTGGTGGTCGACAGGACATGGTCGTCTCTACCTCGTCGTGTGGGAAATATCGGAGCTGTCGTATCTGTGGGAGCCTGTCATCTACTGAATCCCCTATTTTTCTATCTGCCTACGCACGTTAAGCCAACAAAACGGATCCCGAATATCGCTATTTTGCATTGTCATGGGTCCGATATTCGCGTCGACATTAGCCGGCTGGGGCTATTCGGAGAGACGTTGATTGGCGACTCGATGGCGAACCTCGGCTCCTTTGCGACGGACGACATGGACGACGTGGACGAGATACGGGCCTGTACGGCCAACATCGGCCACAGTCGCATCCAGGCGGGCCACCGGAGAGGCGAATTCATACCCAGCGAGGGTAGCCACCGGCAAATTGACGACTGCGGGCGCCCCAGAATCACCAACACAGGCAGCGACACAGCCGCCACTAGGAGCTCAATCCTCGTCCCTTTATCATTGACAATTCTCGTGGTCAATTAATTAGACGGACTTACGTCGGCCTTGCTTTGGACCCTGTAAGCTTTCGGCTTCTAATTAACCCCAGATCTAGTAAAGGCCTTTTGCAAGGGAGCTCGTGCCCATTCTTGCCAGACAAAATATATACATCATCTTGGAGTCTGCTCTCATATCAAAAATCAAAACCAAAACCAAAACCAAGCTCCCTTTTCTTCCGGCACCGTTCCCTCTCTGCCCTTCACCGACAAGGCAAGTTTGCCCACGACAGAGGAATATAGGTTCCCATAACTCTGGGCCTCTGGCGCACATCGCACATCGTTGATCCCACGCCCTCTTCGCTCCCCTCTCCGCTCCTCTATCCAGAGACAACGAAGACATCCAGGTCAATCCCACCATCCATCCTGCCCTCTTCGAACGCGAATCCCAACGAAATAAAATTATCCCATACCTATTCCATTGGAATCACTGACCAGACTTTCCTCAACCACCCATCACTCTGAGGACGAGCCGGGCGTCTTTCTCTTCCCACCACCACCACCACCACCACCACCACCACAACTACTACCACAAGGGGTGACGATGCCCATCAAATCCGACTTCCCCGCCATCGACCTCTCGGTCACGGACATCTGGTCTTTTCTGTTCAACAGAAAGGACCGCGAGTTTCCGGATGAGCACGGTGAGTTCTGAGTTTTTTTTGGAATTGATTGCTTTTGTCTCTTTCATCGTCTTTGTTATGGTTTTTGTTTTTGTTTTTTTCTTTTTGGTTGGTTGGTTGGGTTTTCGGTCTTGTCGCCCTTGTGATTTCCGATGGGGCGGACGATGCTACTCAGTTTGATGAAGTGCTTCGTACCTCGTGCATCGATCGCTCGTGTTTTTGGGGGGGTAGAAGAGCTGGAAAGAGCTGGAGAAAAGAGGCCACTGGGGCAGAAAGAAGGGCCTCTCTCTCTCTCTCTCTCTCTCCTTCCTAAGTGAATTGAGCGGGACGAGTGAGGCACAGGACAAGGAAAGACGTCTCAGAGCCCATGACATCGGAAAGTCCCTGATAGCCATTGATCATGGGACTCCATATTGTGCCGGAGACAATTTTCTTCTATTTATCCAACACGCTACCTGCCCACCCGCCCAACCAAGCATTTGAGAAAACACAAGCCCGTTATATGCTCGGTACTGACCTGTGAAACAGTGATATTCCAATCCGCCGATTCCCTCTCCCGACAATACACATATGCCTCGCTGCGGCAATCCAGCGTCGATTTCGGCAAGGGCCTCAAAGCGAGCTTCAACTTCCGCAAATCCGACGTTTTGGGCCTCTTCGTGCCCAACGACATTGACGTTCCGCCCGTGGTCCTGGGCACGCTCTGGGCAGGAGGTGTCGTCTCGCCCGCAAACCCGGGATACACAGTTGCCGAACTGGTGTACCAGCTGAAAGACTCGGGCGCTAAGGTGCTGTGCACGCACCTCTCCGCGATTGACACGGCGCGCAAGGCCGCCCAAGAGGTCGGCATCCCGGACACGCATATCATCCTACTCGGCGAGCAGCACGATCCATCTCGCAGATTCAAACACTGGACGCTGGTCCGTAACCTCGAGGGCACGGCGCGGTACCGGACGCCCAAGCTAGACCCAAAATCCGACCTCGCCTTTCTGGTCTACTCGTCCGGCACGACCGGGCGGCCCAAGGGCGTCCGACTGACGCATTTCAACATGACGAGCAACATCCAACAAATCCACGAGGCCGAGGGGTGGGTGACGTGGGACGGCTCCAAGACACCCCCCAACAGCGACATCCCGCTGCCCGCCAAGGGTCAAGGCGACAAGATCCTGGCGTGCCTGCCCTTCTTCCACATCTACGGGCTCAACTGCCTGGTGCTCAGCCCCATCTTCAGCGGCGTACACACACTGGTCATGCAGCGCTTCGAGCTGGAAAAGTGGTGCGCGCTGGTCCAAAACCACAAGGTCACGTTTAGTTATATCGTGCCGCCCATTGTGCTGCTGCTGTGCAAGAGCCCCGTAGTCGAAAAATACGACCTGAGCTCGCTGCGCATGACCAATTCAGGCGCCGCGCCGCTGACCCGTGAGCTCGTCGAGAGCCTGTACAAGCGCAAAGGCGTGCGCGTCAAGCAGGGCTACGGCCTGAGCGAGACCTCGCCCACCATCTTCGTCCAGCGTTGGGAGGACTGGTGGACCGCTGTCGGCACCACCGGCGTCATGGTCCCTAACCTCGAGGCAAAGTTCTGCGCCGTCCCCGGTTCCGGCGAGGAGTCGGACGGCTCCAAGGAGTTGCCCAGAGGCAAGGTTGGCGAGTTGTATGTCCGCGGTCCAAATGTCTTTGGCGGATATCATAACAACCCCAACGCCACCGCCGAGTGTCTCGAGGATGGCTGGTTTCGGACCGGCGACGTGGGCTTCTTGGACGAAAAGGGCAATTTGACCATCACCGACCGCGTCAAGGAGTTGATCAAATATAAAGGTAGGCCGTCCCTGTCTTCCTCTCACCTTTACGTTTCCCCTCTTTCTAGCTTCCTCTGATACTTGGATAAGAGTCCGCTCTCCACGAAGAAATGGAGCCAAAGACTGACCTTTCTACCCCCATATAGGCTTCCAAGTCCCTCCCGCCGAACTGGAAGGCTACCTCGCATCGCACCCGAATATCGACGACGTGGCCGTCGTGGGCGTCGATTCACAAGAACTAGGCACAGAAGTGCCCCGAGCGTACATTGTGCCCAAGAACCGGGGCCTCGTCTCTTCCACCACGACACAACAGCAGCAACAACAACAAGAACAACAAGAACAGGAACGACAAAAACAGGCCGCCGAGATCGTGCAGTGGATGAATGCCAAGGTGGCCAACCACAAGAAACTGCGCGGCGGGGTCAAGTTCGTCGAAGCCGTGCCCAAGAGCGTCAGCGGCAAGATCCTCCGGCGCGTCCTGAAGGAGCAGGCCAAGAAGGAGTTCCGGGAGGAGGAGGAGAGAAAGCTGGGCAAGGCACGGGCCAAGTTGTGAATGGTTTCAGGCGAGGTAATGGGACAGAATCGCGGTGGAGATTCCCGAGAGAAAACGCATTGTGTTAGTGGGCGACAGGCAAAAGGTGGTGAAACGGCTTCTGGGTTTCCATGTAATGATAACTTTTTTGTGGAGGACGTGCGTCGCGGCCTGCTTTTCGTTTCTCTGGACTGCCCATAATGAGGCTAAAGCTGAAGAGCCACAGGCACAGACTGTTCACTTGGTTGTATTTCTGTTCTCCCCTGTTTCAGGTTAGCATATAAGGGCGAATTCACATCCGGAGTGAACTTGTCGTTTGATCTTTGGCCACGAATTCAACATCTATGACTATCAGCAGAGCCATTACAAACATTCCTACCTCATTTGTGGAAAGGACCAGGTCCTCGGGGAGAGGCAAGTCGAAAGTAAGACGCCCAGGACAAACAAGTTCAGAGCCAGAGCCAGAGCCAGAGGACCAAAGACTGCGATGTCTTCGGGGATTGATCCTTGCAGCGTGTTTCAGTCCCCGGGCCAAGGCTGTTGCCTTCTGCAGCCACAAAGGCCGGCATTGCAGAGACGGCCTCATTGGTGGTTACTCTTCTCTGCCCATCCCTGCGTCCAGTAGGCACATAAGCTCGAATCTTGTTTCCTTGTGAGCCACACTCTCAGAGACGCTTTCCCGTCAATTTGGTAGTTAGAGAGTGATGATCTGCACTAGCTCGCAACAGAGACTCATATACCTCGTACTCAGCTCTTGTTGTATCAAACCGAGACCTTGACGACAGATTTATCCGTCTTTTCTTTTCTGGTTCTCGTCCTTGAGTTGACGGATAGACGATCTTTAATAGGCTTCTCTTAATCAGTGCACAGTTTTCAAATGCATCGCTATAATAAAGGCGGTTTTCTAGCAGTGTGAGGTCGGTAGGGCGCCTGATCGTGGCATCAACCGCTTAGTCCCTCAAGCGAAGGTCCATTGAGCTGAGGTGCCATCTGGGAATAGGTACTGTGTAGTTCGTGATAGATTGGCGATCGACCGTGGTCACTTTGGCAGATCGCAGCGTTCGTCCCGAGAGGAAGCCAATAAGCGTCGACAAGGAGGAAGAACCAGGGTGAATGGCATCACTAAGCGTGCAGCTTCATGCGCTAGACGCTCACTTGGATATTAAACGGACATCCAACATATGCCGATCTTGCCGACATAGTTATGGCAGTTGTGGAGGGGCTCCTCCCGGGGAGTTTCTCATGTGCATCCGCGCCCAAACATTGACATTGTGTAGGCTGGCAAACCCGAAGCAAGATCGTCTGAGACAGAAGGACGGGGAGATCCAAGCCCGCTGGTGGAAATCGGAGTGTCGATCAAACTGAGGGACAGCAGGGATAATCGAGGATGGGACGAGGGGGTTGCCGCTTGCCGCAAAGGTTCGTCGAACACAATGAATACGAGATTCTCGTATCCATTCCCTCACTCTTGGTCGATGGGACTTTTCCAGCGAAGGAGAGCTTTGTCGCATCGAGATCGGAGCAAGACGATGATACAACAATGCATGCACGGGCATGCAGCACAAGTGGTGTGACGGTGAGAGAGGGGGACTTGCAGACACAAGTCGCAGGCACAGTAGCTTGAAGGCGGAGGCCTCGGTGGCTGATTCCGGCAGGTCGGGGCAGGTCCTAGGCCTTGATGGGCCTCTTTGGTGCCCTCTGGCGCATGCTCTCCCCCCAGTGGCCCCTAGAGAGCTCGATCCCCGTCGCTTGTTCGGGGCCTAAGCAACCTTACGACAGCCCCTGGGTGGTTCTTTGAAAGGCCCTAAGGCACGCCAATGCAGGTCCTTAGTGGTTGAGACGCGGCTAGTTGCTTTTCCTTGGCCCGCACCCGCTTGCCCGCAGTCAACTTAGCAGTCAACTTAGTTACCCAGCTTGCCAGGCCCCTCCTCCATCCTCCACTGGCTTGCAGCTTGTCGCATTTTCAAAACCATTCCTGGCTCGAGTCCTTTTGTCGCAACCTCAAATGTCGCAGCTCCGTCCTTTCTGTGCTTCTTCACCCTCCCGCTCACCTGGAGACGGAACGCTCTGAGATGGAATGAGCTGAATTCTGCCCTCGAAGAAACATCGCAGTCATTGCTCCAAGCTCCAAGCTCCAAGCTTCAGCTTTACCGTTCGTTACCTTATCTTTCGTGTCGATCCCAACCACGAGAGTTCCTTGTCGCCGTTGTTCAAAATGACTTCGAGGTCAATATCCACCGACAAGTCCCGAGCTTACAGTACTTCGACATCCTTCAGCCTCACCGTTCTCATTTCGGGCTCCGGGACCAATCTCCAAGCTCTGATCGACGCCTGCGGCCAAGCTCCTCCTTCCAAAGACAAACCATCTCCCCGACGGTTCCTTCCAAATGCTGAAATATCACATGTGATTTGCAACCGTCGCGAAGCCAAGGGCATTGCTCGCGCCCAAGACGCTCACATCCCGGTAACATACCACAACCTGCTATCGTACAAGAAGAAATTCCCGGATACAGAGGCTGGGGTCAACGCTGCCCGGAATCAGTACGACACCGATCTAGCCCAGAAGATCCTCACGCACATCCCTTGCCCGGACTTGGTGATCTGTGCGGGCTTCATGCATATCCTGTCCCCAGTGTTCATCAACGCCTTGGCCTCTGCGAATGTGCCCATCATCAATCTCCATCCAGCGTTACCGGGGCACTTCGACGGGGCAGATGCCATAGGACGGGCATACGAGGCATTTCAAAGGGGGAAGATCACGAATACGGGAGTCATGGTGCACTATGTGACTGCCGAAGTGGACCGAGGCGCGCCCGTCCTGGTACGGGAGGTGGAGATGAAAGCTGGGGAGTCGCAGAGTGATTTGGAGGAGAGGATACATCAAACGGAGTGGAAGCTTATTGTCGAGGCTACAAGCAAAGTCCTGGCAGATTTGGAAGCGAAACGAAGGCAGGAGAGTTGAAGATGTTCGCCTGAAGCGTGTCAGTAGATGTTGCAGGTGCTTATGAGGCAAAATGAACGGCCAGAGCTCTGATGGCCGAGGGTGGCAGGCAACAAAGTCAGTTCTTCGGGACAAGCAAGGTGTTTGGGAGGCTTTCTTCTTTGGACAAACAAGTCAGCACCTGGGGAGTTGTGGTTGACTTTTTGTCTGCGAGATTTCCAACTGCCAGCAAAATTGGCATCCGCGTTTCAGAGAGTCGGATCAAGACATATGTTCAGGTGACGGAAGGAATGATAAAAAGTTGGGACGAGATTTCAGATTTCAGATGAGAATGATGGAAAGGCGGAAGGTCCTCTTAGATTGTTTTTCTCTACAAGGCGAAAAAAGCAACGAGTAACCGAACCATCCACGATCAGATCCACCTCCTCGTTTTCGGTGTGTTGCCTTTTGCATTCTCCTTTGGAGTATTACGATGTGGTACATGACCTCTTTTATCTCCAACGCTGTCCACACATCCCTTTGTGTTTAGAGGAGTAGACCTACCTACCTTATCTACCTAGGTACCTAGTTATCTACCCAGCCAGATCCGGAGGTAATATACTAGGTACCTATATACTCAGTATTTATACCTATATAACTCGTATATACCTTCACACACACACACATACCTTGAACACGAGGTGTATTCGTACTCCAGCTAAACTGTTCTAAACTCTTCCCACTACCACCACCACCACCACCATCATCACCACAAGGATGACCTGATCATATACGTATACATACATGTCCATACATATACATGCCTATATATATACAGATGTGTATACCCAGTATAAGCTATTTACCTGCTCTAGAGACTCGCATTAGTGATCACGACTCGCCTTTTCCATAGGTAGGTGGTTGCCCGTCAGTATCACATCCATCCATCCATCCATCTATCCAATCTCTTTCCCTCCCTCTCCCTCCCGTGTCCTTTGCACAACACAATGAGTGAGTGAGTGCGGTCCCAAATTGAAATGGATACAATGAATTATAATGAATTACAATTACATAGGGAGCCGTGACGGCAAATAAAATGCATACCCAGGTAGACAGGGTGTAGCAACAGGAGCTGCATAACTTTTTATACCCCGTATTATCACAACCACCACCACCACCGAGAATAGAGCTGAACACCGTGACCTTTTTTTGTTTGCGTTGAAAATGAGACGTTGGAGGGGACTCGGGAACAAAAAGATAGGGTATCGTATCGCATCGCATCGCAAACTCCAGCAGCAGGCAGTAGGCAGTTAAGCACCCGACAAGATTATCCCAGGCGGTAGTCGTAGGTATATGTCCCAATTCAAACACAGCCTGTTATGCCCTGCCCTCTCCCATGCCTCCATCCATAGGTACCACTCACGCCGAGCCATGAGATATGGGTACCCTCGCATAAACCCAGACCCAGACCAGGCCCTGTTCGCTAGCTCGCTCGCTCACTCAAAATCCCGGAAAAGCAGGACAGAGACATAAAACACAAACACAAATACAGAAACACACTGCAGGTGGAATTGGCCACAGGAACCCAACGGGGTCGAGACTGTGGCTTTGATGGTGGCGCGTCAATGCTGCCTCTTACTGCTCCGCTCCAGCAGCGACGGGTTCGTTCTCCGGCGCATCCTTCTCTTTACCCTTTTCCATATCACCAGCACCATCTGCCTCGGTCTCGTGACCAAGGTCCCCATTGATTTTCTCTTGCTTCTCACGCTCACTGGGGATTCCTGGCCGTTGCTCATTATCGTCGTCGTCACCGTGATGTTCGTCCCGACCTCCGTCCATGAACTTGTGCATCTCCCTCTTATATCTGCTCTCGTGGAACTGACCGTCTGCACCCGTGGCGGCGCGCTCGGCTTCCTCCTCCGCCGAGCTCAGACTGCTCAAACTGGCATTCTGCATGTACATGACCTGTTTTCCGCCGCCGGCTTGCTTCTTCTTTTCCCGCTGTTCGGCTTTGAGCTTTTGTTGCAGCTCCGCGTCGGCCTGGCAGTCGAGGGTTCGTACCTTGAGGCCCGGGAAGTTGTCGGAGAGGTAGCTGCGGAGCATGGGGAGTTTGGCCGCATTGGGCCGGTATGTCCCGGAGTCATTATCAATGATGAGTTCGTAGTGCCAGGGTTCTTTGCTTGCTGAGTTGGTCGTGCCGTTTGTTAGAGGCTGTGCGTCATTCCCTTGGCTGGAGCTACCGCCGCCGCTGCTGCTCGTGCCCATGTTATCTCTTTCTTCCTCTGGTGGGGTTGAGGGAGGGTGTGTCTTGTCCGGATGTACGCTGTCATCGTTCCTGTGTGCCTTCCCATGTTTGATCCTGCGGATGAAGAACTCGCCACTGAATGCGATGTAGATGTTCACATCACTATGCATAGTGTGCTTGCTCAGCAAATCGATCCCGAACTCCTTACCCGTTTCCGTGAAACGTAGTTGCCCGTCCAATGTCAAGACGTATGTGAAGATGCGACCCCCTTCGTCATAATGTACCATGTCGAGAAATAGCTTGGTCATCTCGGGACAGGGCTCTTGAAAGGTACCATACTTGGTAGTTTTATCGTAGTTGTAGATTCGAGCGTGTTGATGGTGCAAAGCGCGGTTCAGCAGGCGGCCACGGATAGTATGGGCAGTAAACATGCCGGCGACAAAGGGTTTGAATTCGACGTATCGGTGATAGAGATCTGCTGGGACAGGTCCACGTAACTGCATCTGCACGGATTGGAAACTGCACGAGTGATTAGTCGGTGCGCCTCGCAACATGGTCAATAAGTGGACGTACTTGTATTTCTGGACCTCCTTTCCGTCTTTGCCTTGTTCTGTATCCTTCGTCCCGGCTATCCGGCCGATCAAAGGAGAGTAATGCCGACTCCATAGCAATGGACCGATTGTGTATATGCGACCACCGTCCTTTGCATCTGTCCTGCCGAGATTCTCGACGCTGACAATGAGGCTCCCGTTCATTTTGACTCTTCGCGAGACCAAGGCGGCGCATCCACGGAGCGTGTATGCTCTTTTACTTCCCATGCGCTTCTTCAACTGGAACCTTTGGTGCGAGAAACCTTTCCAATTGTCGTCGACGCGGGAAACGTCAATGTGCACATTTCCCAGTCGGTCGTCGTGATCCGACGGATCTTCGTCATACAACCTGCATTTCAAATGGAACCCACTCGCAGGGATATTGCCGACAATCCACTCAGTCTCCCACTCCGGATCCGTGTTACGATGGATGGTGGGCGTCCTCAACTTGAGATCGGGATCTTGCTTGTGTCTTTTGGGTAGCTCTGTACGGAGAACCGCTAGCACATAGGGATCTGATGAGAGAGTGCCAAAGTCGGCAAATGGTAGGTTCTCGGCCTTGTGGAATGTGAACTTGAGGGTATAGCCTGGCGGTGCGTTGGGCAGAGGTGTTTCGTCGAATCCGCCAGCAGGGCCTTTCTTTTCTTTCTTTTCGGCGCCGTCGTTGCCAGCGGCCCCGCGATATCTCTCCTCCAGCTTCTCTGTTTTACCGACCAACTTGGGTCCTATCTTATCTGCCTGGGCAAGGACTCCGTCTTTGCGCAGGGCGGGTGTGTCTTGATCGTTCTCGGCCATTGCGAAATGCGGAGGAGTGTTACCGGGCTTGTCCGCCCTAGTGTATGCTGATTATTGTATGGGACCAAGGTCAACACTCGCGCGCATACCTGGGAAGGACAAAGGGTATGGGAAGATATAACCAGACCGTCGGGAAGAATCGAGGTGAGAGCGCAGGCTAAGAGCCAGGGATTGCGGAGGATAGTGGTTGTTCACTCGTAGGAATCTTGGATAGGGCGAAGGAAGATTTGCGGGCGCATGGATCTGCTCAGCATGAGGTGACGGTGGTGAAGCCCCCGCCAGGAGACCAGGAGGGTGCCAGGAGCAGGTACGAGTCCCCAGGTAGGTAGGATGATGGGCGATGGCGCGCGCTGACGCAGTTGGTCCTCCAATGAAGCTGTTGGGGCTGATGAGGGTGCGGAACTAGGTAGGTACTTGGTAGGAGGAGGGCCAGGAGGGCCCAGGAGGAGCAGGAGGAGGGCTTCTGGTTCCTCGGGAGACTCCAAGCCCAGTGGCGCCAACTTACTTGGGATCAAGCCCCAAAACATGGCCACAAGCTCCAAAGCCATGAAAAGCTTAGCAGGCACCCACAGGAGCCAGGCTGCCAGCCACCACCAGCGGCCGATCAATTTCCCTTCTCCTGCTTGCATGCGAAAGTTTGAGAGGGACACGCAATCCATGCATTTGTTGACATCATTGTACAACGTTCAGCACATTCTCTCATTGCCGTAGCTCGTAGAGATGGCGAATGACGTTCTACCACTAGTCCGAGAGGCTCTCAAGGTTGGCAACAAGTGTCTACTACCTGGTACCCAGGAAGTATTCGTAGGTGTTTCATTTCCTTTACTCCATACAAGCTCCAGGCCAGCCCGAATCCCATGGGCGGGCGTCCCCAGTCGAGTAAGCGGCCTAGAACAGAATCCAAGACAAAGGCTCCTTCGCTTCATGCAAATCCATTCCCGCGCCATGCAAAATCCAAACACAGAAGTCCATGCCTTCCTCATTCTTATTCCTCAAGTAGTAGCCTCAACAACAAATCAGAGCCCGGCCCCGTCAGGCTGTCTCGCATCTCTCTTTCAGACACGGCGCTTACCACCTGCTTGTCGTCTGTCGCTCGTCCGCTTCGGGACGGCGTGTTTGTAGGTGTCAGCAAGCCCGATGTGCGCCCGGACGCCTCTTGCACCAACCCCAAGGTTTCGAGGCTGGCGACTACGTCTCGAAACTCGGTGTTTTTGAGCGGCTGCAACAGTCCGTCATCGCGCTTACACAGTTGAGCATACTTTTCAAACAAGTTCTTTATCGTAGGTAGCCTGGATCCTGACTTGGACGGTGTGGTGTAAGGATCGCGACGGTGCTGGCGGGCTTCCGAAGCCACCAATGAACACAGCACTGCTTTTTGCTGGAGATTCAAGCCGCCCAAGCGAGAGAGTGTACCGGTGTTGAAAATGGTCGCTGCGATCTTGGCCACATGTGCAATGGACGCTCTAGGCGCTGTCTCCCAGGTAAGACGATTGAGCACTGACCGATGGTCTATCCTGACAGGAGATGGGACAGCCTGACCAGGGGACACGTTGGAGATTTCTTGGAGTGGTAGTTTGGTGGGAGTTACACTCTGCTCTTGGCTCATCTTCAAGAGCGTTTCTTGCTCAACCTGGTCGAGCGCGCGACGAACCAGACTAAAGGCCTTTCGGAGATCTCCCGTCTGGGAAGATATTTTTTTGCCTGCCAACTGAATCGCGGCCGGATGCATCAGAGGGACAAACTCAGCGCCGGCCGGGGTATCATCAGTCATGAGAGTTCGTAGCTTGTTTGAGATGATGGCAGAGATCTGTTGAGCCGAATATGGAAGGAACGGTAGCAGTTGCGGCTTGATATTCCTCAACTTCAGACGGGGCAGGAAGCGATCAGTCAGATCCAGAGCATTGGCGATTCCAATCAAGATGAGACTGGACGACGGATGCATGGCCCATTCGAAGATGCTGTACAACACCTCGCAGTCCCCTCCAAGGAGTGTGTCGATTTCATCGAGCAAAACAAGATGCATTTCCGGGTTGACTCTTTTGGTCGTGAACAATTTCGCCAGGTTGGCTTTGGATGACTTTGAGCTGCCCTTGCCAGGACAAAAGGTTTCGCTCAGACGGGCGAGGACTTCGGCCGAAGACTTCAAAGACACGCAATTGATCGTGGTGGTCGTGACGGGCTCCCCTTGAAAGTCTTGCATGATCTCCTGGACCAAGGCACTCTTGCCGGTGCCAGGCGGTCCACTAACGTATGTGCAGCCTCCGATTCGAGTTTCGATCGCCTTGGAAATGAACATGGTCAACTGGCGCCGTTCACCCTCCCGCCCGACAATCTTTCCATTGCCAGCTTGAGTGAATAACTGTCGTGCACGCGAATATACATTTTGCGATCTTGCTGGAGTGGATGAACGTGACGACTGAGGGGTGAGGAGTCTACCAGCAAGTCGTACACGGTGTTTGGGTGTGCTGGGAGCGGATAAAGCAAGAACATCCTTGAAGCGGACAGTGGTGGGAGTCGACAGAATCGAGGGCGGTAGATTTTCGTCCGAAGCAAGGTTGAAATCTCCAATGGCTTTGGTTGTGCTCGTTTGGTTCTTTACCGGACTGTCTTGTACAGTATCATTCCTTCGTCCGTTACGAGCTCCAACAGGACGGGTATTCGGTTTCCCCAATTCATTCTTCTCAGCTGCATCTTGGTATATCTCGGGTGCAGAGCGTCGCGTTCGTCTCTTGGTGATGGGAAGTGTATCCGAGGCCTCTGCCGACTCATCATATTAGTAGTGTTCACCCAGGTCCAGAAGCGGGATCACTGAGACGCACCTTGTTCATCCAGAGCTCGTCGAGAACGCTTTCCAAGCACCGTGGCAGCCATTTGAGGTGGTCGTCGCTGCTTTTGATGGGTTGGAGTTGGAGAAAAGTGAAGCTGTGGAAGGTGCGAGGGACACGACTCAAGGAGTGGCAGTCGCGAGTCATGTATGCCAGCCGCCCCACCGGCTTCAGTCGCGCCTGCCAGGAATCGACGCGACCGCGTTTCGAGAGGAAGGAGCGTGCCACAGGCCACGGCTCACTACTGCCACTAGCGCATCCACTAAGTCTTTGGGCTAGTTTGAAGCACGTGACCAACGCCACGCCCTTCCTGTCGCGCGTTTGCCTCCTCTATGGTCCGCCGTACTCTCTCCTTTCAAATCCTTGTCATTTGAACTCCCAACTTCGGAAGTAACATTACTTGGCATTTTTGTCTCCTTGCCCCGAGCACATGGGCTGCCGGCTGTTTTCGTCATAACGCCCGCCGCCTTGTGCGCTGTGCCTCATCTTGTGCCTGCCTTGCCTTGCCTTGCCTCATAACAAACGCCCCTCATCACTGCAGCCCATCACCACGATCACCACTGACTGCGGCGACTGCCAGTTTGTTCTTCAACACATGGCATCTTCTACTACCCTCTGCTATTTACTTCTTCACTGTTTCTTGCAATGAGCCCACTCTCGTTTCCTTCATGATTACCATCGCTTCTTGAAGGCTCTCGTGAGAGTCGTCAAAACTCCATCCCACCAACCCAAATCGTCAACCTTTTCCCCTCCCCAAGACTGTTTCCTTTCCTTCACTATGGATGAAGCAATCGCCACTGTCGTCTCCGTTTGCGGGACAACACCAGAATTGGCCTCCCAATATGTGCAGCTTGCCGATGGCGATCCTAATCAAGCAGTCCAGCTATTCTTCGAAAATGGCGGTGCCGATCTGGCAGGTAATTCCTCGCATCCTCCTCCTCCACCTGAACCGTCTTCCTCCAACGCCCGTATACCTGGCGGACCGCTGAACCCCATCGACGCCGATGCCGAAGATAATATCTCCGATGACAATGATCCAGAAATTACTGGGTTTCGGAAAGCTCCACATAGGGACACTTCTTCGGGACCTTCAAGAGGCGCAGAATATGAGGATGACGAGGCCATGGCACGGCGATTACAAAATGAAATGTACGGCGAAGGCGCCATGGATGATATTGTGCGGGCCCCCATTGCCCGACAGGCAGAGACTTTGGTGGGACCAGGCTCAGCCGGCCCCCCAATGTCCGCTGCTCAATATTCCTCAGCCGTGGAAGAACGAATGCAAGCCATTGAAAGAAGGAGACAGCAAGGTCAGTGTTGTTGGGCACCTTTGGCTGCCGCGTGTGACTAATATGGGAGTAGTACGGGCGGGAATTTTCAACCAACATCAGCCGACTTCCATTTGGGACCAGGGACTGAGTGTCACCTCGAGTGGTCCGGAAGCCCTTGCAGAATCCACTGGGGGAGCATCAGAGGCTTCCGCGAGGTCGAATCGACTTGCCAGGCTCTTTCAACCCCCCTGGGATCTAATGTACAAGGGAAATTGGGAGGGCGCAAGAGACGAGGGTAAGGAACACAAGAAGTGGTTACTGGTAGACATCCAGGACCCTTCAATTTTCGACTGCCAGGCATTGAATCGGGATATATGGAAGAACGAAGGCATTGTGGAAACGGTCAAGGAGAATTTCATCTTTCTGCAATACAACAGGGACGACCCGAGAGCCTCGCAGTATATCCAATATTATTTCCCCAACTACGAAGTGCAAAACGAATATCCACATGTCGCCATTGTCGATCCTCGAACGGGTGAACAAATCAAGCTTTGGTCGCGCAAAATGCCCCCACCACCTGAATTTCTCATGCAACTGCACGAATTCCTGGACCGATACAGCCTGGAGAACAACGTTCGGAATCCGGTGGCCAAGCGCAAGTCTGAAGCCAAGAAAGAGAAACCCGTGGATCAACTCACTGAGGAGGAGATGCTGGAACGGGCGCTCCAGGCAAGTCTGGCCACGCAGACTCAGGAGCACAAGTCGGCCCCAGCAGAAGATCCTGATGATCTCACACGGAGTGTTGGAGATATTCGAGCAGCAGGTCCGTCCGAGAGTGCCAGTGCAATGGACGTCGACCAGAACGGCGCAGAGGACACAGCCGAGTCGACTGCATTCGTACAAATTCCGTCCGATCGTCCTCACACAGAGCCACCTGCCGGACCAGGCGTGACACGAGTACAAATTAGACATCCCGGCGGCCGCATCGTTCGTCGGTTTGCAGAACAAGACCCTGTGCAGCGGATCTATGAGTATCTCAAGGCTGAGCCACTTGAGGGCAAAGAAGGAACGGCATTCGATCTCGTGTCAATGGGCAAGAACCTCATGGATGTCCGACATGAGTCGATCGAAAGTGCAGGTCTGAAAAATGGAACGGTCATGGTGGAGTTCCTGGAGTAATGATGAGGCTAGTGGTCTCGGAAGTAGACAGGCATTGCAGGGCGTTATCAAACTTGCTACTACTCGATGATACCACCGACCCCAACTCTGGCATGGGTCCCGGGCCATGGAGCTGCTTGGGAACGAGGCGGTTCAAGGTTGAGCTTGTACTCTACATTCCGTAGGATGAAATGAGGAGTGACCGTGAAAGTGTTTCCAAGGATCTTGTGGTACCCATCTTTAGTGGCTGTCGGAGTATAATTCGCAATGTGACGAGTAGAACCAATCAGAGTCGAGATGGAGTCACCGAGAAAGGAAGGCCGTAAACAAGCTAATCGTCCGGGTGTTTCATCTTCACCAATTGCTCTGCTCACTCGGCGCAAGTGACTGGGCACACCTTGCCTCCCAGGTTCCTATGAGTTGATATGAGCCACGATTTCACGAACCTTTATGACGAGCATAGAAGACCCGTAACGGAGGGGAGGCGGACGCCAACAATAGCACCTGCCCAATGCGCACTGAGGAATTGACAGTGCATCTTCGCCCGAGACTCGAGACTCTATTGGCATTCAGAGCGGCATCGCAGGTCATTTGGGGCAGGCCTCAATCTTTGAATCGGGACGACACTACGATTCATTTACTGCCTTCACGTTCGCGTGTTCCGCTTAGACACCACGCCCAGCGATAGCCATACCCTGTCCCAACGACATCCACACGACTCGACACCATTTACCCTACCGTCTCACGCAGTCTAGGCCGAGTCACAAGCACAAGACAAGATGGACCCTGAGGAACTCTATACGAAGCAAAGCTGCATTGGAGGGGGAAGCTTCGGAAAAGTATACAAAGGAGTGGACAAGTGCACAGGGCAGGCAGTGGCCATCAAGGTCATCGATGTGGAAAATGCCGAAGACGAAGTGGAAGACATCATACAAGAAATCTCGATCCTCTCGGAATTGCAGTCGCCATACGTGACAAAATACCACGGCTCATATCTGAAAGGCTCGGACCTATGGATTATCATGGAGTTTTGCTCGGGTGGTAGTTGCTCTGACCTGATGAGGCCCGGCCTGATTCACGAAGACTACATCTGCATCATCGTTCGAGAACTACTCATGGGTCTGGACTATTTGCATTCCGACAAGAAGTTACACCGAGACATCAAGGCTGCCAACGTGCTTCTGGGACAGAACGGCCAGGTCAAACTCGCGGATTTCGGCGTGTCAGGACAACTCTCGGCCACCATGACCAAGAAGAATACCTTTGTGGGCACTCCCTTCTGGATGGCACCTGAGGTTATCAAGCAGTCAGGCTATGATCACAAGGCGGATATCTGGTCTCTCGGTATTACGGCAATCGAATTGGCTCAAGGAGAACCGCCCTACGCTGACATTCATCCAATGAAAGTGCTTTTCCTGATCCCAAAAAATCCTCCTCCTACTTTACAGGGAAACTTCTCTCGAACATTCAAGGACTTTGTTGAGCTCTGTCTCCGCCGAGATCCCAAGGAACGACCCTCGGCCAAAGAGCTGCTGAAGCACCCGTTTGTGAAGAAAGCAAAGAAGACGACCTACCTTACCGAGCTCATTGAGAGGAACGAAAGATATATGGCAACTCGCGGCAATCGTACCTCTGATGATGAGGAAGAGGACGAAGAACCTGTAAGAGCCGCGACTCATCAACCAGAGGATGAGGACCTATGGGATTTCGGTACTGTGCGACCGGTTGGAGGTCGTGGCCCGGGACTTCGACCGATGAACGACTCTGCAACCAATGCAAGAGCTTTTGCAGAGCCAGCTGCCCCTGCAAAGAGCCTCTCGGACTGGGACGAGACAGTAAAAGTCCCGTCATCGCCTCAGAAATCGCCAGTCAAAGGTGCATTCCCAGCCTCTGCAAAGGTGTCACTACCTCCATCTCCTGCAAAAGCACCGGTCCCTGTCCCCAGCGAGAATAGGGCCCCATCCGAAGTGTCTGCACCTTCCACTACCCCGAAAACGCCAGCCGCTCGAGTAGCGACTCAAAACCCACCGTTGCCACCGCACAAAGACAGTCCTGGGTCGAATGAATACAACAAAGCATTCCAGGCTCAGCTGGCCAAAGATATGGGGTTCTTAAAGATCGATGCCGAGAATAGTCCAAAGTCACCGCCATGTCAAGGGCAGACTCCTCCAGGAAAGAAGCCCCATATGGTCATCCCGGAAATCCCGCCGTTCAAGGGGAAGCCAGGACGTGGTGAGCCAGTGCAAAAGTCTCAACAACCTGCATCTTCCAGACCCGTCAGCCAACAACCCCTTCCATCCTCGGTATCCATGCTTTCCAATCAATTGGCAGTGGGCCCTGCATCAATCGCCAACCAGCAGCCACTGCCACCACTCACAACAAAAACAAATGTATCCCAAACAACCACATCTGGCGCGAGCAGCACATCTGCACAACCACTGCGGCCGGACCCGAATCAGGAGCTCACCGCTCTCAACTCGGTCCTGATACCGGCTCTTGAAGCAGCAATGCACCGCCGGACGTATATGTTGAAAGAACTTGCCCGAACAAGTAAGTTGAGCTCGTCGGCGGCCGCGGAATTGCACCAGCAGAGAGTGCAAACACATGAAAAGGTTCGTAAGCTTGCTGCCAAAGTGGCGGGTGTGTTCCACGAGCTCCAGAAATGCGACGAAGAACTCCCTGTTGGTATGGGAGGCGGCGTGACGGAGTTCCTGGAGGGCTTCTTGGAGGAAATCCTGGTCCGGGTTGAGGCGGCTGATGAGCCGGAGCCCAGTCCTCCTAAAAAGGCATGAAAATGAGCAACGTTATGAGATGAAATGTTATGGTTGATCGGTGTATGTTTACAAATGGGGGGCCAATACCTATTGTGGGTGCCATGGCTGGGGTGAGCATGCTACATTAGAAGGCAGACCATTCAACGATTGATATATTAGACGGTCATGTTGCAGTGGTGCATTCTCGGCCTTGCATGACTTGTTGTCCGCGCGCTCAAGCAAGGCGTTTGAGTCATGCGCGTTGATGACGACGACAACTTGTAACTGATCCAAAATTCCAAATATGAAACGGCCACCCGGCATGTCAGCGAAATGAAGCCATGTTGCGAGTACGCCGCGTTTCAAGGGGATCTTGCCAGTTGTTTCATCGGCAATACGACAATATGACATCCATCAGTCTCTGCCTGCACACTTTGCCAATTCCATGCCAGTGCTCATCATACCTAGGTATTTAAGATCCGCAGCCCAGGGCTGTCTCCAACTCCCAAGGCATATCCATAGACTACGCGCTCGAATGTGGTGGTATTATTGAGAATGTCTACCAATACAACCCAAAGCAACCTCATCCGACTTGCCCCCCTGCAACTGGGCGAGCTCCCAGCACATCCCTCACTCCCTCCTGCAGATGGCACCCGCCCGAATCTCCTCTCCTTCCTCCTGACTCTACTCGACGATGGGGCCGATTTCCTCTCGCCCGCCAGCTTCTCCGCCAACTTCAAACATCACTCTGTCAAGTCCGCGCCCCCCAGTGAAGCCAAGGTCGAGACGCTCACCTACTCGGCCGCAGCTAAAGAGTTGGAAGAGATTGTTGACTGGGGTGCCTCCGAGACCAGAACCGCCAATGCGAATCCTGAGCACCCGGGGCAGGCTTCAGGACATGGAGAGACCTACACCAGGCCTGGGCGAAGCAAGCCGCCACACAAGGCTCTGAGTGCAGGCGAATATTGGGTTGCTCGCAGATCGACCCACAAAGCCATTTCCTCGAAAGACCCCTCATCCCCAGGAAACGCCAATTGGAAGGAGTTCATCTTCGGTCTGCGTGACAGTCATTCCAAACACGAACAGGACTTCACACCCACTCTTTACGATGCACATTGCGTATGTACGTGGAACGAGGAGATTAAAGAGCTTGAATCTCAGGACAAGATCGTAGGAAAAACCGGCCAGAAATATTCATGTGTGACAATGGCCATCTACGAAATGTGCCACGCAACGCCGCCGCCAACAAGTCCCCGCTGTTTCCCAGTCCTGGTCGCCACAGCGAGTATCAGCGCAGACGAATTCCTCGCCGTCACTGTCCCCGTTTCCTTGGGCACTGCCGTGCATGATGCCATTTATTCCTCTGGCCGCAACACCCGTGATGGCAACTCCTCACAGGAACGAAAGTCCGTCGTGCTGGGCGTTTACACCGCTATAGAAGTCGTCCGACGGAAGAAGGGAGATCCCAATGTGGGCAAAAATTGGGATGAAGTCGAATGGATCATGGCGACTGCGAGCGATGCGAAGGGTAATCTGCCAATGTGGATGCAGAAAGTGAGCGTGCCTGGTATGATCGCGAAGGACGTGAGTTACTTTTTGAAATGGATCAAGACAGTGCCAGACAACGAGATTGAAAGCGTCAAGGTCGTGTGAGAGCACGGAGGTTGAAAAGGATCAGAGTCAAGCCAGCAAGAAGGGCGATTCTTACCGTGCCAGCAGTCCGTCTCCGATATCAACGGCGTCTCAAGTCTGTCGGGTGCAGAAGCAACTTCTGGGGCGCAATTCTGACCATCGCATTTCTCATATCACAGGGTCGTACCGAGCTCGTAAGCCTTCCAGCCGGCACAAGTCAACATCTACTTTACAATTAGATCGACAAGATACATGACGAGATACAAAACTTGGAAAAGGGAGAATGAGACACGAGGTATTTCCAATCATACTTGGCAGTCCTGAACTCGGCAACGGAACGGTCTTGTTGGATTTATCGCGGGCTGGCGATTATACGAATCTGAGCACGACTTGGACGTGGCGGGCATGCACAAGAAGAGATATACAGTCATTTGATGCACGTCTCAGGGAGCTGCTGACGCTACCTTTGGTACATCCGAGAGCTTATATGGAAACCCCCCAAACAGGCAACCCTGTACTGAACCAGGTGCTCATGGAAAGGGAATACTGTACCCTGCATGTGTGAACAGCCCCGGCTTTCAGCCTCAACACATCCCAGGAATGCATTCCAACCGGTGGCGGGGCTCAACCTGAGCAGGAACTGGTTTCCATTACAACAATGCACTTCATTTTCACACACACGGCTTTGTATCCAGCGTTCCGTTGGCGATTCCTTCTTTCCACCGAGACCCGATACTTCTTCCAAGACTTCAAAGGGGGAAGTGGCCATCCAGGTTTACGGCCGTAGGATTATGCTCCCAGTTTGTGACGCCTACTCCTTTCTGAAATACACCAAAATACTTCAATCTGGGATCATGGCCTTCCATCAAAGTCTCGATCAGTTCAACGCGAGGAGCACACTTTGCCATGATTGGTCCAGTGCTCGAGACCGGACATGCAGGTTTTCGAATCAGCTGGCCAAGTGAATCCTGGCTAGCACTCATCAGTGTTGCTCTGCACCACTAGCATAGTGCTATCGTGAGCAATACACTTGTGTTGGTCTCTTTTTCCAATTGCCTTCTTAGCCTTGCTACCGACACCTCTCAACTAACTCTTAGTTTCTCGACATTCACACCAGATTCATCCAAAGGTCTCAGGGAGTAGCGAATCCCAATGTGTGCCGATACATGTGTCGGTGCAGAAGGCTGGAATCTCAATCAGTCAGCCTTCAACTTCCACCCGTTCATGCAGACGTTCAGCACCAGATGGGCACTGGAATTGTGATGGAAATAGTATCTAGCTTCATCGAGATTCTATCCTATACCCTGGTCTGCTAGAGAGCAGCCAGCCAAGCAACAGTCCCCGCAATCACCTTTTTGCCGGTGCCACAAGAAAAGCTCTTCCCTGGGACCAGACCCATCCATTCAGCCAGCCCTGTGATGCAGCTCAACGACAACCCTCAGGCGAGCAGGTCAACATCGTATTTGCACCTGCCAGCTGGCACGAGTCTCTTTGGTTAAGAGCCAAGACTGCCAGGACGCCACTTCTGCAAATCTGCTCAGCTACGCCAAAGCCTCGCAAATTGTTTACCAAAGCCTCACCACCTTTTCGAGGCATGTGTTCAGCTGAACCTGTCCGGTGCACACCTTTTCCGAGCCAAGGCTACAGATCACATATGACCATCAACCCCTCTCGTGAATGCTCGATGCTCGTGATCATCTTGACTTACGTCACCATGCTGGTCTGTCCAGGGAGCCAGACGCCCTCCGTCGGAAGACACTGAGAAACCCTCGAGGGCCACCGTGGACCTAGTCATCGGAATTCAGCTAGGTTACACTTGCACGATTGATGATGATTCGGCTAACAGAGTCTTTGGCCAGTATTCCTGCCGAAGACGTTGCTTTCGATCACCGTGAGGTTTCTCCGTAAGGCTGGACTGCCCTTACGCTATGGAGGGGTCGGTGCCGGGGAATCTAGCCTTTGGTCGACTTATGAAGCAGATTGGACAGAAGCTGTCGACGGCTCTTCTCGATACCTCGCTACCATGTGTCGTGGCTCAGCATTGGCGGCTAGCGTCCGAGCACCTTCTCGTATTGCTGCTGTCCAGAACTTTCAAATGAACAAGGTACTCGACACATGTTTCGAGCCGAGCACGCTCGTGCATTACACAAGTCAGCCGTAGCTGAACATCAAGGCCATGTCTGCATGCGCAGCAGCTTTGTTTGAGAGATATCTCGCGAAAACGAGATACTTAAGGCCCAGTCGCCCATTGGAAAGAACAATGATTCTCTGTACATGGTCGCTTTCTTTTCAGCTTTTCCATCGACGATCTACCTACAAAGTCCAGAGCTCGAGCTTTGACGTGCTTTCGCACCCAATATGTCTGACGATATTGTTATCAATGGCCGGTCTGTGGCCAGCTCAGATTTGCAGCCAGACGCCTCAAGCTCGGACTATATTTTGGTTCGCACCACCGGCGCCCCCTTGAACAAGGCCCAGAAAACAGAACTGAAAGGCCTGGGCGTCGAAATCCAGGAGTTCGTTGGGAATGAAGATGACCAATTGTATCTCTGCGGATTTAAGCCCAAGTCTCTGGACACAGTCCGTAACTTGGACTATATCAGCTACGCCAATATCTACTCTCCCACGTTTGTGGTCCCGGATGTCTTGCAGTCTAGCGCTGCCACCCCGGCTCTGCGAACCAACGAACAGAGTGACGGCACCGTCGAAGTGGATGTCCTCCTGCACCACGATATAAAGGAGGCATCCGAAGAGATTGTGAGCAAGATTGCAGAGGCCGGTAACGTGCAGGCGTCGGCCATTTCGGTCGAGCCAGGCTTTGTCCGAGTGAAAGTTGACCCAGAAAAACTGGACAAGATCGCTGCTGTCGACGAGGTGCGAGTCCTCCACCCAGTCAAGGAACGCCGGCTGTTCAACAACGTTGCTCGCGGTATCTTACACTTGAATCGGCAAGGTAGCAACAGTGCAGTTTATACGGGGAAAGACCAGATTGTATGTGTGGCAGACACGGGTTTTGACAAGGGTAGCCTGACGGACGTGCACGACGCCTTCGTCGGCCGGGTCAGAAAGCTCAACCCTTGGGGTCGAGAGAGTCTTTCAGATGATCCTGATGGCCATGGAACCCATGTGTGCGGCTCTGTCCTCGGCAGCGGTCAACATAGCTCTCAAGGTTTGATTCAAGGTGCTGCCCCGGGGGCGACTTTGATATTGCAGTCGACGTTCAGCAAATTCGATGAGGACCATCGATCTGAACTCGGGGGCATCCCTAACGACATCAGCCAACTGTTCAACGAAGGGTATCTAGCCGGTGCGAGAATCCACACAAACTCCTGGGGTACTCCTTTGCCAAACTCAGGGGTGCAAAACCCTTACGATGGAGGCGCTGAGAGTATCGACAAATTCGTTTTCGAGCATCAGGACATGACGATCCTTTTCGCCGCAGGCAATGACGGACAAGACAGAGACCTTGACGGTAAGGTCAGCGTGCGATCGCTGGGTGCAGAGGCTGCAGCCAAAAACTGTATCACGGTTGGTGCCTCAGAAAACAATCGCCCAACCCTTCAGTCGGGCGAAGAAGGCCGTGCATATACATATGGCAGCTTCTGGCCTCAGAAGTTCTCCAAGAATCCTCTCAAAGATGACCATCAAGCCAACAACCCGGAGGGTCTCGCCGCCTTCAGTAGTCGGGGGCCAACGGCGGAAAACAGGCTCAAACCAGACCTTGTCGCGCCCGGCACAGCCATCCTTTCGACGCGCTCCAGGAACCAGAAGTATGACGACGAAGTCAAGATCATGGGACTGTCTGGCGATGACAGGTACATGTATCTGTCAGGCACGAGCATGGCCACTCCACTGGTCGCGGGTTGTTGTGCCGTTCTTCGCGAGACCTTATTGGCAAACGGTTATCAAGACGAGCGGCAGGATGGAGTCAAGAATCCCACGGGCTCGTTGATCAAGGCTCTCCTTATCAACGGCGCCGTTCCCATCCAAGGACAATACATGCCGCGCGAGGTCGGCGACGAACCCAACCCGCACTCCGGCTTCGGACGCGTCGACGTTGAAACCTCGGTGGTAGACCCTGGCGACTCCGGGTACGAGATCGGGGCTATCGAGGAAGACGAAGAGCCAGTCAAGTTCACCATCGCCGTGCCCCAGACAGGCCTAAGTCTGAAAATCACTATGACATACGCTGACGTTGCTGGAGCGGCGCTCTCCAACAACCTGAACCTCGTGGTCGTGGCGGGCGGCAAGGAGCGTCACGGCAACCAGCTAGATCGAGAGTTTGACGTTGGCACCACTACTGCCACGACGTTTGACCGCCGCAATAACGTCGAGCAGATCATCTGGCCCCAGATCCCGGGTGGTGGCGGCGGCGAGGTCGACATTGTCGTCAAGCCTTTCCGCATGGTCAGTGATCGCGTGCCGTTTGCGGTGGCTTGGAGGTTCTATTAGTGACTAGTGATGGCATGCCATTGGGTATTCATATAGGTAATCTTTATGTACTTCGGACCTGCGTATGAATCTTATGCGTAAATGTATTTTTCAGGACCATCACCAAGTGCGCCCCGTGGATGTTTACTTTTCCAGTGGAACAAGTCAGGCCCGAGACTAGGGCTAGTTCATTTGATGAACAAGTACCCTATATAATAGCAGTATCTGATCCGCCCCACATTCCATTTATTCATCTCGTTCGTTATCCTATGGGTTGCGTAGTTGTTTTCAGCTATTCTCTTCCTGTCTTCCTGTCTCCCTCCCCATCATTTCTTGGACATCAACGCTGAATACAACACAATATAATCCATCTGGCATCCAGTCCAATTCACACCCCATGTCCGGCACCGAGAATGCTTCCATAAAAGAGCAGAGAATAAGAAGAGAGTGATGTTTTTTTTTTTTTGGTTTTTTTTTTTTCAAAAAAAAAAAAAAAGAAAGGCACCCTTCCATATCTAGATACGGCCTGCTTTCCTGTTTTCATGTCCTTTCTAGGCCCTGGCATGTATATATAATATTTCCTCCCTGCTCGCGACACCCGCTTCCAATAGCGACAATATACCATGACAAAGAGAGACCTGCAAGAAAGAGACAAGAGAGAAGGCAGGCGACTGAGGGGGGGAGGAATGTGTGTTCGCAAGACACCGACCAATATCAAATCACCCCATGACTTCATCCCGCCCGGGGCTTGAACTGCACGACGGGCCCCGCGCGATCGGAAATCAGCCAGTCCTTCAACTGGTACTCCCCAGGCCTCTCCCTGCCCTTCTCAGCCGCGGCGGCGTCGCGGCCTCCGCCTTCGCCGGTGTGGTCGCCGGGCTTGAGGCGCACGTCGTACAGGAACATAACGCGGGCGACCGCGGTGAGCAGTTCCATGTAGGCCATGTTCTTGCCGACGCAGCCGCGGGGGCCCGAGGAGAAGGCGTGGAATGCGCTCTTGGCGACTTCGACGGACGTGGGCGTCACGGTGAAGCCCGTGTCCTCGTCGTGCGAGTGGTCGGCGCCGGCGGCAGAGGGGGGGATCCATCGCTCGGGGATGAAGCTGTACGATCTGGGGAAGTACCGCTCGTTGTGGTGGATCGCGTAGATGGGCACCCCGACCGTCGTGCCCGCGGGGATGTCGTGCCCGTCGATGCGCGCGCCGCCCGCCAGGACGAGTCGGTCCAGCAGGCCCGGAACGGGGGGCGACATGCGCATGGCCTCGTCGACGCACGCGCGCAGGTACGGCAGACCCGTCAGTTTGGCCGAGTAGCGGATCTCTTCGACGTCGTCGCCGAACGCCCCGCGCACCTCGGCCTGCAGCTTGGTAAGGGCGCGCTCGTTGCGCAGCAGGTAGAAGAACAGCGCCGACATGGCCGTCGAGCTCGTGTCGCTGCCCGCCCCGATCAGCAGCGCCGCCTCCCCGACCAGGTCCTTGGGCAGGAACCGGTCCCCCGTCGAGGGGTCCTTGGCGTGCAGCAGGTAGTAGAAAAAGTCCCGCCGCTGGTCCTCCTCGGCCTTGTCCGCGTCCGCCTTTTCCACCGCGAACCGCCTCTCCACGTACACGCTCACGTCCTGCCGGAAGCGCACCTTGTTGAGGAGGTTCTGGGAGCCGATCAGCCGTCCGATCCGCGACAGTGGCGCCGGTTTCATCAAGGGATAGAGCAGTTCGCGGATGGGGATGAAGGAGACCTGTTGTTTTTTAATGTTAGTGTTGCTTCTTTATATCAGAGAGATGACTTGATTGGTTTCAATCTGTCCTTGGGAGAAGAGCAGGCTTGAGGGATGGAGAGAAGAATGGCGTACCTGTTGCTGGAACCGAGCGCTCGAGAGGAGAAGATCCATGATGTAGCACGCCCCTGTCTTCATGGCGTTGAAGCTCGCGCCGAAGCACAGTTCACCCAGCACGTCAATGGTCAGCAGCGTCGACCACTGTCCCATGTCGAGTTCCTTGCCCCATGTTCCGGCAGGCTTCTCGGCGGGTTTGTCGTCGTCGTCACCGCCCTGACCGAGGTAGGCGCACCAGTCCCGGATGCGTTCGAGCATGTACTTGTCCAGGCTGTTCATGGCCCGCTCCGAGAAGGCGTTGTTGAGCAGCTTCCGCCGGGCGGCGTGGAGCTGGCGGTCCGAGAGCACGTGCGTCGTGATGCCCGGGTTGATCCTCTCGCCCGTGTGCGTCCAGCCGGTCTTGATCATGTTGGCTTTGCGGTCCGTGTAGATGTCGTAGAGCGCCTGGGCGGTGCGGAACGAGAGTTTGTCGGGCCCAAACCGGACGACGTCGCCTGTGTGGAGGAGGATCCGAGTTAGTCTTATTATCTCTCTATCTTTTCTAGTCTCTTGTGTCTCGCAGAAGACGACTTGGGGTTTTTTTCGGATGTTGGCCCTTTACCATATTGCTCGTGCAGCAGCTGCAGGTCGATGTGTCTTCTTCCCGACCAGGCCGACCTGGCTTCAGGCCATTGTGTCAGCCTCCACAGTAGAGGTCCGGGGTACTTGGCTAGAGGGTGCAAGTAAAGTCGATAGATCGCGAGGCCAAAAAGCTTTGCAGAGATGTTAGCGGAAAGTGATAGGTGGCGGGAACGGCGTTCACGGGTATCTAGATACTCACATATACGACATTGGCTGCCGCGAGAACGGACAGCAGGTCTACCACCGAGAAGACAGCCATGGCTTTTCTCTGCAGAATTGAAATCGCCAGTTATACCGATAAGCAACCCCTTGTTGATAGAGATAAGCGTGAGACTCGAAGCAGCAGGGGGAGGTCCGTTTTACGCTCAGCGGGAGAGAGACCTTTTGTGGTTTTTATACCATCATTACATCCGATCATGAGGTTTCATGATCCATACGCCCGAGCCACCCACGAGTGGGATTTGCCATGTTTTGCTGACTGTCAGACGCCCTGGGCCGAAGAGCGAGCGAGCGAGCGATTCATGAAGCAGGCGAAAGGTTTGGCTAAGCACCAACAATAAGGCCCCTATCTGAGGGCAAGGTGGAGGTATGGTAGGCCCAGGCACCACAAGTACTCTCGCTCGAAGCCTGTCGGGCCTATTAGTGATGCAACACTGCTCAAATTAGAGCTTTGATCAGTACCGACCTTGTCGTAGTAGGACTCATCATGACTCCAGGCACCCAGCAAGGGTCACGGTCTGGGAAACTCGGATCTCCACTGATCATCCGCCAAACCTTGTCCCAGAATGTACCTCGTATTTTGGTACGAATTGCTTGGTAGTGGCCTCGGCGGGTGGTCTGGCTCCTTCTGGGAAACCTTTCGACGGCGACCCACCGAGATCAAGGCCACAACATACAGACAGCCCGCACGTGTGGTCAGCACACGCGCCGTCCATCGCATCGGTCGCGCGTTGACGGCCCCTTTTGGCACAAGGTATCCGGATAGGCAAAACTTACAGAAGCCGTGACTCGAAACCCTGCGCCACAACACATGGCGCTGCAGCCGCCGGCCAGGTTCTTTTGCGGGGAGTGAGGATCTCGGTGATTGCAACATCAGCATTTAGTCAGACAGCGAATGAGGGCCGGTTGCGCTTGTCTGATGGACGGGGCGGGGAAGACTTGGGCCCTCTACAAGCTCATGTTTGTCCTGATATCGATGCCCAAAAGGGTTGGGCTTTGTAATCCAGCGGCAGTCGATTCGGCTGCCGATGCTTGCACGAGGTTGCCCAGCTTGTGTCATCCTGGCAACAAGAGTCCCAGTGCTTTGTGGCGGAATTGCGTACTGGGCGATAGGGATTAAACGAGGGAGGCGTTAAGCTTATTTCGAGAGGCTCCATTTGTATACGTGCGCGATGAATCTGCTCCGCGGAATCATCATACGTCTTCCGTAGCAGGTGGTGGGTACCAGAGGAGCCAGAACCCAGACGATACCCTACGAGGACTGATTCCGGCACACATGCCCATCTCCTGTCAGCAGGCGCATGATTCGTGCGCACTTAACATCATGTAAGAAACGGCTAAGTGGCGGATAACAGGCTCAACCCAACCTCTTAGACAGGTAATCATCCGCCGGGCTTTCAGAGGTTCGGTGTGTCTGCATGTCCTTAGACTACGAAGAGGATGTCGGGCCGGAGGAGGCTTGCCTTGATGGAAACAAGGTGTGAGTTATTATCTGTAAGCAGTCGGGGCCATCACCATCGCCGCCGCCGCCGCGGTCGCCGGCTAGGCTGAAGAATTAGGTACACGGTTCCCGCCACAGTCGTGCCGAGACCTTGTTCGCTGAGCTGAAGAGAACATACCATGTCCTGACACAATGTAACTCATTTCTGGAGGCTACTGGACACTTGCATCGGAGGCAACACAATGCGGAAAGAATTGCGAGGGCCATGATTCGCTGAGATTTTCACCAAAGGAGGCAGCGTGTCAGCAACGAACAACCCTCTGCTAAGAGTAGTTACGCTCGTAGTACCGCATATTACTACCTAGGTATGGAGTGCCCTCAGGCGTACCACGGTCCACGGAGGATAACGATGGCGCCGACCTGGGATAAGCGAGCTGAGAAGGGAAAAGGACAAAGAAAGAGCTATGAAGAAAAAACGATTCACGGCTTGGATCGGGTGGCTACTGCTCTGTATTACCTGTACCTAAGTAGGAAATTATGCGTAGAAATTCTTATTGCACAGCCTTGCAAGGCTGGCCACTCGGCTTTCTCCTTTCAGTCATACCACTAGATGAAAATTCGGTACCTATAGCCGGTGACTTTATCGAAGCGCAAAGAAGGAGAGAAGAAAAACTGCTTTCATCCCCTTCGTTTTATCATTCGCAAAAGAAAATGGCATCCCTTAAGCAGAAATCTTCTGGGAAAAAAAGAAGGGACGCTGGGTTTTGCCCCGTGGGCCCCTCTATTCCTCTTCCCGCTTCTCCAAAAACCATCGGAAAAGAGAACAAAGGCAGTTTCATGTGCTGGGGCCCTTTTTACCCCAACTTCCTGTTTCTGTCCGATCCTCAAAGCAAATGCAAATTGATCTCATTCGCGAATGCCATCATGCCGGGAAAATCACTGGACTGACTTTAGAAACACATGGGAGATTGATTCTAACGCTTCGAGTTTCCGGATCTTTTATGCCTTGACTAATATTGTCCTATACTAAATTATACAGAGCCGCCGCCGCCGCACGATTGTTTATTTTTATTGTTATTGCCGGTGATCTCTACGTTACTCAGTGGAAGACCCCCCCTCAGTCATAATTGTCTCGACTCACGGCTGGGTGTGGTAGCAAGCACAGATCAAAACAATGGACTTGACAAAGATCTCGGGTCTTGGGTTCGTGGGACTAGGGGCCATGGGGCTTCCCATGGCCGGCCACCTTGCTGCAAAGCTGCCCGACAACGTCCACATGTACGTATACGACATCAACACATCGAGTATGGACCAGCTGCACAGTGACTACCCTGAAAGAGTGACAAAATGTTCGAGCGCGAAGGAGGTGGCCGATAAATCAGTAATCGATCCCGTCTCTCCCTCTTATCCCTTGCCCTTGAATAAGACAGTCTTTGCTGACTGACGCGCGGTGACAAACTAGGATGTTATTCTCACCATGCTTCCCGAGGGAAAACACGTCCGCTCCGTCTACATGGAGGGGGCCGCTGACACCATCTGCTCGAGTGACGTGGCAGGGAAGCTCCTGATCGACTGCTCGACCATTGACACGGCCAGCAGTCTGGCGGTCAAGGACTACATCAACCAAAAATTCCCCACGACGTCCTTCTACGACGCCCCCGTCAGTGGCGGCGTGGTGGGCGCGCAAAAGGGCACGATCGCCTTCTTTCTCGGCTGTGACGGCGCGGACCCGAACCTGGCCTCCCTCACGCGCCTCCTGCGGTTGATGGGCAAGGACGTGATCCCCTGCGGTGGGCCCTCCAAGGGCCTGGCGGCCAAACTTTCCAACAACTACCTGTCCGGCATCATCGCCATTGCCGTCTCCGAGGCCATGGACATGGGCATGCGCTCGGGCCTCGACCCCCGGGTGCTGGCCAAGGTCTACGCCGCAGGCACGGCCCAGAACACCATCTGTGACCGCTTCTGCCCCGTCCCCGGTGTCTACGCGGAAGCGCCGAGTTCCAAGGGCTACACCAACGGGTTCAAGGTGCAGTTGATGCGCAAGGATTTCTCGCTGGCCATGGAAATGGCCAAGCGCGTCGGCGCCGCCAATGTCCTGGGCGAGGCTGGTCTAGCAACGTATGATGGTGCCAGTAAGGATCCCCGATGCATGGATCTGGACTCGAGAGTGGTGTTCCGGTATCTGGGTGGGAACGAGGATTGGCAGAAGGACGCCGACGAGGCTACGGCTAGCAAGCTGACATAACCAATAGACGCCAAACTGATGCCAGATCTAGAATAGAGGGAAGAGAAATCTACAATTTAATCCCGTGGCCCCCTTCTACCCGAATTGAGCCGATCCCAATAACTAATACTCTTTTTCTTCTTCCTTGGTGGTTGCGTTGCTTCCGTCGGAATCAAAGCCTTGCCACGCCTTGGAGGGGCATCCAGGGGGGCAGGCGATGGAGGGACCTCGGGGGAATCTTTGGAGTTGGAGAAAGTTGGAGAAAAGAAAACAATCACAACTGCCCCTCGAGTCGTGCGGAGGCACGGGGAGGGCCAACAAAGAGCAAACGAGAGTCCCGATTACGGAGCATTGGAAGGAATCGGGTGATGATGGTGGACCTTGGAGGGGCTCGAGGGGTAGTTTGGGAGTAGAACGTACCGAGAGGAATAAAAGCAATAAGAATGGAGGAGGGAGGGGGGAAGTGTGTTGGCTTTGACTCTCTGTCGATTCTTGTCCTCTGCGGTGAAAAGAACAAGAGAGAATTGGTCGGACAGCTCAGTTCGTTCAGTCCATCCTTGTGAGAAGAAGAGTTAGTTTGCTCGCCCCGTCTCCAACTCAGAAAACAATAAAGTCTCGGACGGGAGAGAAGACTGAGACACAGGACAGAAGAGAGAGAGAGAGACACACACAAAAAACAGCAGCAGACTCGTCTGAACAACAACACCTCGCAACGCAACTCATCCAACTCACCCTACTTGACAACCTACCTCAATCACCCAAACAACAAAACAACCATGTCTTCCTCCAACACACAACCCACCTCCAGCACCGACCCTGCGCTGCGCCCGTTCCACGAACAGCTCTTCAACGCGGGCCTCAACGTCCGACGCGCCGTGGTTGGCGACGCGTACGTCGACCGCGCACTTGCCAACGGCTCTTCCGAGTTCTCCCGTGTGGGCCAGGAGCTGGTGACCGAGTTCTGCTGGGGATACGCGTGGACTCGCCCGGGCCTGTCACGCCGGGACCGCAGCCTGCTCAACATCGGCATGCTGATGGCGTTGAACCGCGCGCCGGAGTTGGCCGTGCACGTCCGTGGGGCGAGAAACAATGGTCTTAGCGAGGAGGAGATCCGTGAGGCTATTATCCATGCCACTACCTACTGCGGTGTGCCCGCGGGTGTGGACGCGTTCAAGACTGCCGAAAAGGTGCTGAATGAGATGGCCGAGAAGGGCGAGATGCCGAGGCAGTTGGGTGAGAAGAGCAAGGATGCGTGAACAAGATTAGATTCTGGGAGAGGATGTCACTCCTCAAGGTCGAGTAGATAAGTGATGAACAGAACAGAAAAGGATGCGAAGAAAGGGGAGAAATGAAAAATACAGACAGATTGGGAGGCACTGACGGAGGGCAAAAGGTTGCGTCTTGGCGCTTGTTGGGCAAGGACAGCCTCGTGGATGGAAGAGAGGAAAGGAGGGTCCAGGTGCCCGACGCCCCTCGTCTGTCCATCAATCTATCCATTAGAAGACACATAGAAAGGCATTCGAAGTGTTTTTGTGCTCGTCCACTTCCGGTCCACTATGAACCAGACGAAAAAAGAGTGTCTTCCCATTCCAATGTTGGTAACTGTTGTATGTTGTACCTGCTTTTGTTAACCCAAGCCAAACCCTCACTCTCGCTAAGATGCAGCAGAAACCCCGACTCCAGAAAAACACTGAAATACTCATGACAGCTCCGCATATGGTGACACCGGTCGCTTGCCTTATACTGCTTCGGCTGCTGACATTATGTCGCGGTGCTTGTTCTCCTCCGTCTCCGCCCGTGTGTCCATCGAGTCATTTGTGCTCTCGACCTGGGCCTTTGCGCGCTCAAAGTCGACCGACGTCGCCGCCGTCGTGGCCTTGGCTCTCAGGGCGCTTCGGATCTCCGCCACAGACCGGTCGTTCCACAGGTCGTAGTCGCTCATGCTCAGCGGGAAGAGTACCTTGTTGCGGGCCGTGGTGATAAAGTTCTCGGGCGTCGGGGCGGGCATGCTCGTGAGCACGTCGATGTCGGACGCCAGTTCGCGGCAGTATGCGTCCAGAGGCAGGTCGTTGACGTCCACGCCGAAGGGGTTCTCGATTTCGTACCCGATCGCCGCGAGGCCGAGGATGATGTACGCCGCCAGCACTACGCCAAAGATCGTCACCCACCCCAGCGTCCGGTAGATCTGGAACGGCAGGGTCAGAATGTAGACCCAGGTGATCTGCGAGATGGAGATGGAGTAGGCGATGGGCACCGGCGTGTTCAGCACCCGTTCCGTGCCCGCGAGGATGTCGGTCAGCTGGACCACGCTGTTCATGGCGTTGGCTTGGTGGATCGGAAGAGCCAGCTGCCCGTTGGTGCAGACCTGATCCAGGTATGCGCCCAGGTAGTTGAGGATCTCGAGTGGCAGGTTTCCCAAATTTTCACGTGACCGCTTGATCAGCTTGCGCGGATTCGACTCAGCGAACGACACGCCCAGGTACTCGCCCGCCGCCTTCCACGACCCGACTTTCCGGGGCTGCAGTTTGCTCTGGTCGGCCTCGCTGGCGAGGGTATGCAGGTTCCCAATCAGCGGCTGCAGATCCGGATACTCAGTTGACGGCTCGAACCGGAGTCGGTGCTTCAACGCCACGGCGAAGGCATTGATCAAGTTCAGCGCCGTCAATTTGCCGAGGAGGTCCGCCTTTCCTTGTGCTTGGTCCTGGCCATGTCGCTCTTTGGTATGGATCCAGATGATTCGTGCCAGATTTCTCGACGTCACAACCAATTGTGCCCAGTATTTCCGCCCCTCGCTGTATCTTTCATAGGCGGTCGACGACCGGAACGACAGCGCCAAACTGACCACGAAACCGGTGATGGTGAGGAGGACCGAATCAAAGACCAGTTCGTAAACAAACTTATTGATGCACGTGAACAGCGTCGCCCAGCCTGCGACGAATAACAGCGGAAGGATCATCTTGGGCGCCACACTCCCATGCAGACGCAAGAAGAACGGCCATTTGGAGTGATGGCTCATGTCCCGGGGACCGACAAAGAGGTCTTCGATGTCGTTGCCGGTGTGCGTTGGCGCTCGGAGGGCGAGTGGTTTGAAGTCGACGACTCGCCCCGGGGAAGGAAGTACGTCCGGGTTGCTGGAGGATGTCGAGGACCCAAAGTCGGTGACCTCCAATTTGAGGTTCTTGGTTCCCGCCATATCGGCCATGTTCGGGAGTCGAGCTGAATATGAACGGCGATGCTGAAATAGAATTAGAGGCTCAATGGCACTGTGTTTGTAAGTGGTGAAAGTATATTCAAGTGCGGTGATCAACACCAAAGACAGAACAGAACACAAGGGGAGCAATGCTGGCAGGACAGCAGCTTTGACGAATTGTTCAAGGAAAAGAAGAGGACTTTTGACGAAAGATCGAAGCGCAGGAAGATCGAAGGGCGGCCGCTGAAGCCGCGACGGCAGGATCCTGGGGATTAGAAAAGTACGAGCCCCGACCCAGGCCCTGGTCGTCTAGCAGATGTCTTATGTGGCTGGCAATCCTTCCTGCTGCTTACTCCGTACGGCTGAGAGATGAGTGCTCCATCGACCTAGCATGGTATGGTCGATATCCCTGAGAAGACAATGTACTAGTATACCCACTGGGGGCCAAGTAGGTAGCGCTGGGTCGAGAACCGACGAAGCCTGTTGCACACGGCGGCCAAGGCCTTGAAGAGAGCTCGACCGCTGGAGCTGAAACATGGCCACAGCGAATCGTCCCTTGGAAGATACAGACCGCCCGTTATTGCTTCGAGCATTCAGTCTGGAGGTTTGGAAAAACCGTTATGCACAACGGCAACTGGACAACGGCCTGCAAGTTCCACCTTGCGATGGCGACGTGACCGGCGTGAAACAGTAGGAGGAGTCAGGGGGCAACAAGAAAAAAAACTTGGGACCAAAGAGGCAAGGGGTCATACTCCGTATTTGGTCAACGGTCAGGGGCCAGACTCCAGCTTTTGTGGGCGGCGTCTCGCCTTGTACCAAAGGAGCGTTGTACCATCCACCCGGTTCCCTTTTGTCAAGCTCCACGTTTGCTCCTCCTGGAGTCCTGGTACAAGCAATACTTGGCTTCTCAGTGATGGGTCTTTGGTCGCGTGCTCGGAAGAGAGATGGGGCTTTATTGTCGAGGCTCCATTCCATCAGCATCTGGTCGTGGCACGACGTCCAGAGTAATGGTACGTAGGACTTGTGATTAGAAAAGAACAATGGCTTGCGCTGCCAGCTACGCCGTGACAGGAGTCTGATATTTGCTGTTTTATGCAGTCAGCAGCCCTAAGTGCAGAGAGCTGTCCCTCACCAAATGCAAGCCTGACATCAGACACTGCAGGAGGATTGTCGGTAGGGCACCAGGAGGACAGTCGCCGACGGTGTTGATCATATAGGACAGCTATGCCAGTTCATCCTTTTCCTGATGGATAGTGGAGAGGCGTCTGAGAAATAGACTTGCAGATCTTATATATGCCACCCATACCCTTGCATATTATATATAATCCAGCCACAACTCGTGTACACACCCTCTCACAAGGGAGATGGAATAGACAGACTCGACAGATGCAGTGCTGGGTACTCGGAGAGGCCCGGCACGCATGCTCACCTTATGCAGATGGGGAACTGGAGAGACTGGAGTCAACCCCTGAAGGATCAAAGATTCCAGGGGAAAGGGGGACAACAGGAGACGAAGCGTACGGAACGAGGTATTGTTACCTTAGGTATTTGGTGATGCTCAAAATATTTCTTTATTTCGCCCAGTGCACGACTATTGAAGTTCCCGTTGAACCTGCCCTATTCAGCCAGCCCCTGCGGGCAGACAATGGCCAACTCTCTGTACGAGGTACCGTGTGAGCCGACTACTGAAAGCAGAGCATTCTTTGGTCCGTGAGGTCCTTGAGGTTCTTGACATCTTACTCATACCACTGTCCATCCTCGCCATCGCTGAGGGCACTCTCTTTTTATGAGGCGAATATTAGCATTGTCACTCGCTCTGGGGTGACACATTCTTTCTTGGTTCTTTTTGCATCTCATTCAGGCTATGTCCTCTCTCACCCTCTGCCGACCCATTCCTTCGCTTTGACTCCCTCTCGTGACACCGCCATGCTCCTCGCAGCGCCCACGCGGCTGAACTTCATCGTCGTCGGACTCGTCATTACCACCTTTATCCTCTTCTATAGTTCCTTTCGTTCCCCTCGCCCCGAAGAGCAAGATGTCCTCGATTTTTCAGACGCGGACGCAGACACAGCCCGCACCATCCTCGAGTCTTCCCCAGAGCATCCCCCTGCCCGAACCACCCATGCCACCGAGACCACCCACCAATTTCTATCAGACGACATTACCTCTCGAGTGCAGAACCAGACGTTGGGCTTTCAAGAGATATACATGATTTCATTGCCCGACAGGTCGGACAAGCAGGATGCGTTTGCAATGCAAGCAGCCTTCTCCGACATCTCTTATAAGCAGGTGGACGGAGTGTATGGCCATGATGTTCCTGTGAAGGCGCTACCTCACGTATGTTGGATGGACCAAAACACTCTTGTGGATGATTGCTAAAACTTGAGCAGACTATGGGCCAAGAGTCCAATGTCATTGGATGTTGGCGCGCACATGTGAATGTCTACCAGAGAATGGTGCACGAAGGGATCTCGTCAGCGTTGATCTTTGAAGATGACGCTGATTGGGATGTCTCTCTGAAAGAGCAGCTGGTCCAGTTTGCCCAAGGCTCGAGATTCATAACCAATACTTCCGACGACGCATTTCCCCATTCTCCTTACGGACATGACTGGGACATATTGTGGATCGGACACTGCGGCACCTGGGTCTACCCTGAAGACAGCCGTCGATTCTTTGTCATTCCAGATGACCTTACCGTCCAACCCCCCGAAGCTCGTGTGGACAATGTCGACCAGCCCGACATGAGCCACTGGGAAAGCGGTCCTCATGGCAACAATCGCACACGGATAGTTTTCCATTCGGAAGGGGGTGTCTGTACGGCGGCCTACGCCATCTCCCAGAAAGGCGCGCGTAAGGCTCTCTATCATCTTTCCATGGTACCATACAACAGTCCGGTTGACTGGGGCCTGGCTGGCCTTTGTAAGAACAAAGAGTACGACTTTACCTGTGTATCACCGTGGCCGCAACTCGTTGGGGTTTCTCGACCTACGGCGAACACTGCCAAATGGAGCGACATCGGCTATGGGCCGGACTCGGAGAGAGTGGTTGAGCAAGGCAGATCCCTACATCTGGTCTATCCTGTGCGGCAAAACATCCTAAACTTTCTTCATGGAAAGACGATATTCAACAGCCTGTACCCCGACATTGCACCACCGATGAGTATCAAGGAAATCGGAAAGGCGGTCGGGCACACTGAAATCCTGGAATTTTCGGTCGGACCTTTTCAGAAGCCACCCGAAGAGGGTTGAAATGTTGGGGGGACTGCGTTTCGTCCTCGACCAAATGAGGACAACTGCAGCCAGACTTTTTACTCCACGGTCTAGAAAGCCCCGATCTAAAATTCGGTGACTACGAATGTCGAACGAAACAGCTCTGCCTAATTATCACGGCGAGGCTGAGTTACCGAGCCTGTTCGGTCAAATAGCATGAGCGACATCCCGCATCACCTGTTTCAAACCAGCCGTGTTAATGAATTTGGCGGAGTCTGTGCAAGATTCCAAAAACACGGCAATGTCCCCTGCCGCTCCCGCCTCCGGACTCGGCTGGAAACATGGTGTGGCCCAAGCTTGAAGCACACTAGACGCTGCAATGCCTGGTTGGTCATTGATTTACGCGGGACGCCGTGCGGAAATCTTGAAAAGTCTCCGTTAAATAGATGCTCGAGTCAAGGACTGGCCCAGGAGAATGTTTGGGGGCATAGCGGGTGAAACTTCTGCATTTTGTCTTTATAATCGAGCGATACCCCTGTTGGTTTAGACGCAGCAATTGCCATTCTACGGAGTACGAGGTCCTCAGTATTCTGCCAAGCACGTTTAGCCATGCTCTACGGCTTCTCTTCTGCATCTTCCCCCTCGCGAACGCGTACAGACGCGTTTAAGAATCTAGATCCGGGATCGAGTGATCGATCGGTAAACAACAAACTAGGCGGGATGAGTGTCTAGTCCATTCTTTGATTGGGACCTAGCCTGACATTACCCGAATGGCGAGTGCGAAAGAGCCCCCTTTGACGCAGGGATCAGGGATCAGGGATGAGGGTGGGAGATGGGAGATGGGACGACTCACTGTTGCGCAACCAAATGTCAGTGCCTGTTTTCTTTCTGGCGACAAAGAACAAGACAAGAGTTTCATGGTAGCAGCCTGACATGACCCCTTGTCCTCTAACACCTGCGAGTGCGTGTACCATGATTTTCCAAAATGTCAGCGCAAGCCACAGCTCCCCAAAAGTATTTCGCGGGGGCCGAGACCCCCTCGACCCCCAACCAGATTCAGAAAAAACCCAGGTACCCAGGCACCACATAGGCACCGATAGGCACCAAGCCAAGTCTTAGGCTCTTAGGCTCTTAGGCTCTTAGCCCACACTTGCCCCTGAATTTGTCCGACTCTGGAAAGATTAGACTTTGGCTTGAGATATGGCTGGACTCTTGGTCGCCTCCCTTGCTCAATGCTGCGCGCCAGCATCATTGGGAACATGTGTCAATTTTCGGGGGAGTCTGCAGTTGCTGTCCTGTACCAAGTACTCCATCCCCAGCTACGTTCTTTTGTCTGTACAGTCTGATGTTTCCAGCTGACCGACGCTCATTCAGCTGACCTCTCTTACTGCGTGCAAGCTTTTTTCTTCTTCTAAAGACCTGTGTGGCAGGAATACACACATCGTCATACTCCTTTCCTCCCCTCCTTCCGATCCTTTCTTCCAGTCCCTCCTTAAGCGATGGATTTGAGCCCCTCGTCTCGAAATGGAAACCCACTACAGCAGCTCTACGGATCGCGGCGGTCATTACGCTGGATTGTGTTCCTCGTGCTCGCAGCCCTCGCCATCATTTATATGACCGGATCGACCTATGAGCCTTATAGAGTGGCCAGCAGCGGCGACACCAGCGGCACCGGCCACAAGTCTTCGACGTCGGGGTACAAACATTCGCACAAGAAGCAGGCGAAAAACCTGAGTCCGGTGGATTTGATGAAGAGACCCATCTCCCGCGACCTGCAGACCATCCCCAAGCTGATACACCAGAGCTGGTCGTCAACCGAGCTACCGGCAAAATTCGGACGCTGGAGCTCGACATGCAGGGAGCAACATCCTGATTGGGAATGGGTGCTGTGGACAGATGAGGACAATGAAGAGTTGGTCAGGACACATTTCCCATGGCTGTTGAAGACATACCTGGGCCTGCCCAGTGTCATCTACCGCGCGGATTTGGTGCGAAACCTCTACATGTATATGTACGGAGGGTGAGTATCTGGCAACGCAACTTCTTCATGACTGAGCTGATCGATGGATTTAGGGTCTACTCTGACTTGGACGTGGAATGCCTCCGGCCTGTTGATGAACTATTTGCCAAATACAACGTGACGACCGCTTCACACGCCAAACCGAAACCGCAATCCGCACAGAACATGCAGAAGAGTGGCCGAAAAGCCTTCTTCGGCAGAATGGGCACGGACCATGGCTCCTCCAACTCGATTCCCAACGCCTGGATGGCGTCGACGCCGGGCCACCCCTTTTTCCTGATCGTGCTCGAGTCTGTCATGAAGAGGATGACTGAAGAAGGTGACATGGAGAACGTCGAGGGTATCACGGGCCCCGGAAAGCTCTACGACATGATCAACGAATACCGTCAGCCCGACAGCAAATGGGCGGGAGAAGCCCTCGACAAGCATGTGTCCAAGAATCCGACCGCCAAGCAATTCAACCCGCGCAAGGGATTGAAACATTCCATCGAGGTGCTGCCCTTCCAGTATATCTACCCGTACTCGTGGGAACGAGACGGCGAGGCATACCGAGAGTTTTGCTGGGCCACCAAGGAGGAATTCAACGCCGAGAGATGCAAACAGCTGCTTGCGACCGACCATTGGCCGAGTTATACCATTACTTACTGGAGCCATACTTGGACGAATAACGGCCACGACGATGGCAATGTACAGAAGCTTGAAATATCAGATCAATGAGGTCACAGGGGGAGACGGGCAGTGATGGAAATGCGACCCGGAGTTGGGAATGTCTGATGAAGGTTTATCCCAGACCAGGATTTCTGGAGTACAAAAAGAGATGTTGGGTTATTTTCTTTGGGCCAATTTTGTTTTAACGAGATGCATAGACGAGAGTGCTTCGGGCCAGGCTTTGCTCGTGATTTGGCGCGGCGTCGGGGGAATGAAAGGAGGGATCATTTATCCATATCTTGTGTATACCAGTTGATCTTTCTTTGGCCAGAATTAGAGGCGACAGTCCGTGGTTGGTCTTGGTGTCAGATAGAAAAACGATAATGAATGGACAACAGATCTATAGACCTTTTGTGCCTGCCATCTCTGGTTTGGACTGGTATAGCGGGAGTTAGTTATGAGTTGGGTGGCGGTCTGACGGCTATATATGATCTCGCCTCCGATCGCCCTAATCTACCCCATCGTGCTCCACCTCAACAACTCCCCCAATTGGTGATAACCACCGTGTACAAGGCACATGATGGGACGATATGGATTCCTGGCCAATAAGTCGGACCAAACCTGACCTGCCACTGTACATATATTTCGGGGACATAACTCATGCTGCTTTATTCTTCGCATATCTGGCGCCGGCCAACCTGAGATCTGATATGAAAGATTTGCTCCAGGCCACACTGCAAGCGCCTAGGTTAGCCAAATTGCTCCGAGGTAAGGGGACCCAAAGTATGCTGCAGGTGGTTGAGGGGGGTTATTCTGGCCCTTACCTTGAATTCCGAAGGACGTATTCCTCGGATCTCTTCTGGTTGGCACTCCGTTCGTTCGCTTCCATGGTAACGGCGCGATGCAAGGCCTCCACGGTGCCGTCAATGTCCCAGGGGTTGAACAGGACGCTTCCACGCAACTGCTCGGCGGCGCCGGCAAACTCGGAGAGCAGGAGCACACCCTTCCTCTCCCTTTGGGTGGCAACGTACTCGTAAGAGACGAGATTCATCCCGTCGCGGATGGACGAGACAAAACAGATGTCCGAGGCGGCGTACATGGTCATGAGCTGGTCAAATGGCACGCTTTGATGTAAGAGGTGAACGGGTTTGTAGTCATTAGATCCTTTTGCTTAAGAGTTAGCCCGCCAAGGCCCAGCGGATCTGGGGGGGATTTCTGGGACTCTCTCCCAACCTATCCAGACTTACCGTATTTCCTGTTCAAGGCCTCGACTTGCTGGTGAATCTTGGTCGCGAGATCCTTGTAATCTTGGACGCTTTGCCTGCTCGGGACGGCAACCTGGATCATACTGATTTGTCCGACGAACTGGGTATGGACGTCCAAGAAACGCTCCATCGCAGCGATCTTCTGCGGGATGCCTTTTGTGTAGTCCAGCCGGTCGACGCCGATGATCAACTTGCAGACGTTGTATCTCCTTCGGAGGTCTCTTATTTGTCCCTTGATCGACTCGCATTCCATGTGCCCGAGGAATTTGGGCACGTTGATCCCGATTGGATGGACTCCGAGGTTGACGAAATTCCCGTATCTTTCGATGCCATTGGGAGACTCGTCAAAGTTCCTTTCATCAACGTCAGCCTCATGATGAGTTGGTCAAGAAGTTTGGAGGGAGGTGTCTCTCTCTCTCACAGATAGTCACAGCAGGTCCGAGCAAAGTTTTGGGCGTACGTCTGCGTGTGGAAGCCGATCGTCTTGCAGCGCAGGACTCCTTCGAGGATCATGTCCCACACTGGAAGTGTCTTGAACATGTCTCCACTAGGGAAGGGGGTATGCAGGAAGAAGCCAATCGAGACCCTTTTACTTAGCTTCATGGCTGCTTCGGAAAGCATCAGAGGCAAGAGCATGAGGTGGTAGTCGTGGATCCATACAAGATCCCCGTCTGTGACTTCGGTGGCGAGTTTCTCCGCAAAAAGTTGATTGACTTTATGGTAAGCTTTCCACTCGCCTTGACAAAATCGGATTGCGTTGGATTGATAGTGGAGTAAAGGCCAGAGGGTGGAGTCTGTCAAAAGTGTCAACCACTTAGCTACCTAATATGGGCCCTCATGGTTTTTGACTGCAGACGACTTACTTGAAAACCCATTGTAATAGGCTTCAGCCAGACTTTCATCAAGCGGAACTGGGACAGCATTGTGTTTCTCCCGTAAGGCTTGGGTGATGGGTTTTTCCTCGTCCAAAGGTATTTGCATGCCAGGCCAGCCGTACCAGAGCATATTTTCAAATTCCCCTTCGACTCCACTCATACCTGTGACGAGGCCCCCGGAAGATTCTTTGAAGCTGTGATTCCCATCTCCATCTCTCTCGATGGTGACGGGTAATCTGTTGGATACCACAATCAAACGTTGGCCCGTAGGTGCATCCTTGGGCAGGAGAGCATCCGGACTTGGAGGGGGGGTCTGCATAATAGCGATTTTGAGATGACGGCTGTTGGACTAGCTTGACGGGGCCGTATCAAAGTCGAACAGATTGAGACAGATATATCTATATGGAATAGAGTGGAGATTGATACCATCGATTGAAAGAGGTCAAGGTTGGACCTATATATCAACACACGCCATGCTCCACATTCAAAGCAGGTTACTGATTCGTGGGACAGGACACGCCATGCTTCACATCCCAAGCGGGTTGCTGATTCGTGGGACGAGAAACGCCGGTAAATGAATGGAAAAATACATGGACGCTGTGAGCATCAGCGCTTACCGGAACGATCTTCCACATAGAAAAGACAAACGGTCGTCAGAGGACAGCCAATCGACTGTGTTGTGAGCGGGTGAAATGCACATGCCATCTGTAAGATTACTGCTTGTCGTAGCTCAGGGTGAGAACCACAGTAATCCTGACTTCTCCACTAGCCTGATGAGGCCTAAACTGATAGCCCTAAAGATAGTCGGATGTTCGTCAGGCAGGACTCTGAGGTATGACGTTGATCGAACCAGTAGGCATGCGTTGACAATCCATCTACGCTATGCCCATAATGCCTCGTATGGTAGAGGTCCCGACTCTGCTTCCACGTGGAGAAGAGGGTTGTTGTTCATTGGAAAGCACAAGCGACCATGGCGAGGGTCGGGAATGAGGATTTACATAGTAGCGCCGCCGAGGTCAGGAACGTTTCCTGTGGTGCGGCTGGAACAGGTAGAGATCTACTGAGGACCAGGGTTTACATGTACTACTGTATGTCATCTTGGCATCACTCGGATAGGAATGACCGTGGGATGTCAGGCCAAGCTTTCCGAGGGGTGGCGTCGGAGCATCCTCGCCTACATGGACGGTTTTCCCTGGCTCGGCCAAACGTCCAGTTCCACCATTAGACTTTCCAACCCCGCTGGGCCGCGATGTTCAAAAGCTAATGTGACGACATCAGGCAGCTCGCGATCTGTGAGCGAATGTCCGCCAGGCCATCCGATCAGTCGTAGCGGTGGCATCAAGGAATGCTCAAATATGGCCTATCGACGGTGGCTCCCAGTCTGGAGCTGGTCGACCTTGCCATGCTCCAAGCGCTTTCACAGAAGACTGCCTGAAAAGATTTCTCTATCACCTACCTAGGCCTTACCAATGGATTCGAACAGAGAAAGAGCTTCGCCAAACAGAGTCCGTCGGCCTGCCGCTCGTAAGACGGCCAACGCATGCCTCCCGTGTAAATTGAAAAGGACAAAGGTTCGAAGGCCACCCCAAGATGCCCATCTCTGCCACTGACAGTATTACACAAGTGCACAGGCCAGCCAGGCCCTTGCCGAGCTTGCAGGAAAAGTGACCGGTACTGTCATTTCGACTTGAAGCTCGATGCAAGAAGGAGGGCTCCATGCGGACCCTCGGCTGCACATCGGCAACAACAGTTTCTACTTGAAAGTCTGCTTCGAAGCATCAAGTTCAACGACAATGACATGGTGCAAGGGCTTGTTGAGGCAATCAGGAATGATAACTCGCCTCCGAAAGTGGCCAATACACTCCAAAGTAACATCCAAGCTGTGCACGAAGAGGGCGAATTGACCAAGCAGGACATTAGCGACACTGATATGATCACCCTTGTGTTGAAATGTCTCTCTTGCCCTCCGCCACGGTCCCGTAAGGACAGTACAAGCACCGTGGACAGCACGAGCACCACGGACAGCAAGAGCAGCATGGACAGCACGAGCACCATTGACAGCACGAGCACCATTGACAGCACGAGCACCATTGACAGCACGAGCACCATTGACAGCACGAGCACCACTGACAGCAAGAGCAGCATGGACAGCACGAGCACCATGGTCAGCACGAGCAGCAGCGCGACGGCGTATGATATTCTTTGGCAGCCTCCAAGCACGCCCTCGAAACTGTTGTCTGTTTCTTCGGCTGCCAATGGAGATGTATCTTTTGAAGATACGTTCCCTCTTCAAACTCAATGCAACAATGTTGACGCAGAGCAATACAAACCGGAACTTGCATCTCATATCGCAGGTGATGAATCAATGTTTCCATTGAATACGTTTGACGTATGTGAAACCCTGGTTGAGAAGTACTCATTCATGTCATGTGGGACGCAGCTAAACTCTAAGCAGTCGTCACACCTTTCTTTATACTCAACAAGCTTCGACAGCTGCGTCGATATGACCTATGACGATGATCAATCTACTGTGACAGCCACTTTCGAGGACGGAACAGAAGCCACAGAGATCGCATCTCTACCGACAATCGACTCTCCCCAAACCGATCTCGAAATGCAAATGGCGATATACGAAAACGATAGTCAGAATTGTGGCTCTTCGGAATCAGAAACATCGAAATTTGGCAAACTCAAAGGGAGCTGGTCATTTATGGAAGGCTTGAATTGTTCGATATCGCCGCTACGAACATTTACATTGCCTTTGATATATCCTGGCGATCCCATAAACGACATCGTCCTTGGCTTCCGAGATAAAGCTCGAGATCTGCTGAGGTCTGGTAGTTCTTTGCAGTCGGTCATGGGATCTGGACTCACGGATGTGGAGTTGCTATTTCGAACGAGGCAACCCGATGAAGAATGGAATGTGCCTGGTTGGGCGTGTGAGGTAGGACTCACTGAATTGGCATCTCTACACCGTCTCCACAAAATGGTTCACATGGCTAACTCTCTTTCTTTTTTTAGATGACGTGGGGTCTGCAAGGTCTGCAAGGTCTTGATGTGAATGTAAAGCTCGCTGAAGTCTTTATGCGAGTCCGATTTATGAGGTGGCTCATCCTTCCCAACGAGGAAACGTTTGCTGGTATCCCGGGTATCCTGAGACCGACGACGGCACAAATGCGATTTCCCCACTCGGTGGCAATAGATTTTGTCCCAATACCGACGGTTCGGAATAGCCTAATCCGGAGACTTCAGGACTGGCAAACACCCTTGAGCAGGTCCAAGTATACCTGCAATTGGGATGAGAGCCTCGGTCCGGCCATCATTGCTGATCCTGCCACCGGACGGCGACATTTGAGCGCACAATTCGAAAAGCACATTTGCATCTATCAAAATTGGAGCGCGGGCAGAAGCATTCTCGACACCTGGCCAGAGCTATGGGGAGAGATGAAATTGGACTGAAGCTGCATAGGCTGTTGTCACATTCGTCCAGAGTTCTTGTATCATGCGAATACTGCACTCGGCGCGATTTTGCTCCGCTCCCCAGACGCAGAACGAGACTTTATTTTCCTAATTGGGGAATTTTCTGTAACGATCAATCCGCGGAGATAGAGCCAGCCGCCGAGGCCGCCTCCAAGATAGCACTAGCTTCCTCAGGGTGGACCAGGGCAAGGAGTGTTGAATAGCACAAGACTATACAACTGGTGTGATTGGGGGTTCGCAACTGATAAAACGGGGCAATGAGGGCACTCGTGCAGAAGCACGCCATCGTCTCGCAGAGATAGAAAGGTCAATGATATGCAGGAGCAGACCCTGTGACATAAATGGCTGATGCTCAAAGAAATTTCGAGATAGCTATATCGGACTAACGCGGTCACCGGCAGGATTGGAGCCCGCGGACATGCAGAGTATAGTGATCAAGATTGGGCATTCGAGGGCTTGCATTTGTGGTGCGCCCTTCCAACGAATACCAGAAGCTGGGAATGCTTCCCACTGTCTAACGTCGCGAGAACACCTATTCAGAGACCGGAGATTTGGGCCGAAGGCGTGGTCTGAGGTCGACGACTCTTCGTTTGAATGTCAGGCTGACTGCTACGAGTGCATTTTGCCCGACGCTTTTGATTCGCCGCAAACTGCTCCTGGATGGCGGATTATGTAGTTTGCACATGGCGGGTATGGCGGGGAATACGGGCGCTCCAAACCACGGGTCCAACGACAGGGAAAAGCAGGGGTTCTTCTTCACCTAGTGGCCAATAGTGACGAGCGGAACATGAGCGGCGATTGAGTGCCGTCTTGGGGATGCAAAGGGGATTTCCAGCACTTGCTCATTGGCGTCGAATGCGGGAGATACAAGAGCTAGCTTTCTTGCGCGAATTTTCATTGGGTCCGGCCTACTCACTAACTCGACACTGTAGGTTACACACAGATTGTCGAAGTCAACTTGCTGATGTGGAGATACAAGTCATTCCTCATATAGTTAATGACCAGCGGCGGGGAAAAACTAGAGGTTGGGAGTTATACCTCTTACAGTCTCACAAAACCAACGACGCTTTGGAAGCAGCTTAGAAACCTAAAACGAGTGGTCTCGACGTTCTTCTACGGCATCTCCCTATGGCAGGAGAGATGAAGTGGAGAGCCTTCGGAAGACACTTGCATGTGAAAGCTTTTGCTCCAAGTACGCCCAATCCATTTTGTGCCCGCGAGAGGCTTGATGCTTGATCATATCCCACGTTTTGGTTGGCTAAGGGTGACATCTGACCTACCCAGGCACCTAGGAGAGGTGTGGACAGACTCCACCTGACTTGTCATTTACAGAGTAACAGGGCATTGATCTCCTCTTCGCTCCATACCACCTCCTCCTCAGGGCGACGAGTTCGAGCTAAACCTAGGTCTCCACGCAGGATTTAGACCATATTATTCTGCCATCGGCAAACCAATGAAACTAATCGGACCGACTTGTGGCGCTGCTGCCCACCACGCACCTGCCTGATGGGGTGCAGGTGGTTAGCTGGCGCCCTGGCACCCTATGCCTTTTACTTTAGGAGATAGGCGAGACCCTGGTGCTCTCTAGGTATAGATAGGAAGGCAAACATCCAGAGAGTTTCTTCTGTGTCGTCGACATATTGGCAAGGGTCTTAGTCCACGGGTTCTGTTGCGAGCGCTGATTTCGACGTCCCTTGGATCAGCGTGCGGCCTTTCCTAGAGCATGGTTTGTGCTCCTTGGAGAGGGGTCGAGGATTTGCTCCAATTCAACGCGTCATATTCTTCATGCTTACGAAAAAGAACCCTGCATGGCATATGTGAGTCGAACCACCGGGGACCAATCGCATCTATTCCGATCTCGATTCTGTCAGTCATCCACTTTTGATTACCTTGTAGCTAAGACAGACGAGTGCTGAACCATCCCCGGTAATTTGTTCCTGCTGGTCCTCCTTGAACACAGTTATCTGATTGGTGGTCCCAAAGCGGTAAGACCAGGTTCTCAAGCATAGCCCTGTACCTGTATATTTGCCACCAAGCGCGGACCGACGTGCTCAGATGTTTTGCCACTAATAGCAATGGGCCATGGCACGCCTTATAAGTTAGGAGATCAAAATGAATATGAACATGGGCGGGTGCGGCTTGTTGCTCAATGCTTTCATAGACTCTTACGCAGTGTCCAATACCTCGGCCTTTCACTTAGGACAATCCCACTTCAACTTTTGAGTCAAGGGCATATTGCCCGAGCTCTTCCACAAACTCTCCGCAGATCTTCCATGACCTCTCCACAGGCTCTCTGCAGACTCTCTGCAGGCCAGGAGTTTCAGCAATTCAACTCGACTTACTCACATGAAACTACCTCCTCGTTCGTCTTCTGTAGCAAGAAGACCAAACCGTCATCTGTGTAATGATGCAACCAATGTCGTCTAAGACATGCGAACTGTGCAAACTCAGACACCAGAAATGCAGCAGAACAAGACCGACATGTGTCTACTGCCAGATCAGAGGCGTTGAGTGCATCTATCCAGACACACCAGCGAAGCAAGTCACTCGCCTCGCCACTCGTCCCCCAAGAGCGTCGTCGGACGTCGATGCGTCAGCCACAACATCAACAACGAGCAAAAGTCAACGAGTCCACGACACTGTTTTTGATTCTAAGGCTGCGAGCCAGCAAGTCAATTCATCACGAAATCCGGTACGTTGCCCATCCTTCAATCTCTGACTGTGCTAACTATTCGGAGGCCACTCTGAATTCGACGCCTGTAACCAACAAAGTCGTGATCGATACCCCCACCGAAACATCAAGCGACTTGTCAGCTCCAATCTGGCCTATAGAAACCGGGGCTTGTAAAGAAAGCTCTACGTCCTTTCTCCTTGACAGTCTGGCATCACTTTGGGCGGACAAGTCAAGTCTGGGCAAAGACCAAATTCTGAAAGGGAACAAATTCACAGAAGCCAGTACATTTACTCTGCCATCCTCTGCCATCTCAGCCCACAAAGGTCTCATCTCTTTAGATGAGCAGTTGCCCGACAAAGCTACTGCCACAGAATGGCTGAACACATTCTTGAGAGGGCCGAATATGTTATTCAGAATCTGTAACGAGACCGAGAGTTGGAGACTTCTGGATTCAATCTACATGAAAGAGGACATTGATGATCCGTCGAAATGTTCTATCTGGCTTCAGCTAGCTGCTGGTTGCCGATTCACGACGGGAACCGACGAGGAAAGCTATATTACCTTGTTTGAGAGTGGCCACCAGTACCTAGAATGGTGCATCGAGCAATCAGAAGAGGTAGATCCAGTCTGGGTTGTGCCTCCAATGCTGCTCAGTTGCCTCTATTTTATGGGCTCTAAACCAAAGACTTGTTGGCTTACCCTTGGTGCGGCGATACGGCTTGCTCAAGTGCATAGCCTAGATCGGGAAAAAGAATACTGCCCAAGGTTTTCAGAGGATGAATATGAGCGTTGGAGCCAAGTTTGGCGAGCCATGATCTTCTTCGATGCGTATGATGTTTCGCACTCAATTAACGTTACATTTACTCATCACTAACAGATGGCTATCCATCACACTTGGAAAACACCCACAAATCAGCCAGAAGACAACACAGGACTCATTTGTGAATGTAAGAAGGTCTCACGAAATCGGAATTGGATATGTCACTGATGAATCCAGATGTCTCTTGAAGAATTTGCCCTTCCTAACGCCAGCATCGAAGTCAACATTGCGAAATTAAGTGTTTTAATCTGCCGCTTTCTGGTAAGACTATGCCAGGGTAAAATGAGTTCCAAGACGCAAGAAGTATTCTTCCATGCGCTTGAAGAATGGGCCTCGAATCTACCACAAAATCTGCGCTACTTCCCAGATATGTACGACCCAGAAGCGTCACAAGCCGACGAAGTGGGCTCTGTAAGTAAGCATTCAAAGAGGAGAAGCAACTTGGAAACTAACCACACAAGCTTTACCTGGAAACATTCTACTTTGCATCCGTCATGACATTGACCAAGCCAGAGGTTTTTGCGTCATTGTCTACCAAGAGGCAACAAATCTCGTCGCACAGTAGACTCTTTTCTCAAGCATGGTATGATCACTCCAACTACCGAAATGCTTCCGCTAAGTTCCTCGTCTCTCCAGCGTTGATGCTTCCGCCCAGATCGGTCATTCAGCATCAAGGATACTTGAACGTGGCTTCCTCTTCAAGAGGTCCTGGCTCGTTACGTGAGTGTCTTTGCCGCATTGGATTGCATATTATTGCTAACAAGTTGCTTCCAGGACCATAGTATATCATGCTGGACTAGTGCTTGCCTTGAGTCTTTCGGTGCAAAAGACGTCCCTCCGCTACAATCTAAATTCTCCTGGAAGTCATCATCCGAAAAAGAAGGGCCTTGCGGCGGTCACGGATGTCCTGTCCTCCTGCGCCTCTCACAATCCTTTGGCCCGGCACAATCACGAAGTATTATGTTATTTTCGAGAGCTGATTGAGAGCTACGAAGGACTCGAAAATGTGAGCCCGAGCCATAGCAGCGGGCGCGAGCTCTTTGGGACACCTCACACGCAGGCCACACCACCGTCGTTCAGGGAATCGAGTATGGCTACCACAAGTCCTTCCTCTCTTTGGTGGCAGACATCATTGGATGGACTGACTTCAACATCTTCTCGATCGGACTCACACTCATCATATGGAATCCTGGCGGGACCTGACCAGGCTATTTCTGCACAGAACGAATTATCTGGATCTGCAGCCGCGAACTATCACCAAGGGTCAGTATTAGATCCAACATGCCTTGGATGGGCGACTCCATTGCCGAATAACGGATCGAATTATTCCTACTCCAACAAGCTAAGGTCACAGCCAGGCTCCACAAACCCTGGCCTAGAACATTACAAGCCATACATGGAGAACTTTTGGTCTGCCGAAGCATTCGACTTTGCACAACAAGCAGAAGCCCAGGGTGCTGTGCATAGTTGGGAGTTAGATAGTGGTGGTTGAATGCCTTATTTATGGTACGCATTCCAAGAATCACCGAGTGGGGGTACGGAACTGGTCCTTTTCGAAGATGTGAAAAACCGAATACGGAACCGAGAGGCTGGGGTATGGGACCACTCACAGGCTCAGGGCCGTGCTCATGCTGTTCAAGACACGTCTCAGGGCTCACCCAACCAAGCTCAGGACGGCACCGCCATACCTCCCGAATTCCTTAGTCATGGCTCAGTCAAATGGCGAGTTGCTCAGATCTAGCAACTCAAATGGAATGTACTGAGGTCAATTTTGGCCATAGTATAATAAAGAGCTATTTACCCCGATGTGTAACATAATCAAAAACGTGCCAACTGAGAGAATGAGCCGACAAGAACCTTCACGTCAAATACACAACAAGAACCTTCTTTTGTCGTCATACACTTGTTTTGTATTGTCTCCCAACAAACCGACCGATCATGGCGACCCAATCCTGCACACGTTGCATGTGGTATAGAGACCACTCAGAGAATGTACGTGAAGTCAAGGCTCTGATCTCCTTCCTTTTCATTGGTGGTAGCCCCTTCAGCAATCATCTTCGTCTTCTTGGCATTTCTCCTCCTGAGTAGGAACCAGCACGAGGCATAGAGAAACCCAGCGACGATTGTGAGACCAGCCGAAATGGAGTTGCCGGGGACGTATCGCGGACCTTGCTGACTTGGATATAGCTGTCCGGAAATAAGGTTCGACACGTTGGCTAGGCTGTAGGCAAAGGGCTGACCTATTGCACGCTTCGAGTCGGGTGCTAGGTTCGTTGTGATCCACGTTACGGCCAAAGTGGAAATGGGATAAAGCCCTGGTGAATGGTGAGAAGTGTCTATGGATGAATAGCCGACATGGACTCACCTATGACGAGGACAAACATGCCGGCATAGCCAACATCGGGGTTCTTGGACCACACACACATGAGATAGCCAATAGCGACAGGGACACAACATCCCACGATGAAATATGCTCGCTTTCGGAGCTTGTCCGAATAGTAGACCTGGACTGTAAGGGAGATGGCGCCAAGGACATAGACCGGGATGGTCATATAATTGACCTTGAGGGAAGCAAAGCTGCAAAACAGTCAACCAGAGAAGGTTTCCAAAGGCATCCAACACCAGAACTTACCCAAGGCCGTCGATGATGGTGGGTAAGAAGACTCCAAATCCGTTGATGGCAACCGACGAAGTGAAGAAGGCAAGACCAAGCATCCAAACAAAGGGGTCGGTCAGGGCGATCTTGATCCACTTGCGCTCGAACGTCTTTTCTCCTCGGATGATGTAGTCTCGCTCCTTTTTCATTCGCATAGTCTCCTTCTCTTCCTCGTTGAGAAACCATGCATTCTCGACCTCGCCTGGCAGGAAGACTAGACCAATACCGCAGATGACCACGGTGATACAGAACTCAATGATGAAGAGCCATCTCCACGCCGCGAGACCGTGCCGTGTTCCCATCGTTTGGACGGCGTACGCGAAGAGCCCGCCAAAAGCACCAGAGATACACTGGGCGAGGTTCGTAGTCATGATCCGCTTTCCTGCCAGCTCGCGCGGATAGATTGTTGAGAATAGGAAAGCGAATGCCTGTGCGAGACCGGCCTCGGCGGCATTCAGCAACATGCGACAGGCAATCGTCTGGCCGTACGTTTGGACGAACGCCGTCCCGAGCGTGCAGATGCTCCATAGGACGAACGCAGTTCCGATTGCCTTTTTGGCACCCCATCGCCGGGTGGCCAGGACCCAAGGAACTTCGAAGAGAACGGTACAGACGCTAGACAGCGTCTGGATGTTGCCGAACTGGCCGCCTTTTAGTCCGACATCTTTGTCAAAGCCAAAGACACGGGCATTTCCAAGCTGTAGAATAATCAGCGAGATGATATAGATATACCTCACCACCAGCAGGCTACTCACGTTGTTGCGGTCAAGCGTAGACATGACAAGATAAATGACCGAGATTGGTACGACATAGATGTCAAACTTCCTGCGCACTGCTGCCTCCCGTGCGGGATCAATGTATAGGGTGGTGGTGGTGCCAAGGGCATGGTCTTCAGCAATGCTGGGGGTCTCAATCACTGTATCCTTGGCCATCTTCTCCATTTTCATGTCCATTTCTGAGTTAGGTTTGAGTGCAAGACTTGTCCGAGAGTATAGTTCACGATACCAAATAGACTGGCTTGTTGAAGGAGAATGAGTGACCAGCCCGTTGGAGTCGTCGCGACATTAAATACTCCATCGTCTTTCATGATGTCGCAGTAGAAGTGTCTCTTTGCACATATTCGTATCTGCTTTTGCTCAGGCAAAAGTTGATAAGACGTTAACAGTAGGTTGATCGACTATTATCGATAGATGATAGTATTAACCAGAACGGATCTCCGCCGACGCCCACAAATAATGACTAGATGTACTACCCCGGCAGTCAAATCAGCATCCAGCCTCCGTTATCAAACTCCCGCGCCTTTCGGGTTTTCCCGACGGCACGTCGCATTATCCCAATTTATCTAGCCCGCTCGCGCCACTTCTTACCAGACATCATTTTCTTAATCGTCTCTATACCGGAATTCTGGTGTCCAACGTATACAATGCGGCGCGTTGAACAGAGAAGCAGGGGCGGGGGTAATGCATGCCAGAGGTGAGTCGGATAGAGTATCGGGGCAAAGTCGCAATTGGAATCTTATCGGTGCGCAGGTGTCGTCGGAGAAAGCAGAAGGTATCACCAGGAAACCGATATTCTGTGGCTTGAAGTGACTGATGACACGGTCAATCTGTTAGTGCGATCAGAGATATCCGCAATGTTCCAATTGCGAAAGCGTCAACGCTCCCTGCCTCACCTATCATTCTGGGAAACAGGCCGAAGTAAGGACTATCTTCCCCTTGAGGTCCGACATTCTAAGCTTGCTGATAGCCTGAAAGATTCCTCGGGACTACGTCTCCAACTTGGAAGAGCAGATTACGGTGCTCACTCGGGAGGTTCAGGACTTGCGGGAACACGCACGGGGCAACTCAGCAGCAACAGACAAAAACGTTGCAAACACTGTAATAGCCTCCCAGTCGGCCCGGGAGACAGGCATCTTTCCTACCTTTGATGAAGGCTCGCCTGTTTTCCAAGACTTGGTCACAAAAGTCAAAAGCGTCGTCGTTGAACCTTTCCAGCAGACACGGTTTTTGGGACAAAGCAGCGGCATCTCCTTCGCCAAAATGGTTCTGGCAGCCATTCATGTTGATAGCCTGTCCTCACCACTTGCTCCGGGGCAACATCCTTCTTATAAATTCTGCCTGATCGAACCATCCTCTCCGGACAAAGCCTCACTGCCACCACGCCATGTTGCAGATCACCTAGTCGACGTTTACTTCCAGTATCGTACACCTCATCTGCCAATTCTAGATCGTTTGCAAGTAAGCAAAGCCATCGACAGCGCATATCGTTCCCTCGGATCAAGCCAAGGATCAATTGAGGTACCTGAGAGGGACATGTTCATAGCGTATATGGTATTCGCCATCGCTCTGGTTGACGTCCCTCATACGTCCGGGGGCCGACCAAGCCAAAGCGACGGATGTTTCCGTTCGGCACTCAGCTGGGTCGAAAAAATCCTCACATACTCCAAGAGCGACGTCGAAACTCTCCGGATTGTGCTTTTGCTGGCCCAATTCGTTGCTCTGTCGCCTTCTCGGGGAAGTCTTTGGCATCTAACAGGCTTCGCTTTGCGTCTTTGCATCGACGTAGGCCTACACTGGGAAACTGAATCACAGTGTCTCAATACGGATCCAGACGTATTGGACGATCGGAGGCGCCTATGGCAGTCCACATATCATTTCGACCGCCTCCTATGCATCACTCTCGGCCGCCCATTCGGTATCCTCGACGAAAGCACGCGTGTCCAGCTTCCGAATCCATGGACGGGATGTCGTCCTGGACGACAACAACAACCTAGCGAATTCGACATCCACGCTCAGCGAGCTCACAACCACTTGTTCACGCTGGCCCGACTGGAATCAGAAATCAAGCACGTACAACATGGCCAAGTTTGGGCTCTAAAACCGGCCTATCCTCGGCCCAGCTGGAATGCCTGGCTACGGGACATTCAGCCCCGTTTGCAGGAATGGAATGCGACCGTTCCCGAACCTAGCAAAGCACATCCGTCTTCGATATTCGCCTCCCAAGCCTACTGGGAGGTGATTTACCAAAACGCCATTCTGCTACTCTATCGTCCGCACGCGGGTGTCAACACGTACCGGTCAGTAGAAGAGCTGTTCATCACCTTTGAAGCTTCTTCCAAAGTCATCGCCGGGCTCAAGGTCTTGCAACGTGAGGGAAGAGTTGAAATGTTGTGGAAATCAGTGCATCACCTCTTCTTGGCTGGGCTAGGAGTCGTATACGGCCTCTGGCATTCGAAGGAAATTCGCAAGCAAAATCCTGTCGGTAAGAGTATTTCCACACTCCAATCCTGCGCATCGACTCTCTCGGCCATGTCAGAGACCTTCCAAGGAGCGGTGGGGTGTCGGAATGCCTTTGATACGCTATCTTCCGTGACAATCGATTGGCTAGTCACCAGAGATATTGAAGAAGTACACCAAAACCGGGTGGAATTCGAGAATCACGTAAGAGAGTTGACGAAGCAATTGCAGCTCTCCCGCGATGGTGGCACAGCGATGACCAATGTCCATCATGGGGCGGCCGACAACATGTTAGCTGTCCTGTCCACTGATAACTTTGACCTCGGTGAATTGCTCAATACGGCGGCGCAGTGGCCCGATCTCGGCGAGTTCAACTTCATCATGGGAGAGCAAGGTGCCATGATGGACACGGTCACTTGACCCTGCTGCTACCGGCGCCGTATAGAATAAGTGCTAAGTAGCAACACTGAATGTCAATACAAGATCGCTTCTGCGCCTCCCGCAGCTCCGGGTTTATGGTCGACGTTTCTCTGTAGTACGCACTCTGGGTAACCTGTCCTTAGGTGATCATTTCCATCGCGATGAAGATATCGGGATAGTGCGTAGCGATCACCTTGACAGAGGGATTATCTGCTCGGAAAATCCCGACCCTCGGAGCGCGAGCGATAGAAATCTGTCAGATCGGCATATCCCGATTCAACACGCCCGATATTTCGAAACGAGACCTTGGACAGACTTTTCGAAGAGAAAAGTCGTACGACGGCGCAATCAAGTATGGCGATCATGCAGTCAAAGGTGCATTATGATATGGATTCTGCTAGAGGACCTTGGAACTCTATCTGAAAGGTCCGCGGCCACTGATAGCAATATCTGTATTGTGCGCGAGTCTGGCGAGGCTGCGTGGCAGCCTTGCGATCCTTGGCACTGTTGGTGACTAATCCGAGACCGTTACAAAAAGCGAGGAAACACATTGCGGCTCAGATCTCTATCACATTGCCCGACCAACTGCTTTCCGTTGCCATTGCTCGACTTGGCTCTATTGAAGTGAGAACTCGATAAGTAAATCCAGGTTATATATTACAGTGCATAATATATTCTTCTTTCATTCAGCACGGCGAGCGATCCAATATCCTTTTGTTATCTCAATCACGAAGCCTTCGCTAGAACCATGCCTGATCACCAAATTTCCGCGTCCGTGCGCATCAACTACACAATCCACGCCCCAACGACGACCACCACCACCACCAAACCGTGGGTCGTGCTGATAAACGGCCTCGCTGATCCACAGACGACGTGGGCCGCGCAGGTCCCGGCCTTCACGCGCGCGGGGTACACGGTGCTCACGTACGACAATCGGGGGGTGGGGCTGTCGTCGCGTCCGGAGACCGACGACGAGGTCTACACGGCCGAAACCATGGCGGCGGATCTGCGCAGCCTGGTCAAGGCGCTCAACTTGCACACCGCCGCGCCGTACCACGTCATGGGCGTCAGTATGGGCGGGATGATCGCGCAGACCTACGCGCTGCTCTATGGCGGGGTCGAGGGGGCGTTGTCTGGGCCTGGTGTGAAGAGTGAAGGGAAGAGCGAAATCGCCAGCCTCACCCTCGCGTGCACGTACGCCGCGCCGGGCCCCTTCTGCGGCAGGATGTTCGCGCTGTGGCGCGACATGGCCCGGCGTATGTCTATCGCCGACGTGATGCGCGACGTCGCCCTGTGGGCCTTCACACCGGCCTTCTTCACCGACCCGGCCACCCGGGATGACGTCGCTGCCATGGAGGCTGAGATGGCCCGGATCGATAGCGACATGGGCCTACGGGCTTATCTCGCCCAATTGAACGTCATTACCGGGTTTGACACCAAGGCCTCTGTGGGACAATTGGGAGAAACGACGTCGGGGATGGAGGTCATCGTGCTCGCGGGTGAGGGCGACATCTTGATTCCCGTATCGCTGTCGAAGGAGCTGCACGCCCTCATCCCAGGAAGTCGCTTCCGGACCACCAGGGGAGGTCACGCCTGTATGTGGGAGTTCTCGGACGAGTTCAACCAGGCGTGCCTGGAAGAGTGGAGAGACGCGGAAGCCAGGATCTGGCCCACTAACAAGTCGTGAATCAGACTCGTGGTTCCCCTGAACAGGTGGTCACGCAGCCACACTGTCCGGTCTTCTGTGTTGCATTGCGCTTCTGTCTGCGTTTGATTTGTGCCATCTTGTGTTTGCTGCGGCGACTGAATGACCCACAGATACTGGTGAAAATATTCCCGTTGCAGCTCAGATACTTCTTTTGTTGCTGTCTCTGCTGCTGCTGCTGCCACCCTGCTCATTGCACGAGTCTGAACCCGCGATCCGTCTTCTCCCACTTCACATCCATCTGCTCGGCGATCCTCAGCACCTCCCTGGGACTGTGGACGTCGGTGACGACGGCACGGGCGTCGCTGGTCAAGGGGTGCGAGAAGGCGGCCAGACTGTTACCCTTCCACAGCAGCGTCTTGTCGCGGGCGGTGGCGGCCATGGTGCCGACCAGCAAGATCAGGGCCAGACCCAGCAGCGCCGCAGGCAGCGCGACCCAGCCCCATCGCACCTGGACGTGCGGCTTGTCCTGGTAGACAGCGCCCAGACCCGCGGGGATCGCGTCGGTGGTGTACGAGTACGAGCGGATGGTGTCGCTCATGGACTTTGCCAGGCTGGCGAACATTTGCGTGAACTGCTGGAAGGGGTTCTGCTCGAAGAATAGCGCCCACATGAACAGCGCAACCGAGGTCGTCGGCTTGTTCTCCGGCGGCGTCCCATACTCCAGCACCTGGCCCAGCCACTGCGTCGAGAAGAAGTCTCGGATCAGCCCCAGGTTGTTGCTCTGGTAGAGATTGGCCGAGTCCGCGTTTGAGTGATTAGTCCAGGACGCCGGTGGTTCCAGAGCGTACACGCCTGTAGCAGAGTCATACCGGCCGGTCGTATACATGTCGACGACCCGCTCGCTCAGCGTGCCACGCGACACGGACGTGTTGAACTTCTGCACACAGTAGTAGACACCGCATTCAAAGGCCTGCTTGTCCGCAATGCCCATGATGTCGCTCGCCGCCGTCGCGTCCCCCTTCCCATCGACCGCGGGGCCCCATGTGGTCTGGATGATGGAGAGCACCGAGAGGGCTGTGTCTGCGTCAAAATGGATCGAGTTCCCAGTATTGCTCGAGATGTCGATGGATGAGTAGTTAACCGCGGGCACGCCAGACACATTCAGTCCGTTGGGCAGCGTGTAGTTGCAGTAGGGCAGGGAGACGTTGGACGCCGGATGGACCCCGTCGTCCTGCCCTGGCACCAGCGCTGTGCCACAGGACTTTTTAAGGGAGGCTGTCACATCGTGGCATGCGCTGCACACGGCCATCGACGTGTACGTTTCAAGCCATGTGCAGTTCCCTGTCGGGCACGAGACGTTCTTCATCTGCGACAGCTCCGTGTACTGATAGATGCCCGAGTATATTGCTCCCACCATGTCGTTGGAGAGACTGGTAGCTAGAAAGCGCCCAGCCCGGTCAGTTGGCTGGGCAGAATAAGGGGATGTTGGGGTCAAAGCAGGGAGGTTAAGAAGGAGATGGGCGGAATACTCACTGAGAGAGTTGCTGCCCCAGTCCAAATTCGTCCTCTGGATCCGTGCAACGTCCACCTGGACCGGCTGCAGCGGGTAGACCACCAGAGCTTGAAACGAGAATCCCGTCCCCAAGGCGGCGATCACGATCACGGCTCCTAAACACGCGAGGCGTCTTTGTCCCCCTGATTGTCAGCTCCAAGGATCCTGTTTCACGAGGAGAGGGCTTCCTGCTTTTTCAGCTTACCGGCAACGCAACGTCCACAAGAGAATCAGCGACCCCAAGGGTCCACGAGACGCCGACTCGAACTTTTGGAAATGTGCCAGCGGCCGGCGGCCTTTCTGAAACCAGATCCATTTCAACTGGCTGATGCTGGCGGCCACGGGAATCAAGAGGCCTGAGTTAAAGGCTGTTGCGAAGACGGAGATGATGGTGTTGATGGTCAGCCCGAACGTCTTGCGGTATCGCCCGCGGCCCACGTGCAGCGTCCACGTCGGCGCCTCTCGCCCATTGTGCACGGCGAGCAGTGCAATCGTGCCCACCAGGCAGCCCAGCGCCAGAGTCCAGCCGAAGAACTCGAACAGCCAGTACCGCTCGACGGCGTTGAGGAGCTTGCTCTTCAGGTCGCGGTTGGGAGACGTCGTCTGGATGCCTTTCTCGGAATCTGGTGGGGGATTTTCTGGGACATCGGTGATCTTGACGTGGCCTTGTCGTTTCGAGCTATCGAGCACCTCCATTGGGAATGCCGTCATGGTTGTGCTGTCGTCGTCACTACTGGTGATGGTGGTGGTGGTACTGCTACTCCAGGGCCGCGTGTACAACAGCGCCTTTCCGGCGCCATATTATCGAGTCCTCGGTACCGTCCCTGAGAATCACCACACTTGGCTTCCTTGACGTGCCTGACAGATCCTCGTATCTGGACATCAACGGCGACACCGTGGTGGCGTCGAGTTTGGGTAGCTGGATGCGGGGGCCTCTAACGAGCAATAGTTATCCGAGACAGCGGTAGCATGATAGTGGATATGTTATCGGGTAACGTCCCCACTCATATTTCCCGAAAAGGGGAGGCATGGCTTGGAAGAGATGGCAGAAGTGGAAATTAACACGATGAGGCTCAGGGCGCGAGCGTGGTCCCTGTTGGTCTGGACTCAATGTGCGGAAAAGGGGTGGATAGCGTGTGGATAGCGGGTGGGTCAAGCATTGTCTCCACCTTCCCGACTAGTCGCTATAACAGAAACAAGGGCCCCGAGAAAATCCTTAACATCCACGCTTTTCCCATCACCCATGGTCTGGCTACGGCCAAGCAGTGGAGTCATAGAAACCCTACGAGTGCTCGGCTGCCCTTTTGGAGCAAACTTCGACGCCGTCATCGGCACCAATTGGCTGGTAAGAGCTGCTATGTTTGGCAAAGCAGGCCTCGCTAACTAACATCGCCCGAGGACTTTTGTGCCCCAAAGTACGAGAACCTGTCCACTCAACCCCTTGTTCGCCACGTGTGATACCGGCAAACATGGAGCTCGCCATCGTTCTGGTCCCTGATCTACCCTCTCTCTCTCCTGGGCAAGTGAGATCTTGTGCCCACACGGTGTCGTCCAGGGCCATTTCTCCCGGCGGGTCTTGGAGTTTAGTTCAGGTCATAGCTCCTGCGTTTGTCTCTGTCCATTTTCCTTGCGTGCTTGTGGCTTGCTGGACTGTGGTCTTGTGCTGTTCTCGGCGCATCTGACTTGAAACCTTGTCACCGCATTAAGGGAGAAAGGTCGGGTTGTGGCTCCGAACGAGAAAACGTGAAAATCATGGCGTGGAGATTTGCCGGCCTGGAACGGTTGTCGCGTGTGTGCGGTGCGGGACGGCTAGAAAGGTAAGAAGCTCTCTTTTCTCCCTGAGATGAGTGCCCCGTTTATAACTACTTGTATTCTTCGACCTCGGGTTCTGGTGGGTTTTTGCTTCTCTCAGAAAGTACTCGGTACACCCTTCAGGTCGAGCTCCAACACCAATCCTTTGACACGGATCAATCCAAGATGGCCGTCAAAGACGCCATTGTGACGGTACAAGATGCCATTTCCGATTACCAGGACAAACAGTCGACGCACTATGCCAACCAGAGTATCGAGATGACACGGCAGTCGTCAAGTCCCATAAACAGAGCCGCTCCTCCTTACCAACCTCAAAGACAACTCTCTGATAGTGATCCGGATGATGAAGGATTGACACAACTAGGTTTGAAATGGAAGCGGATCAGGAGGAACGTGCTCCTACGGTACATCATCTACATCGTCCCCGTGGCCATCCTTCTGGCCATCCCGATCGTTCTCTGCGCCACAGTATACAAGGACAAGAAGATCAAGTCCAGTTTCAAAACCTCGTCCACAGCCCAAATTGCCACATCAAATGTCACCCAGACCGATCCCGTGCACGGCAACAGCACCAGCGATATCACTACGCTATACAACACGACCTATGAAAATGTCTACCAGGTCACCACCCACGAGGAGCACGGTGGGATTCGTCTCTTGGGTCTCTTCATCTGGATCGAAGTCGTCTGGGTATTCCTGTGGATTGCCAAACTCTTGGCCCAGGCGGTGCCGATCGTCTTCCAAACCGTTGGCGGAGCCATCCACACGGGTATCCGCAAGTACTGGCTCGTGCTCAAGGCGGTGGAAATTCCATTATCGCTCTTCTTCTGGGCCATCTTGTCGATCTGTTCGTACTCGCTCATCTACGTGTTTGACCAGGAGTTCCACAAGGAACACGCTGGGAACATCACGTGGCTCAGCACGCTGCACAAGGTGCTCAAGGCGACCATTGGTGTCTCGGCGCTCTACCTGGTGGAGAAGATGCTCATCCAGATGGTCAGCGTCAACTACCACGGCAAGCAGTTCTACGACAACATCAAGGAGCTCAAGACGCTCAGCCGCGCCATCGAAACCATGTACGATGTCTCGCGTCAACGGTTTCACGACAACCACCCGTCCTTCATGGAGGAAGACCTGGATATCCACGACACCAAGGGATATCGCAAGGACCGGCTAGGACGGTTGAAGAGCAAGGACCAGTCGACGGCCATTTTCATGACCAATCTCGGGAATGCCGCTGCCAATGCCACTTCTGTGCTCGGATACCTCGTCAGCGACATCGCCGGCAGACAAGTCCTCATGCCCACCGCATCCGGCCCCGTTGTCGAGGCGGCGCTCGAACGGCCCGTCAGCGCCGAAGCCCTGGCCCGCCGGATCTGGAACTCGTTCACCAACTTTGGAGAGATCCAGTTGGACCAAGCCGCCATCACCACCATGATGGGCGCCGGCCGCGAAGCTCAAGCCGCCTACATCCACTCCAAGGTCGACGCGGACGAGAACGGCGACGTCACCATGGAAGAGATGGTGGATCTGGTGAAAAAGGTCGCCAACGACAGGAAGACCATCTGGGAAGGGGCCAACGACGTCAAGGACGCCATCAAAGTGCTGGACCGCGTCCTTGCAGTCATCGTCTTGATCTTTGTGTTCCTCATCTACGCCGCTTTCTTCTCCAATTATCTCGCCAACCACTACACCCAGATCTGGTCGACCTTTACGGGGTGTTCGTTCCTGTTCTCCAGCACGGCAGGTGAACTGTTCGCGGCGTGTATCACCGTCTTCATCAAACACCCTTACGATGTGGGCGACCGCATCAACGTCAACGACGTCGACATGGACGTCATCAAGATCTCGCTTCTCTACTCTGTTTTCAGAGAGGTGCAGTCCAAGCAGCAGATCCAGATCCCCAACAGCGTCATCAACGGCGTGTGGATCAAGAACCTCACCCGCTCGAAGGAGCTCCGGGAGCAAATGACGTTGAATGTGTCCGTGGGGACCTCGTTCGAGGACATTGAGACCCTGCGCGGCGAGATGCTCAAGTACGTGGCCGAGCACAAGCGGGACTTCATGCCCGCGGTGGACATCCAGTTGATGTCCATTGCGGACCTGTCCAAGCTCGAGCTGCGCGTCGAGTTCCAGCACAAGGGCAATTACGCGAGTGACTTTGTCCGCGCCCAGCACCGCAGCAAGTTCGTGTGCGCGCTGCTGTCGGCCGTGCGGAAAGTGCCCATCGACGGGCCCGGTGGCGGCGGCCCCGCCGCCGGATCGATGGAGTCGCCCAGCTACACGGTCGCCATCACCGACGACGTGGCCAAGGCGGCCAAGGCCGTGTTTGACGACAACAAGGACAAGAAGCGCATGATCCCGAAGAACAGCCCCCAAGCCAGTGAGATCGGCGTGGCCGTTGGAGGGCCTCAGGGCAGTACGGCTCTGCAAGTCCAGTCTGCCCTCATTCGAAGTCGGACTGGCGGCGGGCCTCGGGGATCTGATGACTTTACCAATGTCCCTTTGCGTCTATAACAGCGCCCACGCCCTATCTTGAGGGGTCTTTTTTTGGGCGAGGACACGGACGGATCTGATTCATGAGGGGATTTGGGGACGCTTATCTTGACGCGTTTGGCGGGGAAAAGGCTATTATATTATGCCATGGATTAGAAATTTTGTCGGTTTTTAGAACTTCCTCGGCAAGCGCTGGTGTACAGTATTTCTAGCATGGGTTTGTGTTATCAGGTATATACCATTTGGGTTTGTTGGTCTAATGACAGTCAATGGTCTTTTGAGTATCTCCCCCAGAAGTACTCTCTGAATCGAGAATTGGTGCTCTAATATCATATACTTTTCTATTGCTTACTTCGTACGCGAGCAATCCAAGTATGTACCTAGGTCAAGCGGCGAGGCTGACGAGGCTGACGAGGCTGCACAGGTAAAAGGTAATTGGTGGGACGGGTTGGCAACGGGGCAAATTCTTATGTCATCAGCCGAGGCATTCAATCTTGAAAAAGCTGTATGAGGCTCAAGGACAACTTCTGGGGAAAGTAGAGTACCATAATTACGTGGTACGGAGTAGCGCACGAGCCCCTAACGAGCACCCAACGACTGACTCTCGAACCAGTCTATCCATCCATTGATCCATCCTATCCTCCAGCAGCTGACAGGCCTGCAGCGCGTTCCTGACCTGTTGTACCGGTGGTGTTCCGACGAGGGCGGAGTATCGGAACCGACCTGAAAGCGCTTATTTTCTCACTCGCTCCATCCGGGGTTCGCATATTCGAAACTGAGAAACATCTCGTTCATTTTCGTTCGGTTTGATCCTAAAAAAACAAGGATAGTGCATTTCTCCACCGAGAGTGTCTCGATCGACGGATCCGAACACGAACACGACACAAATCACACGACTTGGGCTCGGTATATACTGAGGGCTGAGGGACTCATCTAGATCGCCGTTTTTTCGAGGATTCAAGGATGCTGGGCTTGGATATCGCAGCGAAGCGGAGGCGTAAGATTGAGGACTATCCGTACAGGTTGGAGTATCGCACGAGATGGTAAGAGCATCCCTACCACACCTGTATCACGAGCAGGATCAGGAGCACCGGCATCAGGATCAGCACGAGCACGAGCACTAGAACATCACAGCACAGCCCCCTCCCATGGCTCAGTGGTATGAGGCTAGCTATCATGTGGCTAGCATCTTCCTACTCAGACCATCGAGAAACCCCTCCTGCACACACACACATCTCCATCTCCTTCATCATCTCCATCTTCTTCCTATTCTAACCCTTTTCCCCTCCCTCTTTCGGGGGTGGTCGTCTCTAGGTCCGACAACGACGTCTACGGCCACATGAACAACCCCTACTACGGGGTGCTCTGCGACAGCATCGCGAACCAATACCTGATCGAGAAATGCAACTACAGCATGCACAAGTCCCCGCAGTCGGGCATCATCGCGCACACCTACTTTGACTATTTCGGGTCGGTCGAGTACCCCGGCGTGCTCGAGGTCGGGCTGCGCGTCGCCAAGCTGGGGAAGTCCAGCGTGCTGTATGAGGTCGGTGTGTTCAAGAAGGGCGACGCCGTCGTCAAGGCTGTGGGTGGGAGTATGCACGTTTGGGTGAGTAATGATGGAGGGGTGCTGGGGAGGCCGGCCAAGGAGGGCATGCCGGTCGAGGTGAGGAGGGCGTATGAGGCGTTGATGGACCCCGAGGACCAGGCGAGTAGTGATGGAAAGATGGATGGAGAGGCGGACAAGAGGAAGGCGAAGTTGTGATCGAGCTGGAATGGACTGGACTTGCGGATAGTTTCAATCCATGTGAGGGGGGGTTGTATTTTACAGATTCGTTACCTCCCATCACGGCAATCGGGTAGAAACATAAATACTCATAAAAATGATAGAACCTGCATCCCATCCCGTGGCCACGAAAGATGTGTTCCTCTCCCTCAACCACAGGGTGAGCTTTCTTCGCCCTCACCCTCCACCTTTCCCCTCCGACTCCCAGGATACCTATTTGACGTGCCCTGCACCATCATCCGCCCAGTGATGCGATCATCTACCACCACTACTGCATAACTACTGATACCGCGCTACTGTGACCAAGTCACCGCCGCCATCAACCCCCCAAACGCCGTAACCATGCCCGTCGCGCGGTCCCCATGCCTCACATACCACGCACTAGAAGCCCAGTACAGCGCCACTGTCAAGGCCGTGATGGCGCGGTCGATTGCCGTCCACTGTGTCGCCGGGTCGCGCTGCGAGAGCTGATAGGTATACAGCGCGGTGATGCCGAAGAAGACGCTGCCTTGGTACCAGCCCGCTTTGGCGTAGCAGCGCAGGAGCGCGGGAAGAGAGGTCCATGCGGGGAGGGAGAAGGTGTTGAGGCCGTGGACCTAGATTGAGTTAATCTGAGTGGAGGGAGGCAGGGAGGGAAGAAGGCGAGGGTGGGGAGCGTGATGAATGGTAGAAATAAGATGCGAGAAGAAGGTAAGGACGGTGGGTTTATCATGGCGTGGGCCGCGTGTGATGATGAAACTTCTTTACTTACAGTATGCCCAACAGCCACGAGGGCGTGGGTGATGCTGGCGGCTAGCGCGACGCGAGACATTGCTCAATGTTTATATCTTCCCTCTTCCCTTTCTTCTTTAGCGTGATGATCAGTGCGAAGTTGGGGAACAGGCGCTGGCTTACAAGTCAAGTCAGTTACTGTGGACAGATGATAAAATCTGGACGTCAACAAACAGGAGACAACAGACCAAACTTCAAGAGACGAGACGAGAGACCACCTGCAGATATGTACTTGCAGAAGTCGAGGTGTAAATGAGGTCGACTGATTGATTTGGCTTCCGAAGTGAAGTGTCAGACCTGCAGTTCTCCTCTTGCGTTCATCTTACAATTCGGTCAATCATCCGCAACGGAACCGAGGCTGCGAGGCTAGTGAGGCTTTCGTGCGTAGCCAAAGGACGCACCCTCGCGGAACGATATTTGCACCGAACAACCCTGAACATTGATGCTGACGACTTTAAAGTCGAATACGATTCCAAGGTGACTTGTACACACTATAGTCCATATGAAAGCGGCTAGGCCAGCCCAAGATCAGACAGACACGCTAGAATTCCCTCAGTCCAAACGCTGGAATATTCAACCATACATGCACAGTGCACCATAAGACTACTACTCTGCTTCTATCCTCGTCGCGAAGGAACCCAAGTTTCGCTAGAGGCCCTGCGCTCCTGAGCCGCCAACTTCGCAACCTCCTGTTCGAATTTTGTGAATGCCGTGCTGGTCCCTCTCCAAGAACCACGCGATGCTCGTTTCTTCGGCCGTACCGATGAGCTCTTGGTAGTATTGGCAGTCTTGGCAGTCACCTGTCTTGGTCTGCTCTCTGTTGCACGGTTTTGTGGCTTGACGAATAGACCCGGTGAAGGTTCAAGAGGCTCTGGTGGGTTGGGTGTGGGAGGCATCGAGGTCTTGATCGCCGGCCCTGGAGACCCCTTTCTTGGGGTTGTCCGTGTTGAGAGACTCCTGTCAACGTCGGGCGTCCCCAGTTCCGGTGAAGGCGCGCGAGCAGCGTCTTCGCGCCATCTTTCAATGCTGTCATTGCTATCAATGCGGTCTTCAATGGCCTCACCGGTTTGGACAAGCTGCTTAAACCGCTGTTGTTGTACAGCAATGGTTTCCTTCACTGTCAATGGTTTCCCTGTCTTGGTTGACGAAACAGGCGCAGTAGCAAAAGATTGTCCTTCTTGATGTAACGAGACGTCGCCCACAGACGTCCTTCTCGGTGTCCCTCCTTGGTTTTCGAATGCAGACGGTCTTATAATCCTTTGATGGTGGCTTGGATCTTCAATGAAGTCATGGAAGAATTCAAAAAATCCCACAGCTGCAGTACCTGCAGTCCCTGCGTAGGGTCGATAACTATGAAAATGGTGAAAGACTGCATCGTCGAGATGACATTGATGGATCAACTTCGGCCCTGGTTCGCGGGTCCAGATCTCCTTGATAAAACAGTATGAAGTGAAGAAATCTTCCGCGTTCCCTTTATAGTCGGGGTAGGCTGCCTGATACCTTGTAAAGAGATCATTACCCACGCCTGGCTCGGCCGGAATGGCTTTGACTTCTCCATTGCTCACTCCACCATATGCAGATTGGCGAGTGATCGGTGTCGATGACCGCCTAGGTGTATTGTTTGCAGAGTCTAGCTGCTGATGGCGCCTTCCCTGCTTTGGTGAGGATCCCATGGGGCCACTCCTGCCGTCATCATCTTCCCTCGATGACAAGAGAGAGTCTCGTGTTGATGCTTGGGGGTTGCCCATCATCCGCGAGGTCTCCTGACGATATTGTGTCCTTTCTTCACACAGTAGACTCTCACCGTTGCGACCCGTTGTTATTTGAGGCGTTGACATAACACATCGTATAACGTCATAGAGCATGTCAGGCTCCGGTGGTCGCTGCTCACGATGTTCTGGCTCTTTTCCATTTTCATGATCGGTGGCCCCTTCTTGCTCTTGCCGTTGCCTTTTGATGGGAACATCGCTGATTCCCGAGTTTGTTCGCTTCCGTTTTGCCAAAACAGAAATCAACTCATGAGTCTGAGACACGGACTGCACCAACGCGTTTTCATCGGCTCTAGGACCAGCCTCCTTGGATGATCCTGGACTATTTTCTGCCCCAATAGCACGGTTTCGTCTTCCTGCGCCTCCTCCAGCATCAACAACCCTGGCTCCTGCCAACTCAGATTGTTGCAGCCGAGAGCCAAGATCGTCGCTATTGCCACAAAACGGCAGATGCCGCTGGTCAGGACCAGGCTGTACCTTTTCTTGTGAGTCAGCGCTGGCAGAGAGAGTATTGTCCAAGCTTGCACCGCAGATCGGACTCGATGTCTTGTCTGGGTTAGCATCTTCGAATCTCGTCGCTTCAGACACTTGCGGTTCAAAGTGTGCTACAGTGTGGCTATTTGGATCCGAATCTGGAGTCGGATTTGAGCTCCCATCTACCGGTAAAGGAGCACTGCTTCGAGCTTTCATCGCAACCGCAGCAAGGACCCCTGAGCTTGGTTCATTGTAAGTTCCGGGCACGAAAGTCGAAGTAGGGTTTCCATCATCGAGCCCATTTTTGGCCATGGTCGAAGTCATTCGCGAAGCAATGAGCCGGGGGAAACTGGATCCTTTGCCGCCGTACGGCGTCCTTGTAACCTGTATTTTCTTTGAACTGGAACCATCTGATACCCCTGCAACCATGGAAGCATTGTCCTCCTGGGATGAGCTCTTGTCATTCACATCAGCATGTTGTAGTTGCGCCGATAGTGGGGTATCCTCAGCTGAAGAGGCACTCTGATGTGAACCTGACCCCAGAGGAAGGGGACCATGATCATGGGTCGATGATTGAACTTTCGACCCTCGTGCCTGGCTGGTGGCACTGCCTGATGACGGTTCTTGACCGCTTAGCATTGCGCTCTCTTTTTCTCTACTATCAGCATGGTAAGAAAGTCGTTTCTGTCGTGTTAGGTCTGGGAGAGGGCTGTTCGGTGGCAGTTTAGTCGCTCGCCGCTGTTGAGTTGGCGGACTTTGAGACCAGTCAGCAAATTCCTCGGAATCGCTTGCGTTCCCTTCGCTGGGATTGGCCGGTTTCAAATCTTGACCTTGTCCATGTTCAGTTGGACGTGGATCCTGTCCCGAGGCCTCAGGTTCTACATCCGTGGAGGACGAAGCTGGACCGCTCGCTCGTTCATCTGCAGCGTCGGAGAGTTCTACCAGGAGTTCTAGAGGAACCTCTCCTGGCCTCTGTGTGCGACCAACGAGAGGTGGCTGCCAACTGTCTCCGGACTCCAAAAGCGATGCCAACAACTTTGCCTGTTTTTTTGGGATCTTTTGGATGTGTCTGGGAATATATCTCCCTGCTTGTGCTTCATCACGCCAACGCTGGAAACGACTAGGACGCTCTTGATCCGATCGCGTGACAATGATCCGCTTTGGAGGACTCCATTTTGTGGCTAGATTGCATGGCTCTTTGTAGGCATGGTCCGCTGAGTGCCCCGGAGATTCTGGAACGTTGCCGCCAAGCTCAGATATTTCTACAGGACTGCTTTTTTCATTGTCTGCTGTCAAGGTAGGAGTGACCTGAAGTCGCGGCAGGGTAGGATTTGCTGAATGCGAGAGGCGCCTGGGTGCTAGCCCTCTCCCTTGGCCGGTTGTCGTCGACGGAGGCAAGACAGACTCGTTGGATGGCGTGATGATTTCTGCAGTAGTTAGGAGTTTCGGTGCGGGCTGTTGTGTCTGATTTGAAGGGATACAATCCGGAACACCATTTCCCCCTTGTATATCCTGAGCCGACGGTAGAAAATGCTCCTCTTGCTCACTGGTGTCTGCCCTTTTTATTTCGAGGGGAGTCGGTTCAGTTGGGGTGGTCAGGTTCCAACCACTGAGACCATTGGGAACTTGGGTGCAGAATGGCTGCTGCGATAAATCCTCCTCATCATTCTTCTCAACATCGCCATCAGGGTTTGTAGCCCTATGAGATATCGGTGGACTGAAAGCAACCTGTGATTTGATAGAGGCGGGGCTACCGCGTGAGGCGGGCGTTGAGGGAGCACGGTTGTGTCGTTTCTTGGCCCAATACTTAGACATTCTCTTGCGTACATCTTGGTCTTCAGTGACAGCACAGCCAGAAGAAAGATTTCGTTCTATCCGATCCGCCTCATCCACAATCTTGCAGGTCGTAATCTCGAGCAAAGGCTTGGGTGGGTTGACATGAGGGGTGACTCGAAGGACGGGATCGACGAGTTGTAAGGGTGTTCCATGCTGAGCACCAGAGTCTATTATCTCACTTGCCGTGCCTTTGGTGAAAATGCTTTCTATTTTGTGTATTCCGTCAGAGATCTCTCCTCGTGGTTCTGTTGTACCTAGTTTCGGCAGCTGATGTCAAGGGTCAACCATGCAGGCGAGATAAAAAGTGCGGGCTCATCTTTACCTTCAGAAGGTACACAGTCTGTTGACATGGCGCCTTGTAACTTGCTTTCAAACTGTCGTCAATTTTCTGGAATTGATAGTCGGCAGAGCGGCATCCTTCGAGTTCGCGAAACCACGCATCAAGACTGGACTTGATGAACTCGGCCAGCCATGGCTTCTGGGATTCCATGGATCCCGGGAGAGTAACACATTCGAATATGCACGATCAATGTGGATGAGTGGCATCATTTGGCGCAACAGCATTTGCAGATTCGAGTGTTTGGGGTGCCGCAGTCAGTGCCCGCTTCAAATTGGCGAGTTGGCTAAAGCGCAGTTTGACGCGTTCCGACGCGACTCCCTTTGCCAAGCCAGTGACGTTGGCGGAGAGGCGGTCGGATAATTGAAGCGAACGGCGAATCCCTGCTGTGCCCAAGCCAAATGGCGCAGGCGGCGTCCTGCGGATTCCATCCAGATCCTGTGGAGAAACGATTGCATTCACATCGACCATAGGTGCAAAGTTCCCAGGCTGCTCCTTGCATTGTTGTCGACAGCGGCAGACATCTCCTCAACCGAGGGCACATCTCTTACCAACTCCTCGAGATGAGTCCACGAGCATGACGCTGTCCGATTACCATCACGAAAGTCGCCTGAATGCCGGCGGCAGGCCTCCAGACTGACGACGACAGACCAGAGAATAAAGGCTCACACCATGCCCCCTTCTTCCGTTACTTCCATCCCGCCGGATAAAGACAAGGACATTCAGAAAGACAGGGACAGCCCTTCCGCCTCCTCCATCTTTCTTCCTCTCGGAAGAAAAGCTCGTCGAGACTCCAAGTCATCCCTGTCTCACGATCTCGATCAAGATGCCCTCAACCACGCTCTCAACAGCATCCATAATGCGGCATCCCAATCGAACCACTTGACTGTCTTCAATGACTACACCGACCCCCCGACCGGCTCCTCTCAAACAGAGAACAAGTCTTTGGCAAGCGAAATACAGGGCGGTATTTCGGGACTGTACAACAAATTAAAGGCTACGGTGGGCGTTTCCAAGGATGGCGAAGAGCATTACCAAGAAGCATCTTCTGCTCTCTCTGTGGGCGACGATCGGGCCAGCTCCAAACTCAGTTCTGGCGTCACATCCAAGGCACCGTCACCACGCCTGACGGCCTCAGACGCCACGATTCCAACCGATCTGGCCCCGTCAAAAGTGTCGTCCAAGGCTACTAGCATTTCGAAACCCTCCGTTCCCTCTACTCCCGCTCTCCGCTCACCTACCGGTCCTCCCCAGCCTTCTTCACACCTTGCTGACCCTTCGGTGACTTCAGTCAATATCCATGCTGTGGGCTCGGCGAATCATTCGAGGGCTGGTTCTGCATTCGAGCTTGAGTCTCCTCATGAACGGAGCTTGACTGCTTCCACAGACAGCGAAAGCCTGCGCAAAGCTCTCTCCAAGCAGGGAACCGATACCTCCTTTTCTGATAGGCCGAACAAGCTGATAACGTCGCCTCTCCTGAACACCAGGGGGGTGCCCACCTCCCACGATCGAGGCTTATCAACCACTTCAAATCAAAGTCACTATAGCCATGCTGATAGCGTGACTAGCCCACCCTTGCTGACCTCGCCTCAAGCGGAGCGATCGACCACCCGTGTAGTGGTAGCGAATAGACAAGAAATCCCTCCAAACCAGAGGCATACCAATCCCTTAGACCTCTTGGCTGAAAATGCAGCCACTCCGGCGAAGGCCTCGTCTTCCTCTCAAAGTAAGCCTAACGACCTCGCTGGCCTGAAATCGCCGCTGCTGTCGACTCTGGAGCACAGACCCGCCGACAAACTTGGCCCCAAGATAAGCCAGTCAAGATTGCCAGGTTTCTACGCCTCGCGAACGACTTCATCAGAATCGTCGGTCTCTGCCGGCCGGTTGCGTGCAAATCTGGACCATCTTGACGATGATAAGCGTAGCTTCGTCATAAATCGTACTCACCAAGCTAGACCGATGAGCAAACTGCGCAGCAAGTTGTTGAGTAAGGAATTCTGGATGCGGGATGAGAATGCGAAAGACTGCTTCCATTGCGGCGAGCCGTTTACTACATTTCGACGAAAGCACCATTGTCGCACCTGCGGCCAGATTTTTGACAGTAAGTGCACAGTGCTCATCAGCGGAAGTCACTTCGGGTCCAACAGTGCCGTCCGAGTCTGCAAACCATGCGAGTCGATAATCACTTCTCACGATGACGACTCTTCTGATTACTCGGCTGAAGATCTGGTTTTGACGGAATCAGCCACTCGTCCGCGGACCCCTGAACCCTCTGTTCTTAACCGCGGCCTCTCCCGATTCGAAGACGACAATACTTCGATCACTTCGCAGTCTCTTGAGCAAATGGCCAGGACGCCCACAATGAGCTTTCCGGTGCGACGAGCTTTCGACGGTGCCAACCGCAATTCTGCAGTGCTCGAATTTGATACAACTGATCGACCACTCCCTCGGCCAAGCTCTTCCAGGTCCTTGAAAGCAACTCATTCCATTGGTCACGGCCACAAGAGGCACCACTCCAAGCACCAGCACATACGCAATTACAAAGCCTATCATGAAGACAGGGCACCTTTCCAACGTCGTGCTGCCGATGACGGCCTCAAAGCTGGCAAGTCTTCAGCCTTCCATCGGGATAGCATCATTGACCCTGATCTTGCACAATATCTTTCGGATGATCCTTCGAGTGAGGAAGACCAGTCTATCAACGAAGCCCTAAACCAAGACAAATTGTCCCGCAGCGAACCCGACAGCGACAAGAGCGCGATTGGTGGTCTTTTGGCAGCCGTACGCAAGGGTCGTTCTCGCCTTGGGGATCGGAGTATTGCTGGATTTCTGAATCTGGGCAAAGAAGCGGATGAAGCTGGCGTCTTAAGTTCACGCAACATAGAAGCCCTTAGAGGTTCTCGGAAGCGGAATCTTAGTGTTTCAAGCAGCATTCATCGCGGAACACCAAGAACAACCAGAGAGCGCCTGCAGATCATCATCCCCGGAAACCAAGACGATCTCCAGGACGGTCTCGGAGACTCGGCGAGTATCTACCGAGGCCGTTCAAGAATGATTCGAAGTGCCTCTATGCACGGGATGGCTGCCCCAGCTATGGAGCTCAATCGCGCAAGTATTCAACATGTGCATAAAATGCTTCAGCAGCTGCTCAGGGATGCGAATATACCAAAAGTTCAAAGCTGGGAAGATGCTCTCATTCCGATCTTGCTCAAGGCGACCGACGACGTCGATCCGGATGTTCAGGGCGGAGATGACATAGACATTCGGAACTACGTCAAACTGAAAAAGATCCCCGGAGGCAAACCTGGTGACACTGCATACATCTCTGGCTTAATCTTCACGAAGAACGTGGCCTTGAAGAGTATGGCTCGGTCCCACACAGATCCCAAGATTTTGATCATCACGTTCGCGCTTGAGTATGCCAGACATGAGCAGCATTTCATGAGTCTGGATCCAGTAATTCGACAAGAAAAGGAGTACCTTGCCAATCTTGTTGGCCGCATCGCTGCTTTGAAGCCCGATGTGCTGTTGGCTCAGCGCAACATATCGGGCCTCGCTCTTGAGCTCCTTGAGAAAGCCAACATCACGACTATTTTCAACGTAAAATCATCAGTTCTCGAAGCCGTATCGCGCTGCACGCAGGCCCGTCTAGTCCACTCTATGGACAAGCTGACCTCCTTGTCAGATCCATTCGGTCGCTGCGATTCCTTTGAAGTGAAGACTTTCGTGGCTGATGGCCGACGAAAAACATATGTCTATCTCTCAGGTTGTCCTCCTCAGCTTGGGTGTACAATAGCACTCAGGGGTGCCGATCGACAGACATTATCGAAGATCAAACGTGTCACCGAATTCATGGTCTACGTGGTCTATAATTTGAAACTTGAAACTTGTTTGATGAGAGACGAGTTTGCCTTGATACCAAGTGCACCTTCTGCTAATACCTCCGAAACAACGGTCAATATGCAGTCCAAAAATGCGGCAACTGAGAACGAAGCAACGTCGCAGGATGCTAATGGGAATGCGGACAAAGTTGACAGCCATGTCGCCGAAGCCGGGGATGTCTCGAATGCAGAAATCATTGCTTTGGAAAAAGAAGTCCGTTTTGCTCAGGCAGTTACGGCGGATAGCACAGATTTGGCGCACATACCAGATGACATACCTGTGCCTACGTTTTATGAAGACCTGGTCCTTAAGCATGAGACCCGCATTCTTTCGGCCTCGCCATTCGTCAAATTCATGCAGCCATATCTCCTTATGCGTGCGAGAGAGTTGGAAAGACGAGTGGCGTATCTCAAGCGGCTCCGTGACCAGGATCTTTCTGCTGAACAGACGATGGAAGATAAGGGCAAGACTTCCAAGTTCACCTTGATTCAGCCTGAAATGGTCCATAGACATCTCGCCGGAGCCAGCAAGAAAGTTCGCGAGATCATACACGCAGTACACGACGCCGAGTATGACAAGGCAGTCTACAACTATGAAAGCCAGAAAAAGCAGTGGGAGACCTATCTCTCAGGAAACCGCAATCTCTTTGACCCCTTCGCTCACCAGAACATTGTCGTTTTGTTCAGCCTTGTTTCCACAGAGACGTCTGTTCCCTGCTCCGGCCCGGATCTGCTCGCCTTTAGCTTTTACAACGAACATGAGACCGAAGCTGAATTCGAGGCGGATTGCACTCTTGGGCAATACGTTGAGGATCTATGTTACCGGGCAAACGACATTTGCCCCTCCGACGCCTGCGAAATGAAAATGCATGAACATCATCGTCAGTATGTCCACGGCGAAGCGCAGATCACAGTCTTCGTACAACCATATCCTTCTAAGATGCGTGGCTTCCAGGATGTGATTTTGATGTGGAGCCAATGCAAGGTCTGTGGTGTAGAGACCACTGTTACTCCAATGTCCCCAAGCACCTGGAAATATTCATTTGGAAAGTATCTGGAACTCTCCTTCTGGAGTGCGGATCTTCATGCTCGGGCCGGCATCTGCCCGCACGATCTGCATAGAGACCATTTTCGGTTCTTTGGGTACAAGGATTTTGCCCTTCGAGTTCATTACGATCCGGTCGACCTCCTCGAGATCATTGTGCCAAGGATGAGGCTTACCTGGAAAATTGACAACGATTTGAAATTCCGCAATGATTTCTATACACGCTTGGAGCATCGCATCACGAAGTTTATGGTGTCTGTCAAACTCCGTCTGAAGAACATCAATGCAGAAGCAGTCATGCCTGAAATGGCTGAAGCGTGTAGTGCGGAAATCGAACGATTAACGAAGAAAGCCAACGAAGAACATGCAAGCCTCATCAAACAGCTTCAAGAACGATATACGAATACGAGGTACTGGGAGACAATACCACTTAACGCTGTTCTGCGAGCTACGCAAGAAAAAGTGTCCGAATGGGATGATGCTTTTGCAGACTTCGAAAGAAATTACTTCCCTTCGGAGACAGATATTCACCGACTTGCCACCCTTCAACTAAAGAAGATCTTCCTTGACCGCGATGTCTCGGTCGCGTCTTTAAAGTCCGATGACGAAGGTACGATGACCCCTCCCACCGAGGAGGTCGCTGATGAGAAAGGGGCGGCTGGGGAGACACCGACTGAGGGGCGACGGCCCAGCAAACTTTCGCCCGAGAAAACACAGAGCTTTCTTCAAAGCGTACTTGAGGAGCATGCTACTACCCCTGCTGAAGAGATTGGTATTTCAGCTGTGCCAGAAATCACAAAGTCTGATGTGCAGAGCCTCCCTTCCGTTCTGGATGGTCCCCGTAATGTTGAAGATGTGAAACACCTTGATCTGGCGATAGCGTCTCCAACTCAACAGGCGATCCCCACTGCGGAAGTTACCCCTCCACGCAATTCATCGATTTCCACCTTGGGCCACACCGGCGAAGATAAAGAACGTGAGAGCGCGATCAGCATTCCTGGCTCCGACATAGTAGGAGCATCTCCAGAAACACCAGAGATTATTGTCTCCGCTCAGCCGACTCAGCCAACAGATTTATCTCCGCCCGCCATCCATGATGTCCCTCCACCCACTGACCTACGGAGGCGAAGTGATGGGAAGTCCTCACCAGGGCTCACTCGAGCTCACTCGCAGCCTGCTGGCTCTGTCGCACTTCGCTCGTCTGCTGCCCAGACAGCTTCGAGTACTCTGTCGGCCGTCAATGCGATAAACGGGTTTTCTAAGCAGAGTCCGGCATTATCTGCTCATGGCAGCGATGCCGATCTAAGCATCCCCGACAAAAAGCTCTCTGAAAGACTGGGCTTCTCACATTTGAAGAATAAGACATTCTCCAAAGGTCAGTCGCTGATCCCGCGAGCGGTTACAAACCGTAAAGAGTCTCGGGTCTCCAACCTTGCCAAACATTTCGAGCAGCTCAGTCGCGAGTTCGAGAGAGAGCGAATCCGTGAGAGGAGATTACGTGCTGCAAGGAATATGCAGTCGAGAGTGTACCCTCTGGCAGCGTCGAAACCCATTGTGGAGGTATTTAAGGACGTCGACGTGGCTGTGGATGAACGAGGTGATTCCGATGATATCTTTGGCAAGGATGATGAACTTCCAGCGGAGAACCAGAAGACTCCAGGCACTGCCGAAGGCATGGCCAAAACTAGCTCTCCAGAGGAAGGCGGGGCTGGGCTCCATGTGGAGGAACCGGCCACCGACACTGCGGAGAACGAGACTGACGTTCCGTTATCGAGCCATGCACCTTCGGAAGCGGAGGAACAAAGTGATGTTGATGAAGCGGAGGAGGAGATCTTTCTTCCAGATTCGCCTGAAGATCTAATGCGGATGTCCCAAGACGATATCGATCTCAAGGAGCTCCCAAAACATGAACGGACCTCGCTGATGAAGATGCTGACCAACTTCTGGGCTGAACGGTCCTCGAGCGGTTGGACCAACTTAGACTATCCTCTGGGGGCATCTGAGCACATCTTCGCCGATTGCGACATCATTGTGCGCGAGGATGAACCAAGTTCTATTATTGCATTCGCATTAGACTCGCATGATTACACGACGATGCTTCAGAACATGCAGAACCGGGCTCCGCAAGAGGACTTAGCCCCTGACTTTAGTGGCCACGATCACACCGACGATTTGCAGTCCGAAGTCATGCACTCGCTCCTTCGCAAGACAGGGACGCATCTCAAATACCAGTTCCAAGAAGGGGGAGCCAAGATGCTGTGTAAGATCTTCTTCGCGGAGCAATTCGATGCCGTGCGCAGGAAATGCGGCGTCGCTGATCGTTTTATCGAATCACTCTCAAGATGCCTCAAGTGGGATTCCAAGGGTGGCAAGACCCGGTCCTTATTCTTGAAAACTCTAGATGATCGGTTCATCTTGAAGTCACTGTCTCCTATCGAAACGCAGTCTTTTCTCAAGTTCGCGCCAAACTACTTCCAGATCATGTCAGAGGCCTTTTTCCACGAGCTGCCCTCGGTCATCGCCAAGATGTTTGGGTTCTATCAGATCATCGTCAAAAATTCCGCCACGGGCCTCGAGTACAACTGGTTCCTACTGGTGATGGAAAACCTGTTTTATGACCGCGTCCCCACACGCATTTTTGACTTGAAGGGAAGCATGCGAAACCGCAAGATGAACGCAACCGGCGAAAAAGGTGAAGTTTTGCTGGACGAGAACATGGTTGAATTCATCTATGAATCACCACTCTTTGCTCGCGAACATAGCAAGAAACTTTTGAGGTCCTCTGTTCACAATGACACGTTGTTCCTTGCGCGTCAAAACGTCATGGACTATTCGCTAATGGTCGCCATTGACGAGAATCGCAAAGAGCTTGTCGTGGGTATCATTGACTGTATACGCACTTATACATGGGACAAGAAACTCGAAAGTTGGATCAAAGATCGTGGCCTTGTCCCAGTACGTGGCGGAAACAAGAACAGACCGACAGTGACATCTCCCAGAGAATACAAGAGGAGGTTCCGAGAGGCAATGAATCGTTATGTTCTGGAGGCGCCTGATTGTTGGCACCAGTTCAAGCCGGTGAGGGTGGAGCGGAGATTGTTGGAAGGGAGAGGTGAGAAGGATGTTGGCGGAGCAGATGGAGGAAGGGACCAGGACGGGGAGAAGGAGAACGAAGTCCAGCTTTTCTCATAAAGAGGGTATTGATTAGGAGAAGTCTGAGGGACATGACGCCTAATATTGGCGAGGCTAAAAGTGGGATACAACTACACCGGAAAGCGGGAGTCATGAATATTAGCGACAGGCACCGGTCTTGGTCTCGTCTTGGGTACGACAATGACATGATGATGCTGCCACGATTTTGCTGTGTGGCGAGATGGTTCGTTAGTCTTATCAAAAGAGTCTCGTGCTTTTAGTGATTCGATCCTGAAGTCACGAAGTGGATTGATTACATTAAGGACCATAGGGCGAATTTATAACCTTAAAACCTGTTACTCTCTCCCAGCGGTCTCATGAAGGTCTGTCTATGGCCTCAAACCACCTTTGCCGGGGTATTGTATACATCTGTGCATACCGCTCTCTAGACCTTCGTCAAGGACATGTATGCGATCCCTTTGGCGCTGCTCGGCTTTACAAACGTTCTGGGACCTCTCCTGAAAAGGCGTATATACCTTGCAGACGGAGCATGTTTCGCTCAATACAGGATGTATATGCCGATCCCGACGAGGGACGTGCAACCCAAAGTGGCGTCTTCTCTCCTGGAGGCCGGGGGCGCCGAGGGGACAGCATGGCATATGGATATGACGGCGACGACGGCCTCCGCCCGCCTTCGAGGTTGTCGCGCCGGCACCAACCCAATAACAAATAGGCTCGGCGTTGAAGCATAGGACGTCGACCTAATCGTGAATAGACCCTCTTATCAACAAGAGGATCCCCGGAGATGACCGGACTGTTCTGTGCGCCCGACGAGGGTACCCCTTGGGAGGTCCGGTTTGCTTGGGCATTTTGAAGGAAGTAAGAGTAGGCTCACATTGTTGAACTGTTTGATCTTATATATGAGTGGAAGATTCTCGTGTCAAATGAGTCATAAATCACTGATAGCTTGAGTTCAAAATCGTCCCCATTCGGGACCCTCCATTCTTTTGAAATATCAAAAACGTGCCATATCATCCACGGCTACATACGCAGCTCTTGAGTGGAACAGCTCCAAGTGGGAAAAGACAAAGGCGACCACGCCAAGGCCACGGCAAATGCGCACGGCTCTTGTGCACGGCTCGGCGTTCTCGTTTGCGACTGCCAGGACAGTGAAGGGCAGAATGGTAAAGTGAAGCGAGATCAAAGGCTCTCAACGTTGTGGTCAAGGTGAAGTGAGCGTCGTTTCGTCGAGGGTGTTGGCCCGGCTGGTGTTATTGCCATTGATGGCCTTTCGATCGGGGGAATGTACTTGAGGCAAGATCCAGCAGAGAAGGCGGCCAAGTTGCTCCTTCGCTTTACAGATGTCGCTGTACTAGTGTTACGCTATTGCGCTGGGGTGGGCACTGTCGGGAGAATTTGCGGATCGTGGTGTGTGTGTACACCAACGGGGCCACCTCCTGGCTAGTCTGGCGTGATACGATGGGAGGACCAAAGGCGACGGGCTCCCGTATCAGCTCACCACCAGTCATCACCGAGGATGAAGTTGGGTTCTCTGGCGTCCACGGGTGTCCCCACGTTAGGTAGCTTAACTGGCGGTCCTGGCGGAATGTTGAGGTGTTTGAGCACATTGCTCAGACGTTCCTGGTGGACAACGTCAGCTTGGGCATGCTCCTCGCGTTTTGGGCTTGGAATCGGCGCTTGCGGCGAGCGCGACCGCCGAAGAGAATCTAGAAAAAGCTAGGACGAGGATGGCGGCGGAGCCTGAGTACCTGCACGATGTGTGACGGCGACTTTCTCACTGCGACCGATGATTCATGGCCCGGTGAATGCATTCCGCTGAACCTGTCGTCGCCTGGGACGAGCGAGACTGGCCCGAGCGGCTACAGATACTCTTGCCATCTTGAGTTGGGGAAACGTTGTACTCGGTGGCGAGGTACAAGACAAGAGATATAACTCTCGGCAAAGGTGTCTGTGATTGAAAAAATTGAAGGCACGCAGAGGAGAAGCAGGATTGTGTTGGTCAAACTTTCAATTTTCTTGACATGGTCTAGTTCCAGCAAAGTTTTGAACCTCCGTAGAGAGAGAATTTGCACCTCAGAGAAGATTATCTGCCAGACCATGAAAGGCCAAACACCTTCTGATGCCGGAACCTCGTCCACAACAACAAAATACCTGCCACGGAGCCAACCACGCCTGTTCCTGTCGCAGTAAGCAGAAGGGTGGTGAGTATTCGTTTCTGGCTCTTTGATTTCTTGATAACCTCGCTGTACCTCATGTTGCTGAAGCTGATTCGCGCATATTGGGTGGCCCAACCCCAGCTGGGGACATACTTGTCGAGCCGCTCCTCAATGTACTTGCGCAGCTTGTACAGGGGGGACGTAACCGAAGATCGCATCTCGATATAATTGGCCAACGCCAGGTCTGCAATAACATGCGCATCCTCAGTTCGTTCGGCGCTATATTTGGCAAGGGCCTCTGCTCTGTCCGGGGTCTCATCAAGCTTGGAGAACAACACACGCACCGACTCCAATCCTGCATTCATACCCTGACCGTAGAATGGGACCATTGCATTGGCAGCATCACCGAGAATGACGACACTATCACCGAAATGATGCGGTGAACATTTGATGTTGATCAGCGGCAGGTGTGGATTGCGCTTGAACTGGGCCACGAGCTCGGTAGGTGGGATAAAGGTGGTCACTCCCGGGAAATACTTGTCAAAAGTCGAGACCAGCTCTTCATCCGTCCCATTCTCGAGTTTGGTGAATAGATCAACCGGGCCGAACAGTGTGCATACAAAGTTCCGGTCGAGATTGGGGAGTGCGATAAACATGAATTTGCCGGCCGGCCAGATATGAAGGTAAGTCGGAGGCATGGCGAAGCCTCCCTCCTTGGTCGCGGGCATGCTGAATTCGCACCACAGACAGTCGATATATGTTTGGTAATAGTCCATGCGGGCAAACTTCATCATATGATGCCTCGTGGCAGAATGGGCACCGTCAGCGCCGATGCAGAAATCGAAAGACACCTCGATCTCCTGAGGACGATCCGACGGAGTTGCGCGGTTCTTGTCCGTGACCTCGAACCAAGCTTTCTTCTTCCGAAAATCTGCGCCTGTCATCTTATGCTGGAAGAAGAACTTGACATTCGGCAATGAGTCGAGATGATCGAGGAGGACCTTGTTGAGCTCCCCGCGGTCTACGGATCGCTGGAACCGGCCGTGAACATCATATGCTTGGGACTGTTGAAGTAAAGCGCCGCCGGAGGAGCGAATATGGATCATTCGCCCATGCATAGGGATCGTGCGCTCCAGTATCTTGTCAAGCAGACCAGGATTGCCCGTTGACCGTATTGCATTAATTCCGCGCTCGCTCAAGGCAAGATTGATGGATTTGGTGAAATTCAGAGGCGTCGTGTCCAGATTGCGGAGGTCTAGGTAGAGGCAGCATTGATTAGTTTCAAGAGGTCGATGAATCAGCCCATATGCAGAGCCTGCTTCCCCAACTTGGAGGACATCACCCGTGCAAAATGGAGGTGGTGAGTTCAATCGATCCAGGGGATGATAGTACCGTCACGCAGCTCGTATACCTCAACCACAGCGCCCCGAGAAGAGGCGTAAAGCGCTGCCAACGACCCGACCGGGCCGGCACCCACCACTACGACCTTCTTCCCTTCCATGCTCCTGTCAAGCCAAGCGGGAGCCACAACTGAGGTGAAAGACAACAGATGTATGCAGTGTAACGACAAAAGAAGACGGACTTGGGACAAGGAAAGGAACGAAAGTGATGAAGACACGTCGTGAGTGAATTCAAGATGAATTTCAGGCAGATGGTGTGTCATTCATCTTGCTATTTAACATCGGCATAACTTCGGCGATACTGTAGAGGAACCTTTTCCGAGCGCATCTGCTTGGCAAGGCTGAGGAGGTTCAGGAGCGACCGCCTCGTCTCTTTCCTCTAATGAATGCCCGGATCAGATCTTCTCATACCCATCCCACCCCACCTCCATTAGCATCAGATTTGTGGAGTCCCAAGGGCCTCTCAAAGCAACCTCGAACAGAGCACCACCGAGATGAGGATGAAAGTCAATCCACGATCCCGCCAAATCTCAGAGCCCCTGCGTGCATTCTCATGAGTCATGTATGGTCATCGTCAGGATTAAATCTAGGCTTAGCATGATGTGTAACGCACTTTTGCAAAGGTCAGAGGTAAGGTAGCAGCACAAGTCTCAAATGGCGTTAGCCGGGGGGTTCGTGGAGGGAGATTAGACTGGACTACGGTGAATATCGTTAGGGACGAGAAGATGGAGAGATCGCCTTTTATAGTTGACTGAGACCAGCCTATTGAATTGGAATGCCCCTTCACAGCCTCCTGAGCATACAAGGAAACCAAGACATTGTTAATCCCATTCAACAACCAAGAACCTTTACTTTCGTCCAGGTGGCCACCTAGAGATCCTGGGCAAATTTTTGGCCCGCGAGACGGCCAAAGGTAAGCGACCTCAAGACGGACTGTTGTTTCAAACGGTTCTGTTAGCCAAAAGACAAACCCAAGGGTCTAATGTGCTGGTCGACAAAGATAATGACGAGATGACAGCATACTTACCACAGCTCCAGGATATTCGTTGTAGACTGCAGAGGAAGGACATAATCAGCAATGACCCATCGATAGGCTTGGGTTTGTTTGTCCAAGCACTTACAGACTCCAGAGAGTTCTCCTGTGCAATACAGGTTGGGAATCGGGGCTCCATTGGTGGAGATGACACGGCTGTCGAGGTCAGTCTTGAGTCCGCCGAAGGTGAAGGTGACATTGGTCTTCAGTGGATATCCGTAGAAGGGGGCTACTTTGATGGGAGCAGCCCAGTTGGACTTTTCAGGGGTCAAGCTAGTTCCGCGTCAGTGGTGCCAGTCTAGATGCCGCAGCACAGAGACATTACCCTTGCGTGGACTTTCCGTCGAGCTTGAGCAGATCCAGTGGGGCATCGTTAGTTCTGTTGTTGAGGCGTACGAATCAGGTACATGGATCAGTCACTATGATTGATAGCGCAACTCACGCCGCGTTGTACTCGTCCACCGTCTTCTTGAGTGCCTTTGGGTCGATTCCAAGTTTTTGAGCGAGTCCTTCAATGGTATCGCTCGATTCGGGTTCCATATCGGTGGTGTCGAACACCTAGACAGACAAAGATACGGTTAGTCGAGCTACCTTTTGAGTCGGACTGTTGACGATGGGAGGTGGTTGAACTGACCCAGCCTGGTCGAAAACGGTCCATGATGGGTTTGTCGGTGATACTGGATCGGATTAGCTAACGGATACAAAAAGAAATGAGCAGTTTACGAAGAACATACAAGTAGGCCTCTTGATCTTGGTCTAAATTTCAAATTGTCAGAAACTTGGCCGCTCGCGGCTACCCGTAGGTAGATATCTGGTGCCATACCTCTCCAAACCTCCAGGGCAATCATCTCAAAGGTGGCAAAGAGTCTACAAATGTCAGTCGAGCTGGACGGGAACACCAGACGGTATCAAGGATGACATACGAATCTTTGCCCTCGTCATAGAATCGTTTGCAATCTCTGGTGATCGGGTCAGCCTCGTGTGTTATCCGGCTTCCCCAAGCGAAGGACCTACTTGTTGACCACGATACCAAAGTTGTGGCCCCAGATGACGGCATCGGGCTTGCTGGTACGAGAGTCGACCATCTCACACTGTATATTTCTGCGTCAGCTGTTTGGGAGTGCTCTGGGTAAAGGGTGTCACTGCTCACGTGGAGACCGTTCATGGATCCTGCAACTTGGGCACCTGCACAAAGTCAATTGGACACATTCACCCCACAGACCGATGTAGTTGTATGCACCGATTTCCATGCCCATTTTCAGGCCCAATCCAGTGTTGTATTTCAACCCTGGCGCGATGACAGGGAGATGCTCGACACGCGGGCCAACAAATTGGGCCATCCTGAAATAGAGTGAGTGTGTGCAGTGGCACACCAGAAGAAAGTGCATACAGGTCTTTGCCGCCTTCGAAGCCTCCACAAGCCAGCATGACTTTCTTTCCGAACACCTTGGCTAGCTTTCCATCAGCCCGTCGGACTCGGACTCCACAAACCTCGCCTTCCTCGGTTTGCAGGAGATGTTCGGCGGTGGTCTCCCACAAAACCTTGACATTCCGGTACTTTCGAATGTGATCGAAGAGAGTGTTGATGATGGCATGTCCACCGCCAATGGGATAGCAGAAGTGCTGTCCTGGTCGTGACAGAGGCTCGTCAGTTCCGGAAATCTATCCTGACTCAGACAATGGGGGTTAAGGATGACATACGGGTGCTAAACTGGACCAAGAAGTTGTCTTCGTAGTGATGGTGTAGTTTGACGCCGCCTGTATGGTCCAGAGGTCAATGCTCAGAAGGTCCATTGACTAACTCCTGTAATGTCCTAACTTACGCTCCTTGATGTACTCGACCGAGATCGGGGCTTCCTTCTCCAATTTCTGGCAGTATGCTTGGTCCGCAAGCCCGCAGCTGTGCGAATTCAGTCCCGTCAATCCCACTTTGGAGTCAGAGGTTCATTTACCTGACGCGCTGAGACAGGGGGTTAGTGGCAGGTCAAGAAGGACAGAGATCCGTACTTGCCTTCATCACGTGTTTCCAATCTGGGTCAAAGACATTATCTGCGGGAGATGGTTAGGGCTTTGAGACCCCAATTTGATAAGATGGGCTGTCACCGTCTGTGAGTCGAAGGACTGCTTGTGTCCATCTACACTTTTGTTAAGAGACGGCCACTGAATTCCAAAAGCAGTCGATCAATCACCTGCTGGCACCACATCGTTCTCCTTCCTTGCCGGCCTCGACCACGGCAATCTTTCCGGGCTTCCCGAGTCTCTCACACTCCTCGAGGAAACGAAGGGTTGTGGTAGTGCCCTGTACATAGGATCAGGCTCCAGATAAAACTTCAGTGTCTGGTGTTCGTATGGATGTATACCGCAAATCCACTGCCGACCACGACGACATCGTAGACTTCTCCGTCACTGGGGATACTGGCAACGAAAGACATGGTTTAGATCAAGTCCAAGACGACGATGGAGACGAAGACGGAGATGTAGAAGGATACAGATCGATCACGGATTGGATTGTTCAGATGGATTCTGAGGAAATCTACAACAGCAGACCCAAATTATCTGGGGACGGACTCAACGAAAAGGGTCGTGCCCTTTTTATCGCATGGTTGTCCCCAACAATAGAGACCCGAGGTCATAGAAAGCGGAGGGCAGATCGAGCCAGCCCGCCGTATACGGGGCCCCGCGATGGACGAACCGAGTCTACTGTCTGACAGCGGACGAGTTACAAGTGAGTTTGGATGGCTGTACAAGATGGCCCGATCAGCTGGTTCGACATCTGAGGGCTGCCAAGACACAGTCAATCTCTTTCCCAAGTATCATCCGGGGAAAGGAGAACCTGTTGGCTCCAAAACAGGAACTGATTGACACGATGACATTATTCACGGCCGAAGATATCCGCCTCGGGCTTGAGCGGCGAGGCAGTGAGCCCCGTCGCTTGCAGCTGTGTAGGATTGTGGAGGTATCCTCTATTCCCCGCGTTTTGTACACTCTAACTTACAATCGTGTCGACTAGCCGTCTCGCCATGTAGCATGCCAGGCTTCCCGCCTCTATCCGACCTTGCGCCGATCCACTCCCAGAGCTCGAAGCCAATCACATTTTGGTTCGGCGTATGGTTGCCGCTTGCCGTTCGTGCGTTTATATCCCCACACTTACTAACCGAGGATCGGTGATGGATACCAGGGAAACTGTACTGTGTAAGGCGACCCTTAGCATCTAGCCTTGATACCTTCGAGTCTCCGCTCATGTCATCTAACCCCTCACGAGCACTTTACATACAACCGTCGGACCAGATATACATCGAGTCATCTGCGTGTTCTTTAGCTCTTATTCCTTCGAAATCTTCATCCGGCAAACACTTGCCGGCGAGGAAGCAATCATCATGGCTGGCCTCCCATCTCACGTCGCCAAGGTGCTGCCCAAGCATTTCTCTCTCTATTATGGAGGAGCGTGGCATGAGCCAGAGACACCAGACGCCTACGTCGACACCTACAACCCAGGAACTGGCGAGAAAATTACTCGGGTGGCTCAGGCCACAGCCGTCGACGCCGAAGCTGCCATCAAGGCCGCCCACGCCGCCTTCCCTGCATGGCGAGACGTCCATCCAGCGACAAGAGCGGAATTGTTGCGCAAGGCGGCCTCCATTGTCCGCTCGCATGCTAAAGAACTGGCTATGCTAGACGCCGCCAACACGGGCAACCCGGTGAATATGATGGTCCCAGACGCCTTAACGGCGGCCAACGCGTTGGACTATTTTGCCGGTCTAATCCCGATGATCAAAGGCGAGACTATCCCTCAGGCTTCGGACGCCTTCCACTATACGTTGCGTGAACCGCTAGGAGTGGTAGTGAGGCTGGTAGCCTATAACCACCCAGCTATGTTTACGGCCCAGAAGTTTGCTGCCCCCCTAGCCGCAGGAAATACAGTTATCATGAAGCCCCCGGTGCAGGCGCCGTTATCAGCCTTATATCTGGCAGAGATTCTCGAGGGTGTATTTCCCCCCGGCGTTCTGTCGTTCCTTCCGGGTGGGTTAGATGCCAGCGTCACGCTCTCGACGCACCCGTTGGTTAACATGGTCACGCTGATCGGTAGCGTTCCGACCGGCAAGGCCGTGTACAAGGGTGCTGCCGACACGTTAAAGCCGGTGATTTTCGAGTTAGGCGGGAAAAACGCGTTCGTGGCCTATCCAGACGCCGACATCGACAAGCTAGTTGAGGCAATCACAAAGGGTATGAACTTTGCCTGGGCCGGGCAGTCGTGCGGCTCGACGTCGCGCGTCTTCCTGCACGAGTCCATCCATGACAAGGTCCTAGACCGAGTGGCTACCGAGGTTAGGAAGCAATTCGTACCAGGTGACCCGTTAGACGACAAGACCACCATGGGCCCGGTGATTTCGCGCGTCGCTCTGGACCGGGTCAAGGGCTTCTGTGAGGATGCTCTGGCCGAAGGGGCACGGCTTGTCACAGGAGGAAAACAGCCTTCCCATCTGACTGGCTTTTTCTTCGAGCCGACCATCTTCGCCGATCTCAAGCCACACATGCGGTTGGCCAGGGAAGAGGTGTTTGGCCCTGTCATGGGCGTCTTCAAGTGGAAGGACGAGGACGAGCTCTTCAAGGTTGTCAATGACACCGACTACGGCTTGACCGCCTGCGTCTTCACCCAGAACCTGGCCACTGCGCACAGGGCCGTCAAGAAGTTCGAAGTTGGCTACGTCTGGGTAAACCGCGTGGCACTGCACTATGTAAATGTGCCATTTGGAGGATACAAGCAATCGGGGTTGGGAAGAGAAGAGTGTCTGGACGAGCTGCTCGCGTTCACACAGATCAAATCTGTCAACATGTCTATTGACTAGATTGCGAATTTGAATTGAAATCAATGTCCGCTTCTCAACGTACAGATATTTATCACGCACGGCAGATTTAGTAGAAGAAGGCCATATAGGAGGCTAGAGACACCAGATCTCCAGCGTTTACTTTGTGTACTGTACTCTCCGTTAGAAGCGCGTTTTAAAAGATGTCGACCAATTGCTGAGCTTTAGCCTGTTGAGTAGACAGATTCGCCCGCTCGGCTTCAATCTGGGTAGATGTCATCGGCCCTCCTGTAACATCGGTAAGCTCAGGGATGTTTTGTGTCCAATGCAAACATGCCCATCACTCAGGTTACCATGGTCTGTACATAGCAGCTCCTAGATCGCTTATCCGCAAATCTAGGACTTCACTGAGTTTTGCCAGTTGGTAGCTTCTCCTTCAAAAGTGAGACGCTCTTCAATCTCCAATAGGATCGAATTTGCAAATTGGCCGCGGTTATCCGCCCGTCGTCAAAAGGGCGGCCCGATCAACGTCCGCCCGACATCAACGATCGACGACAACGACGGCCAGGACGCCAAACAGCTAGTGGGAACACTGAGCGATGGACTTGGTTCCAAATTTGCTGTTGCAGCCGCAGGTCTATGCAGTGAATAGCATAGATTGCACGAAACATGGAAGGAAATTGCACTGCTACGACTGGACATGGCAAGACCACAGGGCAGGTGGGGACTAGTGTTTCGATTAGTGAAGCCTCCAGTACCTGCTTCTCGCCGAAGACAAGCAATAGAAGCGCTGTTCGGATTCTCGTTTGTCTTCTGCTTGACAGAGAGCCATGATCCATATTTGACTGAGTCTGAGAAGGGTCTGAAGGATGATCCCAACCTGAGCGATGGTACTTTTCGGTCGCTATATATATGGCCCCTTCCCTTGTAACCCGACCCCGGTGAATCGAGATTCAAGTCCCCCAACTCTCTTGACGGCTTATCAGTCAGTCAGTCACGCATGATTCCTCACATCATGGCTAAATCCGCAGACTTGGAGAAGAACAGTAGGGAGTTGCCGCTGAACAACGGCGAGTCCGGCATCTACGACCTCCATCACGACCATCACGACCCTGACCACGCGCTGAACACCATCCGCACCGCGGGTAGCGTTTCAATCAGCGCTGAACTGTTTGAGAAGATCTACTTGACACCCAAAAACCGCGTGTCAAACAATATCCGCTCGACGTTCGGGAATCCCACGCCTCTGTGAGCGAATCTAGCACGCCTTTGGTGTGTTGTTTGCTGACTACTGTTCCCAGCTGCCTCGTCGGCTTCTTGTTGTGTGTCACTCCTTTGTCCAACGTGCTGATGGGGTGGAGGGGCGCGGGAGGATTAGGCGCTGCTGAAGTGTGAGTTTTTGTCTACGTTTGGCCCAGTGGTCCATATTTGCTCATATCCGCGGACAGTGGAGCATACTACTTCTTTGGCGGCCTTCTCATGGTTATCGGTTGTGTGTTTGAACTGATCTTGGGCAACACATTCCCTTGCGTCGTATTTGCCTCGTTTGGCGCCTTCTGGCTCACATTTGCTGCGACCTTGACCCCCTTCTACAACGCCTCGATCGCCTATCAACCCAACGACCCGGCCAGCTCGTCGTCCAATCCTGTTTTCACGGCCACCTTTGGCTACTTTCACCTCTACATGGGTCTTCTCTGTCTGGTCTATCTGATCTGCTCGCTCAGGACCAATATCATCTTCCTTTCCATCTTTGCCACCCTCGTTCCGGCCTTCGGCTGCTTGACTGGTTATTTCTGGAAAGCCTCGCAAGGCATCGACGCCACCAATCTCGTGGTTGCCGCCGGGGCCATCACCTTTGTCACCAGTCTCCTTGGTTGGTACTTGCTCGTGGTCCAGCTATTGCTGTCGGTGGACTTTCCACTCACACTGCCCGTGGGCGACCTCAGTCATTTGATCCGCGGTGCGGGGGATATGAACAAGAAGACATTATGATCTGGTTGTGTTGGAGTATCGACTGAAAGGGTCACGCACATGTTCACACTACGTTGGACGGCATCTACGATCCCTTGAGGAATTGAAGGCTTTGGGAATTCTTGCTGTCAGGAGTGCTGATGAAGTCTCCTACAGTAGTGGGAAAACGACGGACAATGTCAGACTTGTAATGTAAAGGTGTGTTGTATAAGTAATGGAGAGTCAGGAAATGCATTGAACAGGAACAAGCCCATCAGCAAGGCTGAACACACGTCTAAAAATGTTAGCAGATGTCACTTCCGAGAAGTTGACCATCCTATACCAGAACGTGATGCTAAGATACTTTTGGAGGTATCCACCTGTGGGATCCGAGCCTCCAGGTAGTTCAACGTGTACAATTCTTCACGCTAGCTTCCTCAGAGGGATGATCCTTCATCTGTAGACCGTCCTTTACCGATACCTGGGGAAACCTTCGCGACGCGATATCTCTGTAATTTCGAGAAAACGGGCTGACCTAGAGGCAGTGATGTTCGGACCATAGGCCCCACTAGTCCTAGTCCTAGTCCGACTATAGTAGCGGCTAATCTTGCACTATGCCTCTCATGGAACTTGGACTAGCTGTTTACAGACAAGTCAATGTATGCTCGCTTGTAAGGTTAGAGTAAGTAGCGAATAGCCTTGGGAGTATTAAACTCTTAGGGCCACCAGGGCAATGAGCCAACTACCAATAGGTACGGAGGAACCTCGTATTTACCAATCAAATAGTGTAGTCTATGATTAGTCAGGACTATCGTCCTGAAGAATTCGGAGACCATAGTCCGCACATCACTGCCTGGAAGAAATCGACCCAAGTCAGCGGATACTCGACCTGGCTTTCGCGAGGCTTTCACCCTCGACTCGCAAAAGCTCTTGATCATGATGTGATGCAAGGGCGTTACTCTATATAACCTACTTGCCGGCGAGGAACAGCATCACTTTCGAGGTCGCCAGGTCGGAGGCTGCGTATTCTTTGAATTGCTTTCTTCCGCTCAGGGTATTTAGATCATGATGTGTATGCTACAAAAGTGATCTGGGCGCGATGGTTTCAAGTACGAGGTATACCTGTCCTAATTCACGACGAGCCTTTAATTTCCGAGCTCTGGGAATACTTCTCTGCAAACCCAAGTGTGACAATGCACCATGAAGGTCAAGGTACACGATAGATTTGCCCTCACCAAATGTCAGTTTTCCGCCAACGGGAGATCCAGCAACTCGGTCCTTGCCTGTGACTCAACTATCCATCACCGCCTCTGGCAATTTTAGTAACCAAGCAGTGAAAGTCGGAGCAGCTACGACAGCACGAAAACAGTGGAAGAGGGATACCTCAACGCCGCATCAGGGCTTGTAAAACTTGCCCTGCTCCCAATCTCTGTTGTGTGGATAATATCCCAGATTTTGGACGTATACTAGCACTAATGGAGCGTTTGACAGGCTCTTGGTGTCCACGGCCGTACGGGAAAATCAAGGACCGTGCGTCCGCGAGCTGAAATTGGTTGGACGCTGTCAATATCCGCATGCCTTCACCACAGAGCCGATACAGGCGCACACTTTGCGGGGTAGCAGTGCAAGGTGTTCCGGTTTCGGGGCTCTCCTGGATTCGAGGCAAATATCTTGTATAGATCGAGGAGAAGATGCAAACACTGCGATGTGTAGCTAGAGCAAGACTTCTATCATCCCAGCTAAAACGACCTATCATCCCATGGCCGTCACCCCTTCAACGTCCTCTGCAAGATCACCAGGCTGCGGCTCCAGTGTGACTGGGGGTCAGAAACTCCAGAGCCAGAAACCGGCGACAAAGAACGAAAGGCCAAAGGGTGTCCCATATAAACGAAGCTACGTGGCATGTTTGCGTTGTCGTTCCCGCAAAGTAAAATGTGATCTCGACGCGGAACCTCCCTGCGCCAAATGCCGCCGCGAGCATCGAGAATGCGTCTTTAAGAGCGATTACAAGACGGGTCGACAGCGTCAGCCTCCTCGATGGGTGGAAAGTAGTCACGAGCCCGAAATGACGGTCAACAATACACCGGCACCTGTGGGCCTGACTGAAGATATGGCTCATGCGCAGCCCTCGACGACCAGAGACAAAGGCTTCAGCAGCAACGTTAGCCACCAATCCGCTGGCCCTCGGCCGTCTTTGATGGAGCGCGCTATGTCCAAAATCATGATCGTACCCAAATCCGATGATGTATTGGCCACGCCGTTTCCAGCCGACTCAGCCATCGGACTTGAAGATATGGCAAGCAATATAAGCAGCGCAAGTACCGACTGCTCCAATCTGCAGGCTCACTTGACAGAACAAGCCATCCCATCCGCCCATGGCGACTTGGATCTGGACGTCATCCGTCAACCCCTGGCGCCTGGGGTATCTCGGCTTTCAAAGGTTGAGGACAAGACTCTAGAGGCCTGGAGCCGATATAGCCTCGTCCGGCAACGTTGGCTCCTCGCACAAGAAGCCGTCACGCTTGCCGATCTGTATGTGTTTGCCCCATCTGCGCTCCGGTATATTATGTCCTGATATGCACTCCAGCTTTTTTGAGTACCTCTCTCCAATGAGCCCGGTGCTCATGTCGGAGTACAAAAATCACTCGACTCATCAAAGACTGATCACGGAAGAGCCTATGCTGTGTACCACTATCCTTATGATCTCGTCTCGCTTCTTTGTCTTACCCGGTGCTGGAGGTGTCGTGCGCAGTTACATGATCCATCAGAGATTGTGGCAGTGCTGCAGAGGTTTCATTGAGCAGGTCGTTCTGGGGCGCGGCACCTACTCGGCTAAAAGAACGTCAGTCCTCAGCATCATCGACAGCTGTCTTTTAATTACCGATTGGCATCCTCGATACGCCGATTTTCCTTCCGAAGACGAAATAGGCGGCGATTTGTGTCCAAGCCAGCAACCCGACCAGCCCTATGACACCACGCGTTCGGATTCCCATCTGATCCGCTGGCGAGAAGACATACTCGAACCCTCCAAACAGTCCGACCATTTTTCGTGGATGCTGCTTGGTATTGCAACCAACCTAGCCTGTAAATCGGGACTCTTTTCTGACGGCCCCGTGGCTGAAACATTGGATCCCAAGGTCCAGGCCAGGTCCATACGAACAACCAAGTTGCTTTACGTTTACTTGACCAACCTCTCCGTTCGGCTCAGTTGTCCATCTCATCTCCCCGAGAATTCCATCTTTCCTACCCAAGGCACCTCTGCTATTCCCAGGGACAATCCTCTGGCCAAGGACTGGGACTTTTTTATGGACTGCTGGCTAGAGCTTGTCCGCCTGATCAAGACAGCCTCAGTTTTGTTTTTCGAGTCACCTGCGTCGACCCAGAAACAACTCTTGACCGGGCATTATGCCATTCTGTTGGACCATTTTGGGCCGTCTCTGACACGCTGGCAAGCGAAGTTTGCGACATACTCAAATAGTAGGTCGATCCATTGATCTCGGTAGCGGGACTAACTGCTTCTTTTCCCAGGTCTGCCTCAATCCCTACGAGACCTTCTACTGATTGAATTCCAAAATTTGCGAGTCTATACCCACGCCCTGTCGATGCAGGCCATTGTGGAAAGAGCTTTGGCTTGCGGGATGAGCGGCACGGACCCTCTACAGACGAACATCACGTCAACATGCTTCTCGAGCTCCGACTACGTGTTCTTGCAAGAAGTTGTCAACGGTGCCAGTGAGATTCTCAAAACAGCCACCAAAATGGCCTTGTCTGGCAACCTTCGATACATGCCGGTCCGACAGTCACTCTGTTTTATCTCGGCCGCCATTTTCCTCCTCAAAGCCATCAGCATCGGTTCGGGGAGCATTGAAATCCAGGCATCCCTGGACGTTTTGGATGACTGTATTGTGGCCTTAAGGTCGTCTCCCATCGATGACATGGATTTCTCCTCGAGGTTTGCCACCCTGATCGAGAAGCGAGTGGCCAAGTTTAGAGATTCATTCATGGTGGTGCGCCATAACAGCAATAACATCAACAATAGTGCACATCACCAAAACCACCCCGACGACAGCCGGCCGAGTTACCACGAAATGAGCGCGACTGGGGTCAGTTCGGAGCTCTCGACCTTCAATGCCAGCCAGGACCAGGTCGGTCCAGCGTCAAAGGCCACCGAAAATCTCGACAAGACATCGCCTGGATGCGCGGACTGGTGGGCCCGACCATTTGACAAAAGTATCGCACCGTTCAGTTCTTCGGGCAATTTCATCTCTTCGGGTCTGGAGCTCGACTCTCTTGATTTCTTGTGGAATCTGCCCATGGAGAATCAATATGGAGAGCTATTTCCTTGATGGGCAGAACTTTGTGTGAAAGTCCCAAGCGTCCATGTGTACGTTATCCCACTTCAGCTCATAAAGCCAATTAAGCCAACCTCTTTTCGAATGCTATCTCCCTTGACCCGGAGCTGTCTGTGATTTATTTCCTTGCTGTACGCCAGTAGCCGACTCAATCAGTGGGATGATGACATAACACAAGGAGACTGAACTCTCGGAGAGACGATTGTCTAAATATTGAATCATCTATCTTAACGGGTAGCCTTTGGCCCATTCGGCATGCTGTTATATTGGTATCGGCCTTCTTCGGCATAATACTGAGGGAACCCCACGGCTTCGAAGACCTCTTTCGCTTCGAGAGTATCTGGAGGGTTTCCCGACTCGAACGAGACCTTTAGATCTTGCAGTGCCTGTCGAACCGCCTTGATTTCGGCCGCAACCAGCGCAAACGGATACACCACGCACGCGTATCCCATGGCGGCAAGGTCCTTGGTGGAGACGACCTCGGTGCATCCCCCCGGTATGATGTTGGCCATGCACGGGAACTGGAGGTCCTGCACCAGCTGCCTCATCATGGACCGGTCCGGCACTGCCTCGACGAATATGGCATCCACGCCAATCTCGATGAATCGCCTGGCTCTTTTGACCGCTTCGTCATAGCCGAGGATCAAGCTGTCGGTTCTTCCTAGGATCCAAATGTCGAGACCCTCATTTCGCGCGTCCACGGCCGCTTGTATCCGCGCATACGCCTCGACTTCTGGAACAACTGTCTTGCCTTGGGAGTGTCCGCAGCCTAGATTGTTCATGTTAGCGTCTGCTCTTTTTTCCCCTGGAATGGTGCGGGGAGGAAATCCTACGTTTTGGCCAAGTCTGGTCCTCGATCATGACTCCGGCCGCTCCGGCAAGTGCAAACCTGGAGTAGGTGTGATTCAGCTGGGCCAATTTTGTGCCCCCATCCCCCAAAAAAGAGGCGAGGCAAGGTCCACATACCCTTGTACCGTCCTTTTCACGTTCATCGGCCCTCCATATCCCGTGTCGCCGTCGACGAGGATCGGAACGTCGACTTGCCGCATCACCTCAGAGAGCTTTTGCGTCATCTCGCCGAACGCGACGTACCCTGTGTCCGGGAGCCCGAGCGACGCGGCGACGACAAAGCCGGACAAAAACACCACGGGAAACCCAGCAGCCTGGGTCAGTTTCGAGCTAAGGGCATCATAGCTACAGGCCATAGGTACAATTTGATTCTCATCCCGCGCCGCCTGGAGCATCAAGCTTCTCAGCCTCGAGGCCTGTAATGAGGGACGAGCTCCTCGGATCTCGTTCATCTTCGTTGAGAATCGCACACGACACGGTCGTCTGGTTCGGATTTGTTGGTTCACCCACACAGAAAGGGGTAGACGGGACTTGGCGAGGTCTTTGGTGGGCTGCTTGTAGTCTCCAGAGCAGAGCATTCATTCGAATCATAGCTTGGTCAAGTTTTCTTATTATGCAACGCACGATCTTTTACGAGACGCTGACAGACAGGTCTGCATGCTTACACAGTCCTGGCAGCATGACAACTGCCCCCCTTGCTCGGGTAGAGGCGGCTTCAACCCAACGGCCTACCTTCGGCTTGATGGGTAGTCAAGCCCAGCTAGCCACCGACGGGCGTTACCGCGGGACCGCCGAACTCTCGTGAACGGATAGAATGGACGGCATCATCGGCCTCGACGCTGACCCCCTGGGATAACTACGTGTTGCACACATCATTGGTACGGTAGGAATGGATTCCTGATAAAGTTGAATGCCGAACAGCATCGGTTATTTCATCGACAACAATGGCTAACGCCTAGATAACCTACATAGCCACTCCGTTGTCTCGTCAGGTTACAAGAAGGCAGAATTCTCAAGACATGACATGTGTCCCCTGGGAGGCGCGTTGTGTGACACTAGCCAATGTCTGATAGAAAAGGAATAAAGGAAGACCACCCACAGCTCAACAGCGATTTCTGAAAAGGGCGCAAGGTAGCAGTCAGGTATAGTCCTAGGAGCATTGAAGAGCGGCTGAACGCAGCGAGGGGTATGTTCTTTCTCGATATACCGACTACCCTTTCATCCATCACGCGAGAGATGTGTCTCTGTATACGCCATACATCTCAAGATCACGGTAGTTTGGTATCTCGCCATCTAAGTAAAGCCCAGACGAGCTCGTCCTACTCAGAAGCGTTGAGTTCACGACGCCACTTTTCAATCGGGTTCACATTTCATTGAGACAGATCCGCAGAAAAGTCCTCTAAGACTCGAAATTAGGAAAGCGTATCATAGGCATTCGTACTGGTCTCCACCTAAGGTGAGTATAAAGGAGTCGAATGCACCTAGCCCGCGCTAAGGCACTAGAACCTTTACACTGGCCAGCACGACGGGTGAGTATAGGGCGGCGTCACCTTTGTACCCGTGGAATATCGCCCTTCAAGTGATGTTACTACTTCTTAGCCTTATTGATTCTGATAGCGAGACTCTTTGCCTTGAGCACTAGCTCCGTGCACCTGATCGATTGAGGTGTCGAACTCTGTCTGGCAATGTTTATCGTCGATGAGCAAGGCTGAATTTGACAAGATATGCCGAGTAAATGATCGCTTTGCTTTAGACAAGCAAGAAAGTTTGGAGCTTGCGGGTGCCTTGGATGCCAGATGGAGGGGCAGATGCATATATGCTGCGGCATTGGACGTTGAAAAAGTGTCGGAAGGTGTTGACCTATTGGCGGCTTCCTTCCGCCGCTCTACACATTTTCTTTTCGGGGATGATCCCAAGCAGAGCCTATTGTCGGATAAGTCTTTTACCGCCTTCATTTCTCCGAGACGCGACGTCTTTTAACACCACCTTGACTTCCATTCTCTACTTCTAGGGAGGAAATAAGAGCATGGCATTTCCCGTCATGGAGTCAGATGTTCGATATGAAACTCCAAGGAAGCCACCGGTCAAAATTGTGAGTTTACTTCGTCAGATAAGAGACTAGCGGTAGCTCGTATACCATTTGTGTCCCTGACCAGACAAAGGTCGTCGCAGGAGCAAGTGGCTTGATAGGGAAGAGACATTTGCAACATGTCGTCGATGAGCCGGAAGCCGGTACGTCAGCAAACAATCTGAGTTGTGGATAGAGTTGACAGACCTGGAGCAGAGCTTGTTGCAATCATGTAAGCTCACTCCTGCTGCAACTCCCAGTCAACGATCAGCTCTCCGGCTTATAGCCCTGTCTACCATAGAGACCCCGACGTGCTCGGCCTCGAGCTTGCAAATCAACACCAGCGTCCGTGCTTTCGGAATGTGGCCGACTTTTTGGCTTCATTGAGAGCTGGAGAGATCTTGGCAGATGCAGTCATCCTGGCCACACCAAACAATACACACGCACCTTTGGCCACAAAGCTCGTGGTAGCAGGCCTGGCAGTATTGGTGGAAAAGCCATTCACTGCGACGGGTGCCGAGGGACGCGAACTCTTGAAGGCCCGCAGTGAGGCCCCTTCCGGGAAGGCTGTGGTCATGGTCGGTCATCACCGAAGACACAACCCTTATACCATTGCTGTCAAACAGGCCATTGATGAAGGACGCCTTGGAAGGATTGTTGCTATCAATGGAGGTACATTCCCATATTTCCAAAAGTCCACAGCCAACCTTCTCAGAGATATTCTCACTGATCAACGAACAGTGTGGGCAATGCGCAAGCCACCGGAATATTTTGCCAACCATTGGCGGCGACAACTAGGTTCTGGAGGCGTTGTACGAAGTCTCTATTCTGTGGATCGGGTTGCTAACAAATACTGATCTTATTGCTGGCGGAATAGGTCTTGAACAATGCAATCCACGAAATCGACATCCTTCAATATCTACTAGGCAATATTGTTGAAGTCTACGCCGTAGAAGGCGTCAAAGAAAGGCCTCACCCGGTAGATGAAACAGTCCTTGCTACTCTGAAATTTGCCAGCGGCGCAGTGGGATCTTTTTTGTTCTCCGAGTAGGGAAACTCCCTTACTCCAAGGCCCTGAAGCAGAACCTGGCAGCTAACCTCTGGGTTCATCCGCCAGCACCGCGATCTCGCCACACTCTTGGGAATCCGCGACCGGAGAGAATCCTCACATCCCGGCCGCCAACGAGACCTGCCTCACGATCCTTGGCACGAAAGGATCAGTAGGGATTCCTTCATTGTATGTTTTGTCCTCTTGGCTCCGAAACTTGCAAGTCGCCTTCGACTGCTAAACACATGTCTCATCTCAAGGACACGATTCCATCAAGACGATCGTCCACACCAAGAGCAGAATTGGTCTTTCCCGTTGACAAGAGACAACACCCTCAAAAGTCAGATCGACAACGACGACACTCCACCCCTGGCCCGCCAACTCAAACATTTCATCGCCGCCGTGCGTGGTGAGGTCGAACCAAACTGCTCCGGCGAAGATGGGTTGAGGGCAGTTATGGTGGTTGAGGCGATATTGAAGAGTCTGGAGAAACATGAACCTGTCACCGTTGAGCGGGTGTAAATACACTTCTAATCTGATAGAGCGATGTCCCTACTTTTGCGGGACACCAAGGGCCACCGGCGGCCGACCGGAGGAGACTCAGCCTTGTCGCCATAAACGGCAAGGCCGGCCACGTAATAACAATAAATAAAACATTATTATTGCAATGCGGGACCAACCCGTCCCGCATTCTTCCCACTTCCCCCTCGGGCCTCAAGCTCGAATCCATGCACCACTCTGCGGGTGCCCGAGATCTCTAGGGATGCCCGAGATCTCTAGAAATGGCGCGCGTTGCGAGGGTGGGATACGACGAGGCGTCCTAAAAGCCGAGCACGCTCGCCGGCACTTTCATACTCGCAGTAATATAAGCTCACTTGACTTTGTCTCGGGCGTGCTTCATCATGACCGCACGACAAGCGATACGGGGTTTTATATATTTATATATAGCGCTCGTTGAGACGCCCCAGAAGATACAGGGTAGAGTACGAATTACCTGGTGATTACCCCTGTCTTGTACCAACAAGGCCTCCAACACTACGTTTCTTTCCCAAAACCCAGTCCGCAGCCGGCATACTGTACGCAACTTGCAAACAATTAGAACCCCCCTACTCAAAATGGGAGGAACAGGAAAAATAGACGTGCACGCGCACGCAATCCCTCCACGCTACCGCGCCCACCTCATCGCGCACGGCCACTCGCACCCGGACGGCATGCCGTACATCCCAGCCTGGGAGCCGTCCTCGCACCTCTCCTTCATGGAGAAGATGGGCATCACCATGTCCATACTGAGTATAACTTCGCCGGGTACTTACTTGGCCGACGGAGATGATGAGGCGAATAGGAAGATCACGCGCGAGGCCAATGACGACTTGGCGGCGGTATGTAGGGAGTATCCGGACAAGTTCAGGTTCTTCGCGAGTCTGCCGTTGCCGAACATGCAAGGGGCGCTGGATGAGATTGATTATGTGCTTGATCGGAACAAAGAGCAAATGGGTCTTGGTCAAGGTAGCAAGATGTGCGTGGGATTCGTCATTCTGTCCAATGCTGCCGGCGTCTACCCCGGAGACAAGTCTCTGGCGCCGATATGGGAAAAGCTGAATCAACGCAAGGCGCTGGTCTTCGTCCATCCAACCAGTTGCCATTTGTGCCCATCCTCCGCTTCTGCAGATCACCGTGGTTCTGGAGAACCGCAAACCGCGTCCGTACCGACTAGTTCGCCAAATACGAGAAGAGCACTCTCTTCATACCACCCACTGCCTATCTTGCCAAATCCGATGTTGGAATTCCCCTTCGACACCACAAGGGCAGTGGCATCTTTGATCCTCAGCGGCACAATCCAGCGGCACCCAGAGGTCCGAATCATAATCCCCCATGCTGGCGCGGTGCTCCCGCCCTTGATCGCGCGGTTCGCAGCCGTATCATCGTTCATGGTGCAAGCGGCTGCGGCTACGGGCCAAGACGCTGGTGTCATCGCGGTTTCAGAACAGGAGGTCAAAGACATCCTGGCACGCCAGTGCTACTTTGATCTTTCCGGCACGCCTTTTCCGGACCATTTGAAGATGTTGCTTGTGGTCATGCCAGATGCTCAACGGATCCTGTATGGGACGGACTATCCGTTCACCCCTGGCAACGCCCTTGTTGCAGCAAAGGCAGCGCTGGATGGTGCTTTGATGCATTTCTTTCCAGGGGACAAAGCGGACAAGGTCATGAGGGAAAACGTCGAAAACATCCTGGGGCCGCGTGAGTAGAAAATTAGAAAAGTCCGGAACTCATGGACTGGTGAATATAGGGTCCCCCTAACAATCTGTGCAATGGGAAGAACGGCCGAATCAACGTCTTTAACCCGGAACTCGCGGACGGTGTAGCACGTTGTGGTTTCATTGCTTCGTCATATAGTGGAGGAAGCACGATATATTGGGACCAAAGCAACGATTGTTGAAGGCCTTGCCAGTGTTTCACGGTTTCCAAACCGGATGTTTAGAAGAATCCTTGTTTCTTTTGCCCGCCAGAGCATATGCATATGGTCCAACTCGACAGGTCATCCTCGATTCCGTTGCTTTATCCTGATTGATCATACATATATCTCGTCATTCATGATCTTTTTATGAGACATTGGCGGGATGTAGGGAGCTAGCTCATTGCATCGCCTGACTCTGTGTCTGGAGGGATTATACCATAGTTGTCCATGTCAGGCGCTATGCTGCCCGCAATTCGCCGCCTGGCTTCCTGCCTATCCTCCGTTGTAATGCTGCTCTCATCCTTTTTCATATCCGGCTTGTGTGGCTCGGCATCTGGCGAATGTCCAATGGACGTACCGGCACGGAGCTGAGTAGTAGAGTGTCAGTGGCCGTCACACGTAGGTGGCAATTTCGGCAATATAAACTTACCAATGTCTCCAGCGCTCCAAGGCTGTTATCGACCAGGTCTTTGTCGTATACCATTTTCCCCGGTTCGAAAAACAAGAGTATGGTGCTGCCGCCAAACTTGAAATAACCAAGCTCTTCGGCTCGTTTGACTCGCTCTCCGGGTTTGCGAGTAATAATCGTTGACCCAACCATCATTGCACCGATGCAGACATACATGACCCTGCCATGCGCTACAGTGTCGATGGGTACCAAAACTCTGATGTTCTCCCCATAGACATCCAATGCTGATCGAATAGCCATGGGATTGACCGTATAGTACTCGCCTTCAATGGCCTTTGGGGTTCCCAAGGTACCGTCGACCGGGACGTGGAAACGGTGATAATCTTGAGGAGCAAGTCTGAAAATACCCATGCTCCCGCCCTTGTATCGTTTCGCTTCTAGCGGGTACGCCTCGCCAAATAACTTCTCGAGCGAGTAGTCTCGGCCTTTGACCCAGATTCGTGTCGCTTCATCAATCGTATTGAACACAACGGAGCGACAATCTGCTGGGGAGACGATGATTTCAGGTCGGTCCGGTGCACTGCACGGCCGAGCGTTGGGTTTCAACGCGCGATAGAAGAATTCATTGAAATTCTTGAACTCGGAAGTTGGTAGTAGAACTTCAGACATGTCGAGCTGGTGAAACGCAATGAATCCAGGGATTTGCGCCACCGAGGCTGGGTCATCGAACTTCTTGCCCTGTTTAATTGATAATGAGCGGAGCATCTTTTTGATTCGTTTCTTTTCCATTTCACCAGCGCCCAAGCCCTTATAGAGCAAGCGGATGCCAATACGAACGTACACAGACATTCGTTCTTCGTTGATCTGCCCCGTGATCCGGTCCTGTACCAGAATATTCGCGCTGTTAGCGCCCAGCTTGTAGCCTCCGTAGCTGATCTTGGTGATGACCTTAGAGTACCACTTCCGCTGGGCTTGGCTTTGGGTCACGAAGCCACCCATCACCAAGTTGTTGACCTGCCTCCAATCCGAGCTGGCACAAGTGGCAATGTGGGTTATGATGTCGGCTTCGGTGCGCTTGTTCAGTTTCGGCTGGTGGCATATTGGACACTCCCGGATCTCGATGACGTGCTCTTCGTCCCCTTCGTCAGCAAGGTCATTTCCGAGCAGTTTTCCTTCCTCACCCGCAGCCCCGGTTGCTTCTTGTGTAATGCTCGGTACTTCATCGTTGTTGGGAGCCTTTTGGGGGATATCATCCTTGTGTGTCGAAGAGAATATTTCGGCGCTCTTGATCTTCTCGATCTGGGACTTCTTTTCGCCACTCTTTTGCAGCTGTTCCTCGAGACACATCACTGCTTGGTCGAAGGTCAAATCCACCTCTCCAACATCTTCGTTCTCGGCAGCGAATCTCTTGAAGAAGCCGTCAATGGTCGATTCTTTCAGAGTTGACCCCAGCGTATCAAGCATGGTGGTGAATTCAATTTTACTGATCCGCTTGCTGTCATCCACGTCATACTGCTTCAACATAGCTCTCCAGAACTGTTGCCTCAGCGCATTGTAAGGAAGATACCTTCCTCGGATGTGGAGCTCAGGGCTATGCTTGTCTTCCCATCGATCCTTGTTTTTGAGTTCCAATGGAATCACATACGGTATCATGGTCGGATCTTCTATCGGCTGAGCTGGTTGGGGGTCAGTGCCTGTGGGCACCTTCAGATTATTTCCGTTGCCGTCAGAAGGTATACTGGTTGGCGGTGGAGGACGACTGATGTCGTCACTGCTTGTGCTGTTGTTCGTGCTGGACAGTGATATCTGAGAGTCGTCTTTCTTCAACCCGGGTCTTGATAGCTTTGATAGACTATTGGCCGACGTGGTGCGTGACAAGGGTATGCGGAATCTACCCTTCTGCTGCATTGCCGGCGAATACTCTGGTGGCTCAGGAAGGTCATAGAGGCCAGTACCTGGATCCTCCTTGGGAGCAGATTGGATCATTTTCTGGAGGGGGAATGATGTCGAAGCCACAAAGTCGTTGCCAGACAAGCTGTCCCGATCGATCACACTGAACGTGAAGGAGTAGCCGACCTCATTGCGCTTGATCTGAAAGACCATTTTCTCATTGTACACCGGGTTCAGGTTGTGCCGAACCACTTTTGTTCGTAAGATCTTACGACCCAACGCAGTCACCACGAAGGGGTCCATATCGAAAGAGGTTCGGGTCATGTTTCGTTCAGGTGGTAGATCGATGATCTTGACAATCTCCAGGAAAATAATGCCATTGACATCGCTGTCTTCTGAAAGGAAGTTGTATGCTCTTGCCGCAATCGATCGGCGACGGAGACGGGCGAGTCTTCTCTTCTTGGCTCTCTTGTCAGCAGTTTCTGGTTTCTGCGGAGATTCGGTTTCGGTGACGGATTCCTCCTGATCCTCGCCAAGCTCGTCGAAGTCTTCGTCTCCCGCCAATTCATCAGCATTGGAGGAGATCCGGGACAATTCATCGTCCTCTTCTTCGGCTCCAAGATAGGCTTGAAACTTTTTGCGAATCTCATCCGGACTAGCAGACGGGTTCGCGGAGTCGACGAGAGAGAATTGCATGTACACTTCTCCGGAGACGTTGCTCTGTTTCTTGCTTGCTGGTCTCCGCGAGTTCAGCCTGTACCATTTGGGCTGGGTCTGGATCTGCCCATTGGTGAAAATATCTTCAATCGGGATATCAAACTCGCCCATGTAATCTTTGCCAAAGCGGTCTTTGTCCCAGCACATGCATTCAAGTAGGGGAACGCCTGTTAGAGGCATATCGAAGCATATCTTCCATTCCGGATTGAGAGTTCTTGCGATTGAGGGGGTAGACTGCTTTGCGTTGCCGAGGGTGACCACAAGATACTAAGATTGTTAAAGAGAGTCTGGCTTGAAAGGCAGGGGGCAGATACGTACAGGGTCAGAGGTGCCAGATCGATCCTTGGGTGCCAGATTTCTCGCCTGCAAAGACGGTGAGTGACTGCCAACATCTATTCCGATAGAGGACAGGTACCTTTATAACATAAACTTTGAGGATGAGTGGTTTCTGATCGACCAGGGCAACAGTGCTGTTGTTATTACTCCCAAGTCCCGGAGGACTGGGCCGTCTGCTGCCATTTCCACCAGGAGCAGCACCGCCGGCACCCTGATCTTTGTCCTTGTGTTTTATTCCTCCAAGTTGGCTGAGGCCTCTTGGAAGGGATATGTGCACCATGTTTGGTGTCTTTGAAGGAGGTAGAAATCGTCGGATGGTGTTGGTGGTGCCGACGCCGGTTTGACCATGCGTAGGAGTTAGGCTATCGGCGAGAGGGATTGAGGCTGAAACGGATGGATTGAAGCTGAAAGAGAAGGATTGAGGGGTTCGGGGCGGGACTCAAGTTGGAGGAATCGCACCCAGGGGTTGGGTCTCGATAGAAGCGCACAGACTCCTGTTGAGACTAAGGATCCGATGGGTGCCTGGGTAAGAAGTGAAACCAGTTTGGAATGTTTGCAAGTGTTGCTTCTGTATGGCGCAGGTTGTGTTGGGCCAGGTCACGTCGGTGGTCCTTTTCGAGAGGAGTTGTTGAAGTATTAATTACGAGGTGGAGGGTGCGAAGAGGAATGCGCCAGCTGCGTCCTGATTATGATGCCATAGTTTTTCTCACTAGTAGCAGGTACCAAAGAGGGGCAGTACGGAGGACCTCGTTACCTTCAGCGCTATCTCAGGGCTCAGTCGGAGTCAGGGCGAAGGCATGGCAGGGCAGGGTTTCTCTGCTCGTCTGCCACTTCCAAGCCCCCAAAAGCGCATACGTATGCAACTCACTAGCGTTCACGACCATCAACGTCGACGAATCGCTAGTTTGGCGATCTCTCGAACAATCGAACTTCTCGACTATGGCTAGTGAGCTTGAACCTTGGAACCGTCGTTCAGAAGGAAAGCTGATCATGGCCATTCAAGGACTCCCATGGTCACCTCTGCCCGCTCCACCCTCTCCTGAAGCCTGTCAGGCACCGGATCCTTCCCGATCCCTCGATCATCTGCTCGTCTGACCTTGAAACTTGGTTACAAGAGCATCACCACGGCACCTTGGTCCCAGGTGTATGCCCACCACGGCAACCAGAATGAAGTCAGACATCTGTTCGACTGCCAGGCAGAAGGTATTTGCATCGCTGGAAGGCAAAAGGAGGAGACACAAGAGATATCCCAATCGTACACAGAAGCGTGGTTATTCTGAAGCCTAAAGGGAAACCACGAAATGTCGCTCAGCCCGCCCAAGGATATCGGATCAGGAACATATCGCCAATGATACTTAGAACACAGTTGGCGTTTGAAAAGAAAGATCCTGTCCGCCCAGGAATCAAAGAGCCACCCACAGGGTATCAGGTCCAGCACAAAGTCACTCCCGCGCGAAAATGCAGATGCCCCGTAATCGACAGGACTCTGGACTTATACCATCCATCGAGTTGATTGGAACAATCATCGAGGGTAGGGATGGCTAATATATGCGCAATCTCTGGCGTGAGTCGGCCGTGAGGCCCTCTTTTCACCAATATGTTCTGTTCTTTCTCACGGGATTTTGCTGCTTGGGTGCTTTGGCCGGGTCGTTGGTCTTGCTCTTTGGGGGTGACGGAGTTGGTGTCGCCTCGTTGGGAGATAGGCTTTCTATATCTTTCTCACCCTGTTCGCATGAGCGACCACCGCCTTGAACGACGATGCGGAAGTCGTTGATGTATAATTCAACCTCGACAGGCCTTAAATCCAGCCCTCCATCTCTGATGATTGTGCTGGCAGGGGTTTGTTGCAGTGACGGCGTCGTGTCTATGCGAGGCCGGTGCACTGCCGTTGCAGAAGCCGATGAGTCTTGTAGAGCGAGGGCAGGGTGTGCCCGGGTGTGCGCAGAAGGACAGACATGTCAAGGAAGATTGCCTGTAGGTGCTCCCACGCAGCACCAGCATCACCGGGTCACATATGCGACTGTTTTGAGGTTTGTCTTTGACGTAGATAATGGTTCCGCAAGCAAGCCTCTCTGTGCTATTTCTGGCCAGATTGCCATTTACGAAAATAATTGCGGCTCCTGGTCCAGCATCTTTATCTAAGCCATCACCGTGGTTGGGAGGTCTAGCATTGTGAAAGTTAATTTGTAGTGGGCGAGTCGTTTCCTGTTGTACCATTTACAGGTCACGATGGCTGCACGCTTGTTGCTGCGACGCTTTTTGGAGATTAAGGTTTCGTAGATTGGTGTCAATGTGCTGCCATAAGTCATGCTTGCTGCTTTGTCTTGAGTAAGGTACGAAGCAGAGAGTGATGAAGGTGAGGAATATTCCCAAGAGAGTTTCGAAGCATGAGGCCTGAATATTCGCAGCATAGTCAAACGACTCATGAGAATAAAGACGTTTAAGGCTTCATGATGGGTAACAAAGCTTCAATTATCGTGGGAGCACTCCTTGTTGGCAATGATATCAAGCTCAGAGGCACTTTGGTATTCGCCCTGGTCTGTGTTCAGATTTTGACTCAGGCAGCGTTAATCCACCTCGTAGCCACAAGACCTATTTTCCGCACTGAATACTGCCAAAAGCTCTCTGCTGAGGCACGGATCTTCGTTCCAAGAAGATTGAGGGCATTGGATCATATGTCGTATTAGCCCACAGGCTTGATGGATAGTAGATGATATCTGACTGAACAGCTGAGAAATAGGCTGCTTAGGTAGGTTGCTGTTGCCGTGGCGTCACAACGAGAGACCTTTAGTTGCAGCGTTCTCAACGACCAGAGCTGTGAATAGTACAGACCACCCATCCAAATCAGTCGCAAATTCGAAGAGCTCTCCACCCTGTATGGCTCACCTCCTGGAACCCGGCGTACAACTTTCACGTTCCAGATGCCATTACGCATTGCTCTATGTCAACCAAACTAGAGTTCAGGCAACGCCGCCACAGCTGAGTGATGGTCGATGAACAGGACCGCGCAGTTGCGACCGGACCAGCGCAGCGGGCCTGCGATTGGAGGTCACTCTAGCTATCTGGGAGCGGTTGGTTCCAAGTTCCGTACATCGGAGGACCTCTTGCTCGAAATTGATTGAACATATTGTCTGCTTCGGTGGTGGCGGCCGCAAACGGTCGATTACATTTCTGAACAGAGACGTTAGCAGGGGCACCGGTCTATAGAGCATGGCATGGACTGTGGGCTTGTGACAGGATCTGGTTGCAAAACTGGACGAGACTTACCCAAGCCCAATACTTCGAATTGGCACTGCACACTTTGTTAGCATACACAGGCAACACAATGGAAAATAGATCGTGGACTTACTACCATACATAGTTTTCCGCGTTCTGAATTGCTAGCGAGTACCCTGTCTTCTTGTCTGCGGGAAACTTTGCAAGGCTGGCAGCATTGAACGGTCCGTAGGGATCTGGGAATGGACCGGGGATTATATAGTCGGCGATTTGCGGCCCGAATTGGTGTTCCTCAATGACCTGCATGTACGTAGGGATGCCTTTGAACAGCTCTGGCCACTAAAGGGCTTCCGTTAGCAGGCAGAAGCAGTGGGACAAGGGGAGATAGAGCAGGGGCACTTGCGTGGAACATCTCATGCAGCAGACTAGACCCTATCGTTCTCATGTCCCCAGTGTCTCTGTCTCCAAGTCCATCGCAGCTCCATCCGCTGGAGAAGCCTTCCCCTGTCGTTTTCTTTGCCCAGTCAGGTGGGTTCTCGGTAGTGGCTAGGTCGACACAAGTCTGCCAGTTGATGGCTTCCGGGCACATTCCCAGATACCCCGACACCTGGAGATAGGGCGATCCTCTTACAGCTGGATCGTTAGCTTCTCTTGGTGCTTTGCCATCATAGTTGAGGTAACCATTGACGCCTTGCATGTTACAACTGGCAAGGCTACCAATATCCCACGGACTCTGGGGGTAGTCGGTGAACGAAAGGAGCAGTTTGTCCCACACTGGCCCAAAGGACGCCTGCCAAGCGTCAGCCTCGTCTCCTGGATTGCACTTGCATTGTCGAAATCCACTATAACTCTTGTGCATTTGTGGTATCGAGCGTGATACGGACTTACCGCAGGATTTGTACTTTGCAGGAGAGCAAGCACCTCTTCTGGACTACCGGTGTTCATGGATGCGGGGATATTGGCGATCTTTCGGACTTTTGCATGGTCAGCTTATCGTTGAAAAGCGCAGCCAATTTTGGATTCAAGCAATCCTGGAGCACTTACACAAAGCTTGTACAAAATTGTAATCTTGTTTTTGGAAGTATCGCAAGAAAGCCTTGTGCCGTCGTTCTCAGTAGGATACTCCCAAGTCATGCAACACGTTGCTGCCACAATCTTACCGGGTCACAAGAATTCCCTGTCAGTACTACCACTCGCGCCAGAGTGATAGCGTCTTGGAAAGCCTGATCGACCACGCCCTTCCATGTCGGATAGTCGGCTTTGAACTTTGGATCTGTCTCGAAGTAATCTGGAAACCAGATATGTGGATAGGCTGCAAGACCAAACCTCAAGCTCAGGAGGTAGAGAAGGAGTGAGAAAAATATCATCCTGGCCGTGTCCCCAAGCCTGGAGACGTACAACAACGAAGGAGGGATGAAGATGATGCTGTAGAAGGGGGCTCGTATGAAAAGAAAGCGGCCGCGGAGGAAAACGGCGAGATGAGAGCAAAGGCCTACAAGTTGTTGTCGCAAGCACAGCAGCAAAGGCAGCACAGTCGAATCGACTGTCACAAAGACAGGTCTTTCTGCGGATTAGTTGTGCCAGCCACCAGACATTTCAATTTCACTCTTGGTCATAGTGGCGGGGTGACAAAGAGTGACAGAGTGACAGTGAGTGACAGGGTGACAGAGCACGATAGACTAATAGCTGTGAGAAAGGTCAAGTTGATAGTAAAGTGATAGGTAGGTACAGGGTCCTTCTGCAAACGTTTCTTCATCTCCTGCTGTAATTGCCTCCACATGCTTCGACGAAGAAAGCCTTCAATATCACGTACATGTAGTGAAGGTGGACGGCAGTAGCTGCGTGCCTTAAGCATTGCTGTGAATCAAACCACAAAGTAAGAGGTGAAAAAATGGTGGTACAGACAGAGGCCAATGATAATGGCAATGCTCCAGGTATCTGAGTCCGGAATACTGGAAATCAATAGAGGTTTGCCATGTGTGTGGGAGGCAGCTTGACTGACCTTGTTCCCCGTACTCAACGGGGCGCGTTCTACACACGTGTCAGCTTGATGTAGCTAGTTCATCCATGACCAACGCGCTACTCAGTGAAGCCGACAAAAACCTGTGACCTGGGCTGGGAGCTTTGAGTGAAGCTGGTAATTCGCAACGATTGAAATGCAAACTTGCGGCCGAAACCCTGCTTGAACATCTTCGCCTACCATCTCCAACCTTATAGGATAATGCCGAGTGACAAGCTTGCATCTCTGCTCGAGGCTTCGCTTAAGGTGATTTCTGCCGCACTGACACCTTGAAGCCGAGGTGTTTCTGGAGTCTTGGTTTCTGACCTTTGAAAGTGGCGCCCCGTATGATCGAATGACTCGTGTTAGAGGTCTGAGCAGTGGAATGTCTTTCTGCAGTGGGTAAGCGGAAGATTCAGCTGCTATGCAATACTGGTACGCGGTATTCGTGCGATTCAATTTCTATCACCTGCCAAGTTGTTGGGGGGTTGAAGATCGTGATCATCAGGGATATATGTTTATTGTTCCTGGGTGGCGAGCTGGAGCAGGTTCGAATTCCGCCTTCGTCTCGCCGCCGGGCGAATGTCGCGGTGCATCACTCCCATTTGTACGAAGGCGCGCGATGCCTTGGGCCAGGAGATGGTCTGAGCATTGACGTGCTCTTGATAGACGCAACATGTCAGGGACTTAAACCCCTTAGTCGCCAAGCCAGGAGCCATAAAGGCCCGACTTACCACGCCCTGCGGCCGCCCTCTTCCTTGCTCGGTGCGAATTGCACTTTCTTTTCATGTCTATGATAGCTTTCAATACTCACAGACATCGTCCCCGTGCACAGACTTATTGTGACTCTAGCGGTTCATTGCAGATCTCTCACCATCGTGGTGTCGAAATGCGACGTGACTTCGTATTTATCGGTAGACATTGCTGAATGGGCTCATCTACCGCGAGCAGACATTTCGAGATGCATGACCCAAAGATCGAGAACAAGCGGTTCGGAGAAGCGGGCCCACCTGAACACGAAAATATACCCCAGGATTGACGGCTTGGGAAAGCGGAGACCCCGCAGATCGCCATGAAGACATCAGCTCGCTCAAATACTCTCGTATGCTGCTTGTTGGGTTGGTCTCTCCACCGGAACAATGTCGCCGTCCAGAGGGAGATGGAATTTGTAGTCTTTTAGTTTTGCCTATATTGCACTTTCGGAAGCGCAAAGTTTGAGGGCACCAGGCGAGGGACTGAAGGAGTTTGAGCACCGCATTTGGAGACGGCCCTTGTGCCGATTCGCTTGGTGAGCTCCGCTCTGCTTTCATCGAGGTAGTGACTGCTGGCAGGATAAGGGATTGCGGTGCAGGTCAAATTCGTTAGGGGCCCATCCTCTTCGATCTCAGGCCCGTCGAGTCGAATTCTCGGGCAAGTATTCTCCGGCAGTCCTCTCGACTTTCCGCTCCTCTTTCAGGGTATCGATGTTGTCCTCCTGGACGCTTTTGACAATTAGATGGGGAGAGTCTTTCTCTTCTAACACGATCCCGCCTCCTCTTGCCATCGACAGAAGCTCATGGCTGGCCTTTGTTCGCTTTCCAGTCTCTTTATTCCAAACCCAGCCTTCTTTTAACCACATCCAAGTAAGGTAGGCTCGTAATTCCTTATCCAAGGGAACCACCCTCTTCCACTCCGGCTCAAAGGTGTCGGGGTCCTCTGCTCCTTCACCGTTCCAACTCTTGGCGACGCCTCTCAGCTGATCCCGGCAAAACATGCGCCAACTGTCATGAGAGTAAGGTCCAAGTCCAGGCAGATGAGAAATCTCCCACGCCACACGCTCATCCCCGTCATCGAGGACTTCGTCTTGCTTGACATCTCGCCCGTCGCCTTTCAACGGATAATTGTGCTTCCTATAACGCATCCCGCGTGAAGGGGGTCTTTCGAGCCAGACTTTTGCCATTGCAACGCATTTTCTAGCCCGCTGATTCTGGAAACCTAGGCCGTAGATTATCGAAGTAATGTCGCTAACCTCGGCGTTAGCAAGATCTGCCGGCGTAGGGTATCGTGACATGAGTTGATAGAAGACAGGCATTGCACGCTCTCCAGGGGTTTTATTCAAGAAAATGGTAGCGATAAGGAGACGAAATGGGTCGTGAGCCAGCCTCTCTTGCATCAGGCCGAACCTATCGTGGGACAGAGGCGGGAATGGCAATGTCGCCAGGAACGTAGGTCGATGTTTATTTGCTTGCGGGAAGTAGGGCGACGTTGTTGACCTTCGGGGCTTCTTGGGTTTGATCTTGACTTCTCCGGTCCTGGGGCCAGCCGAAGGGGATTGAAGGAGTGGCAAAAATGGGTCAGGCCCGATATCATCTGGCACATCGGTGAGACTGGAGTCCGACGAGAGCTCATCGACATTGAGTCCATAGTAGACCCGGCCTTTGGCAGGCGTATCCGGCGGTGTGGCAACGACTGAAGCATTTCCAAAGTCTGCACCTATTGTCTGGTCGAGCATCTTGTCTTTGTCCATCAAATCATCGCCCTGCTGCTCATCTTTGGAGATCTCGTTCGTGAAATGCCTAGAGACATAGGTAACCTTGCGACGTGTACCAGCAGCTCTGCGTTTTCGGATTGCGTTTGCCGCTGGTCCAGCTTGATCCTTTTCCCGCGAGCATTCATCGTCAGCAATCATGCCCAGGTCATTGGTAGGAATGACTGGCAACTCGGCTTCTGAGAGTGGAGAAGAAGGTGGCGACAGCATTGTCGTACCAGAGGAGGTTAGCGCCGGAGTCGCCATCGTCAGTCGACTCGACGCGACGGATCGTCGGTGATTGTTTCAGAAGAGGAGAACAAGAACTTGGAGTTCCATAGGTACACCAGCGATCTGGCCATGCACTCAAGTCGTGGAATATCCTCATAATGCATTTGAATCCCTCTTCACCTTTACTACGAGTGAATGCATGCCGCACCGACTTGTGGGCGCGGCAAATTGTCACTAATTGGCATCCGTTTGGCACTGTATTCGACCCTCCAGACCCAAATGGCCAGCCTGCAATGGATCTCCTCAAGGTCCATCTGCCTCATGGCCGTCAACACTCGGGTTGAGCCCACCGACCTCTCTCTGGGTGCATCGTCTACGTCCAAGCATCGCTACTCGCCATCTGCCAGGGCAATGTTGGGGGAACCAATCACGATCGAAACGGGGCGTGCGAGGCGAGAGAGCTCCACAGCCCTTTGGCGCGCAATTTCAATCTGACTGCGACAGAGGCATTTCTGCCCTTTGCTGCTTGTGGACGAACATGACGCTTGAACAGGTTCTGAAAAGCTCTGACTGAGCAGCTGGAGAAGCCCCTTATACATCCGGTGGGCGACTGAACCACCCGAGTCGAGCCTCGCACACCGTCCCCTATTCCTTTCTACAGAAATTGAGCCCTAAACGGAGACCGAAGATGGGTGAAGCAGAAGAAGCACAAGTAGGAGAAATGGAAGAGACTGCAAGATCTACAATTCGGCGGAAACCTGTGCCCACAACTCTACCAACCCGAACCCCTGATAAGCCCGAAAGTCTCCTGAGCCGATGGAAGAACCTCTCGCGCAGGACGCGCATCATTGTCTTGGTCATCGTCCTTGCCATCATTGCCCTAATCATCGGACTCGCAGCAGGTCTTTCGACGCACCACCACAAGCAGAACCTCCCACTACCTTCGGGAAATGGTGGACCTTACACTGGCGACCTGACCTACTACGAGCCGGGTTTGGGAGCGTGCGGGCTCACGTCCACCGACAACGACAAGATTGTGGCCATCTCACACATTGTATTTGACGCAGTCAGTGTTGGCAGCGACCCAAATGCAAATCCATTGTGCGGCAAGAAGATCAGGGCGCGCAGGGACAACAAGAGCGTGGATTTGACTGTTGTAGACAGGTGCACGGGCTGTCAGCCGACGGATATCGATGTCACCATCAATACTTTTGCTGAGTTGGCCGACGTCGACCTTGGTAGAGTATTGGTAACTTGGAACTGGCTGGAAAATGTCCCGGCGGGAGCTCAACTTTAAAATATGCTGCGGTCATGGAAGGTGAGCATGCGACACTGCAAACAGCCTCAATGGAATACAGCACCAGCGCAGCGTTACGGGGAGGCGGCAATCTCTTCGAGACGAGGTTCGAGACGAGGTATACTCCGCCTTGAAGCACTTTCTCCTTCCCGCACTGGATGCAACGAACAAACAATTTCAAAGGAGATCCACGTCCGCAGTCGGACATCAGCGTCCCTCCATTGAACATTCATTATGTTTCCTAATCCTACCACTGTCGAGCCAGATCCTTTTATTCGACCTCGAGGGAAGGATTCAGAGAGCCAAACTCATCGGCGATGTCTATCGTGGCGCTAGCAGACGGACAGCAGTACGTTGAGTCCTCATCACGCTTCAAAATTTCGCTAACATCGTTCAAGGTCCAGCGTCACCCTCGATGTACTTCACGATGTCGCGGCGCGCAACAACATCAGAATTGCGTCCAAGGCAGACGAAGAAGCATACCTACTTGTCCTTCAATCAGCGGATATGACGGCTGCAAATGTCAACAGCCTGCCGGACTATGTCGATCCTCGACTCGAGCCTGTCCCTACCATCGGTGGACGAGAATATTGGAAACCCAAGAATAACAGCCACAATGCTTGGAGTCACCAAGCCAATATCGTTGCAGAAAAACCGCTATCGGACGTTCTCAAAGGTCGCAAGGTCATCATGAAAGATAACATGTCTGTTTATGGTCTGCCACATACCTGTGGAACTTTCCCTCAGTTGGTTTCCAAGGACGGAAAATACCCCATTGCAACGATCGACGCTCCAATCACAAGGAGATTGCTGGAGGCTGGAGCCACAATAGTAGGCACATCGACATGCGAAAACTATTCTCTGACGCCTATGTCCTATACTTCAGCCAACGGACCGGTCCACAACCCTTGGCTTCACGATTATAATACTGGCGGGAGTACTAGTGGAGGAGCATGTCTTCTTGCACTAGGGATCGCTCGAGCTGCTGGAGTACCTGGTCTGAATGAAGCTGGGGAAGACGTAGACCTGGCGATGGGTGGCGATCAGGCGGGGAGCATTCGACTTCCGTCTTCGTATTGCGGTGTCTATGGCCTTAAACCTACCCATGGACTAGTCCCGTATACTGGAATTGCTGGACTCCATCCAATGATCGACTATACAGGCCCAATGGCGCGGAAACTAGAAGATATAGCCACTCTACTTGAAGTCGTTGCCGGCTACGACGGCCTGGATACACGCATGACGCCGGAATCGCCGCTCCCGCAACACGTTGTTGATTATGCGAAGCAACTCGCTGCTGCGCAGAACCCGGGCAAAGGCCTCAAAGTTGGCATCATAACAGAGTCACTCAGTTCTCCAGGCACCCAGCCCGAAGTTGCAGAGACTGTGCGCTCCGCTGCATTGAAATACTTTGAGGCAAGCGGTGCGACAGTGTCTGAAGTTTCGATTCCTATGCATCTGCTCGGTCCCGCCATCTGGACAGCAGCGACAAGAACACATCTTGCCGGACTGGCCATCGGCGGCCGAGTACCCGACGCGCTCAGCCACAACATTCCACACCTGTCCCTGAGATGGCCTCCGGATCAAGAAATGTATGATCTACTGACCGTGGCCAACCCCGCAGTCATAAACATCATTTTCTGCGAGACCTTTTTGAAAGAAAAATTCGGCCCAGAAGTCCAGGCCAAGGCGCATCGTCATGTCTTGCAGTTAAGAGCGGCTTACGACAAGGCCTTGGAAGAATTTGATGTCCTTATTACCCCTACGACACCAACCGTTGCTCCCCCGCATCCTGACCTGCGAGCTGAGGTCGAGGGCGGAAGTACCGTCATGGACAAGATCAAATTGGCAGTTGGGGCGACCAACAATACCTGCCCATTCAACGCCACAGGCCATCCAGCGTTGAACGTCCCCTGTGGTTGGGCACCTGCACGGAACGGGCGCGGGATGCTCCCCGTCGGTATGCAGGTGATTGGCAAGAGATGGGATGATATTGCAGTGATGAAAGCTGCCAAAGCATTTGAATTGGGCGGAGGAGGTCTAGGCTCATGGCCTGGTCAGACGAAAACATGATAATGTGCTCTGGAAAAGCAGTTCTGTCCTGTCCACCGCGGTCTGCTGAGCCTGTGAGGCTAGAAACACCGATTCCGCGCTAGGACCAACACTGAGGACAGCCAACCCGATCTGAAACTCATAAGACCTTCAGGGTGTAAGCAACGGCCTCGGACGTCGGTGACGATATCACCCTCTGTTTTCACTTCTTTCAATGGTCAAAGACTGCGAATGCTTCGGATGGCCGAAATCGGGTCTATTTTCTCTCTCCCATTTCTCCACAGGTGGCTCTTCGAATCAATAGACGCTAATCGAGGTTCAGTGCCACAAGACTTGGGGCAGCCTTGCATCAGGGGAATCTCTCATAACAAGATGAGGCGGCCGGTTTGTCGGCTGTAGCAACCCCTTGTTCGTGTGTTTCAGGATTTCATTTCGGTCTTCAGCTCTACACTTGTGATTTGAATACCATCTGTCTCATCCTCACATACTTGACCCCTCTTCTCTATTTGTCTTGTTTTGCGTCTAAGAGCTACTGAGCAGCGGAACTTCAGGGCATTACCGATCATCATTTATTTCAACTTTTGTCAGCGTAACACCGACAAAGGCTATTCAGTATCAAGCCATGCTTCTCCCTGAGCGACCTAAAAGACCCTGGACTACAGATCACACGCTTCCAGTTTCGCAGAGGCTAATAGGCTTATGATTGACAGACCTCGTGTACCTACCTATATCCCATCCATTGGACTCGCTTGTTATCTCCCTTAGTCTTCGTTCTGTAGGTATTGCTCAGTGGGTCAATACCTTGAATTTCTCGTCCTCCAAGGCAGCGGCTTGCTTGGTACCGACTGGCATGCCGTTTCTCAAGTTACACCATCCCACGGCAGTGACTGCGTGCCACGACCGAGAAACCGGAACAGGCAGCACCCGGCTTCAGTGACTCGTGTGTCGTTTGTCTGGGGAAGAAGATTTGGCCAGCGCGGTCCTCAAATACCTCTTCATCAGACTGCCTCTTTTCAATCTTGTGCCCCCCAACTTCCTTGATCCATCATTTCCGTTCTCCGTCCATCCATCTTCTGCTCTTCTCAGCCCGTACTACTCACTGTTCCCGAGATCTCCAATGATGTTGTTCAGGAAATTGACTGTAAGCGCCGTTATTGGCATGGCTGTTGCGCAGGACTTGACCACCATACTCGCGAATACCCCCGAGCTGTCCAACCTGACCTCGTACCTCGCACTGTTTCCGGACCTCACGGCGAAACTGGCATCGCTGCAGAACATCACTGTCCTCGCACCCAACAACAATGCTTTTGCGAGGCTGGCACACTCGTCGGCAGGAGCTGCCCTGGTTCAGAACGATACCTCGGCGATCCAAGCACTGTTGACCTACCACGTTTTAGATGGAACCCACACCGATTTTAGCGACAAGCAGTTCGTCCCTACTCTACTGCAACCACCTCAGTTCACCAATGTGACTGGGGGTCAAGTTGTGGAAGCAACCTCCACCAAGAACCAGACTGCCTTTGTCTCAGGGTTGCTCAACAATGCGAGTGTCAGCAGCGGCCCCGTCAACTTCACTGGTGGCGTGGTTCACATTATTGACGACGTCTTGACTGTCCCGCAAAGCATTTCGGACACCGCAGCTCAACTCGATCTCTCCGCTGCCACCGGAGCTCTCACCAGCGCGAATCTGGTGACAACGGTCGACACTCTGTCTGATGTGACTTTGTTCGTCCCCAACAACGAAGCTTTCGAGGCGATCGGTTCCGCTCTGCCCAATCTGACCACACAGGGCTTGTCGTCGATCCTGCAGTATCATCTCGTTCAAGGTGTTGTCGGCTACAGCCCCCTGCTACAGAACGGCACGGTGAAAACGGTTCAGGGCAAAGACGTGACCATCACCATCGAGGATGGGGAGGTCTTCGTCAACAGCGCACGCGTGGTTGTACCAGACGTGCTCGTCGCGAACGGCGTGGTTCACGTCATTGACAATGTGCTGAACCCCAACAATACCACTGCGAGGCCCAACCCATCCCAAGTGTCCGGCTCGCCTGCATTCAGCGATGTTAGCTCTGCCAGCAATATCCCCTTCACTTCTGGTGTGCCGACGCCAACTAGCACCAGTGCCAACCAGTCAGCCACAGGTGCGAGAGCGACATCAAGTAGTAGTTCTGGAGCTGCGGCGCCTGCAAATACCGGGGCAATGGGTGCAGCGGCCTTAGTCGGCGGCGCTTTTCTAGTATTAAACATGTAGATGGCATGAACATTAGAGGGGAAACACAGGATGAGCATGACTGACCGGGGTCCAGCATGGGCCGAGCTCAGACAGAGAAATGTCTGGTGAGGGCAGATCGAAGGGATCGTGGGGATCTGAGTTTGCGCACCTGGACAATCAAGCGGTAGACACATGGCTTGCTTGCTGGCATGGGTTGTAGAGACATTATTGAAATCAAACAAGCGCTTAAAAAGATGTACTCAATAATATCCTGATTGAGATTGTCTACTCGATTTAATTATCTATTTTTGCTGGTGGAAGCCAAGGCGTGGGAATTGAGGAGGCACTGGCGGGCGCCTTGAATGTCCAATCAGGCTGCAGGCAGCCTTGCTATTTTCCCTGCCACCAGCAATTCGACCGACTGCGCCTCGACCACCAACGACATCATCGCAGATGGGGGCCTCATCCTTGGAAGAACCAAACCACAAAGTGACACGACACCCAAAGCCTGACAGTCGCACTGATCAAACTCAATTCCCTTCGCACGACTTGTCTCTCTCCTCCTCCGACAGCTACCCTTCGACATCACTGGCAAAAACATCTTCCCGTTCTTTCTGGTGACAGGTTCTCCTCCCCGCCAGCTTAAGCGCCCTGCCACTCCACAATAAATCGCCTTTGGGCACAAATGGTACCCAAGGCCTAAGCGCCTCGAAGTACTACCATCTGCGGCCGCACCATGCGACCTCCCGTCCAGCATCATGCCTTCCAAGATTCGAGATAATAGCGCCGAGCGGCGACGCGAGAAAAAGGAGTCGTCGCGATCAGAAAAGGACAGAAGAGAACGAGATCGAGAGCGAGACCGGGACCGAGAAAGAGATCGGGACAAAGATCGTGACCGAGACAGAGACAGAGAGAGGGACAGAGATAAGGACAAGGAAAAACATCGGTCTCATCATCGCAAAGCTTCTGTCCGAGAAAAGACATCCTCAAGGACATCCATCTCCCCGGTCAATGAAAAGAGGCGGTCCTCCATGCCGGGAAAAGTCGAAGATGTCCCCGTCAAATCGGACTCCAAGTCCAGCTTACCGTATCCTTCATTCTCCAGAGAACATAGCCGCGAAGCCGTTGGGTTGGCAGGTCACCCGGTCCTCAACGTCTTTACTCCTCCTGCGACCGATCTGAACGCTTCCAAGGACAAACTACCCTCGAGGCATTCTGCTGCTGCTGCGAATGATGCGCCGCCCAGTCCGCCGCTTACCGACAAGACCTCGGGGACGGCGAAATGGAAATCCAATATCGGCAGACCCGTGTCAGTCGAGACCATCCAGGAAGAAGAAAAAGGCTCTCAGACCGACGGAGACGTGAAGATCACGAGCAAGGCACGCCTTATACCAAAAACAAGGAGATCGAACGGCCATCTGCGCAGTTCTTCTGAATTGGGCACAGACAGTTCTCCGACCCGAAAACCGCGTGATACACCAACCACGCCGCTGAAGACGGTAACCCCGGTCTCGACAATCCCGGTTTCACAAAGGTCAGTCAGCCAACCCACCCGAACTGACTCTCCCGCGACCACCAACAGCGCAACCGAATCCGGCACGAACATCAGCTCCGAAGCGACCTCAATAGCCCCAGAGCAGCCTACAATTCAGCGGCCAGGCTCGAAAATCCCTCCCGCAGCGGTGTATCCAGATGGTCCAGCCGTCATCCTCCCCCAGTCAAGGGGTGTTACCCCAATGGAGGTGTTTATAGAAGACAGTGCCTCAGTCTTTACGGGGACGCCGGCGCCCATCTCACAGACTCCAGGACCTCCACCACCGCCTCCGGCGCCCATTCCGGTCACTGTGCCTAAGGTTGACTACCTGCTGCAGCATGGCGGACTAAACCAGTCGGTAACGAAAAATCTGCTGCTGGCAGGGAAGCCCATGGCGATACAACAGGCTCAATCGCCGAACCAACCATCCATTATGGTGGCAAATCTATTCGAACCTTACGTTGCGCTGCTTGACGATTTTGAAAAAGTCATGTCGAAGAACGGTTCTTTAGCCGTTGCCACTGGGTACCGCTCTGTTGCACGCCGACTGCTTGATCGCCTTGAAGCTGTGTTTGCTCGGGACATCTCGTCGGAAGCCTGTCAATGCCCAATGTGTGAATACGACCATGCCGAGGACGTGAGGGGTGTCAGCTGGGGCGAAGTCCTAGAACTGGTTTCTGGCAGAAAAGATCTCCCGAGTTGGCCACCTTTCGCGTTCACACAGTCGCCGGTGGGGTTAGGAATATCCCTGGAGTTTCGTGTGCCGATGCAGAAACTTGACATTGATGTGCCGGAAGAGTACAGAGAACACTATATCCGGCAGTCACGCAAGACGAAGCAAAGCGTGGACAAGTGGCTCAGCCGACAGAGCGATGACCCTAGTTCGCCTCCTGAGGAAGTCGATGAAGAAACGTTGACGTTTGCCATCTTGACACATCTGCCCGCCGAACAGAGGCCGACTTTCAAAATCTTGCTGGGTATCGTGGATCGGCCGATCGAACCTCCAAGACGTGTACCGACCCCTGAACTGGAGAAGCAGAATGGCGAGTCCGGCCCACCAAAGCCGACACCAACGCCGGCGCCCGCCCCTAGAGTCCGGCCTCCACACATCGCAGTGGCTGCGCAAGCGATTCAGAGGTTGTACCGGTTGGCGATGATGCCAAGAGATTCCGAGGCTGCTTTGTTCCTTCTCAACAACCCTTCATTGCACAACGCACTGGCCACCTTGGCCGCCATTTCCAACGACGAGTGGGATATCCTGATCTCTGGCCGCTTTGACGGATTCCTTAGAAGTGGTGCAGAGGACGTTCCTTTGCCCGAGCATGTTCCGTCAAGAGGTCCGACTCCATATCGGCCTCCCACAAGAGGTGCGACGCCTGGGTACGGCCCTCAAACTAATGCCACGGGCTACGGGTCTCGCCAGGCCAGCTACTCTCAGCCTTACCCTCACACTAATGTTATTCCCAATGCTCAATGTGGTGCGCCCATCGCGTTTGACGAGGAGACGGAGCTGGCCACCCTTGCAGAGATCGAACGCGACATCTACGCCGGGATGGAAGCTCTCGAAGATGCCTTCGAGGTCTTGCATAACAAGGCGGAAACCGTTCGTCGGGCCTTGCGAGAGCGGTCGGCTGGTTTGGCCGCCGCAGCGCAGCGAAGACGCGGCTCAGCGATGGGCGGCGGCATTGAGGTCCGCATGGATACCCCCGCGAGCGGCATCATGCCCAACGGGGAAAACGGGATGGGTTCCGGACGGTGGGATGCCGAAACTGACGATGGCCTCGGTGAGTGGGATGGTTTTGGGGAGATAGAGCCGGATGACTCGGCCAGCAATATCTCCAGTGCGCGGAGGAGAAGGCCAAAACGGAGAAATGAGAGGCGGACGCCGGCTTTGATCGAGGAAGAAGATGAGATGGAGGACGATGGAGTTAGCGAGGCAACAGGGAGTCCGAGGAAAAGATGACATGACACGACTGTTGATGTGAGATGAACGAGCTATGCATGCATGTGTTTGACTACCGAGGTTCCGCATCACGACCTGGAGGCGTGGCATGTCACCGTCGTTGCATATTCCTGGGTTGGGTTCTCTGGGCGTTTCAGCAGGCAGGCTATACAAATGGGCAATTTGAGATTCACAGAACAGAACATCAGATGGAGGGAGGTGGCTTTCGGATCGAGCTATATGAGACACATGCTGTGAGAAACAGGACGTGGAGATTTTCACTGACAGAATCGTGTGTCCATTGACATTCCCCTGTATCGTTCAGAGAGATATATACGTTGTGTGAGGCTGGAAGCTCGAACCCGTGTCTGGACAAAACCAATCGGAAGAATGCTGCGACATGCAAGGGGGAGGAAGAAAGTGGCTTTCCAAGAAAGAACCCCACGTCAAGACTTTGCAGTCAATGGAGGTGCATGGCCCATTCCTAAAGAAACAGACAGGCAGCCTCACCGCTTTCCCACCATTTGTTCGCCATTGTTGAAAAAAATCCAGCGCAACACTGCAGCGCGTTCCGCCCTTTTTCATTCCTTATTGCTTGCTCGGTTGGTGCCCACCGAGGGTAACACGGGCGCGAAATAGACGAGCGTAGACGAGCCAAAGAAGCAAATCTCCCTTCCCCCCCTTTACGCTTATCGCGAATCGGATCTCTCCAAGATGGAGACAGCAGCAGCAAGTCTCGTAGTCGAGAACGTGGCATCGGCCAGAGATTTGACCGAGTGTCTGAAACGGTGCAACTCGATGACAACGCTGCCGGTGGGCGCGGGGCGTCCCCATCACGTCCACGAATTCGAGATGGCCTACATCAAGCTCCACTTCTTGAAGTCCTGGCTCGGGGCCGTGGGAGTCACCGTGTATGCAACCGCCGCGGCCTCGCCGGGCGACCAGCGCGCGGCCCTGAGGTCGCAGTGGAACAGCCAGAAAGAGGTGGTGAGCGCAAGGCTGGACGGCATCCGCGGGCTGCTGCGCGACCCAACGAAGCTCCGCGAGCAATACGGCTTCGAGGTCGCCGTGCCTGCTTCCCGGGAAGTAGAAGACGAGACGATGCAGGCCATCGAGCCCGCGAGCCCCGCGCGCACTTCTTCTGCTGCCTCGTCGTCGCAGCCGCCACGGTCGTCGCCAGCAGCGGCGTGGTCGCTGCCCGAGCGCCACAAGGTTGTCAGCGCCCGCCTCGCGCAGCTCGACCACTATGTGGCTCTGCTCGAGGCGCTGCTTCAGCAGCTGGACACGGCCAACGAGGCGCGTCAGGTCGTCGAGATGATCCAGCGGGCGAACCGGGCGTTTCCCGACGCCGCGAACTTGGACGTGTTGCTTGAAGCTTCCACCCCAACAAACTCACACAGCTTCCCCGCGGCCACTACAGATGGCGCCACAGGCCCGCCCGGGGCTAGTGCGCAGCTGAGGCTAGCAAGCCATTCTTACAGACGAAACCGGCTTAAGGAGCAGGCCCAGGCCATCCTGGGAGACATTGGCTTCACGGATGAAAACGCCGCCAGGAGCGATTACAGAGAGAACGAACTCATTGGCAGTGCGCAGGCCGTCTTGGGCAACGTGGATGGCGCCTTTGCGTCCACTTTTTTCCGTAAAGCCGCCGCGGATTTAGAGACCAGCTAAAAGGAATTTGACCATATAATAGCAAGCAATATGGGCGAGAGAGTCTTGGAAAAGAGGGCAGCACACTTTGATACCTAGGTAGTTTTTGATGGACCATCCCTGTGCATGGAATGAAGATGCAAACACGATCCTGCGCCGTACTCGTCGTCCTTTGGGCATGAAGTACGAGCATTAATATGTAACCCGAGCGCTCCATTCCTAGTTGACGTCGGGGTGTACCCGGCCCTCCACCCAGATGAAGGCTTCACGGGTTGGTCTCCTCTGGTCTAAGGAGAAGAAGTGTCCAGTGCTCCAAAGTTTGGTTCAGAGCTTGACAAAACCCTGCTTATACTGGCTGCAGTATTGGTTCTCGTTTGTACAGGGAAAGGACAAACGGGGGCTTAACCCATCCTAATAGCCTTTTAACACACGACTGGCTCCTCATCTAACAGGTGTGGAGTCGAGAACGGTCCCGATCCTGCCTGGTATAGATATTGCAACGAACCATTGCTACTTACATACCTAGTATCTATGAACCCGAACATTCGACTGCTGGCGGGCCTTTGCCGTTCATCTGCGCACCTCAACAGCACCTGGGCAGGTACCAAAAGTCGCCTCGTGGTGACCTCAGCAGCGGGGTGAGTCATACTCCCTTATTTTTTCTCGTTGTGATTCCTCGCTCTGGGGTTGCTTCCCGGGCGAACATTTCGGAAAGTCCAATCAGCCGTGTAAAGCCGAGGGTTTATTATGTCAGAAGAACAGTTTACGCGGATGTGGCCAAATGCGAAACTGCTGAAAGAGTCCTGTCTGCACTGAAGGGCAGAAAAGGGAGATGGGTGATTGCGGACTTATTATAATAATAATCAAATCGGGAGGTCCAAGGACGCGGTTCTCGGTATTAGACAGTCGAATGTCGTCAGACCAACAACTAGGTACATAGTACTCCGTAGGTAGGGCCGTACCAATGCCCGCCTTGCCGGCTTCCGGATTTGAAGAGCTTATGGAGTAATTTAACGGCCGAATAAGCACAAACCCGCACCCGAGAAAATCGCGATCTCGGCCGTATAATCGTCCCGCGCGCAAGAGATCAAAGCCTGTCTGACCGCCTATCAAACCCATTCCCAAGACCTGTTGTTTTCTCGGGGCCCGAAGAAGAGTCATGAACAAAAAAAGAGAGAGCTAACTCGATTGTCGGAAAACCACGGTTCTGCTGATTTCATCCTCCACGGGCGTCCTCAGGGCCCAGAGACAAAACCCGCTCGGCTTCTACCTACTATTACTGTAGGATTATGGGCCGCCACTGTGTGACGGTGGCTTGCCGCGATCTTGTCCCGATCTGCATGTCAAATCCCTGCCTTGATTACTAGAGCGGTCACCTACACGTACGTCGGGCCTCTAGGACAGCACCTCTTCGCGGATAAAAGACTGGAGCGGGAAGCTTCCACGGGTACAGATCGCAAGGGGCGCTTCTGGTCTTCCAAACTCGCATCCGCGGCGGATCAATTCAATCCGCCTCCCCTGCACTACCTACCTACCTACATATACCTATGTCACTTGCGCACGCTTAGGTCACCCGCCTAACGCGCGGCTTAAAATATCCTTCCTACCCATGCGTGCTTGGGACCAAGTATATATCGCTCGCTCCCAACGTTTTCTGTCTGACTTCAACGTATGAGGGAAAGCCGACCACTCACTTGCCAGAGTAAAAGACAGCATCTTTAAAAACTAGACACTCGAGTGGTGGTAATCTTCCATCACCATTTCCGGAAAGAAAAACAGACTCCTCCTCCTCCTCCTCCAATCCAGCACACACAATCGAGAGGAGAAAGACATAGCAAAGACCGACAGAAACTCGGGGAAGTTGACACTGCGAGCAAGAAAGTCTGAACTGCACACATGCGCATGTGGCGCAGCAAGCGCCGCTCCAACATCCCTCCCGCTGTCCCGTCGGCCACCACGGAAACCCAGCCTCAACCGATGGATGCTGGCTCGCAATATGCTTCTGCCGCTGACGATTACGCTGCCCGGAGAACCAGCATTGAGAACTGCAGTGTCTGTGCCTATACCTGCTGTGACTCCCGCCGGCATGGCTCCCGTGGTGGACGACATCGCCATCACCAGTGCGCAGCGTCTCCGGTTGGGTTGCTGATTAGTGGAATGACGCAGACGATGCGGAGTCTTCAGGCTATGAGCGAGCAGGAGAGGATTGTGAGAGAGCAGACACAGACAGGGAAGGAATCCAAACGACTCGTGGAAGAAACTTGTGGCCAAGGGGAGAAATTTGAGTCGACTCGTGATACGCATGGCGAGGTTGAGGCTGGAAGCCCATTGCGGGAATCTGACACAACTTGCAAGAGGGAATCATGAGCAGCAGCATCTGGACAGGCACAAGGCTGGGAAAAGACTTGCCTAACTATCAGGCTTGCTATAACAGGCGCCTGAAACCAAGGAGCCCCTCGGGCGGCGCGGGTTGAGAAGCTGGGCTTGGATGTGTCAACACACTTGTTCAGCCTGTACATTATTACCGCGAAAGGACGACCTTATGTGGCCGAGGTCGAAACGATTGCACGGTCCTGCGATCGGTGGTGGTCCTGTAAATTATTTTAGAGAGGGATTGAGATCCACATAGACAGTCAAACTGGAAGACCGTTGAAACTTTTCAGGTATTTTCGCTTAGCACTGTGCCCGGAATCCTTAAACTGCCTCTGAATGACTTTTGGGTCCGGTAAAAAGCATACGCTGTCTGCGCCGGGAAATTGTTTGCCGTCTTATCTGGGGGGATCCATAACAAGTGATGGGACAATGGATGGAGTCCAAGAGACGTCGCTGAAGCATCGAAATACCACCTCCAGAAAATAGAGGAGACAATTCGCATCGAAAGCTTTTGGATCAATACTGTGCGTTGGTCGAGCCCTCGTTCCTCTCCACCAGATCCCCGACCCCCAAGCCACGCCCGACTTTGACCTTGACCATCTTCTCCTTCTTCGCATCCTTCTCGCCGCCATTATTGACCGCCTCGCCGGCGTGAGCATCCTCCTCCCCCTTCTTGCCCAGCGACCCGACCCCGTCCCCTTCGTCCTCGTCGTCCTCGGGCAGACTCTTGAGCTGCATGCCCGTGAGGTCCATGCGCATGGCATATGCGTCCTCGCCGTCGGCGTAGTACTTGCTCTCGACCTTCTCGACCTCGAACCCCAGCGTGTCGCGGTACAGGTGCAGCGCCGCGGTGTTGGACATGCGCACGTGCAGACTGACGTAGTTGGCGTTGAACACCTCCGCCATCGCCCGCTGGCTCATCCGCATCAGCTTCTCCGCGATCCCCAGCCGCCGGTGCGTCCGCATCACGCTCAGGCTCGTGATGTGGCCGTGCTGCACCCCGTCCGGCGGGTCTTCCTCCATCTTCGCGAGCACGTAGCCCACCACTTTCGGGTACCGGCCTGGTTTGGAGCCCGCGCCCCGCACGACCGCCACGAAGGACAGTTGCGGCCATGTCAGCGCGTGGTAGAGGTAGTATTTCAGAAAGTAGTTCTCGGGAAGGTTCGTCAGGTTGCATTGTTGGATCGACGGGAGGAGGGAGATGTGCGATGGGTACGACGAGACGGGGACGATGTCGACCATTTTGGGCGGGCAGAGCCTGTATTGGAATGAGAAGAGGAGAGAAATACTAGAGGAGAGTTTCTATATCGGAAGAAAAGATTGTGGATTGAGGTTCCAACACAAAAAACCGCCGTCGTGTGCTCGGTGGAACTTGGAGATGAAACTGCGGGCGATTTCAAATGACGCCAATGCTCGGTCATTTTCAGCCTCGTGCGTAGATCGTGGAGATTTCACAATAATTCTAGAGCTCATGCTTTTTATGCTATGGACATCTTCATGCCACCGTTGGCACATATCACGCTGCCTGTCGTCCATCCGCTCTCTTCGGAGCAGAGCATCCCCACCACGCCCGCAATCTCGTCGGTGAAAGCTGGCCTCTTACCACCCATGCCCTGCAACACCATGCGATCATATTCCTCAGGATCACCTCCCGCCCGTGCTCTGACCGCATCGTCACCACCCTTGTAGTCCATCAGCGGTGCACTGTCCACATATTTCTGATTTGTTTTCCAGAACTTCTCTCCTGCGAGGCTGTACATGTCCCCCCACACCGGCCCCGGATTGATAGCGTTGACTGTGCAGTTTTCCGCCAACTCCCTGGCCCAGACCCGAGTCATGGCTTCCAGCGCCGCCTTTGTCCCAGCGTATATGGACTGTGACTCGCAGCCGATCGACGAAGACACGCTCGATACATTGACGATGCGCCCGGAGCGGTCTTTGGGGAGGTACGGCTGGCATGCCTGAACCAGCAGCAAAGGTGCAAGGACGTTCACATTGTACTGTTTTCGGAATTGTGTTTCTTCAATCGCGCCCATGTCCGGATCATTCAGCAGTTTGTTCCCGGCGATGCCCGCGTTGTTGATGATCATGTCCACTTGGAACGTGCCCGTCCGAGGATGCGAAAAGTGATTCTTCGCGGTGACCAGGATGTGAGGGATGCTGCGAGTCGGGTCTGCAAGGTCGGCCTGCACCGGGAAGCAGAGGATATCATGAGCCTCAGAGAGTTCTTTGCAGAGAGCATGCGTGGGTTCGGTGGACGAGTCGGACGTGTAGACGAGAAGGAGGGAGCATCCTTTGGCAGCTAGGTTTCGTGCTATGGCGGCTCCGATTCCTACTATCGGTCAGAAGAGCTGCAGAGAGTGGATATCCGTCTCTGCTCAGAATGTCTCGTACCTCTTGAGCCGCCGGTCACGATACCAAATTTGCCCTCGTGCGGCCGGTATTCGGCGCTCTTTGGCATGTTGGTAGAAGAGAAAGTCCTGCGGCGAGAGGTTGAATTGTCTGCCATTGGAACAGAGCCTGAGATGGGCGCGAGGACGAAATTCTATATCTTCTGTAAAACTGTTTTAGCTTCTAGACCTGTAGGCGGACTCCATAGCGGGAGGTGGGATGAGGGAGCCAGCGCGGGGAAATTTCGAGGTCCTCACGTCCTCATGCGGCGCGTTTTCCACTTTTATTATTGATTTTCGGCGCGAATTGGCCCGCAGCTTCTGTGGACAAGTTTCCAGTTCAGTCCGTGAGAGTCACTGTCGCCTCATCCCTACCCGGCGCTCTCAGCGAGCGAATCTTCGCAGACAGTTCTTTGGGCTCTCGGCTGCTACTCAATTTGGTCGTACATATGAAGGTCGATGGACTTTCTCAAATCCGCAGCCGCTTTTGCCATCGCCAAATCCAGCTCCTTCCCAGTCACCATCGGAGATCGTATTGATTTCGGAGACTCGATTTGGATCCTGCACAATGCGACCAAGAAGGTGAGTTGGAAATCCCGTTGGATCCTGTGGTGCTGGTCTGATGTACGCTGGTGCAGGACGACAACTCGCCATGCTGTCTCTTCAACTTCGACATTCAGGCCAACAAGGCTCTAGTGCCCCTAGCCAAAAATGCCGCCCGAAAACTGCGAACAATTCGACACCCCGGTGTGATACGGGTGATCGACGTGATCGAAAATGACACAAACATCTACATCATCACCGAGAAGGTGACCCCGTTGGCCTGGCACATCAGGCGCAAGAGCTTGAGTGAAGAGACCATAAAATGGGGGTTGTACAGTGTTTCATCCACCCTCAAGTTCATCAACAACGATGCCTCCTCTGTGCATGGCGCGGTGCGCATCAACTCAGTCTTCACAAGCGAGAGTGGCGAATGGAAGCTGGGAGGGTTTGAGGTGCTGAGTTCCATGAACGACGACGACGCGATTATCTACAGCTATGGAAGTTCATTGCCAAACTCGAATGCTTATGCTCCGCCCGAAGTGGTCAACGGCGGCTGGTCCGCTATCAAGAAGAATCCCCTGGGAGCTCCGGACGCATACGGTCTCGGCACTCTCGTATATGAAGCATTCAATGGGGGTTTCATGAGCAGCGACAGCCTAGCACAGCCGAAGAGTATACCTACGAACATGGTGCCGAGCTATCGGCGACTGGTCAATACTAATCCGAAGCTGAGATTGAATGCTGGTCAATTCGTCGAGCAAGGAAAGAAGGCTGGCGGCTTTTTCGAGACTCCTCTTATTCACATCACTGAAGGAGCGGAAAGTCTTGGGTTGAAGAATGAGGAGGAACGAAATGAATTTTTGAAGTAAGCGCAGTCTCTGATATCGAAGAAGCGTGTTACTTACTCAGTCCCAGAGAACTCGACAGCCTCACGGACGACTTCCCAGAAGATTTCTTCAAGATGAAAATATTACCCGAGCTGCTCAAGTCGGTTGAATTCGGTGGTGGCGGACCCAGCGTCTTTGGAGCCATCATGAAAATCGGGTTGAAAATGTCCGATGATGAATTCGAATCACGCCTTGGGCCGCTCATTATACGTCTTTTCAATAGCCCCGACCGGGCCATGAGAGTATGCTTGTTGGATAACCTACCCCTAATGATCGATCGAATACCTCAGAAGGATATAAATGGCAAAATCTGGCCTGCCATGACATCTGGTTTCACCGATACAGCACCAGTCGTCAGGGAGCAGACGGTAAAAGCCGTCCTGTCCGTCATCTCGAAATTGTCAGACAGAATCATCAATGGAGAGCTTCTCCGGTTCCTCGCCAAAACGGCCAACGATGATCAGCCTGGAATTCGAACTAACACCACGATATGCCTCGGAAAGATCGCTAGAAATCTAGGGGTCGGGTCACGGTCAAAAGTACTCATTGCTGCCTTCGGTCGTTCTCTGAGAGATCCTTTCGTCCATGCCCGAAGTGCGGCATTGATGGCACTCAGCGCAACCATTGACGTTTTCAGTGACGATGATTGCGCTATGAAAATTTTGCCTGTCATTTGTGTCAGCTTAGTCGACAAAGAAAAGGTCGTCCGGGATCAAGCTGCCAAAGCAGTCGAATCCTACATGGCTAGAGTCCGCAAGTATGCGTCAACTCTACCTGAAACAGCACTTCCACCAGAGCCTGGCCCTGGAGCTGTCAGTGCCACCACCCCAGCCAGGATTGGAAACCAAAGTGATACCAGTTGGGCTGGTTGGGCAATTTCCTCGTTCACAAACAAAATGGCAGGGGCCAGAGGCGAGATGACTTCCACGGCGACAACGAACGGGACACCTTTGGCACAAACGCAATCAATGCCTGCTTCCGGGCGCAGCACACCCGCAATCAATGTTTTGCCCGACGCACCGACTGCCACCGCATCAAGACTGCGAGCCTCGCAACCAGCGAAAAGTTTCATACAAGCTATTGAGCCGGAAGACGCCTGGGGGGAAGAAGACACGATGGATGCTTGGGGTACCGTGGATGATGATGGAGATAACTTCTTTGATGCTTCGTCCTCGCAACGTACAAACACAACTACCCCTGAACCTGCGGCTGCGGTGGCGGCAGCCTTCGATGACGGAGGCGAGCCAGATTTTGCCGGCTGGCTAGCCGCGCAGTCCAAATCAAAGTCGCAGAAACCACTCCCAAAGGGCTTGTCCAAACCGACTGCCACAGCGTCCACTTTGAACGTCCGTCCTGCTGGGCCAGCGAGAAGTATCTCCGCAGGTGTTGGGACAGCCGGAATCAATGCCAAGAGACCGGTCATTGCAAGCACGAGGACTGCAGCACCGGTAGCAGCAAAGAAAGAAATCAAGAAAGACACGCCAAAGCCGAAAGAACCCGACGTCAATGATGATGACTGGGGCGAGGCCTGGGATTGAGGGAAGAAACTGCGCACCAAGGTTGTGGGACCAGAAGCCAGCCATGCTCTCGCCGTACTGCACTGCGGTTTTGAGGCAGTAAAATTCGAGTCCTTTGGCAGGGCAGCAAACAAATCTGTTACAATTATCCATGCTGCCGTTATGTCCCTCGGTGGATAGACTGTTTACGGAACTGTTTGTACGCCGTTTACGACCTTTGTTTGGCTCGTCGATAAAGTTGGCCTCTTGAGCACGGATTGTTTGCGTGAACAGGCGGAAACAGAACGTATTATTTCACTGACCGTGACAAACAGAGTCAAATCGTTGAAATACTGGATGTTGACACCGGAATTGACGACTGAACTGACATGCTATCACCGCGTCAGTTTTGAGTATGTCAATGCTTCCATATTGGCTGGGATATCGCGCAATGTCGGCCATGCCATCTGCCAAACGAAAAACTCCTTCAACCTATTCTTGCGATTCTTCTTCCAGCACGGGGTCTACAATGGAGATGTATTCAGAGGAGTTCATCGAAAAAGCACGAGCACAACAAGCCCAAGCCGATCCCGTATTGGTCGACCTTGATACACCACCGGAAGACCTCCTGGCAGATCCTGACTCCAACAGAGGCCGCCGGTTGCGTCTTATAGAGGAGGCTCGGCGAGACAGGCTACAGCTTGAAGAGCAGCAGAAAGAAGCCGTGCGTAGGGCCACGGAACAGATTGAGGCGAGTATGACCACACCTCAGAAGACAAGCAATCCTGAACAAGGATCTAAATCGAAGAGAAGACGTAACCGTGGAAGGGGGAATCGCAGTGGCCGGGATGGGAGTGTGGCAGATCAACAATCCGCCCTTTCACAACGGGCAGGGTCTCCTGGTGCAATCCAGGAGGACCCCGGCCTACAAGGAGAGTCACTCCCTTGGGATGTGCAGCCGGTGCCTGCGTCTTCCAGCTTTATCGGAGAAAGTCTGCATCAAACGGCCAGCGGGATAGGTCGACAGTCGCGCAACCCGTTTGCACGATTGATGGTTCGGGAGTATCAGGGATTGACCAACTCACCCGGAGGCGGCTTGCAACCTGGAGCCTTGTATGGTCCGAACCTACAAGAACCCTCTTTCCAGCCGAGAGCTGAACCACACAATGTCGAGACAGAACAGGCGTCGTTGCCGTCGAGATGGCCTCTGGCTCGCGGAGTTTTTGGTCGTCGCCACTCATCCGCAACTGGCACGGCTTCGGATGACCAGACTTGCTTCTCACGGCCTTCCTCTTTGGTACCTCATTCTCTTCCTGCTTCACGGGCTCCTGACGCAGGATCCACAAACACCATCGTACAAGACAACGAGGATATCCTCAGGCGAGGGCCACCATTCTTCGGACCTACGCGGGCTGCCGAGGCGGAACATCTATCACAAGCACAGCACACGCGCAATGACTGGAATTTGCAACAAGAGATAGCTTGGGAACGAGACGCACTCTGGAGAATTTTGAGGCAGCAATTTGGCCTCAGCGATTCGCAAATTCGAGCATTGTTGGAAAACGAAAAGAATGGGCGGGGCGATCCGGAGTGGGTTTCTGTAGTTTCCTCAAGGTAGTTTGGTTTGAGATGTTTCTGAGCATGCGGTGCTGTGGCATTGACACAGCTTTGAGCAATCTGAAGAGTCGTTGTGGACGTCTTGGGGTGTCCGGTGCTCGTCCTTCTTCGACAGACACCTTTTGCAAGACTCCAAAGCCACATAGCATCGATTCTCTGACACCGCCTGGCGCCCTTCGTCTTTGATCTGTCCCCCACCGTGTCACCCTCGATTGATACGTTTTTGTCGAATGTCGTCTGAACCACCTGGTGTCCTAACTACTTGATCCTGCCGTCTTTGACCATCTCTCTCATGACCCTTATGGTTTCTTCGACCGCCATCTTTGCAATCTTTGTCTCTTTCTGCCTCTTTTCGTCCAGCGCCTTGGCATCGCCCTCACATTCCGGATGCAGCCACTCAAACGTGTAGGTCATGTAGAGATCCTCGCCCTCCGCGCCCTGCCCTTGCGAGATGACATTCTGGACCGTGGAGCCGTCCGGTTGGTGGAATTCCACCTTCATCGCCTCAAAGGCCACGCACGTCTCCCTTACTCTGCGGTTGCCGTCTCGAAAGACCACCTCGCGCACCGTGACGGGCCGACCGTGGTCGTCTTTTGATTCGGAAATGACGTCCGTGGAGAGCAGGGCGCCGCCGACAAAGTCCTGTCCCGCGCGGATCTTCAGCTCGAGACCTTGCCAGATCTGTGGGAGAGTGAGTTTCGGGGAGGTGGAGGGGGGGTTGATGGGCGCGGTGTAGGCGATGTTGTTTGAGGGAGTCATGACGGGCGACCGTTACTTGAGGATCGAGGACAAGTCGATCGGAGGGAATGGTCACAGAAAGTTGTTTTTGTTGTCGTGGGGAAGGTACCTAGGTACCTAGGTAGGGTAAGTGGTCAATGTTTATTATGATGATACCTTACATGAATTGACAGTTTTCGGGGGATGCCCATCGCGGGGAAGTTTGTCACCGTGGACCGACTGCAACAGGCGCTTGATTCGAACAGCCCCCTTTGCAGCTTCAGGCGTCCGACCGACGCCGATGTCTTGTCACCTGTTGTTCGCCCGTCCACACCTTTTCATTGATCCCGACTGCGCAATTCAGTAGTGAGCTCTACCCAACTTCCTGAAAGATAATGGCTCGTGTCATGCTCCAACAAAGATTCACACCCACCAGGTAGCGGCCAGCATTCTCCAAGTCCTGCTCACCTGATAACGTTTCATTGTTCGGACATGCCTTCACCCAACGCGCACCATCATCTCTCAGGAGAAAGGTGCAGAGGGTGTGACGACAGCTTCTATCTTATCGCTCACTAAAAGCTGCCTCTCCCCGTCCCTCCACATTCAATGAGGGCATGATTGAGTAATGACTCCGTTGCTCTGGAATTGGCGAATCCGGGATTTCAAAGCGTGCCTCAGGCCGAACAGCAAGTGCCCCGGCTATCATCGGGGCCTGCAGACCCAAGGCGTCCCAGAGCCAATCCCACGCATCCCCACGCCGTTGCTGCCTGGAACTTCATGTCAGCAAATGGAGTCTGTTCAGCAGGTCGAGTCGTGAAAAGTACGCCCAAGCCAATCATACACCTGTATCGTCCATTAGTCAGGAACCTCGAGCTACTTTCAAGAGGCAAGTTCTTCCATGGCATGGCACATCCGGAAACACCATGGCACGTATTCGGCAAGGAGCAGCCTCTGGTGGCTCTACATATATCGCTATGCCCCGCAATTTGAAGGAATGACATCGCGCCTTTTTCTTTGCTTCCAAGTCAACTATTCAATGTTGTACACCGCGACAACATGTCGACCACAGCAGTAATCGAGAACCTCCCCGTGATGGAGAAGCCAAAGAGAACTCGCAAGACCCATAATAAGGTTCGAACGGGATGTATAACATGCAAGATCCGCCGGAAAAAGTGTGACGAGGAGAAACCTTTCTGTCGCCGCTGTACAAGTACTGGCCGGAAATGCGACGGTTACCCTAATCAATCTCCCGACCAACATTCAACATCGGAAGAGACACCCCCCTTGTCCATTGGACACGATTCCAAGCGACAGAAGACAAGCTCGGACAAAGTTGCTATTCCTGCAATCAAAAGATCGAAACCCAAACCCACCGTCGACGAACTATGCCGGTCGCCGTCCAATGTCAGGTTTGACTCGGACGCCGACTTTTATTGTTTCGACTTCTTCCGCTCCCGCACGGGGCCCGAGTTCGCCGCATATTTCGACAGCTCCATCTGGCGGACGTATATTGTGCGAGCATGTGTCCAGCACCCCACAGTGCTTGCCGCCGCTGCAGCCGTTGGTGCTGTGCATCGGAGGTTTGAGCTGGGAATATCTCGCGAGGCATTTGAGTATTGCGACATCGCAGACAAACTGTACCAGAAGGCGCTTCGAAAACTGTCGGATGATATGATTTCGCATCCGAATGCGGCCGAGATCAACATGATTGTGATGAAACTCTTTAGCATTTTTGAGACCTTTCAGGGTAATTACGAAGCAGCCCAAGCGCACATGATCAACGGTCTGAAGGGTCTGCTGAATCGAAAGATGCGCACGACTTACAAGAACACGCAATACCGCGCGGTCGAGATAAGCCACGACAGTCTGCGACGCTTGTTCTTGAGACTCGAGCTTGAATCCGTCCGACTATTTGGAGGTGCAGCCAGAATCCTCAGCGATCCGGAACTGTCAATGCCTGGGCCATATCTCAGCCCGTTCTCCCCCACCGAGAGCGATACCGACTCGTACCCTGACCCAAACCCCCATCCCGTTCCTCGCGTCTTCGATTCACTGTCTCAAGCCCGCGACGAGCTCTTCACAGAGGCGACTTGGATCTGGCATACGTGGAGTCTTCTCGAACAGGGCTTGCTGATGGGTACGGGGTTCCAGCGGCATCAAACGCACATCTCCCGCTTATTGCAATGGAGTATGGCCTACGCAGAGTACAGCAAGACCGAAACTTCTCGAAACAACCCACACGATCGCCATCCGGCTCAGCTTCTCAAGGCGTACCGTGAAGCCGCATATCTCTTGTTACTTACACAGATGGCTCTCCACTCGCCTGACACGGGTGAAGTGATTGTGCCTCTGTGCGACCCGCCCGAAACCTGTGACTGTCACCGATCCTGCCGCAACTACGCAGAGCGCAAAGAAGCCTTGAACGCACATTTCGCCCGCTTGTTGGTGCTGAGCGAGAGTATCTTGAATCGTTCGTCCTTCTTCGCGTACGACGAACATTCCATGAGTGTCGACAGCGGGATCGGTCCGCCCATCTATGTCGGGGCGACGGACTGTCAGTCCACCAAAGTCCGATACCAAGTGACCTCCCTCCTCAACAAGTCGGAAATCAAATCCCGCGTGTGGGACGCTTTGGGCGTGTACACCATTGCCGAAAAGCTGGCGAGCATCGAAGAGCACGCAGTGGTCAAGTGTGGTGCCGTCCCGGACGAATTGGAGCCCAAGTGGGTGGATGTCACCTTCTTTTTGGACGAGAGGAGGGTCCTGCTGCGGTATTGCCACGCCGATAGAGAGGGCAGAGGGGGGAAGTTGAGAGGAACGGGGCTGTGGACTGGCGAGGATAGATGGGATGAGAGCGGGAGTGGTGGACTGATCTGGACGCAGGAGTGGGTTTCTTTTTGAGAGGCACGTAGATGCCACGCGCCGGGGGCAGAGAGCATTTCTAGATGGTAGACAGGACGAATTGCGAGCCAGCTATCATGGGCTGTGTATTAGCTTTGTTTCGATCTGACAATCCGGGACTATGGTGGTGAAAGCGAGCGACCCTGCTCAGCCTCGCCTGCTCCGTCTGAAGGTGGGAAATCCGCCGGACGATCCATCTGCAGTTGCACTGCCGTCTACGTCCTGCACCGTCTTCTCGTGGGTGTTGTCGGCTCCCTCTGGTCCAACCTCGTTCATTTGACTCCGTCGGACCGCCCTCTTCCTCCCCGTACAACAGCAGACCCCACAGCACGTGCCGAGCTGCATCAGGAACCCGATCAAGTCGAGACCGGTGGCGATCCACATGAAGGCGAGCATGGGCTTCCCCAGGTACGCGTGGATGTTCAAGTCGGCGGCGCCGGAGAACTTGTCCTGGAAAATCAGGAACATGATGGTCGCGATGAGAGAGGCCACCGCGGTGAAGAGCAATGCCGCCAGGCTCAGCAGCGAGACCGGGAACTGGCGGCAGAAGACCCGCTTCGCCTTGTGCTGCCAGCGCGGCCGCTGGGAAAACCCCAGCGGGGAGACCAAGATGCAAAGAAACGTCAGCACCGTGCCGACCAGGAAGCACGAGAACATCCACGCGGACGCGAGCCGGACGAGGTGCAGCACATTGACGACCTCGGTGGGTAAAGTGATGGATGCCCCCGCCAGGAGTTCGTTGAGGATGATTTCGACGGGGTCGAACCAGTACAGCGTCCTTGTCGGGGAGCAGTACGTGATGCCCTCGCCATTGTAGCCCTCACAGTAATTCCAGAGGCCGACTTGGTAGAAGTCGTGCAGGCCGATGGACTGGGCGATGCTGTTGATGAAGACGGCGTTGGGGACCGAGGCCGGGATGATGTTTGCCAGCTCGATTTGGAGGAAGTAGGTCGAGCGGATCACGGCGTCGTTGTTGATGTTGCCTATCTCGACCAGGATGAGGAAGATGGTGGCTAGGAGATAGATTGTTACTGTGAAGATGCGGAGGAGGGTCGGTTTGGAGTTTCTGTAGCCCGGCGGTACCGAGTCAGGTGGGTGGTTTTGGGTGATCGGCTCTTCAGATTTGGAGCGGCTGAAGATGGCCATTTCTGATATGAAGCTGAAAGGCCACTTTAATTAATACTGGTAGCTACTGAGCATTTCTGGCCGGATTGTCGCCAGCAGAGAAGGAGGGAGTTGGGGGAAAGATGTGTGCCAAGAGCTAGCCTCCCAGTGCCTCCCCGGCAGCGACATGGGCAAAATGATGGGACATGAGCAATGTTGAATTGACTGTGGCTTGGACAACAGCGAGCGGAGTTGCGTTGGTGGTCCAGAACTGCAGAGGGTGCAGAGGGTGGATGTCCACTGGGATGTCCACTGGGATGTTCCCAATGGATGTTCCCAATGGAGGCCCCCGTAAGTAAAGTGACTCCCGTCTGTGACTCTGTGACTCTCCATGACATCATACAACAGTAACTGCAGCCTTGTGCCTGCGCCAACTTGCAACTAGCACGTCACATCACATCCACTTCTGGCATCACCGAGTGGAGAATCAAGCTGCATTATTGAGCGGCGCCACGGGCTGGACGGCAACTTTGTTTCCTCGTCCGCAGAATTGATGTCAAAAAATAAAAAAAACAGCCACCCATCACCAAAAAAGAGGCCAGCCGCCAATAAACAAGGACCACGTCTTTTTTTGGGGGCCCGAAGGGATCAAATTTCAAAACAACGATAGCGAGCAATTATTCAATGGGAGACGAGAAACAGCAAGCAACGAGGAGGCATGTTGCTCGGTAACGCTGGCTTGCCAGCGAATACCTACCTATGCCTTGGCTGCGCCACTTTCTTCGCAGTGGAGCTGGCCAGGGCCCAGGGGGAGTATCTCCGATCCAAGAACAACGCGCGTCACTAGAAGATATTGGAAGATGGGTGTTGGATTATTACTTGGTAGATGTAAATCACGTGAAACTTGTGTCTTTCCTCCCAAAAACAATGTTCTTTACGCCTTTCCACTTTCTCAACCGCTGGACCACCTCTTTCCGGCCAGCGTGAAACTCTAGACATGCGATTGCTACTATCCTCGCTAGTCCTCGCCGGCGGCCTCCTGCTACAGGCGCATTCGCAACCTTCCGATGTCGTCACACTGAGCGGGACAACAGAGACGACAACGGAAACACCAACGTCGACCGGCGCCGACTATGCCACCAGCGGAACGACCTACGCCGACGAATCCAGCACGTTGACCATCACCGCGACCACCGACTATGCCACTGTGACGGACTTGTCCAGCCTTCTTGCTACGTCAAACGGCACCGCTGCGTCGTCGTCGGGGACGATACATTCGAATAATGCGACGACGACGACGACGACATCGTCTGCCACTGAAACTGTGTTGGTGGGCAGTTCGAAAACAACAACCACGGCTCTAAACGGGACGGCCACGACCAATAAAACAGCCTCGGGCACATCGTCTTCGGCGCAACCCACAAACACCGTCCCGTGCAATGGCCATCCGTCATTTTGTAATCGGAAGTTCAGCAACATCACTCATGTCGCGGCACATAACAGCCCGTTCGTGCGTCCGGGGAATCTCGCCTCAAATCAAATGCTGGATGTCGAGACTCAGCTCAATGATGGGATTCGAATGTGTATGTGTTTGACGGCGTCCCCATGTATGGCAATTTGTAATGCTCAGACTATCCACAGTACAGTTCCAAGCGCATCTCCAGAACGGAACCATGGAGCTCTGTCACACCTCCTGTGAGTTACTCGATGTTGGCAGTCTACAAGACTACCTCACCACCGTGACGAAGTGGCTGCGCAACCACCCGTACGACGTCATCGCGATCCTCATGGGCAACTACGACGTCGTCGACCCGGGGAACTTCACGGCACCCGTGGTCAATTCCGGCCTGATCGACTTTGTCTACACTCCTCCCACACAGCCCATGCCTTTGGAGTCCTGGCCCACCCTGGCCGAGATGATCTTCAAGAACGAACGTGCGGTCGTCATGCTCGACTACCAGGCCAACCAGACCGCGATTCCCTGGCTCCTCGACGAGTTCTCGCAAATGTGGGAAACGCCGTTTTCGCCGACGGACAGAAATTTCCCCTGCACCCCCCAACGACCACCGAACCAGGGTACAAACATCCGCGAAGATAGAATGTACATGGCGAACCACAACCTGAATCTGGACGTCGATGTCGCCGGGATCAGCATCGACGTGCCCTTCTTTACGTTGCTCAACGAGACGAACGCCGTGAGTGGGTTTGGCTCCGCCGGTCGGACTGTGACCAACTGCACGGCGATGTGGAATCGGCCGCCCAACTTTTTGCTGGTGGATTACTACAACATTGGCAATTTCAATGGCAGCGTGTTTCAGGTTGCAGCGGATGCGAATGGCGTGACTTACAACCGGGCCAGTTGTTGCGGGACGGCGGGGACGACCAATGCGGGCGTCATGATTATCCCGGACGTGAGGCGTTATCTCTGGATGGTGGCCGCCCTTTCTTCGCTTCTGTTATTATTGTAATGAGGATGCACGGATGCGTTCATGGTTGCGAACATTATTTCCCAAGCGCTGGAGACTTGATTATTCGTTGGACATTAACTCGTCTGCTGGATGGGCGTCGTCCTGAGTGGGAAAGCAGGGACTAGAACAAAGAGTACGGAAGGAATCTCAAACGAGCGAGATCTGCGCCTCAAGTTTCGCGATTTGAGTTCTGCTCCATACCGTGTGCCGGTGAGAGGCTCCGAGAAGAAGGGTCTGGCCGACCAATGCCTGCCGGTGAAGTTTCCTGGCTTCGACCTTGTTAAACTCTGCCATCACAAGGCCCAGATCGTTCATGGCCCAGAGAGTATCGAGATGGTCCAGCCCCAGGACTCGCTTTCGGCCTTCGAGGCAGATCCGGTGGTGCCGTGCACTCTCGACGAATCGGTGCTGGTCGCGGTAGCATCGGCCTATGTCAGCCGTCGCCCAGAGGACGTGCGGATGTTCGGCACCGAGCAGCTTCTTCTGAATGGCGATGGCTTCTTTGTGCAGTGCTATGGCATTCGCTGGGTCTCCCAGTTGTCGACGCGCGCGGGCCAGTGTGTTCAAGGTCCAAGCGACTTGCAGATCGTCTCCGGACGTCCTCAAGACGGCAAGCGCTCGCGAGTGCATCGTGATGGAGTCCTGAGTCCTCTGTAGGTGTCTGTACATGCGGCCCAGCTCGTTGACCGTCCAGATGGTTTCCAGATGACTAGTCCCCAAATGCTTCTCCTGGATCATGAGCGCCTTCTCTTGAGTGGCTGCTGCAAGCTCAACCTTCTGCTGCTGATCATAGACAATCCCCAAGCTATTCAACAGCCAAACGGTCGACAACTCGTCCGGCCTCAGCGATCCCTGTTTCTTCTGCAAGGCCTGTGTCATCCATCTCTCACCTTGGTCGAGTCTGTTGCTCATGGTATATTCTCGGGAGAGGTCTCTGATGACCATCAGCTTTTCAAAGTACGTGATCCTGGCTCTGCCGCCGATGCTGTCAGTCTCGGATCCCGAGGACCTCTGCTGTTCCTCGACATGCTCGACATCCAGCAAGATCTGCTCGACATCTCGGATCCAATCGAGGCGATCGTCCCGCTCCCGATCACCGGCAGAGGCCCATTTGCAGAGCTGTTTCTGGAGCTTGACCAGATGCTGCAGTGGGAAGACCGAGGATTCACCAAACAGTTGACGCGCGATCCAGCTTAAACGCCGTGGGCGGGATGACAGGTAGCTGTGCATCATTTCATCGAGTTCCGAGTCGTATCTGGATCGGACCAAGTGGTATGCCCAGAAGGACGTGGCATATTCTGACAGAGGGAATAAGAGGCTGTCGGGCCCCAGGTTCGCCTCCACCACGGCAGCCTGAAGGAGGTATCTTAGACACACGGTCGCGATGTGGAAATGGCCGTCTGCCTCTCGAAAAGGCAGTTGAGATTCATCATCCCTTCCTACCGAAGGGGTTTCGGTCACAGTCAGTAGAAACTCGCGCACAGAAATGTGCACAAATCTGAAGACATCCTGGTCGGAGAGGTATTCGACCAAGGGGCTGCAAATTTCCAGCATCGCCGCTTTAAATGGTATCCTCTGTCTGAAATTCTCTTCTTCCAGCTTGTCCACGGCCAAGGCTGCTCTCAACTCATTCCAACCCACCGGGCGGGCGGCACAACACAGCCACGTCAAGAATGTCTTGGTGAGCTTCTGACCTTGTGGGGACCTTGTGTTGAATCGTCGCAAAATCGCGTTGTAGGTCATACTAAGGCCAACCGGGTGGTTGGAGAGGATGTCCATCGCGTCATAGGTGCTCGTTGCCGATGCCAAAGATTGTAAAATAAGACTCGCCCAGAGAAACATGCCGTCTGCGCCCTGGGAGAGTTTAGCGAACATCTTGTCGTGCAGCTCTGCATCCATGAAATCGAGCTTGGACAGCTGATCGGCGACGAACACGTCAATGTCGGCTCGTGTGTCTTTGGACGTTATCCTGAAGATGGGATGCGGATCAAATCGCTTGGTTAAGCCGGGCAGCTCTCTGCTCAAGATCAAGGTGCGAACATTTGCGGAGGAGTCGGTGATAGCGAGCATCTTCTGCATCACGTCGTCCGGGTCCTCAGCCTCGTCTAACCCATCTATCACTATGTATAATTCATTGAGGAGGTCACAGAGAGACTTAATGAGGAAAAGAGGCTGGTCGGCCATTGAAAGTCGGGGTCTCGCGCATTTCGTTGACTTGTTGTAAGCTTCAAGCACTGCCTCCGGAAGGTCTTCGAATTGGGCTATTATCTGTGCTATGATGGCGGCGAGGATCGAAACGGTGGTCTGGTTCTGCTGAGAGTTTTGCGAGCAGTAAAAGAAGGCGACAGGCTGGCGCACTTTCGCATCTCGCTCGCTTTGCACATGCTCGATGATTGAGGTGCTCAAGACCGTCTTTCCTGAGCCTGGAGGTCCGACAATCCACAAGATACGGTTCTGCGTGGAGTGGTACCACTCCTTGAAGAGCTCGTGGCTCAGCAGCCACTGGCCGCACGGCGAGGTACGCCGTTTTGACTCTCTCAGGAAATCATCTTGTGCGTCGGCCGGGGACAGCCACCTCGAAACATTGTGTCGTGCCTCTTTCCAGACCGCAACAACTCTAGTTCTATCAGACAGTGCTATCTCGTCCTCCAGAACGGTTTTGTGTCGCGACAGCCCCCTTAGGGTTTTCTGGAAATCGAGCTCGAAAGTTCGCCAGCTGTTTCTCCAAAGCAAGCTGAAGCCTACCACCTATAAGCGACGAGAACAAATTTACCAACGATCCTTGGACAAACTGACCGCGCTTGGAAAATACAGTCTTTGCTTTATGTAGAAACACCAGGGTGTCATAGTATACGTCGGCCAAAGCAGCCTGAAAGCGGAGATCGCCCTTGAGGAGACTTTCGTACTCGGCATACAGTGATACTTTGTCGGTTATATCTTCGACTGCATCGATCAATCTCTCCAGATAGCGAGAATGAGACGAAGCAACCTAGGACTGAGTCAACATACCCCCAAGTGTTCCTCTGTCGAAGGCGCACGAACCTCGAGGAGTATTCTCACCAATCCCCACACGAGCGAGAACGGGATAGGCTTTGCCTGTGTCAACGAGTCCAGTGCTCGCCCATACCGATCAAGAAAGCTGAGCAGCGGTTGAATCCGGGACTTGATCTTGACGGTGTGGCTGGAAGCCGCCTGCTTCTTTTCCAGACTTTCGACCTCGGAAATGACATCCTGGAACGTGGTGTGTTGGAACTTCTCTTGCTCGTCAGGGTCAAGGGTGGCCCGAAAACGCTCAAACGAAACCTGCAGAGGCTGGAGCTCGCCTCGCACTTGCGGCTGAACTTGAGAAGTGTGCGGAATTTGCGCCATCAACCCGCCCGCGTGCGCATTTAGCACCAAAACATTCTGCTAGCGATCCGAAACTCAATGACAACCCCCCTCCGTTAGGTGAGGGTCAGTGCAAATATGAACATGCATCGGACAATGACGAGATCCTTTCTCAAAGTGAGGCATGCGCTCTCATCTGCGCCTTCACTGTCCTGTCATGTGTAGACCATTTCCAGAATGGAAGGCGCCACCGAAAACTGGTGGATGGGGGCATGCCGACACTTCCACACCGGTTGTCGACAGCGAAGACGAAGCAACTCACAAAAAGCCATGCTTGTTGCTAGGGTCACATGCTCCTGAAAAGATGTCAAGGAAATGCTTGTTTCGCCGTCCATTGGATTCTCTCTCCGGTGAATCGTATATCGTTAGTTTAGGCTTCAATGCCGCAACTTGTACCCAACCAAACTACGAACTATCGCCCCGTTGAGGAAGTTCGTGCGTGGTAATTAGAGCCCACTCACACCCCCGCCGCTTCGGGTCTTACTGCAGCCTGAATGAACACGTCTTGCGCCTTAGGCAGCAATCACGCAAGGGGCAGGCACCGGCGGTCTGCTCTCTTTCGTTCTAATAACTCTTGGACCCAAATCACTGGCTGCCGGTGCAAGGGCATTGCAACGACGCAGAGCCACTACTGTGAAGCAGGGGCGAAAAGCGTGCGAGGCAGTGCATGCATGCATTTCCACTAAGCGACCGTTGACAGTTGTCGTAATTGACTGAAACCGAACACCCCCCCTTTTCCTCAGCCTCACCAGCAGTTTGTGCCCGCACACCTCTTTTGGTGTCGACATCCAAGCAGATGGCGCTCTATCAGCTTCCGTAAAGAGATTGCGTCGCCACCGAGCCGGAAGTTGATGGATGAGCTGTTCGTCTCCTCTGCGCTGTCAAATTCGCCCCAGCCTAGGACTTAGGCAAAGATCTGAATAAGACGTGGTTCCATATGGGGCAAAGAATTGAGTATCAAGGTAATGGAATGGGCTGACCTGGTGTTGATGCTGAAGGGTTCTTTTGCATGAGGCTGCCTTGTATTCTCTGGCTACGAGGAACGCTATTTGGATGGTGGCAACATTATCTCTGGATTCATCTCCGCGAGGGGGACACTTAAGCTTGAGGTGGTACAATATAAAATCCAGGGTTGCGGATGCCTCGATAGAAAAGCCTCACCATATCGGCCTCAATCTCCCACTCTTTGGACGATATCCTGCTTCAAATCTGCTCTTCTCCACACCTCTACACCTCAACCAGACTACAGCCCGACTGAACATGGCGGCCACAACCTCACCCAAAGCCCTTACCTCGAAATTCATCACCCAATTCACCAGCAAGTTGACCAGCAGTGGCCTGATGACTCTGCTCGAAAGCCACGTGCAACAGAAAGATGCCGACTTTGACATTCTCCAAATGGACCCGTCTATCCTGGAGCTGCACATCGAGCTCTTGGCCTACGAGAATGCCATCAAGGTGGCATGCGACTTCCCGAGCAGACTCGCAGAGAGATTGGGCCAGTCGCGCGGAAAGGCTGTAGAGAAGGGTGTCAAACCCGTCCCGAAAGAGGCGCCAGTTCAGAGCCCCTCTTCGACTGCGAGCCAGACGGCTGAGCCAGTCGTCAACGGCAGCGTCGCAAGGACAGAGTCCTATCAGCTACCCCCTCCGCCGGCAATACAGGCGGTCAAACCCGTCGGCGGCAATGATACCCCCGCGAAGATAGGAGCACACTCGACGTCCTCTCCATCGGTCGGCCAGGCGGCCAAGCAAGTGGCGAATGACACAGCTAGGAAGACAAAGTCCCGGCAAGAAAGCAGCCGCAACTCAACCACCCCTGAACCGTCGCTGCACAACCTATTCTCGTCCTACCGCAACGAGGCCCCGAGCCCAAATCCAGGCACAAAGGACGGCTCTAAGTCCAGCTATCCCAGCTACTGACTTCGGGGAGAGGTGATAACGTTCTCTGATGGGACCTCATCCGCTGGGAACGTGTCAGCGCCCCAACGTGGCTGTCATGCCGGGGTCGACTAGTTCCGAGGGCTGGGGGGCTGCTGTGGCGAACAACCAGTCAGAAGTGTCAGCCACCAGAGGCGGCCAGAAAGCAGAGCGGGAGTAAGAGGGGACCCAGAGAGCTCCAGTCACAGAGAGAGACTTCAGTATACTTCAATGCATATCGTGCCTTGTTCTCACGCAGAGTTCCCGTGATTCCTCTCAGACCTTCTTTATGACCTCCTTACCTAGGTACCAAATTTCGATGGTATAGTTAATCCAGTGACACTTGATGGTTAGATCGCTGGACAATTCTTATGAGGCTTGAGCTATATTCCTGCCGTCGTTGCCTAACGATTGCAAAAAGCTTTTCCAGTCTGTACAGCTTGTGGGAACGGCCGTTACTCTATAGAATTCTCCAGATATCCCACATTCCGGGCCCCAGACTCTCAAAAGTGTCGACGGTCTCGTGAATCTCCTCGTTTTGTTGCTGCATTAATCCTCAATTGCGCATTGAATCTCGAAACCTAGCCTGCCTGATTGTCCAAAGCAGCCACGAACAACTCAATCAACTATGTCCAGTCGAGTTGAGACAAGTCAGCAAGCGGGTCTCTTTTTGGGCTTCATGGGTTGAACCAAAGGCAGCGCGGGTCCTGAACTCACATGTCTTGTATAAGCAGTGTCCCCAGCAGCCCGCTGCAGAATTGCCATCTTCTCGTCCAACCTGTCCTTGGAACAGTAGACCATCTGCTCCATTCCGGGACTGTTTTCAAGCTCGTCGATGAACCCTTCGGCCTTGGTACTACCGCCGACTCTGGAGATGATGAAAACAACGGACCCATCCCCAAGATCGGTTTCGGATAGCTTCCGTTTGCATTCCCGAATCTTGTCTCGTAGCGTTTCGCGGTTCTCGCCCTTTGGCTGTGTGAGTTACGAGGGTCAGTTTCGGCTTCAGGTCCCGGTTGAGTTGCTCGGCCCCCCTTCCCGCAACAAAGGGGGAAGAGAAAGGGAAAAAAAAAAAGAACGAGACGACAACGGAGGGTTGTTCAACGACGGAATCTGTCTTACCTCTCCATCGGTGATAATCACCACAACCAGAGGGGCTTCCAGGGCCTTCCGAGCCGCCTTGTCCAGGATCATGGGCTTGATGATCTTTTTCTCCAACACGGTCCCGAGCATCGTGATCCCCATGAATCGGACACTGGCGATTTTTTCCATGATGGTACTGGCCTGCCTCAAATCGTCGAGCATGGAATCCTGATTGTAATTCAGAAACCGGATGGAAATGCCCGTCTCCAACAGCAAGGTCGCTATATCCGCCACACGATTAAGCGTGGTTTTCAGTGCTGGGATCCGTTGCTCTCGCCTCATTGACTGGCTGTCATCTGATAAAAGTGACGATTAGGAATGGGAAACAAAATGACTTTCCACCGGAAACAGGGTTCATAACTTACCGCAAAGGACGACGAAGTTGTACAGAGCGAGTTTAATCACTCCAAGAGCCGTCTTCGGTGTTAGCTGGTATTTGTTTGCGATCTCGGCCGCTCTGGCAGCTGCGTTCGCCGCGACAGCCTTCACCCTAGGATGGTCCTTGCCGTAGAATCCGGTGAGCCCAGTATTCTCGATGGTCTTTGACAGATAATCTTGGCTTTTCTGTGGAGATTTGGTCACCTCCGCGTATATTTGCTCTGAATTATCGGAAAGAGGAGTCAGAGGTCTTTCCTCGGACGTCAAACTCTCTGGAGAGGAAGGTCGTTCCTCATATTGGGATTCGGATGTTCCGTTGACCGGAGTCCTTTCATATATGTTTACATGTCTGTTTTCCCGGGGAGGTACTCCGCTTTTAGTTTCCTGAGTCGGCGTCGAAGATCTCGTTGGGGTCGATAAAATCTGGCTCTGGCTGCTGGGTGGACTGTGGAAGCTAGCACTTGTCCTTGTTGCCATTCCGACTGGTCGTTCAGAATATGAAATGGCTGGGCTCGCAAGGGGAGACTCGCCCTCTATCACCTGTGCAGCCTTGCGGTTGCTTTCCGGGTCCTTATTTCCCAATTCCGAGATACGATTCAGTCTTGAATGAGCGGGTGATCGTATCCCACGAATGAAAGATGAGTTAGGAGGATCATCGCCTTGGTTTGCTTGGGTGTTCGCAGAATAATGATTTCTCTGGCGCTGATATGGGTCTTGGCCTTGAGGGACCAAGGTTGAGCCCTGAGATCCACTGAAGGGGGATCTTGTTCGAAAATCCCCGTCCAAGTTTCGGCCTTGGAAGTACCTGGTCTCAGTTTCCCCAGAAGATCTTTCAGTACTGTGCTTGGATGATGTGCGGCGGGCCACGCCTGGACAGATGAGACATTTGGATCAATTGACTGGAGCCATAGTAAGAGAAAAACAGGACTTGCGACTCACCTTCATCCAGCGCTGGGGTATCCCGAATTGTCGGACTTTGAATCCGTTCCTGGAGCATGCTGGGAAACTTGTGTATCATCTCTGAGGCGGACCTTTCGGATAGTGCTCCTATGTGTTTGTCCAGAGAGTCGAGATTGGTCTTATCGAGGCTATCCACAGACCTGTTGAGGTGGTTCTCCATGAGCATACGCACAGATGGCTCGCCAAGAATGGAAGTTAGGCATTGGGTGAACTTCTCCACAAATTGGCTTGACTGAGACGCCATTCTGACAGGTTGTAGTTGCACAACACACAATGATCGTGCAGAGTGAAACTTTGTGTATATTTATTTACAAGCCAGGCCTCACTTGCCAGTGTTTCTGCAGTTTGAGGCAGGGCAAGGCGCCCTGAGAGAAGTGGAAGGCGGGTTGGGTGCCTGGTGCCAGGGGGTGGTGCTCACCCACACAGCCTCATGACTAGTCGCATACGTGGGCAGAAGGTAACGGGACACGTCGCTTCTGAGAATCGAGAGGTGCAAGGGATTATTGACTAAGTTTGGGCAGATGGGCAGCCAGTGGCCAGTGAACAAGCCAATGAGAACTGCAGTTCGAGATTCCCCAAAATTAATGCGGCCAGACGGGTTGCGCGTAGCAATTGAATCCGAGAATCATGTTACTGCCTTGATTGGGATGCTTGTCGAAGAGCAAAGGAGTTAGATATCCACAGAGCAGCCGACATGATTCACGTCTCCCTCTTTTATGCGGCGCGAAATTTGACTCAATATGGCCACAAACAAGAACCGGAACACTGTTCGGGCTCGCAATGTGTCCTCGAAGACGACTGCCGAACGCCTACAAACTATCATCTTACGTCAATTTGAGCCCACAGAGAAGGCTACTATAACGTTCGAGATCACTCTTGCACCTACATGCACCGACAATGGACGGACTCAAACAGCAATCATCAAGTTCAGGCCGTCCATGCCTAGATTTCTCAACGGACTTAGCCAGAAAAGAGTCCAGATCACGGGAGATCATAACGAGGACATAGACATCGACCAGGATTTCTTTGGCCTTACTCAACTGTATCCGACGGTTGGAACCACTGTTCCTCTTGAGTAAGTTCTCCAAAGCAACGCTCTTCGCGCATATCGAAGCACTAACTGGGACCTTTTGCCAGTATTGTCGCCGTCACCGGCCTCAATGGCCATGCCTTTGGCTCGTGGACGGGCGGGAATGACAGGATGTGGCTGCGAGACTTTCTCCGTGGGGATGAATATCTGAAAGCTTGCAGAACCATGATCTTTGGGTACAATGCCAAATTGAAGGAGAAAGCCACCCACCTGACCAGGGATTTTGTCCGGAGTTTCCTTGCAGAGCTAGAAAAGGCTAGAAAATCTTCCGAGGTAATGTTGCGCTCCTGTGCGGCTTTTCCGCGAAGCTTTCATTCACTGAATCGACATGGCGTAGGAGCGGAATCGACGGATAGTCTTCTTGGGTCATAGCTTCGGTGGGATCCTCATTGCTCATGTGTGTATTGCCCCGATGCCTGCTAGGACGGTTGAATCTGACATCGATACTGAGAATATAGACCTTGGTCAAAGCCAGAGAACTCTCCTATCTATCTGGAGGTAAGTGGGAAGGGTCACTGGTCAAGTCAACTTATGCACTGCTTTTCTTTGGGGTGCCGCATCGTGGTATCACTCTTGAAGACGTTTCCAAAATGGTCGAGGATTCCGAGCCTCATAGGGCACCGATGGTGCAAGAGATCATTGAATTGTCCAACAGCATAACGCCCGGCATGGAAAGCTTCATTAACATGACCATGGACAAAAAGATCGTTTCATTTTATGAAACACGATTGACCAGAGCAGTCGCGAGGGTAAGTTTCTGGAAGGAATCAGGTATTGGTCAATTTGCGGCTTACATTTCGGCAGGATGAGAATGGCAGTTATGGGCGGACCGGAGACTATATACAGGTAGTTGGAGAACCCTCTGCCAGATTTTACCTGCCGGAACAGATTGAAAAAGCAATCCCTGTCGACGGTGATCATTCGACCATTGTCAAATTTACAAGTCCCGCCGACGACACATACCAGACCGTCCGCAACCTATTGAAGAGTTATCTCGAGTCAGTTGGGAGCAAGAGCGGTCTGTGGGCTCACAAAATGCATGGGCATTCGTTCTAATGTATGAGCAGGCACCTCTTTTGAACATGCGAACATCAGTCATCCATATGACAGCCAACACGAAGTCGCCGACGGTCTTGTGAAATACTTTGCTGGCACACCAGATCCCGAGCACCAAGCTCTAAGGTTAGCTGCTGACCTAGGTCTGATCGATGAAGCGCGCTATCTGTTAGACATGGGAGCGGACCCGAATTTTCAGGATAGCAAGCGTCGGTACGGCTATCCAACGATGAAGAGTTGAAAGAAAAGAAGCTAACAGAATTTCAATCTAGATCGTTGGGCACCCGATCGCCCCGCACAGGCATACCGTCTGCCGCTCAATGGGGAATTCCGTCCCATGGAGATATAATGGGGGCAGGAGAGACTGCAATTTTCAGGGCAACGATTCGTAACAACAAGGAGGTAGTTGAACTTCTGCTTCACTCGGGGGCAGACCCTAATATACCAGCCGAGACCGGAAAGACGCCTTTGCACGAAGCCTCCAGCCGTGGCCATTTAGCACTGGTACAGCTGTTGTTGGAGCACGGAGCAGATCCAAATGCACGCGATCCCATGTGGCTAAGCACCCCACTTCACGATGCGGCGAGAGCTGGTTCTGCCGCTGTGACACTGCTTCGACGATACCATGCCGATCTCAACGCACAACTGAATCCCAGTCTGGACACACCACTACATCTTGCAGTCCGCAACGGTCACGAAGCGGTGGTCTACTTCCTGCTTGAGAATAAGGCAAACCCTGTCTCCAAGAATAGTAGTGGTCGCCGACCAGTACACGATGCAGCAAGAGCCGGCCATGTGGGCTTGGCAAGCTGGTTGCTGGATTGGGATCCCAAGCACGAGACAGATCCACGCGATAAGCGGGGGTGGACGCCTTTGCATGAGGCTGCCCGCGGGGGTCATGACGATGTCGTGTGGTTGTTACTGAGACGAGGCGCCGATCGAGAAGCCGCATCGAATAATGGAAAACGAGCCGCCGACTTAGCGGTGGAAGGTGGATATTTGGGAACAAAAAGGCTCATACTGGCAGAGTGGAGACAAGCGGACATGTTCTCAACATAGAAATGTCTCGATAAGAGACTGGTCATTCCAACAATATCAGGAGAAGAAAGCTGTCTGTGGAGACAGTGTGACGAACATGTTGGGAGAGACCTTTTCACATATCACAAGGGGATAATGGTATTCATCCGTGCAAGATCGGACACGTAGTCGTAACAAGGCTTCACAAGAAAGGAGAAGCCTGAAACGCTCCGGTAGTATATAGATTCGTCTATAGAGAGCTTTCTCGTCTTTACCATTACTCTGGCCCGGTTCATCACCGGCATTTACGGTATGATTAGCTCTGATGATGTTTTGACGTTCTACGTTGCCTGTAATACGTTTATGTAGGACGACTGGTAAGCTATATTAATATAAATCCTTAGGTATCACGTATGAACTCGAAGCTGGTTCCGACGTGAGACTAAAGACGACCCACTTCAGCCGACCATTGATATGCTGCTTAACATCTCAGTTTTTTCTTTTGATTCGGCACTATTTACGCCCTAGGCATCGTTTCGGGGACAACGACGTTCTTCCTATTTGGCGGCTAGTTCTACTGGGGATCTTGACCGAAGATGTCCGTCTTCAAAACATGCAGGTCTCTTTATGTAGAATGGTCCGTCGTAGTAGAGGAATCCTTCCAAGATAGGCTGCAATTTGTCCCATGAGCAGATTTCCATCGCGACAGCCGTATTCGCCAGCGATTTGTTGAACCAATGTCCCGAAGGATTCTTGTTGGTTGATCCAGCAGCAGTCTCTGCGAGGGCGCCAATGCATAATGCCCACAATTTCGCGTTTCTGTATTTTGTGGATGAAATCCGTCGGGACACAACGTCACCGGCTTGCAGAGCATTCTTCAAAGCCATGAGCAGACGACTGCTGTCATAAATGTAAACACCAAAGATTTTGGGAGTCATGCCGACATGTCTACGCAATTGGGCTGCTGCAAGTGCAAGGTATTGCTGCGTTACAAGTTGCTCCGCTTCCGCATCGCTCAGTCTGGAGTTTCTCAGTTGATCTGCAATCTTCAGATAGTGATCAATCATGCGGCTGTGAAAGAGCACGGCTTGAATCATATGCGACAGGAAGACGAGTCCCAAATGTGAGGTAGCGTCAGTAATTTCGGGCGGAGAGGCTATAAAGTAGAAGCGCTGTTGCTCCGCTTCGAAGGAAGCGCGGAGCCATTCGTCGGGTATGCATGGGTCCCAGTCTTTCCTGGGATACACCGGAGCATAGGGTGCCGCCGCATCCGATACTTGTCGTGATATTTCTTCCAACCATTCCCCATCGTCGAAGATCATCCGCTTTACAAACATGGAGCTGAGATGAAAATCGATGACGACTTGGTAGATCAACAACTTGTAGTCGTACCTCCGCTCCTGCCACTGCTTCTGCAGGATCTGCAGTAGGATTCTGCCGTGAGTGATGGCCTCAGATAAATTCCCCAATGCGGTTCCTACTGCAAAGAGCATGCTGACGTGCATGCAGTCCGTGCTGTTCTGCAAGTCATGGCCTCGGGAGATTTTCGTTCTGAGATTCTCGAGGCTTTTGACATGATATTTGTACGCCAGGTGTTTTAATCTGGGATTGCATTTGCCTGCGATCGAGCCGTAGCGCGCCAAGGCACCAAAAGCGGTTCCCGTGTCTTCCAGAGCCCCCACGGCGTCCTTCCAGTCTTGCGATGCAATGTCCTTCAGGTGCTTCTGCCCCAGCTCTGTGCTGTATAGCGAAGGAATCATGTGGTCTCGGTATAGGATGATCAAGTCATTTTCTTCTGGACCTATGTCTATGGGATAGACTGCGAAAGGATCTGAGTTGCCCTTGGCGATTAGTGTGATGGGCGATGACGTTCTAAATGGTGTTCGAGACTGAGCCTTTTCATCTTGTCTGGTCGCGAAGCGGATTCTAGACCGAGTCGACTTGATAGAGGCAAAGAGAGCTTCAGATCTCTCTCGCCGCTTCCAGGGTTGGTATCGCTTTTGAACATGGCTCAGGATATTGTGCCTGTGCGCCAGAGGATCCAAGTTATCCGCATCGAAATTGATGAAGAGCAACGCTCCTTGGTAGGATTGGGCCGCCATATCTTGTTTCCTGCCTGTGAGCTTTGCCTTCGATGTTAGAGATTTCTAGGGTCTGAGATGACACTTTAATTTATGTACAGCGACATTGTTCATCACGCGTCGCCTTTCGGATTTTTAACGCAGCTCCGCATAAGCCAAAAAGCAGAATTTGTCAGGAACATCGCCGAACGGGGATGCAAAGACCGCAACTTGGCGGTGTGCACGCCGAAAAAGTCGTCGACACCGTGTTACAGAAGCACGAGGAGGAACTCTATATGACCAACTATGAGGTTAGGGCCAATCTTGTTGCGGGATAAGAATATGAGGAAACTTCAAGGGGAAAAACCACGGAGAGTGGCCGAGTGTGGTGTTCAGGCACTAAGTCGATTGGTTAAGCCCTACTCCGTATTCCTCATGCGGTGCTGACTCATAAGAGTGCTCCAAGGCTAGCATCTACCGGTCCGGGGAGGCGCGAGGCAGTCTGGATTTCCAGCTAGTGGTCGAGTTAGAGCAGACGACAGACAAGGTCGAGATGCTTATTCTTGATGCGCGCGAGGACGAAATATGAACATTTCCCGTCTGATTGCCCTCTTCTATTCCGGTCCAGGAATCCACGACCTGACGTCGTGTGACTCGAGATGGATCGAAATGCAGCCAGTTCCCTCACAAACTTCGAATAAGACCTTGTCCGCTCTCGATATGCTGGTATCCTTGATGGATTTCAGCCCGACCGAGACAGCGTCCCCACACCCAAGAATTCGTGTATTGAGCAAGTATGGCCTCTCTGATCCCCTACTTCGCCCTTAGGCTCGACACGCCCTGTTTCACACCCCCAAGGCATACCGCATATCTCACGACGTTTCACCACTGATTGTCCTCTGCGCGGCAAAGCCCAGCATACTGGAGAGGGCGAATATCACTTAGACCCCATAATCATTTGTCCAGAGGGTATAATCCTGCGATTGAATGGGGCTGGTCGCAAGGACTGCGGCGATATACCATTGCTCAATCTCGTGATCAGCCAGCTTACTCGCCAGTCTTGCATCGTCGCAAGTCGGGAATACGTCAGATTCAACGGCGGTTGCGGCCTCACGGCGCTGTTGACATGTGCTGCTGATGCGGTCAGTCACATGCTGTTTTTCGCAAAAGTCGTCTATTGTCGTGTACAAGGATGAAGCCCTCAAAAGCCAAGGGCGACTAAACCCATTGCGAGCCCAGGCAATTTGAGTGCTATGGCGTGGTCAATTTCTCCCTAATGATACCATCCTTCCTTACACAACAAAATTTGCGGCAGCAGTGGATCCAACCTGGACCATTTCCTCCAACAACAGGGCCACATCCGTCATGTTAGCTACATCCGCAATTGTTTTCTCCACCGATGCACCCTGGGCACTCACGCCCAGGCCTTGTACGACGCTTACGAACTTGTTCTTTGCCGCTTGCGCATATCCCGGGCTACCAGGAAGGCCGGGATACTGGTCCGCCGTGATGTTGATTGCTTGCCCGTTGAGCTCAAAGGTCATATAACCAGCCAGATCCTGGGCATTGTCAGTGATCTGGACTTTTTGCATGCTGGCAGCGATTGACAGCGCTGTGTTATTTGACACCAATGCATCGTTCATGTTGAGTGGGTCTCGCAAGTCGACGGTCAGAGCCGCGGCGATGCCAAAGGGGACACTGTACTGAGCGGACACGAGCGAGTTGGGCCGAGGGATCCAGTTACTCGACGCTAGAACGGCTGGGCCCGCAAAGATGGTGACGTTGGTGATATCCTCCGCGTTCCACGTTTGGTTCACACTGGCTCGATAACTGTTGATGGCATACACGAAACCCTGTGCCCGCGCATGGACAGGTGCCAATTTCAGTATCATTTGTTCTCCGGTCCAGTCCGTGCCGAGCCCGGCGGTCAGTAGTTGGGGCTGCGGGCTGGGCGAGAAAGCATGGAGGAATCCCAGCGGGTTTTCGAGGATGTTCGCCGGGCCGACTACTCCGGCGTGAGCCAGAAAGGCGGCCTCGGCACCAAGTTGGCCTGCACGAGCCGGATGCAGGCGCTTGGTCATTGCGCCGGTATTGACGAAAGCGAGGAGACCACCCGAACTGGATGCCGCTAGACCCATGGCCGACGCGATGGTGTCGGCGTCCCATCCCATTAGGCGCCCGACCGCAGCAGCCGTGGCGAGATCTCCGTTCAACCCCGGGTTGTGGAAGCCCCTGACGGACTCCACCTGCGCGGTGCTTGCTGCGCCGATCCGCGTTGCCAGCTCATATCCGACCGCCATCGCTGTGAAGAGCTCTGTGCCGGTCTTGTGGTGGGCCGCTGCGACGCTCAATAGGGCCGGAAACATCGCAGAAGCCGGGTGAGCGTTATTGATGACATGCTCGAATTCAAAGTCGGCGGCAGCCAGGCCCATCAAGAACATTTGACCCGACAGCGAAGAGACGGTGCCGTCGATCGCGGTATATGCCGCGTGCGTGCTGCCAGGTCCATATGTGATATTTACTACTTTGACTGCAGAGCGATAGACGGGTTGGACCAAGCCAGCGAGCATCGCAGAGAAAGTGTCGAGGATGAAGATGGGCAGAAGCGCCAGGAAGCTCGACGGGATAGCAGAAATTGTGGCATTGGCTGCGAAATTCGCCAACTCGGCCGTATAGTTTACAGTCGTGGAATTCATGTTCTTTCGGTGTTGAGCAGGAGAGTAAAGTATATGATTTTTACCTTCGAGAGTCGGTTCTGTTGGAATTTCCTTGGTAGGATCTTTCGTCATGGTGTCTCTGGCCGTTCTACTGATCTTTATACCAGGTCGACTAGACACACCATCCCGCTCCGGTCACACTACGTTTTGGACGCCTTAGCTGCGCGCCTTCGCATTCAGCCTCGCTGACAGATCATTCTCAAGATACTTCACAGACCCCCAAAAAGGACTAATGCAAAGCAACGTTCCTTTAGTCTGTTTATGCAGCGAAGTAAGCAACAAACCGGACTCAAAATTCCGGGAATGGCCCCTGTCAACGGCAAGGCTGCAGCCCTGCGAGAACAGCTACCAACCAGTTCATGTCCGATGTTGGCCGATTTCGGCTTCGTGAATAACTAGTACGTTCCCACTCCGATGCGATGTTGCCGTACCACGAATGCTGCTCGTTGGCGTTCCCATCCCCGTTTTAGAATCATTCGGACCGATGCTCTTCCCATGGGGTAAGGGGTTGCTGAGCTAAAGTACCCATACTCCAGCTTCTTCGGGACAGGCTTGGTTTTGGGCAGACCTCGGTACTTATGCCCATCGGTGAACATCATCGTGATGGGCTCTAGTTGCGTTTTCAATGTATCCTTAGGCCCGAGGCTAGGATTGAAGAGCAGGATTCGCTCCCAAAGGACTCCCCTCCAAAGGACTCCCATGGTAGACAGCGCCTGAGGCGTCAGAACGAGCACATGGCGAGCCGACAGAGAACGCATAAGGCGCCCAGGTAGTCAAATATCGACAGTTTGACAAGAAGTAGATCATTGGTCTCCAAAAGGAAGTGGTGTGATGTGCTCCCCTCTTTTGAGGCACACTTCCTCCTATATACACAGTTAATTTGTGGAGAATAACCCCATTGTAAGTAAAGAGCCCCCTTTTTGCACCGGGAGACTCATGAGAAGTGCTGGTAGTAAGCTACTCCCCTCGACTTGTGCTCAGTCCTTGAACAAGTCCCACAACTTCTTTTTCCACGATCTACAGTCGTATGAGGCTTTCGACGCAGGAGCAACCCATTCTCGGCGATCCGAGAAGTCAACTTCATGTAGACGGACCCTGGGAGAGTTTTAGTAAATGAATCATATCTTTTGAGCGAGGTGTGGTGGTACATACCAATGAGTTTTGTAGTAGAACTTGAACCCGAAGAACAAGATGAAAAAGGTCGGAATGGTGATGTAGCACGCAATAAATGCCCGCCAGTTGAAGGGGTGTTTGAAAACCGTATATCCCTGGATGAAGAGGAGGAAGATGTTGAATGCGAAATTGAGGCGGTAGATCCAGATGCTCCCAAAGGCCCTGTAAGGGAAAGTGCTGACGTCGATATTCTGTTTCTTGGCCGCGGCCCGGATCTGCAAATGCGTGAAGATGATGGCCGCCCATGCGATATAGGCTGCGGTGCCTCCAACGCTCGTCATGTACGCGAAAACTTGGCCTGCGGAAAGTTTTCGGTTCATCAGGCATAGGAAGCCCCAGAGATTTGAGGTTAGAATAGCAACCCAGGGAACTGTTGCAAGTCAGTCTCTCATGGTGAAGGGGACAAAAGGAGTCAACTCATCCGCCTTACCTCCACGGGATGTCGTTCGGGCAAAGACTTTTGGCGCCCTTCCAGTCAAAGCTAAGGAGTAGACGGTGCGCGACTGTACATACACCACACCATTTGCCGCGGAGACAAACGCCACCGTTATCAGAGCATTGACAAAGTGGCCGGACGTCTTCCACCCGGCCTTGGTGAAGCCGATCGTGAAGGGCGATGAGGCAACCACCGAGTCTGCATTCAGAAGGTCTGGGGAGTCGGAGGGGCAGATGAGGCCTTGAAAGAAGGGCATGCCAATGTATACGACCAGTATGCGATACACCACAGAGTTGATGGCCTGCTTAGATTAGCAAAGTGGCAAATGTTTCATAATCCTTCATCACTGTTACCTTGGGGATGTCTTTCTTGGGATTTCTCGATTCACCACCAGCTAGAGAAATGATTTCCGTGCCAACGTAGTAAGCTGCTGCGAGAACGAAGACCTGTCCGAATCCGTCGATTCCATGTATGATAGGACCTGGAATGTTTTAGCTCGATGAAGCAGTGAAAGGCTGCTTGTGGGGCCTACCGGTCGGTTTTGTCCAATATCGAAATCCAATATATCCACCACCGAATCCACCTACGTCGGCCACGATGGAGAGGACGAAGAGGATGATCAGGGAGAGAAACTTGAACATGCCAAAATAATACTCCAGCTCTCCGTAGACATTGACACCAAGAAGTGTGACCACGGAGAAGACTACCCAGAAGATGAGAGCCCAGCCGTAGGAAGGGAATGAAGATTCCGGCACCCAATAGCGGAGGATCAGGATAGCAGAGTTCCAGTCTTTTCTCGGAGTCAACCAAGTGAATATGGCCACCTTTGGGGGACTAGGGAAGCACACCTGCTGCGAGGAAGACGCTCCACATGAGGTAATATAGCCACGACATGGCAAAACTCAGAGCTGGATCAACGAAACGGCCGGCATGCTGAGACCTTGTAAGGTCTGGGCTTTAATGATAGTTTGGACAGACTTACCTCCACAAAACCTCCATGTATCGGAAACAAGGTGGTCATCTCGCCAACACTTTGCATCAACACCCACACCGAGATCCCTGGGAACATTAGCATATCGCGCCACGCAGAGGGACACAGCGTTGACATACCAACAATGATAAATCCAAGCAACGCACCCAGCGGACCAGACAGGTAAATGGCGTAGCCCAGCCCGTAGAATGTCCCTGGTCCAATGATGCTGCCGAGCGCGATGATCACAAAGTGCCTTCCTTTCAGACCTCGCCGCAGCCCATCGTCCAAGACATCCCCAGAGACATCTCTCCTGGTACCGTGGCTGTCAGGCTAGTCGTCGGTCACTTCCAACGCAGTGACTGTCTTCTCAGGCCCCACCACAAATCTAGCAGTGCCATGGCGGTCGATGCTTGAGCTACTGTATTCCCTTTCAAAAGACATGTTGAATGGTTCTGCAGGATGTCTCCTGTAGTATTCCTCTTTTTGGCGCAAGAAATAGCTTCATAGGACAGCCGCGATGGGGGTTCTTGAGGCCAGTGCATCTCCTTTTGAGTACTTTCCACGTGGCTGTGGCTCCCTCTCATTCGCGTCGGATAGCAGATATCAGTCAACGTCCAGATCATGCTCGCGATTTGGAAAGAATCTTGCACCATCCTACATAGTCCGGCGTTCAACGCGATTTTCGGTACCGGTTTAATGGATGTGGCTTTTTGCCCTACAAAAACGAGATGTTTGGGAATGTCTCAGGTCGCTCCGGTGTGTAAGTCGAGCCTGTCGCTAGTAGAAGTGGCGCAATTTTCGCTCCACTGGTGTGATCTCGCGCGATTCACGCCCTTCAACAGTCTAGAATGCTGGGAGATCCACACCTTGTAGCAGCTGGGTCCAGTCTGAGATCGATTGCCGCCTCACCTAGTGGGCATATGAAGTAGGATGTTGCGGATTAGTGGAATATCCAGGACGGCCTAGCTCCTCACAACGAACACATGATTCTGCTTCTTCGACTGCCATCTGGAGATATTTGAATATCATCTTTTCAACGCCCTTGACCATCTTTGACCAATATTTGCCGAGCCATCCCCATTTTCGATACCATCCTCAGTAAAGCCTTTGTTGTGAACGAGCCGGTTACCGTGGACCAACCAAAGCAGTAAACCTTTTCCCGGCTCCGAAGCTTTGGGTCAAGGCTGCCAAGCTATGGCATTATCTTGACTATATTAACATCATTCCGCTCTCTTTAACCACCGAAGAGAAGGTATAACGTAATGAAAAGCCGTCTTCTCCGCGGTTGTATAAGTTCGCAAGAAGGGTGAGGGTCTGAGGTCTCTTTCGGCGGCATATTTCTGAATTCATCTCGTAAGTGCACTCCCTTGAGAGCACGAACAGATCAATTCCAAGGCGCTTGGCGACTGGAGAGGCCTAGTGTACTTTGCTCGGGGGGTACACAGTCACAAGGCTGTTAGAATAGCATTCGTCGCGGACTTCTCCGATCTTTGGACGAAGTGACTCAGTTTTGACCGTTCTTCAAGCATTCACTTTTCCTTCTCTGGATCTCATAGACTTTCCCGAAAAAAACAGTTCCCGCTCCTCCTCATACAATGGCTACGGTCAACCTTGATCATACTGCCGCCACAGTCAACGAGGAGGAAGACCTGCTCAAATTCGCTCATGTAATTGCCGCAGCTTTCTCAAACGACGCCCTCAACCGATACTTGTTCTTGGGCCGTGAGTCACATCCAGACCACCCCAAACTGGCACATTTCGACAACCGAGTGCAGTACTGGCTGCCACACATCAGAAGTCGCTTCGAGAACGGAGGCATACTAATTCAGACTTTCGACTATGCTGGGGTGGCGCTGTGGTAAGGAAAAAAACCGATGAGACACACTCCACCTAGCCCTTTTCTTTTCCCTTAACCTCCTTTACGCTTACCAAAAGCCACATAGGCTTCCTCCTGGGGTTGAGAAGCCCGTGACTAGCTCTGCGGCCACCTCTGAAGGCGCTGCCGAGTATAGGCGGAAATTCGACGCTCTCAAAAAGAAGTACATGGGCGAGCGAACCTACTGGTATCTCAATCTCATTGCACGGTCGCCAGCTCGGCTAGAAAAAGGTGTGAGATCCATTAACCCAGGGGCTTTTTGCTGGCTGGGGACACCATCCAGGTCCATCAAAAGGAGCACATCACTGACACATTTCTCTTTGGATTCTGGGTCCAGCAGGCGCCGTTCGGAATCTGGTGGATCCTTTCCTGAAGAAGGCCCGGGAACAAAACGTTCCTGTCTGGCTAGAAGCGACTAACCAGCACGCAAGAGAAGTCTATACCCATTTGGGGTTTAAGACGGTCGAGTATGTGAGAATAGGCGAGGGAATTGTCAACGCCGAGGGGTGGGCCCAGCCAGACGGAGAAGGCGTGCTGACGTACGGGATGGTTGCTGGTCTCTAGCGTCGAGGATATAGCATTGCGAACAAGAGCTAGACCGTCTGAAGAGGAGCATGAGGTAACATAGTAGACCGGAGATTGTAAATATGGCAATAGCAGAGAAGAGGACAAAGTTTGGACACTTTCTAGAACCGAATGTCTTGTATCACCCGTCAAGTGCCTGCACAACCTGGGCCCAGTCTTTCTCACCATAGGCACCAGGCACTCTATGGCCGTCGAACAGGCTGGCCATAACGACACGATCCTCTTGCTCGCCCTCCCAGGGCTGTCGGCCATGCTGAGCAATGATATTGTCATAGACGAGGACGTCGCCGCGCTCCCATTTATGCAGGACGCGGATCTCGTCCGTTATTTTGGCCAGGTGTGCCAGGTACTTGTCAGGGATAGGGGTCCCGTCGCCAAAAAGCTGTTGAGCGGAGTTCTTCCTCCCCTTATTGGCGTTGTGCTGGTTGTTCTTGTAGTATGCTGCCAGACCAGTGAAGAGAGTCGGGAGGTTCGTCTCTGGTTGGGTCCGTATGGCTGGCAATCGGTGCGTCAAGACGATGCTACCGTCCTCTGCCCATTCCCACGTCGTATGCTTGCCGCGACCATATCGGGCGATTTGAGCCTCGATTTTGGCTCGTCTGGTGGCCTCGTCATCCCCATCCTGGATTTCTTTGCCAAACGCTTGCTTGAGAGTTGAACCACCCTCGTATTGCTTTTCGACCTTGTAAGTGACCTTGCTGAGGATTCCTTTCTCCGCAAGCTCAGAGACAAACTCAGGGATCTCCTGCTGCGCTCGGTAGAATAGTTCCAAAGATGACGAGATGGGAGTTTCACCGCCCTTTTCAGGAACCCGGTGACCATAAAAGAAGATATATTCGGGGGCATGCGGGACTTGTGGAGACTCGTTATGGTTGTAGATCAGAACATCCTTGGGCGCCTCATTCGCCGGTGCCACGTTGGGGGCCAACACCGGCCTATTGACGACGATGCCAATGATCTCGTGCGGGTGGTATCCAAAAGCATGAGCAAACTTGCTGAAATCTTGGGCATCGTGGATGGGAAGCCCGCGGAAGAGTAGCGTTCCGTGACGGGCAAGCGCTTCGGTCAAGATGCCGCCTTGCGCTTGGAGGGACTTTATAGTGTTGACGATGTTGTCTAGGTCGATTTCACTGCTATCCCGAACAGAGGGTTTCAATGCTAACGGGATGACTGTGTCCTTGGGATGAGGCGACCCCAGGATGCGCTGGTTGGTCGGTGGCAGATCAAAAGGCTCGAACGTGACCAACGTCGACGGTGACGGAGATATATCGAGTTTGGACGCAAACGCCCCCAATGGTTGCACTGTGGTCGCCATTGCCGCAATCCGGGTTTCTTTGATGAAAGCTGGGACGTATCTTCTTTGCCGAGGATGACTTATCAAATGATATATATTCGATACAGGAGACAAAGGGAAGCCAAGTGTCAGTGGACTTCTCCGTTGGGCGAACCAAATACCCGTAGTTGGCGTGGCGTCATCCGTTCTAAGATCACGAAAGCGGCGGGCATCTGTTTCCTCTTCTCCGGTATACCTCTGGTGCCCTTTGCAGGTCCCATTCTATACTCGAATTACAAAGCCACTGAACGTGCACAAATAGCTCCGACCGCTGAGCTTGACCTCTTGTTAACAGACAGTGTCCTAGTGTGGCCCTACGCATGTGTCACGATACTCAAATCTGTTCCACATCCAGGTTCAACTTCTTGTAGTAACACGAGCTTCAACGCTTGCTGTGCTTCCTCTCTGTGAATTCCCTCATGTACTTTGCCGGCTCAGTACCTCCATCGCTGAACATGCTCGCAAATGCATCGAGTCCGGCCCTGACACCGAAGGCCAGATTCGTTTCCTCCCACAGCTTCACAAGTCTCTTTTGCGCTCTCATAGCTTCCGGCCCATTGGAAGCCACGAGCTCAACCACCTTGTCGACCTCTTGCTGAAGCTGCCGAGTATCTTCATAGCTAGCGTCAATCAAGCTCCATTTCTCCATCTCCTTTGCATTGTAGACCTTTGCCAGGTAAACCAGTTCTTTTGTCCTCTGCCAGCCAACAATATTGGCCAGGAGCCTCGCTTCTATCACCGAAGGTATTCCGAATTTCGTCTCCGGCATACTGAAAGACGACTCGTGCGTCGCATAGCGGAAGTCGCACGCAGCCGCCAGCTCCAGGGCTCCGCCAAAGCACAGGCCGTGGATCTGTGCGATCGTGACGACCGGCAAGTCCCTGGCGGCCTGACATGCGCCGTGAAGCCGCGAGATAAAGTCCTTGGCGTCATTGTAGTTGTTGATCGTTGCCATTTCAAAGATATTGGCCCCGGAACTGAATGCAGGGACCTTGCTCTCCGAAACAGCGCCATTGATAACGACGCAACACAAGTTTGGCTCACTGGCAAGCGATCGCAAGGTTGACGTGAGCTTGTCGATCAGCGTGCTGTTAAGACTGTTAAGTCGTGCGGCATTCGAAATTGTGACGGTTGCAACTGTTCGTCCCTCCCCGTTCGACGAAGGAGTTACAGAGCAGATGATGTCGCCGCTGCTGTTCTTGTCACTGCTCGGGGCTGCGGCGGTACTCTGCTGACAGACCCTGGTCACATGGAAGTGTCGTCGGGGATGCTGGCAAGCCAGTCTATCCGCCTCCCTGACTTTACACCCTCTCGTCCACGGAGATCTAATGTTTCTCGCAGCCGAGTGTGCAGACGGTACGACAGGAATTGGAGTTCGCTTGCAGGCATTGCTCATCGCACACTGCTGTCTAATGGTTGACCTCGACGGAAGCAGTGCCCTTCGGAGATTTGCAGAGCATCGGCGGCTGGGTAAACAAATCGTGGCCATCGTTGCTGTCTTCGCTGCCAGGCCAGGCCCTTTCTGAAAACCAATATCGTAATTGCAGCTAAGAGATTCACACGCTGCCTTAGGTGCCGCGGCAGGTATGTGGTCTGTTCTCTCCGGATAGCAATGTTTCACCCACGACATTCACTGGCAGGTCAAGCAGTCCCAAATCGAATGGTTGGAGATCGGCAAAAAAGAGGATTCCCCCAGAATTGGGATTCCCCCAGGTCAAGTCAATGCGGGTGCTGCACCAAAAAAGCCGAGGTTCGAGCCGCGAAAGCTCCGTCAATCGCCGTGCGAGTGGAAAACATCGGCAGCAAAGGAAATTCGGGCCAATTTCTGCTTCTTTGCCGGGCTAAGGTTCGAGGCTCAGGATACTCTTGTCGTCGTCTTAGCCTAGCTTTATGGAACTTGCATTCTCCAGGCATCGTTGGCAGAGCTAGGTTGACGATGCTCCTCCCAAAACAAGATACCGATGTATCGGAAAGGTGGCTTAGGAGATCGCGCCAGAAAACCGTCGAGTCGCTACGAGACAAATATCAAGTATATGGCGTTGCGCGCCTCTTGCGAAGGCTTCGTGGCTGGAGACTGAACCGCTCGTCAGTTCTGGTTGTTTATCCCCCTGAGTCTATCCCCGTTCCTACAAAATGAAACATCGAGTCCTCCCAAGCCCTGATATACTCAATCTCCAACGTGCGGAAGCGTCAGTGCCGAGCCCGTGTCCAGTCCATGCCATCACACCCCGACTTTCCGTTGTTCCATAAACGTCAGGATCCTCTGCTCGTACTGCGCGGCATCCTCGACCCTCAATGCCGGGTCTTGGATCGCGGCTTCTGCGCGGATCTGGTCCGAGACCTTCTCGCTCCTCGGAGTAATGTTGCATGCGAACGGGACGGGTCTGAAGATCGGGAGCCCCCCGCCTGAACAAAAAGCATTGCAGGTCAGTTTGTACATGCTTGACACGAATGTGGTTTTCAACGTGGAAGAGCTTCTAAGACTTACCGAGTTCGTCGCTGGGAGGGGGATTGGAGCCCAAGTCGATGTTAAACGCCCACAGGAGCCGGCTGATGACGATGAAAAGAGAGGCGTCAGCGACATGCTTCCCAGGGCATTCTCTCCTTCCGACGCCGAAGGCATAATGCGTCGGGCCATGTGCATGTTGAGGCCGGTATCGAGGATCTTTCTCCGACAGGAACCGCTCGGGAATGAATTTCTCGTGGTCCTGGTAATAGGCGCTGTTGTGATGGATCGCAGAAGTGTTGTAGATGACCGTTGTCCTCGCGGGGATCGCTTTGCCCCGGTAGCTGTCGGACTCGCTGGTGGCATGGAAGATGGCGAGAGGCGCCACAGAGGCCCACCGGTGGACTTCTTCAATCGCCGCTGCGATGTAGGGCAACTTGTTGCGGTCTTCCCACTGCGGGAGACGGTCGGATCCGACAACCCGATCCAGCTCTTCCTGGGCTGCCTTGACGGAGTCTGGGTAGAGGACCACCGCCTTGAAGAACCACTGGAGCGTGGTCGCTGTGGTCTCGGAGCCCGCCGCCAGCAGCTCGGATAGGATGATGCGCTTGTCGACCTCGGAGAAGCTGGTGATCTCGGGGCTTTCCAAGAACCGCTTCAGGAAACAGTCTGGGGCGTTGTCCTTGTGCATGCGATCCACGATTGAGTCGTAGAAAACGCCCCAGAATCCAAGGATATTGTCAAAAGTCTTGCGTGCCTCCGCTCTCCACGGTGCAAGGCCATCGGGAAGGTAATTCAGTACCGGAATCCAGTCAGCCAGCCAATATCCCGGACGTATTTCTGAGACCCAAAGTCAGTATGTGTGTCCAATAGCCTCTTGCAGCATAAGCGTCATTGTCATACTCTTAAACATATCAAGAGAGATGTGGCGGATAGCATCTGGCATTTGCGTGCTACTACTGGCGAAACGAGCTCCGATTCTGGTTGTTGTGAGTTCCTAGGTATCGCGCACCGTATCTGAGGAGTCAGGAGCAAGCTTACAGAAGGCTGAAAGTGACGCTGGCCGAGTATCGTGCTACCTCGGTATAGAACGTGTTGGGATTTTCCAATATGTTCCTCAAAGTCTGCCGGCTTTCGTATTCCTGGTAGGGCAGGAAGACCTTGGAGTTTTGCATGCCCAGGAGACCGTGGATGACCTTTCGATGTTTCTAAAGGTGCCAATAGAGCAACTACATCAGCAGATGTCTCACGGCCGTGAATATATTTGCTCTCAACACAGAACTCACCCTGAACTCGTCACCGTATTCCATTTGGACCATCCTTCCCTGACCAATGATTTTTGCCTGGGCTGAAGAAGACGGACGCGAAGAGTACTTCTGGCCTCTTTTGACGATCAGGTCATCGACAGCTCTTGGGCTGCTGAGGACCACCACTTTGGACCTGCCCATGTTGAATGAGAAGAAGTCTCCATATCGAGGTACCAGCTTGCTGAGCTGTTGGTTAAGAGTCAACTTCTTGTCCGGCAAGACCCCTAAGAACGGTATGCCTCGAGGGCCATCTGGCCATCGTTCCTTGAGCCCAAGGGAGAAGTAAAGGACTACAGCAAGTACGGCAAAACCAAGATACCAGAGCATGTTGAAGATCGCTCGAAGAACCCAGCAACTTCAGATGTCAGTACTGCTTTCGTAGTGGCGCAAGATCAGTCGGCCTCATGTGAGGTAGTCAAGCCATCTTATATCCACAACGGCGTCAAAAACTATTGACCGTGATGCCCGCCTTGAGTTTTCTGCTCGGTGGGTGATCAATGGCCGGCCCTAAGTCTACTTTTCCGACTGGGCAAAGTTGAGGCCCATTGACAAGGAATCCATCTGGGACAGCTTACTGGCTGGCTGCAGACTTGCTTGCGAATACGACTTCATGCCACCTCATTGGTGACACGCTGTGGCACTTGATGAGGACAATGGCGTGCCCCGGCCCCCGAAGGTGATGCTTGAGGTTAAAAGAGGCGCACCAACGTACGAATAATACGCCGGGTTAGTCACCTGCAGTACCCAGTCCGAATCAACTTGACACGAGCAGCCATCCAATCGCAGCCAGGAAGATTGCTAACTAAGCCCATGATGACCGGGAATGTAAGCACAGGTTGAAAGAGAAGTGGTAGATAGCACCCCAGTCGGCAAGAGCTTGAAAGGGACAGTTGCTGGCCTCAACTGCGCGCAAGATCCGAATCCCTGGGATTGACGGTGTGGATCTCGACCTCTGTGATGCGCACAGCCTTATTGGGCCCCAGCGGGATTAGAGGGCGGGAGTCAGTTAAGACCGAGTACTTCATAGGTCCAGGAATAATATGGTTGGGGGTCAGTAGGTAGCTAGTGTACGACGCAGGGCTGCTTTAGCGGCTGTTAGGCCGAACTCGGGGGAATCACACCTGGTGTCAAAGACGGTGGCATTAAACGAGGGCCAGCGCGCAATAGAAGAATGGACACATGGCCCTCGAGATGTCATAAGCGATTTTACCTACCGTTGCCCACGTCCCCCAAATCTTTATAAGACATGAACTGACCCTCGACATCATTGCTTCATCATGAGTCATGATATCACAGAGGGGTACTCGGTACATACCTAGGCATTCTCTTCGCCCAGCAGCATTGGAATCCTAAACCCCGAGCTATGCCACATACGGCAAGATTTCGTACCGCAAGGTCCCCAAGCATTGATTCGATGCTGGCTTGCGGCGTGGAGCAGACCTCTTGGATACCACAGGCCCAAAGATCTTGGACTTTGTCTCGCCAGTGGTTGATACACGGAGATTCGAGAATGGCTAGGCTGTTATCTCCGCATCGTGGAAGGTTTGCTGCCAAGAACCCGGATTCTGATATTGATGGAGTATCTACCTAGTCAGGTATAAATATATGTGTGTGAGTTTGTGGGAACGGGCTTGAGTTGTAGAAGGACCTCAGAGGAATCCCGGCTACTTCTCTCCCTGATTCTTTATAACGCATCCTCCTGACAGAATTACCGCTTGGTCGAACATGTCGGACACCACAGCTGTCCCAACGGGCTTCAATTTCGTGCCCACGCGGCACGACGACACCTACGACTTCATCAATCCTCTCAAGGCCTCCGCCACCGATCTGAAGGTCCTAGTCACAGGCGCCAGCAAGGGCATCGGGCGCGCGACAGTCGTCTCGTTCGCAAAGTCCGGCGCCTCGGCAATCGCGTTGCTGGCGCGCTCGGACCTCGACAGCGTCGCCAAGGAGGTCATTGACGCGGCAAAGCAAGCCGGACACAAAGAGCCGCCCAAGGTGCTTCAATTGCGAGTCGACACGACGGATGTCGCTGCGGTGGACAGAGCCGTGAAGACGGTGGAACAGGAGTTTGGCGCGCTTGATGTGGTCATCAACAACGCATCCAGAATGGAGACGTGGAAGCCCATTCATGAGACGGATGTACAGGACTGGTGGTCGACGTGGGAGGTCAATATCAAGGGGACGTATCTCGTCAGTCGTGCGACGCTGCCATTGCTACTCAAAGGGAAGAAGAAGACTATGATTGTCATTTCCAGTGCTGGAGGGTTAACCACCTCGTGCGTTTCTTTCTTTTCTGAGAGCCGCTGAACACGCGCTGACTGGATCGGCAGGGCTGGGGGCAGCGCATACCAAGGCACCAAGACAGCGCAGATACGGTTCAACGATTTCCTGATGAAAGAATATGGCGAGCAGGTGCGTGCTTTCCGGTTCTCATTTTCATTTCGCTTGCTGCTCGGATGGTGAACATTCTGACACAAGACTGGCGCTGGCGCTCTAGGGTTTGCTGGCGTACGCCGTCCATCCCGGCGGCGTGAAAACAGAGGTTGGAGTCACAATGCCCGAGCACATGCACTATCTTTTGACCGCCGAGCCGGAGCTACCTGCAGACACACTAGTCTGGCTGACAAGAGAGCGGAGAGATTGGTAAGGGCTTTTTTCGTACTCGGCACCATTACCCATGCCGGCGAGAACTGGAGCCACAGAAAGCTAACTCCAGACAACAGGCTGGCCGGGCGATACGTCAACGCACCGTGGGATATGCAAGAGCTTGAGGGAAAGAAGGATGAGATTGTTGAGAAGGATCTGCTCAAGCTGAAGCTGCAGGTTTGAGGAAGCTTAAACTCATAATGGTTGAGTACATAGAAAAGCAACAAATATACACGATGCCAGGGATGGTCACCTAGTCGGCTGCTTACGCTCTGTACTGGGCCATGCAAGGCCCGAGCCGAAAGCTATAATCAAAAGATTGTCACTCCAGGCCATACACCTTTTTTGCGCCCTCAGATCCAAAAGCCTCTCGGAGAGTCTCCTCAACACCCTTGGGATGGATCGATGGGAAGCGATCATTGTCCCAGGGCTGTGGCAGCAGAGTACCTTCCCTCCCCTGGATCAACTTATGGCTTGCCGCCAGCTCTGCATCGACGTCGCCAGAGGCCTTTGCTTGTGCTTCTTCTTGCTGTGCGCTCTCGACATCCAGGTAAGTGACGTCGTACCTTCTGCCCGTGACTCGCTCGAGGATCTCGAATATCTCCGCGTACGTAGGGTTGCTCCCTGAAATGCGATATGTTCTTCGATTTCCCTTGGCCTCGGGCGAAAGTGGTTCTTTCAAAGTCTCGACGAGATATCGTGCGCTGTCCTCGGCGCTGATCAAGCTCTGTCTCCCCATTGCCGTGCCGTAGATCTTCGCTTTTGCGTTTTTATTGTCAAAGCCAAAGTGTGAGATGACGGACCATTCCGTCAACCGGCCAAGCAGATAGTATGTCCATCCTAAATCAGGGGTGTCGCGAGCTCTTGCGTCAAGATGTTCGCGCGTCTGGACTTTGTACTTATAGTAGCGCTGGGTCCAATTCTGTCCCTCGGTGATGTCGGCGCCGTACTCGCTAGGATAGAAGTGGCGGACTCCGGCTTCAATGGCCGCGTCGATGATGGTAGGCTGGAGGTATAGTCCATGATTTCCCAGAAAGCTCAGCACGCAGTCGAAGCCTTCGTAGGCCTTTGAAGAACTATAGTCGGCTGCCTCGATGACTTCAAATCCTTGTGCTTTCAGCTCTTGGATCCGGGCCTTTTTGGCCTCATCTGTTGGCCTTTCGGTGTTGTTGAAGAAAGCAATGCGAGTGAAATGGGTTGAGTCTTTGATGAGCTCATGGGCAACATAATCGCCAAAGCTACCTACACCGATTGCGCCGATTAGGAGAATTGACTCCAACATAGTTATCAAGGCTTCGAAGTAAGTATGATGTATAAAGGCCCTTCAACCGAATATGTCCTTGGTGGCACAGAAGACGTGGTGGAACGTTCGCCTGGGGATTTATAGAAGACACGCTTGAGGGCCTCTGCCTCCAACGACATCTCGATGTGAATTGTAGTTGACAACAATAAGCCGCGAGAGCCAAATATGATGACCAAGCAACGCAACACAAGCCCGTACCAAACAAGGGAAGGACCACATATTGCAATCGTCCCCCAGCCATATTCCAAGCTGACCAAGCAAAGAAAAGGCGACACATCGCAATCCTCACCAGGAAATATTCCAGGCTGACCAAGCAAAGGCAGTCGTGTTTGGCCTGGTGCCAGCCATACCTGCATACATCTACCAGGTATAGACGCCAATAGGGAGTGCTCGAACTTGTGAAGCAGTGGGCATACTGTGATCTCAGCGTCCAGGGTTCTCGATTCGTAAGGACGCAGTCTCAATCGCCCACAGGAGAGAACGCATAGCTGGATCAACGCTCATAAGTCCATCCCAGCTGACCTATGGATATTGGTTTGATGTAGTGGTTGAAATACTTTCGCTTGGCACGACACAAGTGCGACCGAGTAAAAGAATGGGTCAATGAGCGCTAGAAGTCCTCCAGTCAGAACAAGAGACCAGTCGAAGGCCTGGACACCATCGAGTGGAGATGACTAAGTCAGCTTGGGTTGAATAGTAATAGTGCTCAAGTCGAAACGCATGCCTGAATAGAGCCGAATTTTGTCCGATGGAATTCGTATGCATTGCCGCCATCGAGTTGACCTCCCTGACGAAGGTGGCAGAGTATCTTTCCCTAGCCCCGTATCGGTGGACTCGTGCTTTGCTGATCATTTAAACGATTGCGATAGCGAAGACCAGCCTGCTGCTAAGACCCAATCGGTCGTGCAGGTTCACCCCCTGGACAAAAACCCATGAAGACTAATCAGAAACTTGATGCCAACGCGCCTTATGAGCCGATTGGAACCCGAATCCTGCCTGCTTTCGAACAAGCTAAGACCTGTATATGTAGTCTCTGGTGTTGATTCTCAACAATCATAGCGGTACCGATCATTCACGAAAGACTGAGCCGTGAATAAAGCATTCTCGAACGATACAGTAGAGATGTCGCCTCACCATCCGAAGGGTTTGGACGGCTCTTATATGGTAGTCCAGCGGAGTATGCCCCGAAATACCCTGGGATTTCAGACTGACACTGCCTTTTTAGCTGGCGTTTGGGACCGGTTCAACATGGCGAAAGGAGGATCCTGAGACTCTCAACACTGGACTTATTGAAATTGTGAAGGATGCGCTGCAATCTGGCTATCGCCACCTGGATACAGCCGAGCGTGAGGACTGAAATCACTGTCACCGCCGTTCAGGATTGCTGACCTGGATACAAGTCTATAACACGGAGAGGGAAGTCGGAGAGGCGATAAGGCAATCCAGCGTGCCTGTCTCAGAGATTTATATCACTGGGAAAGGTAAGTGTCCTCCAAAGACTTGCTGTATGTGGGAAATCTGACAAGGGTCCGAAGTTTTCACTATGTCGGACATCTCAGGAGCATTTAGCCGCTCTTTGCAACGACTAGGCGTTGATTATATCGACCTGTATCTGCTCCATTATCCTTACTTCGCGAAATCCAATGCCGATCTTCAGGCGGCATGGGCCGAGCTCGAGGCAATATACGACTCCGGGAAAGTCGGCGCCATAGGCGTCTCCAATTTCACTGAAGACCACATCGCGACGATATTGGAAACTGCAAGGATCAGGCCGGTGTGCAACCAGATCGAGTTGAACCCATACCTCCCACGGATTCGGCTGCAGGAGTATCACAAGAAGCAAGGCATACAGACGTTTGCCTTCTCACCGTTATCGCCAATTGTGAGAGCGACTCCAGGCCCCTTGGATAGTGGATTGGAGTCCATCGCAGAGAAACATGGAGTAAGCACAGCTGTTGCATTGATACGATGGGCGTTGCAGCAAGGGATTGCAGTGGTGACAACATCAACTGAGAAAGCTCGTATGAAAGATCATCTGCTCGCTCTGAATGTATCGTTGTCAGATGAAGAAGTAGCACTGATCAGTAAAGTGGGTGCAGAAAAACACTTCAGGGGCCGCTGGAATGATAGATTTGCTGCAGACGACCGGACCTGAAAGATTAAGGGATGGACTTTCAGCCGCAGCAGCGACATAGAGAATCGACATCCGCTCCTCGAGCTTAGCATAGGTCGATTGATCTGGCTTTATAGCACATGCTTTTATCCCTGGAGGCCGACTCGTGCGGAGAGAGCGGGAAGACTTCCTCAGCAGTGGGCAAAGATGACCTTGATATTGAGAAACTCCCGAAACACTTCATGGGGCAGCCCATCAGTCGCAACGCCTGCTGTATCAATGGCCACATAGAACCAGAGGATGGGGCTTTCCACACTTGCGATATATGCATTCAGATATATGTCGGACATCGCATGTTGGTGGTCTAGGATTTCCCACACCCGTTCAATCCTTGGACCGTTGAGTACAAGTCGGTTGAACACTGTGGCTGCCTCAAAGCGGCCAGACCGAAGGCTTTATTGATCCACGCATCCAATCCCCTCCAGATAGACCTCTATGCCGTCAGTCGGGAGTGTGGCAAGTTGCCCGAAATGCTGCAAATTTGCCTTCACAGTGTTGTGTCCAAGGTCATTGGGAGCTCTAACCTCTCGTGAGGATAAGGCAAAAAGTAGACTGGGGACATGTACACGCCAGTGCTATCTTGTGCTCAAGGATTCTCTTGGAGCTCCAATGCAGAAACGCGGCAGATGCCATGAAATACCCATTGCAAAGGGTCCATCTGCTGAGCTTCATCACCCGTCAAAGGAGGAGAGAAATCGGCATGATGAGCGAGTCAGCCAGTCGACGCCATGGTTTGGCCGCCTACTGACGCGCCCTTGGGGATTTGACCCGGGCGTTTCGTTGATACAGGGATGAAAGTTGATGTCATCCCCAAAAGGTTTGTCATCTCGTCAAATGTAAGGTCCCTTGTCTCCAACGTGATTAGTCCGAGTCAGATGCACAATACTCTTACTGGCATTCTGGCTGGTGGTCCCGGGATGTTGTCATGTGGTGCAGACATTCTGGGATGATCCGATATGGATTGTCCTGGATCCTATCAAGTGAGCGCATGTGATCAGGGCAATTCCGCCTTCCCGACGGACTTCTTTGTCACTTGTTGACTATTTAGCATATCGGGGAAAGGATTTGCTCTGACCAGGGGCGCAAGTCGAGTCGGAAAAGGAGGTCCTTGGCCTACCCAAGAAGATCCGAGTGCAACAGCCATCAAGTATGGCAACTGGCAGGATTCGACCCGATGTACAGAGATCAGTAGAGAAACATCTGCATCTCTTAAGTTGTGATCTTCAAGTCGGGCCTCGTCTCGAGCGTCTGAGAGATGAAACCCCTCAGAGCCGCCCACCTCTCACTTGTCGATGAAATGGCAGCAGTGGTGCCTCCCCCACCTGCAGCGTTGCCAGATTCGTCTGCCGAACCTTCATTGACGGACCTAGATACTGCAAGTTGCGCCATATTCTTCGCAAATCGATCTCGTTCACCTTTGTCGACTTTCTCCCTCCTTTTCAGGGCGCCCGGTCGTGATTTCATGCTTTTTCGCCGAATTATGTTGACTTGGTCTTGAATCTGGTCGCTTGTCGGTGCGGTTGTTCCATGTGCACCATTATTTTCCAGTTCGTCGTCATCCGGAAGTGCCGCTGCAAGGGCATCGAGATTCGTGACAAGTTTCTTGTTTGGTCGCCTTCGTCTTGATTTTTTGGCAGCGGATTTTGTGACCTTGTTCATGAGTTCGGCATGTTTTATTCGACGCTTGTCCTTCTTCGAAGATGGGAAGAGTGGTTCAGACTTCGGCGTCGCAGTTGATCCAGCCGTCTTGGAGGTCTGTTTCAGGATAGATTTCAGAGGTCGCACGCTCTGCGAAGGAGGGTTGCGAACAGGAGCCTGGTAGTAACTTTGTCAGCTTTGGCACTTCAACAGGACTATTTTCGGCATACCATCGCGTACAGAAGATAATTAGTCTCTTCGCCACGTGTGTCGCTACAATTAAAGTGGCAGAGAACAGTGCATGGACATCAGTGACATCTAAGAGACGAGCAAAAAATTGGGTGGAGAGGTGCGCTTATCGATAAAGGGCAACAAGTTCTCGTTAGGTACCTAGCGAGCTAAGTATTTTCTCCAATAATGGCAATAATAGCGACGGTCAACTGCTTCGTCATCTGATCCTCACACTTCAACCTCTTCTCTCCCTTGATCCATCTTCCCGTCCCTTCCGCTCTACTCGATTTCAAAGACAATGCATACTTCTCGGTTTACTAAACGAGGTACTATAGGTAAGGGCGCAGCGACTGCCATATTCAGCTGAGGATTGGCAAATGCCGAGTCGGCGGCTTAAACGCTTGCCAAAGTGAGCATAAGATGGCCCAACTTGGAAGGAGTTTGCCCACCAAAAAGAACCACAGAAATATTTTCGAACGCAAGTCCACTTCTTCTTCCAGGCCAACACCGACAAATGCATGAGATCCAGCGTCGGCTCGTCACCTAGCGTTGTTTTGGCGCGGGCTCGTGCATAACGAATCCGTTTCGCCGACCCATGGACCGCGGTTGAGGATGTTGTATTGCGACGAATCGAAAGGCGCATTTCCTTGAGTGGGTGAGTCTGTACTGGGGGAGCTGAGGGAGCAGACTTTGCCTCGGTGCCGGGCTATTGGATCGTTCGGACGCACGAGTCAACAAGTTCCCGTTGCGTCTCAGCCAGCTTTACCAGCCCCTCGTCCAAGATCTTTCCCCGCACATAGCGGTGCATTGATATATAAACATCAGCTGGGTGCCTCATTCTCAATGAAGTGTAAAGATTTCTTCCGAGTACGACAGCAGCGAACCTAACGCTTCAGACCTGGTCACTTTCCCCCAGCAAGAATATTCTCTAGAACCAATCTCTCTCCCGCATAATCGCCCATTTTCCCGCAAAATGCCTTTTCACGCACTAGTCCTCTATCCAAATGAAGAGGACACCAAGTTCGACATGGACTACTACCTCAAGACCCATATGCCTCTGGTGATGGAAAACTTTAAGAAACACGGTCTCAAGAAATGGGAAGTGCTCGAATACAAGCCCGGTTTGGACGGCGCAAAGCCACTGTATATTGCCAGCGCGACTATGATCTGGGACAAGCCTGAGGACATGGGTGCAGCATTGACCTCGGAGGATGCAAAACCTGTCTTTGGAGACATCCAAAACTTCACCAACAAGCAGCCAGTCTTCCTCGCAGGGGACCTTGTGAAAACTTCTTAAAGCGAAATTGGATGATCGTCAGAAAAGAGAATGCCAACAGAAGAGGATATCCATCCTTCTTGAGCCAAGAAGCCTGGTGCATCCAGCGATTATAGATCGAGCAATAAACAACATGATATGCTCTCGAGAGAGACTCTGAACAATTGCCTATTTCATTTATGCAGGGAATATTCCTTCCGTTTCTTCTTGCGGATTGCGAAGGATCGTTCGCTTATGCTCGGGTTCCCTTCGCCCCATCGTGCCTCACGCACCACTATCCTTTGTCCTCAGAGGAGCACAGCTTGGGGGTTTTTATTCATTGCAGGGAGCACAATCTGCCAGCGAGTGTGCATACGATGGAGAAATATTTGACATTGCGTAATCTCATTCCCCCCTGTCTACTTTAACGGAGGCGCATGAGGTCTCTGTAATAAGGAAATGGGAAAGCGAACCCTCTGCAGCAGAATGCTTAGGTAACTAAGGATAGAACCCATAGACGCCTGGCTTTCCACGCGAACAAGGACAGTGCGTTATCAAATTGCCATTTATCACCTAGTGTGGGTGGCAGATGTCGATCGCTGTACCATTGACGTATGCCGTACTGGCCTTCATCGGAGAAGAGCGATCTCGTTAAGAAGGAGAACAAGAGTCCATTGTTTCTTCTTGAGTATGTCATAATGGCTATGCTCCTCCTTGGGAGAATAGCGCGCGGACTATTTGTTGATTGTTGTCTCACAGAGCATTGTAGCCAAACCATTCATCTCAATTACCAGTACTTCGATTCACTCCTCAGCATGGTCTGCGATGGCTCCTATCGCCCTTGACCAGACCATTGACCAGCCGAGCTTGCACAAAACCACCATAGCAGATCCAAGCAACAGAGAGACAGGAGAAAGCATTCGTCTCGCTGCGAGGGCCGGCGCATACGACAAGCAGACTTCCGGCGCGGCGCCTGCCTATGTGCAGGCAAATCTGATCGCCCTGCCATCGCGATTTGCAGCGGACTTTAGATTGCTGTGTCAAAGGAATCCCGTACCGTGCCCCCTGCTGGCCGAATCGAAGGAAGTCGGGAGCTGGGACGAGCTGAAATCCTGGGTGCCTAGCCTGACCGGAAAAGATCTTGCGAAGGACCTCGACCTTCGCCATGACTTTCCAAAGTACATGGTCTATGAGGATGGCGAGCTGACAATCTCTCACTGCGGCGATGTTGGCGCGGTCTGGACCAAAGACCATGTTGGCTTCTTAATTGGCTGTTCGTTCAGTTTTGAAGCCGCCCTAACAGCCGAAGGATTGGTTCCATCCCACGTGGCACACAGTAGGAACGTGCCAATGTATCGCACAAGCCTTCCTCTGTGCCCCGCCGGCGTTTTCAGTCAATCCACATATGTGGTGTCAATGAGACCCTATCAGAGAAAAGACATCCAGAGGGTAAGAGACATCACGCGCCGATATGTCGCGACTCATGGCGAGCCCATCGACTGGGGATGGGATGCCCTCTCGCGCCTCGGGATCAAGGACATCAATAAGCCAGAGTTTGGAGATACACCTGTCTTACCTGACGGCTCGGCGCTCGTTCAGCAACTTAGAGCTGAGTCTGAGGAATTCATCCCCGTCTTCTGGGGATGTGGTGTCACGCCACAAGAGGCAGTACGACAAGCTGCTCTAAAAGGCCCTGTCATCGGGCACGCTCCGGGACACATGATTGTGCTGGACATCAAGGATTGGGACATTATTCCAAGTATATGACTTCGAGGGTCTCCGTTGTCTTCGTGGGATCGAATCCAAGGGGATGAAATATCGGAAAGCCTCCAGCATTCTTGAATGTCATCAAATTGGTCACTGCCATGTTGAAGGACTTGCTCTTTAAGGACTTGGGCTCATCACCGAGTGCGACATGTTGTATGGTGTACCGCAAAGTGCTGGGGCTCGTCCCAGGCTCGAGGCGAATCAAACGGATCTCTTTGCGGTCAGACTGCAGAGGCTTGAAACCAGAGTATTTCGGCCACTGCCCCGCCTTCCCGTCGTGCGGATCAGCCTCTGCCATTGTGCGAGGGGTACAGTTCTGCGACGTGCCTCGAAGTCAGGTTGGAACTCAATATCACACAATATTGAGCGAAGTGAAGCCTGTGACCAGGCGGGGCAGAGCGGTTCGGAGCGCTGCGGATTGATTGGCTGGGTAGGCCCGGTGCTCCCAATTGACTCGCTTAGTCAAGCGTCATGTGACCGTAAGTCTGCACGTGACACTGGCAGTTTCGTTGAACAGGTGATCTGGTCCACTGTAGTCTTGGCTACTGCAGGCCTCCTGTCACTACATGCAGTTCACAAGATGTCCACATGTCCTTCGTCTCTTTCCACTCTGCCGCTTCTGTCACTCGCTACTCAAACAAGTCAAAACGTCGGTCGAGCGAGCCCACGAAAGGGTGCATCTTGTCACCTGGGCATAAAGCTTGTCGGCTGGGTCGGATTCAACGCCGATGGCTCTCTTTCTAACATTCGTTCAGGGCGACTAACAATCAATTTCAGCCTAAATTCCCATATCTCCAAAGCCTTGCATGAGTCGGAGAAATCACATACCCTCCATAGTAGAATTCCACAATGAGGGCACAAAACCCTCCAACGAGGATTGTCGTTCGCGTCAGATCAGAGGTAAACGATTGAACAGTTTCACCCAACGCCGACCACAACAATGGCGACCGGGATACTCAAAGTAAAAGACACGCAGGTGGTTGATAATGGGGGACATCCAGTCATTCTACGAGGCTGTGCTATAGGAGGATGGCTCAAGTAAGCTCTATGAAGTTCCAGCTTTCCATCATCTGAGAAAAGAAACAGTATGGAGAACTTCATCGTTGGCTACCCGGGCCATGAATCAAGTATTCGTGCCGCGATGCTGGAAGTCATGGGCCAGGAGAAGTCCGACTTCTTCTTCGACCGATGGCTGTACTACTTTTTCACAGAAGCCGACGCAAAGTTCTTCAAGTCACTTGGTCTGAATTGCATCCGCATTCCTTTCAACTATCGACACTTCGAAGACGATATGAATCCTCGTGTACTCAAAGAGAGCGGCTTCAAGCACCTGGATCGGGTAATTGACCTCTGTGCAAAGGAGGGCATCTATACCATACTCGACATGCACACTGTTCCCGGTGGTCAAAGTCCCGGCTGGCACTCAGACAACACAACAAGCTACGCGGCGTTCTGGGATTACAAGGACCACCAAGACCGAACGGTGTGGCTTTGGGAACAGCTCGCTCGCCGTTATAAAGGGAATCCATGGATAGCTGGGTATAACCCCATTAACGAACCCTGTGATCCCAAACATGTCCGTCTGCCCGCATTTTATGCTCGACTGGAGAAAGCAATCAGAGCTGTTGATCCAGACCATATACTGTGGCTCGATGGAAACACATTTGCGGCTGAATGGAAGGGCTTTGACACTGTGCTCCCAAATTGTGTCTATGCCCTGCATGACTACAGCATGATGGGCTTTCCCACCGGACGGCCGTATGAAGGCACTTCTGAGCAAAAGGAGAGGCTGGAGGCGCAATTCTTGCGCAAGTCGGAGTTTCAGAGGAAGCACCAAACTGCAATCTGGAACGGCGAGTTCGGTCCCGTCTACGCAAATCCCAGATGGGATGAAAACGCCGAGGAAATCAACCAAAAGCGATACAACATGCTGGGCGAGCAGCTCCGCATCTACGACAAGTTCCAGATCCCGTGGTCTATCTGGCTCTTTAAAGACGTCGGTCTTCAGGGTATGGTGTACACGTCGCCCGACTCGCCCTGGAACAAACTGATCGAGCCTATGCTGGAAAAGAAGAAGCGGCTGCAGCTGGATGCGTGGGGTAAATATCCGTCCAAAGAAGTCGACGACGTGATGCTGCCCCTCATCAGCTGGATAGACTCGGTCTCGCCCACAGCGAAGAACGTCTACCCGTCCACGTGGAACACTGCAAGGCACATTGAGCGTGCGGTGCTGCAGACTTTCCTGGCGGAGACATTCTGCCAGGAATTTGCCGAGCTATTTCGCGACAAGGATCAAAGCGCCCTGGAGGAGTTAGCGAGGAGCTTCAGCTTCGAGAAGTGTGTGCAAAGGGACGGGCTGAACAAGATCATGTCCGACTACGCCGCCGTTGCGTCCAAGCGCACCTGAAAATACCTTAGGCGAGGACCCCGTAATATCGGTCAAACACGGCCAGCGGCCATTTTGACGTCCAATTCAGAAATGTTCCAACTTCCCGCAAGCGCAGATAGTAGGCATGATGCTCGGCCATTTTCCGGGAATCTCAGACCCTTTGCCTTTCTGCCTCAATCTTTTCTTGCCTAAATTCATTTCTTGGTATCGGTGTCGTGTCCCGGTGTCAACTCCAATCAATTGGGGATCAGTGGGGACATTCCGCGGGGAATGGGGCCGCAAGGCTGAGTCCGACAAGTCTGTCGTGGTCTATTTGCTTCGGCAGATAGTCAGAGGGAGATGAATGCCTATATTCTCTGCCCTACATAAGATCTCACTGGCTCGCACGCCCGTCACGCACAAGAGTGTCACACCTTCTCACCCTCTGAAAGTAATAGGCTTCTCCCTGAGCCCCATTGATTGCCAAACCTCAAGTGACGAAGCCAGCATGTCGAAGGCAGTTGCCGGCCACGACATCTCTGCAAGGGATGTCGCAAATGTTTCTGAAATCACTTACTTAGTCCAACAAGACAAGACGCCATGGTACAAAAAGAAGAACCTTCGACGGCTTTATCTGTGTCTTGTCCCAGCCGCGTAAGTGTCCTCCCCAAGTCGGCAACATAGTCCTCCATTTCGTTGTCCTACCAGACCCTATGTCCGAGAAGATGTTTCCTAGTTTGAAAAGACGCTAATCTCTGCAACAAAAAGTCTTGGAATTGAAGCCACAAGTGGTTTCGATGGGAGCGTTCTCAACGGACTTCAGGCTGTTGAGCCTTGGGAAAAGTGTAAGCCGACCAGTATTCGAAGGAATTCAGACCTGACTCCTTTGTGTCAGACTTCAACAATCCAAACGGCGCCCTCCTGGGTGTGATTACCGCGGCCTTCTCCATCGGCGCCGTGGTTGCGGTACCGCTCGTCCCCTATGTCAATGATCGCTTTGGCCGCAAGCCCTGCATTGTGTTTGGGAGTACGATCATAGTGATTGGTGCGATTCTGCAGGCTGCAGCAGTTGACAGTAAGTCGTCCAACGGTCGCTTCTATCCTTTGTCTGCTGACAGGATCAACCAGTTGCCATGTTCCTGGTGGCCAGAATCATCCTTGGAATGGGAATTGTATATGGAATTAGCGGAGCATCCCAGCTCATTGCCGAACTGACATATCCCAAAGAACGGTCTGTAATCACAGGTCTTTTCAATGAAAGCTGGTATGCTGGAGCGATCTTGGCCGCGGGCATCACCTTGGGTACATATTCCTGGGACAGTAACTGGAGTTGGCGATTGCCGTCGCTGCTGCAACTCTTGCCTTCGTCGCTGCAACTCATGTTCATCTGGTGGGTAGCTATACCTCTCCAATATGCAGACAAGTTGACGTTTCCAGGTTCATTCCGGAGTCTCCCCGTTTCTTGATTTCAAAAGACCGCCATGAAGAAGCTCTGGAAATTCTGATCAAATATCACGCGGAAGGTGATCGATCAAGTCCATTGGTCGCAGCAGAATTCCAGCAGATCCGCGAAACTATCCGTTTGGAGATTGAGAACACCAAGAGGCCATGGAAAGAGCTTGTGACATCTGGAGTCAATCGACGACGAGTGTTTATTGCAGCTTGCGTCGGCTTATTCTCGCAGTGGTCAGGCAACGGCCTCGTCAGCTACTACCTTAGCAAAGTCCTGGCCACTGTTGGAATCACCAAAAAGAGGACGCAAAATGAGATCAATCTCGGCCTTTCCTGTTGGAACTTGGTAACCGGCGTAACAGGTGCTCTGCTGGCTCACATCCTGCCCCGGAGACGGCAGTACTTGATCTCGTACTGCGGTATGACATTGCTCTTTGCTTGCTGGACTGCGGCTTCTGCGGTTTATGCCAAAGATCACACGAACAATTCAGCTGCAATCGCTGTCGTGGCACTGATCTTCATCTATTACGGCTTTTACAACCTCATGATGCCACTCACCTACATCTTCATCTGCGAGATCTTCCCGTTCATCCATCGGAGCAAGGGCGTGGCAATCACGCAGTTCTTCTCTCGTGGCGGCAGCTCCTTCAACCAATTCGTCAACCCAATCGGACTTCAGGATATCACATGGAAATATTACATCGTGTACGTGGTGTGGCTCGCTGTGGAAACCAGTACGATCTTCTTTGTTTATCCCGAAACACGTGGGCCATCGCTCGAAGAAGTGGCCGTGATCATGGAAGGTGACAAGGCCAAAGTCGAAGTCATTGAGGTCGGCGCGTCGACAGGGAAGGGCGGAGTTGGTGTGCACGAGGTCGAGAAAGCCTGAACAGTGTCGTCAGGTCGAGGAGGGACGGACATGTATCCAAGACGGCTTTTCTTGTCTTATTCGAAGCTAGGGTCCAATGAACGAAAGAACGAGACAAACAAGCGACAATACGAGTACGCAAGATATAAGTGTGAATCACGTCGTATACCACCAAGACATCTGACCCCTCGAGTCCTCAACCGAAACCGAAACCGAAAGGGTTTCAAGCCCCCGTAAGGGAACCCAGGAGCCAATGGAGGCCGTCGCTGCCCTGGGATTAGTGCTCACAGGGACCCTCGCCCTGATTAACTGATCGCACCCCCCGTCACCACCTGGGTGCCTGCCACCCACCCAAGGCACCAGCGGAGTAATTTTGTGGTATGGGCGTACCCATGCACCGCCAAACCCCCGAGCGGGGCATTGTTTCGATCTGGTTTTCATTTCAGGCCGCCAACTGATCGCCATAGGTTTGTCAAGCAGGTCCTGGAACTCTCATTTCTTCAATTCCCAGTCACCTATACTGTAGTTGAGGGCTTCGCTGCTCTTTACCACAGCTCATGATGCTCGATTCACCGTCCAAATCATGACACATCCCGCTTCCGCGTCGGCAGCTGACTCTCACCCATTGTCCTCCCGAACCCCTCCCCTCGACAATGTCCGCAAGGAAGTATGTGAAGCGGTTGATCGTTTGCGTCGATGCTGAAGAGTACAGCGGGGAAGATGGAAATTCAGGTGCGACCGGCTGTCAACGCCCTCGTTGAGTCCAATTAACGAAGTCGAAGGAAATGGAAACGCTAGCAACATTTTCCGAATCCAAAGCATCATCCCCAACGGCTTCTCCATCGACCCGCAGGGTCGGACGGTCGAGCAGAGTGTTCGCTACTATCGCGCCGCCTCTGATGGACCCAGTTTGATTGAGAGGTTAAAGAGCCGTGGGCCAACACCGTACTACGAGGACCAGATCAAATCCATCGCTCGTGAAATATGCGAGACCCTCGAGGAACCACAGGATGAGCTCTTCCTGTACGGCTTCGGACGGGGCGCGTTCATTGTCCGTGCGGTAGCCGGACTGCTCGATACCATGTTTCTGCCCAAAAGCACGTCGCTGAGATACTTCGATACACTCTATCGGACTGCGCTGGACGTATACAGTGCGAGAAGGGAGGATGATAATAGGAACGGGCCCAAGATGATCGAGTTTCTTCGGTCGCATACAACTCGGCCACCGGTAATTCAATTCGTTGGGGTCCTGGACACCGTGAAGTACACTGCCGAAGGCCACATGCATGACATCTCATTTGTCCCGTCCATAAAAAACCTGCGACATGCATTGGCTCTCAACGAGACACGCTCTCAATTAAATGTGGAGACTTTTGACACACCATCTTCTCAAGATATGCTGGGGAGGAGTTTTGTTCAAGCATGGTTCATGGGCTCAAATCAAGATCTTGGGGGTGGCACCCAGGAGGACGGCTTGTCCTTGTACCCCTTACAATGGATGCTCATCGAAAGCATGCGTGCTGGACTCGTTCTTCAGCCCCAGCAGGACGGAACACTGCCTGTTGCGAAAGAAAATCCCCTCTCCTTGGCGTTTCCTCAATACGCGGGCGAGGTACCGAAGCTCGATGGGAGTGAAAAGATTGAATGGCAAATCTCCCATGCGAACGGCCTTCGAGTCAGCCTCTACGATCTGCAAGCTCTGCATGGAAGCTTTACCGATAACAACCAAACGCACAATTTACAAATCAATTCTTCCAGTTCACTCTATAACAGCTCGCGCAAAGTGTTCAATTCAAAGGGTTTTGTTGGATGGTGTGATGATGGTAAATTGCTAGATCGATGATCTTGAAACACAAAGTTCTGATAAAACTCCAGGAAGCTACGGAACGATCATTCATCCTTCGGTCTTCTGCATCCTTGACAGATATCCGCGATTTTACGAACAGTCACGATTCAAATCCCTGAAGAAACCTCTCGCAGATTATCGGGACCGTTACTTGCTGGAGGAAGGGGGCGCAATCCCTCCCTGGCTGGAAGGCTTACAACTGCAGGCAAGCGGTGTAAAGGCATTCCGCATACTTGTCTGTGGGAAAACGGGTGTTGGCAAGTCGACATTGATAAACAAAATCTTTGGAGTTGAAATGGTTGTCTCTTCACCTTCCTTTTCATCAAGCTTCACAAACTAACCATTCCGCCTAGACCGAGGAGTCCGACAGCTACAAGCAAGGGAATCACGACATCAACGAAGCATTTGAATCCCCCAATAATCCTGGCCTGATTATCCATGATTCCAGAGGATGGCAAGCCGGAAGCGACAAAGAACTTGAGTTGATTGCCAAGTTTCTCCGCTATCGGGCATTTCAGAAAGATCCAGCCGAGGCGTTGCATGTCATTTGGTGAGTTTTCTAGCGCCAGATACAATGTCTTGCCTTGCTCACGAAGACCACAGGTTCTGCGTCGACTCGGACGTCAGCCGTATCGAGGAGGCCGACAAACGAACCTTTCAAACCATTGCACAGTTTTCCAACCACGTTCCGGTCTTTGTGATTGGGACGAAGAAGGACAAGCTGATTGCCTTCCGCAAGATGCAATTGCTGGAGAAGTACATGGAACAGACGGGCAATTACCGCGAATCGCAGCGACTGGCGAACGATGAAGCGGATAAATTGGCGGAGGAACAATTTATGGCCCTCCGCCAGGAGCTCTCGCAAATCAAACATTACAAGGCAGATGGGTATTGCTGTCTCTCCAAAGGTTAGTGCTCTGTTATCTCCAGACGTTGTACCAGAGTATTAACTAGGATTGATAGATGATGATCAAGCAGTCAAGAGACTTTTGACGCAGACCCTAGATCTGATTCAAGATGAAAAGGTCCGAATCTTTGCAGTTGCGGCACAAGTGGTCGATGTCGAGCAAAAGATTGACTCCGCAATTACAGAATGCATGCGCTTGGGCCTTCACGCGGTCCGCACTGCCATGGTCCCCTTACCGCTCTCGGGCGCGATAGGCACACCGACTGTTGCGCGAATCCTGTGCCAGCATGTTCTTCAATGTTTTGGGTTCCCCAAGGCGTTACCAGATGAGGTAGAAGAGATCATGACACGGGTTGTCCTAGGCCATCTGAAAAAGTTTATGACTGTGACAATAGCAGAGTTTGTCGGAGTCGGAATGGTAACTGCGGGCGTCATTATCGGCACAATGGGTGCTGGCGGAGTACTTGCGCTATCGCTATGCGTCTTATCCGTGCCTCCGACGGCGAGGATGTTGTTCAAGTGTGCTTGCGACATGATTCTCATCCTCGAGCGAGCATTCCGGTACCAGGGCAAATACGTTTCGGTGAAGCAGATCGAAGATGCAGCCCTCTACTACACAACAGCCATGACAAAGACCTTTGCTGGGAAAGAACTCCTGTTGCAGAAGCATGTTCATGATGAAGTCGATCGGTTAATACCTCTGACCAAGATATCTACGGGAATGAAATTCAGCAAACTTCGCCCGGGGCTCGAAGACATTATCTATAAGAACCGGTTTCAGAAGTCTGGACCACCCAAAGACGAAGGCATGCCAATGGTTCCGGAACTTGGTGGGCAGGAGATTGCGGAGCTCGACGCTACCACGAGTCCAGTTGAGCTGCCCGGTGGGAGGAGCCTGCCTGTTGAGCTTCCAGCAGAGGTTGGAACCTCGTTGCAAATCTACGAGAAAGAGACGGTGCCCTCAGGAATGGCATCGGCTACAAGCGCTACTACGACTACAGACGATCTTCTCAGCCTAGAAGAGAAGACCCTCAATGACCAAGGCCTGTCGGCAACGAGCCAGACAACCTCGTCGTCGCCAACCGAGATATCGGTGGAAAGGACAAAGAGTGAAGGGATGTTCTCAAGAAGTACACGAAAATTGTCGTCCAAATTGGGCTTGAGAAAGTCAAAGACCCTGCAGATTTAGACGGGATATGAAGGCATATACGTGGTACATACCGAGTAGATACCCAGGTACATCTACGACCAAAGTGATAGCCCGGTGACCCGTTCCCCAAACAGGCAATTTGGCGGAAGCCGCCATTAGCGTCGTACAATCTCGTACAAGCGTCGGGTCTTGGCAATGGCTCGCCCAACTTTTCCTCTTTTCTCGCCTTCGCCCGGAAATCCCTCTTCCGGCGATGGCCGACATGTGCGATCTAACATCTCATCTCAGATGCTCTTATCTCATTCCCCCATCTTCAGCATCGAATCAAAAAGAATTATACAGTCTCCAAACAAGTTGAGATAGGTACCTGCCGAGAATACATCTTTCTGGCTTGTACGAGGCTGCTACAGGAAGTAAGTGACAACGTAAGGATCATCCTGCAAGAGATGTCTCCCCCAGCGAGGACATGTATATATCTGCCTTTCAGTTTCTCCTGCAATCGTGTTGTATTTCATCCAGAGTCTTCAAAGTACAATTCAAGCAATACAGCCGATCTTCTCACAAGTCAAACAACCATCCAACATGCCAGGAATCACCGTTTCGCCCGTCACTCCTGCTCGACCTGAGTTGGGGGCAGTTATCGACAACTTGGACCTGGAAAATCTGTCAGACGTAGACTTCGAGGCTCTCCGCAACGCCCTCTACACCTACAATGTCGTCTGCGTCAAGTCCCAATCGCATCTCACGCCCAAGGGCCAGGCGGAGCTGACCCGCCGCTTCGATCCCGAGGCCATGTCATATGGCCACGGCAAAACCATTGACGCCAAACGGTCTATCCTCCATCCTGACCTCAAAACCGTGCCTCACCAGCCCGAGGTCCAAGTGATCGGCAATGGCTTTGTGCCCGAGTACGAAGGCCTCAAGAACATCACCTTGAAGCATCCTCATCATCGCACATTCCACAAGACCATCATCCCGGACGAGAAGGACCTTGACTATACCCGCTTCTACCGCTGGCACATCGATGCCGCACTGTACGGGGATCTTCAACCACCGCTGGTGACGTCTCTGCTTGCCGTCAAGGTTCCAAAGGGACGGACTCAAACCCTTCTCTATGACGACGGCAGCGACGACACCCTTCAAGTCCCTCTGGGCACCACGGCCTTTGTGTCCGGGTACACGATGTTTGACAAGCTCAGCGCCGAGCAGAAGGAGTTCGTGCTCACCTCCAAAGTCGAATACGCCCCACACCCTTACGTCTGGATCTCGACGGCGAGATCGCGTCCGGACGGCTTGGGTATGGTCTCCGAAGGCAAGGAGGTGCCCGTCGACGAACTCCCGCCGATCGAAAACCCCACTGACATCCAGATCCAACCCTTGGTCTGGCAAAACCCGGTCACGGGCAGGTTCGCCCTGCAGATACACCCGTCCGTTGTGCGCAAGATCCACCTGCGCGACGGCACCATCATCGACGACCTGGCCAAGGTGCGGGAGATCGTGCACGACCTGCAGCGGCCCGGCATCGCGCCGGAGCTGGTGTACGCGCACGACTGGCAGGAGGGAGACTGTGTGCTGTTCAACAATCACGGTGTGTTACACAGCGTCGTGGGCGCCTTCGACAAGGATGAGGTTAGACTGTTTCGGCAGTGCAACTTGGCTGCGAGTCGGCCGCCCATCGGACCGGACGTCCAGGTGTAATTTTGGTACGGGTAAAGATGATGTATGATCAGGCAGGAAAGACTGAAAAGACTTGTAGATTGCTGTTTTGGAGCTTTTAGAACAAATTCAATAGGATGCTCATTGTCGTCTATATGCTGATTCCCATTGCACATGCCTTTGCGGTTCTCCGCTCCAGAATTCCTCCTCAACCGATGCAGATATTCCTCTGTTTGGCCCCTTAGTTCATACTCACTACCCTAAACTCCCTGGGTGTTAGATGTCTTTGTCTTTGGTGAAGCAGACAAAGAAGAGATGACACAGGGAGGAGACACCAGACTGACACGACGATGCTCTCGCTGAGAAACTAGTCCCACTCCGCCAACCCGAATATGGACCTACTAAGTTTTCTCGCAAGCTGACATAGATATCTCAGCTGTGGACCTGTGGTGTAGCTCGCTCTCTCGATTTTCCCAGAGTATCATCGTCGCAGTCCAGCTTCTCCCGATCTCCCCGAGACCGTCGTGCCAACACCCCCATGTTCTTCCGAATACCGATCTGACACGAAAACGAGACGACAACCACTACGATGCCCCATGAGCGAGGCTGGGCGGGGGCATGACAAAGAATATGGCGAACTTAGTCGCTCCAATTACAAATGCTCGGCCTTCGGACGGAGCAAACACACAGATTCCTCAGGCCTTGACGGAGGCCGCGAAAGCGCGAAAGCGCGAGAAAGACGTTGAAAACTCGAGATTTTGCACACTCCCTCCTTCAAGCCTCAAAACCTAACTTTCTTAAAGGGCCCCGGTGGGACGTTTGCTCTAGCTCCTGTGGACAATGCGGGGGGAGAGACGGGGAAAGTAACGAACTAAACGACACACGGGGCTGATTGACATACTGTCCCATGCAATAGCCATCCCACTGCCATATTGCCCCCTTGTAAAGGGTGGTGTGGCCGACATCATTGGGGCGTGTGGAAAAGAGCGAATAGATAGCCATGGGTGTGTATCGGGGCCTTTTCCCTTTGGGCTCCTCCAGCATCGTAAACATCATCAGTTGCCTGTCCCAATCAAGGCCTGTGGATAACTCGTCGGACGAATATATATTGTAAGTCTGTAACTGTATGCACTTTAGGCCGGCATCCTCGTATAATAGATCCATACCTCATCTGGCCCTCCCCACAGCTTTAGTCGGAGGCGATGAAAGGAAGCATCAGGGTCTCTGTCTCACACGAACCCGTCCTTTCCGTACACAGGCGCTGCCGTCTACCTGACTGACTGACTGATTTAAGGCCCTGAACCAGCTCAACTCTATCCCAAGGCCCCTTTCACTTTTTTTTCCCTTTGCTGACGGGTCTCAAAATCCCCTCCGCCGTGTGATGACATCGGGATAATACCGCACAAAGATAAAGAGGATCTGACGCTGAGGGTGCTGACAGTAAGGGACGACATCTCATCTGCACATGATACATCGATATACATTAATCTATATATCTCCTCTGTCTCTCTGTCCCTCTCTCTCTGGCGTATCTCAACGAAACATTAGACAATTGTCCTCCCTAAACCACAGCTTGCAAGGGGCTCTTCTACACAGATATACCAGCACCATGGCGCAATCTCCGCCCTACCAGCTCTACTACAACCCCTTCTCCATCTGTTCACTGATGGTGCTCTACACCTTGCGCGTCAAGGGCAAGCCAAAATCGCCCGCGGACGCCGTCGACCCGGAAGAACGCTTCATTGACATCTACACGGGCGAACAAATGACCGAGGAGTATTTGGAGAAACACCCAAAGGGCACGGTAAGTTAAACTTTGTCTTGTTGGCAGTTAAGCTCGCGGTTCGGCGGCCGTGTGGTGGGTGATTCATGTCGTCTTGGGGTTGAGACCTGATCGTGCCGTATGTATACCTCTTCTTCTGACATGCTCGGACGCTTCCAGGTCCCTGCCCTGCTAGCCCCATCGCTCGGCGTCAAATTGACCGACAGCACGGACATCACCCAGTATCTGTGCGACCGGTACCCGAGCCTTGTGCCCCCGGCGCACAAGCAAACGATCGAATCCCTGCTCGAGGAGCTCCACGAGATCTCCTACGTGACCATCTCGTTCAAACCCGAGGACCGCCGCGTCGAGGGTGTCATGGAGGCTGTGCAGGAGATCATGGCGCGGCCCGACACTTCTCCGAGGTATCGTGAGATGCTGCAGCGCAAGTTCGACAAGTGAGTGTTTTCCGCCCCTTACCATTTCACCTCCCCTTTCCGTCCATCCATCCATCCAGCCATCCAGCCTTTGTTCTATACGACTCTGTGCCATGCAAAGAATCATTTCTGACCGGAGTTACAGCCACAAAAACAACCTCCAAAAGTTCCAGGACAACAACCAATCCATCGCCAGCGTGGAAGCAGACTCGCGCGCCTACCTGGAGAAAATCAGTCAGCTGCTGTCCAAGCACGGACAACAAACATGGATCTTTGGCGCCGAGGTCGGTCCGACGGCTCTGGACGCGCACACGGTCGTCTTCATCGCCAGACTGTTAGACGCCGAACGCGCGCATTTGATACCCGAGGACGTGCTCCGGTACGGGAACCCGAAGCTCCAGTCGGCAGAATGGTTGGGGATCACAAAGGGGAATCCGACGCTGCATACGCTTTGGGAGAAACAGCAGCAGCAGCAGAATGGCGATCATTGAGTTTAAGGACAGGCACCGCCTGGGCCGGGTTTAGGTCGGGTAAATGCATGGTGAGGATCGCTGACGAACTTGGCCTGGAAGAAACAACGTGGAAAGGAGGGTTTGTGTGTATGAGGGACACACACACACAGAGAGAGAGAGAGAGCCTTGCAGCCGCCATATGCCCCTCTCGCTAACCACAATGTCCATCCATAGCCTGTCTGCCTGCTTAACAGCCACCCGAAAAAAATGGCACGCGTCCGCATCGGAAGAGAAGACAAGAGAAGAGAATGTCCCTTAGTTGCTGGTGCCCTTTCCTTACTGCACCTAGGTGATCCGTTAACGAACCAGCCAATCACTCAATCAATCACGGAATACATGATCTCCTCCTCCTCCTCCTACCCAAATCCACGTCTCCGCCCAGACCCCACGCAAGCCAGATTCGCAGACCCCGTTCACCAGGCGCTGTACCCGCGTCCTGTTTCATCTGTTTTGTCTTCCCCATGGCTGCAGGTGGGTTTCATCGGCGCGCGCGCGGGGCCAGCCTTGTCTCGTCCCTTGTCGTGATATCTTGTTTCACATCCCGCCCCCTTTTTTTCGCTCGGGGGAACGCCTTGGCTCTCGGGCGAGGCTGCACGAGGCGTTTCACACACGATTATGTGTCGTGTGTGCGAGACTTTTTGAACTTGTCTTTTAACTAAGAGGATGGGCTCGTATAACTGAGTCAACTACGCAGTTAGGTAGTCGTTTGGAAGAAGCAGCAAGTTTTGAGGGTTTCAGCCTCGTTTGGCCTTTTTGCCTTCGGCGGTGGATCTCCGGCCCTGTGTGGACGGTGGTTCGCCGAGTCCGAATCCGAGTACGAAGGAATTGTGATTCCTCACCTCGTAACTGCAACTGCATGGGCTAATTGATTAATTAACCACAAGCGGAAGGTTCCCGTAGGGCCTACAGCCCATGAGATTGTTGATGGGCTGTGACAAGAGGTTCCAAGGCCTCACATGGTGGTGAAGTGACAGAGTGGGTTGGTCAGTCAGCCTCGCAGGCAGGAAAGCAAGGCTGAAACTTATGTCCCAGGCTGTGCCACTTGGAAAAGTCCCTGTTGCTTCTCCCATCGTGTGGATACAACCCTGTGGGCTGTGCCCCATCGGGGGAGCCAAGGGACTATTTGTTGGAAAATCGCTCATGCGCATGGCAAATTGTTGCATACGCTGCAGAATTGCAAGAATATTTTGTCATTCTTTTCCAGCCTGGGGAATTCTATTCGTCAGGGTATCAAAACGAGTGCCATTTAACTCCTCAACTAGCGCAGTAAATGCTGGAATACAGCCCACCCTGCAGCCGCTAAACCTGACAAGCCAGGAATATTGCCTGTGCAGTTCCGGCCAAAGCAGACAGCGCCTGGAGAAGTTCCTCAAGATTCGGGAAGCCGGGGAAACGAAGTAGGAATCTCCAGTCGTGCAGCCGGATCTGAGGCCAAGGCTGGAGGCCCATACAAAGATCCAACATCACTCCGGCCTAGCACCAAAGCCCCTCCGCATACGCCCACCATTCCAAACCGAGTGCATCCTCTCTGCAACTCCGCAAAGCGTCCCAGTCGCGTCTTCTTCCTCCTGTAGGTCCGCAATCTCGACATTAGAAGCCAACTCAACTTGCGACCTCGTCGAAAATCAACACTAGCGACGCTCGATTTGGCAACGTCCACAGCGTTTTCTGTGACAATTTGGACAATAGGGGTTGTTTGTGACAAGAAAGGGCCCCTGATGGCACTCGCAACAAAACCAGTAGACTTCTTTCGGACCATGAAGTTTGGGGTCACCGGAAGGCACAGAGAAGGGCAGGCTGGCATAGTCCGTCATGCCATAGTCGTCGTCCTCATGCTGGTCAGTTGAATTATGGGGTTCGACTGCGTCCTCCGCGCGTGTGAAGTCAGAGGACAACACCTCTGATTGATTTCCGTGTGTGTAGCTGCCACTTGGGGTTAACGACCTTGTAAGATATGTTGCCTAAAGTTTCACTCACCACATCGTGGATTGTCTGAGTTTCGTTCTGACGGTTGTAGGAGATTGTGTTTGCTGCAGTATCCTGGTGTGTGATTTGAGTAGATGCGACAGTACAGGCAAAGAAAAGAGTCAGCACTCGACGAGAATCAGAAATTTATGTCTGGCCACTGGGGGCTATGCCACGACAATGCATCGCTCCTTACACCATTGTCGATGGCTGTGCCATATCCGATGTAGCAAATGTAACAGCTCCCTTTCCATGTTGAACGACGGTTTCTGGTCAGTAGAGAGTGGCTCATACGTTTCCGCCTTGTCAGAAGGTGCCCTCGAACGAACTGAACATCGCCGTAATAAATGGGGATTCCGAGCCAACGTAAATGACTTGACCATCAAGGCAGTTTGACGGGCTCCACTTGAGACGGATGAAGGGCCCCCTTTCTAGGCAAAAGATGGCTTTTTGTCCGCCTGGGCGGGAACGAGTGCAATGGCCCCCCAAGCCCCTCTTGAACCAGCCGGTCCGGATCCGTATCACGGTCTCAAAGGATATCTGCCATAAGATAATTTGTTGTAGGCAGTGACATTCAATGTCGTAGGTGGGCATCTTCTTCAACGTCATAGGTTTGGGTAAGGTGGTCGCTTGACCACCTGCCCATCAAAATTAGCGAAGATAGGCCGAGTGCGGAGACTCAAGAGCAGAAGGCAGGTTATAGGAAAGTAGTTGCCTTTTTTTCCAGTTGCCTTTGAACGGCCAAGTAGTTTGCCCTTTGCACAGCCCCGGACACCTGCCAAATCAGGATCTTCAATAAAACTTCGTCCCGCAAGGTCGAACCAGCGTCAGCGATCAAAAGCACTGGCGCAGGACAAACGGCGACGTCGTGACGACGACCCACCCTTACAGGAAGTGAAACCAGAGAAGAGAGAACGGAGAGGGTCCGATACAGGCTCCAGACCTGTGGCAATGTCAAGAGGAAAAAGACTCATATATGTTTCGAAATGCCAATGCCGTGAGACGACATTGTCCGGGCAAGAGAGTCCTGAAGGACCCATCAGAGCTCAGCAGAGTAGGCGTCCGACGAAAAGGCCAACGTCGGAGCATCCAGAAAACGTCATTGACATCGCAACATTGCAAGATGAAATCAGCCAGCAAAATCATAGGTTTCGTGGGCCAGACGCTTTCCCGTAACTGAGGAAGCAATGCCACGGAGGTAGATGGCAGGTGGAGGTTGAAGGTGGAGGTTGAAGATGGAAGTTGAGAACTCGCCGACTCAGCTTTGGTGGAGTTTGAGAAGCACGTGAGAGGTCATTCGCAGCCTTCATGCTCCACCGTAATGCTCGCGAATTCGTGTAGTGGGAAGCACAATGCCGTCATACGCAAAAGATGGGACAAAACCGGATAACATCGACATGCCATGTAAGGCACCAGAGCTGCATGGATGGGTAAGTTATTCAAGACAGTGACTAACGCACAGGTCGATACACGTTGAGCAAAGAGAGCCGCAGAGCAAATCAGAAGTAGACTTTTGAGGGGTATCAATTAGGTTATGTAGCCTCTCCCAAGCAGTGCAGTTAAACCTAGAAGAGATCAGCCAGCGACCCGCCTGCTCAAACAAAAAGGCATCCGAGTTTCTATACCTCCCTCCATGGCACTTGTTCAACCTGTTCTGTACGTCCAGTCTCGGCCATTGGTCCTCGCTTTGCCGTGACCAAATCCGAGATGCTCGATTGCATCGACCAAGACCTCCATCACGCAAGCTCCTTCGCAATATCATTCCCGACCCACCGACGAGCCCAACTATGGACAGAAACCCAATGGGATAAGCACTGCCGCATGATCTGCTTTCGAACACTCAACCTCCCAGGACAGTTGTGATGAATACATTCGTGGGACCGTGGTTTGGGATGGCTTCAACCTGCCCGCGGTACTCGAACTAGGCGATTCAGCTTGGTCATTTCGCCTCGGACGCTACGTGGTGGTTTTTGCCCTTGCTGAGGATGGCGTCGATAATGTCCTGTGAGCACTTGTTCGCCGAATTCACCGACAAGCGCTTAGAACTGTGGACCTCAACGTCCGGCTCATTATGCGACTCTGCGAGACTCTCCATTTTCGGCCTTAGTGACAGAGAGGTTCTCGATGTGGACCTTTCGTCATTTGTAAGTGGCTTTTCAGTCTTTTCAGTCTTTGTCTCTGCGCTGTCTGTTGTTGAGGCAAGAGAGGGTACCAGCTCCAGAAGCCTGGGCGGCAGCAATGAGGTGTTGTGAGGCAGTGACTTCGGCGAGGAATTCGGTCCCGTAACAGGCGAGCCTGAGGCGGGAATTCCTGGTGTAACTGCCCGCGACGGAATCATTGATGAGCTCATCGAGGCCGTAGAAGCTCTGCTGAGACTCGGTGTGGGAAATTCTCGCTCTTTAGTCAGGAAAGGATGCTCGAGTAATTGTTTCGCCGTCCATCGTTCTTCAGGCACCCATGTGATCATTTTCTTTGCGAAATCAATGAATAACTCTTTCTCTTCCCCTCTCAACCTGACAATGGAAGATTCGAAACTGTGGTCGTCGACGTGCTCTGGAAATTTGAATTGGCCGTCGGCATCGAAATAGACCGGTGCCTTGGTACAACGCTTCAGGAAATCTTTGGGCGGAGGACCAAGCAGGGCGATCATTAGCCCCAAGTGCTGCTCGGGATGATAGTGGCCAGGTTTCGTGTCAATCCGATCAAATAGCCCGAAGTGCTCAAATAAATCCCACAGCATAACTCCCAGATTCCAGATGTCGGCAGGGTAAGACCAACCCGCTTGCAAAATGACCTCAGGTGCCATAAAAGCATTAGATTGGATGGGCTTCGTGTTCTTCTCGTCCCCCCATGCTGCCAGACCGATGTCGGTGATTTTGGCGGATGCGATGACGGCTTCGTTGGGAGGTTCTCCAAAGTCACTGCAAGAAGTGTAGATGACCCGCCCATGGCTATCGGGCGCTTTCCGCGGTGCTGGATGTTCGAATTGGTGCTGCACAAAGTGGTCGAGAATGTTGGGGTCGCCAAGTCCCATCATGATGTTGTCGGCTTTCAGATCCGTGTGTACAACATGACACTCGGAATGCATGTAATCGAGACCCTGTAACAGAGCTGGCAGCAGGACGCGGAGTTTCCCACAGCTGAATCGTCGGCCGGGGAATTTCTCCATGCACAGATCAATGGGTTCACGGAGAACGTCGTACACGATGCACAAGTGGTCGCCATGTCTCCCCTTGAGCTTGAAGGTGTCGAGCATGAATCGGACATGGGCATAGCCAGGATGCTTAGGGTTGGCGGAGAAAAGCTTCTGAGCAATCTCTCGTCTGCCTTTTTGGAAGTCTTCACCCAGGGTGTTGACATTGATTTTGATGGTGACATATTTGCGATTCCCGGCATTCGCGTCACTGTTCGGCAAACCCCCACAGATTAGACAAAAAGGTCATAAAATCACCGGCATTAACTGGAGACTTACGCCTGGAGATCCCTGGCGAGCCAGACCGTGGCTGTCATGCCAAAACCAAGTTTGACAACGATTTCATAGCGGTGGTCTAATACTTCACCCAGCCGCACCGGATACCAGTGGTCTGGATTGTACTTGGGAAGAGTTTCTTCCTCGATCTGCTTGTGGCCAGAGATCGTATCGCCCTGCGGATGTGGCGAGGTGTTCCGCGAATGCAACAGATTATTCAGCGTCTGTTTGTTATGGCTGTGTGCCCGTTTGAGCAAGTTGGGACGCATTGTGACAGGACGACGGGAAAAAGAAAGCGGATCTAAAAGGGATCAAAGACAAAGATGCTGACGGTCGACTTCCATTGCTTTTGTTGGAAAATAGGGGGGTTAAGCAAGTGGGATCTGCCCTTGGGTGGACGGTGGACGTTAAATTTGAGTGAGGCTGGAGCACAGCTGAAACTTGTAGTTGTAGGCCGGATGAATCGGCTAAGGCGGCGACGTCAAGATCGGACCCGGGAAATCCTGGTTCCAGGCTGCTATTCAAGTTAGCCCCAGGGTTCAGGAATGTTACTCTCAAAAGTCGTTGACGCTATCGGGCGAAGGCGGCAAAGAAGGGGATGGCAAAAGCTGAGATGTGAGGGAAAAGAGGGTTCTCGAAGCGGATTTGCCAAATGGTATGCGCAATGGGATTTGGGCACATGGCCCAGAGCGCATTGTCATTCGCGAAGAGCGAAAGAGGAAGTTTGATTTCTCAGAACCGGTGGAGGGGAGGGTGAGTGACTGTGGGCAATAAACCGGGATGAGTGATCGATCCCTGGAGGGCCGACGCGCGCCTCTTACGTGACCCAGCTCTTTTTTGAGGGTTCTCAGGCACCGTAGAAGCAGCGCAGGGGGCTCAGTAAGTGTTGTGGTTCGCGCTGGTACTAGCTGCTTGAAGGAATTGCGTGTGCGTGCGTCAAAAATGCCACGGGAAACTCACCGATAGGGCGGGAGAGGTGCTGGGGGTCCGTGGTGGGCGCTTGGGGTCGAGGCGTTTTCGTGAGTCGTTGTGCGGTCACTAGGCCACAGGACACGCGGCGAACAGGGGGATGACCAACTATGGCGGTCAGGAGTTGGAAAAGGAAGCGGTAAAGATATCTGAGGAGAGGAGCTGAAAGGGTTGAAGACAAGGGTGAAGCTGAATGTCGTTTAAAGAAAGAGGTCGGTCGGCTGTCGAAAGTGCGGCCGGTGATAAACAGTGTTAAGTAGTAGGTGGCACCGGTGAGGACCTCTTGGGGGGCTTAATTAGGCACTACCTCCTTAGTCAGTTGGGCTTGGAGCTTGTTTTGGGGCTTGGTTCACGGACAACCACCTCAACCACCTTAAGCACCGTTTGGAGTGGGCGCTAGGTGACATCAGTTCCCTAGGCGCTGGAAGGGTAAATACTTGGACACCCAACAAAACTGCTCCAGGTGCCCGTGCCCCCCATTTTGTCAGCCCGCCCCCTAGGTGATCCTTTCACGTGACTCGGACATGGAGGGGGAACTCTGCCATTTTTATCCCTCATACCGAAAACAGCCCCTCAGACTCTTCCCTTCTCGGTCTTGTGTCCCTCCCTCTCACCGGCAAATCACCCGTTCCAGGTGCAGTCCTACATATAGCTGCGGCTTCTCACTTCTCCATCCGTTTTACCTCGTATATCGACATCCAGTACCTCAGCAGTGCCCTGTCCTTCTCCACCTCCACGTCGTGAAGGGCGCCCGGGTACAGATCCGTCTGCGTTTCGCATGCCTTCACAGCCCATCTCCATTGAATCCACTTGATCTCAGAGCATCACCCACGATCACCCAAGATCTGATTGTATCTTAGTCACTCGCAGATCCTCCCCCAAGAACAGATCCACATGGAACAGATGGAATATTCTCGGACATGTGGCAGAATCAAGAACTCTATTCCCTACCTGCCCATCCACATGCTACCCCAGACGCACGCACAGGTCCGGCGGCTCTGAGAATCACTAGTCAAAACATTTAGCCCACAAGTCGGCATTTTGTTGCAATGGTATAGGTTCATCCTGCTCAAAGCTGGGGCGATATATCGCTCAAACACTCGCCTATTTTCTTGGTATTGATCCTGTACTTCTTCTCTTGCCTTCGATTTCTTCTTGAAGCACAAATGACGCACGATGTTATGAACCCAAGCATGTGCCAAGAAGGGTCACCTCACCTCGTGTGTTGGGTAGTCCTTATATCGCTCTTGACAAAGGTCAATTCCTGAAATCATGAGAGGGTATCTCAGCAAAGGCGAGGTCGCGATTGGATGACTGGGGGTGAGCAACGTCACCAGACAATTCTAAAAAAGGCTACTGGAGTACCGTGATCACGACAACTCGTCGCCAAAGCACCAAACGAGATCAGACAGTGACAACCAGCATATTTTGCAGGGCCCTCTTTCGCGAAACTTCTGCTGTGCAAGGGTCACGACTCTGATTGGGGAGCAAGCACAGACGACTGGCACATCCTCATGCAAAGAGATAATGACCGCAGAGGAGCGCGGAGAAAAGTGAAAGAGCAGGAGACAGAAAGGTCATGGGGAGGTAGGTAGCATTCTGAGAAGAATATCTCCCATTCCGGGAGAGAAGTGGAAAGACAGATGAAGGCCACATGGAAAATATCGAGCTGACAAAGTGTGTCGATTGACGATATCTCCCGCAAGGTCAGCGAGAAGTTACGAGATGAACCGGCTCGTAGGCCAAAATTCGAAGCTCGCAGTGACTACTTACTACTCCGGATAGGGACGACCAGACCTACTCTCCATGAGCAGCACCGAGCATGCCTGGTATTCAATGGAGAATACGAATTATATCGTGCTTGTTCCGTACAGACATCAAGTGATCCATTTCTTAGCCTCACTAGGCCCCTGCTTTTCCTCTGGTGCGACAGAGATCGGGGAGATTGTACTTGCCTCTTCCTCTTTCCCGACTCATTCCTTACCCTTCTCACCCTCCAGCGATCTGTCTACTAATCGGTTAGTGACAGGGTATGAGAAAGCGCACCCAAGGGGGCCAGCCACATACGGAGAGATGCGAGGCCGGTGATGGGGCGCCCTACTTCGCACCTGGATCTACCAATCTCCACAAGGCCGGTTTCGAGTCCGAGTCCGAAATTTGTCCATCATGCAACCATCGTTTTCGCTCGCTTGGTTTACTCAACCACTCTACGGCATACGGAATATCTACGAGTATCTAGGCACCTACATTACCTCCCCAAGCATTCGCCTCCTTTGCCATGAGTAATACAAAGACACCGTGACTCAACCCACTGCTAGGCACATAGGTTGGTAATGCAGAGAAATTATCCCGTACTCGGTTCGTGGTACATGGTACGTGGTCAAACAGCAATTCACCACCCGCCCTGGAAGCCAGATCACGCACAGCGCGGATCGGACTATCCCCGGGTGTCGTCGAGCTGCATACCGCATATGTACGGAGTAAAAAGCGGGCATCTGCTAACGGAAAAGGCGGTGTTTGCGACAAGTAAGGCCCGAGAATGCATGGTCCCTGGCGTTGCTGCTACACTCCTTTTTCACGGCTGCGAGTCGTCAGCACAACTATATGAATAGAAGAGGGTTTCTCGCTCGTTGTTCGCGGTTGTGAAGGGTTCGACCATGTTGGACAATTCACAAGAGCCGGGCGCGCCCCCGTATTGGAGTCCAGTCCCATCCCATTGACCAGAGCGGAATACAGGTGATTGAAGATCGCAAACAGGAAAGCCGACCACACTCCGCCTCGGAAATCAGTACTCAACCACATCGCCATAAATCACAAAGTGGTCGGGTTGGTCTGGCAGATCTATCCTCTGTGTGTCAAGGAACGACCATCTCTTCCCGAATTCTTTCAAAAGCGTTTTCTATATCTCAACGGAGTTCGAAGTCACCGATCATCAGCCGACATCTCCCCTTATCAGGGCAACACCACCGTGACAAGATCGACTGAAATCTTCCAAGATGGGCTTCTTCCGGTACTTCGAATACTTCCTCGCCCGGCTCCTGTACTCACACAAAGGACGGGACGCCAAACTACTGACCCGCCAACCCATCTTCGCCACCGTCCCCAAACTCGTCCAAGTCACGTCACCAACACTGGGCGGCTCGCCCGCGCACCTCTCCACCGAGTACTCAGCATACGGCGAGTCGGTGTTTCCCGACCTGTCGTGGTCTCTGGACGAACCCACCACCAAGGGCGTCGAGGTCAAAGAGTGGCTCCTGATCATCGAGGACCCAGACGCCCCGATCCCCATCGTGCCGATCCACGGCCTCTACTACGCCATCCCGGCCACAAAAACGTCCGTCTCCCCGCACGATTTCAACCTCGACACATCCAGGTCTCCGTCGCTCGAGAGTCCCGGACCGAAATGGCTCACTGGGAACTTCAGGCTCGGCAAGAATTGGCGCGGCACGCTGTATTCCGGGCCACGCCCACCCGTCGGCCACGGCGAGCACAGGTATTTTTTCCAGGTGATCGCTTTAACGGACAGCTTGGACACGCACAAGATGAAACCCGTGGCCACCAGGGACGAGCTGCTCAGGGAGATGCAGGGGAAGATTTGTGGATGGGGGGAGTGGATTGGGATTTATGAGCAGAAATGGTAGCAATCAGAAAACAGGTGGAGGGAACAGCGAGGAACAGAGATTCTCAATTGCTCTTCCAAGACGGAGTGCTGCAAACTGGTTCAAATGTAATCGTCGCGCCAATGAAGGGATTTAATATACGGCAATTCTTGCCTCTTCTTTTCAATCATCCAGATTGTAAAACACTGCCGCTTCCGCAACCGTTGCTGCTTCGATCCGATCCGTATCATAACAATACCCAGTGCCCGAAAACATATTACTCATACACTCTTCTTTCCGCCAATCATATCGAGGTAAGCGCCATCGGACCGTCGGCCCATATCGAAGAAAACACGTCGTCGGTGACAGGCCAGCCGAACTCGGTCAGCATCGGATCGTCCAAGAAGGTCGAGTAATCCGGTCTCGCTGCCAGGGGCATCGAGGCATCGTCCTGAGCCCCAGCTGCACTGGACTCGTTGGCGGCTTCGGTGCCCTCTGTGTTGCAAGTGAGTAGTTAGTAACTGCAGATGGTTCAGTCAGGCATGGGGAGATGTGTGATATCCTTACCTGTCCGATTATCGCTTAGAGGAGGCGGGTAGATGCCCATAAACCCGCCGAACTCTTCCCTCCACCAGACAATGCCGTCCAAGACGACGCTGCCGGTGAGACGGCTCCGGATGCGCAATGCCACCACCTCAGCTCCATTAGGCCTCTTGAAGACGCGAGTACTATTCCAGAGCTGAGTCAGGGCGACACCGTTGCGGGCGGGAAGGTCGTCATTCTGGACCGACATGCGTTTGTGAAGGCTGATACCCAGGAAGAGGGCGCTCTTGGCCCGCTCGACGTCGATGTACCGGCTGAGAGAGGTCTTGAGCAACCTCAGCAGTACGTGGCAGGTCACCATCAAACTGTAGAAGAAGTACAGACCCGCGCCGGACATGCACACCTGTCCGGACTTATCCAGGTGGTCGAAGGTTTCAATCACCTGGCAGCACGACGCGCAGAGATCGTAAAGCGTACTCGGGTCGTGGGCCGTCGGGGACTTGTACAAATTGAAGGCTTGGATCGTGAGGGTCGCGATGTAGACGTAGAGCTGGTCGAGGTCTGCAGCAAGACGGTCAGTTTGGGGGAAACAGATCAAAAGGGATTGGGTTTTTCACCAGAAGAATACTCCAACGCGACACTGGAGATCTGCGCCTGAAAGATATCCAACAACGTATCCAGCGACCTTTCTTGATCGGCCGTGACTCTCCAGAGCCCGTTTTGCGAAACGGCGATACAACACCTCGTGACTACATCCTGTAATTTCAGTTCAAACTTCAGCTTTGATGATATCCTCTGGAAGAGTGCTCGTCGCTGTTCGAGGTCGTGGGGGACATCGAGCATGGGCGTCGGCGCACTTCCTTTGAAACAGCAATAACTGGAAAGCAAACATTAGTCGATACAAGGGGCCAACATTGATCCGAAGCGTACCGCTGATAGATAAGTGTACAGTATCCCCAGGTCTCAGCACGGATCTTCAGTTCATCCTCGGTCAGTTTGACCGGGGTTTTGCTGAATTCGTGACTCGCGACCGGGAGATGCAATCCGATTTGCATCGCCATGTGCAGCATAGCAGCACTGAGGGGGTAGGTCATGTCGTGTCCGTTGCCTGCTTTCGGGAAGGGCCAATACAGGATCAGAAGCAACGCTTGCACGACGGGCAAGGTGACTGTTGCATTGAGCGACATCAATGCCATGGTTTTGATCTTGGATGGCAAAATAGAGATGAGAGTTGGGTTCCTTGAATAGGTACGGCATGAGACCCCGATGATCGCCCAGAAGAGTAACGGAGAGAGGTTGTAGGATCCGTTCGGGGGCATCGTAGGATCGAGAATAGGGACGAGACTGGCGTAGTCGCGGAAGTACCTATAAAATGCTTAGGAGGGTCTTCACAAGGCCGCCCAACACACCTACAGCTGAAACATAGCGTCGATATCTTTGGAATCCACAGATTGCCCTTCCAGACTCCGTGGCAGGGTGCCCGAAGGTTGATAGTCATGAGCGAGACTTTCTGGAGTCTGTAGTGATTCGGCGGCCGCTTGAGAGAACGACCGAAACGAGACTGGAGCAATGGCTGCGTCTCTGAAGAAGGGCGCCACCGAGGCCAGGCGACTTTCGGACTCGGCGTTGGACGTCCGCAGATCATTAACAGCGGCCCAAGACGACTGTGGCAAAGAAGGCGTCGCCTCGGCCTGGTGGCTCGACGATCTGAGGCGCTCCTGAAGCTCGTCCGTCCGATGCTCAAGCTCAGAGAGTCTCCTGTGAAGATCAGCCCGGGCTTGTGTCAAGTAAAAGAGGGAGTACTCATGCTCACTTGCGCTTGTGTTCTCGTTTGAAAGGCTCGGAAATGATACACTCCCTGTTCATCTTCCGGCATCTCGTGCACGGCTGGTCAGGGTCGAGGTATGCATCGCAACGCGCCTAGCAAGCCAACGGCTTTGGATTAATCGCGGTGTACACAAAGGACACGCGTTATGTCCATACCTTCTGCTGCCGACATTCTGTGCACGCTCTCTTGACCAGTTTCCCATCATTCCTGCTCGGTTTATTAGAGAGACATTGTCGTCGGCCAAGGTACGCGGCGGTCTAGCTTACGTGGTGGTCTCTGTTTCGCTCATTTTACGCGTCTTGTTCAAAGCACGGGCATCAAAGGTTCCCTCTGAGGCCGTGATAAAGAAGATTCAAGTATCCCGTGCAGCGTAAGTCATGAATGGCGACATGGAGGTCCAAAGAAGATAAGACGGAGAAGTTGGCTTCCGGAGTGTCGAAGTTTCCCTTGCCGAGAGAGTCGGAAGAGGGGGGCAAGCAGCGGCGCAAAGGGGCACAAGGGATTTGGGCGTTTTTTGTGAAACGCCAATGCCCGGTGGCTACATAGTAGTGAGAGGCCGGACCATGCCGGGGCTTGCCGGGTAAATGCGCCGAACCTCCGGGATTGCAGGACGCCTGCATCCGCCCAGCCCGAACATATATTGAGCGAGTGCAGGGGAGGTGGTGCAGCCTCGTCCGGACTACAGGATGCAGAACACAGATGCAGGATGCCAGCTGCTGCATGTCATAAGGGTTCAGCTTCAGGTCATATCATTCCCAGGACGTTACAATCGTGTTCGCTCACAGAAAGAGGGCATGCGTAGAATACAAAGAGTGAGAAATACAAACACCCCAGTGTGCCTGCATCAGCCCGGTCGAAGAATCATCGCCGTCTCCCAACAGAACTTCCACTCACGTTCCAATCTGCTGTGTAAGAGGAATTTCTTCAGAACCCCACGAATGAAGTCCCATTCGGGCGTGGGGTATCCCAAGGAGACAAATTTGGCCATCACTTCCATCTGCAAGTGCTGCAACTGGCCTCGCCGTGCTGCATTCGCCGTCACGAGAGCGAGCCACTCCCATAATTCCCTGTCCCATGGCTCCTCAAAGACCCAGAGACGTAGTGCGTCACCGAGCTCTTCGACGATCCGACGATACCCGGAGCACCGACAGGTCCAGCCCAAGAGGTTTGCATGGTAGATAAAAACCGCTTTGCAGATTGCCCTTTCCATTTTGCGCCCCGCTGCAGAAACTCGACATAATCTCATGACTTGAGCACTTTGGAGGCGCGGGTCCAAGCTCGTTAGGAAGACTTGATCTTCCTTCGAAGGGGCCTCGGACCCTGGTTCTCGATCGATGAGCTTCGTCCAACGGACAGTATTTGCGAGAATGGAAACAACGTCATAAGACAGGTGACCATCGGTCGCCACGGTTTGGAATCCCGGGGTCAACGTAGAAACAGCCTTGGTGATTGCCATTGGGAACGGAGGGCTAGGATACTGTAGCCAAGTCCCGTCAGATGCAGGATCGTGTAGGGCGATGCGGTCGCCGAATATCAGCAAAGCATTAGATTCAGCCCTAGGCCGCCTCGTCAGATATCGTCTGCATTCGGGAGCTGGGAAAGTACGTGGACCATACCAGGATACAAAGGACAACAGAGAACCTCCAAATGCCTCCATAGTGCTTGGTTCAGCTGCTTTAACCATCTTCCTGAGACCATGCAGGTGTGCCTCGTAGGCGTCGACATCCAAGAACACGTTCTGCCCTCGTTAACAAGGCCAACCCAAGTGGGAGAGTCAGTTCTTACGTCGATGATCATGAGAAAGACTGTTGCAAGGATAACAGCCTCGTCAACACATCCCGAGTTCAACTTGGCCCGGATTCCATTGAGCGCGTGACCCTTGTGATACAGCGACCAGTTGCACATCCTAGCCTGGAAGTTTTGACCTGCCGCTTTGAAACTCAGACAAAGCGCCACAGCGGCTTCGAATAGCTCTACATTCTGTAGTGCAAAAGGGAAAGTGTCCCGAATAAGAGGATTGTCCTTTGTCTGGTATTTGAGGCCAGGTCGTTGTGAAGGCGCCCAGTTGTGGATATCTAAATGTCATCAGCAAAGGCTTGTGGAAGCAGGCTAGGGGAGAGGATACAGTGGTCCATAGCTGCGACAACCTCATTGCCTTGACGGACTGGTGCAGAGTCAAAGGGTTCAAATAGTGGCGAAGTCGGCTGTCGAGCAAGTCTGATTGAATCGACCGGCATCTCGCCAAGCAATCCCAGCTTGCTATCGTAAAATGAAGTCGTTTCTGGCCGACGCTGCCATTTCTCATTGGTCAGTGGAGAAGTTGAAAGGGTTTGTGGTTGAAATGAGCCGGATTGGCTGCTTGGTGTGTGTTTCTGCTCTGATTGACGATCGGTATCTGCAGCTGATGCTGGTTCTACAGCAAGAACCGAGTCTGGAGACGGGTCACAGTTCCAAGGCAGGATTTCATGGATCTTGTGTGATTCCTGCTTGATTATGGTTCCAGCGTCGTCGGATGGCCCCTTAGATGAGGATCCTCCGTCACTGCTCTTGTCGCTCCTTCTGCGCTGCGGTGGCCCCGGTTTCGCCTCCGGAACGCCTTTCTTGCGCCAGTATGCCACCCGGGCGGCATGGGCTCGGGCTTCAGAATGTTGGAGTTCTTGTAGACGGCGTTTATTGGGCTTTGCATGATTCTTGAAGGTTGATTGATTGTAATTTACCAAGGTCGCCATGGCGCTGCTAATTACACTTTTCGCGCCACGTCCGAGTAAAGGGTGTTCAGCCGGCAACCATGTCCACGAAACAGCGATTGCGTACACTAGTGGGAGAATTATGGCACAGATGAAGGCTGTGTCGTGGTGATGTTGGGGTTTTATCAATTGCTGACCAACGGCCCAGGACTCCCAAATCTTTGATGGTGGTGGGTGGAAGCTCGGTTGGTGGCGGTAAGTCGAAACAGAGACCTTTGCGGCAAGCGAGATGCAGCAGCCTAACCACTTCAGCGCGCAATTCGAGAGTAAATCGAAGATTAGGACTATGTGAGAAGCAAATCAGAGGATTTCGCGCTAGTGAGGAGATACTGGTGGTTTGAGTTCAATTGTTGCAAGAGTTATATTGTCGCCGACTACTGCCAATCCCCGCTGTGACAATAGAAGCATATGCGAAAGCTGTACGTTTCAGGATAGCCAGACCAAGCGCCTAAAGACGCAGTTAAAAGCACAGTGGTGCTCTCGAAGTCAGCGCAAACTCTGGCATCGTTTCTCGCCTAGTCTGGGGGCCATGCACCGCCAACCATCAGCCTTGGTGGTATTGCAGTCCGAATCTATGACGCTATTCGGCCCTTCGAAGTTATTGACTGTCTGTGCACCTTGTCAGGGAGGCCGGGATATATGCACGGCAGATCCTCGTCTCCTTGGTCTTCCAGGTCGAGGCTGGTGGTCGTGACGAATGGAGGATGTGCTCCTTGGGTGGTCGTGGTTTGAATGTTCAAACAGCTTTGCTCCTCGATGGATATCGTGCCTCAGAGGATATGAGTATAACAGCTTATGGCATTTGAGTTCTAGTGAAAAGTACAACACAGAGATCAACTACCCAGCTCGCCAGTTACCAGGCCCAAGGGTGAGACGGCGAGAATCTCACTGAGGTTGCGGGTGCGGAGCAGATTATGGAAGCGTGGGCCCAACTTCTTAACGTCTTATCGATAAGGCGGGTCGGCGCCCATTACCGCCGACTGCGAACTTTTTTTTTTCATAATTGAGGCACTCGGCGTCTAGTGAGAAGTGCTGCTCACACAGCAACCAAATAATGCCTTTGAGGCTGCCAGCGCAGAATAACAAGATGCTATAGATGTCGCAACACTGTCAATCTCCCTGACCATGGATATCCACAGGTGCCGCTTCGTGCAGTATCCTCCACACCCCATCAACGCCCTTGCATTCTCTCACTCCTCCAACCCAAAGAAAAAAGCGCCTCCCGATCTGCGCCTGGCCCTTGGTCGAAACAACGGCGACATTGAAATATGGAATCCTGAAAATGGTCTTTGGGTGCAGGAAACCATTTTAAGAGGAAGCAAAAACACAACAATCGAACAGCTCGCATGGACCCAGGACCTAGTGTGGGAAGAGCTGCACGATGCAAATGCACCTAAGACTTCAAGAGGTCCTTTGCGGCTTTTCAGCACTGGCGGGTCGACGTCGGTAACAGAGTGGGATCTCAATACAGGTGCTCCCAGAAGCAAGGCCGAAGGAAACTTCGGAGATATCTGGTGCTTCGCAGCACAACCTCAGCTTGAAGATGCCAAAAGCCCAGAAGCCCTCCAGGGCGGCGCAGGGTCACAGTTACTGGCAGCCGGGTGCTCCGATGGAACAATTGTTCTCTTTTCTACCGAAGACGACGACCTACGCTACCTCCGACCTCTAGCACAACCTCCCGTGAAGAAACCCAAAGTTCTTAGCCTCGTATGGCGCGACCGCAAAACTCTGGTGGCGGGATACGAAGACAGCACAATCCGTGTCATCGACGTCTCGAGCAGAAGGATTTTACGAAACATGAGCTTGGGAAAGCCAATAGAAGGCAACAATTCTGTCGTGTGGACTGTCAAATGCCTCCCTGACGGGACGATTGTCTCGGGCGACTCATCTGGTGAATTGAAGATATGGGACCCGGAAAACTACTCCTTAGTCCAACGGCTTAAAAGTCACAAAGCCGATGTACTCGACATTGCGATGAGCGCGTCTGGAGATATGATATTCTCGGTTGGTGTTGATCGGAGGACGGTGGCACACAAGCTGGTCCCTCTTCATTCTGCAACCCAGAAGATGAGGTGGGCCGAGGTCTCCCATAAACGGTACCATCAGCACGACGTCAAATGCGCATCCAGCTTTGAGAGTACAGAGTTGAGCACTCTGGTGACTGGAGGCATGGATGCTCGGCCTGTGGTCGTCCCAATACGCCGCTCACAGACCGAGTATCATCGTGCTCTTTCCCACCTGCCTCAACGATCACAGATTTCAGCTTCTAAAACTTCAAGGATGTTCATTTCCTGGTGGGATCGCGAGATTGTGGTTTACCATGTGCGCAAATTTTTGAATACATCCGCAGAGGTTGCAGGCCCCGAAGGCGCCGTGGAATCGTGTTATGACACACTCACGAGACTTGTCATACAGGACGACGAGAGCATTCAAGATGCCCAGATGTCTCGAGATGGACGGCTGATCGCGGCGGCAACAAGCAACAGCGTCAAGCTGTTCCAGTTACGAAAGACCCAGGTCTCGGGCAAACCATGTCTGCGGACACGCCAAATTGAACTTCCCCCTTCCATCGCCCGCTTAGGCGCACGGGGAACAGGCTTCTCTCCTGATGGCAAGTGGCTATACTGTGTTCGAAAAGACAACGCTGTGGTCATGATAAAGCTTATCCCTTCAGACGACCCAAAGGAGCGTCCAATATTTCACGAGAAAATTGTCAAGCTCTACCGACAACCTCGAAAGACAGCGCAGTTTGCACTGGGCAATTATCTTCAGACAATCAAACAACTCGCGTTCTCCACCGACAGTCGTGTTCTTGCTGTGGGAGACCTATCAGGCGCCATCGACGTCTGGGTACTTGAAGGTCACGAAGATGTCCACTTCATCGATGACGCAGGATCAGAATCCTCTAGCAACTCGGCTGGGTCGTCGAGCTCCAGTACCACGTCGGATGACGAAGATGACGACTCATCATCCCCTATAATCCACGGCCAAAAATGGATTCGCAACCCTTCTGGGTCCAGCCTCCCACAACTTGACTGCTCCATTCTTGCGCTGACGTTTCGACCTTCACATGTCAACGCGAAGTCGTCGTCGTCAGGTGCGCATGACAACCGTGGTCTACACGCGACACGCCACAACCCGCACCCAGTCAGCCATGAACTCCCTGACGAAGCGAATGCAAAACTCATTGCCGTCACTGCAAAACATCAAGTCGTGGAATTTGACATCTTCACTGCCAAGCTGAGCGACTGGTCCCGACGGAACCCTTCAAGGTTTCTGCCACATGATTTCACAAAACTCAAGGATCGGGTTGTGGGGTGTTTTTGGGACTGTACTGACCGGGCGAGGAAGGGGGAGAGATTCTGGTTGTATGGATCGACCTGGATATTCATGTTTGATGTCTCTAGAGACTTATTGAGAGACTATCCGAACGGAGCAACAAGTAGCTCTGGACAAGGGGAAGTCGAGAAAATTGGGCGATTGGGAAGATATGAAGTGGTGGAGCCTCTCATAAAGGGAGACGGCCCTAATCGAAAACGACAGAAGCTGCTTAAGTCCGCTGCTAACGAACAACGAGAACGCGACAGAAGAGGTAAGAAGCGCAAACGCAACACCGGAGCCGGGGACCAAATGCGGCTCGAGGAGCGCGAGGGCGGGATTGGAAATGAATTGCGCAAGTTCAAGAATGCCTCGGGAGATGATGCGGAGATGGTTGATCTTGATATCGACAACACAAACGAGATGGACCTGGATGATGAGCTGGACGAGGATGGAAGACAAGACGACTCCCTGGCCCTAATGAGGCGAGGTGAAGGGGCACCAATCACGGCAGACGAAGTAACTACGGATGAGCCGGCCACAGGGTCGGTGTCTGTGCAGAGGGCGCCCAGGATGTACTGGTCCACATTCGAATACCAGTCGATCCTGGGGATCGAAGTTATTGGATCTACAGAGCCCTCTCGTCCGACCGACAACGACACCACCACCACTACTGAAGTGGCCGCGACTGCAGGAAACAAGCCCGAAGAAGGCGACCCTCTTGGAGAAAACACGGAAGAGAGCTCCAGCGGAAACATCGAGGTCATCATCGTCGAGCGGCCCATGCACGATGTTGGGCAGGGACCTCGCTTCGACGGCGGGCAGGAGTGGGATGTGTGACCCCTGACACTGGCGAGGTAATATGGGGTCGAAGATTCTTTTCGCATCTGGACCCGCAGCAACGAGACAGCCTCGTGCCATCATCCATCATGGGTACCCTTCCTCCCTTCGTTGATTTATTCATGGACACAGGAAAATATATAAAGATAGACAGGTGGCCCCCTTCACCACACAGATAGACAGACCCCATCTAAATTACGTCTCTCGTGTATTTGTAGAGACGGGAGGAGCCATGAAGAGATTATAATATTGGGGGCTTCTTGTCGTGGCTGTGCTACCATGACTGTTTTTAACCACATCCATAGTTTCCCTTCCTCTTTTTTTGTTAATTTCTCTCTGTGTGTGTGTCTCTCCGTCGCTGGGTATGTAGGTATATACCGCAAGGAGTGCAGACATACCTACCTAGGTACTCTAACCAGGCTCCTACGTTTCCCGTGCAGGGACATGCAGGGTATGGTAACAAACCGGGCGTCAGAACACCACAGCGACGAATCTGGGGGACCATTCTTGGATTCTTGAGAGCTCTCCGAGGAAAATCAAGTACGGAAAGCAGGGTAAAATAGCCACGACACCATTTCAGTAGATTATGTTTGCGACAGAGAGTGGGAGGGAGGAGGACCTGTCCTTTTCGTTCCATTGTATACCATGCAACTCTCATCGCAGCTCAACCCGTCCCGTCAATCTCACATCCCACTTCACCCCATCCTCATATCCTCTCCTCCTTCCATCTTCCCCTTCCTCCTCACTGCCCCGATCTCGAGCAACCACTGCACGGTATCAACCAGCCCAGCAAGCCTGACCCCTCCGAACAGAGAAAGGATGCCAGAACACACAGGGAGGTCACAGGGAGGCCTCGGCGGGCCTGGGCATCCATTTCTCTGATACCAATCAATGCCCGGGCCGATCAGATGGTCCCTCTAAGCAGGTTGATTAGGTACCTTGTCAGCTAAATTACCTTATTCGCGAGACAAACAGTCAGTCGGTACTTCGGGCATCGAGTACATTGCCTCCTCTGTAAGGGAGCGTCTACCTTGTAAGGGATATCCCAAGTACATAACCCTCCCGGGTGTGATGATGTCTGTACGGAGTACAAAACATATTACTACTAGTTCGAGGAGCTGCACCTACCTACCTGTCGAGCTGTGCAGATCTACCTAGCTACCTAGCTCGAGCTCCGACTCCAAACCCTTGCTCGGAGAATTCCCATTGGGAAGCACATCCTCTGGCCACAGTCGACAGACATGACTGGCCCGTCTCGAGGGATCAAAATGCCCAATCGAGTTTACTGTAGTAATACTCGGTATTATTAATATTAATACTAGGCCAGGAACTCCAAACGCGGCCAACCGCACGGATCCCAATGCAGATGACAGGGAACTAGGAATTCCGCCGGCGGCGCTGGATTACGACGCGCCTTCGTCCGATGCCCTTATTGCCGATCCTGGTACATAGTATGGAGTCTGGACTACGTACGACTACCCAGTACTATGCCATTATTATTTGGCACGGGCCCACGCGGCCTGGTAATTGCGTCCTCCCCTCATCCTGGTATCAAAGCAGGCGAAAGAGTCAGTGGAGCGCAGGGACAAGCATGCGAGGAAGATCTCTCTTGCGGACGGACAATTGAAGTCTGATTTGAGTCTGTCTCCTCTACCTCGTACACATGGTCCATTAGACATGTGGAACAACACTCCTACTAGGTGTTTTCGCTTCGCCGGGCTGTTTCCTCGGGCTCGAATCGACCGCTCCAGAACATCCTTTCCAATCCTGTGGTGACGCGCGGACCATATACTTCCTAGCTTCTTGAAAGGAACACGCTCTACCATGCAATGCAAAACCCCAACATGCATATGCTTCGCATAACTCTCGCTCATATAGCACGTGACGCCGTCAAACCCCGTTGCACCATAAAGGAGCGGTGCCTCTTGACTGTAGATCGTGGATGTAACAAAATGCAAGTCCGTCCAACCCTGACAACTGAAAATGTAGAGAGCCTCCCTCTTGGTAGTCGTTTTGCGTCCACGTAAAATGCAAGCATTGACTGGCCGAAGCGCCTCGAAACCGTCCGTGCGTATTGAGACTTTAAGTATCCTCGGATAGTATAAAAATGGTATCATCAGATCGAGCATAACGACGTTATCGTGCAGAGTATGACAAAGGAAATTCTGGGGACGTCGACGTGCCCTTTCAGATCACACTGGCCGTCGACGCTACCGGCGACCCGACTGATCCATCTGTTGCTGAGGCCACTGAACCTCTTGTTGTCTGTCGACCGGATGCTTCACTTCGTCCGGTCGATCAGCGTTGACAGAGCCGGGCATCGAGTTGATCATATCACTGGTCAAAGATTGAGCCACGTAGCTCCGGAGCTCTCGCTCTTCTCTTTCGTCTTCGCGCATCAACTGATGCCTTACGTGCTTGTCCATATTTTCTCGTCGAATCTTGCGGATCTCATGCGTGATCCAAAGTAATACCTCTTCAGGGCAGCGAGTTCGGGGAAGGTGATAACGAGAGTTGCGGACATATCGACGAGTGACATCGGTGGCTCCATCATTGGAAAAGGCGATACAGTAGGCAATCTTGCGATTCCAGCCTAAAGATAGACCGCGTTAGAACAAATCTAGTCAGTCATTGGGGGCTTTGGGCTGCTCACCTTCAGTGTATACCCTTGGGTTATCCCACATTTCTTCACAGGGATCGACGTGGATCCACCTCCGTTGATGCTCGCTATACACCTCGGTCCATACGTGATCTTCGCTATTCCACACCCATCGTACACGTGCGCCCGCAGCACGGCACAACATGCTGAAACAGTTGGCGAACTCTCCTGCTCGTCCTCTCCGAGTCTCAAGCAAGGTCCAGACCTCCGAGTATCGGGGAAACCTTTCAAAGGCCTGGCAACCAGGGCTCGTGCACTGGTAGAGTTCGGTTCTCGTGGCTCCGCGGGCCACTTCATCAGGGGTGGTGGGTGTTTGACCTCGGGCGACGGTGGCACCATGGCACCTTGAACAGGGAGGGTTATTGACGAATGTGAAAAATGAACGCTTAAACCACCTAAAGACCGAGTTAGAATCTGAACTAGCAGGGACTACAACTGCTCGGGACACGTACCTGAGAAGGGACCTGATGACACAGTCCTGGTAACCCCATTCTGGCTTGACATTGTCACCTTTCGAGGCAGCCAGGGCCTTCAGCAGATTATGTTCCTCTTCCGCCTCGACATAGATTCGATCAATGGGGACGTGGGTTAATGCGTCGTCCAGGAGGCCCGGGTTTTCATATTTGACTGGGGTCATGGACAGGGTGAGGAGGAGATTTCTGAATTTGAGCGACGGACCATCTTGTGGGGGAGAAGGCACGATGGGATAACTGCGAAAAGAGGTATAGGTGGGCGGCTGATGTTGCGAAGAGCGAGAACTGGGAGCGACGGACGAAGGTGCGGAGTTCGGGGGATGTGCGGTGTGTGACGAGGCGGGAGGTGCGAGATGGGGAGAAGCAGAACGAGGAGTTCTTGCTTGTTCCTCGAGTTCGTTTAATCTCCTGGTCCGTAGCAACTGCTCGAATTGTTTCGAGAGGTCGGCGGCGTTGAAGTCGAACTCGTCGTCGAGGATGCGCGGCCGCGCGTTCCCCGCCATGGCTGCAGATCGACTCGATGTGGCGGTCAATGGGTCGACGAGAAGGTGAAGAAGAGAGAAGAGAGCGAGGAGAGGAGAGAAGCTCGAGGACGAAGGCTCAAGGACCCAAGCAGGAGAGAGTGGTGAGCGTCAATCTGATCGGATCGAATCAATCTGATACAAGAGCCTGTGACAAACTGGCGCAGTCGCCGGAGCACAGCCCGAGTGCAATTGCCTCGCCACAATCGGAATGGCAATTGGTCTCTCTCAGTTTAGCCCATTCACAGCAATGCTAGGGCTGGGACAGAGAAGACGGTGCAAAAAAGGGATTGAAGAAATGTCGACACGATCGCAAAAAGAGCAAGACGACAAGGTGCAGTGTATTGTAGTAGTAGTAGGGGAAGAGGGAGGAAGAGGCGACAGTGAGGATGGGTTTGGAGTGCGTGGTGATCAGTCCTCGTAGCATGCAGTGGGAGTGGTACGTGGACGAAGATTGCGTGAGCCTCTCCCCAAGCAATTACTAGTAGTACTCGAGGACCCGGGCGCTGGGCATTGGGCAGCTTGCGAGATGCGAGCCACACCCACTCACACTCAACGCTCACACACGCCGGGTTGCAGTGCGTGTGCGTGCAGAGGCAGAAAGAGTGAGTAGCGGTGGGCGGTGGGCGGTGGGCACTGGACACGGGGGATGCTGGGGGCGTAACTGGGCCACAACTGCCAGTCACTCACCAGTGGCAGGCATGCAGGACAAGCGGACGTGGAAGGCCGACGTGGACAAGAATGGCCCAGGTGCCCAGGGCCCAGGCAGCAAAAGGGAGCCACTCACTGCTACTCTAGCACTGCTGAGTGACTGGCGAGTGACTGGCAAACTCTGGCAGGCCCAGGATTGGCCCCCCGAGGCCAAGAGTCGAGCTTCCAAGGCCAATTCTGGGGATTCGGGCTGCTGCTTCTGGGAGGCTGACGACGACAGCAGCCAGCAAACAGTGACTGCGCCGCGCGTCCCTGGCACTGAACAGCGCGACCAACATGAACAGCCCCCCTGATGCGCCCCCCCGCGGCCAATGACACCCCCGTCTTCTATGGCTCGGGATCACGGGCTCCGGCCAATCACTCGCCACTTGGCAGCCACTTGTGACTTGGCAAGCCAAGCTGGTTAAGGGACCCCCGTCAATTTTCAATAATCTACAACTTGAAGTTAGGTAACCTGCAAGATGCCCTGGGTTGGCGTCCGCTTGATCGGCTTGGTGCTTTTTCTCTTTCTCTCCAGCATGGTCCGTGCTGCACAGGCACGTGTCGATCACGACCAACTCCGCCAGACACGGTCAATGGGTCCCAAGGTTAGCCAAGAAGGAGAAGAAGTTGGAGAACAGAGAGGCGGCCACTATGTGCGAGTAATCACAAGATGAACACGCACTCAACTCGTCGCCTTCCTTCGCCTTCTATCCTGCCATCCTACCTGCTCCGTTCTCTGCCCGATCGATGCAGACGTGTCATGGTTACGAACCTCGCCCTCAGCTGGGAATCACAGGGGCACTACGAAGCACCAGACACAGACACACCACACCAAGGCGTCCCTTAGTTTGCACGTAATGGGCTTGGCAGTGCTGATGCGCTGCGCAATGCACATTTCGCACCGGGGAATTTCTATCAATCAGATGCTGCAAACAGCTGCAAGCCAAGATCGATGGGCTGAGCTCATCGTCTGTCATTCGCTCCCCGACAGCTGCAAAGGGGATCGGGGCCCACGCTTTGACCCTTTCTGACGTTGTCGATGTTTTCGGACATGTTTCGATGCTTGAAGAATGGCAAAAAGACTCATCGACGCTCCGTTGCTCCCCTTGCATGGTGATCATTTCCGCCCCGACCTTTGCCCATCTCTTGGCATTCGCTACCGTGCCGTGCCTACAGCCTCAGGTTTCACAACTCTTTAATAGCATGCATTCCTGATAGCCGAGGTAGGACCTGTCAACAGATGCCTTCCAGCCCGCCTACTTAACAAAAGGTATTCCACGTCTTCTTCCACCATGGCCACGTCGCCCGGATCGCTCTTTCATCGGCCAGAATCTGCTCCAGATCGATCTCGCGTCTGCCTGACACTACGTCAATGTCCTTGACGCGTCGGATCGGGGTTCTCTTCCAAATTTTGAACCCAATGTAGAAGACTAGAACTATGGGTGCTGCGAGGTAGCCTTCGAAGAATATCTTGGTCCTCTCGGATGATGACATATCGCGGTAACCAATCTGCGTCGCGGCAAAATGAAGTCAGTCTCGCTGTTTGAACAATTCTACAGATGTCCCGAACGCAATCGGACAGCCAAATCCGACGTTCGTCAGCTTGATGTTGGGGAACAGGGGCAACTTACCGGGGCAAATCCGGTCCAGAATTGGGCTATCAGCACCAGGCAGTTGAACAGGAAGCCGATCCATGATCCAATCACCCCTGCTTGAGATTTGTAAGGCAGTTCGTCCAGAGTGTGACCGTGGTACTTCCAGGCCTGGCGGAATCGAATGTGGCACAGGCAGATGGATCCCCACGTGAAGATGCTTGCCAGGCCGCTGACAGCAAACATCCAGTTCCATGCTTCTTGTCTCTGCGACGGCGACAACGCTACAATGTAGCAAAGAGCTCCGAGTGCCGAAGACACGATGATGGCCACGAGCGGTCTGCCCGTCCGGTCAATATAGCCAAGGATTTTGGGTGCCTGGCCATTATCGGCCAGCGCAGCCATCGTACGCGATGCACCATAAACAGATGCGTTGCCGACGCTCAGAACCGCGATGAGAATGACAGCATTGAAGACCGAGGGCAAGCCTCCCACCCCCGCATTCTGTCCTTATATCAGCACCAAAAGTCTCCTCCAATGCTTCGCAGCCTCCTGGAGCCACTTACTTTGATGGCCAGCACGAATGGCGATGTCCAATAATTGGCGCTGCTGCCACTGTTGAGCAGCCGAGGGTCATCCCATCGGACCAAGCATCCAACAAAGGTCAAGGAAATGATATAAAACTGGTACGGCGCCGGTGAGTGAGGACTGGTACCAACCACATCGGCGTTATTGAATCAGCTTACCAGAACCACCCGCCAGAATACCTGCTTGATGGCGGTCGGGAGCGCCAGACGTGGATTTTCGGCCTCGGCTGCCGCCAGTCCAACCAGCTCAGTGCCACCAAACGAAAACGCAGCTGTGACAAAAACCGAGCAAACGCCCTTGAAGCCGTATGCAAAAGCGCCCGGATCATCCCACGTTTTGGCTCCAAAATAATGCCCGGTAGGTCCTCCGCCGACGTCGACAACCAAGGCAAATATACTGCGCCGCGGCCAGAGTCAGTGTCTCCACTATTCCAGCACCATCAAACGGGATAAGACTCACATAAACCCTAAGGTTGCGATAACCTTGATAATCGAAAAAACGAACTCGGCCTCCCCATAACCCTTAACCCCAAAAAGGTTTATTGAGATTATAACAACATAGAAGATGGTAACCCAGACACAGGGATTAACGTCCCGTGCTCCATGCCAGTAATTTAGAGTAATACTGGCAGCCATAATCTCAATCGGCAGTGTAACAAGCCACTGGAAAGCGTAGTTCCAGCCCCTGGAGATTAGGGTTAGGGCTAGGGTCGAGGTTAGGGTTATGGCTTCAAAGGTACGTACATGGCGAAGCCCCACGCCGGATCAAGAAATCTTGATGAGTATGCTGAATAGGACCCAGCAACTGGAAATCTGTTGTCCAAGATCCTTTGTATCAGCAATAGGGTCCATAAAAAGAGAAAAGGCAGAGCCTCAGAGGACGTGGGTTTCGCAGGCGACCTCTATCAGGTGGCACACCCCGACCGCATCTTCCGCTAGGTCTGATTGATATCACTTACAAGACAGCCATCTCCCCCAAGGCATGGACGGTGCAGAAGATCATGATGCCCAGCAGGCAGTATGCTAAGACCAGCGCCGCGGGACCGCCTGTGGCTAGAGCGGAACCCGAACCGACAAAGAGACCAGTTCCTATGGAGCCGCCGATGGCAATCATCTGCAGATGGCGCTGCTTGAGTTTCATAGCCAATGCTGGCTGGGCGGGTGGCTGGTTGGGCAGCGGCTTTCCATTGTCGTCGACGAGCAACTCCGAAACACGCGCACTATTGGTCCACCAAAGGAGGGTGCGCTTGTCAGCAACTTGATTCATTTTCATCTTTCCTGGCTATATCATATGAGTTGGAGGAAGACATACTTGGGATTCTCCCGAAACCCATCGATGACGCGGGCGAAGAAAGACGTCTTCTGAGTCGAGACAATTTGCCCATAATCCTGGCCAGGAGTGAGGGATCCAGCGCTGTGTTCCTCCTTCTTCTCCAAGTCAACATCCATCTTGACGGGTCACTCAACCTGGCACTGTGGGCGGAGGTGTGGGAAGAGGGTCGTGCGACTGGGTATGACGACCACAGACTGCAGCTACTAGCAACCAGGGTACGACGGGCTACCCGAGTTGGTTGCGTCCGAGAGAGGATCTGTGGGCCAGGGACAACACCGTTGCAGGGAAGCGGAGGCTCTGCAGTTGCACGAAAGGGTACACCCAGGAATTTTCAAGAGGTGAAGAACTCAACGACAAGGAATTGAGGAAATCTCCAGCCTTTTCACCATCGAAAGGCATGGAAAGCGACTTCGGAATCTTCTCTTCGATAATGTACCGGGAGGGGCAAAGACTGTCTTGATCGAATCCGCCTCCACAGCGCGGCTGTAACGCGGGATGGCATCTGGACCTCAATGAAGATACCCGTCTCAGGGTACCCCTGGATTCGGACATTGTTTCGGGATAGGGGATTATGTTGCACTGACAAGTCGAAGTCATAACAAGGTTTGCTACCACTCATTTGTGTGCGGATGGCCCGGAAGAAAGATAAGGGATCTGAGAAGGAGACGGGTCTTGCTTGGTGAGCCCTGGGCAGAGAGTGAACTGGACTGGATAAGATTCGCTGAGCGAGTGGTCTGCGGTATACAGGTGGATGAGTGGAATAGCTGCTGTGGAGATACTTGTGCCATTTTTCTCTCTCTCCCTCTCTTCTTCATAGGATGCATAAGAGGTGCTCGCGTGACGATACGTCCGGAGAGCGAGAGCCTCGTGTGTTGCAAAGACCAATCAGCAAAGAAAGACGAGGTAGGGTTAATGCCCCTTTCCGCCTTCCATTTAGAATGGGTCAATGCCTATTGGTGCTCCTTACTCGGCGATGGCAAGGAGTTCATGCATGATGATCGCACCAGCGCCCACGGCAGCGGGCCACATCCGTTCGAGAAGGCCATGGCCTGAACTCGGAAGGTCAAATTGCGGTGTTTTGCGAGGGCGCTGACATGTGGAGTTCCGTTGCCGTGGATTTCGGTAGTCAACAGACGTGCGTGAGGCCACGATGTTGCTTGATTCAAGTTGTCAGAGAGTACCTACCTAGGTAGGTAGGTACCTGGTGCTCCGCACATGGTTGTGGTGATTGATGGGAAAGGAGGTGGTGGCGGCGGCGGCGGCGTGGTGGCGGTGCTTCAACTTTTTTTTTCTTGGATGGATTTGGAAGTATCCATGACATCACAGGGCTGCCCCCCCACGCCTGCCAAACTCGATGCGGCCCGGATCTCCTTAGTAGCCAAGTACTTGAACACGAGGCTGGGATGCAAGGCTGCGTCCTTCGACCGACGCCTTCCCCTTAACAACTTCTAAGTAGTAGGTACCGAGTACCTAGGTAATTGTAAAATGGGAACCCCGTCCTAAGCACCCGAGGCTCTTGCATTATCAGCCAAACTTTCGTCATCGAGCCTCCTATTCTTTACAAGAAACAACACACGAACTCTTGCTCCGGCCTTTTGTTTCTCGCCGCCTCCCGCTAGTGCAGATTCCTGAGCCATATTCTTCTTTCGCCTCCTTCTAGAATGACCCCATTCCTTTCTGACACGCATCTCAGACCTGAAGTAATGGGCAATAGTTGCCTGTTACAGGATGCAGGTAGCAAGGCTGACCACGGGGTCCCGATCAATTCCAGCTGCTCCCGGCTTGCTTCGCCATGCTTTTGACCAGCTCCGTCCTCAGACTCGAAGATTGTCTCCGTATGCCACAACCATGAGTCTCAAAAGATCACCCTTCATGGCTTACGTGGCCCATTGTCGGGCATCAATCGTCATTCACTATCTTCCCTTTTCCTGAATTCGGTTATAGGCACGAGTAGACTTCTTGAGAAGCAGCAAGATACACTTCCCAGGGCTCCAGCTGACGGGGGGCAGCGGGAGCCATGCACACGCCCCACGCTTATTGCTCAAGTTCCGATGGACTCCGCTGCCGATTGCTCCCTGTTTTGTGCCCTTTCCAAGGAAGACGTCTATCTGCACGAGCCGCCAAGATGCTGATTAGAAGGCAAGTGCACGCTTACAAGCAACTATATCAGTTTAAGCTACCTAGGTACTTCCCAACTCGAGATGCGTTGGGTTGTTGTTGCAGGAAACCGATGTTCATTGCTCTTGCGCAGCGTTTTGCTTATTAGAATGCTCAAGGTTTTGGGATATATCGTGCGCCAATAGTGCGCTGGTACTCTCGGACAGGTACTATCACGAACGGTGGGATTACGACCTGGCTATTTCCATTTTCTATCGGCCCCATACGAAACACTTCTGCATAACCCCTGCCTGCTGAAGCTTCCGCAGTGGAGTGCGATCCGCAGTATGTTGGCTCATACTCAGCACTTTCTTTCTGACCCTCAGTGTGCCAATGCATTTCTCTTCTCTGTTATCGTTCCTAGGTCCGGCCATCGTGCGCCCCCGTGGTCCGGTGTGCCATTCAGGCCATTTCGTCGAGGACCCAGGCGATAGTAAAGAAGGGTGGACGACAACTTGAATGTTGTCGTCATCAACACGTGTTTTCGGCAAGCACTGACACGAGGAGGAATATTCAGAGACACATCCGTCGCGAATGATTGTATGGTACCTAGGTATGTAGAATTGTGGTTGAGTAGAGAAACTTAGCGGGATGGCCGCACGAGCAGAATGCCTACGTAGTCAGGCAGGTCCAGATCGAAGCTTCCGGTATCAAAATCGGAAGGCCATCCTTCGGCCGGAGCCGTAAAGCTTACCAGCAACCAGTATACCGGATGGAGATGTCCTTGCCACTTTCGACATTTACCGAGCCATCGAAAAGTCCTTGTGGTGGCTAAGGTTGGGTGAGCGAAGGCAGGCCATAAGCATCAGCAGGAAAACATGATTTTCCCTGTGCCTGGAGAGTAATGTGCACAGCTGGAGGCAGTCGGCAGACTCTCAGCTCCTTCACAGATTTCTTCTCAATTCATGAAGCTTCGAGCCCTATCCTGGCGCTGGTGACGAGGAGCGGGAGGAAGGAGATGGCAGCAGCCAAATAAACTTCAAAGACCATGTAGGAGTGGACATATTATGTAGAATAGCCCCCCTTGACATCTTTTGAGCAAACAACGTCTTCTTTTCACTGCCGACAGTCCATCTAGAATGACCACCAAGTCTTAGACTGTCAGTCGCGGGCCGGAGAGATGGCTTACAAAGAGAAACTTTGCCGAGCTGGAATTCTACGGCCAACTTCATTATTTTCTCTCTCTTTCGTTCTCTCGCATTCATTAATCTTGGTAACGCAAGAATTGCTTGTGACGAAACAGGACGCATGAGCTCTACATGATTGTGTGCCACTTTGCCGCCAAAGAGTCCTTTATTCCCAGGATTCCATCCAACAATGTTCAACTGTTGGCGAATCCGGTCGCTGTCGCCCACCAGCCAACATGCCTCGCCGCACAGAAGGATGCTCAAAACATGATCGCTGTTCCTGCATCTCCAAGAGCCACAGAGCAAGATGATGAGAGGACAGCCATTGTCGAAATCCCACAGGGTTGCGGTCGTGTTTCGACAGGGCATGGTCAGTGAGAAAAATCTTCAGTTCTTCATCTAACTTTCAGCCTCGAACCTCATAGTTCACCCTTCCAAGTCGCGGTCGACGATATCCCAGAGCTCGTTGCGGTGGCGTCTCAAGAACTCGTGATTTCCGGTCATCTCGTTCAGCTGCAGAACCCACTGGATCAATACAGCTCGCCAGCTTTGAAACTCGATGAACAGAGTCTCCAAGGTCTCACTCTCCTCCTCGCTGATCGTCTTAGCCTTCTGCTTTTGAACCAGCTCCGCGGCTTTGCCTGCGATGCCTAGACGCCTCAGGGCAACCTCTGACAGACTGATTTCGATGCTTAGGATATTAATCCACCTCTTGTGCTCACCGATTGCGACACAGACTTCTCGAAGAAATCGTCGGAGGTGAGCTTTATGCCTCTCTCCACTAGCACCGCGACCCATATCGATGATAATAAGTCCCCTCCTCGCTAAGGCTCTGCGTTCATCATCGCACACGCGTCGCAACTCGCGAAGCACGCGAATGTTCGTACGGATGATGAATCGAATTGTCTCATTTGCGTCGGGTTTGGCCAGAAGGTGGAAAAACGCCCCAACCAGCTTTTCGGTTTCCTGTCCGGCTCTGCGCATGTAGAGATGATAATCTTATTTCACCACTTAGCCCTCCGCGGAGTGGTCTGGGATATTCTTACCACCATCAGGTCGGGCGATGCACTTACCACATCCATTCAAGGGCTCCATGAGTTCCCGGCTCGTCTCTTGTGCAGCTGTTCCCAGTGCTTGACCCAATGGCTTGCTTGCTAGCGGAAAAGGATGTTGGTCCATCTCTGTGTCATGTTGGCAAATGCAGCTATGAACAGGGTGAAGGGACTCACGTGCGATAATCGGTTCGAAAGTGTAGCAAGCCCAGAAGATGTTGGCTGTGTGAGATTCTCTTCTGACTGGTGGTGGCTCCATCCTGCATTGGCTTGTCGCTGACGGAATTCAGAAATGGTCAGTTTGTGAGATGCAGACTCCTTATCCCCAATTACGGTGATGGCGTTGAGAAGGAGTTTCTTGCGGTTTATGGCGCAAGATGTTTCTGCGAGATGAGGCAGTTCAGCGCCAAGTATGATGAGGCTACAAACCACAGGGAGTTCGGCAGTACTCATTGGCACATTTCCAGCTTTGACTATGAGGTCTGCTTCAACCTCATCTCACGAATGTCTTTATCTTGTGTTTCAAACATCAAACACAACCTCATCCCTACCACTGGCCCTGCTGTACGTGCAGGTTGACTGAACACATTTATGACTGGGCATGACAGATGAATGCTCTCAAGGCCGACGGAGGCATCGAAGACAGAGAGCATTTCGGCCCATTCTCCTGGAGACAAGGCGAGCGAACGAAGGCAGAAGCTAGCAGTCAACCAGAAAGAATATCAAGGAATCTTCTACTTAAGATAAACACCATATATCTGGAAGGCGAAGCCACCACATCTCTTCAGCCGCACACAGATGATCTCACTTTCCACTGAATCGTCAAGAACAAGAGAGAGATGCTTGATTGAAGTGTACAAGACCGAAGACCAGACACTATTGCTAACGTTGAAACAAGTCCCGCTCCTGAATTGCCCGCCAGAAGAAGCTCAGTTCTAGCTGTGCACTGCATTGTTGTCTCACTTATCCATTGCCGCCATGTCTACCACTTTCATTCTGAGCATGGTTTATCGGTCGCGCCGTATGGCGCCTAATATCCCCTGTGCCTGCAGGCCTCAGGTAGGGGAGGTTGGCGTCTGGCCACTTTCGTGCCCTTCAGGCAGGCGAGAGCTTGGCACTCCCTAGGTTTCCTCATGCAAGCATTCCAGAGTTCTCGATTCCATGTTCCCACGCTCCGGGGCGACCTCTCCTCGGCTTCATTCTGTTGTTCAAAGCGGCACGGAATATGCTGGTGAGCATATCAGCAAATGAAACGTGACCACACGGGTCTATGCCAGCGAGAGCAGGTTGGGAGTTGTGTGACAAACGGTGAAAGAAAAGGATTTTGTTACCATTGGTTCTGCAAGTGGCATTACACGAAGGCCAGGGCTCATTGTCCCTGCCTCCGTCCTGCGGCGTCTTGGTCACATTTTTCAACAAACCAATCAGCTTTTTATTACCCAGCTTTTGAATGCCGGACTTGATGGCATCGAGAGTGTCATTGGTCGGGCCCGAGGGTGTCCGGCTGCAAATATCCAAGGATGCCACCGTCTCTGACGCGGCAGGCGTCTCATACAGGACCACAAAGCCTGCTCCATGGGAGTCGTAGCCCCAGCTGATGACTTCGTACGTGTTGTTCTGCGCGGCGAGGGAGGCTGTGGGCACGCTTTGGTAGGCACCACCGCCGCCAGCAGCGATGACCGTGTCAAGCGAGTACCCGAAGTAAGTGGCATTCGGTTTCTCCGTGTCATTCACGAGCTGGAAGGACGCCAAGTCGGCGAGGTGTGTGGCCTCGAGCGAGTAGCAGGCGTCGTCCGCACAAGGCCGCGTGAGAGTCCAGATGAAATTCCGAAAGATGTGGTAGAGCTCTTGGTTGGAGTGGGTGATGAACCAGTTCCCCAAGAACCAGTTTGGCGGCAAAGGATCCCACGTCTTCGAGGACGCCTCGTTGAATGTTGGCGGCGTCCGCACTTGAATTGGGTGCTGGGGGACTTGGTGTGCTTGGAGGAGCGAGAGTGACAGCTCTATGTTTTCTTCAGGTCAGTGACCCATTCTTGCATCCATATTCAGTGCCGTCAGTTCGCATATCGACCTGGTCCAGCCACCGATATGGAAATTACATTTTAGGACAGCAGTCTCGAACATCGAGGGGATCATATCAGAGCGAGCATACCTGGTTGAGGCCCGATACCAGCAGCCAGCGACACCACGAGGAAGCAGAACAAGGCAGAGCCTGTCAAAAAGGGGGCGAATACCTTGAGATGCATTACGGCACAATACAAACCAGGTACAGGACCGCGGGCATGATGCCGCGGAATTACACTTGCTGCGGGATACACATATTTATATTCCAATACTACAGGCGTTGATGCTAATTTTTAACAGCCACGTACGAATCCTCGCAAGGGGAAAGCAATTTTCTTCTGCATATGAAGTCGGGGGAAGCCGTTGGGCGATATGCTAGCGCTTATATCCCAAATTGGGCGAAAAAGCTGGCGCAGACTTTCGTTTGAGAGGCGAATCACCTCACTGAAATAGAAAATAACAAGAATAGGAAGGGGCCGTGGCAACGTGCTTCATGCTTCTTGTTCACTCCTTTTGTCAAACTTCTTCATGGGGTGTTGGTTCCACTAACATAGCAAACTCTCGACCGCGTTCGAAGGAGAAGTTTCAGCGTGGGATGGCAGGTTCGCCTGCTTCATGGTACATCTGCAGCTACGCCTTATAAAGAGGAGCAAGAGAAGCAGGAGGCCTTAATACTATGCTTGTGCGTAGGGCCAGGTCTCCCAGGATGCCATGGTCATTGGTGACTGACGTGCCAGGCCAGGTTTCTTACACGTTGGCAATGCTCGCGTGCACTAAAGTCCTCAAAGACCCGATCACCCCAGTCCCCTGCTTTCCCAGTCTAGCCTTTTGTTTCAAGCCACTTGGCCTGGAGCGCCGCGCGTTGGCTATCCATGGGGTATCGGCGTCTTCTTGCCCCCGGTCACGATCCTGCACCTCGGCGTGGCGCTCTGCATAGCGTGGCCAGTGCCGCGTAAGGCTGAGTCCCATTTGGTCGTAGGATTCGATAATAACTGCCGAGCAGGAATGGGCTTGCTTTTCACTAGCCTCCATTTGCCCTTCAGGTATGTATATCAATCCTTCGTAGCAGAATGGGGCTGCGTGATAGGAATAATTACCCCAGTGAGTAGTGGGGCCATCCATACTCGTACTAGGCATAGGATATACTGCAGATATGAATAGCCTAGTATTATCTAACCAGAGGACTTAACTGTGTTCGAAACTGCTCTAGACCTTATCGAGCAACAAACCTCCACCCATGTCGAAAAAAGGGGGGGAGGAAAGCCAAAATTCTCCTCAACTACTGCTCCTAGCAATCTCGGAGTTGACACCGACACCCACATTGTACAAACAAGAGAATCTCTCCTCCAGCGCCAGTCGCGGCCGAATGCTCTCCTCGTACTTGCAGGCCGAGCAAAGAGTGCGTGACGACTATGCGAAGACCCTCCAGGCCGGCCTCGTGAGGCCCGCGTCCTCGGTGGTCGCTTCCTTGAACTTTGTCCTCCTGATTGGCTGGTTGTTCGTGTCTCCTTCGCTGTCGGAGGCGTGCTTCCAAAGGTCCCGCCTGCCTTTCTTCCTGTGCATCTCCTACATTTCTGCATGGAACTTGCTGTACACCCGCTCGATCGGCGTGGTGGGCAGTATAGGCGTCGGCTTGAACTCAGCTCTGTGCGTTGTGCTCGCCGTCAACTTCATACTCTTGCACGACCCTCGGACGTTCAAGAGGCTAGTACTGCGACCAGTTCCAGGACCATCGGGGACAGATGGGCGCACCCAGCTGGCCGGCAGGGTTGGTACATACGATGGACAAGGCCCAGAGCGACTCCTCGCTTGGGAGCCCATGCCTGGAAACCTATGGCGTAGGCTATTCTGGATATTGGACCTTATCACCAGCTTACGCGGCGTCCATTGGTCCTGGAGTTCGTCAGCTTCGCCTCCAGCTATTTTTTGTTTGAACGAGGCCTGTTCGAACCGCACAGCTTCAGCTGCCCGGAATGTGTCTCGCTTCATCATTGATTATCTGCTCATCGATCTGCTCAAATGCCTCATGATTGCTGACCCGTACTTCCTCGGCTACTCCACGAAGGCACCACCGCCTCATCTATCGGCGTATCTCACGTCTCCATGGGGGCAGTACACTTACCGTCTGCTTCTCAGCACAGCAGGGATGTACACGGCCGTCGATCTGGAGTTCGCCTCCGCAGCTCTGCTCCAGGTCAACGTTCTCGGTCCTGTCATGCTTGGACTAAATGCTTTACCCCTCACATTTCCACCAATCTGGGGTAGTCCATCCGCTATTCTGTGCAAAGGTCTACGGGGCTTCTGGGGCGAGTCCTGGCATCAGTTCTTTAGGATGCACTTTGTCAGCATTGGCGATGCTGCTGCGGACCTCTTGCTAAAGGATGAACGCCGGAGTCCTCGCAAATACCAAAGTCCTGATAACAAGCCACTTGATGGTCTGAAATCGTCCAAGGCAAGACATGTGATCCGAACTGTGGCCGTGTTCCTCTTCAGCGGGTTATTGCACGCTTGTGCAAGCTATACGCTGCTGGGACCTACAAAGCCGTTTGCAACTTTTCTGTTTTTTGCACTTCAGCCGCTAGGTATGGCGATCCAAAGCGCGTGCTCGAAGCTTTTCACCAGCAGCTATCTCTCAATGTTACCAGACCGATGGACAACTGTCATACGTCAAGCTTCAAATGCCGGTTTTACCATTCTGTGGCTTTGGGGAACCGCAGGCATGTTTTTCGACGACATGGCCAGCGGAGGCATGTGGCTGTTGGACCCCATCCCAGTGAGTTTCATTCGTGGGCTAGGACTCAGCAAGGACGACAAAAGGTTCTGGTGCTGGTAGGGCAGGCTGTTGCACAAAATCTACATTGGACAATCAGCGCCATGTCTCTCCTCTGGGAGCATGCAGCAACGCAGAGATGTTCAACAAGGCCGTGGCAGACAGAATGACTCAGTCATAGCCTACCTGGCCGAGAGAAGTTGGGAACAAGCAGAGGCCTCTACTTGATGGCATGCATTACCGCTCAGACAATATGTGAGTACGTCGGTCGGACTGTCGACTGATACAGCCTGTCAAAGCCACGCAAAGCAAAAGGGGCCAACGCCTCTGCTCCCCACGCTCTGACGAAGACGTTAAGTTGCCGTCGACCGATTCTAGACGACAGCGACAGACCTGAGAACCGCCTCACCAGAAGAAGAGAAGGATGCGGCTTAATGCGCCGTCGATCCGTCCATCAAGACTCTGCAGAAAGAGAACCTGAGCAAAATCCCCCCAGTCTCTGCCACGACTTTAATTTTACATCGTGGCGCATAGGCAGGTGTGGCAGGATTCAATTAACGAACCGCGCCTGCGTCGATATTTCAATCCTCATCGAGGCCGGACTCTTCTCTTCTTCCTCTCGATTCACGCTCACCGCACACTCATTTTTCCTTCGCTCTTCCTGACTGCTATCGCACCTCCATCACTCTAACATGTCTTCCGTCATCGCTGACGCCGGAGCGAACCTTTCCCCTCTCACGGGTCCAGCCAACTATGAGGAATGGGCTCATGCATTCCAGATTGCCTGTCTCCATCAGGGCATCTGGAAGCTCTTCACTGGCACCGAATATGTCCGGTCACCTGATGAACACATCTATGAGGACCAGATCAAACGTGTAAAGACGGAGCTCGAAGCGAAAATCTGCGAGGACCGGTATAACAGATGGTGTGAAGAATTCAAACTGCACGAAGACAGGATCGAGCATGCGATGGCATTCCTTGCTGAAAGCGTCGACCCAAGTATTCGAGACGAGGTTTTGGGCTTCGACAGACCTAAACCTGCGTGGAAAAAACTGGCGAAAATGTACAAAATGCGGAAACCCAGTCTCGTGGAAATTGAGCAGAAGAACATGGACAGTCTTGAGCCAAGAGACTGCGCATCGCTCACGGATTTCCTGAGCCAATTCAACGGCATCCGAAAAAAGCTCGTCGCGGCCGGAGGGGACTACGGAGAATCCGAATCCAAGCTCAAGATTATTTCAGGTCTTGAGCCCCAGTACATCGCACGTCTCAACCGTGAAGTCAAGTTGAAGGAGATCGACGACATGTCTCTCAAAACATTCATCGACCTGCTGCTGTCATATGAGTTGGACCTCTGACGCTGAAAGACGTGCAAGAAAGACGCTGGCAGCAGATGCTTCGTTGCAAAGGATATTTGGGTTCAAGGATCACCATGAGATCAAACGGACGCAAGAAGTGATTTCTCCGACCGGGAAAGAGCCTGTCAGAAACAAACCAGACCGCGTAACATGTCCGTATCCACATCAACAACAGGCCAACTGCGTGCTCCGGACCAGATGGCCAACAGATCACAACCGCCGAGCTGAGATCGGCCAAGTAAGGAGAGGAGAACTGAACAGAGCGAGCAGACCAGACTGGGGGAACAACAAGCTACCTAGGATGCAACGGCGCTGGACAACCAGATTGATCAGATCGCAGGCCGAGGCTGGGACTGGACTGGAGCTGGCTACGTAGGATGAAAGCACCTCCTGAGGATGAACAAGACAAGACACAACAAGATACATTGATTGTGCAACGAGGTGCAACATAAATTAATCCTCCATAGTGGCTAGCCAGAGGGACTCCCATCCATACCACCCAAACATGAAACACTTCGATAATGCCAATTATTATGCCTTCCTTTCCCCTTTCCCGTCCTCTCGTCTCGGGGCTCACGTAAACATCCTTCTGAATACCTCTTCCCTCTAGCACAGGAGCGGCATGATGGAGAAGAAGCAAAACAGGATCTGTTTGTGAAAAAAACACAGGGTATGCATGCAATTGCTGGCCGTTCGGTCTTGGATTTACAATCTATCGTCTATGCTCTATGCTCTATGCTCTGGTCTATGCTCTATCGTCTTTATTGATACCAGGTCATGCGCTGGCGCTCGCAAAATCGCAAAACACCACCACCCCGTCCCGCTATGCACAGTATTTCCTGCGTGCTCGCTGCAACCGGAGAAAAGAAAGAAGGCAATGAGTGAGTGAGTGGTGCTTGTAGGGACGGCATCTGGAAGAACCATCACCCCCAACCTCAAATACCCAATATCCAATCTTTGGAAAGCTCTCCACTTATTCAACGCAGAAGATCCTGTGTCGGAGATCCTTTCTACAGAAAGATCGCGGTCATTTGTTGTAGAATTTGCCTTGCTCGATTTCGCCGTGGACAAATGATGAGAAAAGGTCTGAGAAAAGGTCTGGAATAGTCGAACACATGATTTGGAGTAGTTTGGTCAAAGAGGCGCAGGATGGGATCTCGCTTGCTCGACCTCATCCCGATAATCTCTCAACAGCAAAATGAAATTCCCTGTGGAATGTCTCCCCCTACTTCAAAGAGTCCTCACTACTCGTTGATGGTGGGCTTGAACTGGATCCTGTCCTCGGGCTTCGACTGGAAGGGCACGCCCAATTCGAACATCTTGCACAGGACATCCGAAAAGTCCTTGAAAAACAAGTCTCCATCCTTGGCGTATTTCTCCACCCACTGCTTGAAGATCGGGTCCTTGATCAAGGCAACGTCCGTGGGCAACATCATCAAAGACTTGGTCGTGGCGTCCTCGTATTGTTTTGGTCCTTTCCAGGATCGCCATCCCCACTTCTCTTCCATGAGCAGGCGGAAGAAGTCGTTGGTGAAGACGGTCGGTGAAAAAGTCCAGGGTCCGTCGAATCCAGAGCGGTCCGCGTGGCATCGACCCACGGCGTGGGCGCCGGACAAGGCCACCATTTCTTGATCGTTGAAGCCCATGCGGCCGAAGATGGCGCGGATGTGGTCTTGGCCCTTGGACGCGTCGGGCAGGCGGCCGTCCGGTGTGCAGAATGCAACGTCCCGGTCCTGTCGGCCGGGTCTCCAGGGGACAATGGGGCCCGACATCTCTTGGACGGCACAGACACCACCCAGAGTCCACAGATCCGAGTACGAGATCCAGGGGAATTGTTCCTTGATGGGCTCGAGGAAGTCTCGGGCACTCTTCAGGCCGGCATTGGCGCCGTGCTCGGACTCCGGGGCAAACCGCATCGTTGCACCGTTGCTGCCCCCAGTGCCTGTGGCAGCGTCGTAGGTTCCAGATGCATGCCATGCGAGACGCAAGAGAACAGGACCATAGCTACCATCATCATAGTCATCTTTCTCCCACAGCTCCTTCGCAATGGCGTTGTAGACTTTCTGGTAATCCTCGGCGGTGGGCTTAAACACGCCGGCCGACTGTCCTGCGCTGCCCTTTTTCAGAGCCCCGGGGGCACTCTCCAGACGAATCGTCTTTCCCTGCCCAGCCGTGTCTTGAGTGCTGAAGTAATAGTAGCCTCCTGCGAGCGCGGCGACGGCCGCTACACCGCCATGGATGGTGGTCGCGTTTGAGGATTTGGGAGTCGACTCGGAGGAGTAGTGGCGTCGGGAGGATTGCTGAAAGAACTGTTTTGCGGCAGCATTCGATCTCGAGGAGCGAGCGGCAAGGCGGAGGGACGAGGTGGCCGAGGCTGTGCTGCGTGCGACAGCCTTGGAAAGGGTACGGGTAGCTGTTGCAGTAGCCATTTCTGGTTGTCCACAGTGGTTCACTGATCAGAAGGGAAGGGAGTCTTTTGGCCGGGATACCGGGTATTTAAAGGCAGACGCAAAAGAACAGGAGGAGGATGGAGAGCAGATGGAGCAGGTTATAGAAATGGACAGAATAGTCGAAGTTTCCCGAAGAGGCTATCGACGGCGAGAGCTGCTGGTAAATTGGTGGGAGTCGGCGAGGCTGAATAATGGGCATTCACCGACTGGACGCCAATCAACTGCTGTTGGATGAAATCCTGAAACGAAAATCGGATGACCCACAGAAAAGGAGTGACTGAGGTCGGAGACGAGAGCGAGAGCGAGAGCGAGAGTGGGAACGAGAATGGCACGCACGGGTGGCGGGACGGGGACTGGCAGGTCTGAAAGGGAAAGTGAAAAGGGAAAAACATCATGAGATTTTTCTTTATCAAAGGGCGCGCGCTGAGACTGACGTTGACGTTATCAGCAACAATCGTGCTTAGCGCAGCCCGGCGGCGTTTAGCGAGACCTTAACGACTGTTTAATCGGCGTTTAGCAGCCCATGAAGCCAATAGAAACCTGTACCATGCACCACGCTCGGTCAGCCTCATCCGGGCTTGGCAGGGGAGACTCACGAGTCACGACTGGCACGGCAATGGGCGGCCAAGTGGTTCCATCAAGTGGTTCCATCAATTTGTCGTCGACTCGTGGATCCAAAGGAAAAAGCACGTCTTTCTCCGTCAGATTTCGGGGTCGCACGCCATGTTATTGTTGCACGGGTCTCATGCCTCGCTGTCATCTGCCTGATGAGGAATAGCTCTGGATTCTCTCGGTGTCTATTTCCAGTCTGAGTGATATTGGGAAACTCGCCACTCTTGCTCTCCTAGACTGGTAGAGAGATGCTCGCTATCGAAAAGCCAGCCTCTACACCATTTCTCTGTGAATGGTCATGAGGAGATTAGCTAGAACTTCTGTCGCTCCCCTCTTTGCACTGCTTCGAATGATCAATACTTGCACATCATTGACCTTTGCCCGCTTGACAACCGGCCGCCGGCATGCTCTGCGCTCAACACAAACCCTTCCTCACAAGGTCAGCGTGATTCTGATGAACTGCCCATCTAGCCACTCGAAACACTTCTCAGTGTCCAGCCACTTTAGGGAAGAGGGTGTCAAAAACCTCTGCCGATTCCTTGACTTCGAAAAGGACGTTACCTTTCGACTTCGCTCTTTTCCTGATGCTTGGAGCTGTAGCCTTTTCCCGAAACGAATCCTTCTGTTCTTGTAGCTTTTTGTCCACGTGTGCGATCTGCTGCGAGATCTCCTCCTCGCTTGGCAGAGCCATAAACCCTTTGGTCCAGGGAACACTGCCTTCACGGTGCTTCAACTCCCAATGGTTGTGGAGGGATTCCATCGTTATCTTGTGTTTACTTTTTCGAGATGTCCGTGGGCGTCTGTCTTCGCGCAGACATATTCTGCATCGGAACTTTAGCTCGATACTTGGATTGGCGATGGCTAGATTGTCCAAACATGCCATGAAGGTGGACAACGGCGGCTCTCTCGTATGCCGCTGAGCCCAAAGGTCAAGAGCGTACTTTAACGCGATCTTCATCTGACAGGGCCCATCAAGCTTCACCCCGTGCAGTCGCTTAGCCGCATGAATCAAGTTGGGGCCGAAGTCGTCGGCTGCATGGTTTTGCCCAAGAGCCTGTCGTCCGTGAAACGCCGACATCCTCAGGGGCGCCGCCAGTGGGACGAACTCAGTATGAAAATCCGGGTGCCAGGTATCCGATTCCGATTTTTCTTGATGGCGAGGCACAAGAGGCAGGTTCTCCGGCCATTGAACCGTGTACCAGGGGAATTTGTACTCGACACCGCCTGCCTCTGGCGACAAGCCAGATAGATCGTTCAACGGGTGCGGTATGGCAAAACGATAGTACTCAAGCCCTTCGCCCACTTTCCTGGCATGGGTTTGAAGAATGTGTTCGAACGCTTCCACGAAAGAAAACGTCCGGACGTGGTCGGCTCGCCGGCACCCTCTGCATTTCAGACTTTGAAACACAATCCTGCCGCGTTCTGAATGAACTGAGATCTGCCTTTCTAGCACATCCTTCACAATCATTCGAGCGTCGTCGAGACTGAGACAATATGGACCAGTGGTTCCATCGAAGTTGAGGCCCCTTGGGCGCTTTTCCCGCGGCATGTTCCTGTAGGTGGCAAACACGTTCCTCAGGCACATTAACAGAAGATCTTCATTGGCGACTCTGTCGTTGACGCATTGGGAAAACACCGCTTCCGCAAGTCGCAGGACAAACTTTTGCTCCGGCTGGTACGCGCGGGGCACGGATTCCCTTCCACAGCGATGTTCATGGAGCCTCCTGAACAGCCTGACTTGGGGAACAGTCTCAAGAAAGTCGGAGGCCATCAATCGCTCGAATTCCACCACTTGTTGTGCATGCGACCTGTACGGCTCAATCTTGATCCAAAGGAGGTCCCACGACCGCTCGTTTCCATCTTGCAAAATCTTGAGGATTCTTGTGAAAGCGGCCATTTTCCATAGGATCTGGCGGTCCATGGGCGGTGCCTGTGCTGCGGCACGTGCTTCGAAGTATTCAATCCTCTGTTCTCGCTGAGCTTCGGCCTTGGACTTCTGTACTGTCTTTGCGTGCTCTTTAAGCCAAGCCTCAAGTTTGTTGACGTCGGCCATAAACTCCATCGTTTCTCTATGGATCTTGCTTGCCCACGCCACGAGTGCGCTGTCTCCATCATCTGAGGTGCTGAGATGCAGATATTGGGTTTTGATTTCCTTAAAGGATGTCTTCAAAAAAGCGAATTTCCCACGATCGCGCACCCAGTCGTTTGCTTCGGTGTCAACATGGCGGGATGTTGCGCCACGACGGCTAAACATATCTTGTCAGCGCAACAACCTGACCGATGGCGACAAAGGTCGTGACTTACCCGTCAGTCCGTGCGAGCGGTAGCAGCTCCCACAGCGGACGTCCGTCTCCTGGACGTGTGCGGTCTTCAGTTGCGGGCAGTCTGTGACGGTCTTCGCGCGGGAGCTGGGCCTCCTGTGATTGTGGACGTCAGACTTGTTAGAGCCATGTGCAGACGACAACTTACGCTCTGTGTCTTCATTTTAAAGCACTCCGGGCATAGACGAACCAAAAACATCCAATGAACTTTGGATGTTCCTTCGACAGGGCAGGTCTTATTCTGGCAGCCACGCCCAGCCAGGAGTTCGACGTATTGTTTTTCCGTGAGCCCCTTCGGACAGTCTGGCATATTGGAACCATAATGGTTCAGTCTGCTCTTTCGCCAGATGGCGGAATTGTCGGAAAGGAGATTATAGAAAAATCGGTTGAGAGTTTTGGCTTCCAGCAGGAGTTTTGGATCGCAGAAGCCGAGAATATCAACCCAGGCGTCGGCATGCACAAGCTTGGAGTTTTGTAAGGGTCTACTGGGTAACAGAGCCAGTCGTTTTGGACGCGGTGGTTGGAGTGGAGGCCGTGGTCTCTGGACGGATCGATCATCTGAGTCCCGAAACAATGGCTGGGTCTGGGTACGGTCAACTTTAGGTCTCTTACCACCCTGGATGGTTTGGACAGTGTTATGGACGAAGATGGTAGGACGAGCCGGCGCGGTTGGCTTTGAGGGTAAAGTCGTCACTGGGAGGCTCGTCTGTTGGCGTTGGTACTTGGACGTCATGAATTCTATGGAGAGCGGCTCGCGAAATTGTCTGACTGGGAAGCGGTGGCCAAGGATCTGGGAGGAGAAGACACCAACAGCCCCAGACTGTGCTGATGGTGGCATTGCTGGCGAATGGTCATGCTTGCGTTTTCCCAGGACTTGGGCGGTGGAAGAAGGCATGCGTGGCGATGGAGCAGGCAGGGGATTAAGAGGAGGAGGATAGTAGGGATTCATGACTAGATGCGATCAAGAAGAAGAAGGAGAAGTTGGAAGTTGAAGAAGTTGGAAGGTGTCAGCTAAGAAAGAAGCAGTGACGGGATGAGGGCAGCTGAGGGCGCGGAAGTGGAAAAATCGTCGTGGGGGGCGATATCCTGTGCCCTAACGCCGAGCATCTCCCTTGCCGTCTATTGTCCTGCCTCAAGCCGCGCCGTCGAGCAGCCATGGACTCTGGTTATCTGGCGCGGTCGGTCGAAATGGTGGTGAGTTGTGAGGATTGAGACACTCAACGAGAGTCTCCCCAAGTTGGCAGCGGAAGAGGCCAGCCACGTTGGGAGGGTTGGACGCCCCAATCGATGCCCAGCTGCCCAGACTGACGGCCACTAGACCCAGCCAGGTCCATGATGACTTGCTGCTCTTGCTGATGGACATGGGCAATGGACCATTTCCCTCTTTGCCTTGGAGGGGGGGGGACCGGGGGCGTGGGGGGGTCAAAGGGCAGCAACTTGTCGGTAATGCAGCGGTCCGAAGGCCCTGGTCGTTATCCCTAAGCAGATAAGGGGCGAGTTCCTCCTGGGTGCCTAGGTACTTGGTCATATTACGCCTACCTAGGTAATCAAAGAGCCTGGGTAATACTGCGTCCGCATCAGATCGCATCTTCGGCTCAGCCCGCATCGTGTTGGAATTTCCAGAACAGTGCCGGCGCCAGCACCACCACCACCACCAGCAACCACTGATACAAATGATATATATCTGGTACATCTGCCCTTTCTAGGTAATTCCAGGAGCGCAGAGAAATCCGCAGTGGCAACTCCCAGGTCCTAGGTATTGACTCCGAAAACCGGACACTGCATTGGTGGTTATCCACTCCTACTGCTAGCGACGGCAACTCACGAGCTTCTCCCTTCCAGATAGCCAGAGGAATATCGCAACAAGGTGATGAGCTGAGTACTATGGCAAAGAGCAACAGCATACAGGGAGTATGAGATATTCGTATCTACCTATCTGTCTGGTTACAGAGTGAGCTTACCGAGCCTAACCGGGCCTCCGGGTCTCCCTTCCTCTCCTCCTCCGCATCTTCCCCGTCATTTCCTCCTCCTTCTCGCTTCCTCTCTCTGCCTCGTCTCTCCGCCCTCCACTATCGCGATCATCCACCATCGGTCATCCACTCCCACCCTACCTCCCCGGCCTCGTCGGTCTCTCGCCGGGTCTTTTTGCATCTTCTGCTCCTCTCACTTGCGGGGCAGACGCCACTGCTAAGCTTGTTTAAGCATAACGGGTGGTTCTCTCTCCACGGGCCCTAGGCCTCTAGGCTGCCCCGAGTCATCTGTTGCTTGACAAGTTGCCCTCTGCTTGTCTTCCCCAGCCCATGGCTTGCTCTTGGTGCGGCCAAGCCGCCGCTTGGACCACTCAAACCCAGTTCTTCACACAATGCAATGTAGCATCCATGCCGTCTCCAGGACAAAAGCTGCAGTCAAACACCTTTTCTTTCTGGAAACCGCCACTCTCTTCCCAACCCCACCGCTCGCCAAATACAGTGTGAGCTTCAGAGAACAGCATTGCCCCTCGCTTCGGACAAAGCTCCTGTTCTAGTCTCCTGCGGCTTCCAACCCGGCTTTTGGCACGGCTGGCTCTCTGAAACTCTACAAAGAGACCCGCTGCCCGCCTAGAGACGCATTTTGATTTTCTCCTTCCCCCAGGACTTTCGTCATCGCATCACTTCCCCATACCTAAATCGTCGTCCTGGTCGCCCATCATGCGGTTCGATATAGACGGGTCCAGTAAGTCAGCTTCTTCCAATACCCCATTGTCGCCCATCTAATCAATGCAACAGATGAGAAGGCCCAGCATGCCTACAATGACACGAATGGCATGGGTGAGCACCAGCTGGGCTATGACCCAGATCTGGCCCATCCAGCTGCCGGCTACAGAGACGGCGAGGTAGCGATGCTGCCGCCAGGAGTCTCGGAACGGAAACTCCTCACCAAGATTGACCTGCGCATTGTTCCCGTGCTGTCAATCATGTATCTCTTGGCTTTCCTGGATCGAACCAACGTCGCCAATGCCGCCATCTTTGGCCTTCAAAAAGATCTTGGCCTGAGCGGCACTCAGTACAGCACCGCCCTGACCATCTTCTTTGTCCCCTACGTAGTCTTTGAGATCCCATCAAACATCATCCTCAAGAGACTCCGGCCCCATGTCTGGCTGTCCATCTGCATGTTTGGCTTTGGCCTGGTTACCATTTGTCAAGGTCTAGTCCAAGGATACGGCGGATTTCTTACCACCAGATTCTTCCTTGGCTTCTTTGAGACCGGCATGTTTCCAGGTGCGTGATTGTCCAAACCGATGCGAATCTCATACGTCTAACATACGTTAGGGGCATTCTATCTCATTGGTATGTGGTACAAGAGACATGAAGCACAGAAGAGATATACATTTTTCTTTGCTAGTACCACCCTCGCTGGGGCTTTCGGTGGCTTGCTCGCCTCTGCCATTGGCAAAATGAACGGCATGGAAGGCTATCTCGGTTGGAGATGGGTTTTCATCCTGGAAGGTTGTCTTACTTGTGTCGTCTCCTTTGTCTGGTTCTTCGCCATTCCCGACTTTCCCGAAGATGCCAAATGGGTGACAGAGCCCGAGCGCGAGTACATCAAGGCTCGCCTCCGTGATGATCAGGGAAAGTCGGCCCTCGAGCGACGCATCACATTCAAGGATGTTGTCAACTGCTTCAAAGACTACAAGATCATCGTAGGCGGGTTCATGTATTTTGGCTTGATTGTGCCCGGTAGGTGCATCCGGCGGTCCATGTGAAGGCATAGAAACAAACTGACCCACAATGAAGCCTACAGTTACGCTTACTTTGCTCCCACCATCATCAAAACGTACGGATACAGCGCCATTGAGACCCAGCTGCACTCGGTCCCTCCGTGGGCGGCGGCGTTTGGATGGAGTATGCTCACTGCCGCGATTTCGGATCGTCTCCGTCACCGTTTCGCGTTCGCAATGATCAACATTTTCATTGCCATTGCAGGCTTTGCGATACTCATGACGGAGCACCACAACACCGATTTGGAGTACGGTGCACTGTTCATGATCACGTCAGGGACGTACAGTGCCATGCCCGTCATTGTGTGCTGGTTCTCGATGAACCTTGGGGGTCACCATCGCCGCGCGGTGGGCACAGCGTGGCAGATTGGGTTCGGTAATATCGGAGGTGAGTTACTGGTAGCCCAAGGCTTCACGAGTTAAACGAGATGCTAACTTGTTTGTCCCAGGTATCATTGCGAGTTACAGCTTCGAGGCGACCGACGCAAAGACTTTCTTCCACAAAGGCTACAGCATCTGCATGGGATTCATTTGCCTCAGCGCCGTCGCCTGCATCATCTACTTCTTGGCTTGCCTGACGCAAAATCGGAATAGAGAGAAGTCGCACGATGTCGGGCTTACAGAGTACGAGAAGACCGAAATGGGTGATATGAGTCCCGATTACCGCTACATGCTGTAGTAGGCACGGCCATGGTCGGTATCATAACGAGAAGGAACAAGACCGCCTGTATGACATTGACAAAATGTCGACTTCCTGCGAATACACTCCGGGTGAGGGCCACAGGTCAACAGGACAAGCAATTTTACTAGTCAGAATCGAGTCTTAGAGATTTTGTGTGGCGGATACGAAATGTACTTCGGACACTAGCGCAGATTGAAATCCTTGACGATAGAAAGACTGGTCACGGAAGATATTCCGCTTGCACTGCATATCGTCTCGAGTCATGCACTAGGGCTACTTGTTCAACAGTTCCACTTACTCGGAAGAGAAGATAGCGAGAAAGTAGGTAGGGTTGCATCCGCCAAGGGTACCGTACCTATGCTGGAGACGCACACGCGCATGACCCAACGAGGCTGGCATGCAATCCAGTACCTGAAAACCTAGAAACATATTACCTCGGCACAAGGTCCTTTCTTCCTCCTGTTCTTTCTTCTCCCTCTCTTCAAAATCCTCATACTTTGCCAGTGTCTACTATTTGTAACCGGGGTAATGGACTCCGTCCTCCATACTCCGTACCGGGTTAGTGGATTTACGTGCTGCACCCCCTCCACACGCCAATTTGTTCCGGCCCACAGGAGGCCGTCCGATTTTCCTCCGGCGCGCGGACGGAGGGGAAGGGGGCACGGCGAGACCCACGCATCCATCCACTCACGAACCATCCATCCACCGCTTCACGTACGACTTTACCCTGTCGTGTACTCGGAGCGTCCGTTGGTAGACATATATGCATTGCATACCTAGGTAGGTACCGGTACATATATAACCGGGAGATAAGTAACGAGTTATTATCTTCGCCACTTTGAGAAATTCCTGTCGGAGGAAGACCCGTGGGAAGCGGGAGAGACGACGTGGGTGAGTAACGGATCAGACGTCGTCATTATTTGCTACGTAGATCGAGCCTCCCCTAGCCTTTACAGTCCCTGCTATACGGTACCAAGTAATGACGAGTGCCGACTCCAGGGAACCCCGCTTTCTATCTAACCTAGGGTAAGTAGTAGGTGCGAGCAACGTCTCTGTGCAGTCCGGATTGGGTACTCGTACCGCTCCCCGGCGCTGCTTGCGCCAGACCTGTGTAGAGAACCGCCGCTAGGTATACAACGCTTCGGGCGGAGTTTCTTTGCCTGGAGGAGTCACTGGGCGTGGAGAGGTATATACCGTCGGGCTGGAAATCCCAGTCCCAATCTCCGAGCTCTAGAAGGTAAGTAGAAAGGAGAAGAAGGAAAGAACAGACCAGGCGCGGGGCACTCAATCGACCCCAGACCCAGACAGGCCTGAAGCTCGCCTCGAGTCGGAAGATATGTATGTACTGCCCGTTCGCTTAGCTTGGAGGGCAGAACACCCCCGTCGAGATGCGTCTGAACCTAGCAGATCGACACTCGCGTAACAGGCAGAGAGGCAGGGGTGCCACGCGCGCGCACACACTCATCTCACGGAACCGCTGTACCGACACATCTGCAGTACGCGTGGACGATATATCCGGGCAGGGATTCCTATTTCGTGATGTACCGCATTTTGACTCGCAAACGAACTCACTACATGGCTATTAGGTAGAAAACATACATATAGCCCCTCCATAGATTTGTGTCAATCGTGCATACCTCTCGCAACTGCGGTTAATTCCTGATCTGCCATCCCCGAGAGTTGAAAAAGTCACACTGCGCAGCCGCGTCAGGATCCGGTGTCGCGCTGATACTGTTATACGTGACGGCCTGGACCGTGAAGCCCACGCCCTCACCCTCCGCCGTCGAGCCCGGTGCGCCGGAGATGTAACTCGGCCAGTAGGGGGCGCCGGCAACACGCAACGGGTTCGGGTCGTGGAAGACGGTGAAGCTCACCCAGTAGCTGGTCATGATGTGTGCCAGCGTCAGGTTGTTCGCGCTGGGGTAGTTGGTCACGTTGGACGAGATGAAAGGGTTGGTGGCGCCGTGGAGCTCGCTCCCGGCGGCGAACGTGAGCTTGAACACCGCCGAGCTGTTGGAGAGTGAATCCACCATCGACGAGGCCATGTAGTAGGTCGGACAGTTGATAATAAAGTCCCCGAACCAGGTCTGGCGCTGGTAGAAGGTGCTGTTGAACTTACTGCGCGGATAGAGCGAGTAGAGGCGGGAGAAAAATGACGGCCCAGCGGAGGGGAAGAGATCTTCGGCCTGTTGTTAGGGGTGATGTGTCAGTAGCTGCAGATTAGGAAAATGGAAGAGAGGGCCCGGTCGAAACTCACATCTATCGTCTCGTCTATCTGAGACGTCTGCGTCATGTTGGAGAAAATATAGCCCTCGTAAGCGTCCCGGTTGGTGATCACGGGCACCCTGTAAAAGTTGCCTTTTGCAAATTCTTGGTCGGGGAGGTCGCGGATGAACTTGCCGTCCACCACTGGACCCCAGTAGTAGACGCCGTATGCATTGTCAGGTCCTGGGTACGTCGCATTTATCACTGCCTGGTTGAGGTTGCCCAGCGTAGCAGAAGACAGCCCTCGAAGACAATTGATATCCGAGCAGTTTGATAGCTTCAGAGCCGTGTTATACTGGGTGTTCTGCGTGCTCTTGTTGGCCAGGGGTTGCCACCAGGGATGGTCTGCAATTGCGGCCGCAAAGGGGGGAAAATCAGAACCGCTATTGGCGATCAGCTGGCACGATACACTGCCTCCACCAGCCGAACCTCCCCATATCGTGACCCGGCCTGGGTCACCACCAAAAGCACGGATGTTCCGCTGGACCCAATCCATGGCAGCTCGTTGATCGAGAAGGCCCGCATTCAGCGCTCCATTCTCAGCAATGGCATCCCCGCCCATGAACCCGAACATTCCCAAACGGTACTGGATACCCACATAGATGATGTTGCCGTCAGACCGGTTGACCAGGGCATCGCCCGGGTAGGAGAAGGGCGCGCTGCCGCCAACGTAGCCACCACCGTGGATGCTGGATTAGAATTTCCATAGTCAAAATCTGTATATCTGGATAGATTGGAATTGGATCACGCAAGACCAGCGAAGAGCCAGACCGACAGGCCACTGGATATCACTGGCCTCAGCTGTTAAAAAACTGGTCCAGAGAAATGCTACTTACGTGAAAAGTACAGGCAAGGCTGTGGAGACAGGCTTGGAAGGCACAAGGACGTCGAGAAGCAGACAGTCCTCTGATTGTCCTTGTGGTGCTGATGGAGTAGCATAAGTGGACCTCGCAGAGGATTGATAGCATGCAGGACCCAGAGTTGAAGCATTGATGGTCTGGCCGTTGTAGTTGTTCATATATTCGATAGGCACGGGTTTTGCCCAGCGTAGTTCGCCTGTGGGAGCGGCAGCATAACGGATGCCACGGTAGTAGTTGATGCCGGCGGTGGCATTCTGGTAGCCGCTGTATTTCACATAACCGAGATTGATGACGGGGACGGTAGAGGAAGAGTTCTGTGCCTCTGTGAACGTGCTGAGAAGAAGTACAGCTGCTACAACGGCTGGGATTTTCATGATTAGCAACAATGAAGACGTCTAAGTCGAGCCCTTGATTTATTCACAGGATGTAGGAGCACCGTTTAGTCGGAAATCACTCTTCTCCAAGACCGTTTTATGAGGTTCGTGGGCTCGAGCTCGACGTGGGATACTTGGAAAGCCATGGCGGGGAAGAATGAGCTCAGAGCTTGTTTCATGGCCAGCGGGTTGTTCTCCACCGACTTTTCACCTGCCGTCCTGCAGGTCACCAGATACAATTCGCGCAGGATGGAGATGTAAAGTTTGGCTTCTCGCAAAGAAGCGCACGAAGATTGAGGTGCCGGAGATAAAATGGGGAATTTCTGGGGTAATGCATTGGACTCACGTCGGAATATGGCCGGATGAACCTGTAATTGGAGGTTGCAAGAGGAGTAAAAAGAGGGAGACCAATTCTGCCTAATTCAGGAGATTCATGGTATTGGTGCCAGCCTCATTGCCCAGGAATGAGCGGGAAGCGGCACTTTGCAGGCTTTCGCCAAATGGACTGAGGGTACTTCATCCCCCGAATATTTGTGTCTGGCGGAACGGGTCGGCTATTGTGCCACCTAGACTAGGGGTCTTGCGAAGTCTGAAGACGCGAGGCACTCACACATGTATTCCGTCCTGATTTCCAGGATTCATCGTTGGACGTTGCACGCTGATATCACTTGTGCCCAGAGGTCGAGAGGCAGCACCAAAGCGAAACTGGTTCGGCCGGGGATGACATAGCTTTCAGATATTGAGAAAGTCGGTGAAGCAAACACCCTCAGCCGGTCAGGATGCGTTCGTGGCAAGGATGTGTCGTCAAGCACATTGATTCCCTTCGAAGATGTGTGCCTCGTCAAGCTCGTGTTGTTTGACGAGTTACGAGTGGCAGCTGTTGCCAGTGATCTTGGAAACGGATTAACCTTACTCCGCGATCCTATCGTATTCGGCAAGTTGGCCGGCCTATTACTCTGCGCCTGAAATCATTCAATCATACCTACCGAGTAGATATTACAACACGGTCCATACTGGTTGACAAAATACACAGAACTCGAAGTCGAACACAGCAAGCTCGAGCTTCTCTCTCCTTCATACTCGTGGACCAGGTGCTGTCTTCCCGAGCCGTCGGCTCGACTGCCTGACCGCACTCTCCCCCTTCCCCACCGCCACCGTGAATCGGCCATTTAGCCCGTGAGACTCCGAGAGTCGCACCCTATCTTGCTGCCGGGCTATCAACAAGTCAGTGCGGGGTTGTTCGGAGCAAGATTTGGTTTCTTGTTGCGATTTACGTTCAAGAGTGGCATATAATGCGATATTGCAGCCGAGTGCGTACACTCACAACTGAGCCTTCAAAGGTGCTTTGACGAGATCGAATGCCAGATCGATCTGGTTTTCCAGCCAGTCGTGAAGTGGACGATGAGATTTCTTGTCTCCAAGATGGACACTGAGTGCCGTCCAAGGGTCCGCTTGGATTGGCAACTGAATGTATAGGTTCAGTGGCGTCTGTCCTTGCGCTTCCCTTGCTGCAAACAATATCAGCAGTGACTTCTGGCTTTTGGCAGCATGCTGCCTACTGTCATCAACACCGCATTGACAAGCCGGCTTTGGCGCACTTGGGGTGAAAGACCTTGACGTCCTCCCGCCAAATGTATTGTGGTGTTAGGCGTGCTGTTTGAGAAAGTGTTTATCGCCAACAAGACCTTATCCGGGTCTCTACTAATTTCTGCGTGATTCAACTTTTGACTGGATATACGAAAAGCAAGAGAGAAAATCTCAGCAACACGGATCATGGCTCACTAAATATCCGTTTCATCAGATTGATCACTTCATCCCATTCTCTTCTCGGGCGCAGTGACAGAGATGCGCTCTGACCGAAATTGTTTTGCCACCCCAATCCTACCCCAATTCACAACTGAACCGGCACCACTTACTGCGTACACGAGCTTGACTGAGTGGGCATGCCGAACACCGGCTGGGTCGCAGGTACCTCATCGTCAGACCATGAGCGGTAAGTCAGTCATCGTGGCGAGGTGTTGACCCTGGCCATGCAAACCCGTCTTGGACATGACCTACCAACAGCAACCGATGAAAGGAGGACGCCCCAGGCTTCGACGTATCCAGCAGCATTGATCCTTTGAGGATCCCTATCTCCAGAAGTTCGGAAGACAGGACGATTGCGACTCCAGAGATAGTGTTGCAAAAGAAATTACAATCACACCGGGAAAATGGCCCACAATGAGCATGATGACGATAGCTGGACAATTGATAAGGGGTTGAGGCCAGTTTGGACAGAAAACAGGTTTTTGATATGGGGTTTTGTTGCCGTGCTGCGGACAAGGCAAAATCGAGTGGCCAAAATCTCACAACCTGCCGGTGGACACTGTCTCCGCAATTTGACCAGCTGACCTTGAAACAGAAGGGCATCGATATCCGGTCCTGAGGCTCAAGTCACGTGTTCTGCCCGGGATTTTGTCGCAGGTTGCAGCAGACATGGCGTCCAAGAGGGTTGCAATCTTGAGAAAACCGGTGAATGACAGAAGGTGAAGAGAATGGTACGCGTATACCTCCTGGCGGTGAGGATGGACGCCTCAACCTCGTCCCCTGCCATTGGATGCGTCACTACGCTCGCATTGGGAAAGGTCGCTTCGCTATCGGTCGGCAATCACCTTTCATCTCCTACCGGGTCCAGATGCATGAGGCTTTGGTCAGCTACTGTGCCCTGACCCCTGACTGCACTCCCCATTCCATTCCACGTCGAACTTGACCGGTCACTCACATGGAGACTCTGGACCTAGAACTGTGGTACCTGCAGGGGTCTCACACGTGGCACCCATGCGACTACCACCTCCGTCGAGGTTGGCGAGAAAAGCACCCCCTACCAGCTCGATTCGCTTCTTATGCTTCTTCTAGGCCCTGTCTTTGGCCGGTGCTTGATCAGCAGTCTCTCTTGTGCTATCAACGGTTTCTGAGCAAAGTGGTTCCTCAATCCTCAATCCTCAATGCCTGAGACCAGCTGACTGACTGATTGACTACCTAGGTACCCATCCAACCTACCTACCTCGCCCGTGAAAAGACTTGATTCTTTCAAATCAAGCTTTCTCCGGGCGGAGGCAGACGAGGCGCCAAAAAAGGTGTATGGAATTAGAGTGGTGAATGTGTTCTCCAAATTGTACACCAGTATTTCAAGATACTGGGTGTGTGTATGCAGCTACCTGTACATCAAGCCAGTCACGATAGCAAAGCCCAGATGTGCCGCCCACGCTGCCGTCCTTGTCCTGAAAACAGGACATCGAATAATTCATTTTTCCCGCTTTTCCTTCCTAGTAACTCCCTCCCGCCAGTCGAAGCAAGTGATGCTCCTCAGTCCATACATAGAATATTGTCCCGATCGACTTATCAACAGATGTTCCCCTGCTCAGTGCTCACAGACCCAAGTCCCTCTCAAAAGACCTCCTTCACGAGCATCTTCTTGTTGATTTTCCCCATCGCATTCCTCGGTATGCTCTCCACGACCTTCAACTCCTGCGGGATCTTGTAATTGACCAATTTATCCTTCAAGGCCCTGCGCATGTCCATCACTCCCCACTGCTTGCCTCCCCGCCCACCGCTTTTGCCTTTGTCGCTAAGAACCACGACCGCGGCGACCTTTTGACCCCATTGCTCGTTGGCAATGCCCACCACAGCGGCTTCAGCGATTTCGGGCAGCGAGAGAAGTTCCCGTTCAACCTCCAAGGCCGACACTTTTTCTCCCCCGGTTTTGATGATGTCGACGGATTTGCGGCCCCGAATGAAGTACATCGGCCCACGGGCCCAGGGGGATTGCTCGCTCTTGCCTGTTCCAGGGACGAGTTGGCGGACTGCCACGTCTCCTGTCTTGAACCAGTCTCCTTTTCCGTCCTCGGATTCGACGAATTCTGCCGCTGTGGCAGACGGGTTACGGAAATACTCCTTGAACACAGTGGGGCCACGGAGCTGAATTTCTCCTTCTTGCGGTTGACCGTCCTTATCCAGTTCTTGGCCCGCTTTTATCACACTGCCTGTCTCTGTATCGACAAGTCGTATCTCGACTCCCGGTAATGGCCACCCAACCGATCCGTCGACACGATCCTCAAATGCCAATCCGCAAGATAATGCCATGCCAACCTCCGTCATCCCGTAGCGCTCGAGAAGGACATTGCCACCTGAAAGCTCTGTCCAAGCTTGCTTTACCGGAGTAGGGAGGGCTGCAGAACCAGATATATTCAGTCGGAGGTAGCCAGGGGAAATCGCTGTGCGGGTCGCGGTCTGCATTTCTGGGGAGAGGGAGGAATGAGTCGCCAGAAGGCGGTTGTATATCGTCGGGACACATGTAAGAAAAGTTATCGGCCTTTTCTTTTGGTCTGGTAAAGGGGGGGAGGAGTTGGGGAGGAACGGCGCAGCGAGTCGCTTCCACACTGTGTCCGCGTTGAACGGGTATGCGAACTCGATTGCCGAGCCGGCCATTAGCGGAGTAAACAGTGCGTTGATCGTGCCATGGATATGGTGGAGTGGGAGAACGTGGAGGAGCAGGTCTGATGAGCTGTATTTCCATGCTGCGATCAGGGAACTCGATTGCGCCACCATATTGGCCACAGATAGAACCACGCCCTTGGGACGACTGGTGGTCCCAGAGGTGTAGAGCATGAATCCACCATGCTCAATGCTCTTGGAGCTGATCTGGACATTCTCGGCGGACAGAGCTCCGGTCTCAATCTTGGAGAGGATTCCCAGTTTTGGTACATGGTTCAGTCCTTCTTTTACCACCTCTTTTGCCTTCTCTTGGAACTTCTCCGTCGACAGGAATAGTGCGGCTTCGCTGTTCTCGAGGATGTATCGCAGCTCGGAACTCGGATGAGTATGCGCCAACGGGAGGGCGATTGCATCGTGGGAAAGAATTGAGAGGAACGTCACTTCGGGACCATTGTCAACATGGGCAGCACAGGAATTGCAGTTACTGGTGCCGCACCCACATAGTCATATCCGTTTTCCGCCAGAAAAGCTATTCTCTCACCCACCAGAGATCTGCCCCCAGCAAGAGCGGTCAAGTTGTCCTTTGCGGCAGCAACATCATGGAGGAGACTGCCGTAGCAGAAGGTACGGTCAGACGCGCTGTGTATTATCGCAGGAGATTTTGGATCGTGCTTGGCGATGGCTGCAAAGATGGGCGAGCAGGGGAGGGTGGATGCCATCCTGATCGAGAATCCTTGAAAGCTCTTGCATATCGTAGAGGAGAATCCGGAGGAGCTCGAGAGAGCTGTCCGCGGCGATGCAGCTCCTATACGGCCTCCAGCTCTTCTGAGCTGTGAGGTTGCCGCGTTGAAGAGGCGAGAGGTTGGAGGGGCAGGACCCATCCTGGAACCATTGTTGACCGTTGAACTCGCTCACCGAAGATACCGGGCTCGAGCACTAGTCTCGGAAGCAATCTAAGACAAGAAGAGGAAAGAGATCAGACACAGGTCCCGGATCATGGTGAAAATTATGAGGAGGGACGACGTTTGGAGAAGTTTAACATTTAATTTATTAAAACGCCTTCATGTGACGACATGCCCCAGTTTCAGCTACTTATCTTAACCACAATCCCGATGAAAGTTGCTGTAACTCCAGTGCGCCATTTTGCTGGTTTTCGGCCAGGATAACAAGGTCCCCCGCAGTTGCGATCGACTTGAGCATCTTATCGACATTGTTCTTCATTAGATTCGCTGGGCCGATGACCTGTGCGATCCTCTGCCATTCATTCCCCAACTGTGACCCGCATATCTGAGCTGCAAATGTTGATGTGACGACCAAGCATACCACCAGATGTACTACAAGTACAATCAACACAGCCATGAGCCCTTTCTGGCGTACCGGTAGGTTGACGTTGACGAAAAAGACTGCCCAACAGGACCTCTGACATTGAAGGCCGGCAAGTGGTCGTAGAAATCCAAGCTGACGAGCACCGTCAGGACGGATTGGACCGCACATGCGATACTGCCGCCATTGCGAATGATCTCTTGAAAGAGCAATGCATGTGAATTGTGTGGGTAGGTGAACATGCACTCCTTGGGAACGTCCTGCTGGTTCATCTAAAGCCGACATCGATCCCATTGACACTTCCATCTCCATCATATTGCATCCTCGATCTCGAATCTGACGAGAATCGAACATGTGGTCTCCCTTCCCTTCAAATCCAGCATGCGAATAAAGTTCCAGCCCGGGGACACATACAGCAACCTCACAGCAGCCACGGCAAAGATCGGATTTATGGCAAAACTGTCATCGCTCTTGATGAGCATCCGCAGGAACACCAGCTCATTGTCTTCGTACTCCCACAGCAGTACCTCGTCCCAGACAGGATCCGTGGTTGGGGGTTGTTCACCTCTGTGCAGCAGCCCGAGCTTGTGTTGTCTGTAGTGTGCCGTCTTACGCTTGGGGGCTTCATCGTCTTCGATGTCAGGGTGGTAGAGTTTGCAGGTCAAGTACGGCTTGATGTCACCAGGTTCACGCCCTTGTGGTACAGGTACATCCGTGGCTCCTGCGACATGGAGACGGAGTATCTTCTTCTTCCCGGTGTTGAGTCGGCCGGATCCTCCCGCTCGGAGGGCCGCTGGCTTCAAAACATACCCATCTGTGCCGCTGAATAGCGCCTCGTTCAGTTGGATACTTGCGCCGAAGGTCTGCCAATTGAGGGCACAGACTTGAGCACCAATACCCCAGAACTGCACCGGCTTGAGGTTCTGGGAAGAGATCCGCGTGCCCTTAGGATACACCCGCATCAGATGTCGGGCATTGTGGCGAGCAATGTTGGCGTTCTCCTTAGGCATAAGGGCCTTGAGGCCGGTTTCGGAGACATTGATGAGGTGATGATGGGGCCCATCCTTGAGCCCAGCTTCACCATACCATGAACTGTCGCGTGGTTTCACTGATTGAGCGTACACACCTAGCTCGGCGAGTTCAGGGATGATGATGCTGGGTGCAGCCTTCTTCTTCTCGTTGTAGGCCTTTCTGGCCTGTTTGATTTCTTCATCCTCGTCGCCTGAGTTGGAGTTTTCCTCCTCCTCACTCTTGGCTTCGTTGGGGAAATGGTATTCAACGATGAGAACAATTTTTGACCCAAGGTCCTCTACAGTCACCTGGTCGTCAGCGCCTTGCTGCTCGTCGTGCCCCTTTTGCCTGACGGCCTTGCTCAACAGCCTGTCGCCCCATACCTCTTTCATGATTTCGACGAGACGCAGTTGACCATGGGCATCGCAATGGTTCTCCAGAGACAGGAGAATGGGAGCTGCTCTGTATCCTGGCTGGGAGGAAGATTGACTAGCTTCCTGGTCAATGACGTCGCGGATCGTCTCGCAGACCGCTCGGAAAGGGATGTTCGAGACGAGCGTATAGCCATGCGTGACCTTGGGTTCGTCTTTGTTCTCCTCGCTGTCCCAGGCATCGATCTCTACACAGCGGGATCCGGTGTTGAGGGCGGTTCTGTAGGCATCGGCAGAAGAAGTGCCGTAGAGCTGATTAGCCAACAGGTAGGTGTTGTGACTGGAGCTGATGAAATATTCAGACAGTGGATAAGATCGGTCCGTGATATAGGATGGGACTTCAATATGTGGCTTGCTGACGAGCGCGCGTAGTGGCTCGGTGACCTGGTCTGGACTGTCTAGCGCAGCGTCTTGCTCCGAGATGACATTTTGCTGTACCAGGTACGCCTTGAGGGCATGGCTGACTCGGAGCTGATGCTTGGTGATTTCGGTTGCGCGCGAGCCACGACCACCGCCGGCAACTGTCGAGGCATCAATGACGTCGCCGGCGTCCTCGTTGTCGACTTTGCCATTCTTCTTCGAGAAGGGATTCAGCTTGGCCATGTGCGAGGCAAGGTGGGACGAGGTTGAGTCGGGCATGGTGGACAGGTAGAGAGAGCGTCAACTCGATGAGCACAGAGTAGAGTGACGAGCCTTGGGGTTAAGTGTTTTTCTAATGTCGAAGTCACCAGCGTGCCTCGCCAAACAAATAAGATCCCACGGCGACGCGTGTGAATGTCAGCTGAGGGACCAAGGAGGAGCAGAAGGATGTTCGGCTTATCCTAGTTGTATATTAGTCCTGTAACCATACAATCCTTCCAGAGCCTCACCGTGTTGAAGCGCCTTTTCTTTGTCTGTGATTCTCTGATGCTCCCAAACCCTTCTGGCACTCCTTGTACTGGTATGCATTAGGTAGGTCTTCCTCTCCCAGAGAGGTCGTCCAAGATAGCCGCCGTGGATAAGCCTCGTCACCCCTCCGAGTCGTGTGACGTACTACATGCGCCAGATGATCTACTGCTCCGACGTAGTAACTTCCATATATGATTCTACACTCCTCCCGACCGCTGCACCTTTGGCTACAGCCATTATTCAATCCAACATCCTCTTCAAGTTCTCCGCCCTCGCCAGCATTTCAGTCCACCAGCATTCAGGAGCGGTCTGGACAATAGCCAAATGAGGCGATATGTGACTGCTCGCGCCTCTCTTTGCCGTACACTATCGACAAGAAGGATGGCAAGCACCTCCGCCACGCCCGTGGAGGACACGATTCGAGCAAAGGTGAGTTTCAGATCCAGCCTCGTGGTCGTTGGGCCAAAGTCAGAAAACCGAAAAAGAGAAAGCTGTGGTGTTTTTGGAAAGTCTCAACCCCAATATAGCCCAGTCTTCATCCATATATCGAACACATCCCTTTCAGGTAGGTAGTATCTGACCCGGCCGAACCAGGTCACGGAAGCATTGAATCCCACCAGCCTCACGATCCGGAACGACTCGCATCTCCATTCCCACCACAAGGCCATGGCAGGCTCGACGTCCAAGGAGACGCATTTCTTGTGAGTTATCGATACTTCATCCATCTTCGCCCGCGCTTTCCCCTTCTCAAACTTGACGAAGAAACCCGCCTTACCTCCCACCATTGTCGCTGTTTACTCTACCTCAATTAACTATCTCATATCTTTCTCCGCTTGTACTAACAAATACACCACCCGGCAGTCTCGACATCACATCCCCATCCTTCCAATCGAAACCGCAACCGGCGCGGCACAGGATGATTTACTCACTCCTGAAAGAGGAGCTCGACCGGCCCGGCGGCATCCACGCTCTGCAACTCCGCACCAAGACGCCAGAGGAGGTTGAGAGGGAGCTTGCGAGGCGGAAGGACGCTCAAGGGGCGGCGGCCTGAATGTTCGACTTTGGTATTCCACTGCGCTTGGTCTGTCTTGGGTCTATTAGGATCCAGGGGCTCGGCTCACCCGGCTATTGACGCACACCATCGTGGTCCGTTTCTCAGCCGATCTCGTCTCTCAGAGATACGAGTAGATAGACACCTTTGCTCGACGGCCCCAAGACCTACCTGCCTTCCTACCTTCCAGCTTACCAGCTTACCAGCGTACGCACAAGAGTGAACACGTCCAACCGTCCAAACTACAGGGTACATAGGTACGCGGTTACATAGTTCCAGCCTCGACTAATCCAGTGTCGAGCATATTACCGAGAGTATATACTACATACACAATTCTCGTACTTCCCTACCTAGTTATCTATGCTGTACATATGTGCATGCTTAGGTATATAAGCCGTCCAAAGACAATAAAAAGACCTCGAGCTTGAGGATGGCGCCCTCATACATATTACACCGCATTCGTCCATATCCGTTTGGACAAGCCACGGAGTATGTCCGCGAGTGTGTCACTCAGCTCCTGTTGCTGTTGCTGCAAGCGGGTTAGGATATGGTCAGAAATCGGAGGAGAAAAACGAGCTACACGATTCATTCTACCGCTGCCCCGACTGCACACAAGACAAAGTAGATCCAGCAACTCCGTCGAAAAGAACTCGAAAAGGAATTATTAGCGGGTAGTGTGTATAGGTATCTAATGGGCGTTTTGATCCTGTACAGTGTCACCCAACCAACCAGCCCGAAATCCCTCCGTTGGCAGAAGGAATCGAAAACAGATAGATGAGCATTTTTGCGCCGGCTTTTTCTGCAAAAAAAAGGAACATATGAGATGCTGAAAACCCTTCCGACCACCTTCCTTTGCCCGCTCTAGTGCGCTCCCATCTTCCTCACGAATACGAGTCGTGTCGACTCTCGGGTGATCCAAAAACAAACAAAAAGAAGAGGCACATTGTGGTCTGTTTCACCAACGATAGATGCCGCCCACTCTTTCTGGACACATCATATCAAATGTAAACTTGCGAGAATTAAGTGCACCATGGAATCGCCAGTTTCACGTTTGTCACGATTCCTGTAGGTGACTGAGCATTGGTTTGTGATTCAGACGGTGGAGGACTGTTATCGCCGTCACCCTAATGATTATTCGTAACAGTAACAGCCACCGCCACGACCACAACAATAATGATGATGATGAGGACTAGACGAAGGTTAGCATGTTCAGGTTGACAGAGCCCAACGAAGACTCACCAATAATGCCCAAGCATATCCACTTCTTGCGGCGCGCAGCTCGGGCCTTGACGACCGCACCCTCAAGCTCAACATTTGCCTTGGCCACGTGTTCTGCAACTTGCTCGCCTTGCTCCTCGATCTGAGTGACTGCAGGCTCTTGCTGCACCACCAAAGCCTCGAGGTCTTGGAAGAGCTGGGCAAGCTCGATCATCTGTCGTTCAATCTTCTGGATGTCTTCGTGACGTTGAGAAACATTTCGCGCCACAGTTTGTGCTTCACCGCGTCGGTCGCTCTGGATCAATGCAGAAGAGAAGATTTGCTGGTTATTGGGGTCTTCCACGGCTTCACGCACTTCTGCGTCTGACGCGTCGGGGCGGACGATTCGGTATTGTCTGGCCATCTGTTCTTGAGACGCTTTTCGGAATTCCCGCTCGACCTGTTGGTATTGGTTGATCGCTGTCTTCAACCTCCGATCGACCTTGCCCACTTGCGGGGCATTGCGCGGGTTTCCGGATTCTGGTTGTTGCTTGATGCCCTTGACGCGGCTGACCAGACCGCGGTATTTTGTCATGATGGTCTCTCCGGTGCGGTCGACCTCCATGCGCAACGGCGACTGAGCAGATGTGTTCGTGTCAGCTAGGTATCGTGATTGAAGGCCCTTGAGACGCTGCAGGTCTGCCTCGATTTCATCGATGGCTTGGTCAACGGCCCGGCATTCATTGAGGATTCGGTTTGGGTCGGCGCCGTTCATGTTTCGCATTTCTGCAGAGGGTATGTTAGCCAGCAGTCACACACGAGGTATTGTCGAGCTTCGTGTACCATAACCGCCTTGCCGCTGTTCATCCTGAGCATAATAGCTGCTGCCTTGTTGCTGAGGCTCCGGGCGTTCGCTGTAGTTTCCCTGATTGCCATATGCTTCATTGTCATAGCCTCCTTGAGCGTATGGATTTCCAGCTTGTCCGTAGGGATTGTAGGTGCCGTAGCCCTGGTTGCCTTGTTGGTTGTTCTAATTGGACCGATGTAGATGTCAGCAGCAGTTCTCAAAAGGAGTGCAACGCAACGGTCATTGAATTCCATTGACTGCGCTTCAGGGGTTGATAGCAGGATAAGGCGACCCGATGTCTCTCAGGCGGGCAACTACATACGCTCATGATGCCAGAGAAATGAGACGGGTATTAAAGGCGTATAGGTGACGATAAAGGGTCAATCGGGGGCTCCCAGTAAGCGCGGAGAACCGTGGAACAGGAAACCTGGAGAGAAAGGAGGTCGACGCGCAGCGAACCCAGGTACGCGATACAAGACCGAAGAAAATGAGAAAGGAAGGAATAAAAGGAGGAGGATGAAAGTCTAAGATGGAGGTGGAATCAGCAGCGGCTGAATAGAAAATCTGAAAGAAGAAAAGGAACTTGGAGGTGTTTAGAGAGATGGCGGGCTGAGTGATCACAGCTGCGAGGAATCTGATCAGCTCGGGAACGGAGTTGGAAGGGAAGCGTGGGAAGGAAGCGGCGCGCGAGGGAGCGAGCTGCACTGCAGCCAAAGGCACCCTTGCGACCCTGGGGGTGCAATTATTCCGACGAGAATTCCATAGGGGAGCCTAAAGTGCCCCTCGGACCCTGCTACCCCTAGTAGGAGGGAGCTGCGTCCAGGCTTCAACCCCAAAAGGGTCTGGGCGTCCTATGTCCACTGCAGTGCCCCGTGCCCAGAGCGGCGCCTCAGGGCTTCGCGGCCTAGTGACTTTAAGCTGCCGACCTCTGACCTGCAGGTTGCGTGGTGGGGAATAAAATATACGAATCTTCCAACCTGACTGCGGCTGTGACTCTCCCACTGCTACCCGAACCATCCAAGAAGCCTTCACAGAGAAACGTCCATCGGCGACAGCATGATCATCACTGGTTCGTCTCTAACGCAGGTCAGCGCTTGACCCGTTCTGCCATGCCTATTCCGACCTCGTCCGGGATGAGATAATTTGATGGATTCTCAAGGACCTGGTAACCACTCTGACAAACCAGTGCCTCGCTAGAAGCCTGCATCGCATCTCACACCCAATCAAATCACCCCCAATCTTACTTTAGCCTGGGGAACGCTTTCCTCCTTCACCAGTGTTACCAATAACGCCTCAGGCTCCGAAAAAGAGATGGATCGGCTTGGTGGGGATAGTCACATCAGATATATGGTTTCAGCAGTTGCCTGAAGTTCTTGCCCTTGTTGGACACTGCTATAGAATTGTGGTGAATATGATTGTCGAGGACTCAGGCATAGCAGTTTTGCCGCAGCCACCATTGAGTCGCCGGAGTAAATCTCAACCCGCCCCACGATGATCCGTGTGGCATGATATAGGCACCGACCTTTGGATTCCAGCTGCCTGGAGCGAAAACCACATCTCGAAAGAGATTTTGACGGCCCCAATAATGGCCGGTCAGTGACAAGCTCTCAGCCACGACCCCCACACTGGTGCTAGAGCCTCGCTCCATCAGATCCACAGGGTCTCACAGGGGCGCAAGGCTGCGACATTAACGCCATGGACATTGGTTGGGCCGAGTCCATCACCACCTCTTTGATTCATCACCTCCCACCCATTCCTTATCCGTGTAACCAAGACGACGTTTGACATCTAGGACCGTCTCCTCGTCACCCATGTTCTTGCCAATATCGTCGGACAACTTGATTGCTGGTCTGCCACCCGCCTTGGACAATTTGATGACGATGTTCAATGGTTTGGATTTGGTTTCGGGGTCCGACTTGCGTCTAAAGTCGTTGGTGAAGAATGTGCCAACCCCGAAAGAAGGCTTGAACCCGAGGGCTTCTGCCAGTTCCCGGTACTCGATGCATTTTTCCACATTGAGTGAGTCTGAGAACACAATACTCTTACCGCCAACTCCTATAGAATTGTAGAATTTATCAGCGGCTTTGATATATTCTTTGGGATCCCCAGAGTCTTGTCTGACGCCTGCAAACACTTCAGCATAGTAAGGCTGATCCGTTGTCGGATGGCTTTCGTCAGTATAACCGGTCGATTCGTCCCGCGAGGCCGACGTCCGGGCCGGCGTCCGTTTCTTGAACGCCTTGAAGAAGTCGGGCGTGCCGAACGTATCTGTAAGTGCAATGCCTAGAACCCCCTTGCCGAAGCAGTCAAGCCAATACCGGAGGCCATTTTCATTAGCATGTTCGTAGTCATTGGTCAGGGCGGCGATCCCCATGTACCATTCGTGGGCCACTGTCCCAATAGGAGGTATGCTATACTTCATCGCAAAGTACACATTGCTCGTGCCCGACAGCTTCCCAGGCAGGTCCTTTTCATGTGAAGCTCTTACTAGACCTTTAATCACGAGGTCTTGGGTGTGGAAGTCGCGTCTTCTTCGAGAGCCGAACTCCGAAACGACGCAGCCTGCGCCGAACAACTGCACTCCCTTCCCGTATGCCCGCTCCTCTTGTCCGGTGTGATCCCAGTCCCTGTCAATGAACCTGAAGTATGCTTCGCTGGTCAAGGCAAGGAGGGGGATTTCGTACAGGGTTGTCTCGACCCATTGACCAGTGACAGTAATGTGGAGGTCTCCGTACGCTCCGTCGACCGGCTTGAAGTCGAGATGCACTTGCTCGGCGGGTCGGAGTCGAAACTTCTGGAGATAGTCCAAGTAATCGGAGGACAAGAAGGGACAGTGTTTTCTGAGATATTGCAACTCTTGCTGTTCCAGTGTAATGTTCCCCAACTTGGCAATCTGTTCTCTCAGCCAGGCGACGGCCTCTTGGTTCAATCGCATCTGCGGCGTGCGATTGGTGAACTTATATTCAACATCGACCGAAGGGAAGTACTTCAGGATCGCACATTGCATCGTCAGCTTGTAAAGGTCAGTGTCGAGGAAGGAGAAGACGCCTTCGGGCAGCTTTGGTTGTGCCATCTTGTCAAGCACGAGACCTGTCTCAACAAAGTCCACATCTGAGAGATGGAGGAAAGGCTATATCGGTTTGCAGGCGGGCTTCTTATATACAGCCTTCCAGAAAGCGAAAGCGCGTGTCCGTAGCACAGGGTCTGACAGATGGTGCAGGGACAATGTGAGAGTCTGATATCAGACTGGATGAACTTTGTCCCCAAAGACGGTACAGTGACATAATAATAATGTGCTCCGAGTCGATAAAGAACCCACAGCTGTTTAGCCGATCGCCCAGATTGTCGCTGTTCCCCGCGCATTGATACTCCTCGATTTTGACTTTATCCGTGCCTTCCAGAAGCCATGAGTTTAACGAAATTTCAACGACCCGTGACTGACAGACCTTTTGAGGTCTTTTGGGAATGTGTTATCTGTCAATTCCATGGGGCTCAGAACCGAGAATGCTCGACCGTGGGCCCCTTCTTCGTCGACGTAACTTGCGCACGCTGCAGCTTTCTGACCCAACTCAATGTCAGCGCCAGTATGCCGAACCCGCCTCGCCACATCTTGGTCAGGGACAGTATGCTGGACCTAGACAAATTACATGGGAGATATTGTGAGATATTGTCTGGATTGAGGCTGAGTCACCAGTTTTCCCCATGGCTGACTCGCCGCATCGTGGATGAGCGTCTCACCACCGTGCTTCACCAGTCTTTCCGAATTTGGGTATATTCAAATGCCACCATACCTCAGCAATGTTCTTACGTCGTCGTGCCTTAGCTCAAGCCGTACAAGGAACTTGAAGTCATGGTCGAGACTTTCACCCCAAAGACCTTACTAGTAATGGTCAGCGTGCCAGTACCGGCTGTCAGGCCAGCCTGACTCAAGTGTGCTTCTCTAGCTTCTTCCCGCACTAGACAGCTACGGGGGTGTATCCAATGAGCTACAAGGGGTGTATCCCAACCAGCAAGAGAATAGCCCCGGGGCTCCCAGGGAGTCCAAAAGCAAGTGATGCAGTTCGCCACTGAACTTGAGCTTCTTGGTCTCTAAGCAGGTACTGGGTAGTGACGGATGGCTGAAGAGTGCTGTTGTTGGTCGAATTCAGGCGAAGAGACACGTACCGATACTGTAAAAGCTGGGGGATCGGGATTTGCTTTCCCCAGTCCTCGTGAGAAATGACCCATTTCATATATGCGCATACTGTCACCAGTCCCCTCAGAGACCCTGCTCGCAGCAGCCATGGCTTCTTGTAGTTTCTCCTCCAGAGCCTCGGAATTGCACCCCTGTCTACTGCCTCAATTTGCTGATTTGCGGGCAAGGGGGATGTGCTGGAGGCACGGCACACCACTAGACTCCTGATTGCTTCGCATCGCAGACCAACCCATTCATGCTGCCGTTACCAGGCGCAGGGCGCACTGTATTCGCGCCATTGGACACACCAGTGTACCGGTTACTTGGGAGGTGCCGACGTAGAGGCATAAGTTGCTGGGATTCCCTCCATAATTCTCTTTCTCTCTCTTCACGCAGATTTCCCTCTCCAGTGCCTCGTTCTCAACTCGCCTCATTCGATCCATTTGCTGGCCCTCTTCAGCCGTTCACACTCCCTCTTACTCCTGGTCTCACCATCATGGCGGCAGCACCCAGTACACGTCTCGCAGATGACAAGAGCACCCACAAGAGCATGGCTGTCTCGTGCACGGGAGTTGATGATGCTGGTGCAGCTGGGGTGGGCGGTGCAGGTCGGTTCCCAGCACAGCTTTCTTACCTGGGATCATGATTCTGAAGCTTCTCAGATTTCGCCACGGCTGGCGTGGCCAGCGCTCTTCTTCGCTTTACCAACTCTCCACCCCAGAGCGATCCATGGCACCCCCAGCGGGCTGATCCAAGGCACCTCAACCATCTTATTGCCGAAGTCGACGGTATCCTGTCAGCAATCAAGGAGCCGGGCGCAAGGTACTGACCTTTCTGCTCGACCTCACCGGCTTTTCATTGTGGCCTTGAATTTGATTGGGCGGTGCCTGTGTTGTTACAATGAACGAGGGCATCCGGAGTGTTGACTTCCTAGGATTCTTGTATTTCTTTAAAGGTGGCTTTATTACCCCGCATGGGCTTTTCGCGTGCCCCTCTCGACCACAGGACTGGCCCATCCTCCTCAAAATCGTGGTGTTGATGGTCAATTGCGGTCGTTGTACGGTCGCCACGCAATCTCGGTGGCAGTGATATTTCCACAGAGCGCTGGCTGTTCTGCCATCATTATGATGATAAAGTTGCAGCATGATCATGTAATACACGATGAGTGTTGGAATATGTGTTTTGAAGTGATTTCGAGGCGATGTTGACACTATTGTCATGTTGTGTTTTGAGGTCGGGGGTTGCAAACCGTGGAAGTTATGGGGTGTGAGGTGGGTGCGGGTAAGAGAGGCGAATCTTGATCTTCGCCACAGCTTTTGGGGACGCCGTGTAGTACCTTGTAATAGGGTGCCAGGCAATGGCTGCCTTTCTGCCAGTTTGGCGCCGACCACTTGAAACGCTACCTACTGCTGGAACACAGCCTCCGCCCACATCTGATGTGCTGGCAATCGGGCTGGATGCCTCGCCATGCCCGATGTTCGCTTAAAGCTCGGCGCCAAGACGGTATTTAACTGGCGAGCTGGTCACTGACTCCCTGGCAGGCTCTTTACCACTCGAAAGTTTACGCGCCTGCATGTCACTCAACCTCGATATAATTTCATGAGTCTAGTACCATCATATTCGCCGATATTAGAGGAGTTCATAGTACTAGTCATAGCCTAATATGCTCAGTGGTGCAAAAGTTGTAGAGCGAGATGTCTCTTACCGCAATATCTCCAGGTTAGTCATTGAGCCGAACCTGGCCGACCACCCACCGGCGAGCGCCACGAGTACTCGGGACAGAGTACATTATTGCGCTTCCCAACACTGTCTAATTCAGTATTACCCTCCATCATTCTGCCAACTCCCTACCGAACTGCTTCAGAGTGTCACCACCACCTTCGACCCCGAAACCCCGGCCCGCAACTTCTCGACAGCGCCCTGAATATGCTCGACACCGTGCCCGACGACATCCGACGACGGTGCCGGCTTGATCGTACCCTGCTCGAGCGCCCGCGGCAGGAATTCTCCGTATATTGCCTTTCCAAGAGCCTTGTCCTGTTGGAGGATAGTTACAGCGTAGACTGTTGCATACAATCTTAGTACACGGAACAAAATGAAGGCATTGTGTCGTGTGGGGACTTACTGCCGCTGGCTTGCACAGTCGCTGGGAGCTCCTCGATGGGCGGCAGCACCACCGTCATCTTCCCTCCCCCGAGCTGGGCAAGGACCTGCGCGACGTTCAATTGCGTATCTCTCTTCGCAGCAGCTACAGGGAAAACTTCCATCAGTGTCTGAGGAAATCCAGTGATAGGATTGTAGTATCAAAACTTACCATCGAAAGCGCCTCGACAAGTATACTGCTGCATCGCCGCCGTCAAGTCTCCCACGATGCCTGGACTCGAGTGGTCAAACACCTCGCTCGCGCCCAGCTTCTTGCACAGGTCAAAATTCCGTGGCGAAGCTGTCGTTATAACTTTATACTTGGCGGCCACCGCCAGCTGTATGGCGGCGGTACCGACGCTAGAACTGCCTCCCCAGATGAGGATCGCCTCCCCCTCAGGGTAGTCCGTCTCCGTCGCGTCCTGGGGAGTCCTTAGACCTAACCTCCCCTCATGGAACAGGCCAATAGCCGCAGTGGAGATGGCCAGCGGGAGAACGCAGGCCTCTTCATATTGCATTCCATCTGGAATCACGCAGCACCCCACGGTCGGAACCACTGTGTACTCCTGAAACCCGCCATGCCGGGGCTCACCGGTAGCCAGACCAACAGCGTGGGCGAGCACCCTCTGTCCCTTCTTGAATTGCGTGACACCTTCGCCAACCTCGACGATGTCGCCGGAGACGTCATTGCCGAGGATCTTGGGCAGTGGGCCGGCTGGATAGGCGCCGTACTGTATCATCCAGTCAATAGGATTCATGGCGACGGCGCGGTTCTTGACGAGCACTTCGCCCGGGCCCGGGTGGCCGATCTCAGAGGGACCAACTTGGAGCGGCGAATTGACTTCGCGGAGCCATGCGGCGTGGTTCGTGGGTGCCATTGGCGAGCCTTTCGTCGTGTGTGATTCCTACGTAATGTCTTCGACGATTTGGGAGGAAGTCAGATACCCGCTTGGAGAAAGGGATTAAACAATACTAGGATAGTCCTGGTATACCTATGGAATCGAGTTATAAATTTGTAAAATATCAAACACGAGAGGATGTATACTCAGGTACCCAGGCATCTCCACAAAATAAGGCACGCAGAATGGCCGGGCCTGACATCATCCCTCACGACAACATGGAGTAACTGCCGAGTGCTGGCTCGCTAGTACCTAGCAGCCTTCGCTGCATTGGCAGGTATTTCATGACAGGCATACATGGGTTCACTTTTGTTAAACTCCATACTTGCTGAATATATCATCATTCGGGAATTGAGTCGAGTTATGATACCAGATAATGAGATCGATTTATCTTTGGGGCATACCTATTCGTGTATGACCGAGATGGAGTATGTCCGAGTTGAGTGACTGGATAGAAGCGTCTAAGGCTTCCAGCGCCCCTTGAGACTGCAGCGTGCCATCATGTAGCCCTGCAAACACCATAGAGCGGATTGCATCGCCTGCCGGTCTGGGGAGAATACCCAATCGAATGGACCTTGGGAAGAATGTACATTTTCAACTTCGGTACCTTTGATCGAGCCGCCAACTCCGAAAGTCGTGACTGGGAAAGAATGCACCATGTACCCTGGTGTTTGGCATGCTGTTAAGACAAGCACAGATTAGTAGACTGAAGTGCAGTGACCGACTGAAGCAGATCATGGTGGTATTGCACAGCCACGGTTGGCACGGATGTGCAAGGATCCTGATAGGCGATTGGGGTAGTCGCCAAATTACATCTTGTCGATCCACCCTCCGATCAGCATAACACTTGTGCCTTCTTGATGCATTTGAGTTGAATCGAGGGTGGGATAGGGAGATTCACTCCAGGCTATGTTGGTCCCGGCGTGGTCGGTGACCAGAGTGTGGTGCACAGGAGCATCTTCGTCCACAAAGCATGCGGCTGTCGTAGGAAAGATGAAGCTCAAGAGTCAAGGGGACCCTTATTATGAGACGGACGGCGCCAGATGCCGCAGATGGAGCACCAGCGAGCCAGGTGGGAGGAGGTGGAGGAGCTTTGGTGAAGGATAAAGGAGGAAGATGGTTGGGTGACGATGCACAGGGGGACGAGAGTCAGGGAGCTCCATCATTGGCGCATTGCGAACTGGGCGTCGCCCCTTTTCCTGGATTGGCTGGACGACGCGTTTCATCTTCTCTCTCCATCCTCCGTCGTCTTGCAGCGAGAGATGCTCTGAGTCTCTGATAGACCCTCTCTCGCGTCCTCTCATTCAACCTCTCCTTCTCCTCCTCGTCGAGCCACACTCTTGTCGTGTCGCCCGTTGCCGCTCTTTTTGCCCTTCAGTCTCTCTTTTTGCCAACTCGCCGTCGCGCTGTGCTGCGACGTGCCATCACATTCATTTACCATTAACAATTGTGTTTTGCATACAACCACGGGGAGTCCGAGCTTCGACGAATTCCCTGCATCACTTCACCCGTCACTGGCAAGACTCGGTGTCACCAATCCACTCTTGAGCAAGACCTGTCTCTGCTCTGATCTACTCTTTGTCCTTTAGAGAGTCCTTAACGGGCAATAGATCCATTTACAGCCATGTATTCGCTCAAGACCACCTCTGTCGTCCTCCTCTCCCTCCTCACCACCGCTCTCGCCCAGACCTTCACATCATGCAATCCCTTGGTCCGGACAGACTGCCCGCCCAATACTGCGCTAGGTGTCGCGAATTACTCCATCGATTTCACCGAGTATACCATGTCAGACAAGGTGTGGAATGTCACCGCTGACGCCATCAACTACGGAGATGACGGCGCCGAGTTCACAATCAGCCAGCGTGGCCAGTCCCCCACGGTGCAGACAAACTTTTATCTTTTCTTTGGTCAGGTCGAGGTTATCATGAAAGCCGCCAAGGGCCAAGGCATAGTGTCCTCGATGGTTTTGCAATCGATGGATCTGGATGAGGTGGACTGGGAATTTATTGGGGGAAACAATTCATACGTCGAGACCAATTTCTTCAGCAAGGGCAACCAGACCGACTACGGCAACGCCATCTGGTATCCCGTCAATGATCCTCAAAATGAGTGGCACAACTACACATTGGACTGGTCACACGAAAAGCTTGACTGGATCATCGACGGAACCATCATTCGCACTCTGACATATGACGAGGCCGACAACGGTCTCAAATTCCCCCAGACCCCTTGCGACCTCAGACTCGGCATTTGGGCCGGTGGTGATCCCAAGGAGCCGGAGGGGACCATTCAATGGGCTGGTGGAGAGACCAACTATGATGATGTTCCCTTCACCATGGCAGTCAAGTCTGTCAGAGTATCAGATGCTAGCAGAGGTACTCAATACGTCTATGGCGATACCTCCGGGAGCTGGCAGAGTATCAAGATTCTCAAGTATACACCTCCCCTGCCCCTACGCTCATACTTGGAAGCCAGAACTAACCATTTCTACCAGCAACACCAAACCCATCCAACTCGACGGCGAAAACAGCGAGTCCAGCTCACAATCCGTGGAACAGAAATGGAACGGCCTGCCCCAGAGGACCAAGTACATCATCATCGGCGTCGTTTGCGGGGTTGTGGCCCTCTGCATCCTCATCTTCGCCTTCTGCTGCATCCGCCAGCGCCGCGCGGGTAAACACGAGAAACTCGTCGAGGACGCCAAGTACGAAAAGATCACCGCCGAGGTCATGGCGTACCGCGCGGATATGTCGAGAATGCGCTCCGAGCAGAAGATGATGGGAGTCAGCGTCCAACATGTCAGCCCCGTGAGTCCCATGATGGGCCACGCGGGAGCTTCATTCCCGGGATATGGTCAGGCGTCGCCCATGATGGGTGGCGGCGCGAGGAGCCCGAACCCTGGCTACGGGTATGCGAACAGTGGATATTCGAGAGGTTATCAGAAATATTGATGGGACGGGAGGGTCGTCGAAAGCGCAGGCAGGCGGTGATATCTGGAACTGAAAGGAATCAGAGTCCCAGCAGTTCGTTGTAAGATAATGAGGATTGGACAAGATGAGTGGAAAGCGGAAGTTATTAACTGCATTTTCATTTTTTGAGCTTTCGGCTCTCGCCGGCCCCAGTGTTCATTGTTTGTACAGCTCATGATGTTCAATTTGCTCATGTTTCTCTCGTTCTAGGGTTTTCAACTCCACCCTTCCACCCTTCCACCCGTTCAAAGGCCCATGTTGGCCATATTGCGCTCTAGCTGCGCAGTCTCCTTGCCCGACTCCTTTGCGTCCTTGGAGTCTTTCTTGCCCAAGCGCATCATCTGGCTCAGCTTGGTCTTGACGCCCTTTCCGGCCGCATTGTTGTTACTGGTGCTCGGTTCCTCTGGAACCACCTTCCCACCCTTCAAGGTCACCAGCTTGACCTCCCCTGGCTTGACGACTCTGGCGATCATGGGTTGGGGGCGTGGTTTTGGCTTTGGACTGTTGACTTTGACGACAGACCGCATGTCGTCGGGCAAGTAGAAGCCAGTGTCGATGCATTGTCCGAGGAAGGTGAGCTCGACGAGTTTGTGTGGGTCGAACCAGCGGAAGAACGGGCCGGCGTCGATGGCGAAGTTCATCAGGGTGAGATGGCTGATGGGGAGGTAACGCATGTTTTCGACGGGAAGGGTTTCGACAATGTCAATCTGGGCTTGCTTCATGGCCTGCTGGTCGAGGTACTCGCCATCGCCAAACTCTTGGTGCAAGATGCCCTTGCCGTGAGAACCGAGATATTCGGCATCGACTTCGACTTGTCGGTCGGATGATGTGGGATTGTAGGACCATTTCTCATCGATCTTGAGGTACTTGAGCTTGCAGTCTTCGTTCATTTCCGGTTCGAGCGCCATTTCCAAGTGGAGCTTTGTGAGGTTCTTGTTCACCCAGCAGGTGGCCCAGATGATGGGTTGGTAGGATCGCATCATGCCGTTCAGCTGGAGGTAGTGGAGGTTGTGGAAGGTCTGGAGAGGCTTGAGGTCCTTGAATGGGAACACTCCCTTGTCGTCGCCGTCGCTGTTTTCTTCGTCTTCATCATCGTCGTCGTCGATCTCATCCAACTTGATCGGCCAAAACAGGTCGAGATTGAGGATAGGACGATCTTTGTCCAGATGGCGCCAGAGTTGGGGACGGAAATTGACGATGGGCTTGTTGAACCCGCCTACGTCGACACTTGACGCCGGTGAGTCCATGGCTACTTGGGTAGATGATGTGGAAGGAGATAGGAGATTGACATACAGAAGTGTGGCCAGATTGGAATCAGCCTCAGTTTGGAACGAAAATTTGGAGAGCTTGCGACCATGACCATACTGCCGGACCCTTCCAGGAGAGGTCGTCGCGTTGTCATTAGCGCGCTTCCCTTTCTTTCCTGGCGATTCTGCCAGTTGTTTGTCCAAAAGTGAATGTGGGCTTCTGGTCGTGGTCGCCGCTGTACCAAACGGGGTCTTCTTGCTTGGAGTCAGTTCCTTTGTTGCCTGACTCTGACTCTCCTTGCCAGGGGTGTTTGTCATTGTCTCAGGCTGTGGAAGCTCTTTCATCACATCAACTTGTCCTCGGCCTGAACCTCTGAACGGTGTACCTGTTGAGTAAGGGGAGGGCAGCGGTCGTGAGAAGTTGGGGGTGCGTGCAGAGGAAGGTGCCATGATGGGCGACAAACAACGATGGCCGGTAAAGAAAGCTTCACAGGTTTGTTGGCATGAAAGAGCGAACAAGAGCAGACAGACATTCTGAGTTGCGCCGACATGATCTTGAAGTTCTTGAAGCAATATTGGGGAGCGTTGAGTCCCTCATGTGCGACGACCGCTGAGGAGCGTTCGCCCTTCGAGGCGCGCAAGCGCAGCCACCTCTGCTCAATCCACCATTTCCAACGACGTCGATCGACAAAGTTGTCATGACCATCCTGGACTCTTTCAAAGACCGTCAGTGTCTCGGTTCTTCTCACATCCTCTAGAGTTATTCCACCAGAGTGGTCTTCCATAGCTGCATCCGACCCAGCACGCTATTGAGGATCCAGATACCGTCAGGAAGTTTCTTACAATATCTCCTGTTTTCAAGCCTATCCGCAGAGAGTGTGTCTAGTAAGCGAGGGAGCAGTAAGCACCGGGGCGCGACTTGCTAACATGAATACTCACAAAGGACCACTAGGACAGAAACCAACGTACCGCTTGGGGCGACTCTAAAATTCGACCAATCACGATTTTTTTTCACCTCTCCTCGAGGAGAGGTGAAAAAAAATCGTGATTGGTCGAAACCCTGAACCTTACTACAAGTTGCTGCCCAGGTGAAAACCTACATAGGTACCTAGGTAGGTATGGTTATCATGGAACTCCCAGCATTGCCAACACCACATCATCGGTACCTTCCTCTGCATTCACGTCGCCGATATATCCGAGCCAGCCATTTCCCATCTTGGCACATGCAACAGGAGTCTCTGACGTTGGCACAGGCGCAGCGGGAAATACATGAGATTCTGTCACCGAGTCATTGGTCGGCAGATACCACGCTGCGGTTTTGTCGACATCTGCGAGGAAGACGGCTTTTTGGCTGTACGAGGATGGTACCCTACCAGTTGGCACTTTTTCTGCGGTTTGATTTAGAGTGACAGTGGTGCGATGATAGGAGCCCTGCTTCCAGGGGAGATTCCACTTCTTGTTGAAGTAGCCGCGCAGATCACTCGGGCGTATGGTGGAGCTAAACGCGCAGCCTAGGACGACTGTACCGCCGTTACGAGCGAACTCGACGAGCTTATCCGACACGATGCGGTTTCGGGGGGTGACAATGCTGGAGTTTCCGTCACAAATATTGCTTCGGCTTTGCTATCCCCGTTGATCAAGTCGAGAGCCTCTTGAGTATTCCAAGCTTCTTTGACCGTTGCCTTCTGTTCTATTTTCTGCATCAAACGACCATAGAGGTCCTGAAAGATAGCCTGTTGCAATCCTTCGCCAAGGGAGAAAACGAGGATGACCGGGGCTTGCTGCGACATTGTTGCGGTCAGGGTCGTATGAGAGAGCTGTTGGAGAGGTAAGACCTTGGCTTTGTGTACTGGACAATCTTCCGTGCTTTACGAGAGGTAGCGGATTGTGAGTACGAATGAAGCCTAATAGCCTGGCATTTGTCTCATTTACATGACCACAAAACAAGTAGGACGGGATGAGAAGGTACACTGGCAAGAGCCATTAATACACTTTGTACCCCGGACTAGGTCGGCATCACGCTAGGCCGGAAGCAGGTTACCGCAGTTTTCCCTTGGATTGGCTTTCTGTGACGCGCTTCGTGGCTTGTCCAGGCAACTCGCAATTACCTACCAACTGAAGAGTGTTCGAAGTAGACTCCTGTTAGTTTCGACAGGCTGAATATGCTCTCACAAGGGACGGCCCTGCTCCGCAGCTGCAGCCATGGCTCCCATCCGTCGCTACCTGCGGATCAGCAAACATTCCGTTCTTGAGTGCCGCATCTTCCTTGAGAATCCAGCCGATGAACCAAGGTGGCTCTTGAACGAGAGAGACCCCGCCCTCCCGCGAGTTTTTGAGGCTGTCAAACCCTACGTCTTGCCGAAGCTACGGGAAGAGAACGAGCGGGCGCGAGGTAAAGGCAAAAAGAAGAAGAGTGTCAAAGATGTGGTTCAACAAGGTGATTGCACTGTTTCCAAGTTTTCAAGACCTTCACTCTGACCGGGCGCATCCAGATGACTTCGAGGTTTCCATCTTCCTCACCGAGACCAGGACCCGTCACTGCCTTCTGGTCAAGAACAAGACATTCAAGCAAAAGGACCCAATGAAGAGCAACAACGGCAACAGGCTGACTGGAGCCGAACATGACACTGTAATGGTTCAGGATGAGAGTGATGACGAGAATGTCAATCTAAACGATATACCGGCTGCCGAAGAGGGGGAAGAGAGTCACGGTGATCCAAGTCACCTTGACGCTGGAGGGGAAGATGACGATAAGAAGAAGCTAGGTTTTAACACCACATACGATGGATTCAGCATCTGGGGCTGGGTGCTATGCCTTTTTGTTGAGCGTAAAGGTGGTCTTAGCAAGAAGGCTCCCGGGATCCAAGGCAGTTCGCAGGCACTCATGCAAGACTGGATCCAATCAACCCAGGAGCAAAAGGACGATGATTCGTGATATTCGCCTCTCGGCGAGCCGCGGAATTTGATTCACCGCGCCCACAATGGAAGTCCTTGCAGAGTCCCCATGGGCCATGGCGCCAACTTGTGGCACCCACGTGGTCAAAATGGGTTGAAGGATGCTACCGAGAAGGATACCACTCTTCAAGACCAGCAGAATGAGATAGACATGGCGCCCCTTATCTCGCATCCTGCATTTTTCAAAGCACAGGTACGATAAAATAGCAGCCGGCGTTACCGGGGTTGGCTGGCTGTGAACCAATATTTGATGCAGATGGGATGGTGCCGCATCGTTTTGGCTTGCAGGACCTCGCAGGCCGACGCACACTTTACGAACAGCCGTTGTGTGCAACTTGGGTCAGGCTACACCACGGGAAATTGAACTCCTGAGCGCATTGTTCCAGAAGCACTCGGTCCGCCTGCGGTGTCGCATCAACCCAGCGCCAAGTGTGATAAATCAGTGATACGAACAGTTTGGGCCCATTTGGTGGCTTTTTGTGGTTCAGGTCCCACTTGACTGCATGTCGTGGCGCTCGTTCACGCAATTTCCACGTGGTTGTGGCTGCCCCTTTTTCTCCTCGAAAAGCTGAACCCTGCATGATGCATGGTTGGGGGCGTTACCTTTGTATCAAGGTCCGCGGCCAGACCCGTTCCTTCTCATTCCAGGTCGCATATACACGAGGAGGTGGCGCACATGAGACCCGAGGACGAAGTGAACACAATGCAGGATTAAGTGCAGGATGGAACGGATGCGACGGCTCCCCGTCACCAATTGATAAGCCGCCAGCCTCATGGTGCAGTCGTCGCAAGAAGAATTTATCAGCACATGCTATATGCTTCCTACAGTGCCTAGACAAGACCCTAACATGCTCATCTCCGCAGAGACTTCTTTGGATAGCCCGGCCAGAACAAGGTATACTTGTTTTAGATACAAACGATCCAGGCCGCGGCGATGATTAACTACAGCACAGAGTACGACAACTAGTGGTACCACGCGCATGGTTGACGAAGCCCACGGTGGGGTGTCAGATTTCTCTGTTCATAAGCGGGATGACCCGGTAGCTCTTTTGAGACTGCTGCAGTCAAGTGTTGAAGTCGCAACAGTCCAGCTGAATAATGGCGTCGAGCGGGCGTCGGCCGCAAAGGCAACAGTGACAATGGTCAGGGAAATTGCCGCGGGGCTTCGGGGGTTGATGCTCGTCTGATCTGAAAATGGTTCTAGAGGCTAGCCACGAAACAGCAACTGCATGGAATCCAATGCCAGATTCGAGAAGCGAGCAAATAATACAGCCAGCCACCAAATCTCTCTAGCTTCCAGCTTCAACTTCTTGGGTACCTTGGGTACCTACTACCCAGTCCAAATACGAGTAGCTGGCCTTTAGCGAGTGGCCACCACGAGGAAACAGCTTCCCCATGCGCTCAGTTGAGTGTATGCGCCGGCGTCACGCCACGGATATTTCCAGAGGGCGTCCACGGGCATGGCATGCATCAGAATACGAAGTACAGGGACTGTGACCCAAGATAGGTGCTCGCTCCGTAGCGAAGAGACGAGAGAGGAACGCCTCCCCGCGCCGAGAATACTACTGAGTGCCGAGCTGGCGGGATTGTGCTACGGTGACCGACACATTTTTTGAGGCACTACGAAGTACTCTGTGCGAGGTACTCACTGCTCTGATGGCACCCAGATGGCGCAGATGGTCATCGTAAGTCATGACGACACAGTCACACACAAACTTCTCACGCATAGTTAGTGCTGCGAAAAATGAAAGCCTTTTGTGGCCATCGCCAGATTGCCTCACTCAGGAGCCAACATGAAACACACTACTCGATCCAAACTTTTCCCGCCTTCAGCTGCGTTGTTTGTCAAAACTTGGGGGGTGGCAAAATAACTGCCTCGCTGCCTGCAGTGCCTGCTGATCCAGGGGTAAAAAGAAGGATCTTCAGGAACCCGCTGACCACCACCACCGCCGCCGCCACCACCATCACCAACCATCAGAAAATCATTCAGCGAGACGCAGGCCTGACAATTAGAGCTTGAAGCTCGCTGATGATCCGAACATCATCACATCACCCAAAGCTTCTTTGAAACAGACCGTTGAAGAAGAGGGGTATTAGGAGGAGTCCTATGACTGCATACCGTAATCGACGCTGTACCTGAAGCACGCAGTATGGATTCTCGCTTGCGAGTAATCGTGTTCGGTGCTCACTGCTCACTGCCTGAACTACCTACCTAGGGATACATGCAGGGTACCCAATCCACCAACTATGGATAGAACCTGTCACCCTTGGTGACCGGTGAGCTGGTTACATCCAATCCAAGCGCGCGCTTGGCCACGATTTGAAACATGTCCTCCGCGTGACAAGTCCTAACCGAGCGAACCTCAAAAAGACCATCTTCGATCGCTTTACATAGGGCGAACGGCTGCAAGCTGAGCTTGAAAATGGAAGTTGCCGGAGACCGCAGTGATGGGTTTCTTGCAGGAAGCGTGCCTTGGCCGACAAATCAGGCCCATGGGAATTAGCCTCTCTATCCGACCAGGTCCGCATTCAGCATCCTTCAGAGCACTTGCACCGGCTGAAGGCAGGGCCGGACGCACCAATTGCATCCCATCTGACAGGCACCAAGCGGCATAGTAGTGACTCGTAGGCCAAGGGAAGAACACGGCTTCCAAGGCTTATACGGATCACGGGGTGCACCGCTGACCAGACGGCTCGTATGCTTTGGGGACTGCGATTCCCGGATTTCTTGATGGAGGTACGGGAACAACCATTTGTGGCACTGTCAGAGTGGACATACACACCATCATGGCATACGTTGAAGGCCACGTTGCTCTCTACCGCCAATGAGCACGGTGTTCCCGGTAAGGTGAAACCGGAAGTTAGGAGTGAAAGAACCAGCTCGCCAGGTACCGACGTCCCAACAGTCCCAGCTTCTGGCATCCGCACAACTCGTACTCGGGCTAAAGGGCAACTCGGCACAGGAGGACACCCACACCGCTGAAGACAAGCGGCTGCTGGCACCGTGCGAGGTGCTCAGAGCAGAACAATCCCTTCCCGTTCGGGATATAGTTACGGGTCGTTCGAATGTCTCTCTCCCGAAAGTTTGACCTCAGAGTCGTACACCGCTTTCTCTGAAGCAAGGCAAAAAGTGGAACTGGCAAATCATTATTATTATTATTATTAAACAAAGGGACCATGGAATGCTGGGGAGCAAGTTCTTGATGCCGAGTTCCCTGCGTATGCAAGGAGAAAGAATGGGTCACACAATCTGCTTGGTGATTTCCGGGCAAACACAAGCGGAGACTGCGACAACAATCTCCCTCTCCATGCGAGGCGCGGCCGAGGAACCCCAGGCTGTTCCGGTCAGCTGGGTCCTCGTCTTTGTCAGTGTGCGCGCCTGAGGGCCTTAGCGCCTGGGCCTAGTCAAGAAAACTGGAGGAGTCTATACGCCCCTAGGCCGCTTCTGGAGAGTGGAAGCCAGGGGCATCAAGGGGGGAGGCGTCTCCTGAGGAGTCTCGAAATCTTGCGTGTCAAAATCTTGCAAACGAGAACATGCTCCCACACCGGCAAGCCTCAAGCGGGCTCCACCCTAGAGGCAGCCGTCACACAGCCAAGGAGTCGCCAAAAAGTTGCATGGATGACTCTGGTCAGCGTCACCATTTCTGGAACAATTTTTCGGTGCTGCCGGGGGTGAGGCTGCCTGGGATCAGAAAATAAATACCTGACTCGTATCCTCCCTCATCCAGAAAGTATCTTTCCAGACACAGTCACCATCATCTGTTTCTGCTTCTGAGCCTCGGAGACTTGATCAGCGAGTTGGCAACCACTCAAGAGAGCTTCTCATCAATACTTCATACCTTGGAACAAAGCCTTCGTCGACTATATCGTCGACACTCAGCCTTCTCAGCCATCACAATGCCTGCCGGATCTAAATATCCTCCCTGCCCGGGTCCTCCTCCCAACAGACCTCTACCAGCACTTCCCAAGAAGCACGCTGCATGAGCAAAAGCTCTTCATCCCCATGGAATCAACATCCTCGGTTTCAACGGGGCATGGTTTCGGCCATGAATCTCAATACCTCCGCCCTCGAGTCACCCTGCATGCGTCCACATGCCAGGCAGCCACATGACATGCAGTATATCAATCTAATTCATGCATTGCAAATGGCGTTCTCCACCTTTTGAGGAGATTCAGCAACCTATGTCTTACAAACCACCGAAAACCGCCCATGTGGGAAGCTCTTGGCATTATGGCGTTCATCCATGCATACAAAGAAAGAGGCCATGCATGTATTGATGCGCTGGCAACTCCACAGGTCACAAGCACAACACTTTCTGCAGCCGCCAAACTACCTTGCGCCCACATTCTACCGCATTTCCAACTCGGGCGAACTCCTCAGTCATCGGATACCGAGGGCCTTTCGTGCGGATACGAGGGGTCTTCAGGTCCTTTCAACAACAGCCGCCACCCATAATCAACTTGACGAACTATTCATCCCTTCATTACACACCTCATTGTACCACACTATTTGCGCCCGACGCTTTCAGCCTCATTCACCATTTTCACCCTCGCAGTCTAAATCATGATCTGTCAAGCAGATTGACTCTTGGTGACCATTTCCTACCACACAAAAGCATGTACCAACAGAACACCACAGTTTTGCATTATCTGTACCAATAGTGGATACCCCAACTTCACGATCGTTTGCGGAGGGAATACAGCCTCTTCCTTTGCTGCCTTGCTGAGGAGCCCATTTGGGGCCCAGCGACTGGCCTTTGTACTTTACTACTTGAGTGGACATTAATGAGCCCCATGATGATGAGTTTTGGGAAGGGACCGACTCGGTCACACAGTGATGGACCATTTTCCTTACCACCTAGCGTATGCGAGTCTATCTAATGGATAATATTCTTTCTCTCAATCTGTCCTGTTTCCGATGCCTACATGAGATGTTTGTTCGGGCGCTGTGTAGCTGCAACCGCTACCTGCCGACCTGATGGAATCTCCCACAATTCTGCCGCTGGAAAGTGCCTAAATCATTCACCAAAGCCGGGTTTGGTGCTGTCAGTATACTCGGTCGTGGTCCAGGGACACTACGGCGTATTACTGCCTGCGGTCTTATTAGGCAGCATCAACGTCTTACCTGCATAAGGAACAGGGGGAGAGGTTGCCTGGGTGCCAGCGAACGAGCAGCAAGAGTTGGAGCTTGGACCATTGTTTTCGATTGGATGGAGCGGACTTTGCATCCGAGAGCAGCCGCCAGGAACGAACGGCGTGAGTTTAGGAGGGAGGGTAGTGGGAGGGGTAGGTGTCGAGGGGTGTCTTATGACCTGGAGGTGTGTGAGTTGGGAAAACGGTGGCAGAACTTCACCCCGCAGTTTGAGAAACAGAAATAGAAACCATCCTTGTACAGAAACGGTGCGTCGACGATGGAGCAAGATGACTGCGTGCATTGGGTTGCTGCGAGATAGGCACGGAGAAGTCGTATCTTTCCGCCCTGATCTGCACGGTAGTAGTGGCCACTCGTGTACTGCGTAGGTATGTCTTCCCCTCTCTCTTGATGTCTTTCCCCCTTTTCACCTGCGTTGTGTTCACCTTGCATACATATCTTTCTCATCATCCACCCGGTCTCCTCTTCGTGGACCTCGACGGCATCATCGGATGGAGAGGTGGATAGGGAGATGGCACGCTGCGCTGGTGGCTGATGAGGATAAAGCATTGTGGTTGGACCAAGCTGATCTGTTATCCTCCGCTAGGAGAATCTAGGACAAATCGACTAATAAACAAGAAGGAAGAGTCCGCGGTAACGGGCCCATTCTTGAGCGGCGCCCATGACGAAATCGACGAAGTCTCAACCCCAACCACCTTGATTCCTCGATTCTCTGGGCTGGCCCGAGATTACCGTTGAGGTTCCCGTCCACTGACACCATTGTTTGCGCGGCCTCCAGAGGCAGAAACTGGGAATTGCACACGGGCATTGAGTAATGCCACTCCCCCACACTGCAAACTTGAACCTAGCAGCCACGGGCTATGGCTAAACTGCTGCCACTGCTGCCACTGCTGTCATCGCAGCCACACCTGGGCAGCTTTGTCCGCGATCTCTCCATCGGCATTGGCGGCCCAGCTGCCCACTCTGCCACTCTGCCCACTCTGCATCGATGACCTCCATATCTTTACTTTTTTCCTTTTCCCTGTGCTGCTTCTACTTCCCATAGACCTGCTCGTTGTCTCCAAGATTGTTTTGTTGTCGTTCGTTGGCGCCCTTGAGAGGTTGAAGCCGAGGTCGGTGGTGACTGCGCCTATATATCTGTGTATACTATACCCGTCGCTGCGCCATGTCCTCTCGTTATCTGCCAGTCTTTGGCGCACTCTTCTTCACACTCGCTGCAGCTCAAAATACAGTCTCACTCGCCATCACCGCTCAACCCACCTCGGGCGCCTCGGGAATCATCAGTCCTTCGTTTGCCGGCTTCGGTATCGAATCCTCCAATCTCTTTTCCTTCACGGGCGGCAGTGACGAGAACCAACTCACCAAGAACTTGTTGGGAAATTTGGCAAACTACACAGGTACTCCACCGCATCTGCGCATCGGAGGCAATACTCAGGATTACTTCATTTACGAGGACTCTCAAGATGACTATGCGTGGGAGCCCAACCCACACCCGGTTGGGCAGGGAGCTTATGCAACCGACTCGATGATTATTGGACCTAGGTTCTTCGAGGTCATCAATCGCTTCCCCAGCAATACACCAATTACCTTCGGCTTAAACCTGGCCTACTCGGAATCCGACTACATCCAGCGAATCACCACTATGGCAACGCAAGCCGTCACTCGATTGTCCGACGTCAATCTGGTGTCGTTTGAGATTGGCAACGAGCCTGATCTGTATCTGCAGAATGGGTTCCGAACAGGCTCCTGGAGCGGGCAGGTTTACACTCAAGAGTGGCTGGATCGAGCAAGTGCTATCTGGGAACAAGTCCTTCAACCGAACAACCTACCTAGCAATTTCTTTGAGCCTGGAGCCACAGCATCAACTATCGGGACGTCTTTCATGATCGAGGATTTGGATCAGTTTGGCATCACGGTCAAGGCCAACGGGTCGTCAAAACCGTATGTTGCCAGCTGGAATCAGCATGATTACTACTATTACATTGGGGTGTCGACCTATCCATTGACAGCATACGAGTTTATGACCCTGTCCACAACCAACGACCAGTTTTCGGCTTGGGTATCACAGATCCAGCAAGCAGAAGCCACGGGTTATCCATATGCTTTGCGAGAGATGGGCGTTGTTGGTCCAATTGGCTTGGCTGACATTACCGACGTCTTTGGAGCTGCGCTGTGGTCCCTCAATTTCTTCCTCTATGCAGCTACCCTCAACATCTCTTCGGTGCAGATGCACATGACCGACAATAGCAATGCTAGTGCCTGGCAGCCCATCCCGTATTATGGCAATCAACCATTTGTGCGACCGAACTATTATGCATTTGCTGCGTTTGACCAAACAATCGGACCAACTTGCCAGGCCCAGGTCGGTGGATATATCGTTCCGAACCCTCCCGCTCAATATGGCGGCCGAATCGCTGCCTACTCAGTCTACCAAGCCGGTACCCTGGCCTCAATTGTCTTGATCAACTCGAACCCTGCCAATGTCTCGGAGCCCAACAAGCCCAGCCTCACCTGGGACTTGTCCCTGCCAAAGCAATTTGCAGGACAGGAATTGTACCTGGCCTATCTCACCAACGACGGAGCGGATGCAAAGCACGGTACAACCTGGAACGGCGTTAGCTACGAGCAGAGCGGTGACGGCACACCTACCAGGGTGAATAGCACTGTTGAAACCGTCAAAATTGGCAGTGATGGGAGTGCCAGCATCGTGGTGCGTGATTCGCAAGCTGTCATTGCCAATATTGGATCTCCAGTTGGCGAGCGAAAGCCCAACGCCAGTGCCTGCTCCAAACTGGCCGCCAGCACCCCTGATGCTCGCCCTGTCACAACTCCAGTCGGTACAAATGTGCCGGCTGCTACATCTACTTCTGACAGCTCATCCTCCTCGTCATCGAGCCATTCAGATAGTTCAACCCAGTCGAACGCCGCATCGACAACAGGAAGCAGTGCACGCGCAAGCCCCACGAGTGGAGTTGCGGGCCTTTCTAGGATGATGTTAACAACGCTTGCTTCAGTGGCGCTGACTGGAGTCTATCTTGTCTGCCTATAATGTGGCTTTTGCTTTCTATATGTGCATGTGTCAGGACATAGACGGCGTTTACGAGTTCCGCTGTCAAAGATTTACGACAAAGGTAATTGCACCAGTCAGGAGTCAAAGGGGTTACGTGCCAAATGCTATCAACGACCGTGGATGATCCGAGTTGGTTCGGGTGCAAGCAGCAAGCAGAGAGAGCCGGTGGTTATTTGGACATACTGTAGTTGTGTGACAGAGGCTAGAATATCTACCTAGATAAATCTAATGCAGTAATAACGGTGACATGAACTACAAGGGAGAAGTCCAAAGCGTTCACAGAGGGAAATGAACGCCTGCCTGCTGCCATAGTGACTTTGTTAGCGCGAGGATGCTAGATGCAGCTGTACCTCGTATCTCCGTCGTCGAAGGATCCCGCATATCCACATACTCACATACTTGGTGGGTGCTTGGCTGGCTGAGGATGACTGACGTCTTTGTTCCTGAACTCAACTCAACATTTTCCCCGTTTTCCCGAGCCACCAGCCAACACGCGTATGCACTTTGCAAACATGCCTCATCTAGACGCATTCGGGTGAGCTTGCTTGCTTGCTTACTCTTGCCAGCTCTTTCTCTCTATATCCCTTCTCCCGCCGAAGACATTCGCTCTTGCCGCCATGGAGGTCGCCACCCCCCGCCGACCTCACTACCAACTCGGCGCCCTTTCTGGCTTCATCCCGCTCAATGAAGAGCCCAACGCAATGTCGACGCGCGGACAGCGCCTGCCGAGCCTGATCCAGAGCCGGTCAACCACATCTCTGCTCACCCTTCAGCGCCGACCGCTCACACGAAGGGGCTCCGTCACGAGCCACCATTCGGACGAAGACGAGGAGCACCAGGATCCGCAGCGAGAAAGCTTTGAGACTCTGAACGCCACAGGCAGATGGCGGCCCAGCACGCCCTCGGAGACAGACCCGCGACGAATGAGTGTCGGGCCCGAGATCCTCATGACGCCGCAGGTGCGCAGCATGCGCCTGATCGGGCAGAGCAACCCCCGATACCACTGGCACCAGTACTTCAAGAGCGAGGACGAGCTGAAGAAGATGAGGAAGCCCATCCGGAAATACTACGAGCGCAACAATTTCTTGGTCACACAATACATATACATCGACAAGTTGCTGGACTCGTCGCTCCCGCATAATCTCATCCAAGAGTACAGTCATCCGCGCGCCCAAGGCACGATGATGAATACCATCTGTGAGGAACCCGCTTCTGGCAACATCACCCCCGTGATGGGACCGAATGCCACCAACTCGCCCACAACAGAGCACAAGCTGAAGCGGACGCCGAAGAACCTGTACAAGCTTCCCAGTGAAGAGACGCCCCTGTTGGCAGACGACGTGGAAGCGAGCCTCGATACAGCTCTTCCGGAAATCAGCTTTGCAGACATGGACGAGGGCGTCGACTCGAACGAGCCGATCGTCACCGTGGCAATTTACATCAACCTTGCCGCCAATATCATCCTGCTCGCAGGGAAGATCGTGGTGATAGTCCTGACCTCGTCGCTCTCGGTGCTCGCGTCGCTTGTCGATGCGGCCTTGGATTTTCTGTCCACCGCTATCGTCTGGACTACTACGAAACTCATCTCACGACAGGATCAGTATGCTTACCCCATTGGCCGACGACGATTGGAACCCGTCGGCGTCCTCGTTTTCAGTGTCATCATGATCACCTCCTTCTTCCAAGTAGCCTTGGAATGCTTCAACAGGTTGATTTCCGGAGACCACAGCGTCGTGGAACTGGGCATCCCCGCCATCGCCATCATGCTGAGCACGGTCGCCGTCAAAGGATTCTGCTGGTTCTGGTGCCGATTGGTCAAAAACAGTTCCGTGCAAGCCCTGGCTCAAGACGCCGCCACCGACGTCGTCTTCAACATCTTCTCCATCGTTTTCCCCCTCGTGGGCTTTTACTTTAAGATTTGGTGGCTGGACGCCCTGGGCGGGTTGTTCCTGTCCTTTTACGTCATTTTCAACTGGACGACAACCAGCGTCGAGCACGTCCGCAATTTGTGTGGTGTTTCCGCCACCGCGGACCAGCGCAACGTTTTGTTGTACCTCGCCATGCGCTTCGCCAAACCCATCCGCTACATCCAGGGTCTGCAGGCGTACCACACGGGCGACAAGCTCAACGTCGAGGTCGACATTGTCCTGGACGAGAACATGAGTCTGCGGGACAGCCATGACCTGAGCGAGAGTCTGCAGTATGTCCTGGAGAGCGTGCCCGCGGTCGATCGCGCGTTCGTCCACGCCGACTATGCAGACTGGAACTTGCCCAGTCATATGAATCAGCAGGGCTGACGGATTGTTTCCCGGGAATGGGCGAGGTCAACTCAGGTTCAGATATGTTTTTTGTATAGTATAGGACGGGAAAGAAAGAGGCCAGGATACATACATGTAGTGGCTCAACAGGCCCGACGAGTCAAACACCCTCGTCAGAAAGATCTGCACTCTGCACAGTCTGTTGCTGAGTTAAGAGGATGTAAGCGACTATGTGCATTCTCGACACTTATGGGGTTATATGTACGTGTGTATGTGTCCATGGTCATCTACTTGTGAGCTAATATCAGATATAATGATACCACCCATGTCTTCTGAGCGAGTACGGTATGATACCTCTAGAGATAGGGACCGGGGTAGATAGATGATGGTTATTTCCGAAGCCTCAACTTCGATTCTCATGGTACCTACCTAGGTACCTAGGTAGGTAGTTATGGCAGATAGTACCTAGGTATAGATGGTCTTGTATCGTACGCGTCCGTCCCGCCATTCGCCATTCGCCATTTTCCGTTTCCCGTAGCTGTTATCCTCCCCCCTCTCGGTCCATGAAGTAAAGTCCCGACCCGCCCAGCCCCTTTTCAGGCCAAGCCTTACTCTAATTATCTCAGGGCTGCCTTAAGACGCCGCGTCGTCGACCACAACATACCTACCGAGTCCTAGTGATGCTGTTTCGCTGATTGCACGAGAGTGTGTATATTAGTGTTCTATATCTTGGTACACGTGGCGCCGCCGAGAATCGCTTTACGCGGTTCGATGGGCAGAGCGGATACAGATAGCTCTCAATCCCATACGCCTCATTTGGAATTGAGGCATGATAATTAGTGTAAACATGACATTTTCCAGCTTTCCAGCTTTCCAGCTTTCCATTTGCAATATTCGCTTGCCACAATTACAACTGTTGGTGCAAGACGAAGAAAAGGGGGCGTTCCACACCCCTTCAAGGTCAACCCTAAGCAAGGTGAGGAATACCTCGAGCGAGCGTATGAAGATAGATGGTAGGGAGAACTATCCTTGACATGGGAGGAAAAGACACCATGTGGTGCCTCCCGACCACGCAACTTGGACTGCCCTAATTCGATCAAAACATGCTTTTTGCCGCTCGTGCAATTACAGTCGCGAAATCATCATTCAGCATCCCAATGCATCCACCCACCGTTGGAGCTCTGACACAGCCTGTCCGTTCTCCATGCAAACGAAAGCACAAAGAAATGGGCCAGCATAGCTACCAAAGCTTTCCATATCCGTAAATTTGTCACCGAAAACTCCAGTAATGCGATTGCAATGATAGGATAGACGACAACCGCATTCATGCCTTGAGACAGGCAGGGTTGGAGAGTGCTGAATAGTTTTACACCGAGTATGACGAGACGGGTAGAGGGAGAGGTGATGGGCGCATTAACGATGATATAGATCCGATCGAGGAATACAGAAAGAGCCGGCCGATCAGGGTGTTGTGGGGGCTCAAGAAGGAGCTGTTGCCGGACCGGCGAGGGCGGGGTGGGAGACTTCTGTAAAGGGGAGGACGGAAGAGACGATGAGGCCCGTTTAGCCCGCAGAATCATAGTGCTATTAAGTCTGAGGTTGCCAGAGTCTCGCCGTGTCGACGTCGAGGCTCTGTGTCCGTGTTGTTCACGGTCTGCTTCGCTGCCGCTGGTGTACCCGTGGTCGCTCATTATTGCTTCGGAACTTTTCGGCTCTTGGGATACAGATCTCGCGGGCCGGAAGAAAGACCGTTTCGACCTGGAACCGGCATCATGACTTGGTCTGCCTTGTGGAGAGTTTCCCATCTGTGGTGTATCCAACTTTTGGATCCGTCGGGCCGGCGTCAACTCCTCTGGCTCCATTGAGTTCCGCCTACGCGCTGCAGGAATATCATCGAGTCTTCCTGACGAAACAACCTGAAGGACATCGTCCGCGCTAGGCCGTTCGTCCGGGTTCAGGGACAGAAGCCGCTTGAGGAAGGAGTACAGTGCAGGCGGTAGCTCGGGACGCAGTTTTCGCTGATCGTCAAATCCTCCCCAATTGGTAATTTCTTCCCTCAATTCGTCTATGTCTTCGCGCTCCTCATGAAGAACATTTGCCGAGTTGTAGGGAAGATTTGCAAAGCAGAGGAAATGCAGGATCATACCCAATGAGAAGATGTCAGACTTTGATGTAAAGTTCTCGAACGGGCCACCGGGAGAGATGCGTCGAAGCACTTCGGGCGCGCAGTAGGATATCGTCCCTGTGGCACCGGTGGATTTTCGAGTGGCATATTCGTACTGGACTTCGCCGAAGTCACTGACTAGAACCCTGGTTTCGCCACCGACTGTGTGCAAGAGGCAGTTGCTCGGTTTCAAGTCGCGGTGAATGAAGCCGTTGTGATGAAGATGTCTCAATCCGGAGGTGATGTCTCTGAAAAAGTTGTAGATCTCGTCGAAAAGTAACTTTTTGGGTTCATTTGCCCGCCTAGGAAGGTCTGATTCTCCCCTCGACTTACGACGAATGCGTTCTTTTAGTTCCTGGGTCGTAGTGTGTGCTTGTGCCGAGCCTAGGACGTAGTTCTGCATATCTCCTCCGTTGCAGTATTGCTGCAGAATGAACGCGCAAGGTACGCTTGGGCCAAACGTGCTGATCTGGAAGTCTTCCAGCCAAACGTGGCGGTATGAGACCAGATTCTGGTGCGACAAAGTCTGCAAAAGCTGGACCTCGACAAGGACCTTCTCTAACCATGCATGGTCATCTCCAATGGGTACGCGTTTGCAAGCGAAATGACCGAGTGTTACGCCATCGAGGACGTGTTTGACTAAGAGAACAACGCCGCGGCCACCTCTTCCGAGCTCTCGTTCTTCAACAAAGAACTTCTCGAAGTAGTTGGGGGAAAAGGCTGTCTCGGAAATGCCATGGACTTGACTGGCAGGCACCGGAGCGCTGGCAATGAACTCTGCATCAGGAGGTGGAGACACAGCGGCCGAGGAAGGGTGAAGCCGGGAGCGTAGGGGTTGGGCGATGCGTCGTCTCGGGGAAGGCGGTGCAGAGGTTTCGTTGGAGCCAGGAAGACTTCGTGCCAGCATTTCAAAGTAGCCCTCGGTGATGAAGCTGGGCTGGTCTTCCATTGGACTTGGCCCGGGATCCTGGGTGCTTGAGGATCCTGGGCGATGCCAGCGTCGACCACACGTTGGACAGTCGGAGGAGCGTCGTTCTACATCTTGGTCTCGATGAAATGGAACAAGTTGGTTCGTCCTCGGGTCACGGTAAACAATGGTGTCTGCGTGGCGGCTAGTCTCGTAAGTTCATGACTGTTCCGCTGTGTTGGGGTTGTGTCACTTACAGGACAACCTCGCGGTTGTTGTCGTAGGGGATGATGGAGAGCGTCGGAATGTTATCGAAATTGCCCTCGTCCATCTCCAAAGTCGGTCAGCAGCAACTGAGAAAAGGTGTAGGAGTATTGGAAGGAGGCACGCTTGAATCTCGACAAGACAGGTGCGACTTTTGTGAGAGGAGGGTGTAGTGTTGAACAGTCGATCCAGTCAAGGTGAAGGACTGGGAGACCACATCAAGCCACAGAATGACTTCTCGGCCGGCTGAAGGAGACCATCTCCCAGACTCATGGTCATGGGAAGACGTAGTCACATATTACGATCCATGTTTACCTGGCCGTGTATTATTCTCTGCTCTTCGAGACATGAAGTAATTAGTTAATAGCGTGACGGATGTTGGAAATTGGCGGAAATTGGCGGCGCCCGATGATCTTGATGGAAATTCAAAGTCAAATGACGGTGGCAATTTGAGGCCATGAGGCCATGAGGCCATGAAGCCATCAAGACCTCCACAATTTCCCCAGAATCACTGAACCAGTCCATATAGGTATTTCATGTCTGCTGCCGTAGAGTACAAGTACAATCCGTTCCATTCCATTCCCTTCATCCAGAACTGGACATTACATTACGATGCTATAGCTTCAACTGTGGCCCGGCCGCGGGAAGACCGGCACTGTGTCTACATTATTCACGTCAAATCCCAATAGCGTTCCCTGATTGTTATGCTGCCATCCCTGACCTGTCTGTTGGTTGACAAACGCGCTCTGCCTGAATGGATTTGTGCTGCCAGTCACGTTCGTTGTCACTGCACCTCCAGGTGTCGTCGGTCGATTCTTCGCAAAGGGGTTGGTGCCTGTTCTCTGAGGCTGGAGTGGCGGCGGAGATGAGAGGAAAGACGGGTTGGAAGGGAAAGCTGGGTCAGGAGAAACTGGCGACAAGGTCGTTTGGTCATGAATGCTTCCTGCCGTGTGGTCATTGTTGGAGATAGCTCCAGTGGTGTGCTTCGCAAATGGATTGGTTGCCGACCGCACAGGTGCTGGAGGACTGACAGGCGAGAATTGGGTGCTTCCCGTGGGCATCGTGGATTGCCGGAACGGATTGGTGGATGTTTGCTGTGGTTGGATCGGAGAAGGCTGAGCTGGTGAGAAGGCTTGCGACTGGAAGCTTGCCACGCCATTCTGAGGAATCGGTGAGAGCTGCGCGGGAAACTGGAATGCCCCCTGCTGTACCTGCTGCTGCTGCTGCTGCGGCTGAGGCCCATATCCACCGAATCCTGCACCTGTGAAATCTGTCTGCAGGGGCTGCGGCTGAGCTTGGGGTTGTGGTAGAGCCTGACTCTGAAACGTCGGCTGTTGCTGCAGAAAAGGATTGTAACCCGTCTGTTGAGGCACCGGCGCCGGCTGGTATCCCTGGACTTGGGGCGCTCCTTGCTGAAATTGAGGCTGCGAGTTGAAGTTGGTCTGACCCATTGTCTGCTGATTCTGCTCAATCGATTCGAAGAAGTCAATTAGATCTGGTGCTGGTCCCTTAGGCGCTGAGGGAAAGGGTTGTGGTTTGGCTGCAACTGAGGTCGCTGCAACTTCTTTGGTCGCCGGCTTGTCGAATGGATTGGCTGATGGCGCGGCGGAAACCGGCTTGCCTGTTCTTTTTCCTTCTTGCTGCGCCAGATATTGCCTTCGATTCAGTTCAAAATCCGGATCATTGAGATATTCCTCCAGAGCATTGGTCAAAGTTGTTGGTGCGTGCTTTAACCTTGGGACCTCCAAGCGAGTTGACATCTCATACTGTCTTGCAAGACTGAGATATTGCACCACCATCTCTGTCTGCCTTCCGAATGTCTTGTAGATTTTCAAGGCCCGTTCAGCGTCAGGACGAGACATTTCGAAGTAATGTTCTACGTCTGAGTTAGCCAAGGCAGCCTCGGTTTGATCTGCTTCCCCTACCCAGAACATTGATTGTGCCCTCGTTCATGACCTTGAATAGCTCGAGCAAGTCCAAAGTCAATAGACGAAAAGCTGTGAGTGAGATCTCATTGTCCGGGTCATGAGTGCCTAGCAACTGCAAGAGTGAGCCTAGATGGAAGCCGGTGTCGGTCATCGCAACTCACATCGCACCTCACCAACGCCTGTATTTGGTCCTGCACAATCTCAGTCTGTCTCAATAGCCCTTTTTCGACGGTCAGTCTGCGCATCTTTCCAGCTCCTGACTTGACAAAGTCCGTCTTGGTATCGCGGAAGGCTCGCACTCTCTCCAGCAAGTATTCTGAATATCTTCGGATGTTGAGCCCTTGGGTTTGAACTATTCCCCTGTCAGCGTAAACCCGCCTGATGGCATTTGCGCCCCCATCTTGCGTACCTTCTGTGAAGCTGCTGATTGCCAGTCTCTTGGGCGACTCGGATATGTACCTCAACGTAACCTCGGGCTGACCCTCTCTTATCATAAGATGGACCACAATCAAGGCCTTGAAGACAATCGTCCATGTTGAATCTCGCAATCGAAGTTGTAGAGTGCGGAAGACCTCGGCGACGCCTGATTCTCCGCCGTTTGTGGCAGACAATATGGGCTCGATATACTTGGACTTGGGCGCTGCCAACTAGCACACCGTCAGCTCTGACCAAGCGGTCTACGCGCCATCCAGACCTTGATTTTCGTAGCGCCTTTTACAATCTTCTCCATGGTGATTTGTATGGCAGAGTGATGTTGAGGCTCTCTTGAGGAAGATGAACACGGCGGCAATTGGCCCAAGGTGAGGGCAGTTTCCGAGCTGTCCGCTTCAGCCGGTTGAAGTCAAGACAAGGCGAGGTCAAGTCGGGCGGAGAGTTATGCCAGGCAGGTTGCCATGTTTTCACAAGAACATGGTGTACAAGGAGGGCAGAGCAGGATCACACAGCCACAAACAGACCAAGCTGCTCAAGGTCGGACTGCGTCTGGGGTGTTGTTGTGGTGGCCGGCGCAGTCGCACCAGAAAGGCTGGACTGAGTACAGTGATGAACGCAACGAGGCACAGGCAGGGGAACGCTTGGAGGGACGACGAGGCACAAGTAGAAGAAGCAGATGACAAGTGCCGAGCGGTATACTATCACGCCCCTATTACCAGGGCGCCATTAGATTTGAATGCTGTGAGATGGTGTTGCCGGCTGGATATTATGGCTACCCAGGTAGTGAGGCGTTCAAGCCACTGGACTGCCAGTGTGATGACTGCGCCAGGTGCAGCTGCCGAGCTGCCACCTGCCACCTGCGGCGTTCAGCCTGCGACCTCTGTGGTTGCCCAGTCCCAGTTGCCCCAAGCTCCTTGCTGCCACCCAGCTGCCAAAACACATAGTGGCTGAATAATAACGACTAGGGGACCACCTAATTAACGATAGCTAGTATCTAGTAATAAGTATAAGGATCCCGCTGTGCTCAAGAGTAGATAGGATGCCTTATATAAGTGAAGATACCCTAATAGCTAATAGTTAATCCCTTCTACTTTGCTACTACCGTACTCCCTTCTCGTAAGACTTGTGCCACCTCTGCCACCTCTCGGCGGTGGACGGAGAATCCCCGGCTCCGAGTCCCCGGCACACCTGCCATATCCATTCTGCCATTCTGCTCAAGCCTTCCCTTCCTCTACCTCTACATGTTCGGCCACACTCAATGCTTTCAAATCCTGGCCTCCACGAACCAGAGCCGAGTGTTGAAGTTTAAGCTCTCGGAATCTTTTTTCCGTCTCCCAGACAAATGGAGTTTTACTGGCAAACAGGAGATCGATCTGAAAGTACGACCCGTTAGTGGTGGTCTGGCAAATGCACTCCTTCCACGGTCACATACCTCTTCCAGTGTTCGGCAACTGGTCTCTGGGTAGAAACAGAATACTAGGACGACGGCTAGCAAATTGAACACGGCATGGATATAGAAACCCTGTGGGCCTAACGCTTGGAACATGACCGGCGCCGCAAGAGACACAGAGCCACATCCCAGGCTCCAACCTGTGAGGACTTGGTTAGAAATTTACTTGGTAACCGCGCGAAGGCGACATACCAATTATGCCAAAGGCGTTCCCTTTAGCTCTAATGGCCAGTGGAAAGATCTCTGAAGGGTATACCCATGGCACACTGAGCCACGTTGCCTGCGTGGAAATCATGAGTTCGAGTAATGCAGAGGGAAGATCAACTGGACTGACCGCAAATATTGCGTTATAGATGAAGACAAATGACCCAGCAGCCGCGCCGATGGTCTGGCTATGTTTGTCCTGCCCGACCTTGGACAGAGCACCGAGGATGAAGAACGACAAGCTTTGTCCAAACCCCCCGGCCATAAGGACTTTGCGACGGCCGTAACGGTCGATGGTCACGAACGCAAAGGCGCAACATACCATGGTGACCAGGTTTGCACAGCCAGTAAGGAGATTTGCCTGGACACGACCCGTCAGCAATATTCCTCTAGGTACTGCCAGATGACCTCACTTTGTGCTCACTGAAGCCAGCAATTCGAAAAAGTGTGGGCGCATATACGACCACACTTGTGACACCAGTCCTGTAGCGCATCTCGAAGTCAGGATGTCAAAAACCCCCTGCAAAGACTCGATCAACCTACCATGCCTGCATGATTTGGAGCCAGGCAGCCAGAAAGGCTCTCCGTCCAAGATGAAGATCGCCACTCTTGAATCCAGTGACCAAATGGAAGTAGCTCCGAGCCGGATATTCAGCCTCCAGTTCTGGATGAAAGCGATGACTGTCAGTAATCCTCTTATTCGGATGCTCGATTGGAATTGGGCACGTACCGACAGCAGCGACGATTTCGTTAAACTCTGCCACGACGTCCGCTTGGTTGATATCTCCTCGAGCGCGAAAGACTGCCAGGGTCTTCCTACCACGATCTTGCTTCCCATTTGCAATGTCCCATCTGGTAGCCGACTTTAGCGCTTTACCCGTTACGGATGTCTATAGCCGACTGACCTTGGGCTCTCTGGCATGAGAGGGATGATGGCCATTAAAGCAACCAGAAAACTGACACATATCAGCGACTATGTGACTTTGTGAGAAAACCCAAGTCCTCACATCTCGACGAAAGCAAGAGGAACTGCGTGATATGTCAGTTCTAGCACCTTTCACACAAGAAATGAAAAAGGCTTACATCGCCATCGAACCTGCGTGTTCCCGTGGTTGAGAAAGCTCAGTCCATACTCGAGCCAGTCTATGACAATCAGCAGTGAAAAGGCAATGGCCCAGAGACGGGAGATCCTTACACGACGTCGAAATACCCGCAAAGTTGATGAACATTTCGAACGCCATGACCATGCCTCGCGTATCGTGAGCGACAAGCTCTGAGCCCCAGACTGGAATCACCGCGCTGATGCAGCCCGTGCCAACACCTCCAATCAACCTGGCACAGAGCATCCACGGTGCATTCTGAGCGGCGCTTTGCATCGATTGACCAAAGATGCCCCAAAGACAGCCGAAGAAGATGGCTTTGCGTCGTCCAATCTTATCGGATAAAGCACCGCCCCTGTTCAACAGACCTCACATTTCAGGATTGTTGGAGATGAGACTAAGGGGGACAGAGCTTACATGAGTGCTCCAAGCAGGGTACCGAGATAGTATATCGCGACAATGCCACCTTGCTTGGTTGGCCTTGTGACTTCTCCCGTCGCGCCATCGCCGATTTTGACCAGGTCCTGCGAATCAGTCAGTGATGTTCTCTCATGGGGAGGTCTTGGTCAAAAACGTGCAATGTACGATGGACTTATATTGACGCCGGACATTACACCCTGGTCATATCCCTCGAACATGATGCCTAATCCAGCAACTAGGCACACGCTGAGCCGTACGTGTCATTTCAGCAAATACTTCGCAGACGCGTCAACGAACTTGGACTTACGCCCAGACCATATGACGTCCGTACAGAGGCATTTTTCAGGCTTGTTGGGCGTATTCGGAGTCTTACAGAGGAAACCCGTCTCTACTTGCAGAATGTTGATCATGGCAGCGTGGGGTACTGGTACTTATACCCACACAGCTGTCTACCGGCTTGCCTGAATGGGAGATCCCTCACGCCATACTATCTTTCACGGCAGTATCAGAACGGTAATCCGGCAGATTGAACAGGAGCTGTCCAAGATCGTGGCCATCGCAATAGCCTATGCATTGCTGGGGAGCGCAGATCACCCATGGCCCTGGTCCTGGGGGTGGGTCTGGGGTGAAGTATCATGCCTCGAATAGGGCCAGCGGTCCAGGTCAGCGGCACTCGAACCCGTGATCATGTGGTTAGTGTATAGCTGGAGACAAGTTAGCCAAGCTCTCTCAAGCTATCTCCCCGGAGGTCCTACCTATATGAAGTTGAATCACGCTATCCTCTATTCGAGGGATTCACCTGGCGCGTCGGACATATACCGGTCGACGCCGGTATCGGGTTACCCCAACATTCATACCAAGTCGCTTCCCTTGATTGGCAGTTGGTCTATCCAATACATTCTGATTCCGGGTTTTTATCTCCCTATACCCCAAAACAATACCACCAACGGTCCAAAGTACATAAAGCCATGCGACAAAGGGTGCCTGGGAGCGGCTTTTCGGCGGAAACTGAAACCGACGGATCGTTACGTTCCTTTTCCGCGGGGGTTCGAACCCTCCTCTCCCCGAATATGCACTTGGACTCGGTTGACTGGACTGGCATTTTAGCTCACCGTGGTCTGTCAAGAGACTACCTGTGAACGCTCTCGTCTTCATCCCTTTCTGTATCGAATCCTTCGTTTTCAACAATCCATCTAATCTACAATGCATACATGTACTTTGGATGATAATCGCAAAGCTCCTCGATATCCCTGGATGCCAAGGGATCCTCGGTTCCCTCAGCCTCAAATCCTTGCGCCCGTCGCGTCTTGGCCGCGTTGGCCCGCTTGCAGATCTGGTGCAGGATCACTGTACAGACGAACCCCAGGCTGTACAGGCCAAGCGAGACGCCATGGCCCAGGATAAATCGAGGCGGGTCACGGTAGGTCTGCGTCGAGATGATGCTATAGCTCTGCACGAAGATCTGGCATATCCAGATGCTCGTGGCGCGTTTGGTGTAGCCGCCGTGGCAGGACAGGTACCACGCCACGCCGATAGCCAGGCCCGGGTACGCGCCCGTCGTCACAAAGCAGGCCCCCGCGACCAGGGCGACCTTGTTTGTTGTAGACAGCAGGATGATGAAGCCTGTAATGGTGGTCGAAAGGCACACCAAGATCATCATGGCCTTTTGTCCCAATCGGTCTGCCAGCCAGGATCCCGCGAGGAGGCCAGCAAGTCCGAATGCGTATGGGATCATGGAATACAGCTGGGTTTCCAAGGCTCCAAATCCGAATTCGTTGATGAATGTGGGGAGAAAGACCCCAAAGGCGCCGATCCCGACACCCTGGCATCCAATCATGGCAGCCCCGAGAAAGATCTTGGGGTCTTTGAGCGCTATCAAGACCTGTCGGGAGCGGAACTTGGCACCCTCGGTGTTCTGGGCTAATCTTGAGGCCTTAGTTGATCGTCCCAATGAGAGAGAGAAAAGGTCTCGGACGGCGTTTTCTGGGGGAGAACTCACAAGATCTTAACCTTGCCAGGATCAGCTGGCGCTGTCTTTGGTCACGAAACCCGGGGAAGTGGCCCTTTTTAGACACGGTTTCCGGCAGCCCAGGAAGGAGTGCCATGATAACGAAACCCATGCCCACTGTAATGACTCCCTCGATGATGAACAGCCACTGCCAGGCGCGAATGTTGGCAGAATTCTCCAAGTTCTTGCCCACTCCGTAGGAAATGATACCACTGAATGCACCAGCGACTGGTGTGAGCGAATAGATCAATGCTGTGCCACACATCATCAGCTTTTTTACACCTTATGGTTCGCTGTGGGTCTTTTTCCCCTTGAGCACACTCACCTGTCCTCAATGCAAGCTCAGAGTGTTTGTACCATAGTGAAATGAAGATGTAGGCGTTGTTGACAAAAGCTTCCGCAAGCCCGATGAGGACACGCAGGCCCATCAGGGTCGCGTAGCTTTTGGCCTGGGAAGCAGACGCCGCAGCCACTCCAAAGACAAGGACGGCGATTCCAAAGACCCATCGCGGGTGGAAGTAACGCAGTGCCATGCCTGCAGGCAATTCGACGACCATGTACCCAAGGACTAATGAGAATCGTGTGTCGCAATGTTAGCCAAAAACTTGTCAAGGACCAGAGAGCGCCGATTTCTGTCATTCAGGGAGGAGCGGAGCCAAACTCACAAAACATCATGACAATATTGTAGTATTGTTGAGGGCTGAGGTCGAGGTCCTTTTGCATCCCGAGGATTCGTGCATTTCCAATATTTCCGCGATCCTTTTTTCCATAAAAGCAATCAACAATCGGATCATTCCCCATTTCATCCGGCAAAGAGCGGAAGAAGGGCTGAGGCTTAGGCTTAGGCTTACCAAGTAGCCAAAGAAGAGGGCGATTGCCAGAAGCGGCAAAATGATCAAGTCCTGTTTGAGCACGAGGTTGCTTTCCTCCTTCGCGGTAAAGGATTCCAAATGGAGCTCATCATGTTGGGCTTTCTCGTCGACGTCGACTCCAATCTCCGTACTCTTATCTTCGTTATGGAGAATTTCCACGGGGTCCTTTTCTGCCTGCGTAGTCGTCGACATGTTGGGTTGTAGGAGGGTTGCGGGCCAGGGATAATTTAGGAGGAAGAATTGTCGTATAGCATTTGCTACACAGACATTTTCTCGACAACCTGACGACGAGAAAGTTCATTTATCATGCAAAGCACAGGGGCTGTTGATATCTCCGGTCCATGGAGTCCCCACAAAACGAACCCCAGGGTCCCCGCGAAAACAAGGCCGGCCTTCGCACCCGAGGCTGCTGAGGCAACAGAAGCTGAGGTCTCGATCCTTCTTTACGAGCGCCAGAATAGGGATCATTGGTGCGGAAATCCGAAAAGTCCGAGCAGCCAAGAGCCGAAAGTCGCAATTGTCGGGATTTTCCTCTCGTTCCCGGTATCTTTCCTCAGCTTTTGGTCTTTGGCCGCAAAATGAGTGTCCCACGATTGGATAATCGTTGATATAGAAGAGCCTTCTCTGATATGGCATCCTTCCTGATCCATACCGGACTCGCCAGACTTGGTCCATATTCGCTTCAAGGAAACTACTCGGCCCTGTCTGCTGGAGGAAACGGAGATGACAAAGTCTGCATATTGTGAAATGCAGGGGAAAAGTTGGGCTCCGTTTGAGTGATGATGTCCGGGCGTCCAGACCCTACCACCGTATCTTGGCCATAGTTACCTGTGAAGATCTCATACGACGGCCACCACAAATCCATGTTACTGAAGTCTGTGGAGGTTGGAGTCGCCTGAAACGTGGTGTCCTCGACGGGCTGGTTTGTGCCATTATCTTGATCACGTTAGCTTGATCTGGATAGAGGCAAAACGCACTTCTGTCCACTGACCTTCGTCGGAGTAGGGGTCTGGCTGTCCTTGAAACTCTTGACGCCAGATCCACCAACAATCGTACAACAAGCTCATACCTAGCCTGCTCCTGCATTTCAATCGCACTTGCCCTGCGCTCCGTTTGGTCTGCACGTCGATCATCTTCCCTGACCAGAGCTGCGACAGGATGACCGTAGCTCTCGAGTGAGCGTCGTCGTGTCGGACCGAGAGCCTTTTGTGCATATTGATGGTCTTGAAGTAAGCTTCGCGGCCCTTTTTGAGGTCCAAGGCTTCGCGTAAGCTCGACCTTGTCATCCTTAGTATTACACAACATGCCAGGAACAAAATCCTTGAAAAGAAAGGAGGAGCGTGCTCAGCAATCTTTCGTTTTTGATCCAGCTCCGCACCAAGCCGAGTGAAATCAACCGCAATATCATATAGTTCAAACAGTTTCTCACTGCTTAGAGCCGATTGAGGAAGGAGTAAGTGGAAGCAAGAGACATGAAGCACTGCTCCGTCCAGGAGAAATCGATCTAAATACAGTTAGCAAGTGAGCATCGACGACGCAATAGATCAAGTGCCTACCGAAAGAAGTTGGGTCCCTGGTCTGTAAATTCTTCAAGCTGCTAACAATTGAAGCAATATTTGACTTCATAGTCTCAGCGTAAGCATCTGATGCTTTAGAATTCAAAGTCTTCTCAAGAGCTACGATGCCCTCGCTGTGGGTAAGATACAGCTGTCTCTGGAATTCGACACTAGGAGTCAATGTCGCAGACAGTCTTTCACCATACTTTTCTTGGTGATACGTGTCAGGGAGCACTGGCGGAGATACGCCGAAGGTGATGTTCACTCTTGACAATTTTAGAGAACTGTCTCAAGGCTCTTTGGGCGGCGGAAGAGCTGGGATGGCTCACCTTTGGCAAACAATCAGGCAATTCACCCATAGTTTGGCTCGGAAATCAATGGAATTTTGCCCACCTGGTTTGAGTCTCCTGCGAGAGAAGTCTTGGCCGATCCCCCAGACATGGAGGCCGCTGTTGATGGCCAGCTGTAGAGCTGCCCCTGCCAAAGCTGGAGAAGGGTCCTTTTCCAGAGTGTCTACCGGCATCGGCCAGGCACAAAGCAGTGTGAAAGCTTGAATGGTTGCGATGACGTCTTTGCAGGAAAACACGGCATCTTTGGCCAGATCCATGACCATAGGAGCGATTGCAATAATCAGCGTGGGATCTCGTTCGAAACGCATGCTCCCGATCGCCAGAATGGTCCAGAATAGCAAAGGAGAGTAGGCATAACAATCGTCGGGGCGCAACGAAGTTTCCAGTATCGGCACGTATGACAGGTTATGCTGTAAGAATCTGTGACTCATGGTTAGGTTAAGGCAACTTCTAGGCAACGGCTGGGAGTCTGGTACTGACATCTGAAAACAAGCATCAACGTCCTCTCCTGACACTGACAGATCTTGCAAGGTGCGTGGCAATGATGTCGCCGGCGCCTGTGGCAGGGCCGAGTAATTCGTATTCCCGTACGACACATCTGGCTCTTCCGCCGTCATTTCCCAGGGTTGGACTCCTTGTGAAGCGCCTTCACCACGAAAGCCGGTGAAGATTGGTGATGTACCTGGTTGCAAGCCACCATAAGCTTCCTCGAAAGAAACGTGTGGGCTAGGCTGGGCTGGCGATGAGTGCTTCTCTCGTCGGAGCGAGTCGATTTCCGCCAATAATTCATACATCCTTGACCGAGTTAGCCGGCGGGCATCGCAACAATAAGACGCTCAGAAAGTACTTTGGTCGCCCAACCCGGCGAAAGTCGTGTGAAATGATGCATTCTATGTTGCGGCGGGAGCACCTGGAACATGGTTTGGTGGAATTCCTGGTGGCATCGCACCTGAGCTGTTAAGGGCCTCTTAGTAACCCAGTATTTGGCGATGGGAGATGGTAGCCAACCTTGTTTTGCCTACAATAATTGCAAGCTCTGATCCTGGAGCGTTTCCCAGCCTCGTGAGCAGTCTCGTCCATTGAGGGTACCTAGTACTATTGTCTGGTATCGATTCGCGACACGATCATCGCGAGAGAATACCGTTGGTGAGAGAGAAAATGTCCCGGTCGAGTCATTAAGCTGCGCGTAGAGCAAGTGTTGTAACAGGAGAAGACGATTGGGAAAGATGCTAGAGGTACGCGTTCGATGCTGTTCCCAAGAGTCGTGAAGTGCGAAGGAAGTGCAGCGGGGAAGATTTTAACGGGACACTCGTGCTATGGACCACACGTGACAGGACAGGATATGCAGCCTCGGCAGTTCCCCAGCAGTGTTTCATAACAATTGCTTCATACTAGGTAGTACGACATAGGTAATGGAGGAATGTGGTGGCTGCAGGTCAAGACGATCCTGGGTCACTGGAGCAGATGACTATAGAACCACACGCGCATTCTGGATCATCTTTCATGAAGAGCTTAAAACATCAAAGAGGACGACAAGCCAGGCGCGTGCAGCCATTGTAACAGCATCGACTGGATGGCGTGCATATGACTGGCAGATTCTGGAGGATTGCAGGCCGGTACCTAGGTATAGGTATTCAGGTCACATAAATTCCTCATAACCATCGGACTAGAGTAAACGAAAAGATACAGCACCCTAGCAAAAATATCCGTCCACCCCCACCCCACCAGATGTTTTTGCCCCTACCACCCCTACACAAAGTAGCCACAACACACTCAATTTGCATGATAATTTACTATAAACTGTAGGATCTCTAGCTGAATAGCCATAAAATAGGTCTGTGCAAAAAAAACCATTAATATCGAGTGTACCAGCCCTCTGCAGCGATAATCGCGTTGATCCTGTTATCCATTGACTTAACCACCGCCTTGATCTTTCCAGGGCTAATACTGGCCCAGGCCCTGGTAATGGCGCTTGCAAATCGCTGCCTGAGGGCTTCGCTATCTCCAGTAGTGTCCTTGAGGCCAGGATCGATCTCGTTGACTAGGCGCTTGAGCTCAAACCAGAGGCTTTCGATAGGGTTCAAATCTGGCGAAAACGGCGGCCAATCCAGCACTGTTATTCCATTGTCTTCAAAC